TGGTGATGAACCAGAATCCATCGACATCACACCATTATCAGTTCGTAAGACCGCACATCATTCAGCGACAAATCGTTTGCAGAATCTACTCCCCGGCCGCGTTCTCTACGATCGCCCACGAACAAGTAAGTTTATCGCCTATTCAGCATATTAACATATGCATCTGTAGAGAAACCTTTGAATCTTCGAACTGAAAATACTTCCACTAGTCGGATGATATCTAAAGGTCGTATATCGGCTATTTTCAAAAGTTCGAGTAGTGCAACATTGACAGATACTATGCGGCAGACGATGGGTAAACCTACGAAAGATTGTTGACCCCATAACTCGCATCCGCTTCCATTTTATGTTCATCTTATATCACAATTCATTCGCTTATTGCTTTGAATGAATCTTGACAGTGTTTTCTAACCTTTTTTCGTATCTAAAATAACATTTGTTTTGCGTTTATAGCGAGTGTGAACATTCATTCAAATATGGATACGTTACCCCGAAGTGACACAGCTAGTTATACATCAATGAATTCACCAACACCATCAGCAACAGCAACAAATGGCGGAACAGCTAGCGCAAATGGTTTATCAAATTTTGATATTGATTTCAATGAATCTATTTTACAAGTACATAAACGATCGCCGCTTTATATCATCGGTGATCGAGCTCAGCATCGCGTAAGTTGAATATTCCAACATAGTCAATTTTATTTTTCATTATTTAATTGATTTTTAGACTGGCCGGCTGGAACAATTTCAAAATTATTGTTTTCTTCCATTAGAATTTCATGATGTTAGCCAAATAAAGGCCAGTTTCAAGAAGATGACACGTGCTTGTGTACCTAGCATGTCCGCCCAAACATCCAATGGTCATGCTAACCACAATGGCACAGATATTTCATCGGTTACATTACCAAATTCAATGTCATTCTATAAACTGATCGAAGAGTCACGATGGCTCTACCAAGTAAAACATCTTTCTTTGTTCGTTGTCCCTGAATAAGCCCTATTCTTCCTAGTTACAAAAAATCTTAATGATCAGTGTTTATATTGTTCAATTTATCGAAGATCATGCGTCGTCCGTCATGATTTGTGTAGAAGATGGTTGGGACACTGCTTCTCAACTTGTCTCTATTAGTGAATTATTACTTGATCCATACTATCGAACATTTGAAGGCTTTCAAACCTTGATTGAACGAGAATGGTTTGCATTCGGACATCGCTTTTCACATCGATCAAATCAGACAGCAGCGAATAAGACTGGCTTTGCACCTGTATTTCTTCAGTTTCTCGATCTTGTCCATCAAGTAAGAATCCGACTTGTTAATAGAATCGGAAACTGAATCAATTTTGCCTTAGATCTGGAGTCAGTTTCCGACCGAGTTTGAATTTAATGAATACTATCTTCGTTTCCTTGCTTATCATCATTTATCCAATCGTTTCAAAAATTTCATGTTGGATTGTGACTGCGAACGTAAAAAGGATCGCAACTGGTATGTGGATACCACCCGTGATCCTCTCGCCGAAGAGATCAGCGGTAAGTTGAATAAATATTCTATCGAAAATGTCATTCTCCTTCTCTTAGGCTTATATCGATGTAATACAATCAATATTTGGGATTATGTCAGTAAAATTAATCGAGAATGCTCAAGATTTTATAATTTTCTATATTCGCCAAACGCTGAAAGTTGTGTTCTTCGTCCATCGTACAAAATGTATTCGTTGGACATATGGGATTTTTATCTTAGTGAAACATTGGAGACAGGCTGTCCATACGATCTCGATATAGCCTTAGCGGAACATGATGAACACTTGAATGATGCGGAACTGCGACAACGTAGTAAATGCCTATCCGCTGTGTATGATGATATCAGTATTTGTTTACCAGACTTCTTCAATGAAATTGTTTCGGTACGACAAAACAAAGCAGTGAACAGCTCGAGAAAAAACATCTTTTGTTTTTATAGGAAATGTCGAATACATTAGCACATACGAATGGAGATTCATGGAAAACCTACTGGGATAAAATCGAAAAGCCTGAACGCGAAAAAGTACAGGTATGTAGACGCGAATAAAAGTCATTTCAATTAGTGGAGAACATATTTCTTTTTCAGCGTCTATCCATGCAAGATGAAGCTTACAAACGAATGAATTCTACACCACATTATCTTCAACCACAACGTTCGCTTTCTTCATCGATTTCATCATCGCGTACATCATCTATGTATGGCTCGCACACATATGAACTAACACAATTCTCATCGCCACAAATATGCGATACTTGTGACGAGATTATTGATTCGAAGAAGTCGACTTTAGGTTTGTTTTTGCTTCTATGAAAGTTTTCTTTTCGAAATCTCTTCTTTAAAAGACGGAATACGAGCATTACAATGCCGTGAGTGCTCAAACGTTTGCCACGAGAAATGCCGATCGATCGCCTCATGTCGACCATGTCGACGAATCGGTACAAGCGGCCCATCTGATTCCCAAATTGTTGTTAACTCAACTCGTTTTGAAACAGGCAGTGTTACAGGTAATTTCTTGGATGTTATTCTTACGACTGTTATTGTTTTTTTGTTACCAAAATCATTTCCAGATATTACAGATGTTCTACTGGAGAGAGCGGGTAAACTATCGCTATACCTCGTATTTATACATACTCTAATAAGAAATAGAATCTAATTCTCTACACGTAGAATCCCTAGATCTCTTCTTGATTACCAGCTCATTGTGACTTGTGACAAGATTCATTCTTGAATGTGTGTTTAGGTGTCTACGATCATCATGGTTTATCACACTCGTTTACGTCATCGGGTGTCACGGGAAATAATTCAGGTCCCCAGCATCGAACGCATGAGGGTTATTTACGAAAACGAGGTCATCTATTAAAACAATGGAAAGAACGTTGGTTTGTTCTGGATTCTGTACGACATGAGGTAAATATTGAAATAGACACGAACTGATTATCATCAATACGGTTTTATTTAGCTTCGGTATTATGATAGCAGCGATGATCAAACTGCCAAAGGTGTTATTCTTCTAGCTGACGCGGTTGAAATACTTCCTTATACAGGTCCATTTCCTAATGCATTGAGACGATTCGATAGTCGAGCAGCTTTCGAGGTAAACTCACATTGCTTGTTGATGTGAATGGTAATGGAACAGTTTTTCTTTATATTTCAGTTACATACGAATCGTCGCATCTATAATTTTATTGCTGCTACTCCTCAAGATGCTCAAACATGGACCGACAAAATCAAATCATGTCTTCTGGATTCTTAGGAACGAAATGGAATCTCATCAGTATTACGGTCATTTTTGTGTGCAATATTCTTTTTCTTTTCACTTTGCATGAAACGAAAAATTTCATATCTATTTTTTTTCTCCTTATTTCTTCATTTCTCATTAAGTATTTGTTAGTCTAGGCAGATCATCATTTTTATTCTCGAGAACAACGATCGAAGAGCAATTTTGTGTATATACATATATACGTTCGAGTGCGTGTGTGTTTGCTTGTGTGGTTTTTTTCTGTTGTTCTCTCGAAAGAATGTCATTTATTTATAACTGTGTGCGCGTGTGTGTCGAGTGAAAAACATTGAAAAAATTTTTTCAACTGCTTATGAACAAATAAGAACTTATCCTTATCACAGCAAATACTAGGCTTTATTGATTGTATGTAAACCGAATCAGTTCACAAAGATCAAATCGATATAAAACGAAATTAAACTTTAGTCAAAGAAAGAACGAATAATATTTGAACATCAATCCCTGGATATCATGTCTGCACATGCTCCTCCATCCTTCACTTCACATTCAGTTACATCTTTTCCACTTTACATTCGACACGTTTCGTCTCCCTCTTTCACAACATGTTACGCTACAATTTCCTTGCACTTCAGCTCACTGCACTCACTCTTGCCATCATCGCCATCACAACGAGGTAGGTTCCTTCTTCATCAATCACATCTCCATCTTTCTCCACGCTAGTTCATGGGAAAAAGTCATTCTCAAAGATGACGATGCTCTTCAAACTATCTATCATTCACCACTCTTGACTACACTTACCACGCCTATTCCACCTCCGTCCACTCATCCTCACAATGTCACTGGCTATATTCTGACCATCAACTCAGGATTGATGGATATTTGTGCACATCTGCAACATCCCACCCATACCCTCTACCAACCACCGCAACGATGCAAACAAACTGTGGCACGACCTTCCATCGGTACTCATTCATCTACTCTACACTCGCAAACACGATTGATTTGACTTTGTGTTAGGTCTAGCCATCATCGGAGTGATCTTCGTCGTCATTGGCATTGCTTGTACTGGTATGTTCACTTTGATTCGTCGTTGACTTGTAGTGAAAGTATCTTTTTTGTAGGATTCGCCGACGAAGAGGTGTATGGCGATCGACATATTCGTTGGTTATGCTACGGCTCGGCACTAAGTGCTGCTCTGGGTGGTCTCCTATTGTTCACGTGTCATTGGACATATTCGCTGAGTTCTGAACTACAACTACCGACGGTGTTTGTTCGATATGGATATTCGACATATTTGGTAGTGACATCAGCCGTGTTGAGTTTACTTTCGATGGGTCTTGTATTGTGGAGAATCGTGAGTATAGCTGACGGAACGATGATGGAGACTGATGAATGTCTATGTTGTTAGTATCTTTGTAGGGATCGTTACAATCATCATCATCATCGTCGTCGTCGTGGGCGAATGAGAAGTGCTAGACAAGGACGACGATAGCAAAGTGTCTTTCGATGACGTGAATGAAAATCTATCGAGTATGATATTGATTGTAATGGATATTTTCGATATTTTTGAATAGATATTTCTTATTTTTAATCCGGAAAAATGAACTTGAACATTGTTATATTAGTTTATTAAAAGTAAATAAAAAAATACTGTATCAAAGAAAACTAGATCACTAACAATATTGTATATTGAGAGTGTATGTTTCTGGCAGAGAAGATTTGATCAATTTATATCAGTATTCAATGCACTTTGGAAGAAATAATGGTAGACAAATACTTATAGAAGAGATAGAATATTGAGATAAGAAAGACGTATTTGAGACTGAAATAAATAATTTTGAACACATGCTTATTTTCTTTGAGATAATGAATGAAAGGATGCAAGCCTTCTTTCGTATTGGTTTCAAAGGGATCATAATTGTTACCAAAATACCATCGCATGACGCAATAGTACATACGAATTGGTGTGAAGAAACGTTGAAGAGTGTCTGGCGATACTCCATAGCTAAATAGATAAAGAAAACATATCAGCATGTTAGAATCTTTCTGTTTGACTAAGAAATCAATCTGATGAACTTTTCCACTCTATCGAAGAAACTATACCTGTCAGAAAAAACAGATGTTGATATATTATTGACATATAAATATCCACTCAAAGTTAATGGTGAGTAGTAACCCAGACGAGAAGTTGTGGTGATGTTTCTGATTGCTACTCTTCGATTGAACAGAATCAGGTGATGTTCGCTCGTTACTTTCGATGCACGTAGATATCTGATTTGATCCATTTCTGCATCATAAACTGGAATATTATGAGTTGCTGTCAAACTAATAACGCTATCATCGACGGTTTCCATTGTATAGAAAGTTTCTAGATTAGTACAAAGAAGAAGCTAGATGGCATTCACTTATCTGACTGATGTACAAACCTGTTTTGTTCGGTTCATTATGCATCATTAACACAATTTCGTCTTCAATGAACGAGTTTCCATCTGTACTAAGCGACCAAACTCGATCTCCCACTTCTAGATTTTCTATGTAGCGTTGTCCGCCATCGACAAGATTGACTCTATCCTTACCAAAATAACAACCATTGTCCTCTGAAATAAGAGGGTAGAATGTTTTCTAAGATGTTCACTGCAACAGTATGATCATACCAACTCGTTTTCGGCATTCTGGTCCACTCCATTCTCGTGGACAATAGCATTTTTCTGGGCTAACACAATAGCCACCATTGTCACAGCCTCGAGAACAGATAGCTAGAACATTAAGGTCAACCATTATACAAAAATACTGTTGCCGTGAAAAGCATTACGTACGCGTTGTACAATCTACTCCATTCCATCCTGTTACGCATATACACGTCCTAGAAGATGAACACGTGCCACCGTTGGAACATACAGGGGTGCACATAGCTGCAATATCAAAAAATAAAAGTATGTTTTGGATTTTCTACATAAAACCATGCATACGTGTTTGACAGTTTGAACCTGTCCATCCAGGCGTACAAGAACAAACATTCGGAGTTTGACAGACGCCTCCATTCAGACATGAACTGGAGCAAATAGCTAAACCAATAGACACATTTGCATCGATGTATTACATACACGTATTACTTACCTGTTTCACAAGTAGATCCAGACCATCCCGCTGAACAAGTACAAATCCCGGGAGAAGAACACACGCCACCATTTAAACATTGGGAAGTACAAACAGCTGAAGTTAGATCCAAAGTGATTTGGTATTCATGTAAAAAGATCACTTACGAGACTGACAATTTGATCCGCTCCAACTATTTGTGCATTGACATGTACCCGGGCTAACGCATACGCCATTATTTAAACACTCCGGTAGGCAAATCGCTATATTATTAAAATATCATTCGCCTGCAGTTCAGATAGTCATATGGCTTTTTTATCTATACCTGTGGTGCAGTTTGATCCTGTCCAACCGGATGCACATGTACATACTCCTGGTAATCCGCACGTGGCATTGTTGAAACAACCTTGAGAGCAGATAGCTGAAAAGAAGCAGAAACTAGGACTACTTCTGATCTCTCTTCAGCAAGTTTAGAGGGCTAAATTTCTATTACAACTGAGCAGCTACGTACGAGTTTTACAATCAGATCCTTGCCATCCTGTTGTGCATGAACAAATGCCAGGACTCGAACAAACACCATTGGAGCATGGTGTTGAGCATATCGCTAGAACGAATAAAATTACGTCATGTTCAAATACGCACAATAACACTTTCAAGATACTGAACATACGTGTTCCACAATCTGAGCCTGTCCAACCGAATGAGCAGTTGCAAAGGCCAGGACTTGCGCATGTGCCATTGTTTTGACATTGAGGCAAGCAGATAGCTAAGTAACAGAAAGGCACATTTCAAGCGAGTGTTCTGAATTCCAGAGCTTTGCAATTAAATTACGTACCGACCGAGCAATCGGATGCAGACCATCCTGCCATGCAAGAGCATTTATTGGGTGCTATGCATGTGCCATTGTTTTTACATTGTGTAGAACAGACAGCTTAATGCAAAATAACAATAAGTATACTCAAGTAAAAGCTTTCACTTACGATTTTCACAAGTTGGACCATTCCATCCCGTTGCACAAGTGCAGATATTCGGTGAAGAACAAGTGCCATTGTTCAGGCAAACTTTTGAGCACACAGCTAAATTACAATAGTTGTTTGAAAACGACAAGATTCTTAAGTATGTTGCTCACGAATCGCACAAGTTGAACCGTCCCATCCCGATATACAAGTGCAAGTGTTGGGTGAAGAACAGGTACCATTATTCAAGCATGGCTTCGAACAGACAGCTATAATATAAACAAATACAAATAAATGTACTATGATAAGCTGTGTCTGCCATGTGAGATGGCTACATACGAGTTATACATTGGGATCCTTGCCATCCCGCTGCACACGAACAAACTCCAGGTTTTGAGCAGACACCATTTGAACATGGGATGGAACATATTGCTAGAGTGAAGAAAAGAATATTGCAAGCGTCTACAGTTCACACCAGCGGATAAAATATTGCACACGTACGTGTTGTACAATCTGAGTCTGTCCAATCTACTGTACAATTGCACACACCAGGGCCTGTACATGTACCATTGTTTTGGCATTGAGGCAAGCAAACCGCTAAACATGATGAAAGTAGTAAATAATACCGTTTAAATCGTATATTTGTTGCTTTCATTTGTTTGAGATAAATACGTACGAGCTGAACAGTCTGAGCCACTCCACCCTGTTGTACAAGAACATTTATTGGGTCCTATGCACGTGCCATTGTTTTTACATTGTGTAGAACAGATAGCTTAATGCAAAATGACAATGAGTATACTCAAACAAAAGCTTTCACTTACGATTTTCACAAGTTGGACCATCCCATCCCGTTGCACAAGTGCAAGTGTTGGGTGAAGAACAAGTGCCATTGTTCAGGCAAGCTTTTGAGCACACAGCTAAATTATAATAGTTGTTTGAAAACGACAAGATTCTTAAGTATGATTGCTCACGAATCGCACAAGTTGAACCGTCCCATTCCGATATACAAGTGCAAGTGTTGGGTGAAGAACAGGTGCCATTATTCAGGCATGATTTCGAGCAGACGGCTACAACAGAAAGAATAGAATTGAAATTTGCTGAAGCCCCACACATACGTATTGTACAATCTGAACCATTCCAACCAGTTCGACACAAGCATGTTCCGTCAGATGAACATGTACCGCCATTTGAACAAGCTGGCCAACATGCCGCTAAAATTGTAAAGCAGCAGTAAATCTCTACATGCTATGAGTTTATTGAAACAGAGTGAACTACCTGTAGAGAGCGATTCGATGAAACAGAAACTCAGCTCCATTCGTGGCATTTGACCGTTGGCAAACATGATCTCAAAACTTAGCTTAGCGTGCAAACTATTAAACAGATTTCGAATTTTGTTATCATGTGCTTTTCGACAGTCGGTGTCAACACAATCGCCTGGGTAATTCACTGATATTGTCAAAACCAACAGATCACCTGTTGTGCCAGGATCTTTCTGACATTGAATTGTCTCCGATCTAGAATACGAGTATCGAGCTTGTTTGGATTATCGTTAAACGTCGAAAGCATATACATACAGTACTTGTCGTTTTCTAGGAGCAGTGTCGATCGGTGCTGGAATCAACTTAGCATTCACAACAATAATACCGGTGAGATCGGTTAATTTCATTAACTAAACAAAGCTACCAATGAGAGATTTTGTAGAGTACTCAAATGTGATATACATTATTCGCTATGCTGGCCAAATCGGAAGCATTCGTAGCTTGTCCGAGCTTTGTATTGGTCCCATAGATAAGCACATATGACACCGAAACTATCAATTAATATTAACAAAGAAGCAAGAATAAAACAAAGGATATCTATACTTATGTGAACATTTGTCACGTGCTGTTGTCTATTTGGAAGATATATTAGCATAAAAACGAAGAAGACAAGTAGCGCTACTAGACCAAGGGTAACCAATGGACAGCATACAGATACTTTTACTCGGTAGCTATGCATTGCATTCCACCATTTTCTAAGAAAAAATAATTATTTGAAGAATCAGCTTATTTTTCAGGGATATCTCTTTGAAAATATATTAAATAGCTTACCGAAAAAATGGTTGCTCATTACCATTGTTATTAGTTTCGATTTCAAGAAGATTCGACGTCGATATTGACTGCATGTATAATATCTGAAATGCTGTGTAAAACGTAGTATCATTAAATACTCATACTTTACATATGACGATTATGTTTCGATGAATCTGAATAACAGAAAGATGCGAAAACCCATGACTTTTTAATTTGCGAACTAGGCAGAGGAAAGTATGAATAAAAAGTACATAATAACGACATTCCATAGGTAGCTTTATCTCAGTGATTATTCATCCAGAACATGCCGTCGGGCAAGAAATATATCATTGACCATGATCGTACTAACATGTGACGACAATCAACAAATAAAAAAAAACAAACATCATATGAAACTTCGTATATTATGCAAAAACATTGATTAGAAACATGCATATTAGTCACCGAGCAAAAGTACGAGAAAAAACGAGAAAAAGTAGAGACAGGTCGTGGTGACAATAGACACAACATTCAGTTTTAAGTTTTAGATCATATTTCACACAATTACTAATTCTTTCTCAATGTATATAGCAAGAAAAACAACTTGTTCATTATGTTTTATTGCTGAAGATGATTATTTGGATTTCTTTACTCCAGTATACAGCGAATTGTTCGTAGTTGGATAAAGAACGAATAATATTTGAACATCAATCCCTGGATATCATGTCTGCACATGTTCCTCTATCCTTCACTTCACATTCAGTTACATCTTTTCCACTTTACATTCGACACGTTTCGTCTCCCTCTTTCACAACATGTTACGCTACAATTTCCTTGCACTTCAGCTCACTGCACTCACTCTTGCCATCATCGCCATCACAACGAGGTAGGTTCCTTCTTCATCAATCACATCTCCATCTTTCTCCACGCTAGTTCATGGGAAAAAGTCATTCTCAAAGATGACGATGCTCTTCAAACTATCTATCATTCACCGCTCTTGACTACACTTACCACGCCTATTCCACCTCCGTCCACTCATCCTCACAATGTCACTGGCTATATTCTGACCATCAACTCAGGATTGATGGACATTTGTGCACATCTGCAACATCCCACCCATACCCTCTACCAACCGCCACAACGATGCAAACAAACTGTGGCACGACCTTCCATCGGTACTCATTCATCTACTTTACACGCGCAAACACGATTGATTTGACTTTGTGTTAGGTCTAGCCATCATCGGAGTGATCTTCGTCGTCATTGGCATTGCTTGTACTGGTATGTTCACTTTGATTCGTCGTTGACTTGTAGCGAAAGTATCTGTTTTTGTAGGATTCGCCGATGAAGAGGTGTATGGCGATCGACATATTCGTTGGTTATGCTACGGCTCGGCACTAAGTGCTGCTCTGGGTGGTCTTCTATTGTTCACGTGTCATTGGACATATTCGCTGAGTTCTGAACTACAACTACCGACGGCGTTTGTTCGATATGGATATTCGACATATTTGATAGTGACATCAGCCGTGTTGAGTTTACTTTCGATGGGTCTTGTATTGTGGAGAATCGTGAGTATAGCTGATGGAAAGATGATGGAGACTGATGAATGTCTATGTTGTTAGTATCTTTGTAGGGATCGTTACAATCATCATCATCATCGTCGTCGTCGTGGGCGAATGAGAAGTGCTAGACAAGGACGACGATAGCAAAGTGTCTTTCGATGACGTGAATGAAAATCTATCGAGTATGATATTGATTGTAATGGATATTTTCGATATTTTTGAGTGCTTAGTTTTGTAATATTAATCTGGGAGGATAAAATAAAATACGATATTGATTGCATGAATGGACTGGATATTTTCCCAAGAAACTAAACTAAAAGAACCGTTTTTGTTCTAGTGACTAGTTTCTTTTAAATGTTGGAATGATGATTTAGCTTGACTAGAAGAGCTTCTCACGTACATCCTGTTTCTCACAGATTCAATGTTGCGTCCAATTCTGCATTCGAGAGATAGAGATAATAAACATATTTTAGCATTAACATTTTGATCTTCCATAAAATATTCCATATATCGTTCAATCCACTCGACCTCCGTGTATGTAGAATGATCTATAACTTTACTGAAACACAGCACGGTGATTAACAAAGAAAAACGCAGCCTCATGATTTAATGGCAAAAATGATTCTTGTAATCCATATAATTTCGTCATTACAAATAAAATAAATGTGATCGCTTGGTATTTTAATTCTTCTTTCAATAATAAAATTACGTTCTTTGTAATCAATTGCATATTAGAGTTTCTTATCAGTATCGAATTACTGGCATTATATTATCACTATATATAATGGAATTTGAATCTTTGATCGGAATGTTTTTACATTAACTTCGTTCTCAAAATATGATATTCAACTAAAAATGTCACCTCAACTCTCTATCTTCCTTATCTTCACCCTCTTGAAATACTCGACCGGTGCTCCGGTGGCTGAGGAATGCACAAATAATCCCACAGTTTGTGCTCCCAACGGTTATTGCTTCCAAAACTCAGGGAACTATTCTGGCTGTCAGAAAACATGTCCATACAATTGGGGATGCAGTCATGGAAGTAAGAAAAGCAAAAGAATAGTACGAAATGCAATTTAATTGTCTTTATTAGATGTTTTATGTAGTATTCCAGTTGAACAGATGGTTAAAGATGTTGCCGCATTCAAACACAATGATGTAGCCAGTGGTTTTGCAATCAATCAATTGTGCATCGCAAAACATGGCTGTGAAAATAAAAAGTCGTTAGACAATCCATCGTGGTTCGACAACATTCTTGTTGCCTTCATCGCGCCGTATGTGGAAAGAAACGGCAATTGGAATGCTGTTATTGAACACTGTCACTCAACATTAGCAAAGATTCCTGTTTTGGGTAAATACTTTTGTCAACAAACGATGGCGAACTACCACATATCTGTCGATTTGAAGAATGCTGTGATTAACAATGGATGTGGAACACAACACGATTGGAACGCTGTGGGAAATATCATTGTTAATTGTGTGAAAGAAGCTCAGATTGGTATTCCATTTGGCGAAAGTTATGCTATATCGGAAGTTTTTCAGCAACGTAATTTAGTGCGAGAGAATTGTATTAAAATGCGAAGAGAAAAAGGGCTACAAGTTGAATTTTGAGTCATTTTTCTCTTAATGACTTCGGCAAAACTTGAACTATTGAAAATAAACTAAACCATAGAGATTTTTATTATAAATTCTTAACAAGGTAAGATATAGACAAGTTTTTTGAATAGTTATACGGAAATCATAGACAATTTAGCGAATATTTAAAAAAAAGCGTCTCTTTTAATCACATCGAGTCAAGGCAAGATAATATTATAATTTCCGATCAATGTTGCCGTACAGGAAGATCCTGTGGCAAGTTGACAAATCTCATCTGCTGTTAATTCGCGAGAAAAGATCTTCAATTCATCAATCTTTCCTTGATATTGATCAGATGGAGCCGCGTTGTCTTCGCTATTACTGCATGTCGTTGATAAATCGCAGATCCCTAGAGTGATCGAATACATCTGACCACTAGCTGCATAATCTGTGTATTTCAGATTTGTACTCTTCAGTTCGCCATTGATATAGAGACGAATGCCATTATTGGACGAATAAGTCATACTAATATGCACCCATGTATTTAACAGATCATTCTTGAAGGGGGTTGAAGCGATGTAAGTTCCTTGGACGTTCAAGGACTGAGCAACTAAGTAGCCGGAATCAAAACTGATCATCGGCACGCACCAATCTTCTAGAGAGCTGACCTAAATCAAGAGATAGTATACGCATGTTGATTGTCTCCCTGAATACTACCTGAAGAATAAGGCCAGCGGCTGCATAAGGAAAAATCCACAATGAAAATGAAAAGCTATAGTTCGTTTGTCCCAAATAATAAAAACCCTTCGTTCGAAAACATGCTGTAGATGAACCATTCATTAGTAATGATTGATTTATTTTACCGTCGGAATCAAATTTTGTCGACTGACTATAGACATTGTGAATGTTATTTGGACCCATATCATTATATGAACCATCGAATGGATAATAGGCAACGAGGGTTGCCTCATCAAGAAGTTCGCTCGCAGTCATCAGACGTGATACAAATGTTAATTTATCGACACGGCCATTACGAAATGTGTAGAAAGCGTCTTGAGGTGTGGAACCAAACAGTATCGGTGGGGTATCCTCAGAATATGACCCCACAGTTTCTCTGCTGCCTTCAAACACTCCATTCAAATAAATCACTTGTTTTGAGTTAGATCGATCATATTGAAAAGCAACATGGTACCATTGATTGACTTCTAGTGAGTTGTTGCCACTTAAATCATCGGAAAAAAAACCCATGGTAACAAAACCATTTCTCAATGACAAATATAAACACCGGTCTGGAGCGGGTTGGGCGCAATGCAAAAATATCAAAAAATAAATTTCTATGTCACTTGACGTGTTGTAAGCATCGGTGATCCAAATCCATGCAGTAACTGTAAAACTTGTTGTTGTTAAATCGAGATTCCTACTCACAATTCCATATGAATTCGAAAATTTCACAGCACTGCCATGTCCAGCGTAACCAGGTGATGACCACAATTGAGCCTTATCAGCGTCTGTAGCGTTCTCTTTCCATTCCACAAGACCATTATATAGTCCATATACATCGTTCAGATCTCCATCGAATAGCCACTGAATAATATCTGGCGGATTAGGTGGCTCTTTTCCTACAAAAAACTCTAGAAAGCCCAAAACAGTGAACTTTTTTCACATACCAGTCTGCGTTGTTGTCATATTCAGAAAGGTAAATGTCACTGCTGGAGTGTCAATCATTATTGTTAATTGTCCTTGCGAAAGATTTGCATTATACAAGTCACACTGTTGCTGAGTAGAAAAATAATTGCCAGTAATACACTGACTATTACTATAACACTGACATTCACATATATTCAACGATATTATTGGCGATAGACTGTTCAGTGCACTAGTAGCTATGTTTGGAATAAATATAGCATTGGAATAAACTTGCATAGGCATGGCTTGTATGGATTCGAGAGTGACTAGAAGGGCAACAGCTAGTTCGAAAAACATTTTACAAATGAACGATGCATTTGCTTTTTTTGAAGTCATTTCTTTGTTTTTAATCAATGAAATTTATTGCATGAGCAGATGTTCAACATTAGTAGACGCCTCAAATACTAATAAAGAATATGATTACGATGTGCTTTCTTTTTTATACTTTCAGTGAAAAACATTTTGTCTAAGAAAAAAACGTTTTGCTTAATGACAGTAGAAGTATGCCTTGAAAATAACTGCACACAAACGCATGATTGCTCGAGAGTTCAAATGAGTACTTCCCTTAAAAAGACTTTTATATAACCTTCGAGAAACTGGCCATCCATTGATTGCTAAACGAAACTGTAGTCTGCCTATAAACACTTTTGAAATATTCTCTTCAGTCTTTGCATAATATACATAGACAGTCTACGAATAGTTACACACGACTAAACAAACCAAACATTCATAAGTTGATATCCGTGGCTGATTTTATAGATTTGAAACCGATGTGAAATTACGAATCCTATCCGTTTGACCGTTATTCAGCTAGTCGTAATTGATAAGACCCATATACGACTATACGTGAGCATATATAGGGGTTCTTGAGCTGAAGTTTATCAAACAATCTCCATCGTTTTTTGTTTTATTTTGCTATATGTAAATAACGACCATAGAAAACGAAAAACAAAAGCTGATCTACTAGAAAAAGAATTGCTTATAATACGGAGGTTTGCCGCTGGGTGGTAAATCTTCCTTTCGGCGTTTCATTTTTTCATTCAGTGGAACATAATCTACTAGATCATATTTCCAATTTTCCGCGAGATATTTGTACGGTGGCCAGTCGCGTACATCGCTCATTTCGTCATCACGTAATTTCTTATCCAAATGTAAAGACCGACGTGGTTCCATTCGATCCCAATGGTAATGTTGACGAGCTAATTCGAAATACTCGTGTTCACCCGGTGCTCGAACATCTTCGAAATTTTCATCAGCAAATTCTTTTTCATGCGAATGCATGACAATACGTGATTCATTCTCGAAGAAGTTCAGCAATTCATCACGTTCTTCTAGCAAACGAAGACGTTCCATCAGGTTCGCTTTTTTTTCATCGATAACGAAACGATGAATTTGATCATCAAGTTGCTCTTGTCGTTCGCGTGTCCAAATGGCTATCTGTTGTTCGTGTTTCGGTGTATCACGTTTATCGGCAAGAGCTGCTTGTTCGATTAGATTTGTTTCCACGAATTGTTTGAGATCCATTGTAACGATCTTCTTCTGTTCGCGAAGTTTCGGTAGCAATTTCTCCTAAAGGACAAACGAATAGTATCGTTCGTTTTTCTCGTTAATATTTACTTTGATTATAACGCGAGCAGCTTCGGGAATAAGTTCTAATCGTCGATATGGACTTTGTGGTAGATTTTCCTTAAATTCAGCTGGATTGTAAACATATTCATCCAATTCTTTCTCTAGAATTTTGATCTAGCGAAATACGAAATAGTCCATCGAATTCTTCCAACAATCGTTCCTTACAATTCCTTCATCTACTTGTAATTTGTCATTGTCTAACACAGTTTGAAGTACGTCACAAACACGTCCGAATTTTTTGTAAAGAGTATAACCTAGAATCTAAAACAATCCTCGAGTACTTCTTCTCTTCTTGTTTAGAAATGCTCAATCTTACTTGCAAAGAAACCACATGACTGTTATTTGCATCTCGACTAAAATATGCCAATGTTTTCCCTAGTAATTTCCGTTTGTCGGTCAGATCGAAATGATCATCATTGGTAATATTTCGAACGAATTGAACTTTTACTTTAACAATATCTTCGTCTTCTTCTTCGACGACATCACTCTTGAAATCTTCTTCCGTCGCGAACAGATAATAATTATAACAAGCGTTCAGAGCGAGCGCACGGGTTAATTGATCATCGTCTTGGTCTTGTAACATCAAATCAGCACAGATCTGTGCGGCATCTGAAAAGAAAAAGTCTCGTTCGAAAGCACTCGAAGTAGCTGTTTTACCTTTGTACTTCTTTTCTAATAAGAAGGCATTGAGCAGAAGATTAGCAGAGAATCGATCTAAGAATATACCGTATTTAACCTTAAATAATAAAGATTTCATATTGGTATTCATTGTCAGTTTTGTAATACGAACTTTATCTCCTAAAATTGGTAATAAACGTTCTTTTTGTCCAAGATCGAGATAATTTCGAACCAGTGAATATGCTAATGATGGTTGAAAGTCCAATGCTTCGGGTGTATGGCGAAATCTAAACGAACAGAGACGATCAACAAAACTCTGCCATCAAAGTACATTGAATGTACTTTTCTAGAATTCCTTCGGCTAATTTGAGATCTTCTGTTGTTTCGACATGAGTTAATTTCGCAGCAAGCTAAACAAAATGAAATGCATGGCTTGTCGCGTTGATCGTCCGGTACTTACAATTTCAATATCCAATGAGCTGATATGTTTCTTTCGAATTAATTTATCTTCCACATCGATCAAAAGTTCACCTAGGAAGGAAAAAAGCAATTGTTTCTATCGAATTCGAACTGACGATCATTTTCGACATACTGATATTAGTTTTTTTCAGAATGTCAGTTGCCAACGCTTCATCCCATTTATCGAATGCTTGATAAGCATCGGAAAGATACGTTCGAGTACCTTGACAAAGAAGTAATAAAGAGATATCGAATGTAATATTGAAATCTCACTTGAACATAGAAACGGTCTTTTAAGAACATGATGTGACGCGCGAAATGCGTGTTGAACTAATCGGAACATCATCTATCTATTATCAAAGATCATCTGAAGCAAAGCGAAGAAAAAGTGAATCATTTATTGTAAAATGCGAGTCAGTTTCTCATTTTGGTCGTGTAATTTCAAAACTTTCCCCAACAATTCAAGCGATAATTTCTCGGCTTTCGACTGTGTTTTCTCATCTAATGTAATCATTTTTGTTTCTTCATCAATTGATCCCTAAAACAAACATTAGAATTCAATATGCAATGCAGAACTCTCACGTACCATTAATTCTCGACAAAAAATTAATTTTCCGACGATGCAAGACACTTTTTCGACGGATATGTCAAACATATCGGCTAATATTGACATCGAAATATCATTGAAAGCCGTTGCACAAGTTCTCAAATAACATTGCAACGAAACTTCTTTGATTCTATCTCTCAACATCGAATACACATCTGTATTCTGTAGTATTGACTTCCAAACCTAAGCAAATTAAGTATTCATCATGTATTCAACGGAAATGATACTTACTTGTCGATTCATCTTCTCATTTACTATCAAATCGATACAACATTTCCAATCACCTACTTTCAATGCATGACAAGCCGCAACAATGTGTTCACGCATGGATTCCGGCGGTCCCCACACAGTTTGAGACATTAACTTATAAAAATGTTTACTAACTCGATGTCTTTCGGTCGATGCAGCTTCAATCAACATTGCTGATACGCAATAAACACATTCGATCAATTGTAAATTGATGTGCATGTGATACGGATACAAATATATTTGATGATTATTATCTTGTCCCAAGAGTTCTCGTAAACGACGTCCACATTGGAAATCAGCTAATATTTTATGTGCCTCAGGTATCTGGCCACAACGAAAAGCAGCTAAACCGAGTTGAATCATCGTTCGATTGTATAAAATTTGAATGGAGATATCCAATGAATCAATAGTATCTTGTAAACGACTCATTAACATAAGATCATGTGCTTGATGGTAGTGATCATGCAATGCAAGATGATAAATTTGACAAAGAATTGCTTGATTCGAGTAGAACTTTGTTTCATCGTGCGTTTTGATAAATTTGCAGAGTTGATCGATTGATAAAATTGTTGATTGCTCGGAGCTTTTGTCATACTTATAGTAAATATGTTTAACGATACGAAAGTAAATGACACAGCGATTTTCCGAATGGTTCTCATTATTCAATTCTAAATATGTTTGAAATCGATCGAGAATGGAACTAATACGTTGTTCGTCCATGAAACGTTCACGATATTCTTGGGTGCCAACGTTCGCATCGCGTAGAATTTGCGTATATGTATCATCCATTTGAATCATGATTGGCATAAGAATGTCACCGTTCGATTTATTATTTTCAAATAAATGATTTAGTAGTTCATCGATTCGATCCAATGTACTGAAACAGAAGAATGAAAATGAATGAGAATAGTGTATAAGGTAATACTCTACCATTTCCATACGTCAGTTCCAGAAGATTCGTTTCGTTGACGCTGAGAATCTAATCCGAATGTAATTTCTGCCATTGAAATTTCGATAAGAATATCAGAATCTAAATTTTGTTTAATAACAAGTTCCCGAAGTTGCTCTAAGTTTTGAAATTCATCTTGATAATTCATGATACTCTTGCCACGTTTGAAAAGAATTTCATTCAATTTCTTCAGAACAAATTCAACATTGACTTCTTCAGCCTTCGGCTCATCGTTGACCTTTTGGTCATCAGGTACTTCGTGTTTTTTCAATGATTTCTTGATAGGAACTATTGCTTCTTCTTTAATTGTCATACTTTTACTAAGATAGAAAGTTTACAGTTGATAAAAGCATCAATTGATAATACATACACTAAGAATTGCTCGATCGATGGATTCCCTGATGATTTCTTCTGGTCCTTTTTGGATCTACAGAATCTGAATAGAATACGAACGGTTCAAAAGTCTATATTACCTGTTTCTTTCGTTACTACTACCAATACCGCTCGCATACTGATTCGCAAATCTACAAACAAGGATCTCATATTTTAAAGAATCGCCTTTTTAATTTTGTGATACGCACGCGTTGGACTCTTGAACATCATTTTGTGGCGCATCATCATCACTATCTTCACTCGTGGAAGAATTTTCACCTGCAAAAAAACGATTTCGAAACATGGTTAGATTATGTTAAGCATTCGTTTTCTCATACGTTCGTTTTTATATTCAAACCTTGCTAATTATGAAATCCAATGGCAAATAAATCGTCAGTATTGTTTTCCATAATTTTGCAAATCTTTGCATCGACTCATCACCGTTTTCGTAATTTTTCATTCATTCATAGGAGAACAATATGGACAAATCTCCTTTCAGAAACTTTTACTAGTATTATCAACACAGATCGATAGGTGTCAGTGTTGTTTGCCAACGAAATATCCGTTATTTTGATGATCAGGAATTTTCAATAATGAGTAGAATCGCATATTTTAAATTTTGCAGATTCACAGTGTCTTCACTAAGCTTTCCACTTCCGCTAAAATGTGATGACATCTACGCACCGCTTCAGTTTCATTGGCTACGAAAGTTCATCGAATGGAAATAGCTGGAAGGAAAGAGAAGAAACAGACAGATGCACTTAGCTTGATACTCTTAATGGTATCAATTGAAGAAACGTAGATGAGCACTAAATATAGCATGTTCTGTTTCTGTTCGTAATGCATAATTGCTACGCACCTGTCGAGCGTACTTTTATGCTTTTAGTTATTATCTAGCTAATCAAACTGAGAGATGTAGCTCTAATCTTCAAGCAAGATTGTCGTTCATGTGAGAATCGGTACGTCATCTATTTCGTTTTTTTTTGTTCTTTGTTAAATCCGAAATGTTCATTTATTGAAAGAAAATCTTGTTGAAATCATTAGTTACGAATGTGCGGGTGAGTGTTATCAAGATTTTCATTCGTATAATCTTCTACGCTAGAATCAGCGTTCTTTAAGTAGATTATCCATGTGCTCCTTTGTGTATGTGTAATCTTCAGACATCTCTGAACAGAATTGATGCATGCAATCCGATTAAATTAAATGGAATTAATTCGTAAGGATGTGTAATCGAATTGTATTCGTGAAATCTGACGCGTACAGTGCTTCTTTTCAATCACCATTGATTCGAAAAACATTCTGCTAGAAGCTTAGAACAATTACGATGATGAATGATCTTTTTCTTTTTATATTCCAAAGCTAAGATTTCTCTATAGACTTCGACTCTAATAATTGATAGTGTCCCATGTTGTGTACTAATCAAATATTTGCACCGTCGGAGGTTGAAAAGAACTATTTTTTCCTGAATAAGCTTTTTTTATTGATAAAAAAATATGATCCAGGAATCGTCTGTTGATAGTGGTTGAATACTAAGGTCGCGTATCTTACCTGTAACATATTTGTTAGCATAACACTTACGAGAGTAGATAAATATGTTGATAAGAGACTGGGAGAGCAGTTGTTTTGTAAAAATCATCGAAATTTTAGATGGAATCTTATGTGGATCCAAAGAAATGTTCAATGTGTCGTCAAAATCCAATAAAGTATACCTGTCCACGATGTTCGTTACGCACATGTTCGTTATCATGCTGTATTGAACATAAGAAAACACTGAATTGCAACGGTCAACGTGATAAAACATCGTTCAAATCGTTGAATACAATGACCGATCTGGATCTTTTGTCAGATTATCGTTTTCTCGAGGAAGTCAATCGTCAAGTTGAAACAAGCAAACGTGATGAACTGGCTAATCGAATGAAATCATTAAACGAATCGACACGTTTCCAGAAATTAATTCAAAGTAAATTAAAATCACTGTGGTCTATTCAGATTCTTTATCTGCCTCGATTCTCTACTCGACATAAACAAAATCAAATGTGGTTCGATAGAAAAGCCGATGACATTTTTTGGCATGTCGAATGTCGCGTCTTTCTGAACACGTTTCATACATGGACGATCACTCGTATGCCAACCAAAGACACAACATTAGCGAATCTGTTAGAGAAATTTCGTGAGGCGAATCAATCCGTATCTTCAAAAGTCAAAGACTTCTCGTCAGAAGAAAAAGTTTGTGTTTATATCGAGAATTTCGGCCAGAAACGAACACAATTTGGCAAATACGAAAAACGCTCATTCAATACAGTTATTGATCTCTTTCGTGAAAGAATCTTCATTGAATTTCCAATATTATACATATCGCTGTTAGAAGATGAAAATTCTATGCTCGAATCTTTGTCAAATAAGAAGACTTAATTCTGTGTTATTTCTTTCAGATCATGCGTATTTATGATGAGTTCAAATCATCATTCATCAGTATTTGCTTCTTAGCCTATATCTTCTTCGTTAGTGGATTAATTATCAATTTTTTACAATTATGTTCTTGCATTATATGGCCGTTTAACAAAGAATTATATAGAAAAATTAATTGCTATTTGGCATTGGGTATTTGGAGTCGTAAGTGGTATTGTCAATAGAGGAGGATGTGTTTGTTGATTTTCTCGTAGAATTTACATTTCTGGCACAATGGTGGTCGAAGAGTGATTGTGTGCTTTATATCGACCCAGCGGATATGGAACGAGTTCGTAAGGAACACGCTATTGTCATGTAAGTCCAATAGCTATCTAGATCAACAGGAAAGATCTGGATGGTTTAGAATGAATCATAAATACGACATTGATTGGCTTGCTGGTTGGATAATATGCCAACGTTTAGGAGTAATGCATGGCTCGAAAATAGTCGGTAAACAATCTCTTCGCTTAGTACCCATTGTCGGATGGTGTTGGATATTTACGGAGTCGATCTTCTTACGTCGAGTGTGGGAGAGTGATCGAGAAACATTAGTCAAAGATTTACGCAAAGTTTTAGCAAATTATCCGCAGAATTACTTTTTTAATGTAAGATTTCTCGAACTGAATGCTTCGTTATCTGTTCTCTTGTTGATAGTTTTTACTCTTTTGTGAAGGAACACGATTTACGGAGAAGAAACGCTTAGCAAGTATGAAAATCGCCCAAGAAAAGGGCTTACCAGAATTGAAGCATCATATCTTACCACGTACAAAAGGTTTCACACTTTTGCTGCAAGGTGCAGAAAACCGAAGTATGTCATTCTTCGTTAATATCAATTTGTTGTGTTCATCGATGCTTTGTTTAGTTACGGGCATCTATGATTTAAATGTTGGTTTCAAAAAGTCCGGTGCTGAGCCAACATTTCTTAGTATAATAAAAGGTCATGCATGCCAAGCGGAGATTTATGTTCGACGCACACCGATAGCTGATATTCCTACAGATACCGAAGGGTGCAGTGATTGGGTGCACAAATTATACCAGGAAAAAGATCAGATTTATGATTATTTCCTTCGTCATGATACATTCGAAGGAAATGGTTTAGTTCGCGTTGAGATTCCTCGAAATTATAAAGATCTACTGATTGAATTGGCCTGGATGGTCATTATCGGTATACCTTCGGTTATTTACCTATGCAAATTCCTTTGGACAAGCACATTTCTTGCCCAGTTCATCTTCGTCATCCTCGTCATACTCGGTAAGTGACGTTTCGACTCTGTTTGCTATTATTATGATCTCTCTTCCGTTTCTTAGCAACTATCGGCGTTCGAGCAATGATTGCGGTCACGGAAACTGAACGTGGTTCACATTATGGTGAAAATCAAAAAGACAAATGAGACATGATATTAATGATACAGTATTAACAATTTCATTTTTGGGAATGACATTGACAGTTTTGATTAGAAATATTTTTATCCAAGCTTATACGTATATTCGCTTTCCTTTTTTCAATCCATGAGAATGAGTTTGGATTAGTATCCGTCCGTTTCATAAATCTTGTCTTTCGACAATAAAATAATTACCATTCGGCAAGCACTAACTTCACTGTTTTGCTTTCTCTCGTAGAAATAAATCTGTGGCAAGCATCGATGAGACTTGATCGAAGTCTTCTCAGGACCATCCAATCATTATTACCCGTGCAAATTTTTATCGGTTATGTCTTTGTGATATCTGGCTTAATTGTAAATGCTGCTCAACTGCTTTCAGTCATTTTCATTTGGCCGTTTAGTAAGCAACTCTATCGTCGTGTGAACTATTATCTCGGAACATTACTATGGAGTCGTAAGTCACAAACGATAGTCTCTATCACACGAAAAAAAGCACCTTTTGTCTTCTAGAATTGACTTTTCTATATTCATGGTGGGCCGATTCCAGTGTGACTTTCTATGTTGATCCAAAGGATATTAAAGAATTGCCCAAAGAATATGCGATTATCCTTGTTAATCATCGCTTTGAAATCGATTGGTTAGTTGGGATGGTTGCTGCACAAAAGCTAGGTATACTTGGAGTAAGTGTCAGATTGAATTGAAAGGAGACGATGTGTTGAGTTTGACGAATTAGGGATTGAAAATAGTTGGAAAACGTTCGTTGAGTTTAATACCACTTCTTGGTTGGTCGTGGTTTTTTACGGAATCGATCTTCTTACGGCGTGTTTGGGAAACTGATAAGACAGTGTTGGAAAATGATATCCATCAACTTTTACATGGTTATCCTGATAATTATTATTTTAGCGTATGTGGTTTATCATTTCGATTGGAACGTCTTTTATCAGAAGATTCGTTTTTTGTAGTTTTTGATGGCTTGTGAAGGTACTCGATATACAGAGAGAAAACGTGAGGAGAGCATGAAATATGCGCGTGAGAAGAACCTACCTGAACTAAAATATCACATCTTACCACGTACACGAGGCTTCACTATGATCATGCAAGGTGCAAAAGGGAAAAGTAAGTTGACAAATGTGATTCTAAAGATAGAACTGACTGGAATACTTTCTAGTACCTGCCGTTTACGATTTCATGCTTGCATTTTCGAAAGATAGTGCTTTGCCAACATTTCGCACTTTGCTCAAGGGAGAATCGTGTAAAGCTCAGCTTTACATCAAGTAAGTTGCCGTTGTTCTAAAATTTGCCAACAAGAAATGCTTTGCAGGCGATACCCGATCGCAGGAATTCCATATGAAGATGAATCGAAATGCTCCGATTGGTTGCATCGTCTTTTCCAAGAAAAAGTATTTCGAAAATTGACTGGTCAAACCATTCCATCTTGAAATTTCTAGGATCGTGTTTATGAACATTTTGTTCAATATGATAACTTCGTCGGTCTCGGTGTTCCTCAAATACCTGTTGTTGGGAATTATTCTGATCTACTGATTCAATTATTTTGGCTTCTAATCATCGGTTTTCCGTCTTTAATCTGGTTTTTTCAGTTTATTTTCCATAGTACATTACTCGCGAAAATCATCTTCTCAATCATTATTCTTCTTGCTTATGTGACTCTACAATTAATGATAAACATGTCCGTCATTAAAAGTGATACAAAAACAAGCAAAACGAAATAGTTATGAATCGATACTCAACTGAAATTCTACTAACCGTCCTTTACTTCATCTCTTTTCCCACATCTATTTGTTAACAATGAAACAAGACGTTTCGTTTTCTTTTTGTGAATAGTATAACTACTTTTAGTTTTTAGTTTCGAACAAATTTTAACAATAATACCGTCTTCATTTTTAGATCAAACTTTGTTTTTTTTTCGTCTTCACGATGTTCTCGCCCGACGAAGATTTCGTCCAAGCAGGTGATACACCAGGTCCCTTCTATTTAATCATGATGTTCATCCTGACTCCACTTGTCGTCAGTCGACGTGTTAAACGAAGTGCAGCTTTTGTCAAACAAAAACTCGGCACTGGTGTTAAACGAACCATGTCGAAATCCATACGTAGTATATCATCAACAGCACGACGTGTGGCACGAATGAGAAACTTCGTTAAAAGACCCCGAAATCTTATGCGAAAACCCAAAGCGCCGTCGAAAATTTCGATTTATAAAATGTTACCATTGAAATTAATCTCGCGTATCATGGGCTGGGTGGCTCGACTTTATCTACCTGTCTGGTTACGGCCATTTATCTTTCGTTTTTATATTACAGTTTTTCATTGCCATGCTCATGAAATGTACAACGAAGATCTTAAATCTTATCGAACAATATCTGAATTTTTTCGTCGCAAAATTAAAATGGAGCTACGTCCGATCGACAAAGAATCTCCGATCGTCTCTCCTTGTGATGGCCGTGTTCTAACTTGCGGCAAAGTGTCTCGTGGTTTGATTGAACAGGTCAAAGGCATCACTTACACAGCATCTTCATTTCTTGGCGTACCATTAACGGCTGGTCTCTTAAAGTTACAACAACAGCAGAATCGAATGAAACAGAACGCTTCGGGTGATTATGATGATGCACACTCATACGCTGAAAGTTTACTCAAATATCGTGGACACGCACTTTACTATGCTGTAAGAATTTTTCATCAAAGCAACTTGTTTGGAAATAGATTATTTACTCTTTATATAGGTCATCTACCTTGCTCCGGGAGATTATCATCGATTTCATTCGCCGACCGAATGGTAAGATAGGCTTCGATGTAATTTGAACTCGATTACTGGTAGAAGAGTATATCCTCACTGTTCTACTTGCGCATTTTCTTTCGTAGTTCATATTTTCTCGCAACGATAAGCCAATTCCCAAAATATAAAGTTAACAGAACTATCAAAATCAATTAGGAAGGATAGTTAAATTACAGAGTTCATCAAAAACATATTCAACATGGCGAGCACTACTACGAACACTGGAAATTTTCGTTTACAATCCGTATTGAATTCACTAAACGGTTACCTTGCTTTGGTAGTTCTTGTAGTCAGTATTGCCGGTGACTTTTCTGAATATTGTCGTATTCAATTTAGCTACAACAGTTGACTATGCTTCACCTATTGGATTGTTTTATCTCTATTTTCTTGTGTGGACAGTTTTCAGACGGAATGATCGAGCCGTTCTTTATTATACACATTCCATTCGTGTCTTACCACTAAGTAAGCGCGCTGCGAATGTCGCTACGAAATAAATCTTAAGTTTATCTCTTAGAATTCTCGAAATACGAATATCAGTCCAGATGAATCTGCCATAATCTCATAAATATTTCTTTTTAGGCAAATAAGTTGGCGTCGGCATTATATTGGACATCTATTCTCTGTGAATCCCAAAGTCGCCAGTTGGCTTCAAAATCTCTTTTGTTTAAACGAACGAGCAGCGTATTACGGATCATGGAAATATGGATTTTTCTCCATGACGCCCGTCGGAGCCACTATTGTTGGAAGTATCAATGTTCATTTCGATCCTGTAAGCGTCAAGTGGAATCTTGTTCGAAACTAGCTACGTTATGTTTGAATTATTTAGGAATTGAAGACGAACAATCGTCTTCGACCCAGATTAGAAAAAACATTTCAAACAACTCGAAATACAAATGGAATCTTGCTCAAACGTGGCGATAATTTCGGCGATTTTAATTTCGGTTCGACTATCGTTCTTGTCTTCGAAGCACCTGATAATCTCGCATTTAATGTTAAATCTGGCGATGCGATTCGACTCGGTCAATCTCTATGCTATTTCGATACACAAACGAACATCGATATTAAACCTAATAAACAAGACAATGAATCAACCAGTTTCGATAGTGATGATAGTGAAAGTTCACACGAAGATGATGATGACGATGATGCTGCTGTTAATATCAATCAAGATATGGAAAATGATGATCAAAGCCTACTCATCGACACTGTCGCTCTGGATGCAGCTATTGCGGACGCCGATGCTATTGCCGATCAAGAAGTTATATCGAATAATAATAATACCAATGAACAAATGTCGTCGTCTTCTTCCTTCTCCTAAAATGACAACTTTTTACTCAGATTATTTTTTGAGAAAAAATATGCCTAGATATTGTGCCAGACTTTCTCTCGATTACATGTGTTTATGATATTGTTCGGCTGAGGTCATTGTTTTAATGATATTAACAAAAAATAAACGATTACATTTGATGGATAAACGGTGATATCGGATAGGGTTCTTTCGAAGAGAACTTGTATTTTGATATTCGTTTCAAACAATGCAAGAAACAAGTTATTGGAGTATTTTGCTTCCTAACATTACCCTTACGTTCTTTCATCAATGTTGAACTCTCGGAATCTGAAATTGAAAGAATACAAAAGTTTCTATGTGCTCGGTTGTCTAGTAACATTGATGTTGTAATAGTGAGCACGGCCGAACTACAATACTGCCAATACAAGCGCTGATATTCGCAGGAGTGTCCACTATGTAAATATTCTAGTCGTAAAAAGAACACCATAAACATCTTAAACAAGATCAGTTATTACATCATTTAATAAATATCATCATATTTCAATGCTATAGATAAAGACCGCCTGCATGACGATCAATAATCATACATTGTCTAAATCCGCTAGCGTGCAGAAAAGGATTTGAGTCGAGGAGAAATACTACAGACGACGGTGTATTCTTTTTCTAAAATAAATTCTCTTTGAACATCGATATTGATGATGAAAGAGCAATCGATATAGACACTCTAATTTTGTCATTCGTCAACTAATTGATCATCTGAAACAATTGTCGAAAAACAAAAACAATAACATTCAATCAACTTTTTTTCTTACGTTCTTCCGATTCAATATCGAAATCATTGCTTTGCCTTTCTTCTCTTTCGTTTGATTGACGAATCATTCGTCATTCAAATTTCTCATCGCCAATTACAAACATCCAACAAACACAATATTTCGTTTTTCTCTCTCTCTTCCTCTTTTGCTCGTTAATGACTTCACGCTTTCTGCCATTACCTATCATTTCCAACAATTGTCATCCCGATGGATAAGAAGAGCAATAGATCTAATCAACAGCGACAAATTCGAAAAACATCTCCCCAGGTTTGACTTAATGATTTACATAATGTCTGACAAGATTAATTCGAAATATTACGCAGACGAGTCTGATCGTGTCTACTTAGACGTTATTTCTACTGACATTATTTAATGGATTAAGTTCATTGCTGAGTAAGAACAATTAAGGCATCCATTACGAATCTTATGTCATTCATTATCGAGCGTGTGAAACACGCGTGTTGGTGACATCATACACTGTGTCGTCTGACTACCTGAATTCGAAAGTATCCGTGTTCATTTGTCTTGTTTAGAGCGTGACGATGCGGAAGCATTTGATAGCAAAACGACGTTACTCTCAGCAATCAACAAAAATTCTCTGTACACATCATGACTCCTCGTTTCTTTTATTTCAACATGCCAATACGACAACACGTTTAAAACATCGAACGACGACATCGTTTCGGCCACTAGCAACTTCCACTCCCTACGAAGTTCCACCAACACATTCATTGAATAATGATTCTCCACGTTCGTTTCTCATTGTGCCTTGATCGATCGAATATTCTTCTTTTTTTCTTTGTATTCAGATGCTACTTTGCGACAAAGACAAGAACCTCTATTAACACCTCCAGCCTTTTGCAGTACTCCGAAACAGACTCGCCGTCGATCGTCTACAATCAAACGTAAATTACCCATTGTTATATCACAGCGACGCTTGCAGTTTACTACACATTCACAATCGACGGATGAAAGTAAACGCCTGACAATAAATAATGTTAAGATTTGGCTTTTGTAAATTGACAGAATAAAAGTTTCCATCACAAAAATTATATCAGTGACTGACTCTTTTTCATCCAGATCCAAGATAGCGAACATAATTACCGCACAGTTGGATATCTGTTGAAATCAAGCAGAAGATAGAAGAGATGAGATGTATTGGCGTCGGAGTTGATTGATTTTGGCAAAGAGATGACGATGACGTTTGAAGTGGACATAACTATCTAGTAGGGATAAGTGTGTCGGGATCATGCCGGTTGAAATAGTGCGGAAATAATCGAGCTATTATTCGTGTTTTTGTCAACGATGAACTCCTTATCATCAAGTACTGTTTATTGAAATCGAAATTGATTTTTTCGACTGCCATAGTTACAAGAAAAAAAAAAGAAATTAAATACGAAGCGGCCTAAGACGAAATTTCTATCTTCCAATTTTTCCCCCCCTTGGAAGGAGTGAGTGAACTGTGCTAATCAAATAATAAACTTCCTCCCGAAATTCATCACTTCTTTCTCGTACACCGTACACTATTTATGTTAATCACCTTTGTTCTTTTTTCGATAACCACTACTCGATTGTCTTCTTTTCAATGAAACTTCTCTACGAAACAGATATGGATATTCTACCATGGACGTTTATGTCTCGACATGTTCATCAAGCTTGTGCAGATGGTCGTACTAATGACATTGAACAAATGATTCGTGAAGGTGCTGATTTGAATGATGCTGACGAAGTTGGCAATACGCCGTTATGGCTAGCTTATATAAGTGGACATTTGGATACTGTCTTTGCGCTCTTGGAATTCAATGTGGATATTAATCGAAGAACAGGATCAATCTTAGCGTCAGACTTCCATCGAGCATGCGGATGGGCCGATGAGGTTTTCATCGATATTCTATGCAATTACAAGGCGAATCTTAATCTTACCGATCGTATAGACGACATTTTGTTCCCATTCGAATCGATTTTCTTTTTAATCAATAGGTTATGGTAAAACACCGTTGATCTATGCGATTGAGTATCGTGCATCATTATCTGATTCGAATGAAGAAGATCTCATTCGTTTGTTGATCACTAAAGGTGCGAATATTAATCATGTCGATATGTCCGGATTGACTCCGATATTCTACGCGATATATCGTGGTATACCTGCCATCGTCAAGCTTTTGTTAACTTACGGAGCAGATTATACATTTGAAAATCTTCTGGGTTATTCACCCTTTCGCTATGCACTGGGTTGCTTGTCATATACTAGCCCGCATGAGAGCGAAATTTACCGGGGGCGTTTAGATGTCGTCGAAATTCTTCTCAAACAATTTTCGACGAATGAAAATGAATTGAGACAGACAATTATCGGATGTACACCGAACATTCCCTATTTATTTCCCTTATTTGACTTTATTTTCTATTGTCGCATGAAGACACTTGATAGTTTAGAGAAAATCGGGTGGAAAATTTATGAAGAAACCAATTGGCCTTGTCCAACTCTTTACGGAAATCTGTTGATCAGTCAAAATTTGATTGTTTTCAATCACAATCTTGAACATATTATCTATTTTCTTCAACGAATGTATATAGAAAACTATCGAGAGTTAATTCTATTCTATTTACAACGAGTCATCAAAGATAGAGAGTCGACGAATCGATTCGGACTGTTACTCTACTGCGCATTAGTCGAAATGGGTGGTACTCGGTATGCGAGAGGGAGAGAGACAGAGAGGAATTTCCCTCAATATCACCTTTTCGTTCTCACTTTAGTTCGTATGTTGATATGTTAAAATATTTGCTTGAAAATCAACGAATTTATCTGTTTAAACAACGTCGAGAAATGATCAAAACTATTTTGATCCTATGTCAACAAGCACCATTACGTCTCTCAGCATTGTGTCGACGTAAAATTCGTCAAGGTGTTCAGTCGTCGATCGATCGACGAATCTCTCCGAATGAAATTTTACCAACAGATCTTCAACGTTATTTAATTCTCGATGAATTAACTTTATTTTCATCGTCACCATCGAATAAACGATTACTTTTATTAATTGAACAATCTATTTCCATATCGAACCAAACGTCGCAATAATTTGCAACATTTCATGCATTCTGTTCGTAGCCAAATCAATTCTCGAGTTTCTTTCCGAAATCGATTTTTTATTAAGAATAAAAAAGCGTATTTTCAATAGAAATATTTACATTATTCATGCATAACAGTGAATATATTCGATGATTGCGGTGGATTAGTAACCTATTAGAACAAAAAAAAGACGCCGAAATGAAATCTGTATCGAGTGTGAAAGGTGAAATTTCGATATGGAATAACAAAATGTTTCATTAGATGCTCAGTCACCTATATGTACGTTTTTTTTAGAATAGCAAGTGAAAGCAACCTAGTATATAATTGTCATAGAACGTGCAACAACAGTTAGAAAAGTATAAAAGCAAACCCAACCTACTGATTTATCTCTAAAAGACATGTATATGTATGTTTTCATGCTATCTAAACGATATCGTAACCAATCTAGAACTTACGATTGTATCAAGAATATGATTTGTTTGTTCGACATCTTGAAATGATTGTCGCCAAGCTTCGCGTTCCTATGCGATTCAGAAAATTTTCTTAGTTTACATAATATCAAATACACGAAAACCATACTTCTTCATCCATGCGTTCGTACTCTTGAAGTTCGGCGTAATATTTTGGTTTGGTAATGCCAAAAAACCAAGCGAGCTTCTCACCAGCCGCATCACATGCTTCATAACCTTTCTTGGCTGATAGTTTCGTATAGTACCATACCCACGGAATCCATTGTAATTGTGTCTAAGCAACATGGAACATCATTCATTTGGAGAGATGTACTGAAAAAAAAAGCTCACTGGATCAATTTGTTCTTCAGCTGCTGGCGTTGCTTGTGGTTCATCTAATTCATCATCTTGATCGTTCTGAGCAGGATCATTTAATTGAGACAGAGGCACATCGATTCTATTCGATTGATGATTGTCATTCATCTAAAAATAATTCTGTCCATCAAATCTTCCACATCTTTCCGTTTCTCCTATCCTTTTATTATTTACAAAAAAAGAACACAACGCGCTGATCGACGATAATCTTTTGGTTACTTATTGATCTCGTTGTTCAAGTTCGACAACAACTGCATTGGCAGCCATGTCATAACTTGTCTGTCGATTTTGTGATGTTAAAAGAGCAACGACCACTGCCGGAAATAAAAACGTTGACATGAGCGTTTTGAATGACGAACGTGTTAATGCTCTGAAATACAATTCGATTTCGATCATCGATTTCAATTAATGAAAATCTTACGCTCCACTGTTCAGGATAGTGCCAGGTTCGATTGTTACATCTCCGTTTTCTTGTATTTGTAAATGATCACATTTGAGAACACGCAGTCGAAGTAAACGTTTGCCTGGTGTAGCACCATAACGTGTAAGACAAAAACTCTGTAACGAAAGTTACCCATTGAATCGAATACAAACAGATGATCGTTTACCTCGAAAGCAATGCATGCAATTAAATATCCGAACTCAACAAGAATAAGTTCGAGTGGAAATGAGAGTGCATCTTCGTACAGTAGACTAGACAGCATATAGTTCACTGTAAGCCGGGTTTCGTCGATCAGATGTAAATGAGTGGAAAGAAGATAGATGAGAAAAATTCTTTGCAAAGAGAAAATGTCGAGATAAGGAAAAAAGAAACCAAAGCGGATTACTTTAATGCATGTAAAAGAATAAAATCAATTGCTTCAGCTAGAAAACGACGCCAAACTGATGCCACTTTCAAACGTGCTAAAAGCAATGAACACTGCTTCCATCCGCAGAGCTATTCACTTGAACTTACCATTGCGAATTTCCGTTAAAGGATCAAAAGGTTGAAAACGGCCTGTATTGACAGTCATGGTAATCATTGGTGCTTGTTGAGCAAATGCATTGAACATCATCATACTTAACATGAGAAAAAGCAAGCCTATCGAACAGATGAGGAATTCGATGTCACTTTACTTGTGATATGTTACACAGCTGGTATTCCATGCATAGTATGCTTCTTGCCATTTGGCAATTAATTGTGAGTATTCATCAACTGTCATTTGACGTGGTTTTGTCTCCACAGAGGATGCTGAAGTATCACTACTCATATCGTATTATTGTACGAACTGTTTTAGAAAGGATTTTTTTTGAAAAGGCATAAAAATGCGTGGTATGTATATCAATCCACGGCCTTTGCTACTAGTGGATTCTTTTCCGTACAATCGCACATTAGTGAAATTGACTATAAGATGGACATCAACGACATCTATCGAATTTCTTCAAATAACTAGTCATTTTTATTTACAAGTTTCAATTGTAGTTTTCTAATTTCAACCTTTAGCTGTTCATTTTCTTGTTGACATTGTTGTAGAACTCGTTTAGTTTGAACGAAATCTTTAAAATTACTATTCAGTTGTCGTTCACGATTAAATTCCTGTTCTTGAAGAACTTTATCTTGTAGTTGAATTTGCAGATATTTGATATTTTCTTTCAAAACTTCATTCTCATCATTTAACTGTTGGTTCTTGTCGAATTGTTCGTCAAGTTTCTGTTTTAGTGAAGCAATTTCCTGTTCAGATATTTGCACTTGTTGTTCATGATGTCGACATTCAACTTGGATCTCAAACAATTTTTGTTTATCCTCTTGGAAGATTCGGCGAAGTTCTCGCACTTGACTTTCCAGATCCAATCGAATTATCTCGGATTGATTGAATGATTGTGTTAACCGTTCGTTAGTTTGATCGAGATTGTTCACACGAATAGTTAAAGCCTCATTTGTTAATCGTTCGTCAGCTAGTGAAGTTGCGAGATTGTGAATTTCGGCTTGCTTCTCTTGATTTCGTCGTTGAGCAATAATCAACTGTTGTTGGGTCGATTTGAGATCTTTTTCAAACTGAGTATTTTGAGCATCGACACGATCGAGTTCACGTCGAAATTCTTCACGATTGATATTGTGTTGTTTTTTTAAATTTGTCAATTCCTCATTCAAGAGATTATACTGAGATTCAGATTCATCTTTCTCAGTGTTTGTTGCTTGATCGACAAGTTCGATATTCACGAATGGTTTCTAAGAAAAAGACAAATAACATTATATAATTAGACAAACGAGACGAATACTTCTAGTATTTCTTGAGTGAGGTTTTCATTGAATTCTATAGTATTTTCTTCTTGCTGCTGTTCCGGAATCGGTTCAGTTTCGGTTGATATCTCTTCAGTATCAATTTTATTAGCTTGTGCTTGCACTGTTGGTGGCGGTGGCGGTGGCGGTGGTGGTGGCAAACGTTCATCTTGATATCGTTTCAATCGATCGATATGCAGTCTCAATTGGCGATTTTCATCGATAACATGTCGTAAATACTTCAATGTTTGCACATGCCGAGATTGAACAAATTTCTCGATTGTATCGGTGACCTCTTGTTTGACACTTTGTTCGTTGTCATCATCATCATTGTCGTCATCATCGTCGTCGATAGTTACTCTCTCGTGTCGATGCATGCTGTTAATAAAAATTATGAGTATGACATTACTATACGCTTTCTATCGCAAGATGTAAGAATGAGAGAAGTTTATTCTTGTCTAGAAAAAGAAAATGAATAAGAACATGAAAGCTAACATTGCCGGGAAATGTCGAGATGATTATTTGTATTCGAATACGGAGTCCTCGTTGAATTTTTTTCGAATTAATAATTGAAATGTTGTCAATTATTAACAGCAAAAATATTTTCATTCGTAATTAATTGATGAGCAATCGAAACTTTCAAACAACAACCTATGCTCGACTTGGTGTAGCGGAGGACGAATCGCGTCATTTATTGACTCTGTTATTACGAAATCGAATAGGAATTCTAACTCTCCTCGTATTGAATTACATCTTAATCTAAATCACGTTTCGAATATCTCGCTCATTTTTAATAAAACTTAATCTGGAATAAGAAATATCCATAAGTGAGACGAATGACTAGGATTCTTCGAGTTCATGGGAAACTGTCGTGATCCGTTTTCTTTTGTTGTTCATTGATTGAGGGTGAGGACAAGAAATAAACACTTGGCATTAAAATAGCTTATCTATTTTACTGTTCGCAATGGCTTTCTAAAGAATAATCGAGTCTGAATCAACAGTTGTTTTATTCTTTTGTTGAAAGATGGTTCTATTGAATATTCGTCGAGCATTTGTTTTCTTTTTCCTCAAGAGCTTTCTCTCGAATTGGTTGATTTCATTTTGAAAACGAAGTAAGAATAAAATTGACATTTTTCGATGGATGATTTTGTTTCTGTGTCATTGACAACGGCGTAGAGACACACTCTCTCAGTTCACTTTGTTTACATAGTTCAATTCTACTTAAGAAGAGAAAGAAAACTTAAGAACTATTGTTATGGCATTTTCCGTGCGGCAGAAAAATCAATCTTTCTTTCTTTCTTTGTTTGATTATGAAGTGAGAGAGGGAGAACGAGAAAAGTACTCGAATATGACAATCTTTTCTCAGAGGTAGCCAAAGTTTTTTTTTTTCAAAGTCTTCTCATTACCTGCCCGCTACAGTTGAAGTACTGTGTCTGTTTGTGTATACATAGGACACACAGAGAAGGGGAGAGAGAAAGAGAAGGAGTTCGTATAATTAGAAGAAGAAGAAGAAGAAAGAGAGAAAGAGAGGGATGAAATATATTTCATTTTAACATACACATATATATATAAAGCTCAGTCATTCGTTTGGAAGGTATGCGAAAGAAAGTTGGACATATATGTATGTATTCATATAGGTAATTATTATCGGACTTCGTTGTCGTCGCTAATTTAGATGAGACAATAGCATTGATGAATATATATATGTCTATCTCAACATGGATATAGCGTTAGTTATTGTAATCGTTCCCTCTGTATTATCTATCCTTTTTTTCTTTTTCTACACCTTGAGCAAAATATGGATGTCATAAATACCACGAGCTCGCGAAAGAATTATATACGAACGAGAAATCTATGCATAGAGATATAGACATATGTCGATATTTTCTTTTCTCTCTCTCTCTAGCCGATGCACAGTAGCAAAGGAAGAAGAAGGATGAAGACGAGTTCTCGTGTATTTTTTTTCTTTATTATGCGTAAGACGAAGAAGAGTTTTGCATTTAGACCTTGTATAGTCGTTGTTATTGTCGTCGCTACGACGATGTGTATGAGTGTGTATGTATATATATATTTTTTTTTTTCATTTCAATTGTTGCTCTTGTCTGTGCCCTGATGGTGTGTACAGGTATGCTATTCTCTGTTGTTGTCGTTCTCTTTCTTTCTTTTTTTCGATTCGATTGACGCTCGCAATGGTGAATACTTTACGGTCTCCTTCTCTCCTTCCTTTTTACTCTGTTACAATCTACTTTTACTCATACATTCTGTTTCGATGTGTGCCATATGCATTTTTGCTTCGAAGGAATGATTTGTCATATCATTCAGCTATGATTGCTGGTAAGTAAAATTCTTTCCTAAATAAATATCGGTTATTATTCATTAATATGAAGATAGAACGAGAAAGAAAAGCAAAACAAAATGTTCTGACATCAAGTTAGAAAAAGGGCACCTCTACCACAAGAGTGAATCGTAGTCATTATCGATGATGTAATTAGCCTTTTATATTCTTCTTCGGAATCGAGATGTGTTCGTTTTGATTTCATTTTGTCCTCTTTCTTCTTTTCCTTCTCCTGCGTCTATACCAATCAAAGGGCAGAGAACCAAGGCGACTAGGTCGGTGTCACTGCAATTTGTTGATAAACTATAATCATATTGCACTACATTCGATCTCGTAGTCATTGTGTTATACGACGTCCAAAATCATATGTACAAAAATCACATTATTATTTATCTGTTTACGTACAAATGAACAAAAAAAGAGCGAGAGGCACAGAGAGAGAGAGAAAATCGAACAGCTGATAGGAAGATAAACATCGTATATTAGACAAGTTCTTTTCACATGACTAGTCATCAAGAAACAAGAAAAATAAAGTTGATCATAAAAAATAATCAATAAGTGGACAATTCGTTAACTACAATCACCAAATGTTGAATTCCATGTTATATACTTCTCCAATGTGGTGGGAGAAACACTGGCTCGAATTTTGCGTAGTGCTTGAGCAAAATCTGCGTATGATAGTGGACGAATTCGACTGATAGATAACTGTTTAAGTTCCTCAACACGTAATTCACGTACCGGACCCATGGCTGCATCTTTTGCAAGAGCAGTTAGGTCACTACCTGAGTATCCATCTGTCTCACTGGAAAGACAAGATTCAAATGCATTCTCTATTCATAAAACCAATGAAATTATTCGATTTACTTAGCAATACGTTCGAAATCTTTTCCTGTTAGATCATGTTCTTGTTTCAGAAGTAAATGCTTTAAAAGTTGTATTCGTGTACTTCGATCGGGCAGTTGAATATAAATGCGTCGAGGGAAACGTCTAGATAAGATACATATAAATGGTATATATCTCGAGAAGATGTTGTTATCTAACCTTAGTGCTGCATCATCTAATTCAAATGGACGGTTGGTTGCAGCGAGAACGAGAATACGATCATCATTATTTGTTTGCACCTAAATCCAAGCATTAGTATTTGTTTATTTCTAAATATGTCAGCCCCTTACGCCGTCAAATTGAACGAGAAATTCCGTTTTCAGTCGGCGCATTGCATCATGCTCAGATTCTTTACGTGCAGTTAGCAGTGAATCGACTTCATCTAGAATTATCAATTGATGAAATCGAAAGAAACACTGTTTGAACAAACCGATAAATATAATCGACGGTTGTAATTCACGTGCGGCAGCAAACAAAGCGCGAACTAATTTTTCACCTTCACCAACCTATTGAAAAGTCCGTGAAACAAAACATTCCGATTGATCGTGAAAAAAATGTCTCTATTCATACGTATTTCGACGTTAAACTCGATGCACTAATGTTGAAAAAACGAGCTTTGGCTTCCGAAGCCACAGCTTTCGCCTATGAACAACAGATAAACTCAAGAGATGACTCGACATTCGTAATTACCAGCATGGTTTTTCCATTCCCAGGTGGTCCAAATAACAGAATACCACGCACTGGTGCACGTAAACCAGTGAACATCTATTAAAATAAAAAGCGAGACGTGGTTTTCTCTCCTTGTCTTTTTTCTATATCTAATGATTTACTTCCGGTCGGAGTACAGGTAAAATAACCGCTTCTTCCAGTGCTCGTTTTGCACCTTCTTGACCACCTTCAAATACAAATCTTTAATCAACATGGTAATACATTAGATAACGCTTCGCGATATTGAAGTCTTCTTCCGATCGTACTGATCGTTCCGGAAGAGCAGTTATGACAAACATTCACATGCTTGAAGGACTCTCTTTCTTTATCTTTCTCACAGATCTAATACATAACTAATAGTTCTAATTTATCATTTTCCGATGGCATGCTGTAAGATCTGATATCATCGAAGCGATCTTTTATCTCTCTCTCTCTCTCTTTGCTGTGCTTAGGGAATAGAATAGGAAAAATCTTTTCGTCATCTTACCAATATCATCGAACTTAACGTGTGGTCGATTTTCGATCACCTCATCGAGAATATATGAAACAAGTTTAGGTTCCACATTCGGCAGTTTCAATGTCGGTCGTTGATTTGGATTTTGTGTTGAGGCTTTTTTCTGATTGAGCACGGCCGACGCCTCTTTTCTTGCAGTCTAAAAGTAATTTTAATGAGTTTGTTATGTAGAGACGGCGATGAAGTGATCACACATTAGTTAATCGTGTAGGTGCTTGTTTTAATTTAGGAGTTAAACGTGTTGTTGTCGTCAAAGGAGAAGCAGGTGATAAAACACGCGAGCAAGTATTAGCTGAAGCAGACTGGAAATATATGCAGTATTTACTAAGCATTTCGCAGCATTCTTGATTTTTCAAGGCGAAATTCTATTTGTTACTTACCGAGGACGCTGAGGTGACACGACGCGGAGGTGTTGGTCGATGAATTTTCGTTGAAGGCGGTTGCTCTTTGCGATTCAATTTATCTGCAGAAAGTAGACTTTTCATTATAGGATAATAAGGATCAATAAACATACTCAATACATCGATTCGTTCTCGAGCCATGGTCAAGTTTCGTCGCATTTTACCATGTAACTCTACAGCACGAGTATCTATCAAAGAAACCAATCAGATCGAATATGAAATATTCATAATAATCACTCGTGGAATCAACAGGTAAACTCAAAGCCTTTTCTAACTCTTGAATGCCCTGTTTGTACAACGAAATAGCCAATTCATGATTGTCTACAGAATCCAATTGGTTGAATGTGTTTTGTGAATGAAGAAATCTTCCTACTTGATTGTTCATCACATTCTAAAGCTTGTCGTAGATATTCAGCTGCCTTTTGATGATGATCATTTTGAATTTTATAGGGTTCACTTTCCATGCTAAAAAACTGACCGACCCAACTAGTCAAACTCGAAAACATACAAGGATTGTTTAGTTTTCAATGTTGTCCAAAGAAAAATATGATTTCATTCATGTAAGAATGTATTGCAAAAGTTCTCAGCAAAAGAATTCTTCCTTCCTTTGCAACACAAACGTGATCATATGTACAATGACTCATCGTTTCGTTTTCGAATCGAATCATCCAACATAGCTATGCACTTTGACATTCGCTTGCAAGAAGATGACAGATATCTATTTTCGAATTCGAATTGTACTGAACAATGGAATCAATGGTAGTTGTATCACATTATTTCATAATACCCGACAACGCGATGAGTAGCATCAGTCATTAGAATGATCGGTTTATTTCAAATTTTCACGGATAGAATGTTAATAGTATATCACAAAGCAAATTTTAGCAAATTGATGAAACGGCGGCATTGACAACATTGAGAGTATGATGTGCATTTAGATGTCGATCATGGTGAATACTAAAAAAACGAAACGAAGATATTTATGACGCATGAAATGTTATTAACTTACAACTGCTAAGATTTCGTAGTTTTCAAAAGCGATTCGAAATACATCGGATGGTCGAGATTCGATTATACAATCGTCCGAAATCGTAGCTAAACGAATAAGAAAAACACATGATTATACGCAAACTGAAATAAAAGACAATCTGATGAACAACCGAGACTTCGACGAGTATGTTGAAACCTAGAGACGTTAACTGACAATGAAAATGAAACGATGTGATAACGAATTTCTACTTTGGTCGAATTTTCAGCAAATGATCATCATTGTTCGTTCGCTTCATTGCCATAAACAGCTGAACGACAAATTCGCATGGATAATCGAGCAGGAACAGCCAATCACCCTTGAAAATATCGAAAGAGAAAGAGATAATTACGGATCTACCCGACATCGAATGATCTTACTCGATCTTCACGTGTTTCTCGAGTATGAATACAAACAAGACCATCTTTGCGCGGTGTCATACCAATACCAAGAATATCAGCGAAAAGAACAGCCTCTTTCGGATACGGATCTTTCTTCGTTATATTATAAAGTCGTTCATTTGTAATGCATAAGATTCGAACATGTTGCTTATAACCTCGACGATCGATTTTAGTCATTTTGGTTGCATACTATAAACAGATGGAAAACAAATTTAGACGATTCATGTGTGACTTTTGCTACAATCGATTTCAAAAAGTAAATAAAAAATGAAAATCACGTATCCGGCGGAATGATTTCAGTCAAGCGTAGACTCACAACTACTTAATTGTCGTAAATCGCCGCCTATGAAACAAGTCTAACAAACTAATGGATAAAACTTCCGCCGAGTATATTTGAACATTTGCTTATACTTACCAAAACCGTCTCGGTCGGGAAAAAGCATTTTTTCTTGGCGATTTCAAACGTATTTTGTAATTCATCAGCTACAAAGATATTGTTTTATACGAAAACAAAAAGAATTATGTATTGAAATAACAAACTTAATCGTATGGTTTCCATTTCAAGATTCTCTGGTGTATATATCGATTTTTTGCCTTCGAATAAACGTTGCATTAATGGTGTTTCCTTCTTCTGTAACGAAATTCATAGAATATGATAGGCGAAAAGAGGATTTCTCGATTTCAGCTTACTTTTGACTCTCCAACCACAGGAGAGTTTACGACAATTACATTAATCTCACTATTAGCTGTGATAGGTACTTCTTTCTTGTTTTCTGTGCTGATTAGAACATCATCCAGTTGTTGTAGAATTTCTTTCGTTTCTTCTACCGCACTTGCATCAGCAGTTGAATCAACCTTCTGAATCATTTCGGTTAAATCTGTTTGCGATGCAGCATGAACAGTACTTAATCGTTGCGGTTCGTTCGACAATTTTTTTCCTGCTGATGGTGGCAAGCGCAGATCGTTCATGACAAAATCCGTGAATGTTCGACCACCATTTCTCGTCAACGATTGTGTCTGTCGACTTTGCATGGATGACTTTCTCGTTGAGTTCTGTTGAGGGTCTTCTTCGACTTTGCTTATGCGTTTCTCCAAGTCAGTGAATGAATGTTCCAGAGGCACAGATGTTGAGGTAGGATATGTTGACATAAATTTATCATAGTTTTTCAAGTGACGCATTAACGTTTCATATTGAGAAATTATCTCATTTAATTTATTTCGTTCGATGCAACCGGTTGAATCTGATGTTGTTCGTTTAATAAAAATCTTCTTCTGAACTTTAGGTTTCTGTGCAGAAATCTTGTTATCCGATGCGAAGTAATCAACCAGACTTTCCAATGGTGTTGTCATGTAAACACTGTCGAGACTATCACTTCGAGGACGTTGTTGAGCAATATGTGTACGGATTAGTATGGGTAGAATACTGTCCGATGCACGTCTTGATCGAGCAAAAATAAGACCACTACGAACAACATGTCTGGTAATGTGCCAGTGATGGATACCGGTACTTTTTCCGTGCGAATAAGGACTATTCTTCGTATTGAAATCGACCATTTTTGCAACACATTGTTTTAATGTGATCATTGATTGGATTTGATCTTTCATTAGAACAGACGCAGGTGGAGGTGGAAGTTGTTCGGAATCGTCAAAGATTGTAGATTCTTCAACAAAATTTTCATTGATTGGATCTAAAGAGATAAAAAAAACAGCAAAGAAGATCATCGATATGGTACTTTCTATTCTTCTACTCAGTTGTTCTGGAGTAACTACTGTTTGTTTCGAATTGAAGATGTCATCCATACTTGGCGAAGATTGTAGATTCACCTGTGTTGGCGGTTCTTTCTCTATAATTGGGGGTGGTCGTCGAAATGTTACTGGTTTCGGCTTCGACAAGTTTTGCTCTTCTTGAACTTTTGTTTTCCACATATTGTGTAACGATTGAAAATCACTTCGAACACTGGGTAGCGTATCCATTTCCATTGTGATTACGTTAGTTTTCGTTTTCTCTTTAGGAAATTTTTTTTTGGAAAAAGAACGAGACGAATGAAACAATGATCCGTGTCACATAGATGAAACTTGTTCACATCTTGTTTTGTTGTCAAAGATAGATCTCGTTTGTTATAACAGAAAAATCAACATAACTCAACGGAAAGAAAACATACCGTGCTGTTACCGAATAGATTTTAACCGTCCTCTCTCTCTGTTTCTCGTTTCAAATATCTGTGCGTGATCTTTCAGTTTTTTTTATTATTCTTGAATCGCAACGCACTGAAACGGAGTATATTGACACCAGCGACTGACAATTAGAGAACGAGACAAAGTTATTTTAAACACAGATGTGTCAGAGTTTTGCTTGAGTATAGTGAAGTAGAAAGTAACAACGAGATGATTTTGTGCTATTTTATCGCATAAATAATATTATTAACTTTTTTCCCTTTATTATTGGCTTGTTTGAACACTACAAGAGATTTCTTCTAATCAAATTTTACGCAAAAAAAAAAAGAAAACTAGAACTTTGTTGATCATACACGTGGTAATTGATTATTAATTGCTCGATAGATATCATCTAAATAGAAAGATCAAGAACTCGCATTGTAACAGAAATTATGTCTACCTAAAAGATGCGGTGGAGCAGCTGATGTGATGCCATTACTTGAAACGACTTCGGTAACCCATCCAGCTTGTTGCTGATCTCCGAATGAATTGATTTCGTGGTTAAATCGATTTCCATTTTGAATTCCATTGAATTGTTCGTAATTGACTGTTCCGGCATCGAATGAATCAAAATTTTGAAATTGTGGCGGTGCTTGTTGGAATTGTTGTTGTTGTTGCTGTTGCTGTTGTTGCTGCTGTTGTCGTTGAGGAGGAGATGAGAACGATGGATCATTGTTACGTACAACACGTGTAACATATTTTGGATGAGAATCAATTTGAGGTACGAGGGGTGGTGCTTCGCGAATGATAATTGGCGGTGGAGTCTTCTCTCGTGGTGCTCGAGTGCGAATCACAAGAGGTGGTGCAGCGGCTGCTTGAGGTTCTCGAACTTCTTTGATAATCAATGGACCTGGTGAAGGCGGAGTTGGAGGGCGAACTAAACAGAATAGAGAAGAGAGCAAGAGAGATAGTATAGATATTGTTTGACTGTCTCTTCTTACGATATCGAACGATGACCTGTTGTTTGTACGTGGGCATTTCCATGGGAATTTGTTTTCGAATGATAATTGGATTGGGATCGTAATTGATTTTGTATTGCTCTAATGGGAGTTGACGTCCAGTTGACAATAGAGATGGATGTAATCCTGTCTCTTTCAATTCTTGTTCGCTTAAACCTAATGTTCGAATATCGAAACCAACTTGACCAGCCGTTCCTGCTGTTACAAATGCGCCTGAATCATTAACATCATTATTCAGCAAGTTTGGGTCCATTCCATTGTCTGTATGTGCTGGTACCGAATGTGGTCCAGCATGAATCTGCCCATGAACTGAATGCAATGATGTATCACCTGCTGCAGCAGCATACTGTCCACTATCTTGTGCATTCCAATCTAATGAAATGAAAGTAGAAAGTTATGAAAGACTAGTTACAATATGTCAATACTGTAATCAAAGTTGGTTGACATTTGTGCTTCGACTTATTTCGTAGATGAGTTCGAACTGAATTGTATATTGTAAATGAACATGTTCGATGCACAAGAAAAAAAATACCGAACGAGAACGAAACATGATTTATTTCATCTCTATATTAATGTAATGTTCGGTCATCTGTGACAATCAAATGTTCTTCGCGGTCGGTAGTATATTATTCAATACGATGCATCTGTTACATAAATGAGCAAAATATATGTTTCACGAACGTATCGCATAAACACGTAATATGAACTAAGGAGATAGTCTATCAAAAGACTTCAAGTTTCGATGGTGAAAGAATTTTGATGATATGATTTAACAATGATTTCTAATTCAATTGATCGTTATCAAGATAATAGACAAGTAATTGAAGGTTTATGTACTATACAATTAAACTCAACGATAGAGATTTTATCACTTATTTACAGGGATGTCAAACTATGTAATATCGTTTAGTTGACTTGGAGAACGAGATGGAAAGAACATTCATATCTGTTTATTGTTGTCTGCAAGCACAACCTTTACAACCCATACTTGAATTTCAATGACCGTGCAGTAGCTGCGCGATCATTTGTATTGTCATTGAGCTCTTCATATATGTTCACAAAAAGAAAGAGAGCAATAGTCATTTATAACTGTATGTTTTGTGTCAAGTGTGTGACGTATTATTAAAACGAAAGTATAAACTCATTCGCCGTTGTTCGTAGATGGAAAGTTTCGAAATTTGATCGTTTTCGAATATCGAGATTCGATCGGAAATAATCATGAGAAAGGTCACAACAAGCCGAGTAAGTAGACCTTATTTTGTTTCAAACAAATTAAATGATTCAATCTTCATCGGTTCGATTAGAATCAACACGGTGAACCAAGGACCACTCGGCGCCTAAACCTTCTTCATCTCAAATGTGTGCGTCGCGTCAGTTGCCTTGATCGAATGCTGTTCCTCTAACGGGTTCGAGATCGATTTTACGCTCTGATACAAATAGTAGTGACTTTCAATGCACTGATCTTTACTATCATCACAATATAGAATACAACAGAAAATAGAAAACATCTGTTTTAATCATTGATGTGACGACGAGCTTTTGCGGTTGACTTTACTCTCCGGCGATGATGATGATTTACCACTCATCTACAAATAGAAGAGGAAAATAGTTTAGTGGGAAAGAAGTTCGTGTGCTTACGTGTTTTCGCTTTGATTCGATCATTCGAGTATTTTTAGCGAAGTAATCCGGCTCTTGTTCTCGTCTTGTTTGTCGTTTTTTCAGTGTTAACCATTCTTCATAGAACATACTTTCAAATATCGGAACGAGTTCACACGCTCGTGGCAAATCTGATAAATGAATACGCATGAAGTCAAAAGAGATGCAAACATTCTCTGGCCGTGTTGCTTGTTTTTTCTCTTTTTGTTCAGTCTCGTCCTCATCGGCTCTTTCCGAAAGGAATGGAATTTTCGCGTAGCGTTGAGAAAAATGCCATAATACTGTGTATTTTGCATTCATTCGACGACCTACGTCAATGGCTTGGGCCATTGTGCAATGACGCATTTGGGATGCATAAACCTCCAAGCCAGTTTCATACGTCGATTCATGAATCAACAGATCAACATTTTGACCTAAGGCAAATCGATTTCTTATGTCAATGAAAACATATAATTTCTAACCAGCTTGAATGAAATCACTTGATTGTTTGCAATCACCGCTAAAAGCCAATGACCATCCATCAATGTGTCTTAATACTAGGGCATGTGCATCATAGATGTGCTCGACTAAAACTGTTTGTACACCATGTACTCCAACGGATTTGAATGTTTCGAAAAGAAACTTTTCTTCATCGGTATTTTCGCCACCAACATTAGTCATGGAAGGTAAACCGTTGGTTAACGATCGATTGAAAACGATGTGTACATCATCGTCAAACGAAGATTCACTCGAAAAGAAGCCCCACTGTTTCCGTCCGACATCAACATATTTGTTCGGGCAGAGTAAGATGAGTTTTTCGTATTGATGACCAAATTTTTCAAAAGCACGTCGACGTTGACGAATCAAACCGAACAAACCACCGAGATGATCGGCGTGCATGTGTGAAATGTATACAAAACGAATACGAAAGAGAACGTCATCGGATTGATCACCATAGAAGTGACGAATCTGACCAGTCGTGCCTTCTGCACATTCGAGAAGAAAAATAGTTGTATCACTAAGATAGAGGACAGGTAGTTCAAAGAATTGAATTCTAAGCGAATTACTTGACATTAATCAAAATACCACTGGTATTTCGTGGTTTACTTGGACAAGCAGAACCAGTACCGAGAAAAATGATTTCCGGATATCTAAAAAGAAAGAGAGAGAAGTGCGAAGGATTTCGAATTCTTAACATTATCGTCATTACGAATGTCCTGTTTTTGCAATTTCATGCATGGCTTGCAATTGTTGTTTAGTAGCTGTGAACGTTTGTTTGAATTCTTCATTGGCAAGAAGAAGATCAATGTAACTTTGTGGTTGTATTGCGACCACCTTTGAATTATCTGGCGCAAGCATTGGACGAATAGGTATACGGCTGCTAGTTAATCCATAGGTAATATTATCTACTGGTTCTGGAATTTTCAGATCCTATGAAGAAGACAACAATAAGATTACTACAAGGATTTTCGAGCAATTTAATTCGTACTTTCAAGATGTTGTGATAGCTAAGTAGAGGAAAGATTCCGTCATCAATATAGTTCAATTGAGTTTGGTAACGATAAATGGCTTCCATGTGCACATTTACTTGTGTTTCGTCCAATAGGAGATGATGCGTTGTATTCATACTGAAAAGATCATAGAGATTTATTTTTATGAAAAGCTCGTCTGAACCAACCAAAACACCTTTTCATCCACGAACGATATGTATCATTATTCAGGATTGCACTCGGTGCAAGATGAACAATTGTATGATACGAATGGGAGTTTAGTTCGTTGCTTTTAATTGAATCAAGATAAGCTAACGATGGACAATCCAATACTAAATAGAACGTAAACAATGGATTCAATCAATAGGTTCGATGTGACCTACTTAAAACTCTCACAGGTGGTTCACCGGGCAGAGTCACGTCTTTTGAACGAATCTAAAACTAAAAATGCATCACTAACATTCGTGTATTGCATTTCTACGTACAAGTCGTCCATCGGGTAATGTTACATCTTCACCATTCTTCAACCGAGATCGAAGTTCATTCCTAGAAAAATAACGAGTCGACAGTTCGTAGTTTAACGTGAAAAAACCTACGGTGGTACACGATGAAAAGCACATAATTCAGCTGATAAACTACCAGGAAATGGATGTGTCTGAAATCGAATGATATCAATTGGATCATAGCTGAATGGATACATACTTCGCATAGATAAGCATAGACAAGATCATTGGGATATTTCTTCATTTGAGATAAATCATTCGTTGGTGATACACATTGTCTTTTCGAATCTTTCCAAACATGGGCAAATGTTTTCAAACAATTCGACTGTTAATGAGTTCTCTTACTAGGACTCAAAATTAAGTTATTTGCTCGTAGTGGAATTGCTTTGATCTTGAAACAGTCGTCTTGAAATTCACCTTTGTCATAATCATGTTGTTCTAAATAAATAAGCAATCCAACGAACGAGTCGTTTTTAGAATCGAAATCATTACCAAGTTTGATGTTTGAAAATGCTTCTAAACCTTTCCAATGTTTCAAAAGGTCAATCTAAATTTACATTCATTCATTACGACTCGTTTTCGACTTATCCTAACTTACGACATCACATGGTGCATGAAATGTAATCTCATTCAGATATGCTTCTTTCAAACTAATGCATAAACCTAATATTCCACCCATTGTATCCCATGATTTTTGCGTCATAAACAAATGTTTTGTTTTGGAAAATTTAATTTCCCAAATCGTATTCTTTTCTTGTAATGTCCGCTGTGTGCCTTCTCCGCAATTGAACACATAATTGGTTTGATCACTGTTCAGCACTAATGATTTGCTGGTGCCAGCGTAACCGTTGGAAATCACTTGAAGATTTATTCGAGATGTTAAACCTGGATCTCGACCGCGTTCTTTCATTCGAACGTGTCGAGGTTTGTTCATCACGGAAGATGTGGAATCACTTTTGAGTTTCTTCGTTTGTGACATTCCGCGAATGAAATCCGCAATATCAATCGACGATGATGAAAAACGAATTTGAGTTCGATTTTGAAAAGCTCTTCTTGCTAAAGAAATTAATAACATGAGGTAATTCGTATTGAATTCATCTTCGCAATCTTATATCAATCATTTCATCAGCGACGGGTAAACTATGGTCGAGTTTATGTGGTTTACGATAGATGTCAGCTCATCAAGGTACTTTATAGGGATTCAGATTTTTTTCATTACGAGTTACACAACAGTACCTTTGATCTCGACTTGTGTGTGACATTTTCAATACTCTATCTATTCTCTATCAGTTTTTGATGACCAATCCTATGTTTTTAACCTTAGGTAGATTAGACATATTGCTATTCGATTATTACAGTGAAATTGAAACTTTTTTTATTTTAAAAAATGATTTAGAAGTTGAATAAGTTGATTCAGTTCGTTGTGTAGTAATAAAAATCGGTGTGATAAGTGTGACATTGGCGTAATCACAGTGCTAGCTGAAAATTGTGTGTTTACTGGTCACGTGTCAATTTGATGTGTGATGGTGGTGCTAGAGTTAGTAATGGTAAGCTAATTGTTGGATTTCATTGATCGAAATAACTGTTGTTAGTATTACTTAATATTCTATTGGATAGACAAGTAATATGATCTACACTTAGACATATTCATTTAATATATTTACATTTGTCGTTACAGTATGAATATCTAACCAGTCGATGTAACTGTGGCTTCAATGGTTGATGTTAATTTATTCGCTGTAATGAGCAGTAATTCAGAATTACAGACGCAACAGTGTAATCTGATGATCAATAGAGATGATTGCTTTAGTCTACTTCTAGTTTTACTGCTGTTTTAACCGGCAGTGAGATTGTTAACAACGTAATCAATCATAGTAAACGTGTAGTTCAACATAGGCTGTACGAAGTGTGTCATAGATTTGCATTTGATTGAATTACACTACTGATTTTACACATCAGACTTGTCCTGGTTTTTCGCAAAACGTACAATATATAAACATCGAAAGGTGAAGATACTGAAACAGTACAGTCTGAAAATGTCACATTTTCTCATCTTTGATACACAGCGTTCGTTCTTCTGATTCTTTCTCCTACAGAAAGACAATGAATTTGTAAAATTCCTTCGTTCTTTTCAATTGCAGTACGTGACGTTATTATATGACAAAGAGAATAATACACATATCATTTCGTTTTCTTATTTCCACATTCATTTTCTCTCGTCATGCCATTGACAAGGACTACTTCGGTAGCTTTTGTTCAAAATGGAAGATTTTCTAGCCAAAGTTAACTTAGTTCGTTATGTTGATTTTGAATGCCGTCGCTTGAAAGCTGCACAAAGCATGATAAAACATGATGATTGTAATATGTATACAGTAACGTCAAACTAAAGGAACCGATGACTATTTTCGACTATCAGTTATGACATGAGTGTGAGGAGTGGGGCGTAACTAAACTGCAGCTGTACTCAAATACCGGTACGTTTGACACAGTTCTATTTTCTTCAGTTTGTTTTCGATTAGCATAATCAACACACGTGGACTCGTTCCCTTTGTCTCGGTATTGTATCAAGTCTTGTTTACATTTACTCATTCTCACTTCTGAAAGTTTATATCATAGTATCTCTATTTTGTTATCTTAGTTTATGATGAAAAAACTACTTGAAACTTAGATTTGTCGCGTTGTTTGTAGGGCGGAAAGTATCAACAAGAACGAAAACGAAATTTTTCAGGTGATTTAGAACGACGGTAAAATCGATTTGAATATACTGAAAGAATTAGCCAAGAAACACAAAGTTGAATTGAAAGAATAATTCAATCGTCCGACGAACTGATCATCTTTACTTCGCTTCGTATTCTATTTTGTTAACTTAGTAAAGTTTAGCATGACGCACTTTTGTTCTCTTTCTTTCGTTGACACGTTCCTTCCTTAAACTACAATATACTTGATTCAACACCATCAATTGAAACGCATTGTTTCGTTGTGCATGATTGATTTCGTGGGCCAGTCTCTATTCGTTCTCTTTACATTTTCCAATCACACAGCAAAAAGCGTGATATTACCTTTTCTTTCTTCATTTTTAATACGGCCAAGGCAGAGAAGAGTAATCACCACCGCTATCGACCTTTGCTCTACTCGTCAACATGTCGCTAGAATATCTGGATATTACTGCAACACCGATTAGCTTAGTAGTGTATTCGTTCCTTGGCTTGTTATGTACAACATTTCTCTATGGCATCTATGGTATCTTTTTAACAATACTGAAATTTCTTCGCTATGGCCACAAGCGTTTCTTTACTCAAATCAGTCGACCAGAACCACCTGTGAAAGCCACCGATCGGATATATGGTAAACATGAAATGCTCAAGCTTAAAGTAAATGTTTTTGTATTAACAATCATACTGTTGCTTATTTTCTAATCATTAAACCTATCTAGTCATCGGGCATTTCGCTGCACTATGTTTCGAAAGGTTTACCAAATCAACATATGATTCTCTTTGTCCATGGCTTTCCCGAATGTTGGTATTCATGGCGAAGTCAAATGAAATACTTTTCCAAAGACTATCGAGTTGTTGCCATCGATCAACGAGGTTATGGCGTTAGTTCTAAGCCACCTTTTGTTCAAGACTACCGACTGGAAACTTTAGCTGGAGATGTTGCGGATGTCATCGAACAACTTGGTACGGATGAGAAACCATTCATGTTTTCTGCACTCACGCATTCTTTCTCATTTTAGGATATGAATCATGTATTTTAGTCGGTCATGACATCGGAGGTTTAGTTGCATGGACGACTGCAATGCTGTGAGTTATACATTTTCTAAATGAAATGTTGTCATTTTACACTTGATCGTATTTCACAGTTATCCTCATTTGGTCGAGAAATTAGTCATTATGAACTGTCCACACCCTGTTGCGTTTCGTCAAGAATTAACATTCAGCCAAATCCAACGATCATGGTTAGACAACATCTGCTTCTTTCGAAATCATATAACGAAAGTCTGCTCGTTTTTAGGTATATGTTCTTCTTTCAAACCACGATCATACCTGAGTTGTATGTCGAAGCTGATGACTTTGCTTACATCAAAGACGGCTTTCGTACAAAATCGACCGGACTAGTTAATCAAGATTATATCACTGATGGCGACATTGATATCTACAAATATACATTATCTCAGCCCGGTAAGCCTTCTGAGTAATTGAATTGTATCTTTTTTTTGAATGAATGTTTTCTAGACGCAACCAAATGTGCACTGAATTTCTTTCGTGCTCTCTTCCGTTATCAAAGCGATTTCTCGCGCGCTGAAGTTGTCGCACCCGTTCTACTCTTGTGGGGCCGTAACGACCATAGATTCGGGGAAGACTTTGCTGAAGCAAGTCAAAAATATTGCGGGGATATTCGTTTGAAAAAGATCGCAGGTGGCTCTCATTGGATCAATCAAGACATGCCTGACGTGGTCAACAAACACATGGAACTCTTCTTTAACGAGCCACCTCCCGCAGATCCTACGCCAGAATATTAGAAAACCAAGAACATTTTTTGTTTTTCTTTTTTGATCCTATTATTCGAATAAACTTAGGTCTAGGAGATATTATTTTCGATCTGGAGGAGAACATCTTGAAAATGTTAACCTTGAAGACAACGCTCGGGTGTTTATAGTAGCAGTAGGCAGCGATTAATCCAAACGGGAAACATCATAGAATCAGAGAGAAAGACCTATTTATTCTTATCGATTAAGAGCAAATCATCAGATAAGAATATCAGTCATAGAAAATGTCATCTCGAATAATAGTTCTCGTGTTTATATTCAGTTTAGTTTGCGGTAAGGAAAACTTCGATATTGTCTCTGAAGAACTTCTGTTTGATTTTGATTAGTGATCATCGCTTCAAACAAGAATAAAATTGATCCATCGTTACCAAAAACCACAGCAGCAACGAAGAATGAAATCGTCCGGAAGAAAGATCAAGTAGATAAAACGAAAAAGAAATCAACGAAATTAAAGCGTAAGTCTACCGATCATTTTCAAATTATCATTTTTCATCGAGTTTCTTTCTCTGCTAGCTACTCTATGCAAATTACCACGAGATGTCGGTCCGTGTCGCGCAGCTATAGATCGGTTTTATTACGATTCAATTGCAAATGAATGTAAAGCGTTTACGTATGGCGGATGTCAAGGCAATCAGAACAATTTTCGATCATTAAACAAATGTCAAAAAACATGCAAATTTTAAACAGATTTCTCCATATTGCTTAGTTCTTTTTCTACCAAATACAAATAAACCCTTAGACCTGCCACTGGAAAACCTTAATTTGATGTTTTTGTAACACGAGACCAAATCCTAATGATGACACATAATATTTACCACCGAGCATCCCCTTCTGTCGCAGTACGAATCGTGAAGATTAGTTTGACATGTTTATTCATGTCAATAAATGACTGTGCATATACAAAAATAATGACATCTAATTTAGAAGAATATAAGAAGAGAATTAATCTGATTGCTGATCTGTTTTTGACGATGGATAATAATTCAAAAATGTCATCGCTGTTTCATCATCATCGAATTTTAGACGTTTACATTTGTTTTCAAATGGTAAGGTAATCGATGTTGATTTGATCTTGAAGTACTTCGAATCGAAGGTAACGACTTCCGGTCGGACTTGAGCATCTCTCGATTTTTCTACATACTCATCAAGTAATTCCTATGGAAAGAAACGAAGTCTATTCAAATCCTTTGATTGCAGTTATTTGCATACTTGAGAACGATAGATAATCAATCTGTCCTTTTCTAACATTCGTATCATGTTCAGTGATGCTAAAGTTTCAATAATATCACACGTCGAAATCGATGTTGCTTTACTAATACCTGAAAAATAACAGTCCAAAAGACAGCCAATACAAACTTAAATATCTACTGTTGATTGCAAGTTGGTCTTCGTTTGTTTTAGTAAGAAGATAGTCAAAGATTTTCGATTTCCAATACTTTCTATAGCAGAGTAAACCTTGAGTGGACAGAGGACGTTCCGGTGTGCCGGTATGAACGTTGGCTAAGTGACTAAACGCATAACCTAAAAAGAAATTTTCAATTGAACTGCCAACGAGAACCATGTGCAGCACTTACTGATATGAACCATTAGACTTCCGAAGCCTCGATTGCGATATGGTGGTAGGATGAGAAGGCATGAAAGATTGAGTCTTTCTTGAAATTGAAGTTTAGAAAAGAAGCCAGCGAAATGGTATTGGTTTTCGCTATGGGAAACAGCTAAGACATAGAAACGAAACCGATGGACGTTTTTGATTTCAACTTTGCTCTCGATGAATAATGTGGCGAGCAAACATAAATCCTCGCAGTAAGTTTGTGCTTTCCAACCAAGCACTTCAAAGATATTTACATCATTTTGACTGTAAATAACACAACCGGGAGGATGTGTCTGTGTGCATTTTGTCTAATAATGATCAGATTGAAGTAATTGAAAAGAATGAAGCACTAGTAACATACCCGATGACGCCGTGCAGATGTTTCATGAATCGTTGTCTTCAAACAACATTCACACACATGAATCTTCTCTACTTGAAGCCATTCTTTTGGACACAACGTCGATCGACATACGGTTTCAAATTCAAATCGGCCAGTTTGAATCCATGGACGTGCTTTATTATTTGCTGATGTACTATTTAATTTACTAGTGTCATTTGTCATGATCTAGAATATTCTCATGGAACATGACATTCTCAAGGCAATGGATACATCTTTGATAATGTAACAAACAAGATTTATTTACATAAATAATAACAGACGAAGAGAAATGTTTTAGGTTCCTTTGAATTTTTTCCGTGTTGTTGTGGAATTGTTCACTGATGTGTTGATTTTGTTGTCTTCATCGCCTTCTTTTTCTTCTAACTCAATCCATTTCTGCTTCAGATGGCTTTCTCCCAAATGTTTTAATGACACAAGCCGTTCTAATTCTTCATCGTTGATAATTCGCTTCAATTCTGCTAGATGTCGATGAGATGATATATGCAATAGTGAACGAAGATGTTCGATGATCTGTTTGGCATCCTGATCGTAATCATTGTGTGCTCGTAGGTACGACAATGTTGATGAATACGCAAGAGATTCCATTGCACGTAACTGTGCTCGTTTTTGACGGCGACGACTAGACATTTATCTACAAAAGAAAAGGCTCATTCATTATTCATTTATTTCAAAGTACAATAAAACAGTTAAAAGAAAACGCATGTCCGAGAAAATCTTCATCATGGTTTATATGAACGTTGTGCTTGAACGATACCAGCTAGGATAACAAGAATCCATGTAACAGCAACGAGAATAAAGTAGAGCTGGAAAGAAAAGAAGAATATATGCAAGGAGAAGAAGAAAGTGTTCAGAACATACAAAATTGACCCATGAACGAACTTGTCGTTGAGAAAGATTCGTAAAGTCTAACATAGTTAATGCTTGAGTTTGATCACTTTATTTTTGCTTGACAACTACAAGACAATATATTCTCCGATGAGACGTCGTTCATATGAACCAATCATATCTGCTCGAGTTTATCTATAAAGCAAATGTTTCTTAGCAACGTTCAGAATTTCACGAACGAATAGATCAAAACTCTTCGATCGTTTTTTTATTGACCGTTTTCACTAGTTATGAAAGAATATCGATGGAGAATGAATTATCTGAGCTTGCTACTGATTGGTCTAGGCACCATCTTCCCTATTATGATTCATCTCTTTTCTGATTGGATCATTTTCTTCCATCGATCAAATGAGTCATAAAATATTTTGAAAGACAAAAGAAAGTATTCTTCGTATTCTCAATCCCTTCATTTCCATCATCTATCATGGCATTGAAAGCTGAATTGCACGATAAGTTAAAATCTCTTGGTTATGAATTAGGTCCATTTGCTTCAAAAGATACCTTATCTGCGGTCTTATGTCTTCATTCTGTGGTAAGTGAAACGCATTGAGATTATGTCTATTGATGGTACATTTCTAGGTTACGACTCAACATGATATCAATGTCGCGAAATTAAACGATCTTGAACTTCGACGGCAATTAATTGAATACGGTTTGAAAGTTGGACCCGTAACAAGTAGGTCGTAATTGTAATTTTAATCTGAATATTGAATATTTTTCTCTAGAACATACACGAGCAATTTATCAACGTAAACTATTGGAAGCGTTGACGCAACAATCGACTGAATGTCAAGATGATGAAGTCGAGATTGAAGAACCAGTTGTTCGAAAGGATTATGAGAAAAAATCGCTTTATCCCAATTTATATGATTCAAAATCATCAAATTACTCGAAAAAAGATGATTCACCAATCATACGTAATAATTACAAGCCTACCAAAGATTTCACCAGTCGTAATACGTTCGAGTAAGTTCAATTATTCTTTCGATTATCAGATCTTTATTTTCCTATTTGACAGAGAGGTTAATGAGAGTCGATCACGTTTACCCACAAAACCGACTGAAGCTAAAAAATCGTCTGTTGATGATAATCAACTAGCTGTGGCAAAAAGTAAGCAAAAGACATTTGAAATATTCTTGTATTGAATCTATTACTTTCGTTTAGACAGTGGTAGTTCAACACTCTATGTTGGTATTGCATTATTTGTGGCAATTATTGTCTTTTTTGGTTATTTATGGTTGGAAAAATAACTTCAAGTGTTTTTTGTTGTTTATACATGTCATTTAGTAAATGTACTAGTGTGTCTGTGTGTTTACTACTGTTTTGAATTTCTTTTTCATGAATAAAATACAAGAAGTATTAGAATTTTAAAAGAAAACAATGTTTAAAAGAAAAGGCAGAACAAAGTACCTAATGATGGTATAGTTTAAAACCTATACAAGCTGTTTTTCACAGAGATGCGGAAATGAAATTATCGTGACTCAATGGGCATTGTTGATTTCATTGAAAACTGTGACTGTATCGATTTTTTGACAGTCTCAGACGGTTTTTGGTGATTTTTAATGTAGCGATAACCATTTTTCTGGAAAGAGGAAACACTCGCGTATTCCGACTCTGCATTCTGAATTGTTACCAAGTTACTAGAAAAATTTTCGAGAACTAACGTTACATTCGGGCTCCTCGACCTCGATTGCTCCCTGGTTGTTTTCGAATAAATATGTTTTAGTTTTCATTGATCAATAGTGCTGCAATCTGATTGGATTGGCCAGACTCACAAAATTAATGTATTTTTGATGATCTTACAGTCTTTTCTTTCGGCCAAAGGAACAGGTAGGTAAAACGAATCTCGACCAGAAATGTATTCTATTTTACCTTTATGACAATATCATACGCGAAGCTAGAAGAAGTACTTTCGAATTACATTTTATTTTGGTCATGAAAAATATATTCTAAAGGTAAGAACATACCTACTGTTAAGGACAAATCAGTTGGCATATCAGTAATTATCTTCCTTGCCTACAATTAGTAGACCATGAATCACTCAAATAAAACATATAGGAGTTCTTTTTTTTCTATTTGAATAGTATCAGTAATCCCCTACAACCTGGATATAAAAGTAAATGCCTCACAAGCGATATGACGTATGCAGGAAGAAAAGTTCGAATGGAGAACGTTCTTTTCTGCGGAGGCAGTAGAATCGCTATAAGGGCTGATGATGTATATATTTGACATTTGAAAGAAGCACTTTTTATCGTACAAAAAGGTTGTAAGCGAATCTGTGGAGTAGCTTCCAAATTTACAATAAGATTTTCTGTCAAAAACGAGAATGATCGGCTTATCTAATTATCCATATGCGACATACGAGCCAAATCAAATAGCTGCTGGTATTCTTGCTGGCGTCATTGGTATATCGTTGATAGGATGGCTGGCGCAAGCGACTCGAAAGTTTCGTCGACTTATTATTCTTCTGACCATTTCCCATTTAACCATCTTCATCGAACTTGTACTTCGTGCAGCACTTTCTAGTAGTGAACGCAAATCTAGGGCTTCTTTTACTGCAACATCGGTTTTACTTGCTGTAGGTCAACGCACGATTATCTTAGCCAATTACGATTATATCGTTCGTGTGGGCGAAGTCAAACCTGCCATTTCTCGATGCGTTATTATTGGACCTATTTTAATCGCATTGATATCAGCCGCTCTGATGATTCCAGCTGGAATGTTATCCTACGATAAGAGCACGATTCCTCAAAGTTTTGTATTACGACAAGCCTCAGCGGCGATTGTTCTTGGACTAACTATTCTTTTCTATCCAATTTGGTTTGCGATTAAAACATGGAAGGATATGAAAAAACAATCTATCATTCGTTTATTAATCTCAAGTATTGCGTGTTTAAGCGTCGCTATTTATCTTCAAATTACTTCTATTCCTGATTATTATATAACTACAAGCCACGAAGAATACTGGTTCTATATCTTTCAGTTCACACCCATAGCTATTGCACTTCTGACGTGGACATTGTTACATCCACGACGCAGTTTGCAAGCAGATATCAGCACATCTGAACTTTAGTGACACTATCACATTCGGTTAAGTACATCACACACACAGTTGATGTTCGTATGAAGAAGAGAGATGTGACTCAACTGTAGTTGTGCTCGGACATCCAAAATCAGAGCTAGAGTCTTGAATTCGCTTTTGTGTTATATGATTCTATTCTAAAATAAACATATTGAACGTACTTTTTCTCCCATCTACATACGACATCTTTCGACATTGAAGTTTATTCAATCATTCTATTGCATGCGTGTAGAATACCAAAGTGAATAGCAAATTGTTGCTTTAGTTTATTGGATTGTTACTCGGTGTGTATTACGCCTTCCTTCTTCACCTACCCTCTTTCAATTTATTATCTTTTTTTATATCTCATTTACTAGGTCATAGCTACTCTTTTTTTTGCTTCCTTATTTAAGATACTATAATCATGCCTTTACGTCTTCGACACATACTCGATCGATTGCCATTGCCATCTCTTCGTTATTATACGTTGATTAGTACGTCTTTATTTTTTGGTAATATATTCTATTATCACCATTTAATACAAACGAATGATATCAATTCAACAAATGAAACTCTTGTCAATGGCACAAAGTTTTTCTCCGATGCAAAGCCATTCTCCTTGGTATACATGCAAACGTTATTTTCGATTATTTTATCTCAATCCTTATCCTTATTGGTAAGACATTGACTTACATATTTGTACAGATTGCTCAATTCGTTCGTTGCTAGATTCTTGTCAATGCGATCTACTGTACAATTGGCTTGTTTGGCAAGTACTTACAAGAACTCATCTTTGGTGAATTACGTTTAGTCGAATTGCAACGGAGCAAAGAGAAACTTTGGAATTATGCATTTTATAAATTTTGTTTTCTTTTCGGCGTACTTGGTTTAGAGAATTTGAACGAACTCGCACTTTGGATTTCGTGGTTTTCAATCATAGCATTTGCAATTTCGTTCTGTCAACTATCGAAAGATCGCTTTGAACTAGTAAATTGTTTTCCTTGAATTCACAGCGAATTGATCATCGATTCGTTTTAGATGTCAGTTTCTGTCTCCATTCGTCGTCGGCTACTCCTGAAAATCCTTGCTTTACTTATTTGTTTACTTGTTTTATCTGGCATTTTAGTCGCTATTTGTTTTCTTGTTGGCTTGAAATATGGCGGTCTCTCCGTATTTTTCTTCATGTTGGCAGAAGCAACTTTATTAACGCTCGACATATGCTATCTTTTGTTTAAATATACATTTCAATATTATATCTACGAACAACAAAAACAAAATCCACTAACCACATCGAATGAGTACCGGTCTTATGTGATTTATTATATCGAATTTGTGTACCATATCGTGACATTATTGATTGATATAATGCATCATTTGCAAATGTTGTTTTATCACCAGACATTCATGTCAATGACGTCATTAATATTTTTCATGCAATTGAAGCCATTATTTAATGAATTAACGCAACGTTTAAAACGACACAAATCATACCGAATTGCCATGATACGAATGGAGAAAAAGTATCCACTTTTAACTAAGTATGATTTGGAACAGAAGTATCTCAAACAAAATTATGTATCAAGTCTGGACGAAGTGTGCTCGATTTGTTGGGAGAAATTTGAAAAGGCAAGATGCTTGCCATGCGGTCATCTATTTCATCAGAATTGCCTTCGAAGTTGGCTCGAACAAGATACCACATGCCCAATATGTCGCGTTTCCCTCCAGGAAGAAACCAGTCAACAGACGCCTACACCATCCGCACCAATCATTTCGCCGGCGCCTAATTTTCTTCTTTGGCCATCATTGACGCTTGCTCGTTTCGCTCGAAATGTTCACGGTATGAATGATACAACAGGTCAACGTCCACCACGGAATCATCTATTTCGCTTTGATGGAAGCCGTTATTCATCTTGGTTACCTAGTTTTTCAATCGAAATCAATCACAATTTTCCTTTTCGTCTTGGACGTGCTCGTCTTACCGGTGTACAATTAACCAGCATGGCTCAAAGTGTTCAACAGGTTTTTCCTCAAATTCCATATGAAATCATTCTGGCTGATTTGCAACGTACGCAATCTGTCGATGTAACTATTGAAAATATCATTGATCATCGTATTCGCATTGAGCCGCAACATGCTGCACATCAACAGGAGTCGTCGACATCGGAAGAATCGTCCTACACATCATCGGAAGCTTCATCATCCGAAGTCGGCGAACCGATTGATTCGGATCTGTTGTACGTTCTAAAGATCACTCTTTTCCTATAATTTATGTTCGATTTCTTAGATCTGATGCACCTCGGATACTCCAAACCGATGATTTGCTCGATACTGGTCATAATGATAATTTTGCATGGCCATTGGATCCACGGCTTCCGCTAGCAACCCGAAAACAACAACTGATCGCACACATGCGACGGTATATCCATTTGAAATGCTTTTGATTAATGAATTTCGTATTTGTTTTACTTTTTTTCAGACAATTCCTTGACCGTGAAAGACGTCTGCAATCATTGTCACAAAAAACAGATTTGCTGTCCGCCAATTGAATAGCTGCTCGTTCTTTTGTTAATATGTATATTTGTAAAAGCACCGTTTTCTCGCTTTTCCTACGTTTAGACTAAGGCAGATCGTCTTCTTTTCGTTTGTGTATCTTTCCAACTAATAAATCTTGTCTCTGTACTTGTGAGTGTCTGCATGCACGATATCTATTTGAAGAAAAAAAAACAGAATGGAAAACGAGCCTCGTTCGGCTTTCTTCGCCATAAACATTAATGAGAAAAACACGCAATTATGTATGTATTTGATGTTATTTTTATTGTAGAATTCATCATGCGACGAGGTGTTGGTATTGGAGGTATTAATCAACAAATTCTCGAAAAGGTAAAAGTTGTTTGTGTTGAAAAAGAACGTGGCGGTTCATTTTCGGTTGTTGTTTTAGGCAAAATTTAGCGAAAAAGGTTCCGAACTTGCACGTGACCATCTCGACAAGGTAAACATGTTTTGCTATTTTGACATTCGAGAAAATGCTCGCTGTTTAGCTTGCAAAACAATTCGAAACATTTCGCGATAATTTGGAAAAATTTGCTGAAAAACACAAGAATGAAATCAAGAAAGATCTCGCTTTTCGACGACAGTTTCAAGAAATGTGTGCAACAGTCGGTGTTGATCCGCTTGCATGTAAGATTCAAGACAGTCGATCGTCTTGCACATTGAGAATCTGTTTTCTTTTCCTGTTTAGCAAGCAAAGGATTCTGGTCCCAAGTACTCGGAGTTGGTGACTTTTACTACGAATTGTCTGTACAGATAGTTGAAGTTTGCGTGGCTACAAGTGAACAGAACGGCGGATTGATATCGCTCGATGAACTATTGTTGCGCGTCAGGAAAGCACGTGGTAAATCGAAATCGGCTCAAGATGTCTCTACAGATGATATTCTGCGCGCAATTAAAAAATTACAAGCACTCGGTGATGGATTTGCCGTGATTCAGCCGGCCAATGGGCAAGGACGCATTTTAATACAGTGCATACCAGGAGAATTAAGTATGGATCATACGACAATCTTGAATTCCCTTCAGACACGTTCGAGTTTTACTGCCGAACAGTTACGTGATCAATTTCAATGGTCAAATGATCGCATTCAAACGGCGATTAATTTTATGATCAAAGAAGGTCTTATTTGGGTGGACAACAATGGTCGATGTTCGGAATATTATTTTCCCGGTTTATTTACTGCACAGCGTGTAACTTCGGGAGAAAATGTTTAGAGATATCCTTTCTTTTCGATGTTTTCTTACTTTCTTCGAATTTTTTTATCTAATATTTAAGTTCTCTAAGTTTCAGATGAGTGAACATCATCAGCAATCGCACACAAGTGACAGTCGACATCATTTGGCTATATGGTGTCGAGCAGAAGTGTTTACGTTTGGTGCGTTGACGACGCCACCACCGCCAGATATTACTCCTGCAAGTTTGAAAGCTCTTGTCAAGTACATGAAGAAAAGCGGAACGGCTGGTTATCCCAAAATGAAGTAAATTTCTTCATGCTATGGCATATTCTATTCTAATAATTGTTTTTCGTTCCAGTTATATGCTTTGGCGACATATTGCTTGTTCGAAATTACATATGTCTGAAGAATTAGCGTGGATGTAAGTGTTAAGATCGATATAAATATGATTGTCTTACATGTTTGCGTGTAGGTATTTCGAAACGTACAGTATGTTAACCAACGTTTCATCACAACGGCGAATACAAACGGATATTCAAACATCGAAAGCGCATACTCCGACTGAAATCGGTTTGTTGAAAAATTTCATTTGAATTTAGAGTTGTTGAGTATATCTGATATGTTTAGAACGCCTCAAAGATTCTCGAAAAGTCGATAGTTTAGCGTTCATTCTTCTTCTATTTCTGCAATCATTCCATCAAATTGATCTGAAATCAACACTTTCTCGTGATGAGTCTGTATTGATAGATTGAATTCTATTCAATGATGTTACTTTACTATACAATTTAGATGGCCGAATCGCAAACGAAACTCGGATCTCGATGCCCGAAAGAATCGCGTATGTTTGCTGTCTCTTCTTCATCATTCAAATGAGAGATCTTTCTTTAGATTTATGACGAGCAAAGTCATCAGCTATTTATTCAAACACATTTAGATGATCTATTAAACATTGTTGCAGAAACACCAGGTATGTCCACACTCGAAAACAAAACGGCTTTAGTTTTATTTTGGTTTTATTATTTTCAAGAATCAAATGCAAGCGAAAGTGTTCAATCAGCCACTTTAAATATGGATGCGATTACAGCTCTTAGTTATATATTCGAAGGTACACTTCATGATAATCTTCGAAAGATTATTACATTCCATGAAATCCTTCAAAATCCATCGATTCAACATGAAATCGGCGTTGTAAGCAATGACATTTTCCCTTGAATATCGTCTCATTCACCCCACTTATAGAATAAATCGATTGTTCCATTTAAAAATCTGTCAAATCTAATTCGTCGTTCACTTATTGCAAATCCATTTCAAGTTGGCCAGACCATGAAACGTGGAACACTTTTACCATTACCATTCAATAGTCAGTGATCATGTCCGATTCTGTATGAGAATAAACAATATGTCTTTGTTTAGATCCTACTCATGAACAAAGATCTGGCCGTGTTCTATGTAATTCAAATTTCGCGGATGAACGGTTAGAAGGTTTTTGTCGAATGATTGCTCGATAGATTTTGTTCCTTTTAGACATCGATTTGTATTGATGACAATGATTAATCGATCTTTAAGTGATCAGGTAATGAAAAAAGAATACTCAAATTCAATTTGATTTTTCATTTCTTTATTTTCAGCAATCATCTGATATTACTAATGCAGAATTTCGTATACATCGATGCAGTTATTCATATATCTACATACTTGCTCCATTACGGTATCTATTCAATTCGATTTGCAACATTCAAAACTTGTCTTACATGTCTCTGTTTAGATGCGTTGAAGTTCGTAAATGTCACAATGTAACAATCGTTCTTGGTGCTGTTGAAACAACATTGAAAGTCACCGATTGTGAAAACGTTTCCATTTCTGCTGTATGCCGTCGATTACTAATCAGGTTTGTTCGCCAATCTTGAATCGTCTCCCGATCTACTTCAATCGCTTTTAAGTCAATGTCGCTCATCATCTTTCTATATCCATACGCCATCACGACCATTAATTCAATTGAATTGTGCTGGTCTGTTATTCGCACCTTACAATTCCTCTCATGTGGAATTACTTGAACAAATGGAACGCAGTGGTCTCTGCAAAGAACTTAATCTATGGAATAAACCATTAGTAACTCATCCAGCTGGATATGTTGATGAACAACCATGGTCTTTACTTCCACCAGACGATTTTTATCCTATCAGTTCGATTCGTTTGGAAGATCAACAAGCAGTAAGGATAGAATATTGAGAGTTCGACAAACTAGCTCGTTTGTTTTTGTCTAGGATGGTTTACTTCCACTTCCGGTGGAATATCAATCAGCAATGGACAAACGACAAAAGTCAATTTCGACTCTAGCTAATGAAATTACGGCTGCTCAATTGAATTCGGAACAACGCCAACGTTTTCAACGTTTTGTTGTGTCAAATTTCGAAGCATGGCTTGATGCAACAGGAAATGCGAAAATTTTGAATCATCTATCAAGTTTACAACAACAATAATCTCGATATTCTTTCTTTCTTCTTTTCTCTCTCTCTCTCTTTCTCTCTCTCTCTTTCTTTTTTATACGAAAATCGTGACATATTTGTACAAAAAAAAAATCATCACAAAAATTAGCATACTAAAGTAATTCCATCCTTACTTTCTTCTATTTCTCTTCTGACAAAACACGAAAAGAACAGATAGACAAACAAGACATGTATTTATAAAAATCACCGGAACAACTCTCATTGTCCTTTACATACGAAAATAAATTAGGAATAATATGTCAGAACATTCTTTTGATTGCCACGTAAGAATAATAATGGAGGTAAATTGTAACTAATCGCATCCAAATATGCGAGATAAAGTCCAGCGGATATCGATTGTTTCCGTGGAATGGGTAACGTACTAAAGGGAAGTCATTAGTTAAGATTTTAGTGCATAGATGATCATGGATACTTACACGATAATAAGTGTTGATTGAGAACTGTGTTCGATTAGATACTCGTGAAGGTTAAGTCCTCGTTTAATCTTTTCTTTGTTCATATCTAACTCAATGTCTAAAATTCTCCATGATTCATCCGTTGTCGAGAGATTTTTATTGTTTTGATGCCAAGCTTGCAGAAGTTGTTGGAATTTTTCGGTTTCACGTTCGTTCGGTTGTTTGTTCAAACCGTGAAGAACATGTAAATCGGTGTATTTTATACGAAATTTTGTTAATAATGATGCCATAGCCACATGTTGCCTTTCTGCATCAGTTTTATCTCCAGGTACGCATGAAAATATTCGAAGTTGACAATTACGCCAACGTTTTCGACGTTGCAGTAGGTACGGTAATAGTAAGGTTAATCCACCATCATCAAACAACCACCAAACATCGATCGTGTCAGCTGAGGTTTTCTTTGGACCAAATATATCCATGGTTAGCGAAATACCTTCACTTGCACCCGCATTTTTCAATATTAAACCGTCTATTTGTTGTGCGGCACTGTTGTTTACCTTTGGAATACGTCGTAGCGGACTTGAAATAACTGATTCATCGTTATCGTCGTCATCATCATCTTCGTCGTCAGGCAGATCTGAAAAATACAATTTCATACATGATGGAAAATGTTCGATATAGAAAAACAACAATATCAGTAGTACCCGGTTGAAAAAAGTCACTTTCATCAAGTCCTGTCTGTAATCGTAGAATGCCAATACCATACTTGAGATGCAACGCGTCATGAATAATATTGAAATAATCGATGGTTGCAATTGCATTAGCCGTCCAGTCATTCTTAAAACCGAGCACAGCGACATTTGGTCGCATTTTCCCTACTCCGACACACTGCATAAACACATGAAAGTTTGTTTACATGAATACATACAATATTTTCATTGACATACTTGCAATAGTGCAATTGCTCCTTGTCGAAGACTAGGTTCGACAACAGGTTGATAGAATGCTTTTGCCGTACGCTGCTTTAACCAAGTTTCTCCATCGTCATTCTGTTTATACGGTAGATTTACTGTTGGGTCGTCCTTTGAACGAAATCAGCCAATATTTTTCAATACAAATCAAGTGATTCCTTTTTTACGTACTATGATAACATTCCCACAGATCATTAAACTACGGCCATGAGTAACCAAGGAACAAAGATCAACTAAGACTGAACGATGAATTGGATTCCCAGTAAACACCAACATTTGAGGTCGGAAATTTTTCACATGTTCTTGAATAGCATCTAGTTTATGAGTTGCGTCAAGTGCACGACGGTACGTATGTGCATGAGCCGTCGAGCCCCAGTTGATCTCTAGAGGGATCCGTCGTTTAAACTTCACTGATACTAAACAAACTTTATACCTGGTTTTGTTGTTCGAACGTAAAGATAGATTCCAATCATCACCAAGAATGTGATCAAAGCCGCCCACCTTATTAGACATAAGCTGTGTGGAATACTTCTTTTGATGAATCATTCTTCTTACCAGTTAATGATAAACATAACAGCAACACAAGATATAGCTCCTGTTAACGCTAACCATTTGTTATAGTATCGAAAACCTGGTCGCCATCCACTGGCTTTGGCTAGTGAAGCATCAAAACATGCATAATTGACCAACGCATAGGTCATAAGGAAAAAATTTGAAATAATTGGTGCAATCTTATTCAGTTCGCCTATAAAACGAAGTAAAGAACTGAGAGTGAATCGTTTATGTCAAAAAGATTGTCTTTACCAATCGCAGTAAACGAAACAGCAACAAGATACGTTAGGAAATAGGCCCGTATAGGTTCATCAGATTTTCCATTACCAACAGCAAAATACTTCAAACGAGGAAATATCATGTCGCGACACACCGCTTGGAAGATTTTCGGAGCACCGACCAGACTCGCTACAAACAAAGTCATCTTTCTCAATTTTGAAGTTGACTTTCAAATCTACCTAGAGCACTCGATAACGTTGCTGCAAAAATTCCAGCTAGACGAAAAGAAAATCTTGCAAGACAATATTCGTCATAAAAGCATATTTGAACAAACCAGTGATCAAAGGTCCAAAAGCGGCTATCATTTTCATTGTTTGATAGTTATAAACTAATCCTGATTTACAATTTTTATCATTCCAATGAATTGTGCAGTTAACGATCTGCATTGCACTACCATTACGACGTTCGTAGTAATCCACTGAAATTTTCCAGTCCGATGCCTTACTCAAATCAAACGCATGACTTACAAGCAATTTCACGATGAGTAGTACAACCCGAGATGACACAAAAGGCAAGATAAACAAATGTTGTTATTCCGATCGCTACATTAGTACCTAACGGAATAGCTTTTGACGGGTTCTAGGTATATGGAAATTATTCATGCTGTAAACGCGTCCTTGGGTTTGCATTACTTTTAAATTTCCCGATATATTTGCACCAGCGAGGATTCCTGTTACTGACGGAAAGAAAACGCCGAAAACATGCTGAAATGTTTCTCCATTGGTAAATCTCGGACCGAAATTTTCCTTAATTATCTTCCCTAAAAAGAATTTCACCAATTAATTATTCTTCTAATGACTTCCTCTTGTTACATGAATAGCCTTCGAAACCATGTCGACGCTTATACGATGTAACAGGCATCAATGAACCAATAAAAAAGTCCAGAAGTGACGCACTTAGTGTAATAAGTAGTGTAATTTGCACAATAGTCTCCCCGCGCATACCAATCAAGGCAATGCCCAAAATAATAGTCATTGTAATCACTCCTATCAAGACGAGAATTCATAAACAAGTTGTTCACTATTTATATAAAAACACCTACCAATAATGCGTACAATATTCACTGATTCTCCATCGATTACTGTTCCAAAGATCTTCACTCCATACTCCTACATATCTCTATGAATTATGAAATAATCTGCAATTCAACTTGAGTTACTTTCAGAAGATCACGAACTGTTTCAGCAAAACCAATTGTATACATCGCTGCAGCAACTGCGTCTATTCAAACAGTTAGTAGAATCTGACTGAATATTCGACTCGTCCTTACTAACGAAAGAAAATATCAAGCCGATAGCACCTCCGAATTCCGGACCAAGACTACGTGAGATCAGATAATAAGTTCCACCACCCTTGACTTCGCCATTCGTACATATCGCACTCATTGATAATGATGTTAGAATAGTGACGACCGTTGAAATGATGATGATTATACACGCTAAACCAATACCGGCTTGACCTGTAACCCAGGATAGACGAAGAAACAGCATGACACCGAAGATGTTCAATACGCAGCGAATCTATCATAGAATCATGAAAATCGTCTTAAGCTAAAGCAGATAAACGACGTACAAGAACGCCAATAATCCATCCAAATTTAACAATTTCAGTTTTTGGTTTAATTTCTGCTTTGATTGGTTGATCAGATGGTATCATAACTGAACTAACCATTTCGCTGTTCAGATCGATCGTTGATGCCAAATTCAGTTTTGCTGACGCGCATTTTGTCCCATGCAACGCTTCTAATGTTGGTCGAGTTTTTGGCTCTGAAGATGTGAATGAAAATAGATTTCGATAATGATCACTATGTGGTAATGCTTCGATCGTGTCATAGGTGCCAGGTTGTTCATTAACCGTAAGACTGTCAGTCTTTTGATCGAAAAGCATTTTTTTCTTCGATTCATTCGAATTTGTCGATGACGTGAAATCTTTCCAAAATGAATCAAATAAAAACTGTTCTATGATGATTTCTTCAAACACTTACTTATCGGAACACTTGATGTTTTATCTAATACCTTTTTTGAATTCGAAGAATCTTCGGGTCCATCATCGTCGTCATCAAATACTTTTTCAATTTGAAACCGAACGCTACTTGTCGATCGATCTAATTTACTTGACTGAGCAATAATTTTATTAATCGAATTATTCGCATTAGACATTATTGAGAATTGTAATCATCTAGAAAACATATTAATTTTGACATCGAACTTTCTCACGTCGTCATATAGAATGTTAAGCTTTTCTCTCCCTCTTTTCTACACGCTTTAAGTAATGTTTTGTTCCTATTTTTATGCATTAAAATATTCTCAAGTCTATCAAAACGAAAGACAACAGCTCTGTGAAACGTACGCTGAGTACAAATCACTAATGCCGCTTCACGTGTTGTTGATACGCGACAGAAAGGTAGAATAATATTGACAAAAGGTTCAATAGAAGAAAAAACTCTAAGCATACCACTCCCTGAAAATCTTCAAACGAGTTCAGCAAGTGAGGTGCATGTTTTATTTGAGCTTTTTTTTTCTGTCTACTTACTTCCCAGAAGGGGAACATACTCATCAAGGTCCGCAATAAGCAACTAAAGACACGCACTTAGAAAAACGGAAAAAATGATAGAATACGAGACTTGAAGAACGGGAAAAAGAGAGATTCCCATTACATTTTTCTTTTGCTTTGTTCGGTTTCTCTCGCACATGGAATTGAATAACTTGACTCATGTTCTTGAAAAGTCAATCAAATAGCTTTTAAACTGAAAGATTTTCATTCCCGTGAACATTCCTCACTTTCAACATGTCCTCAGAATAGGATATAATGAACAGCGACAGAACAAAAAATAAATCGAGTTTTTCCTTTGTGACTAATGAATATACATATGAAAGGAAAGAAAACTGTCGCAGTGATCAATACTTTTTCTCAAATGAATTGATGCTCTTGCATAATCAATCATTCTATTCATAATAATCAAATCGTAGTTGACTCACGGGTGTATAGAATCGACTTAGTAACGATTACATATGTTGGTTACCGAAACAAGTAACGCACTTATAATTAACAGCTCCCAATCGATTCGTCCAGACATTCTTAACACCAGTACATGTTTATCTTTGCTTTATGTAAGAAAAATATTCCACCGTTCTCTACGACTGACCTTGGCACGTCTCACCAGGACATACAGCTGTGTAGCAGCAGTGGTTTGTCATAGAATCAATACACAGGCATTTCTATGCCGAAAGAAAGCTTCTCGAATTGAATTTCAACAAAAGCTGGCGCCAAGTACAATGACGATATAGAAAACTTCGATAGACGCAAGGACTGACTGACAGCGATCATGTAAAACTGCGATGTCATTTTTTGCTTGTCTGCTTCAAGACCTTGTATTGACTCGAACAATGGATTCTTACTGATGAATGACATCATTATGAAGTGAAACACGAGATTTCTGAATGACAAAACTCGGTGTCAGAAATAAATGTCGTCGTACGAGTTCATTTCCTTTTCCTGAGAATTAGTTTCTCTTCTTGACACATTTGACACTCGCCATTCATCGCATTCAGCATCAAGGATTTATTTAAATTTGATCATAAATAGCCGGATGAAACACGATCGGCAAAGGTGCGGAAAATCGTACCTAATAAAATCAATAGACTGATTAGAATGTTTTTCTAATCAAGACAACCACACGTGTATTGTCTCTGATGTTGGCGTGTTTTTTTTATGAGGACATTCATGAATCGAAATGCGTCCTCCGATCCACCGGAATGTTATCATCTCGATATTCGTCCTATTGCATCAAAGTTTACTTGATGATTAATAGCTTCTCTTGAGATTTGCTTCGAGTCTTTTTATCTTTGTGATGATTTGCTTTTACCCAATGTTCTTTTAATTGTTCGTATGTTCGATAAGATGGATGAGACATGCTGCTACTGAATTATTTCAATTGCCGATCATAATCATTTTTATTGTCATTCGTACTCGTGTTAAGCTTGCCTCGTTAAAAGCTCATTTTTCATTTTTCTTCATCGGTCTACAGGAACTGATTCACAAGACAATGATCTCCTCCTGATCAAGACGCGCATTGCCTGGTAGCTATTTTTCTTTTGATTAGTGATCGATTGAGCGGCGAATTCTCTCTTTAATTGTGTTACATCAATATCACACCGCTTGAGATTGTCAGAAGAAAGAAGAATGACTTTCACAACATTGAATGCTTCATTGAACACGGTTGCATCTTCTTATAATTGAGATACTCATACTCGAACAATCTTGAGCCAATGGAGAAGATACGTTTCCATCGACCTTTCAACTCGTTAGCAACCTTCCGAAAAAGGACGAACACATCCTTTTATCTCTAATACAATTCTTCAACACTTATACTAGACTGAAAATGATATGATTGTGACAGTTATTTCAACTCATTCATCTTTCTTTACTGACAAATGAGTAATGCATTTTACCTTGTTCTTTTCACTCGCATCACTTCCATTCTCTTTACTTCTATCGTCAGTTATCATTAAACGAAATTCATTACCATTGATTGGACATACTTTTACTTGTTTCAAAACATAGACGTGCTCGTTTTCTTTTTTTCACTACTATTTACGTGCACGTACTAGGTAATAACAACTTCTGTCAACGATAATAAATGCATTTTGATCATGCGTGGCGTATGGTTGGATAGGAGAAGAGAAAAAAACGAAATAAGGTAATTATACCTATACAGAGAGTAGAAAAGTATCTGCTCGCCTATACCATAAATCAAATTTGGCAAGTTAGAAACACCCTCGTCGTCAATCACGAATGCAAGAAAATGGTTCTTCTCTTTTTTCTCTCTCATTCGCGGAGATCGCTTCAGGGTTTTGTCTCAAAATCTATTTGATGTTTGATTTGTTAACACGTATTTCAATAATATGACACTCTTCGCTTTATCTTCCTGTTCTCGGTGATTTTATTGGTCGGCGAGAAAATTGTCTTTTTATCGAATGAGAAACGAGAAAGAGGAAAGAGAAAAAAAGCAGAAGCAACTCATCCATATTACAATATATTTCTTTTGAGAGAATATCGAGAAAATCATTTCAACTTTCATAGACATCAAACATTCCATTCGAGATAGACTATATTATGGTTAAAACTGAACATAATCACTCGGTATCGTCTTGGAATAATACGACTCATCAATCACAACCGGATTACTACATGAATATGCCGTCAAATTCTTATGGAAGCGCAAGTTTAATGATTAGTGACACGAATTCAACTACCGAGAAAACTTCCTCGTCATCAACAACTGACTTTAATTCACCGACATTGCCCAATCGTAAAGAAATTTATCCGTGGATGAATGAAAAGAAACATGGAAGTAAAAAATCGAAAAGCAATGCAAAAAATCTCAACACAACTTCGACCTCTTCAGCATCTTCTTCTTCCGGTAAACACTTTTTCTTCAAATTTTCATTCAAAGTGAAGAGAATTTCCTAAGACTATCTCGAGAGAGAGAGTTATCACGCGAGAACCAACATTAGATTTCATTGGTTCGTACTAAATCATGGAGAAAATTTCAAGGATCAATGATTTTGTTATTGATATTACAATGAAAAACAACAAAATTGTTTATAAAATGCTCACAAGTGTCAATCTATCGAAGGAAATTTTTTTCCCTTTGCATATTCTCGATGATATACATGTTTTTCATCTTTCTATCTGCTTGCAGACCGATGTAGAACTTTTGTAAGACATTGATAAATGAGTGTATCATTACTCATCTAATGTCATGCTGTCTTTTTCTTCGAGAATAGAGAAGCTTATCATCGATGGAATATAGTTTATTTCTTTTGCATAGATAAAAGCAATTCAGCACCGTCGAAACGAGCTCGAACGGCTTATACAAGCGCTCAATTAGTTGAACTTGAGAAGGAATTTCTCTATAGTAAATATCTAAATCGACCTCGACGGATTGAACTCGCGCAAACACTTTGTTTAACTGAACGACAGGTAAGAGATTTTGATTTTCTTTATGAAAATTTCAACACACACACTCTCTCATTTTATCTTTTCAATTTGTGGTTTGCAGATTAAGGTAAACAAATTCCCTGACATTTAGGTGAAAAACTCACTCTTGTATGATATTTAGATATGGTTTCAAAATCGTCGAATGAAAGACAAAAAAGACGGCAAAAATCGCACATCATATACGAATGGATGTGGAATGCATCTGAACAACTCACCCCTAGCAACATCAACAACTGAAAAAGATGACTTAACTCTCCGTTCCTACCATTCTTCTCATCCTCATCATGCTTATTATCAACATCAACTTCCTCCTCCTCCTCCGCCGCCATCGTCATCAATGTCCGTCCCATTTCATTCTCAAGTTAGTTACAATTCACAATCATCCGCAATCGATACATATGACATGTCGACGAGCTATCCAATGAAACAATCGAATTACTATACTAATGGAAATCATCACAAGTTAAGTTACAACTCAACATCATACGATAATTATTACTTCAATCCAGAAAATTCAACGATAAATCATCAACAATCCGGTCCAATGTTACCATCGTTCAATTAAAACACTGTTTCTGTTGTTTTTTTCTCTAGTCTTATATCAAAGTTTTCTTTTGTACAATATATCAATTGACTAAAAGCATATATGGACACGTCTGCACCATCCATAAACGTTATGGTGGTGGTGTTAATACGAAGGAATGTTCGTTAAGATACGGTTGTTCGCTTTTTTAGTTGAGACTGTACAAATGTGTTTGTATATGAAAAAAGAAAAAGGTGAAAACGAAAGCATTTCACGTTCGTGATTTTGTGTAGACATATCTTTTGACGTAAGAAGGACGAATGATGGCTGAAACAAGCCCAGCGGAGAAAAAGATACACTTTCAGTTTATACCTGTACTCACATAAAAATCGATCAATGTCACAGAACTTCTACGAATAACCTAACATTATTATTCATTGATACATCATTTTTGATAATAATTCGTTAATTTCATCTCACATTCGATAAAGACTAACAAGGAACGAAAAAAATGATTTCATTTTCTGAAGTACGTTGTTGAAACGAGTTATCTTTCTCCTTACTTTATATTATCCTTTTTACTCTTTCTTCAGTCAATCATCCGTGCAACGAACAATATACTTTATAACGCATAAAATGCACAGTCATTTACGATTCGAATCAAGTAACATTCATTCACAATGATATCTCCGACACCAGTACAAATTATGACCACTCAGCCACTGAATCAAACGGAATCAGCAACGGATACAGCAGAATTATCTACTGTGACTTCGTAAGTCAACTCAGCCATCGTTAGTAATTATTCTTCTGTCGATTTCAGATCATCACCATTATCAACTGAAACCGATCCACGTTTAATTGATAAACCCGAATATTTATCCCAATTACTGAAAGATAAACGACAACTAGCCGTCTTGCCTAGTAATTTATTCATTCATATGGAACGTTTACTCGATCAAGGTACGTATTTTTGACTCGATAATCTGCTCATTCTTGTTACTTATTGCAGAGATCAATAAAGTTCGCATGAATTTATACAGTTCAAATTGTCCACCACAACTCAGTCTACCTGAGATTACCGGCGAACGGAAAATCTTCCAGGAAAAGATCTACATTCCTGTCCAACAATATCCCGATGTAAGTTAAGGTCAAAACAAGATCTTTTCAATTAGTCGACACAAAACCGATCATTTCTTTTATTATCATTCTCTACTTCTGTCTATCGGAGTTTGAAAGTTTTCATACTCTAGATTTGCTAGTACGGCGATCTGTATAAATCTCTACGGTAATTTCTAACAAATCTAGTCGAAACAACGTTCCTTTTTATCTCAATCCGACAAGCAAAACCCTCAACTTCACTTCTCTTTTGATTCTTCAAATACCCCTTCTTGTCTATCTTGATCCATGCTTATGCACAGAACAACCCAATCACCAAAATAACGAAACTAATTTTGTGTCATTCAATCTGTTGATATAATATAACCCAAATGATACTTTTCCTCTAGTATCCTACCTGAATTATTCGGATAACCTGCATAACAGTTGACGATCATCTCAACAAAACCTTAGTTTTGTATTGTTTATAGTTTAATTTTGTCGGACGTCTTTTGGGACCGCGAGGAATGACATCGAAACAATTGGAAGCACAAACAGATTGTAAAATCATGATCCGTGGTCGAGGATCTATGCGAGACAAACAAAAAGTATTCGTAGACAAGTCTTGTATCTCTTGCTTTTTAGATAGCTTTATTTTTGAATAGGAAGAACTTCATCGTGGTAAACCCAGCTGGGAACATTTGGATGACGATCTCCATGTTTTAATCCAATGTGAAGATTATGAAAATCGCGCTAAGATGAAACTCGAACGAGCGAAAGAAGAAATCAACAAATTATTAATCCCATCGGTAAGTTATTTATTTTCATCTAACAAAGACAATTGCGTTTCGTCGTTTTTCATTAGACAGACGGTGATGATTATATCAAAAAGAAACAATTAGCCGAATTAGCCATTATCAACGGAACATACCGTGATTCGAACTTCCTAGCCAAAAGAACGCTGTACACCGACAATCAGATACCAATCGGCGCCCCCTTAATTATCACACCACACATTTCGCAAGCTTTTCTTTCAGAATCTTTTCCATCGACGATGACCCCAAATTTATTTACACCAACGCATACACCGCCAATATCTCAAACATCATTCATTTCAAATCAGGACCCGAATTTGGTTCAAATCTTAGCGCCACTGCCGACCTTTGATCCTCTAGGAGCAAGTTTTGTTACCAATGGAACACATTTAGTTGAGTATCCCAATCAATCGAGTACGATCAATTTCTACTACCAATCCTTCATGGGATTGTCGTTCTTCTATTTTTAGCATATCCGGTATTTACGACGCCAACATCAACGACAGGTATTATAAACAATGAGGAGAAGAAGAAGAAGAAGAGAGAAAAATGTTTTGTAGGAAATAATAAAACTTCTTCACCTATAGAAATAATCATAAATGAATCTCTTTATCTAATTTGATTTTCTTTTTCTATTGTATTAGGTATATCTCCTCGCTCTATGGTAAACAATCCTTCGCGACATGCAACATCGTCGACGAGTGCCAGTCTTTCTGCTCGATATCAACCATATACGATTCAATCACCTCATATAAAACGTCCTTGAGTAGGTGACTTTTTGGTTTTATTATCGAAATAACCAATAAATCGCTATTTATTCATGAAGTGTACGTTTTTTTATTTGCCCGGGCATACAAAATCAATGCGGGAAGCAACGTTCTGTGAGAAAAGTAATAATTAATATGGAGTGAGAGAAGTATACGGAAGCCGACATTCTCCCCAGCATTTTGATTTTCAAATTAGACTGAAAAACAAGGTTTTTTTTTCATATGAAAAGCGACACTTACAACAAAAAATGTCTCGGTCAGGCGACATCGAGATTGAAGTGTGTGTTTATTAATTATCTCTCCTCTTCGAAAGCAACGAACTATAAGAGCAAATCAAATAAACCCCCAAGAGTTTATCTCCTTTTGTTCCAATGCGAATCCTTCGCACTCACGATGTTCTTATTAGAACAAATTCATTCGAATAATTCAGACATTTAACTAAAACTTTGCAAGAAGAACGTCTAGTTCAAAGAAAATGAAACGCATTCGTATATTATCATTACTAAATAACAAGTTCATGTCAAAGAAATGATGAATGAATGAATATGCATCGGGGACATACAAAGACATCTTGTCAGGCCACAAGTAATATCAATGGACGAGAGAACAAAAGATCTTTTTCATGAAAATATTTGTGAAAAAAACGTTATTTTTCTCTTTTATTCTCTCCTTTATGCTCAGTCACTCGCCTTATTTACATACATACATATATATTATTCTTTTACTGTGACAGATGGACGATAAATACGTCGGTGTCTATGTACTAACAGAGAGAATCTAGAAAATCATTTTCATTCTTTATCTTCGCCATCGCAAATCGAACACCATTCGAGTGATACCACGAACAAACAGACATGAGTCACACTTTAGCAAGAAAATTCGATAAACTTGTGTCGAAATTATCGAATAAACATAAAGATGTGAAACAACACATCAGCGATCCCATTGATTATCATTATTACCAAGAAGATCCTGTTAATAATGGCGAAACACAACCACAAGAATCGATTCTACAACGAATGAAACTTCACCTAGGTCATATCAACAAATCCGAGCATTCGCAACATCCTGAAGGTGTACCACCGAACCATGTTATCGTCGAAGATTTAAAGAATTCACCATTCAAAGGTAAAGAAACTTGACTTTATTGCTTTTGACAAAGACATGTTACTTTCTTTCCTCCTTCACATACAATGTTTCAATTACGAAGATGTACGTCATTTGATATGCATACTTTTCTTCTATATATATATATATATATATATATCATTCTATACTTGTGATAATAATGTCTCCCACTTGTAAAGTTTGACAATGTAATTGAGAAGAAAATCTCTTTCGCAAACATAAACTCCACTGTGGACTTGCAGAGTGGAATCAAAACTCCAAGAAGAAAACATCGCTTTTGTTCACATTCTCCTATTCAATGTCGAATAATTCTCGTTTTCGTACTTATATCACAATTGATCGCCCATTTGGTGACTATTACAGGCGGTTAAATCAAACCACGCGTACTCATCGTAAGTGATCGAATCTCTATCTGTCTCTATTCATCTTCAATAACAACAAAAAAAAAGGTCTGTGATGTTGAACAGGAAGTTAACCACTCAGTATGTGTCAAGTATCATTGATTCTTTGGGTATTGCTGTTTTGTATATATTATTAGTCAATATAAAATCACACGACAATGCATGTTGTCTTGCGATTGTGAAAATTACATATTAACATACGAAAGGCAGTTGGAGAGAGAGAGAGTAAAAAAGCGAACGTTTCAAATGCGTTTTTAGGTCAGGAAGACCTCTTTTCCTTGTGCTTTTGTTTGTATTGAAGGGTGCGCGCACAACAATAGAATAAAGAAGCCATTGAATTACTTTTGATGGACACGAGTTAATTAAAAGAAAGCCATTGAAGAAGAAAAAAAAAGTATCATATTTTCTTTCTCTCTTTCTTTTTCTCCTATAATCTATTGTTTAACATCCAAGAAAAATTGATACATCGTTTTCAAGGTAATATAATTTTTCTTCTCCGTTGTTCTTTACTAAACTATGTAATTTTCGTTCATTATCTTTTTTTTATTGTGGAAGAATAGGAGAGAGAAATAGAGAGAGAAACAGAGGGGGAGGAAGAAAACTCATCCTCAGATGAATTAGAGTTCGATGTCTAGTTTCTTATCCTTTCTTTACTTCTCTCGACAGTAAGTAATCGTTTAGATTCGATAGACGAAAGAGATCTGCTTTAGACAAAACTCCTATTTTGTCTTGATGTTCTGAGTTCAATTCAATTGAGATGAAAAGCATATGCGTGTAAGAATTCTCTTCTCCAGAATTGAGTGACGTCGTCGTGTTGTAGTACGTCTATTTTAGCGTGTAATCTGCAAGAAAAAACGATGATGATATAGAACAAAACATGAACTATGCTTTCTACTGCTAGTGGCGTTCTTACTGATCATATTAGAATCAGCATAGTCAGTCTTTGACGAGAAATGCACATACTATTGTTTCTCGATGTGACGCATGTCAAAGATGATAGTCATGCAAAGTTTCTTTTCTTCCTCATCTTCGTCATTAAGTTCTCCCATAAAATCATCTCAAGAGGCAATAATGAAATAGATTAATTTTTGAAATTATCATTTACTAAAGTGTAGTTTCTTTTTTTCGAAAGTGCTTTTGCTTCTGTCCGAATGGTTTCCAATTGATAGATTCGTTTTTCCTTTGTTATTTTTGTCATAATGTATATGTGTCTCGAGGTTGCCAGTTCAGAACGGCGATGACATCCATCATTTCGACTTGTTATTTTCTTGCTACATTTGCATTTGAATATGTCGCCATGATGATGTGCGTTTCTTCCCTTGTCAATATCCGAAATAATGAAATGATCTTCGAATGAATGTAAGACAAAAACAGAAAAGAATTATGATTAATGAGATGATCTAATGGCATAGAAACTTTCGAGAATTAGTCGTCTTGTTTTCCTTCCCCGTCATCGTCTTGCTACCTTTAGTTTATTGCCAATGTCATAAGGTCATTAATTAAACGTAATCAAAAGTCTTTTGTAAAGGTGATCATCGTGTCAGCGTGTGTCTGCAAAGAAGAAAATTTTTGTACGAAGCCTAATCATGTAGAATTCATGGTCGAAAAGAACTTTTTTCGCATACGAATAAAACAAAGAAGGGCTCATATGAATTCTTCTGTTATTTGGATTTCATATAAAAGGAAAAAAAAGAAATCTGAATTCACCTTTAGAATATATTTAATGAGTACGAGTCGCGTTTTTCACTGTGTAAGAATAGATAAGAGCTTCGTCGTTTTTCTTTATACTCTTTTACTTATTCATCGTCATTTATTTTAGTTCTTCTTACGCATGCACCAATGGGTAACGGTCCGTCTTCATCGTCGTCGTCGAATAATACAAGTTCGTCAGCACTCGGAGGTATTCCGAGTGAATTGTATAAACAAGCACGTGAAGAATTCGATAGTCGCTATGCAGTTCCAGCAACATTTACATTAGTTTACCGCGATTTTCAAATCCTTCGGCCACTCGGACGTGGCGCGTTTGGTTCAGTAAAAGAAGTTAAATGTATCCGTGATCCATTGCCTGATTACCTTCAATCGAGCGATAATTCATTGAAATCTCATCGAACTGCATTGAAAATTATTAATAAGAAAAGTGCACATAAAATGAAACAAGAAGATCACGTTGTCAATGAAAAACGCATCTTACAATCTCTCAATTTCCCGTTCATCATCCGATTTTACTTCTCGTTTAAAGATAATGCGAATCTTTACATTGGTTTGGAATTAATCGAAGGTGGAGAACTCTTTCGACACTTACGCGATTGTGAAAAATTCGATGAGAAAAAAGCAAAATTCTATGCATCTCAAATCATTCTAGCTTTAGAATATCTTCATTTGTTAGGAATTATTTATCGTGATCTTAAAGTAATAGACAGTTTCACATGACTTGCAACGAATCTTATTTCGACTTTGTTTTAGCCTGAAAATTTGCTCATCGATCGACATGGTTATATCAAAATGTGTGATTTTGGTGAGACTGTGGACTCTTGTTCGGATCTCAAACAATTCTTTCGAATAATTTTAGGATTTGCCAAAAAAATCGATCGAGGTAAAGCGTATACACTCTGTGGTACACCTGAATTTCTCGCACCGGAAATCATTCTCGGTCGTGGTTACAACATGGGAGGTAAGATAGATACCGAATGATGAGATACTCGATGAACTTCCTTTTCTAGTCGATTATTGGGCGTTGGGTGTGTTGATATTCGAAATGAATGCCGGTTATTCTCCATTCTGGGTAAATCATTCACTTTGGCCGATGAATTTCCTCTTCAAATTCATTTGTTTAGGATGCTGATCAACAAAAGATTTATCATAAGATTATCAACGCAAAATTTCGACCACGTTCTGCCTTTTCTGATAATTTGATTGATGTTATTCGTGGTTTACTACAGAAAGATTTAACCAAACGACTCGGTATGATGTTCAATGGTGTTAATGATATTAAAAAACATCCGTGGTTTCGTGATATTGACTGGTTACAGATCTTCTTGAAAAAAGTTCGCGCACCATGGATTCCTGACGTACGTGCGAATAACTTTCCAGACGCTGAAGATGAAGAACCAGCTCGTTCATCGGTTAATCTATATGAAAAAGAATTTTCTGATTTTTAATCTTTCTTTTCCTCTTTATCAGTGTACGTGTCTGTGTCAATTTTGCAATGTCTTTCTTTTTATTTTGTCTCTTCAATACTTACGAAATAAGTTCTTGATATTCAATTACAAAAAAATAACAATGTCTGGTGACAGATTTACTTGATCTTTTCAATGAATAATTCAATCAACAGGAATCAGTTAGATTAGGTTTGACAGGGAGACTAACAAAGCAGACTGAAAGACGCGAGCGTCATAAATACTGATTTGACTTCATTGCGATGCAGTGCACGGCCTCAGGCTATGAAAGAACTGTGAACACTGATTGTCATAGAAACTTGATCGATATTTTCTCATGGAGAAATCTGTTTTTTCCTTCGTGAATCACTGTTGTGCAAAGATCAACTTATTGGACTTTTTGTTTGTTGCTAACTGATAAGATTAAGTAACTCTACAAATAGTCTTGTTGCATTTGCTATTCTATCAGTTGTTATCTCTACTTCGAGTCACTAAACAATGGGCGGATCGGGTAAGAAACAATCTCTTATTTCGTATTTCGATTATTTCATCTCTTTACAGTGAAAGACAGCTGTTCTTCGTTGTTCAGAAGCGTGTTATTCTCGTATTCCACAGTTAAATTAGTTAAGGTGCCTAACACACCGATTGGCATACTCAATCGGATTCTTCAATTAGGTATCCTACTGTATATCATCGGGTAAGGATTTTTCGTGCTAACACTTACGAAAATTGTACTTTTTGAACTATTCCTTCAGCTATATTGTCGTATGGAAAAGAGGATATCAACAATTTCAAGAACCTCATGGAACGAGTGTCATCAAAGTGAAAGGCATCGCTCGAGTTACAGGAAGTGGCAATTCAACTTACTTCACGAGTACGTTTTCTTCCTCACTAGAAATAATTCCAATTGAATTTACCCAGGCGACGATACAAAATACATATGGGATACAGCAGAATATGAAATGCCGCCAATAGTATGTAGAGAGTATTTACTTTTCTCCTTCGTTTATCGAAGTTCTTTAAGGAAAACAATGCATTTTTCGTGGCCACACATCAAACTATAACCCGAAATCAGACACAAGGAAAATGTCCAACTGTAATTTCTTTACGTTTCTTCTCTTTTCATCACGAAATATCTCTTTTCACCAAATTAGGCATTAGATGATAAACTATTCTGTACTGCAAAAAACAAAACAATCTGCGTCGCTGGTAAACCAACGCGTAATACTTTCGGTAAGATAATTCCATTTTCAAGTCCAATCGCTTAATAGTCCTGCAGGCTTTTATACTGGCGACTGTGTTCCAAGCCAAGAAGATGACAATATCACCGTGTGCGAAATGGAAGGATGGTGTCCGGAAGAACTGTCCGATTCATTGTAAGACTCTTTTGAAAATTTTGATGGTAGTAGAAACTTTTTCATAGGGATTATGTTATCAATGAACAAGATCTACGAAGTTTTACGATATTCCTTAAAACAATGGTTTCATTTTCATTATTCAAAAAGAAACTGTAAGTTCATTAATCCATTTTACTTTCGAAGTATTTTTTGTCATTTAGACGAAATATTCAAACGGATGTGGATTTTCAATGCCGATTTGACGGTACTGCAGCAACTGCTAGTTGTCCAATATTTCCGATGGGCTATATTCTTGATCAACTCGATACCAATAAAACAGCACTTCTGCTTGAAGTAAGTCATATTGAAAAGAATTGATGATAAACGAATGGTTTGTTTCAGGGTGGTTTAATCGAGATTCTTCAAGACTGGTCATGTAATTTTGATCTTCATCCGAAATCATGTACTCCCAAGTACGAATTTTCACTTCTGCAAAGCGGTGACGACGCACTATCACCAGGAATCAATTATCGGTAGGACACAACATGTTTCCCGTGTTCTTCTAGTAGTTTCTTTTCTGAAAATGTTAGATCTGCACAGAAATATTATGAAGGTGGACGAGATCGTCGAACATTAAGCAAAGTCTATGGATTACGTTTTGTTGTAACCATATCCGGTAAAGGTGGACAATTCAATATTGTGAATCTCTTCGTTGCTATTGGTAAAATAAGCATCCGTTGTGATTTATAAACATATTTCCTTTGTCTCTGTATTTAGGCTCAGGTATTGGCTTTATGGTAATTGCAGGAATTGTATGTGACGCAATATTTATGTACGTTCATCGATCTCGTCGAAAATATCGAGAAGGAAAAATCAGTATATGTGAAGTGGAAGGCTATGATGCCATGGCCTAATCAGTGCTAGTTTGTTATGAAATAAAATCGTTTTCGGAATTAGTTATTTTAAGTATTCAGTTTTCATTGTCTAATATTGTCGATTACATTTATTCTCATTGATATTTGTGTTATACAATCTATTCGATATCTATATACATAAATGCGCAAAACATAACAAAAAAAAAAAGATTCTCCGACCGGGCTTTCCCTTTGACAAGAAATATCCAACGTATATACATCATTTGACTTTTCTCTTTTCTATTTAACGTCGACTAGTAAAACGTAAATATCTCGGATCGAAATTATGTTCATCCAATTTCACTGACGATTTCCTATTGTTCAAACGAACGAAATTCGTATGTAAAAGATCTTCATCAATGGCTAAGACTGCAGTAAGATCCAATGTATTATTATTATTATCACATTGATCTGTATCTATGTTGGATTTAAAACGACGACGATGTTGTTGGTCGCGCAGTTCTTGTTGTCTGTAGTTATTTTCAACTGTTGACTTTCCTATATGAGCTAGGCGAAGATCGATAAGAGTTTGAACGATGTCATCAGCACAAATTCCTGTATCGATACTAAAGAACGAATGCATGATGATATTTCGAATAGAAATTCACTTGGACAACAAACCTTAATTGAGTAACAGTGGCGTGGACCTGCGAACGGCGATATTCTTCGAGTTTAGTTAATATTGTTGCCTGCCAGTAACTTTTGTATGTCATTTGGCCAAGAGCTGATAGTGGCTTTTCTGGTGAACCTGTTTTCTTTTCCAATTTAGTTAATTCATAACCTAAACGAATGTACAGAAACATCCTTTGACGTCTGTTCGCTCGAAAAGGAAAACTCACTCAACGAAATGAGAAAACGGCCGAAGCCATTTCTTTGATAATGTGGTAATATCTGAAAACGAAACCCCTTAATTTAGATTTAAAGGAAGAAAAGAGCCATTTCATTACCATTAAACAAGCGAGATTGTAACACTCATCACTTAATTTTTCCTATGAACGAAAAAGTTCGAAGACTATTCACTTTGCAAAACGCATTTACTTTGGAAAAGTAACCAATAATATGCTGGACATTTTTCATTCGTTTGTCTGTTTCAACAAGAACGTAGAACAGAAATGGACTGACATCGAAATAGATTGTCTTCCGTTCGAGGAATAATTTTGCTAACAAACAGAGACATTGGCAGTAAAGCTAGAAAGTGAATCGTCGTTAAATGTCGACTAGTTCGTTCGAAATTTACTTGAGAGGCTATTCCGTCAACTTCATATACACATAAACCATTCGGATCTTCGTAAATTTTTCGACCGGGAGGATGACGACAATTGCATTCATTCTATTAAATCGATTTCCGTCGTTGCTTTCGATTTTATTATAGCAGATTTGCTCACCGTATGTCGATGATACTTCCGACTGTCGGAGAAATAACGCAAACAAAATTCGCAAATGAATAGTTTATCAACTATTCGGTTCTTCTCGTTTGATCCTTCGTCGGCATCAATGTATGGCGAATGAAACCAACAATCAATATCAATTTCTCCTAACTGTATTGATAAAATGTGCTTAGTATTATCTGGAATCTGAAACAGATAATGAAATCGATAACAATTGAATATAGGAAAGCAACTCTTACGTCGAGTTGTTCATCGTCATCACTGAATGAATCCTCATCTGCCATATGTAGCTCTTATCTAGAAAAGAAATTGAAATCGAAGTTTCATATTTCTCATACAAATTTATTCCGTAAACAAAATAACAAGAAAAGATGTTCAGACGGATGCCGATGTAGTGGGTATCGCCGCTACATTTCTTGCTTGTTTTTCTTGCAATTCTTTCTTGTAATCTATCAGAGCTTGTTCAGTGGGTGTTGGAACACGTCGCAATGTTCGATCATAGAAGGGGAACCGATTCGGTTGATTGTTCGCTTTAAATTCTAATTTATCAACGTGCCATCTGAAATAGTGATTGATTTTCAAAGCTGAAATACTCGTCGATTGGATTATAATGCTTACTCGTCGTCCAAAGAATTTCTTGTTGCATAACAAAAGAGTGTACCTGATCGTTGTGCACCTCGAATGGGCAGTTGAAACTAAAAGAACTGTTTTATCTTTCGTCAAGAGAAGTGCGATGGTTTACCTGTGCACTGAGAAGCGTCAATTTATTGAATTCATTGGATGTATCGATTTTTAGCGGTTGAATGGGTGCTACTAGTTTATCAGTAATGGGCTTGTAACCACGTGCCAATACTAATGCTTCATCGTAAAAACTCTTCTCGGTAAAAATGCCTTAAAAATTCTAGTTTGTATTCGAATTGATCGGTTTATTAAGAAATTTTCTACTTGGATTAGGTTTCACCATGAATTTGTATGTTGTATAACCCACGAGAGCCATTGTAGATCCAATTACGGCGAATTTGAATGCCATCAATAATGAATCAATTAATTAATATCAGAAACAATAGAATTGTTACTACTGTGTTTAGTAACCGCATCTCTCATTGATCAAGAGAAATTCTTTGTTCACAAATCAAATTTATGACAAATAACAGAATCGCGTACTAGTGCCATCTGTTGCTGAAGCTCGTTTATTTCACGTATTTTACAAAAACATTCGAAAAAAAAGAACTGTTTATCGATTGAATAGCATTGATCTCATTTCCTTGTATCGGTTAAGTCGACGCTGACCATATGATAGATATTCATGTTCAACGGTAGCAAAGGCCACTTGTGCAAACGCCCATAGACCATAGCACAGATGTGCTAAAGCGGAAAATTGTTCGATTTGTCGGTATGTCTTTTCTGGATCATCGAAACTTAATTTTCGTGCTTGAAAATATATCTTCAGCCAATGGTATTGCTCATTTCTTGTCGGACATCGATCGAAATTCATCTGATCGACACCTACATATTCAACGAAATGATTAGCAATGTCAAAAAGTGCATAATTTATTGCACTATATTCAAAATCGATGAACGAAATCGTTTGAGATGATGCATTATAAAGAATATTCGTACAAGCAAGGTCATTGTGACATAAGACTAAATCGATACCATATCGGGGATTTGGAAACATGGAAGGTAGAAGGTCTTTTTCAATACAATCAATATCGGAACAAAGAGAAACAAAGTCTAGAAGATCGAAGAAGCTAGTAGAACATCGATCTAGCGAAGTCAATTACCTTCGGGATAATGTTTGTGATTAGTAATGATTAATTTCACAAATTTTTTAATCAATGGCATGAGACAAGGTTCGTGATATTGATTTTCAAGCGGAATGGAATGCAGTTTAGCCAAATGACGTGCGATCAATGGAGCAATGCGTATATTTCGGATGTAATTTTCTGTACAAACACTACCGGGGATAAATTTGTAGATAATTCCATTTGTGAATTGAAGAAGAACTGGCTGAGCAAGGCCATGATTGACAAGAGTTGATAAAATGGTTTTTTCATGATAACGATCAATGAATTCTTCGGTTTTAAATCCGTATATTTTAATCACAAGTGTATCCGATCGATCTGATTCACTATAAATTCCGAATGCTGTATTATTAATACCACCAATCAGTTGATATAAGCGAAGATTAGAGGGAGACCAATTCGGTCGAAGTGAAGTGATTAAAGGATAAATATCTCGTAAAGTAGATTCTAATGGAAGCGTTACAGACGAACTTATAGGTTGAGACATTTCACAATAGGAATAATTTCAAGGAGAATAATGAATGTTCTTTTCGAAATGATTGATGTCTCTTATCCGACAGTCAAACAAATGTCACGGTTAAGTTTTATCACTACTTCATTCCTTTCTCGAAAAAAATGAGCGCTTTAGATATCGTACGTAAAATGCGTATTTGTCTTAGATATTTTGATAAAGCGTTTAGATACCATGTTGACTACGCATATATATCAATATTCTACTCTCCACACCTTCAAAATAATATAAGTATACCCATTATTTGTTACATTAGATTAATCTGTTTATTGATTTTCTCTCGAATAATTAAAAAATTGTTTTGCGCGGATCTATTGTAATTTGTATTTAACATAAGGAACATCAATGTCATTTCCATCAGAATCGTCGCATGATATATCGAGCACCAATGAACGCACATGAGGTGGAATTTTGCGTTTTGTTAGTGTTTCATAGATTTCCGAAATTCTAGAAAACGAAAGATAAAAAAATATTTTCATGTAAATTGAATCTTACTTTCGTTTCAAATCTCCTGCTTTTCCAGGCTGTCGCATCATATATGTATTGTACAGAAGACATAATCCAGACGAAAGCATTGTTGGTGTCAAATTATATGTTGTCTACAAGATAAATTATCGAAGAAAAACAGATTTCCGTTTGCGTCTTACCTTGATATGTTCAAGAAATTGTTCTAAAGTTATGTCGCCTTGAACTTCGAAACGATCCCACAGTGTGAAAGGTGTATCAAGGTACTAGAATACAGAGATATGAGAAGATTTATAAAAAAATAGCCTCATCCTGGCCATACTTTTTTCTGTTGAGGTGGTGCTGGTTCTGTGAAGCTCCAGAATGGTAACGCTAAGTTTACAAACGCATTTTTGTATACTTCAATCTTTTGATGGTTCTGTAAAAACTTGTAAACTTCAAGACAAACGAGACCAGTGACCATGGCTGTTGTTGTGGCAATAGCTGGAATGATATTGCCTGCAATTCGTTTGATCTTGCTACGATCAGCTGGTTGAATTTCGTAGTTTTCTGCTCGTAAATTAGCTGTAGCAGTGATATAATCTATATGGAAATTGCTATCATCGTCTTTTTCGAATTCATGCGCTTGGACTTGAATATTTCGAACTGAATCGAAATCTGGTAGACGCTTGAGAATGTCGGCGGGATCAGCCGTGTTCGTAATCGAATTTCGTCGTCGTTGACGTTCCATATCCGCTGCCATTTGTTCGTCATCATCATGAATAGTTACGCCTGCTTTAGGTTGAAATTTAGCTACTTGGACTTGGGCAACTTCTCGAGCAATCAAATCGCGATCTCGAGTTTGTGGAATATGGTGAATATGAGCAAGAAGATTCGATGCTGCAACAATGAAGTCTAAATGAGTGGGATTGTTAACATCGAATTCTAGGACATGCGGGCATCGTTTATTTCCACTCCAAAAACGTTCACCCTTGGCTGTAATTTGATCATGAGGAAAATTGTGTAGTAATTGTGCGATTGTGTTATGGAATTGTTCTTGAAAAAGATTTCGAGACTAGAAAAGAAAGATCTTGAGTCTTTAGGAACTTCGGCTGTGGAAAAGATCCTTACCCATTTGATACAATCTTTGAAGTTTTGAGGTCGTTCTGGACCCAGTGTAAGTTTAACATTTTGAATAATTTCATTTCGATCATAGTCCGACAGACTCTTAGCGGTGCGTTCAGCAAACTCTTTGGGATTCTTTAAAAATTCTTCTGTTTGCTGTGCAGGATTAGTAAACAAACCAGCAAAGTTATCTCGTGCCCATTGGATGGTATGCTCAATGAGATTGGGGAAATTATGTAATAAACACATGGGAATTGATGCATCAGGTGGATCACGAGTAGACGAATACGATTCAGTTAGGTCTGGTACAACAACTTGGACACTTGCTTTTGTACCTAGTGTACCACTGTCGATTAATGGTTTTTTGTAAAATACACAACGTTGATCGATATATTCACCTTTGAAAAGAAAACTATCAGTAGAAAGTTTTTATTTTCTACAAAAAACATACGCGCTTTGACGTTATCAAGAGCATTGACAACACCAGTAAGTCCTTCGAAGAAGTCATCGTCATAAATATGTTCAGTTTCAGCAAGAACACCTTCAACGAACGCCGTGATATTTACCGACGGATTCATTTGTTTCACTGCTTCTGCAGCCACCTTCGATTTCATTTGCTACAAGAATGAAATCGATATGAAATGAAAGTTCATCGAAAATGACAGAACACTTACACCAATATTCCATGGACGAAAAAGAAATTGTCGATTCAAATTGGATTTTTCAATCGAATCCATATCAGTTACGTAAATAGCACCTTCTTTCGAACATCCAATGCCCATCATGACAAAGTTTTTCAACATTTCACAACCGATGGCGCCTGAACCAACCTGAAGTGAACCGTTAAACCTACCTCTTAGTTTAGGAAAAGAAACTCACGACAAAGTATTTTGATTGACAAATCTTTTGTTGAAAATCTTCGCCGAATACGATTTCTTGCGAATAGTAACGTGATTTATTCGTAGGCAAACTTGGTTTATAATCGTCATCACATCCTTGATGAAGCTTTTCAGGTAAACATTCGATGGCATCAAAATAAAAGAATTGTCGAATCGGCATGAATTTTCCCGTGACAGCCTATCGAGAGACTCAAAATATGGGAAGAAAAGTTTCGCTTTTCTATTAACCTTCATCGCTTCTTGTGCAGAAATTCCACCGATGACTGCTTGCATGGGACATACGTCACCAGTACAAATCTTTGAGAATAATTTAATCCAGTGTTTGTTCAATTCATCTGTGAATGGTTTTTCTCGGTCTTTCGTGTTGAGTTCTTCGACTATTTCCAAAAATTTATTTGCATCAGCCTAAATTTTTCAGACAAAGAGAATATGGAAAGGGATGTTGCGCTTATCATACTTCATCCCATGGCCGTGGTGCAGCACCCTGACGTTGTTGAAAGAGAGAAAGAGCTTGATATGCAAGATGAAGATTGGAAGGCATTGACATTTTAGCAAAGTCGCTTATCAGCATTTCTGGTTCAGATAATGATTGAGAGAATGATTTCTATGAAAGAATCTTTTCATACGCGTATGAATTCAACATTCCGAGACTTACAAATTTGATGATTTCTGGTTTTTTCACCTCAGTAACTGTTCCGCCACCTTCATAATTTCCGAACTGTCTCGTGTCGCCAATACCAAATGTGTATGGACCTTAAAGAAAGTAGCATTCGTACGCTTAATTTTATCGTTTCTGAGAAAGAATTACTTGGAACAGTGATCTTGAATTCCTTATTGTTAATTTCACTCATTCCTTTGACGCCTTGAAAAGTGACATATGTACCTTCCTCGAACCCATGTCGTGCGTCAGTTCCTAGAAACACAACACCGTATTCGTCCTACAAAATATTCAATCGAATAAATCGTATCAGATGATAGTAAACAACTCATACATGAGTTATGTGTGTAACAACATGTGTTGTGGGATTTTCTCCATTCGTATCAAGTACTTGAAATTTTTCGCCGAAATCACAAAAGATTTGTCTGAGAAAACCGAAAAGATATGTTTATCGAAGGATCACAAAGGTTATTCTTACCCAAACAAACCATTAGTATTAGCGATAATGAATTTAATTCCGGCTTGATGACAGTAATCTCCAACTTTAATTTGATCGTCGAGGCTTGCATTAGTCAACACAAGTACCTGTTTATACATGCATTTCGAACGAACTATCACATCTGAACGTTAGACCTACATTAATTTTATTCTTTGCTAAAAAAGCTCCATCAATTGTTTCCATCGAGCATGTTACTGTCACGTAACTATTCAATTCCGAAAGTTTTTCTAAAGCAATCTCAGCTCGGTTCTGACCAATATTATCTTCGTTAAAGTAGTACTAGAAGAATATGCTAGAAATGACATGTCCTATTACGATAGTTATCGAGCATACTTGCGATGAAAGATCGGAATAATCCACCTTTCCACAGTCATGAACAATAACTGACTTTACACCACCCAAAACAATGTTCTTAGCTATCTCGACGCCAAGACCGGTCATGCCGGAGATGAGAACATGAGCACGAGCTAATTGATGCATTGCTTCTTTTCCCAACACATAACTATCGATGGAACAGTGAATGGTAATTTATTTTAGTGGAAATAGGACAAAAACAACTTACAGTTGCCGAGAAAAAAGACTTTCATCAATTTCTGGAGTTTCTACAGACATTTGTTGTTGCAGAGTCGGTGACATCGTGTATTCAATACAATATTCTAAAACATCAATCGAAAGTAGATCCCCTGCGTATTTCAACAACAGCTAGACTAACTGTACAACACGAAATACAACGTATTTATACACTATGTCTCTTGCTGATTGCTTGAGCAAGAACATGACACGCAAAAAGGGTATAAATGTGAATCGAAAAAAACCCAAGAATGCACATACGACCAACTATTCTTTTTTTTCTATGCTTTGTGCATGAATCATCGGAAGGAAGAAAAAGACAAGTTGGTAAACTCGTGGTGTATTGCTGTTGGTTGCTATTTCTCTTGCATTATCGAAGGAAAGTCAAACACCCTTTTTTTCTCCCATTCTGTCGTTCGTTATATGCTAGACGCGTATAAAAGATCGATGCGCTTCCCCTGTCGATTCACTAAAGAAACGTCACACTCAAAAAGCTTTGTCAATGTTGATTCATTCATTTAGTCATTTCAAATAATGTCATCTGACGTAGATATTATTCTTCATCTGCTACAATTTTAGCCATGAGCATCAAACAAAGATGGTGATGATTTTATTGCACTGATTCAGAGTAAACAGGATTCGATCGAAGAATAGAGCAAAACGGAATTAAAGCCAATGCCAACTGATACGAATTCGACTAGCTAAAATTCTACCTACTTTTACACAAGCTGCCTCGTTGAGATGCACATCATCCTACCATATCGTTTCAGGTACATTCAGTCAGATTGAAATAGTCACTTTTTTTTATGAAACACATACCGTTTTACAAACAGGGCGCTGATCAACGATGACAACATCAACACTTCCAGATGATCCTTGAACACGCATTCGTCTATCACAAAGACTGTTCTTATTCGGATTTCCATTTGGTGTGTGTGGATCAAACTGAGGAATATTCAACGCTGCAGCCATGTCAAAACGTGAACGAAGTGTTCCACAAGCTGTGTAACCCCGAGCAACTGTATATATGATAAGGACTGTAGAGGAGAGAGTTCGTAGTGAAGAGTGTATAACATCAAGGTATGTTCCTTCTACGTGGTATGTGTTCGAATCACCTCCACCTGATCCTGAACCTCCATGGCACGGACCACTCTGACATCCAACTCCACAAAAAGCATCTCCAGTTCCACAGTATCCACATTGTGACATACACATACTCGAATCTGGACATCCAGCCCGATGTTCAATTTTTATTTCATCTGCTTTCACAGAAGTCAACAGTCTAACAATGAGTAGGCTCAAAAGCATCGTTTAAAAAGTCATCCAGTGCAATATGTAAGGTCTTCGAAAATCTTCACCTTCGGTCGTTGTCAGACAAACACGTAAGTGAAGTTGGCCGCGGATTCGAGTCCTTCCATCAGCAATTCGCACAGGAGTACGTTCCAGATGCAGCTCGACGAGTTCTATCCATGGGTTACCTTGGAATCGTCTTACTTGCAACTTTATAAGAGAGAAGTAAAAAAGAATGAATTTCATGCCGTAGCTTCTGCTATCTTTTGTTAGATGTGCCTATATTCTGTGTATAAGTGTTGTGACTGTTTGAAATGCATTTTGAATACAATGTAATAACTTCTATCTTTGGGCAATCTGAAATCCTCTGCACTTAAAAACCTTCCGACAATAGTCTCACAATAACAGTCATCAAATATAATTGCATCAGTCTATATAATTAGATTTTTGCGTTACATTGCACGACGGGTTGTTCGAGAGGAATCTTTTTCTTCCTGTAAATATGAGTGTGTGTGATTTATTCAATGATTATTACTATCAATTATCAAACTTTCTTGGCGAATTCTGGTCTTTCGAAGACACCACCTTGAAGCACATCAGCATTTATATGGTGAAGTCAACTTGTAGATATATGAAATATAACTTGAACAGATTTTGATTAATTATTTAAACATGATAAGGTGACTGAATATCTGATGAACAATGAACAAACAAAAAGAAACTACAGAAACAAATAGAACATGTGCAGATGTTAGACCATAATTCAACGAAGTTGTCTGTCTTCTTTATTTTTGGCAAACACAGTTTTTATAACATACGGTTTCAATACCTGACAGCGCTTGTCCCCAATGAAGTTGATATTACCATCACAGTAAAAAGTATCATTACAACCCAGATGAATTATACTCAATTTCTCGAAAATATGAAAACCTTTAGTTGTGCTGCAGTTTATCGGTTTTCTCGTTGACAACGCTATTACATCGGAGGCTATTTTTTCAAAATGAGGAGAACTGTGCAAAGAATCCTGAAAGCGGTAATGAAACGAACGATTGGCGGAAATCAGTTGTTCCAGACACATGTTACCGATGCGTTTTTGAACAATAGGCGGATCTCGACAAACGGTATAATCCCCAAAATCGCACATTAGCTGTTGAGCGATCTCTTGCCATTCAATGTACCCACCCTTGGACACACCAATGATTTTGGGTAGTCCAGAAAGTTTCGTTCCGGTTTCTTTCTCAACGACGAAGAATGGCAAGGCGGTAAGTTTGTAAACCTGAATTTTGTCAAGCGTATTTGTCTTAAGAACTGAAAAATACGATGTAAAAACAATATTACCGAGGTACTCTGGATAATATCCAGTGGTTTCGTTAATAGGGCTTACGTTTTGTGATGGAAAGAACTGTACGGTCTGCGCAAAAAGCATGCGCTAACTACGTATGACGATGATACAACTTTACATAATAGTTCATTTCATTTGTTCATTCTATAGCCTTTAGGCTTGATTTAATTGGATTTAATTTGCCACCAATTACACCACACGGTGCGAAGAAAATTGACCACGAGGATGATCTCAGGTTATTATGGCACGGTCGGTTCCGGCCGGTTAGGTTCGTTTTCCGGCCGGAAATTCAAACGTAGGTTCCAGTCATTTACCGACCGTTTCCTGCAAACTTCGAGCTGGAAACGGCCAGGAACTGATCGGATACTTCCTGTGCAATTCCGGCCGGAATCCGGCGGCAAGGAACATGCCGGAATCGAGAAGAGCTGTACCGGAACCGGCTCAGATTTCAACGGATCCAGTCATCGGAATGATCGACCTGGGATAATCTGAATGATTTTATTATGGATTCGACAGTGGTGTTTGATCGTTCGTCTAGTCCACCTAGATTTCTTATCTACCAATTTGGTGGCCGAGAATTTCAAATGTATTCTAAAAGATCACAGTCATTATTGCTGGGAATTTATGATATTGATACAATCTCACTAACAATTAAAGGATTTGTCTTGTCCAAAACTTCGTCGTATCATATGGAATTTCTCAATCAAATATCGTCCAATGTCAAGGATCCTTCACATTTGTATGAATCGATCGATAAAATTACAAAACAAGAAGAGCTTAGTATGCTGTTCAGAGTCGAATCGAAACCTTACGGTGATACTGATGACACAAGTGAAGATGACGATTAACAAGAATTATTTTCAATAGTTTTTTGTATGTATTCATTCGTAAATATCTGCTCTCCAATAAAAATCAGACTTCAGTTAGATTAAAAACACCAATACACACGAAAAAGCTGAGTGCTTGGTAAACATAACTTCAATTACAGTCGAACTTATTATAGTAACAATATCAGTTGATATCGGTGCCATCATCGTTGAGATCGTGCAGCGAAGATTTCTATCGATATACATTAGACAATTTTGTCATTTACATTTTTTGGAAATTGAATGAACTTGTTGGGAAAAGATCGAGTATTATTTATTGTTTCTACAAGAATTATTTGAAAGAAGCTTTAGTGAACATATAAGATTGTATGATGCTTGAGCAATAGAAAAAAAATCATCGAAATGTTTGATTTATTTCTCTAAAAGTTGAACAATTTCTTGAAAATTTCTTTGTTTTACTTCATCAACGGGATATCGGCCAAATCGATCTTCTGTACCATAATATCCATATTGAAGAAGTAATTTGATAATATTCAAATGTCCACCGATAGTCGCTAAATGCATTGGTGTTCTTCCGTGATAATCAGCCTAAGTTTCTGTTGAAACAAAATGGCCACGTTGAAAAAGTGAATGAATTTGTTCTACTTCACCTGATGAAACTAATGAAGAAAAAAAAGAAAACCCTTTTTCCATTTTCTTAACGTAGAAACGAAAGGTTGATTTTGAAATTTTGATATTTGATTTTGTGATTGATGAAAATTTCTTGAATCAGTTGAATAATTTCATAATGATTGAAACGATATGCTTCATCTAACGGTGAAAATCCCCAACGATCATTTTGAGAGATTAATTGTTTCACTTGGGATAATTCGTAGTTTTGAAATCAAAATCAAATGATTTCCAGTTGATTTTGAGCAACAGCGAGATGTGCAATCGAACGAAAATCATAATCAACAAGTTCAATGATATTCACATGAGGATTGAACTGAATAAATTCAGAAATTTTCTTTGGATTATTTTCATTTGTATGTTTACAAAGAAAATATAGCAATGGATTTCCTTCGAAGATTGATGGAGACAATTTCTCATCGGATTTGTTTTCGACGAGAATTTCAACGCGAGGATTTGACAAATAATCAGTGACGAGCGGGTCATCAGCGAAAGAAACGTTTGTTACTCCGTTAAAATCACTCAAATTTGCATCTAAATCACATTTCATCAAACATTGGGTATCACGAAAGGTGCATCCCAGACATTTGCTCCTACGACACTTGCTCCGCAAGGACGCTTGCCCTCCAGCGGCATTTGCTCTTCAATGGTAGAAAACATTTTCTATACAAGATACAAGAATAATTTATAAATTAAATAAATTTATTGAATACAATAACGGAGGAGAATAACAAAAAAGCAGATAAATAACATGAACACATAAATTATGAGCTTTTCAATGAAATATTTTGAGCTAAACTAAACTAAGTACTTTATCAAAATTCGTTGTAGTTGATTCATAGAGTATGTTCAAGATACGTGTTTCTCGTCGAACTTGTTCACGTTTTCGTGCTTGTCTCTCACCAGCGGTCGCTTGAGTAATTTGCGCATCGACGTACGATCGCTCCGTTTTTAATCCTTTCAAGAATTTCCAAAGGTTTGGGTGGCTGCAATTGATTAAAGATGAGAATCAATTGTTTCACCCTTCGACTGCATTGTTTGTACGATGTTGCCCTTGTAGAGTGTTTGTGTTAACATTCCATAATTGTAAATCGAATTTTGGTGGTTTTCTCGGTCTTGACAGTCGACTTCTAACACATATATAGTTTTCTTCAAAGTAAGTTATCCCAGGTTCACCTGCAACCGGAAATTGACCTTTAATCTGTTCAAACGTTCGGACCACATCAGCGATTGGCAAGAATGTCAAAGCTGGTAAACACCGAATTCGTTGCGCAAAATTTTCATCTTCACCGTATGATGTTTTTAAACCAAATCTCGTGACAGCCCGATAAATATTTTGACATAGATGAAAGAAACACCCTTTCAAAATCGATCATAGCATTCGATGGGTCAAAATTCGGTTCTAAATTCTTCAGTTCTTTGGACATGGTTTTGTAAAGACTTTGCATTTTACCTAAGAAAATACAAATATAATGAGAAAACCGCTTGAAAAATCAATGCCCTAATGCACTTACCAGGTAACAACACATAAACTGCTGGCAAGATATGATCCAAATATTTAACATGAATTGTGTAAAGTTGGAAATATTATTCGGGTACAACGTCAAAAGTTCCGTCCAAGTAATTATGAGTTGCATTCTTTAACATTTTCAGCTGTTTTTTCGTTGAGAATATCAACATTCGTTGGCCAGTTGGACCAGAATCAAATTGCAAAAATGTTCGATCACGATTCGTCTTAGTAAACATTGGATCAATAACGAATGAATCACGGTTTTGCGGTAGTGGCAATGGATTTTGATGCTTTTGACGAATACGTTGAACAGACGTAGGTGAAGTTGGCAGCAGATTCCAATCCTTCCATCAGCGATTCGCACAGGAGTGCGTTCCAACTACAGCTCGACGAGCTCTATCCATAGGTCACCGTGGAAACCTCATAGGTCCAGCCAAAACCTAGCAAAACCCAAAATATCGGTTTTTCAGTCGTTGCAATTTATGTGAAATAGACACGACGAGTTTTATTGAATGTTGTTTGATAATCTATTTCATCAAATAAAAGTAAAGTCATTTTTAAATATCAACAAATGATGTATATTTTTCGTAAAATATTGACAGATTACCATGTTTGGTTTTTGACAAACGGTATTCTAACAGTTATGTCTGGAGAAACGAAAACATGTACTTTTTTTTTATTAGCGAGCAGGACACCCTCTGACTGTACGGTCCTAAAGGGACCATTAGAAATTAACTTTGAGCAATCCAAAAGATATCGAAATATAAAATATAAACAAAATTACCCACGCACAGGCAAAGATGAAAAAGTGCAATATAGATGCACCTAGACGAACCAATGAAAACAAAAAACGAAGCAAATAAGATAGAGAGACAGAGAGGGAGAACCCTCTAAGGGTTAACCTGAAATTGATCGAAATGTTAAAATGTCGAAAGCAAAAATATCGAAAATCAAACCGTCGAAAACAAAAATGAGAGCGCAGATAGATGTGTGAGATTGAGGGTGAGGGTGAAGAACAATGCCTTTCTCAAACTAAATCATTCGCACCTTGTTCATCTTTCGATGTTTGTATGATTTGCGCATTCGATATTTTTAAATTCGATATTTTTACTTTCGACATTATTCAGTAGAATCCCTCTAAGTCGCAGTAAGCAGACAGAAAAGAAAAGGCCCGGATTTTCACATTATGCAGGGAAATGAAGTAAAAGCTTAAGCAGAGTTCATGTACCAACCCTCACCCCAGACAGTTCCAAGCTTAATCGGTTCCACTAATTGTAGTGAGAGTTTCCCGTCGAGGTGCTACCTCCTTGACCATATCTATGTTGAATGTTTTCCTAAAATTTTCGAACGCTTTGCTTTGTTGCATTAACTGATGCTGCACGTTCATCATCTGTTCTTTTATCTTCCCATCTGTATCTTGGCTTATTGATGTAATTGGCACTCTGTGTTTGGTAACATCATTATCCAGGGCCTGCACCTTTTTAGATACGGCCGCTATAATCCCATACATGTATAACTCGACAGCAAAGTTCGAGTATTAAACTTTCAACTTCGAGTTTTAAACTTTTAAAATTTAGATCGATTGATGCTCGTGCATTGCTTTTGGGTTGTGGAATAGGGTGAGGGTGAGGGTGTAGCGAAGGGTGTTCCAGCGTACACATAACAGTGAGGGGATTGCGGAGAACATTCCCGGCGACGCAGCCGAGGGACAGGGCGACGGAGTGCTGTAGACTACAGAGCAAGCCGAGCGCTTAGGGCACTGCGCTCCAGGAAATACAAAAAGGTGCGGCGTACGAAAGGGTATTCTAAGCTACCAAACTAAGCGACGATGACACAGAGCGTAGTGTAGGCTACCGCACGCAGAAACAACGCGAAATCTCTCGCTCATTCGCCGCCAAACCATCCTGCAACAGCATCTGCCTGCAAAGATTGCAAATTTTACCTTAACTAACTTAGAACTTCAAACTCGAAGCTTCGAGTTCTAAAGTAGAACAGTTAGAATTCGAAGGAAGTTTTAATACTCGAATCGAGTTAACGACTTCTACACTACTCATCGCTGATGGAAGGACTCAAATCCGCTGCCAACTTCATTTACGTCACACAAACTATTATATATCGAAAACATTGTAGCATATAGTGTTGAGAAACATCACACATGTCAGTTTCACGTAGTCGCATTACATCCACGTCACAGAAAATGATATCTGTTTTGTATTTTTCGATCAAGCATGAACGGTAATGGAGGAGTTTATTCCCTTTTCTGAAAGAAAGAGTTATAACGTCATAAATACAGTCACTAAAATGCATAAAGTTTGTTTCCATCATGCAATCAGGTTGCAGCATTTTATGAATCACTTAAAACTTAGCTATGGTGATTAGGAAATGGTTGCTAGAAGGTAATTGCAGTCGAGAATCACGAACCCGTATATAGTTCTTTCCAAAAAAACGTTTCAGTCTCGTTTTGTGCGACAAACAGTCGTTTTCTGCAAAAAGAAATTTCTTTTATTTATGAGGGCTAACTGAAGGATTCTCGGGATTCAAGATCATGAATCCGATATTAGTTTTTTAATAATAGGTTTGTTCTGTTTTTTTTTAGACGAAGGATGATTCTTCTGCAACGAAGCTTTTTTTAGGCAATAGTGTATTAAGGAGCAATATGTAGAACAAAACGAAATAGCTGACTGACGTCCGATTGTTGGATCTCTATAGTCATCAGCATATCAATGACAACACAATTATGTAAACAGCTATATTACACAAACATCATCTGCTGCCAACCATTCACAGTAACGCTTCCTTCCTCAAGTGTTAACTTTTTAAGAAGGAAATGCATTGATTCGTTTCGAAACTATGGTTCTAAACTAGATGAAAGAGTTAGAATGTACATGTGACGAATAGCCGTGAGTGACCGACCGAAGGGAGCATGACGAATGACTCCACATTTATTTGAGTTTGTTAGAGGAGATAAAATAACTGAAAGTAAACTAATTTTTTTATTTTGAGTAGTCGGAAGATAGTCGATGAATAAATGTTTAGACAGTGTTCGTTTTGCTTCCATCCTTCAACAGATGAATTGAAAGTAATTCGACACGAATAAAGTAGAAAAAAATTAAAAGGAAAGGATGTGCATAGAAGTGACTTCAAGTCTAAACAGATTAGATTGCGATCTAACTGATTTTTCATCTACTACTTTTCTAATTCTTTTCGAGAAGGACCACCGAGTCGAACGGATAACCGCTACTGGTCTTAAGACATCATATAGGAGGATTTCACGGATGAGTCATGACAACGAAGAACAAGAGAAACGACGAGAAGAATGTTTTTCTGCCCTTTGACGACATCCGTTTATCATTATAATCCAGTTGAAGAGTGCATGAACGATTTTGAAAGAGAAATCCATTTTTCATATCCTCTTCATCTATGAAAAAAAGATGGATGACGTCATGTCGGTTGTATAGAAATGGTGACTACGTATATTGAATCGCCCTGAGACAAAGAGAGATCATTACATTCACCTTACAATAGTTTTTTCTCTTGCGTTCCGCAGAAGGAGATTTTTTTGCCTCACTCTCTATTCTTCATTTTGTCATAGTCACTACACTTTTTTACAATTTTGCGGTGCGTTTCAAATTTGGTTCTTCCGCTTCCTTATTTCCCGTTAATTCTAATAATGAATGAAACAGAAACAACACAACAGCGAGAAACAACTGCCTGTATTTGTAAGGTTTGTGGTGAATCTGCTCAATATTCGTACTATGGCGCCATCGTTTGTCGTTCATGCAAAATTTTCTTTAGACGAAATGCTCTGAAGAAATCGGTTCGTAGTCAGACATTAACAAAAAAAACATCTGTTCCGAATCGTCTCATTTTTGTTTAGACACTTTCGCCATGTGATTATGACGGAAACTGTGAAATCAATATCAATAATCGTCGGATATGTGCATATTGTCGATTAGCAAAATGCTTTGCCATGGGTATGATGAGTGATCTGATTCGAGGTCCTCAAACTACAAAACATCGAAAAGCTGAGAGCAACACTTCGACAGTAACAGCTTTAGCCAGAATACATGAACCTTCATTGGTAAAAAGGCATCTTTTGTTTTTCATTCCATCTTGTCACATCTGATGATTGTGTTTATGTTTAGATTCCCACCGTGAACCTATTACGAGCAGATCAATCTACATTGAGTGTCGATCAATGGAATCAAATATCGAACCTAGTCCATTGTTTTGACGCTTACAGTGGTTTTTCGTTTGTTGAGAATTTTGTGAAGGAGCAGGATATGCTACCATTGAAGGCTCGATTTAAATACACATCAGTGAGTAACTTTTTCACGTCAGTGATGACAAATGTTCAACTGGTTTTCGAAAAGAATCGTGATTTTCTTTCGTTATCTGTACATGATCGAAGTACATTACTCCATCATACAGTCGAATACACTACGGGTGTCGGTGTTGCTTCTATGCTGCATCACGTGCAATTATATGCAAATCCGTCCTTTGTCAACTCTGCCGAACTTATTTTTCGACCATCAGCAGTTGCATCATTTGTTCGTTTAATTGATCAACTTGATCCTGATGTGACAGTGGTGAAACTGATGTGTGCAATACTTTCTTTTATGACATCTAGGTATACTACCTACTCGGCAGCAGTCGCTGCTAATTTATCGAATGTGACCGCAGTGATTCGAGCTCAAGATATGTATGCTGAACTGGTATGGCGATATCTTCTTTACAAATACAACTATCGTGATGCCGTTCTGCGTTTTTTCAATTTGATTAAATGCTTTTTTCTGATGAACGACTCAATCGCTGAAGCGTATGAAACACGAAAATATGCAGATATGATAAACTGTGTGATCGAAGCAACGGAAGAAGCAAACACTTGTCGAAATTAGCAGACTTCACTTTTTGGTCTTAATAAATCATCACTCATCATCTGTTACGTCAAAAACAAAGCAGGATTCTTCTCTAATCTCACATGACGACGTCGATCTTATGTCGTCTGATGCATGACTGCGAATTTCCTTTTTCATTTTCCTTCGCCTGTTTTGTGCCGAGCCAATTCAAAGATGGTGTGAATATATTGAACAAGTACAAAGCAATCACTTTATTAATGATCAATTATGAGCAAATAAAGAACGTAAAAAGAAAATATGACTTGTGAAAAGACAAAGGAAAAGTGAAAATTTGACCGAAACGTTAAACGCCACCTTGATTATCTCACGTACATCATGAGAATTACACCAAACGGTGAACATATCCATTACTTGACTTCTATTGGCATATACACTTGTTTTTTTTCTTTTTTTTCACGATGATCAAAGTTGATTTCTTCGTATAGGTTTTGGTAATACTTTTCGTAAACATGTTGTGTAATACAATCGAAGTTGTTATTCTTTGCATAGTGGACGTCCAGATCGTGAATGAGAATCAAGTTGCATATATTCGCATTATCTAACAAAAGACGTAATCATATTTGAACACTAAATGCACAAACTCACCCATCTTTTTCTTTGCTATCGCTGCCTTCGTACATGGACGACCAATATGTGCCCCCCAGGTCGAGCAATCCCATACTCGGATCCAATATAGGATTTTATCAGATCCTACAGGAATTCGACGGATCCGAAACATGGATTTTCTAAGGGTCATCATAGAATATAGCTTAAAAGATCGCTCATAAAATTTGCAACAACCAACGGGATTTTTTGACCTGGGCTTGAGCTTTGTGAGAACTAATACTAAAAAGGAAAAGAAGAGGTCTTGACAGTTTTGTTTGTATATTTAATTCTTACTTGGGAGAGTACAGAACTTAATATCTGCATCACTTTCGATGCTATTTGATTCTGTTGGGTGATCGCCAAAAACAAGTGATGACAAAACATCAATGGGCAGAAATGCTTCATGTTGGAAGCGGATACAAAGACCGTCGCCGATGACTTTTTTGTAGCCGATTTCAATCAATATCTAACAGGTTATATGTGAAATGACCGCTAAGCAGAATGGATAACTTACTGTTTTGGCTCTTTCGAAGTCGTCTTCGTGAACGATAATATCAATGTCCATTGTGTTTCGTACGAGTTGGTGAAAAATGAGAGCGTAACCGCCTATGATGTGCAATCGTATTTGTTGAATCTTGAATAAATTGCTAAATCGACAAGTGGACCTGAACAATAACCCTTCGTGTGTATTGAAATGCATGGCGTTTCGAAAAATATCTGCGAAAGTCAAAGATGTCATGACGGTGTATGATAATACAAGTAACGCTCGTCTGTGGACTCGCTCAGCTCTTTCTCGTACAAATCATCCTCTATAATATCACTGAAGTTTCTGTTTATATAATATGTAAAACCTGATTTGAGATTCGTAATTCTCGACTTCAAAAACCCTTCGGTCAAACTTCACCAAAAAACAATTTTTCCGTAAAAAATAACCCTTCTCCTAAAAAATTTGTTTTATGAAAAATTTTAAAAAGCTAACATCAGATTCCTGTTCCTCGAGATTGAAAACCATGTAGTCAAATTTCATAGAAAAATTTTTTTTTGTAAAGACGGCTCTTTGTCTAAAAAATCATTTTTTACAAAAAATTTCGAGAAACTAACATCAAACTTGAATCCCTTGACCCAAAAAATCCCTTTGTTGAAATTTCATGAAAAAAAATTTTTTTTTCGTAAAAAAAACTGGGTCTGTCTCAAAAAAATTTTTTTTTATGAAAAATTTCAAAGAGATGACATCAGATTCGAGTTCCTCAACCCAAAAAAGCACGTTGGTGAAGTTAGCACCATATTCGAGTAAAAGCTTCCCATATTCGTTCAGGAATGCGTTCCAACCGTTCCAAACAGCGTTCCACGTAGAACTCAACGAGCTCTATCTGGTGGTATGCTCAGTTTTCCCATAACTCGAGTTTTTATTTTTAGGCTTCTAATAACGGCAGTACTGATCCGAAAAACCAAAGTTGGGACTAGGTCGCAACTGAGCATACCACTAGATAGAGCTCGTTGAGTTCTACTTGTAACGCTGTTTGAAACGGTTGGAACGCATTCCTGAACGAATATGGGAAGCTTTTACTCGAATATGGTGCCAGCATTTTATTAAAAAAATGAAGTATTTTGTAATTTTTTTAACTATCGTTTCAACTACGGAAAATATAAACACACCATTAGATAGAGCTCGCCGAGTTCTACTTGGAACGCTGATTGGAACGGTTGGAATGCATTCCTAAACGAATATGGTGCTAACTTCACCGACGTCAAAAAAGCCTTTCGTCAGTCTTCACAAAAAAAAATTTTTTTCATGAAAAAATGGTCCTTTGTCTCAAAAAATTTTTTTTACAAGAAATTTGGAGAAACCAACATCAGATTTGAATTCCTGGACCCCGAAAGCCCTTTGGTAAAATTTTATTAAAAAAAAATTTTTTTCTAAAAAAATGGTTCTTTGTCTAAAAAAGTGTTTTTTATGAAAAATTTCAAAAAAATAACATTAGATTTGAAGTCTCCGCATCGAAATACATCTGGAAATGTCTTTTCGGAAAAATCGATTTCCAATGTTTTTTTGACCCTGCGGACATACAAGCAAACAAGCAAGCAAACCATTTATGTTTCTAAGACTCTTCTCTACGAGAAAGAGAATATTGTTAAACAATAATGTTTATGTACGTATTGCTACACAATTGGGCAATATTTCACAGGAAATGTTCGTCAAATATGATGAATGAAGTTCGGCCGGCTAGCGCGGAATAGACAAACGATGTATGTAGGACAGAGATTTAATTTAGAGCAATTGGCAAAATGAGATTATCCAATATCACTGGGCGACATGATAATAATGAATGAATGTTTTCATTCCTTTTTATGTGATTTGTTGAATCGTACACGATATATATTCGACTTTATGAATATGTCAAAATTGCCTCTAGGCCTCATGGAAATCAATAGTACAATAAATAAGCTGTTGCTCACTTCAACAACACTGACTGAGTGTTGTAACTAAATCCAAATTGGAATGACTACACTTGCCTTTACTTCCTTCATATTTGTGATAACGAGATGAGTGGCAGGGGTAACGCTTACAGAAAACACGAGAATGATTTTATTGCAGTGATTCAGAGTAAACAGGATTCGAACGAAAAGTAGAGCAAAACGGAATTAAAGCTAATGTCAACTGATACGAATTCGACCAGCTAAAATGCTACCTATTCTTACAAAAGCTGCGTCGTTGAGATCCACATCACCCTACCATATCATTTCAGGTACATTCAGTCGGATAGAAACAGTCACTTTTGTTATGAAACATATACCATTTTACAAACTGGACGCTGATCAACAATGGCAGCATCAGCACTTCCAGATGGTACTTGAACACGTATTCGGGTTTACATTTGGTATATGTGAATGAAACTGAGGAGCATTCAACGCTGCAACCATGTCAAAACGTGAACGAAGTGTTCCACAAGCTGTGTAACCCACCGCAACTATACATGAAAATGAATGTAGAGGAGAGAGTTCGTAGTGAAGAGTGTATACCATCAAAGTGTGTTCGTTCTCCGCGGTATGTATTCGAATCACCTCCACCTGATCCTGAACCTCCATGGCACAGACCACTCTGACAACAAACTCTACAAAAAGCATCACCACTTCCACAGTATCCACATTGTGACATACACATACTCGAATCTAGACATTCAGTTCGATGTTCAATATTTATTTTATTTGCTTTCACAGAAATCAACAGTCCAACAATATGTAGACTCAAAAGTATCTTTTAAAAAATCATCCAGTGCAATATGTGAGGTCTTCAAAAATCTTCATCTTTGGTCGTTGTCAGACAGACTATTATATGTCGAAAACATTGTAGCACAGAGTTGAGAAAGATCACACAGGTCAGTTTCACGTAGTCCCATTACATCCACGTCACAGAAATCGATATCTGTTTTGTATTTTTCAATCAAGAATGAACAATAATGAAGGGTTTATCTTATGTGTGACACATACAGGACGACTTCACGGATGAGTCATCACAACGAAGAACATGAAAAAGGACGAGAAGAATGTTTTTGCGCACTTTGACGATATTCATTTATTCTTATAATCCAGTTGAAGAGTGCATGAATGATTTTTTCAAGAGAAATTCCTTTTTCATATCCTCTTCGTCTATGAAAAAGAGATGGATGAGGTCATGTGGATTGCATAGAAAATCTGGCGATGTCTGTTAGGTCGCCTTGACAGAGAGAGAGAGATCATTACATTAGTTTTCTTTTCTCGCGTTCGGCAGAAGATGTTTTTTTGCCTCGCTCTCTATTCTTCGTTCTGTCAGATTTAGTACACTTTTTTTACACTTTTGCGGTGCGTTTCAACCTGTGTTCGCCTGCTTCCCTATTCCTCGTCATTTCTAATAATGAATGAAACAGAAACAACACGACAGCGAGAAACAACTGCCTGTATTTGTAAGGTTTGTGGTGAATCTGCTCAATATTCGTACTATGGTGCCATCGTTTGTCGTTCATGCAAAGTTTTCTTTAGACGAAATGCTCTGAAGAAATCGGTTCGTACTCAGAGATTAACAAAAAAAAACATCTGTTCCAAATCGTCTCATTTTTATTTTAGACACTGTCGCCATGTGATTATGACGGAAACTGTGAAATCAATATCAATAATCGTCGGATATGTGCATATTGTCGATTAGCAAAATGCTTTGCCATGGGTATGATGAGTGATATGATTCGAGGTCCTCAAACTACAAAACATCGAAAAGCTGAAAAGAAAACTTCGACAGTAACAGCTTTAGCCAGAATACATGAACCTTCATTGGTAAAAAGGCATCTTTTGTTTTTCATTCCATCTTGTCACATCTGATGATTGTGTTTATGTTTAGATTCCCACCGTGAATCTATTACGAGCAGATCAATCTACATTGAGTGTCGATCAATGGAATCAAATATCCAATCTAGTCCATTGTTTTGACACTTACAGTGGCTTTTCGTTTGTTGAGAATTTTGTGAAGGAGCAGGATATGCTACCATTGAAGGCTCGATTTAAATACACATCAGTGAGTAACTTTTTCACGTCAGTGATGACAAATGTTCAACTGGTTTTCGAAAAGAATCGTGATTTTCTTTCGTTATCTGTACATGATCGAAGTACATTACTCCATCATACAGTCGAATACACTACGGGTGTCGGTGTTGCTTCTATGCTGCATCACGTGCAATTATATGCAAATCCGTCCTTTGTCAACTCTGCCGAACTTATTTTTCGACCATCAGCAGTTGCATCATTTGTTCGTTTAATTGATCAACTTGATCCTGATGTGACAGTGGTGAAACTGATGTGTGCAATACTTTCTTTTATGACATCTAGGTATACTACCTACTCGGCAGCAGTCGCTGCTAATTTATCGAATGTGACCGCAGTGATTCGAGCTCAAGATATGTATGCTGAACTGGTATGGCGATATCTTCTTTACAAATGCAACTATCGTGATGCCGTTTTGCGTTTTTTCAATTTGATTAAATGCTTTTTTCTGATCAATGACTCAATCGCTGAAGCGTATGAAACACGAAAATATGCAGATATGATAAACTCTGTTCTCGAATTAACAGAATTCATGAGTACTTTTCGAGGTTAACAAACTTTTTTGTAGTAAATGTATTATCTCTTGAAGTTCAAATAAAACTCAGCAATTTTTCCCATTGCCTTTTGCTCCCTCAAAGTAAATCTTACTTTACCCGGAAATTTATCAATATTCTCCCTTAATTAAGAAAGTTCTAGAGTGAAAACCAATTCAACTGATACTATTTAACTCTTCACAAATCACGGTTGAGCCTAATGTGTAATCAAAGACTGATAGTTGTTTATTGATCCATTTTCTCTCTAGATTTATGTTAAACATCATATTCAATATCAGGTTAATCAGTTTGTTCGAAATCAATCAGTTACAACACGAGCTGTCAATGTTTGCAGTTTAAGTTAATTGAGCGAAATTATTTCATTGTCGTTGAAGATTCGCCAATGCCAGACTGTTGGCAGTATCAAATAAAACTTTCATTTTCGCATCAATGAGTCGTTCAAGACCATCAACACGCCTAAATATAATCACAAACTGTCAGAATATGAAAATTATTAATCTTTTCCCTGTTACTTCTGTAAATGTGCCAGCTGTACATCTATATCGACCATATTTTGTATTGAATCATTTCCACCACTATTCACTGAACTATAAACGAGAAGAAACTACACTTTCATAGAGAGTTTAAAAATGGTAAATACTTCGATTTGTCGGGAAAAATAGCTGTCGTGATTTTTGGTACGGTGAGAAATATTGGATAAAGACCTAAGACAATATGCATAGGAAAATATTCATATAGAATTGAATAATACTCACTGTGAGATGATGGAATAGATAATGTCGTTTGCTTTCTTTCTCGACAAAAGCCAAAATGTTCTGCGGTTATTTGTGCTTGCTCCACTGATAGTTCAACTGTCGTACTAGTCGATCTCGCAATACTTAGATCGGCACTTCTGCAAAGACTACGATACGAACGTACACTCGCTAATCGATTCGCTTCGTCTTCTCGTTGACTTAAAACACTCAATCGTCGATCTCTCTGTAATTTTGGGTTACGTTCTTTGATTAACGTCTGAATATCTGCATCTAATTTATAAAACGGTTTAGATTCATTTAATTCACACTGTCGAAGATCAAATGTTAGACGAAATCGTTTGATGAATGACTTTGCAAAGTCCGGGTAGATTCGTAAAACATAGAGTAAATCATCACGATGTATTCGATTCAACGTACAATAAGTTAAACCTCGTACAACACATTTGGATTTATCTGCAACTTTTGAATGCAAAGGATTTTCTCCAAATGTGTCATTCCGACCGAGTATCGCCAGTAGTTCATTGTTTTGTAAGATTTCCACTTGACCACCACGAATAAAATAAATTGAATTAATCACATCACCTTGATGAATGAGTGCATCGTTCGGTGGAACATGTGTTGATTTGAAAAGCAAAGCTAGCGCACGCAATGCAACTTCACTTGCATCTTCAAAAACCGGACAATTGTTCAAAAGTTCTCGATTCAGATGTAAACATATATCGGCTTGAATGCATTCGGGAAATGTCTTCAGTATACTATTCATATCGATACCTTTCGTGTTTTTCCATTCGTGTTCAAACGAGTCTTCCATTCGTTTAGCTAATTGTTTATTAACACGATGATGCTTAATAAAATCATCGATACTTTGCTTCATTTCTTTTAACTCTTCGGCACCTTGATATAATTTGATAATAATTGTTGTTACACTTCCAAGTATAGATGCACTTAGAAATGAGCCAGCTAACATTGATAGAATCGAGAAAAGTTTCTCCCCGTTCGTATTCGCGGCGACATTACCAAATCCAACTGATGTCAGCGATGTCATAGCAAAGAAAAGCGCTGTTAAATATTTCGATTTCACATCCGGTCCACTCAATGTATCATTAGCAAGGTATGGCATTTCGTACTTCTGTGCCAGATGATCTAACCAAGAATATTTGACGGATAGATTCGGCCTTTCAAGAATAGCAATAAAATGAAAGATACATGCGAGCCAGTGTGCAGCAATAGCGAAGAGAAGCATAAGAAAGATCAGGACAGCAGAGCGATATTCGGTGTTTTGAAAATTTCGAATGAATTCGATTAAACGTAAAAGACGTGCTAATTTAAAACAGTTTGCCAGACGCATTGTCTAAAATCAGAAAATAAAAGCCATGCTTTCCTAAATGCGATTTTATTTATGTAGCATTGATCATACGGAATGACTTCCATTGCCATAGAAAAGAATATCCCATGGTAGAGCGCCGAGAACATCAGCACCGAAACGTCTCCAGGAATCAATAACGAAATGTTTGGCAATTAAAATTGGACTGGTTATTACTTCATTAGTTTCTTTCAAAACAAACGTCGTTCTAAATAACAACAACGTCATTGATTACGTGCTAACTGCTAGAAGAACTCACCGAAAGCTAATTAAAATATCAAGAATAAAGACCGTATCTACCAGCACATCGATGACAACGAGCAAATGAGTACTCGTTCTTTCTCGATTGAATTCTCTGGTTGATGCTTGTGCATTCAAATTCGATCGTTTTTGATCTTCATCAGATAGAAATGAAATTGTATATGGCGTGATGATTCCTGTGTATAACACGAGTAAAATAACAACCCAGTCCCATCTTAAAAACAGAGAAAACAATGATGAGCTCCGAGCGTGCAGATTAATCGAATCATTAAGCTTACACCGCTTTAAAAGGTGAATAATGAAGGATAATGAATCGTTGACCAATTCGACGTGAACTAGCTGTTGTTCCTGGTATGAGTCCTTGAGAACTAAGTACGGGTGAAACACTCGATGTGTCACTACTCTCTTCGGAGGCAGCCTAAAAGTAATGAAAATCTATAATTATGTGAAAAGTTCAATTATTAATTACGGAAAGGCGTTCGCGATCTATACGGAAATGAATACGAGTTTCAGCTGAAGCAAATGATGACAATCGTGATGGTCGCCGCATTCCGATGATCTGAATCGCTTTTTTACTTATCTCTTATAATCATCTTATTCTTTCATCCAAAAACAAATCACAATCATCTTTTTGACAATTCAGAGAACTGATAAATTGCGAACACATACTTCTAAAACTGAATGATTTCTCATTAAAAGGAATGAAGACAACAAAAAAAAAGGAAAGAAAAGACGATGTTAGTGTTTATTGAATTATTTTTATCTCAACAAAATACTAAAGTGCTAATCAATTGCTGATTAGTGAGAACATTCTTTCTATTGCATTATCCTACCATCGTTGCTGAACGTCGATGACGTTGTTTACCATCGATGTTCAATCCAAGAACATCTTCCCTTCGAATTTCTCCCACAGTATTCATCGTCTTCAGCACGCGTACCAACTGTTGAGTACGCATTACCTAAGTATAAAACTGATTGTTACGGAAGAAAAACTAGCATGTCTTGTCGGTTTTATACCGTATCGTGAAACGATGATCTTTTGTTCATGTTGCCAGGTTGTCGTATCATTTTTTCTTCAGTAGAATCGATCGATTTTCGAAACATTGTCTTCTCCATGAGTGAAATGAATATCTCGACAAAGATATGACAGTTTTCTTCATATTCACTATCATTGTTCGATGTCAACAGGCGTAAAAAAGAAATCAATCTGTGCGATACATGTTATCATAGAACTGAGTCTTTCAGACGAACGAACGATCGATCGATCGTCCTAGTTAATATACTTACAGAAAAAAAATCCACTTAAAGAACAAGATCGTTTTCCTATTCAACAAGCAAACAAACGATTGACAGTCTTTTTCTCTTCGTTGTGATTTCTCGATAACAATACGCGTTCGATTTCAGTACTAGATGACGAGCAGAACTAACTAACTTATAGAGTATTTTATACTCCCCGCAACGACACGCACAAATCAGATAAGGATACTTTTCCTATACGTCAATTTTTTATCTTTAGAAATCATCGCCATCTTGTATGGAGACAACAAATAAATCACATTTCTCGATGTACAATAATAAAAATGTTGCTCCGGCAGATCGGTACTTCTTTCCGACCCGCTCATTTTCGTCATCGCAACTTGTTTGTGACTAAATAAGTCTTTTATACCGCTTAGAGTAATTGATAAGTAGTTTTCTGGAAGTCCTATGGTACACGACATCTATAGTGCTTATACACTTTTTATTTTTCTCCTTTCATTTTCATTTTCAAAATATGTGAAGACAAAATGCATGGTACGCTCTCTTCATTGTGTAGTCGATTTGCTTGTTGATTACCTGAAGAAGTATGGTAAAAAAAGATTTCATGTTGCAATGACGAAAGTGTGTGGATTTGTAGGAATACTAGTCCACCAGAGCAACTGCTTGAAAATTCCACGAGAATCTGAACTCCCGTAGAGGGTTGCGCTTATTTATGAAAAACTTCTATGTACATCATGCGTGGTTAAATCAATAAATGAGTACAAAACACACTTTCTTTTTCGTATGCTTAATGTTAGAGACGAGTATCCTCCTCTTCTTCTTCTTCTTCTTCTGTTTTTTGTGGGCGAATACTTGTAGATCGAGGTTCAATCCCCCATTGTTTTATATAGCGTCTTGCAATATCACGTTGTCGATATAAAACACTGTGAATACGATTGTATTGACTAGTTGATAATAAATCTTGCACTTCGGTTATCAACCAATCGATTTGTTCGTCAGTAACAGATGCAAAACGATTTAGCGTTTTTGCAATCAACGCACGATCTTCTATAGGTAATTTGCATAGATATTGTTCAAACTTCTTCGCTTGACCAATTGGATCGAATTTGACCACTGCTAGATGTTGACTATGGAATTTGTTAGCGAAAACACTGAGACCATTGAGTTTGCCCATTCCAAAGCATGGAGAATGGTCGATGAGATGTATTTTTAATTTCACATTTTCCTCTTCGACCGAAGTATCTTTTGGTATGGTGATCAGAATATTTCGTGGATTTCGATCAACATTTTGTATAATGTGATCGAATAGATCCATGCCCTCTAATAATGGATCAGTAATAACAATCTGCTGGATTTTCTTTGGTAAATCCATATAAGTCAGTGTTTGTTCGTCTTCTTCGGCAACATCTTTGTGTAGACTTACAAGTTTATCTTCATAGATTGCAATCTGCACTTCATTTATAGGTAAACCGAGTAGTTTTCCCAAGACATAAGCTAACCATTCATTGACAGCACACAGAGCATGATCTTGTATTTTCACCAGAAGTCGTTGATTTTGTGGATCTTTTATCCAAAAGGAATCACTACTATAACCTTGATCATCATTCGCACCAGCATATTTCCAGTCAGGTGTAATTTCAATGAAGGGTGATCTGAATAATTCATCGCTCGGGTGTTCTGTTGATGTGAATTGATTTTGTTTCGCAGCGCCTTGTTTCACTGCTTTAACAACACTTTCACTAATATGCGTGTTTCGTGCAAATAGATCAACGACATAAAATGTACCGTCTACTGCGAATTTCAATGGACCGCGTAGCCATTTAACAATATTATTCGAAAGACGAATTTTATGGCTAATTTTTGGTGCTTGTTCAGAACTATTAATTTCAATCACTTTCTCCTCCGGACGTTCTTCACTAATATCAAAATCATTCTCGTTTAGATCGATAATCGACGGACTGATTTGTCTGACGAGTAAATTAGATAACGTTGTGTGAGCAGTCGTTTGTGGCGTAATGCTTTCTTTCGGAAGGCCTGCAAGGGATAGTAAGCAATTTTGTCCAGTCGACTGTAGTGAATCCATAGTACGTGTCGATGGTTGTGAGTGTGATTGTCGTCTTCGACGGCTATGATGTTTGATTTCTTCGAACAAGAGTTTTAATTGCTCAACGTCTTCTTTTAAATGTTCGATATCGTTCTCTAAATGATCATTCAATTCCGGATTGAAAGCATTTGATATGGCCATCAGTTGCCCTTTCAAATCTTGTGTGTCATCATTGATTAGGTGTTGTAACTGGTGTTGCACTGCCGTTGCTGTCTGTTCGATCTGATCGGATTTAACTTTGAATTCATGCAACTCTTTGATTAAATCGAATATCACGTCAGCAGATAGTTGTGAGATTAATGATTTCAGTTTTTGACATAATAAATCTTGTGTTTGAATGATGCCTTCTGTATCTTCTCGGAATTTCCTTTGTTGATCCAAACAGTCGTCATAAGCCGAACTGTCATCCGATGATCGGTGAACTGTATCCGAATTAGCCATGTTTAACAAGTTGAAAAGTGAACTAGAAGGCAACAATCGTGTTTTCGATTGGAAAAGGTTGAGTAAATACCGCTCGAAAGTGAATCAACTCGATGACTTAATCTTAAATTTCGACGTTCTATTTAAAAGCTTATTTCTCTCACGTCACGAGTCAGTTGTACGGTAAAGTAAAAGAACGGCTCTCATTCACGTTGTAACTGTACGACACAACATCATTCATTGTCATTCTTGTGCTATTTTCGAACTCAAACTCCCTCACATTGCCCGTTAGTTATGTTACGCATCTTAACAAATATCACGTTTTTGTAGTCTTACCTTATCAAATTGAAGTTAGTAATTTAAAACATTCACTTAGTGCAAGCCGATTTCTTCTCTTTTTTTTTTACAAAATACTCTTAAAAAAACAGTTTTTTTTTCTTTGCAAGAAGACGAAAAAACCTGATGTAAATATCAAGTTGAGATGAGTGCGTTCTTTTTCTTTTCTATTATTCTCAATGGTCGAATACTTGTGCTGACTAATGCTCAATAATAAAACATATTATAAAAAATTTACTATTTCTTTCGCGATTTCACATTGTATAGATTTATTCGAGAACATGACTTGAAGATAAACTAGCAGCAACAATTGATCCGCTAGCAATCCCAAAGTACAACGCAGAAGCCATCAGATAAGCAGCTTTTTCATAATTATTCACTCCGACGATAGCCGATGGACGATACATGAACGCAACAGTTGCCAGAAGGCCATTAGTAAATCCTAGTAGAGTGATTAAGAGCAATAAAAAGATATTGTCAATCCCATGCCGGAAAATAATAATCAGAACGAAAAATGTTCGTAGAATCGAAGCGATAAACAAGATTTTCGTGGAAAAATATTGATAAATTTTGATCGCCACTATTCGTCCAACTAAATCACCAAGATTAAACGTTCCGATAACAAATGGTGAGCACCACCAAAGGTGTCCACCATACTGAAACCAACCATGTTTCGAAGCATTACAAGGAATACCTGGCCATAATAATAGAGTAATAAATAGTGTATAAAATTGTACAAATAGATGTGGTTTAAGAATTTTTGTTAGTTGCCAATAGGAGAGTTCATTTCTAATCAGATGTAAGTCAACAACATCATCATGTTTCGTCTGTTTGAACGCGATCATTTGCTGTTGGATTCGAATCTGTATCGAAGGTATATGTATCAATTGATAATAGACATAAATTGCAAGAAAACTCAACAGAATTCCAACACTCATAAATAGAAAAAACGATAATTGATCCTGATCGATATGGCTATGAACAAGTAAGACAATTAAACGTAAAATTGTATTGATAGACACATTTAAAAAGCCAGCAATAGCATTGCCCACTTGAACAGCTTGTGTAAACGATCCAATTGGAAATAACCCACTAATTGCATAAACTGGCGATTCAGTTAACGTATTTAAAGCTCCGACAGTTCCAAAGGCGATTAATAAAATAATAGGATTTTTCCATGACATAACAAGAATTCCAATGATGATATATCCAAGAAAACCAGGTATGATACGTTTAGTAAATCCATATTTATAAAAACCAAACAGTTGACCTATGTGACAGAATAACATCACACTGCCAGCTAACACCGTTCCCCAAAATTCTAATCGACTCGTTGGAAAATACTTGATGTAATAATTCTGTGCAGACATTAACGAATGATATGTCCATAGAACGACTAAATTAAGGAAAAGTAATCGCCAATAGATTCCTTTGTGATCTTTAGAAACATCAGCATGTTCTTCGTCTCGTGAAACCGTGTTAACTATCTTCATTGTGATTTATCGATCGAATGACCGGTCGAAATATGTGAGAGAACGAAAAGAAAGAAAGGAAGAGAGAGAGTGTGTGTGTGTGTGCAAGGCGATTTGATTGTTTCTCGACAGTGTTATAAATTTAGAATGTCAATGTCAACTTGATGTTGTTTTTTTATATTCATTTTCCGTATTAACGTTGAACGGCAAAAAAAAGAAGAAAAAAGGAAAAAATGTTTTTCATTAAGACATTTGCTCATTTCTTATCGTCGGTATATACAGAAGAAAAGAAGAAATTGAGTTATAGCAACAAACATACGTTTTTCTCGTCTTGTCAGCGTTCATTCTAACAAAAAAAAATCGACTGTTGTGACAACTATACCGACGTCTTATCGAATTAACGATGCATCCATCGGCATACAATATCGAAGTAAATGATGAACTGACCAAAGTCAACGTTTATGACGACAATGGTTATCTTCCAATTCATCGTGCGACATTCAATGGTCTCGACGGAATTGTCAAGAATATTTTGGATGATGCGGAGAAAAGAAATGATTTAAAATCACAATTAGAAGCCATCACACATGATGCTGATGAGTTTACTCCTTTACTACTCGCAACAACATCTGGACGATTAGAAATTATCCATTGTTTATTAGAATATCCTGTTAATTTGCACGCCATCGACGCCAACGGAAATGGTAGTTTTCATTGAAATACTTTGCTAATGAGAACAAGATTTTCTTTTGATTAGATATTATTTCCATTGCTATTCTTTCTCAAAACGAACGTACTGTTCGCTATTTACTTGATTTACCAATTCTCACCGAACAATACAATGTTTGGAAATCGTTATTGAGATTATTTGTTTCGATTAAAGATGAAGAAAGTATCATATGTGGTCGCATGATTGAATCTTTAACGCGTCGATCGACACCTAATTCTCCGATAAGTCCATATTGGCTTCCGTTGTTGAAAAATGGTTTGCTATCAACATTGATTCAATTGTTTACCGTGACGAAAAATGATGATATACTTCAAACAACACTCATTCTTCTTTACAATGTCACAACCGAAGTTCCCACGGTGAAAAGTGAATTAAAAACGATTAAAAATGCATTCAGTGCCATGTTAAAGCATACGCGTTCGACAAATTCTGAAATTTTAATTATCTTAGGTCGTGTGCTACTCTGTTTGAGTACAGATAAATCTCTGATTGAGTCGATGGTTGAACAAGATCTCATTGAATCATTAATGAAACTGATTACTAAAGAACATTCATCCCAGATCATTTGTTCGTATTTCGATTGTCTGTCGAATGTCATTTCAAACTCATCTACATACCAACAGAAGGTCGCCAATTCGAAAGATTTCCTTCGTCTACTGATCGAAGTTTATCTCGAAGATTTCGATTTAAATCTCTCTCTCTCGGTCATTCGTTTCATTCGTCAATTAGTGAAAAACAGTGAATTAATACAAAATATATTGGCACATTATGGCGTATGCGATCATTTACTTGGAGCATTGACGGCCTCGTCAAAAGAACTACAACACGTATCAATCGAAGCAATACAAGCGTTAAGTCATAAGAATCCACGTGTTCAAGATATTCTTCTACGTGAACATGCGATTGAACAATTATTAATTCTGTTGGATAAAACGAATATGTCGACGTTACAGATTGTTATTGTTTGTACATTGTGGACATTGTGTGAGACGAGTTCCTCCCGGAAACGTGATGTTGCAACGAAAATTGGTGTGAAAAAGTTAATAGGATTCTACATGTTAAAATCCGACGAGCATTTATTAGCTGTGACTGAAGCTTTGCATGAGTTAACCAAAGGTGCAGCGACGATTAAGATGAACATTCAAGAAGAGATCAACGATGCGCAAGGAATTCCATATTTGATACGTTTATTGAAATTGAATAACGAAACATTAGTGTTAACCGTTCTCAAAACTTTACAATTGGTCTGCTGCGCACCCGGTTTCGTTTCGAATCACGCCAATCAAGAAGTTATTCATAACAACGACGGAATCAAATTAATTGTCGCATTAACCATGCATGCGAAAAGCGACGTCGTACAAGTTGAAGCAGCTCACTGCTTAGCCTGCATTGCTTTGGGTAATAGTGAATGTTCGACGATTATTGAGAATACATTAGATTTTTCCTATTTACATATTATTCATTTGACACAAGCAACGAATCTCGATGTACAGCTGAAAGCATCAAATACATTGGCGATATTTATGTACAATAATTCACATATTCAGTCATATTTAAGTAAATATTACCAACTTTCGTTTGATTATTTTGATAAGTTTCTCCAAACCAATGATGAATTTACTCGATGTACGGCTGCGTTTCAGGTCTGTTGATAAAACTGAATCAATCGTTCTTTTGATCGATTGAATATTTCTTAGATTGTTGTACTATCGAGCTTGATTTCGGAACAAAAACGATCAGTAACAACAGCAATCGGTTGTGGACTTCTCATGGATACACTTCGATTGTCACAAGTTGATAAAGTCAAGTCTTTAGCAGCCGAATGTATCGCTAGACTTGCACATATGAAATCAGGTCTGTTACATTCATACGAAATACTTTACCAAGCAACTATTTTTGCTTTCATAGGCTCAGAAGTACATAAACATACCGGTGTTCCACAATCACTGATTGCTGTCGACGTGATTGATTATTTATGTAATCTATTTTCGTCTTCGAATGATATTACGATTGGCAATGCCTCTGTAGCACTGGGATTTTTATCGTATATACCTGAAGGTCGACGAAAGCTACTGAACAGGTATAAAATATATAAACACATTTGATCAATTCACCGGCGAATGAATATTTAGATGTCGAAGTGAGCCGGATATCATGAGTTTCTTAAAGATATATAATTGTTTACCCGGTGCTCCGCCGCGTTTGTCTCCGTCATTGATCGAAGATTGGGAAAGATATGACGTGCTAAAACTACCAAAGTTACGGTAAAATATTTTCCTTCATCAACAATCCATTTCTACCTGTCTTTGCCTTTTTTTCAGTTCGCGAGGATCAAATCTTCGATATTTTCGCGTATTTTCCAACAACATCGAGCGCTTACGCGTTGCACCTCCGTCCACTCGCGTCAAAGAACAAACCTCAACCAATACAAGTAAATTCTATTCATCATCTATACGCCAAAAAATCTAATTCTTCGTTTTTTACACCGTACTATGTTCCTATTGACTCAAATAAATATTTATTCATTCATTTTCATCGAATACTGAGCAACCCGTCTTCTGTGAAATCGACTGTAATATGCAGACATAGAAAGTAAAAAAAAGGATCTATTCTTTATTTCCGTATCATTATTTATTCATTGGCACATGTTGTCATGATATATATATAAATAGCTTTCTGATTTTCCCCTTTGGGATGAGAATGTACCATAATCACTGGAAATATGTACGTCATCGAGATACGCACTTATTTTTTTAGCTTAAGAATTCTTTGCTCACAAAACAAAAAAGAAAAACGAAACAAAAAAAACATGTCTTCATAATTTCGAATGTCCTTCATCGGATATTCCGCTAAAACTCGGATAAGCATGAGTTACACTTAGCAAACGCGTGTTCGAATTAACTTTCAAAATATTTGTGGAGCCCGAGTTTTTCTTCAGTCCATTGCAATTCTCTTCGTCGCAAGGCAACGCGATTGATGTGACTAACGGCACTGTTGTGTACTGCGTTCTCCGTATCGTCGTGAATTTTCTTTCCATACCAACAACGTCTGCACCTTGATTGGTATTCGTTCGTATTAATTCACATTGTTCAGGAAAGATTTTTGAACATCCTGGTAGAGATAAAATCATGACGCGGAGTTCCTGTCGAAACACATTCGCTGTTAGAAAATACAGAACGAAATTTGCGGCCGTATTTGCATAGTAAATCAAGGAAAACATTGTCCATAGAGATTGTGATTTTTGTCCATGAAGATTTCGAAATAAATGTCCAAATGCCATGAATGTCGACGCCGGCGCTGTTAATAAAATAAATACACAGGAAACAGAGAGGAGCATAATTGTCATATTTCGCTGCTTAGCTCGTTTACGATTATTCTTTTGGTTCATACGTTGTTGAATTCGACGTGCCGATGCGATCACTTTCAAGATCAACGAATTAAGTATTAACATGATTATAAATGGACATAGCGTAAAGAGGAACCATTGTATATAGCCTAACATATGTGAACGAAACCATAGGTACGAAGGATAATTTAACGAGATGTTACAAACATGTCGATAGACGATCGTGCGATTCAATGACAATGAACTTTGATGAACTGGAATCCTTTCTAATTCATAGAAAATCCCCCAGTGTAACTGAATGATAAATGAAACCAAACAAATCAATCCAATAACAGTGTAAGCATTCTTGACTGTACAGTGCTTCTTAGAGTAATGATGTTTAGCTATGGCAAGATAACGTTGTACACTGACAGCGACGAGTAATGTCGGTGAGAGATTAATGAAGTAGTAGGTGAAAAATATGTGGAATTTACAGGAAAGATTATTATACAAACGCATGTTTTGGTTCGGATCCAATCGAACGAGATAGAAATTCAAAACACTGAAAAAAACATTCCCTAAACATATTCAACAGTTGAAGAAAATCTCTTTTTCAGAACAAAACTTTCATCTTTACCAAGATCAGATAATGCTAAAGCTATGAGATAAATAGATGTGACTTGCGCTCGTAATTTCTTTCGGCTTAATGTTAACGCGGATAGTGTATTTCCAATACCACCGATGATAATTAACAGCCCGCCGATGATTCGAACGGACCATTTCAACAACGGAAGTTGATTTTGATGAGAAAGCACGATGGATTTTGATGAGAAAGCGGAGGAGGGTGCCGATGTTAGAGACAGATTGAATGCTGGCGTTAATGAGGCTAACTGATAGCTAAATGTTGTTTCAGTCATCGTTGTGTTTCTACTGATGAAAAGTGGTGCGAGCCACAGAACATCGGCGTTGATTATTGACATTATCCGACACAACAAGAAATGAACAAGTGTAATTATAGAAACCGAGAGTCATAAATGACTCGATTTCTCGTTGTGCAACCTAAGAAAAATACATTCTAGTGTTAGTAAATATTTATTTAGAAGAGAGAAAAATCAGTTGTTTGTCTGTCTTGACATACGGACCTTGTCTATATTTTGGTTCGCCATTATACACACAAATGACGTGCTATGTCTTTAAAACGGTTGTAACAAAAACTAACTTTTCCTAGTTCTTTTTTCTTCTTCTTCTTTCTCCTGTTTTTTGTGTCTATCGAATACTTCTTTTCTTCACTATTTCATCTAATAGATTGAATTAACACGATGTCACTGTCCATAGGGTGCTGAAAGAAGATCGGAGAAAGAGATAAAGATGTCGATAAATAAAACTGATTGATTTAATTACATCTGGGAATGATGTGTTGTTTTTTTCCTGTTATTTTTTTCAATTGCTGGTGACAAACTGATAAATACTTCTCGAATCTACACGCTCAACCTGATCTGCTCTTGTTGTTTTCATCGATATGTAAACGAAAGACGATTCTCTCGCTAATTGCCTAGTTCATAAATAAAAGCAACTGACATTGCATGTTGCTCTATAATTCAATTTCCACCTTACACTGAATAGATCATGTATATGAAAGAAAAAAAAATCTTACCGAGACGAATATTAAATACCATTATCTACATAATTCGATTCGAACGGAAGTGTTTAGTAGTTTGGTTGTTTATTATAGTATCTTACAAATCGACAAGAAGAAGAAGAACTAGGACACAAGTTCTTTTTTTTTTCTCTCGCCTCAAAGAAAAATCCTTTTCGAATTACTGCTTGATATCTTCTTCAATTCACCTTGCACTAATTTACTTAGATGATTATTTAGTTTGACGAATGTCAAAATGGTTCAGAGAAAAAGAAGACAAATATCTCTCTACTAGGTTCCCTCTTCAACTATCATCGATGAGCAGCAGAGGAAAGATAGTAGGTTACTGTGACAGAAGTGCGTTTCTTCTCAGCGGAAAACTGTATCTTTGATAATTTTCTTTTCCTCAATGACAGAAATCTAAATATGAAATTCTTTTCAAATATAACCGGAACTATTTATCAAGACAATGAAGCATTCTTTCTGATGAATAATTAATTTTTTTTGTCATCAATTGAAAAAACAAAGTCGCCTTTCATGGTGCTAATATTATTCAGGTTAATAAACAGACTTTTCTCTTCGTTTTCACCATCGGCGAAAAGAAGTCCAAAATTTCTCTGAGTACGTACGTCGTCGTAGTTATCACTTACCATCGTTCGAATTGGATTCAAAATTTCGTGTATACCAGTGATTATCTACAACGAAAACAAATTGGATCACGTGATATCTTTTATTCTACTATATAATTAGAAAATTCTTTCACATTATTTTTTTATTCTTTGTCGAAACGTGCAAAGTCATGCCAGAAATATTATCTGACTCTCGGGGGGTGAGCGAAAGACATCGCAACCATGTAAAGTCCTCTTACCTCAAGACACAAATCTCTGTTTGACATGCAATAAAGCAAAATGTTTTTTTTTCCTTCTTCTCTTCTTAATACCATGAAGTGTATGTCTATTTCTAAAGGCGAAACGAGGCACTAGAACAGACTTGAATGAAGTCATGAAATCTATTCGTACATGCTGCTGAGTTCATTATTTTCACTCGTATTGATAATATCATTGATCAACAGGAAGAATCGGAAGTCATGTATTTATCGGAAGTCAGACTCGGTTATTTGTTCTAATTCTATGTTAAATCTTTTTGCAAACATCATAACGTTTAGACGTGTAAACAGTCATTGAAAAAGCACTAATGTCTTCGAATATAGAGAATGATGAACGAAAACTCAGAGAAAGAAGTTTCTTTCTCTCGTGCTCTCGGTCTTCTTTTATTAACTTATGTTCTTGCCATTGTCTACGATCCTCTTCTGTTAGATCGAACAATAAAATCATCGATTTGTGAAAATGGAATTTCACTACTTGATTCCTTTCGAGCTAATGAATCTCTGCCAGTGTGATTTGTACTCAGATTATGCATGCGCGAATGTGAAGATTTGTCGACCGACAGAACGGCGAAGTCGAATATTAACCTATTTTATTAAATAGCTACTTCGAAGTATTTTTGACAATGATGAGAAGAGCGTCGAAGAGTGGGTACTTACATACTCGGTTATTATGTCGATATCTTGTTTGTCGTTATTAATATTAACTGTCAATAATCTAATGAGAAAACGATTTTATACGAAAAAGATGCTTGTCTCTTCGAGAATGGATAAATAATGATGTCGATAGAAAGCAAAAGAGAAGATTGTTTCGGACAATGAGGAAAACAGGAGAGAGAGAGAGTGACGAACGTTGACAACTCTCTCTCTTTGCTGTTTACTGCAGAAAAAGCAAATAAGAAGTGAAGATTTTTGTTATTGTTACACATGAATAAAACTAGCGAAGAAAAGAAGAACTTATTCAACTATGTCATGCACTCGAAATTCAATCAACTACATACAAGATATGAAAAGAACTTCTCTCTTACTATCATCTATGAGTATCCAGAGAATTTAAGTAATTACATTGTATTGATCTTTTGGCGAGCTATTCAACTAATAGCCTTCGAAATAACATATGACATATCGATAAAAATTTCCTCGAAACGTCACTATCAGTCGACTTTCTGGCACCTCGCAAATAAATTTGTGTGCGTATATTTATTAAACCGACAATATTGTCGTATTCAAGTTTTCGAGGTAGCCTAGCATCTGTTCTTCTATTGCGATTCTAGTTTCAGCTGACGCATAAAAACTTGTTAGCACATTTTTATGGTAATCAAAATTCGCAACTATTATGTTTAGAATTGAAAAAGTTTTTTAACACCCTCGCTAATGTACACTCACTAATGAAATTATCTCGAAAGAAATGAATGTCGAATGAACTGTAGGACGTTTGCAGTCGATGCAAACTAGCTTGTCTCTATGAAGTTCAATAATTGTTTCTAATTGATGGATTGATGTTGTTTGCAGGAAGAAGACAAAAAATATTCTTCTGCGTGGCATAGTAACAAGCATCGGGAAATAATTGACTTCCCCTGCATGTTCAGGTATCCTATTAAAGACAAGAGGATACTATCTATTTCTGTATACGAGAAAAAATACAAATAATTATTTTAATCATTCGCAAGTTGCACTTGAGTATAAATATTCATATCTTTGCTTCAGAATGCCATATGGTTAGCTATGGAAGAGCGTACGATTGGAAAATGAACTACAAGTGAGACACCAATCGGTTTATTATGTCAACATTTCACGTAAACAAAATGTTAATTCAACATTCTTTTTCAATTGTACTTCTGTTTGCACTCGAGCATGAGAAATTGTTGTTAACGCGTCGATCTCATTTAGAATGACATTGTATCCTATGAAAATAAATTTATTTTTCCAGACGATCACGTATTTCAAATTATAGAAAAACTCTTTTAATAAAAATAGAAATAAATATCACACTAAATATCATTAGAATCGAAGGAGTCGATTTCTTTAGTAATTTCAGAAGAGTAGATAAGATCTTTCTGTGAACGGTCAGACTCGGATCTGGTTCACAATTGTCGATTGCCACGCGATGCATTTGCCAATTGTGCCAAAGCGTTGTAACACCTGACCCAACAGCATTAATCGGAATTAGATTGAATAACTGTGTACCTCGAATTTCATATTGTATGGCTCGTGCATGTTCATCAGCGAGTGTTTTGTCGAGTAAGATTTCTGGTAGATTGAATTGAAGACAAGTCGGACGGGCAATACCGACGAAATCGCATGCATTCGAACGAACGGCGTCATTCATTCCTTTGCGAGTACGAAATCCACCCGTAACTATGAGCGGAATAGTCGTTGTGTTACGAACTTTAGCCGCGAATTCGAGAAAGTAAGCTTCTCGCTTACGAGTACGTTCGGATCGAGGAATGTATTCTGTTCCAGCCATCGCTGGTGATTCATAAGTTCCACCGGATATTTCAATAAAGTCGATACCTCCATGTTCGTCAATCCATTGAAACTGATCTTTAGCTTCGTCTTCGGTTAATCCACCTGCACTAAAATCAGACGAATTTAACTTGATACCGACAGCAAAAGTTCGCGGTACAACTGCTCGAATGGCGTCGATGATTTGAAATAAAAATTTCATTCGATCTTTAGGTGTAGCGCCATAATCATCAGTTCGTTTGTTTGACTTTGGTGATAAAAAACTACTAACTAAATAACCATGACTGCCGTGAATTTCCACGCCGGCAAAACCTGCTTTTGCCATAATCTCCGCTGTGTCGGCAAATCTTCGAACTACATCTTCGATCTGCGCTACCGTCATTTCTTTTGGTTTAGGCATAACGATGCGTTGCAATGTTCTAGCAATAAAACTATCTCCCATTGACATCGGAATTGGACTGGGAGCTATAGGAGGTTGCCGAAAAGGTCGTTTTCCCATTGGAGATTGACGACCAGCATGATTGATTTGAACGATAGTCGGTGTGCCATGACTTTGGCTCACATCGGCATAACGTTTCCATTTTTCTATATCAGTCTTTTCCTTGCTTGATATCATTAGATCAGTCATAAGACCAGGATAACGCTCGTCTACTTGTACATTTCCAGTCAAGAGAAGTCCATAGGAACCTTTTGCCCAACGATCATAGAGACGATAAATATATTCATTTGGCTGGTTATCACCAGTGCCAAGTGATTCTTCCATTGCAGCTTTCACTATCCGGTTGGATATTTTCAGTCCACATGGAAGCTCGAATGGCTCAGCGATCGGCATTGTATCTAGTGACGTCATTTCAATCGAAAATAGCTTTTCGTACGCGGAGATAAAAAGAAAGTCTTTTGTAGCAATTCTACAAAATCTTAAATCATAACCATTGGACAATTAATATCATCCAATACCAATAAATAGGATAGAGTATGCTTTTCATACCAGATGTTACCGATCGACCTATTCTCTCGACAACTTTCATATGCTTCCAGAATTCTTGATCAATGTTTATATCTCACAATCAGATGTCGCTGATTTCTGAGTTTTGTACTCATCTCAACTGACAAAGCTACAAATACAAGCCTCTTTATTGATTAAAAGACAAGAATAAAATATCAATAAATGGATCAATGTATTTCAGTTCGATTATTGCTGTAGATGAATTAACCATTACGACTATCTTTCCAACTACCACTTTCTTGTTTATGACGTTGAATATCGGCTTCGGTAACGCAACATAACTTATCTTGACCGCAAATTTTCGTTTGTTTAGCACATTTCAATGGTAGTTTACAGCATTTGTTATTGATTGTTCCACCACATCGACCTTTGTATAAGCTACATTGGCCCTTGTCTTTGCTTTTGTCTTTTGCTCCGCCCGTAAAAAATCTATTGAAAATTTTCAAAAAGCACCGTCTGAATCCATAGGAAATTATCGTTTTTACTTACGCATCGATTTGTAAGACAAACAAACATGCAATGAGAACGAGAAGAAACGAAATTGTTAAATATCTCATATTGAATAGAATCTAAAATGCGCAAAAAAAAAGATTCTTTCTTAGTTATCAACGCATCTGATATCCGATTATACAGACGTGTCAGGCATATGCGATGATCCATCTATATAGTTGTATATATATATATATGGACAAAGGAAACAACAGAAAAGAAAAACATCCACCCTCTTCTATCAGCAACGTCGTCTTTTTATTTCGTATTTTTCAACAGTAGCACTTATCGATAAGATAATTTCAATTCACTCGTGTCTATCATTTTGTGTTAGGATGGCAAAATGAATTATGATTCTACTAGATTGGTTGTGCTGACATGTATTAGAAGTTCGTTTGACAATATCATTGCGCAGAAGGCAACCACAGATGTACAAGACAAGAATAATGATAAAGTAATGTCTTGCTGAAACAAAGTAGAAAAATATGGATAAAATATTAGGAGGTTTATCACGGCGCAAGAAGAAATATTGTTATTTGATGCAAACGAGCTCCCAGTTCAGAGGCACATTTGATAATTTATCTTGCTTTTGAAAAATCCTAATTTATCTAACACACAGAAAAAAAAACTACAAAAACACGTACAGAAAACAAAAATAAATCTATACTAATTCGACTAAACTTTAGTTTGCCGTGGAAAACGAATTTGTTCATAAGGTATAAACCGTTCCATCGAAGCTTTCTGTTCGTCTTTCTTCTCGTCTTCATCAAAACTTGATTCAACTTTTATTTCCACTGTTGACGATGTAAAAAATGATATAATCGTAAGCACAAATACAACGATCATACAGATAAATGATGAGCCTGATTGTATATCTAAATTTGATGTTATTTGGTTAATGATAACTTCTAAATCGTGTGCAAACGGATAAATTTGTCGACGTGAATAATATCCACGCATAGTTTCGAAGTAAACTAAAGTTTCGTATGATTCATATGTCTTATGCTGAATGATAATGATCAACAGGGATAAGAACGAAAATAGAGCGGAAACAATGACTACTATACGTAATTGAAGATCGTTTAGAAAAGGAATATAACGATGTAAGCGAAGAAAATTGCCGAGAAAGAATAGGCTTTCGAAAACAATTGCGAGAATGAGAAATGTGCGAATCGTGTTGGTGTACAACGGCCTTTGACAAATACATTTGTTCGATGAGAAATTCGAATGAGAAGAAAATATGCACTGCTCGTGATGTTTTATTCCGTGACAAGCAGTGTATTCAGTGTCGGAAAATGATGGTAAAAGATTATGACCACATTTTTCACCAACAATACAATGAGATGATAAACCATATGAATGTTTTTGATCTAGAAGAGAAACGTTTTTCAATAGAAATGAGAAAGCGATAAATCTATATACCACGAGGAAAAAGAACATCGGCGTATCTTTCAATTTCACCGCGTATCAATGGATCCATATGATTGTTGTCTGTTGGAATGATTGGCGATAATGTTGAACGAAAGTGAATGTATTTCCAATGAGGTAAGTATAAAGCAATTAAACTCAAGACAAATGAGATCATACTGAGTGCAAGAGAGACAGCTATTAGAGTACGTGCAGTGGATTGCTTCATTCATTCAGATAAATATCTAAAAAACAAAAAATAGAAACACAATAGAAATCAGTCAGTCAGATGACAGTAATAACCGAGGTCTCTTTCACGAATTAGGTCGCTGTATGTATATCTGTAGATTTCCCAAAAGGAAGTTTCACCTCATACTCTCTCTTTTTATAGAATCGTGAATGGAAGGGATGTCTCAGCAGGAGTAAATTGAACAATGTATGAAAGTGACAAACCATTTAGATAATTTGTCTCTGTCGAGAATGGCAGGTATATATGTCACTTACAAAATTTGATGGCACCGGATGTTGAGAAGTACGTTTGTGTCAGTCCAACGAATATTACTGTTTCTGTTGTTTTGAGTCAAGGATTTATCTCCGTATGCGTCAAGAAGAAAATGGAAGTCACGTCTTCATTTATATGTGATAGATAAACAAGGAATGTATCGTCTTCTTCTCATTTACCTACTCAAAAATCAACTCTTAAGTATATCTAATAGTTTGTGTTTTTCTCTCTCTTCTCTCTCTCTCTCTCTCATTCGTATCTTGTGAAAGAAGAGAACTAGTATCTTGTTTGCATATTGAGTTAGTCAAGTCGATCATCGCATCACTTCACCTGTCAGATAGACTTGAAGACGTGATAGAACGATTAAAATGCATCGTTGAGTGTCGATACAGACACATACACACATGACGTTGAACTGATATCAGCTCGACGTCAATGCTCGAGGGCATAACAATGAATGAGTGAATGACGTTTTGATCGTCGCTAGAGATGAATGTGGAAGAAAGAAAGGATATGACTTTTTATGAAGAATTCACTCAAGGAAATCCTTTCAATGATATAATAAGCGATGTCATTTGTCTTTTTTTCTCTTCTAGTGAAATGAGTCTCCAGAGAGATAGAAAGACGACGTAAGAAGTGCATTGTTTATATCCGAGTAGGGAAGGAGAAGAAAGAAAGGTAGAGATACCGAGTATCAACACACTTGAATCCGATTTAACACGTTTACAATTAATTTCATGATTCATTATCGAACAAAAGAATAAACCATGTTTAATCATGACGTGTGTGCTGATTAGGAATTCTCATGAGAACATTGCGTCGAAACTAAATAACTAACAAATCATTGTCACACGACACAAACTACAATCCATTGATCTCAACTTGATAGGTACGACAAAAAATCTGTTAAATATCGTCTGTTAAGATCATTAGAGTAAGACAATTTATCATCATTGTCATTGTCCTTTCCTTCTCCCTACTCGCGAACATAACAAAGACATCATTTGATGCTTATTTGTTCTACACAACAGGCAGTCAAGCAAACGTGTATGGAAGAGATCAATATCTTCATTTCATAAACACCGAATGGCATTTATGCTCAACTTCTTTCTATGTCGCTTTTCTCAAGTGATAAATGACAACAATGATCTATAGGAGTATATTTATCTTTGATGAGTTAACATAAAACACATTGGGTATTTCTTTTCTTCTACATTATCACATATCTCTACACAATGGAGGATCATTTAGCTGAAAAAGGTCAGCTCATTTTCGACACACTTTATTAACAAATATCACATGATGATCGATCGAATGACAAAATATTTCATGTGCATTGATCAACGCGAAATTGTAATAAAAATTCCACATGCTCTCGAAGAACCAAATCATCCTGCGGTGATTGATAAGTGAGCTGACAAAGAAATAGATGAATTAGGAAAGTTAATAATGAAGTGAATGAACAAGGTCAAATACATACTTGAATGCGCAAACATGATCTATTTGTTTTCAGAATCAAATTCAATTACAGTTAATCCAATGTTCGGATGTGCAAAAGAAAACATGTTTTTCTCTTGCAATATTCAGTTGAAATTGACACTGATTGTATTAGGATAACAATAATAGAGTCAAAATTAAATGAATATTTGTTTCTGATAAACAGAGCAGAGTTTTGCGTCAGACCATGATTTTACTGTTTTTTTTCATCATGGATGATCGGATTTCTCCATGATAGTTAAACGATGTCTAAATATTTTCAGCTGACATGAGATAAATGATAGAAAATTATCTAATTAACTATGAATCTGTAAATATTATACCAATAATGTCCTTATATTTAGCGTCATCTACAATGTAAATTTGACAATTGCATTTGTGTTAACTCGAAACAAATATTTATGAAACAACATTTCTGATCATGGTAATTAATATTCCGAAAAAAAAACATCACAGGTGATAATTTGATTTGATCAGTATTAAGGACAAATCCGTTGCCTACTCGACTACGTACGTACGTACGTACGTACATATCATGACGATGACTTTTTTTTCATGTGTTTGTAATCAGCTGGTTCTCTACGATGCATGTGACATGACTCGTTCAGGAATTTCGCCTATGTATGTTTATTTTAGATTTGTTTAAACATTTCTACGGTGCTTTGATTTCGTTGGATCAGATGGTTTAATTTTGATAAGCGAATGTCTTTCTTAACAGATACTATTGTCGTAACAATTTCTCAAGTATGTTGAATTGAAAAAAGAAAACAGAATGCTGTTGAAGTGAGAATCAATCGATTCTAGATCGCGTTTTTACTTGGTGGTTGGGTATTTTTTGTTAGTCAACTTGGTCAAACTTATGGTGTTAGAAATGGATTTGTTATACTTTCATTTGCATTAACATTTGCATTGAGCTGTATGATGTTTGAGTTGATTATCTTCGAAATTCTTGATCTACTGAATCCACGGTATGTGCTATTTTCTCGTATTTAAGATTTCGTCATTGATATAAGTTTTTCATGGCTGCAGATCGCGTTATATCTATTGGCAGACAGAACTGTATGCAATGCTCTTTCTATTAGTCTTTCTTATTCCATTTTATATCGCTTATTTATTGTTGAATACAATTAAAATTGGTAAGAGAAAGTCAGAATTGATCAAAGCCGAGTAGTGCTTATCGGAATTTTTTGTTTTAGTTCGAGACTTTCGTCTGGTTTTAGTTTTGACCATTGTTGCCTGGTGTTTTTATTTGTACAGTTTTTGGAAACTGGGAAATCCATTTCCAATTTCAAATCGACAAGAATTCTTCAGTATTGAATTTTGTATCAGTCGAGTAGGAATCATCGGTGTCACAGCAATGGCAATTCTCAGTGGCTTTGGTGGTAAATAAAGCCATTCTTAATAAAACATTTCTCAGATTTGATTGCATTTCTTTTAGCTGTCAATTGTCCGTATACGTACATGACTTATTTCATTCGAGTAAGTTTGAACAAACCGACAATATTCAACTTGAGACCTTCGTATTTTGTTAAATGATAGTTAATTAGCATAGGGAGAAATAACGATACGGTCATTGACAAAAGAATATACTAGAAGACGTTTTGTCATAGATGTAATTAATTGTCAATGTTTCGAAGAAAGAAAATGTTCGCTTTTTTTTAGTCTATAACTGATAAGGATGTACGAGATGCTCAAAAGCGTCTGAAACAAGTGATGGAAATGGTCGCTTCGAAGAAGAAACGTATGGCTTTGATCGAACATGAAAATTCACTACGATTGATCTCCTCAGCAGCTCATTCGAACAATCCATGGCATATTCTCCGTCGAACATTTAAATCTCGATTTTCATTACAATTTACCGATCAGATCGCATCATCGTATTCGAATGATATTTCCATAATCAAACAAGATATTTCAACATATGAAGAAATCTATTCTCAGCTATACAGTGATTTTGTTGACCTACGAGCGTTGCAACAACGAATTGAATATTCGAAGACTTTGAAAGGAAAATATTACCATGTTCTTGGACATTTCTTTTCATTGTATTGTATATGGAAGATCGTCATTTCATTTATAAACATCATTTTTAATCGTGTAGGAAAAGGTAGGATCAGACTTTCTTCAGACAAAAGAAAACGAATTCTTTTAGTTGATCCGGTGACAAAAGGTATCGAGTTAACCGTACATTACTTTGATTGGGAATTCGATGTGAAATTCTGGTCACAGTATGTATCGTTTATCTTAATCGGTATCATCGTTGTTACAAGTATTCGTGGTTTATTAATCACGTTAACAAAGGTTCGATATTCATCTGATCAATCTATTCATCGACTTTCCTTTCTAGTTCTTTTATTTCATTTCAAGTAGTCGCTCAGCGAATGTGATATTTTTGTGTCTTGCACAATTAATGGTAAAGCTAAGCGAAAGATTGAAATGAATTCATGTGTTTATTTTTCTTAAGGGAATGTATTTTATATCATCGGTACTTCTTATTCGAATGAATATGCCTGCAGAATATCGGTGAGTTGATTGACATTGATTTGATTTGGAATGAAGCGAGTTGATTTTAGGCAAATTATATCTCAAGTTCTCGGCGATTTACAGTTTAATTTTTATCATCGCTGGTTTGATTGTATTTTTTTACTTTCGGCGTTATTCAGTATTGGCATTCTTTATTTACATTATCGTTCTTCTCAACAATCACTTTCACTTTACGATAAAACGATTCAAAAGGTAGAGAAGCACTGCAAATTCATGATCCATATCTCTTTTCGTTTAGATTTATGATTGATGTTTAAACTCTTCCCTTGATAAATGTGCGCTGTGATGATTCCATGCATTTATTAGAATTGTTGCATATTGATTTCTTTTTTTGTGCATATATAATGGAAATTTCTATTCTTGTTATCTAATTTTTCATCCAATACATATCGATAATAAAAAAAAAAGAAACGAATAACTACATTTTGTTTTGAATAATTGATTTTCAAATACGAGGATTTGTAATTTGATCGGATGACGGCAGATAGGCTTATAACTGGAAAAACGAAATCATTTCTTTTTCATTGATTGATATTGTGATACATTGCATCTTATATTTTCATTCGTCATCTAATCGGAAAATGGTAAGAAACGATGAATATTGAAGCGAGTTATTTGATGAAAATGTTTAGATATTCTTCAAATTAGCGATAATCATCAGTCTATGGACAACAGTTGTCTTTGCGAATTGTCCGATCAGTGACAATCCGAAAAAAATAACTGATTGTCTTCGTTATCTCTCATCGGGTCTCTATGGTGCTGCGATAAATGGTCGGTAAAAGTATTGAGAATGAAGTTGATGATGAAAAATGAAACGTATTTTAGATGTGAAAATCATCTGTGATGTTGCCGTTGATGTAATACGATGTGCAAAAGAAGAATTAGGTGAATGTGTAGCTGCTGAGGTAGAGAAGAACTCGTTTGAATATCTGTTGATGAGTTTTGTTTAGATTGGTAGAGCAGCATTGAAAGAAATATCATCTTTAGCTGAAAACTGTTGTCCAACTACTAATCATACCAAATGTCCTATTCGAAGTTGATATTTTCTCCCTCAACTATTCTACAATATGAAGTGGATTGTACTCTATTTAGATGGATTATTTGCTGGACAACGTTGTTTTGCTTCGGACTCATTCGTGACTTTAGCTGATGGAAAACAAAAACAGATCGGTGAATTACAATCAGGTGACTTAGTTTTGGCTTACAATGATCAAACGAAACAGGTTGTTTCGACTCCTGTCATAACAATATTGCATAATCAACCAACGGAATTCAGTAATTCTTTCCATCCAAGTATATATTTAAAAACAAAACGAATTTTCTTTCAGCTATTTTCAAACATTTGACGACCATTTCTGACCAACAATTATCTCTCACCTCCAATCATCTTCTTCTCACCGATAAGAATGAGTACATTATGGCAAAGAATATTCATGCTGGTACGAATATTGTTATCATGAACGACAAAGGCGTTCTTGTGAGCGAAACTGTTGTCAACGTGATCGATATCGTTAAACAAGGATATATAGCACCATTAACACAAGAAGGTACGATCATCGTCAACAACATTGCTGCTTCGTGTTATGCAACAATCAATAATCATCGTATTGCTCATGTCGCGTTGGCACCTATGCGATGGTGGTATAGTTGGTTTGGAAAAGAGCAACATGCAAATGAAATCATTGGTCTTCATTGGTTTCCAAAGATGCTCTACGAAATAACAGCGTTTCTCATGCCATCGATTCTCTATCAATAAGAACTTTCAATTTTCTGACATCTAATTTTCTGATTGTCACATAAATAAAATCGCTTATAATCGAATTAACCAATCAACTTGCTAGAATAGACACTTCCCTTTTTTATCATAAGTATGGCGTATTCGCAGTTTTTACTACAGTATAGAGGCTAGTCTGAATTTTGATTAGCCAACAGCTACTAGTAAAAATCGACTAGAAATCTTTATTTTTAATACAGTTGATACCTAAAACATTTTATTTCACTTAAACACAGTGAAAAATTCTCTGGTTACATAACATACGGTGAAAAAAAGTACTCGTCTATACTTTGACCTGTTGTTTGCGAGCAAAGTAAAGACATGTTGTCATAATTCAGCGATGATTATATAACCGCTGTTGGATGATTACACATATAAGTTATCTTGTGGCGCAAATAAAGACATAAATACTTGGCCAGTATCGAACAAAAGAACCTTTCATCTCGTGCTCCAAGAATAACCTCTTTTTGTATTTACTGATTATTTCATAGAGATCATGTGGAAAACATCATTATATTCATTCTTATTTGAACATTTCCAAATGGAAATTCCACATACAAACCAAATTATCCATGTTTATTCACCATGGACCTATGTGATTGCTTTTGGATCATGTCTACTATATTTACTGGCCATTACCCTTATTTTTCCATTGTTTACATCGAAATTAACATCTAATTTTGTTCAATCTTTCGCCAAGCTTCATCATGTACTCTTATTTATCTATTCGTTATTTGCATCCCTTGCTGTTTTAACTCACCTAATTCAATCCGGAGAAACAACGAATGGATATAATTTCCTTTGCGTTCCAATACCATCTTGGCTTCGAATTGTCACATTAACATTTACCTTATCGAAGATTTGGGAATGGTTCGATACAGCCATCCTGATTTGGAAAGGACATTCATTGAAAAAAATCGGTTTTCTCCATATCTATCATCATGCCACAACAGTTTTGCTATTCTTAATTTGCATGAACTTTCCCGGAGGAGAAAAAGGTAGTGTATTTTTCAATGGTCTTGTTCATACATTAATGTATTATCATTTTGCCTTTCGTTTACCGAAATTCTTTCGTCCTGTACTGACAGCGATTCAGATTGTACAACTTATTTCAGCTACCTATGTTTGGTACATTGTGCCTAATGTGTGTCCTAAGTACCGTGATTTTCCTGCTAAACATCCACTAGAATTCATTATTCCATTTGCTCTTGTACCCGTGTATTGTTTATTCTTTTTTAAGTTTTTTATTCAACATTATCTATTGTCATCGTCCCGAAAATTCAAGTCTTCTATAAATAAAACAGAATGAACCGACTGTTTTCTAACACTGACGACAAAGGTTTTCAGTACATCAAAACGTTATCATCTTTCCACAGGATTTCTTTTGTATGCATGCTAGGAATCATTCGTTTATCCGTAAGATTTATTCAGCTGAATAATCGCATGCAAAATTACAAAGAGCATAATTAGTAATTAAGAATTTATTAAATCAAAAGATATCTATGAATCTGTTCGTGCGTTTGTTTTTTAGTTGTTGGGAAGCTGATGTTGACTAATTGGATCAACACGATCATGTCTTTGTATTATTTTAGATAATTTATGCCAACAATTCCGGACTCTCTCATACCCTATTTTACGAAATAAGCCGCTTGTAAGTGTATACACATAAAATGATTTTGAATAGTTCAAATACAGTAAAACATTACTGAATTGAAATATAAACACATTAACGAGAGTTTGATAGGAACTATGACCTGTATTTCCAGATATAAAGAAATATGTATAGCATGTTGTACGTGTAATATCGAAAGAAACTGATATTGAAACTTGAGATACCATCATCTGCAAGATAGTTGAACATGAGAAAATTAGAGAGAAGTAATGTATAGACTCACAATGAGAAGATGTGTATCAGCCCTATGAATACTTCGTTGTTTTGACGTATTTGCAGCTTGCATCATCACTGCTCGCGTTCTCAAATCCCGAGCATTTTTGATTGTACACAAAGCCACTACTATTATCAACCCATCTGGTATTAAACTGGTCAAAATTATAAGATAAGCACTATAAAATACTGCGTAAACACCTGGCCGTGGTGTACATGATGGATGAAGACCAAAAAAGATATAAACATGCAAGGTGACAATCATTACAACCAGAATAATTCCTAGACACATGCGATGGGCAATTGTGATTTGACTGAAGGCTCGGAATCGAACTCGAGTTGATGTGGCCATATAGCGATCGACAGCTGTGAACAGCATTGAATAAGTCGCTATGGTACTCATTCCAGTTATGAGATAAGAACGGAGTTTACAGTAGAATTGATTTTGACTGAGAAGTTTGTCGCCGAAATATTCAGCAGCAAGTCGAGACACACCACCAAAACATACGATACATAATTCGAAAATGGTCGTACATAAGAGATAAAATGCGCAAGGATTTTTGGTCAATTGTTTGGATGTAAATGTAAGAATATTACAAAAGCAACCAAACGGACCGATAACAAGCAATAGAAATAAACTGATCGTTGTCATTTGATCGGTAATGAAACGAAGAGATTGTTCAGAAGAACTCATGCTGCTGTTCATGACTAAATGATAAGCAAATGAACATATTTACAACTATATATACACATTCATCCGTATGATGTTTTAATTAGTGTTAACATGTGATGCGAAATGATGCACTTAGTACAAGTACATATTCCATCAAAAGATGAATTTGAATATACCATAATGGTTCACATATCTTATAAAATTTCTTTCACCTCGGTTTCTATTATATCCTTATTACACGCAGATCTTCAAAATAAACCTGAACGACGTCATAAGGCGAGCGCTCTTGTACTTTATTATATATACGTGGCCGAAGAGCTTGTTCAAATCGATATGTACACAGTACTCGTTACCCATCTTTGCTATGGAAAAGCCTACATCAATCACCCGCAATCAGAACTATAAAAATTTCTGAACATATGCGATTTAGGTTCGTTTAGCCTGACTTGAATGATAATTTTTACAATAGTCTACTTCACTTTTATGCGTTGAGCTAATCCAAATATTGCCGCTATTACCAACTATTTATAACGAGTATACGCAAGGCTTGACCGAGCATATGAAATGATGCAAATAATCGCACTCACACTTTATTGTTTGTACTATGTAGCGCTGGTTTTCTGTTGAAATACTATATTCGACTTTATGGCAGCTTCTCATTTTTCTACATCGTTTATTCTTTGTCAATTAAAAACACACTAATATACAAGCAAGTAAACCAGTAAGAGAAAAGCAGCTTCGTTGACTAACAAAACAAGAATGAAATGTATAGAAGTGAATATTTCAATGAATAAGTTTATCACAACACGTGTAAATACAAGAGAAAAAGTCTTCACGCTTTATTAACGATTGGTCGATGATAAGTGATAAGAAAAATGAATAATGATAATAAATCATTTCTTCTGTAATGGTGGTGAGTTGGAATCATCCGACAAAAACATTCCTTGATGTTTTGCAGCATTTGATTGTGCTTCCGACTGCACGATCTTTTTCTTCTGCAAGTCAACCATGAGTTTAGTAATTAAAACTTCGTGATCTGCAATTATTTTGTTGAGTCTGCTGATTGCTTCCTTTAGTAGTCGTATGTCATCAGATTCAGATGCTTTTGGCTTATTCTAAAAATAAAGCAATATTTGAAAATCATTCTTCTCATACTTCTTTTCCGCCTGCTAGTGTACGTTTCGACATTCTTTTTTGAGACTCGCTTCGTGTTAATCTTAAAAATAAAAATACAAGTTTTACGTTAACTGTACCTTTGAATAACACATTTTCTTCGTAGGAATGCAGGCAAAATGCTAAGTGAACGGCTAGATATAGAGAATTTAGTTCTTTGTTTCTATCGATTCAGCCGTCCATTTTTACAAGGTCAGTCCGCGTCAAAATACAATGTAGACAAACACTAGTGCATGACCTATGTCACGGCATAATATACGCACGGTGTTATTTGTCTTTCAGAGATAAACGATATATCTATGTGTTCCCGGTGCGGTTCAAAAGCTGTTTTAGAAATCGGAGGAATCTTCAAACGATTATTGATTCAAAAGTTTCATTTTCCTTGAGAAAATAGTAGAGACAACCAATTCCGATAATAAAACCGTACAATTTAAAAAAAGAAAGGCGCAGAAGAGAAGATGCTTAAAATGATGCATTTATTATCTTACTTGCTCTACCATGTGTGTAAATATATGAAAACTCGATAGCCCCGATCACACACGAGGCAAACAGAACGGAATTACACCGAATCCGAAAGTCATGTGCAAAGTGGTAGATTTCCCATGGATTCTCCTTATACAGTTTGAAAACTTCCATTTTCATACAGATTATGTTCGATTTATAAAAATATTCAACTAAGAAATAGCAAATACAATAAAATTCAAAACAAAACCAAGAAGAAGCAATTAGTAAGACAAAGCAAAACCATAATTTACACGGTAAATATTAGTATGTTCTGAGAGTTTTCTTTTTAGAGCTGGAAAAGTAAACCTGACTGATATGGTTTTCTTCTGAAGTTAACAAACAGTTGTTGAACATTTACATTGTTTGAAAAAGTCAAGTGATTGTCGATAAGTAAAACCATTTGTACATTTCATTCGAAAATATCGACGTTTTGGCTCAATTGGTATACAACATGCCGATTGCGTGGCATTAGAAGCTGAAGGCGAACATTCTCCATGACATTTGGTCATACGTAATCGTTTTACACTCGAGCATTTCGTTGTTGGATCAATATAATATCCAGTTTCAATGTTCACACCACATGGTTGAGATGCTGGCAGTGATGACAACTTACTTTCACTACATGTTGGTCCAGTAAAGCCATCGTAACATCGACATTTATGCGTAAAGCCTTCAAGATGGCATTGCCCATTTTGACACGACATTGAGGTACATGACAGTTGGCTTTGTTCGCCAGTTTCACAACCAGGTAAAACTTTGTGACGATAGTCAACATCAGCAAAATTGACTGGATTGTTATTTATATAGAGTGCATGAATACAACCTTAAATACAATCGACAAGCACTAATTTAAGAAATCTATCTTTCATTACCGAGAAGTTCCAACTTAACAGTAACTTACCTTGAAATGAGGTTGCTTCACGAATATGCCATAACTGAAGGGCTCTATCAATCATTTCATTTGATATTCCGCCAATGTATAGTGTATGTATGTCACTGGTATTCATATAAGTATCACCACCTCGATTGCTGATGTGTCTTGTGTAACCTCGGTCGACTGTTAAACTAAAATTGCTTCCACTACTAATCAACTGCAACTCATGAATATTCCCTACAGAAAACAAATTATCTGGTGATCGACTATAATTAACTTAATCTTACCGTCATTAACAGCATCATAACTGAATATCACTGATCCAGGTGAACTGTCGACATCGTAACTAATTCGGATACGTCCCATGAATAGCTCGGCTACTAAATGTCCCAAATGACCAAAATACACGAGTACACCACTACTTTGTTTTGTACTGAATACAATTGTTATGTTTAAACGTGGATATAAGTTTGGTTTTGGTAATTTAATAAATGAATTGTTTGTTTTCGAATGAACACTTTGTAACGTACTACATCGTTCACCTATATAACCCGCGAAACAACGACAACGAAGGATATTGATTGCTTCTTCGTAGCAAACACCATTGTTAGAACAAAAATCTGCTGTACATTTGATTGGCACAAGTAATTTCGACGATTTGAGCTCAGGAGCGATTTGGCAATATTGTCCAGTAAAACCGACATCACATTTACACGTATATCTGCCATCATCAGGAATACAAACACCAAATTGACAAGCGTGGTTAGAACATTCGTTAGCTGTTTCCGTACAATTAATACCTATGAAATTCATCGCGCACTCGCACCTAATTGAAAAATATTCGGCTAAGTTTTTCACTGGCATTTATGTAACTTACTTATATCCAGTGTCTGTTCGTAAGCATCGTCCATTATTTTGACATGGAGTCAGTTTTTCACTACACCAATTCAATTCCTCTTCACAAAATTTGCCTAAAAACGTAAAAGAGCTCGAGATTATCTCACAAGTATAATCTTTGTCATACCAGTATATGAGGGCGAACATAAACATGAATAATCATCGATTCTGTCAATACATGTACCATTATTTTGACAACGATTTGAAATGCAATCATTTATGTTGATTTCACACTGTTTTCCTGTGAAACCTGGTAAACATGAACATTGAAAGAGGCCGTCAGCCAGAGATTGACATGTTCCCTGTTGTTCACATGGATTGCTCATACAACCATTTCGAATCTTCTCACAAGAATCACCATGATATTTTGGTAAACAATCACACATATGTTCATTCAATGATAGTGGACGACAGGTACCGTTGTTTAAACAAGAGATTGAATTCTTATAACAAGGATTGCATTTATGCTGATAATGGTCTGATTCATTCTTATCTAATCGAGAACAACTTTGAAAGAAATGAGAAGAAAATGATTATACATACTGTAACATTGAAAAAACGAGATTGGAGACGTGAGAAGAAGTTTATTTTCCATGAGACTTGGACCCACACATCGAGCAATACCTAACAGATAGTAACAAAAGTTATTGGAACGACCTTCTAAATATTTTACTTACCCGGCTCAACATAATCGGTTTTAATCCATGATGATAACCAAGCGAGATGACAATCACAATAGAATGGATTGCTACCCAATGCGCTATAAGAGAACAAGGTTCCACTTCTCTTTGTATCCATACTAAAACAATCTTCTTACATGTGCGATAGAACTGTTAAATCATTGAATGTTCCCTCAGTTATGGTAGCAATTTCATTTCCATGCAGTGATCTAAAAATAACTTCGTCTCTGAAATAAAACTTGATCAAAGAACACTTACAAAATTCTTAGATTCTTCAATCCTTTAAATGCATTCACATCCAAACATTGTATTTTATTATAAGATAATATCAATGTTTCAAGTCGAGTCAAGTTTGAAAATAGATATCCATTTATCGAACGTAATCTATTGTAGCTGAAATCAACTCGCGTCAGAGAAACTAGTCGCTTCATTGATTCGATTGGAATCTCTTCGATATGATTCGAATCGAAATAGAGCTCTTCAGTATCAATTGGTATCTCTTCGTAGGGAATACGCGTCAGTTGAGCATGAGAGCATCGCACGACTTTACTGTAACAAGTACAGTTCGACGGACAAATATTGAAGGACGATGTTGCACAAAGGTTCGTGTCTGTCGCTACGATATTGCACAGAAAATCAAGTTGGGTAAAGTGGGTGAAATGTAGTCAGACTTACAGTTACAGATGAATTCTTCATCAGGAACATTTGCAATCTGAACGAGAGAAATCAATGACAAATACATACTTTAATGTAGAGAAATTTACTAGAGTATTGTTGAGTTTGATTGGTAACACACATCTTCGAAAGAGAAATAAAGTTTTGAAAGAATGAAGTTTTTAAGTAATTACTTCGGATAATCAGTAAGGAATTTACTGTATTTCAACCATTTCATATGACAATTGCATATCAATGGATTTGACTGTAAATTTCTAGAGATCGATCAAATAAATCTGTTGAAAAAAACCGCTTAATTATCGAAATAAAATCAACTTACAATTCAGATAACGTTTGCAACTGATCAACTGACCCTTGATCAATGCATTTTAGACGATTATTCGATAAATCTAATATTTGAAGACTTTTCAAACCATTCAGGCTATGTGATGTTACTTTGTGAAGACTATTATTACTTAAAAACCTATAAACAAAATTCAAATTAACAAAATCTTTCGAACTAAACAGATTTCTTACAGTTCATTCAATGAATCAACGCCATCGAACGCATCATCATCAATATTGTCCAATCGATTATTTCGTAGATCACTAATAATCAAACATCAAAACTCTATCGCTATTCAAGTGTTTCCAATACATACAGAGTATAAAGACTTTTCAAATGTCGAAGATCATCCTCACGAGATATTCGCTTGATAAGATTATCTTGCAGATCACTAAATAACAAAATGATTAATCCTTTTCCATCGATTTTTTCAACTTACAGAACGGTAGTAAATGCTGGTAGATCGGTAGGTATTGTTTGTAATTGCAATCCTCGACATATGACGGTTGTTTTATGACATGTGCATCCTTTCGGACATTGTGTATCACATTGAGAGGCATAGGCCGTATGTTCATACTCCATTCGATCTAGAAAACAAGAGAATCAGTATTCTTCTCTTTGGAATAAACATGTTCTTACTGCGACAACGAAATCGTCGATCGTTTAATACACCAAATTTTCGTTTTATCATACGTCTCGGTCCTGCACAACGAACGCCACTTGTTTCAATCGGTTTGTTACGTAAATATGCATTCAACCAACGTAAGTGACAATCACATATAAATGGATTGCGAGCTAAATGTCTTAATTAAAGAAAATAGCTAGTTGAAATTTGTAAGAATTCTTAACGATATTCTTACAATGTTTGAAGATTCTTCAATGGACTGAATGTATCATTTGCTAATGTTTTCAATTGATTATCATATAATGATAACAAACTTAATTTCTCCAACCCATAAAAAGTATCTCCACGTATACAAACGATTTTATTTGCATTTAATAATCTATTCCAGCAATGACAAAATATACAAGTCAACATTAGTGACAGAATACTTCGTAAGAAATATCAAACATGCTCACAAGAGTTGCAAATGTAGAAATCCATGGTGAAAGATTGCGAATGGTAAATGCACAATGTGATTGTTGGAAAGAATACTAGATTGATAAGAGTATGTATAAGTTCATGCAAATAACTATGTAAAAAATGCATCGTGCCTTGAATCATTACCCATAAGTCTACTATCGGATGCGAGAGACATGCGTTTTCTTCTTATTATCTACTGGCACTCACAAAAGTTGAAGACTATTCAGTTCGTTAAAGATTTCCGATGGTAATATTTTCAGATTATTTCGATAGAGTATACTAGTCAGTGGTTTTGATAATAAAAGACAGATCGAAATGACAGAGATATCGACTTACAGTGAATTGAGTGATTGAAGACCAGCAAATGAATTCGGATAAATGATAGAAATCAAATTATTGCTTAAATCTCTGAAATTCGAAGAAACACTTGTCAAGAGTTCCTATTGAAAGAGACCAATGACTTACAAACGACGTAAACGTTTCAAATAACTAAACGCCTTCGGTGGAATTTCTATAATCCGATTCTTTTCCAAACGTCTAAAACAAATCAGTACATTGACATCGTTCGAAAAACCTTTCCGAATGAATTTTACAATTCGACCGTAGTATCTGGGATATTTTGCGGAAGTTCTGTCAACTCCTTGTCTTTACAATCCACAACACCATTGAAACACACGCATGGATACGGACAAATAAATACATTACATTTGTATTCAATATCTTCATAATCTACTCGACAGAACAAGCAAAACAATGGCTCGCAAAATGAACATTTCTGAAATCGTTTACCCATCGTGTTGCATCGCCCTTCGTCATTCAATAAAATTGCAATATCTTTCGAAATCGATGTATCAGAATCTTGACATTGAGTATTAATGCCGAGAAATGATTGCACTCGAAGATACTTTGCGAGCCATAGTAAACGACAATCGCAGATGAATGGATTATCATGTAATCGTCTGATGAAACGATAAAATATCGAAAAAATTATGAAATTCAATTCAGATTTACTTACAAAACTCGTAGATGAAGAAGTTGAGCGAAAGGTAACGTAGGTAATGTCGTTAAATTATTTGAGTTCAACGTTCTGATAACCAAAATCACATCGAATTTTGGAAGTTCAAACTTTTATACTTACATAATTTCCAACCGTTTCAAACCGTTGATGGTTTCCGGTTCAATACATGCGATTTCATTATGATCCAATTGTCTGTTGGATAGAAAATCAATGATAATTCAACTATTTACTCCATATATACTTACAAATTGGTAAGTTCATGTAGACCTTGAAATGTATCTGTTTTAATCGCACGTAATCGATTAGAGCTAAGATCCCTAGAAATTTCCCAAGCATGAAAGTATCTCCACACGATTTTGCTCGAACATACAATCGCTGAAGTTGTTTGAGTGTATTGAACATGCCATCTGCAAAGTGATTTACTTTATTGCCATTGAGTCGTCTATAAAAACATAAATATCTTGTAACTCATTTATCAATCGTGCATTCTATTTATCTGCCAACATCATCATTATTATCATTCTTCGTCAATATCTTCAAGTCAGACAGAGTTCTGTTACATAAATACATTCGATCATATTGATCGTCTCCCATTACTTGCCAACACAGTCGGACTCGAAGTTAGTTTCACTTACAATTTTTCTAATGATGTTAAATCACGAAATGCGTCAGTATCGATCGTATGTATTTGATTATCTTGAAGATTTCTAAATGAAAATAGAAAATAAGAATGCAATAGTCTCTCGCTATGATTTGAATCTTTTGTTATTTATTTAACCACTTGACCTTGTCATGTTTGAAACATCCGTAGAAGAAGAAGAAAAAGAATACAACTCTTCACCTTGTCAATAAACGATGAAAGTTCAAAAGATGATCATCGATTACTTTTGTCTCGTGTTATTTTATATGAGAAACAACAGAGACACGAGTACGATTGATTTGTATATGAGAACATTAATCATACTTACAAGATCCGCAATTGACGAAAGGCTTTGAAATCATCTTTGCGAATAATTGATATATTATTGAATTGTAAATCTCTAGAAGAAAGAAACGACAATCTGATGTAATCTATTCATATGTCAAATGTTTCTTCTTTTCATTTCGCAATGAAAGTTTATTTAACACTTGACTTTTTATTTACAATTAGCATGTTTTAATATGATTTCACTTGAAATCATTGCATAAAAAGAACTCCTCTCGGTTTTTTTTTCTGTCAATGATGATGTAATCAATTCGTCAAGAAATCAAACAATGATATCATCTTTAACAGAACCTCGCCCATCAATGAAAATATTGTAACATCAGAAGAATTGATATCTTTCTTATGAAGACCATGCAAATTGATCATTAGACTCATCGGAAGAAATCCGAGAAGACTGATTGAACACATCTATACGTAAACTGTCAGTGCACTTACAATTTAAACACGTTTTTTGGTATTTCGGACGGGATAACTTGTAGATTGCGATTGCTACAATCAACAATCGTTCCCTGGCATGAACACATTGGTGGACAAGCATTGATGAATTGTAGTTGAAAGAACAGAATGATTAAAGAGAAGATAGTCATTGTTTTGGATGATTTGGCAACGTCAAAGTTACAAATGGACAGAAAACGAGACATGGCAGGAGGGGAAAAGCAATGCGATAATTGTTATATGATGAGATGAATGATGCTCCCTATTCGCATATGTGCACTGGACATTCTCATCGATTCTCCTCTCTTCCCATAAGCTAGAAAGAGAAAGGAGAGGGAAGAGAGAGAGAAAGAAAAGAAGAAAAGAGAACGATTGAATCGATTACTTAGTCATAATCATTGATGAGAAGAGAAAAATCAAAGAATGATATTGGCAGACGTTACATGATTAGTCATTCAAAGAGATAGATCGTCAAGTCGCTATTAAGAATGATAAGAACAATTCAACCAACAAGATTATCTGAAAATCCGCGTCCCGATGAAATCGAGCAGAGAAATACAGTACAGGCTCTGAACATTGCTCGAAGCAGTATATCGGACACTTTCTTCTTTTGTCATTGTAGTAGAAAAAAGTAAACTGTAGCATACAATACATTCTTCCTTTAGTTAAACAAGTCAAATTGGTAGAAGATATTTTTATCTGTCTCAAGTTTAGACATGATGCGTTTTCTTCGAACATAAGTATTTGCTAATCAAATACTTCGTTGGTGATATGTTTAAACAAGAAAATATTCTCACGATCACTTATCTCTTCTATATCTGCATACAATGGATAGATAGACAAAAGAAGAAGAAGAAGAAGAGGAGTAATATGATAAGTCTTCGAGACATTATTGTATGTATGTTAACAAAACTGAGGACTTTTTTTTGTTTGCTTTTGTTTTCCAAGCAATAATCATCGTAGTTGTGATTTCGAGAATAGAATTTGGTGGAAATATTTTCAGTTATCTTGTTGGCATTCGACATATTTTACTTCTTATACTTAATTGAATAAAAGCGTGCGTATGCGTTTGAACTTATCATGAAAATGTAAGAAATGGTGGAGGAGAAAAGAGATATTTATTACAAAGCACAGTATCAGTTTTGCTCATATATATATATACATGTACATATACAAGTGACGTCCAGATAACTGATTTTCATCTTACGTAATGCATCTTATTCAAATACTGTTAGTATTGGTAATATTCTCGTTTGGAATCTTATATGAAGTTGAAGGTAATCAATGGGTAAATACGTTGAAACGTTCAGTACGCAACAAGTGTTTCTGTGCCAAAAGTGAATGTTGTTCAAAATGGGGTTATTGTGGTAAAACAGATGAATACTGTGGTGTCGGCTGTCAATCTGGTCCTTGTAAACTCTCACCGACACAGCCTGCTAAGCTGTCAACTAGTTTTACATTGACAGCCGATACATTTGCATGTGTTTTCCCGAAAATTGACGCTGAATTACGTGCACGTCGTTTTCAAGGTTTACACGAAGCCATGGAATTAATGAAATGGAAGCCAGCAAGTAGTACGGAAGCAGCTGTGTTTCTTTCTCATGTTTCACATGAAACAGACGGTTTGAAAACTTGTGAAGAATACTGTTCTCAACGTGGCTGTAAGTCCGTATCGAAGATCTTTTCCACCTACAGTCTTAATTTCTACATTGCTAGCTTGTAATAACTATCAATCATCGTGGTGCGAAATTCAAGCGCGTCCAAATGTTAAATATTATGGCCGAGGTTGGTTTCAGTTATCCTATCCATGCAATTATCATAATGCAGGAAAAGCTCTTGGTATCGATCTATTAAAAGAGCCCGGCTTAGTTAGTGAATCGGAAAAGATCGCTGCGGCGACGGCAATTTGGTATTACAAAGAAACTGGCATGGATAAATTAGCGCAACGAGGTGATTTTGGTGAGACGACACGAAAGATCAATGAATACGAATGTTCAGGAAAAGCTGGCCATCAAATGCAAGCGGCACGCGTACAAACATATCATCAAGTGCGCAAATGTTTCAATCTACCTCCGGCAACGAACAGCAATCTAATTTGTTAGACATTCTTCCAATGAATTAAAATCACTCTTTCATATTTATTCGAAAAATTCAAATCAGACAACTAATCTTATGTTTTATATAGTAAAAGAATAAATAATACACGCGCACACTCACTCACGCACACAGGTGCAAATATTTGTAATCAATTAAAATAGAGAATTTATGTATATATATAGACGCATTACAGCAGATATAATATCACCGTGAGATAGTCGATAAAGACTAAGTTATTTTTTCGGAATAGAATTGTTTGGTTCAGATTTGATCTCTTCCGAGATATTTGGTTGAGTTGGATTTGCGCGGCGATGGTGCGAACGTGGACGGGATTGACGATCGTTAGGCGATCGCATTGGATAACTCTGAGAATTGAGTAGCATTAGATTGTTTAATGATGTTTGACTTTGAGGAGGATGGTACGGCAGAAAACCACTGGACGTCTGAGCCGATTCGTTGGTATTATTCTGTGGAATGGGTCGAAATAAAACTGAACCACTGTTATCTAAATAGATAGAAAAATCATGAAGAATTTCTTCGTGAAAGATAGAACAAATTACCATTGGAATGTAACATTGCATTCGGTTCATTGGTTGAACTACGTTTCAGAATAGTTGAAAGTATCATATTATCATCGATAATAAATGGTAATGCATCATCAAAAATAGTTGATTCATATTTGGATGCATTGAATGCATTTTGTACTTCTTCATCATTCTCATCTCTTATTCGGTTTAAGACGACGGGATCAGTTGTGATAGAACTTGTTTTGCCTGCTCCGGTTACTGAAATTGTTGTTCGACCAGGATGCGCTTCATTTGAGCGAGGTGATACACAACGATAAAGATTCTGTTCACCTGCTGTTGAATGATCACTATTCGACGAAGGTGATTCGTTTTCAACATCATTTTCTGCTAAACTATTCAAATAAACATAATTCAGTTACTCGTATGTGAAATATCGAATAAAACAAATTACTTATTTTCGTCATCATCAGAAGCGGTTTGATTGGACTAAGAGAAGATTCTTTCGATTAGCATAAATAAATTACCTAAAATGTTCATTTACCTTAAGAAACATATATTCATCATCATCATTATCATTCATTTCACTAATATCGATGACGGTTTCTGTATGTTGGTCACCTTCGCGATAATCATCAAGGCCGGCGATTGAGATTCTCTTTCCGTCCAATCGGTTTTTCGAAATTAATAAAAGAACCTTTTCTTGCAAACTCTTAATTTCGCTATTCAAATGTTGATTATCATGTTCTAAATGTTTCATATACCACTGCTGATCACGACATTGCTGCTGATATGTTGGCGGACGAACTTGAAAGCGAATGATTAATGTATCGTTGATTATATCGAGAAAACCTTCACTTGTCAAAGCGTCAAGAGAGAAAAATTTATTATAACCCCAACATTCTCCAACTTCGAAATCGGATGCAAATTCTCGAACGATATTTTTCGATAAATCTTTACTCATTTGATGAATCATTTCAATTCGATATTCGTACTTCGATGATTCACTTAAGCCAGTTGTTAATTCGAGAAAAACGGATAGATATGTGCCTCGAACAGTACCGTTTCCATCAGGATAAACTTTCAAACGCCATGTTAGACCGTTGATATGTAATGGTTGACTGTAAATAGGATCGACATTTTGACGACGAAGTGTAAAATTGGTTATTATGAATGTGTTGGAATGATATGGCGGAACAATTTCACTAGAGAAGAAGACTGGGAAATGTCTATTTCGGGTGAAAAAAGATGGAGGCTCACCTGAGAAAATCACAAGTTATCGGTGTAGTCACGTAGTTGATCATAGGTTTTTGGCAAATGCTTTGAATTGACTCGAGAAGATCTTGTTGTTTATTGATGACTTCCGCTTTGCCGTTGTTCGATAGACGAACTTCGATATTATGAAGAGTATGTTCAATTAATTCGGTCTCTTCAGACAGTTGAGTACGTTGAGCTAAAAGAGAATGCTACATATTTTAGTTCACATCATTCAAAGAGATATTTTACCGTTTAAAGCATCCATTTTAATCTTGAATTGTTCTTCTAATTTCGCCTGCATGGTTTGCATGACATTATGAATCTCTCGATAACGTTCATCTTTGGCCATTTTCACATTTTCAACATTACGTTCCTATGAAAATCGCTTGAAAGGGTTGGCAGACAGCAATTGACTTCTTACCACATCTTGAGCTAGACAAATCAGATCAACATGTCGCCGTTTTAATTTTGTCAGATGTTCATTGACCAGCGATACATTTGTTTTATACACATCGTCAAGTGGAAGAAAACTATGTCCAGAATGCTGAAATATGCCATTTTTATGTCATAAATCGAAATAAACATTCATACATACCGAACCGTTGAATAGAGCACATTGATGGCAGATACATTTGGAACATGTTGAGCAATAAACAGTTAATTTTTCTTTATGTACTTCACATCTAGAGTAGCCAATCGATTCGAAGATGATATTTCTACACTACAAGACTAACTTGTCCTTTTCTTCGCATTTTTGTTTACTAATTTCGTTAATTTTAAGTGTATCAAGTTGTGTTGTCACTTCTTCAGCCCATCGACAATTAACAAGATCTTGTATTTGAAGTGTAGCTCGGCAATGTGGACACTGATGTTGATCAGTGAGCCAACGCTACAAAAAAATTGAGTAGAATGTTTCTCAATGACAAGTTTTTGACGTACTCGAATGCATGGATAACAGCACAGCTTCGAACAATGTGGACAGAGTCGAGCATCGCGTAATTTTTCCATACAAATAAAACAACGAAACACTTCAGCTAATGTCTATAGAAAAGACGAGTCATTTTTCTGCGAGAAGGTTTAATTAAATCAAAACCATACTTCCACAGAAGCTGTGCCATGATTGCTTGACGACATGTTTCTCTATGAATGAAAAGCAAAGTCGGAAATGAAATTATACATCCTTCTTCGACCAAACCTGATTCTTATTCAAAGAAAAAACTCAAAGAATAAGCAGACGAAAAGTACGATCAATCAAATTAATCGTTCAAATGTTTGAATCCACAAATTTCTACTTGTCCATTGATGTCAAGGACAACATGCACATTGAAGTTTATTTTATTCAGATGTCGCTAGAAGATACTCCTCGACGTTCAATAAAAATATCACTCTCTCTCTCTCACGCCAAATATATTTTCATACTAATCCGTATATCTTTCGTTTGCTAATGGATTAAGATAGCGAAAGACCCATTCGTTTTTACTCAAAAACATCATATTATCATCGAACACTTCGCTGTATAATGCTGATTATTTTGCTGTTTGTTCCTTTGGTTTCAGGTAGGTAGTTTTCGTCTATCTGATTCTTTTCAGAAAATCTTCTCTCCGAATTTAGGAACATGGATCTCATCAATGAATCCAATCACATTTGCGAATACGACACTAATAAACTTACTCAACAATGGTGGATACGCTATTATCAGCGGAGACCGCAATCCAGCCCTATCGATCGATGAGTTTCATTTATCTGATGGCGCGATACAAGAACGTCTGGGTAATTTGTCGAATGACCTAACAAATACGTTTTTGTACTCGAGTGTTCTTGGAGTGTATGATGGCGCAAGTGAAAATAGTTTTCTTGTCGTTCTACATAATAAATCACCTGAGCAAGAACGTACAATTATATGTCAATTAGGCGAAAAATATCATCAAGATTCTGTTATCTATGTGAAACAAGCTTCACCGGTGATTCAACAATTAATTTACACTAGTGGCTCACTCAATGGCACATATGTCGAAGGAGAAGGTTATAAGATTTTGTCATCAAATGTAACTGACAATTATAGTAGCGTTCGGTTATGCCCAAACGATATGTTGACATTTACGTTGAATTTCGATTTCGAACAAATGATTACAAGAAACAACAGTCGTACGAAAACACGAGAAGTCATTGAACACCATGCACGCAATCGTATGTTTAATCAACAGCGAAAATCTGCTAAAATTTTCAATTGATTGTGATATTGATTCGAAATAATTCGAGAGAATATCAATAAAACTAAAGCGAGCATTCGAACATATTCTCTTGTGATCGGATGATCTAGTGTGCAGAAGTAAAAGAGATAAATGTTAGATAAAGAAAAGAAAGAGAATGGATATTTCACGTGTTTGTCAACTGTACAATATCGAATGAAACGAAGAAATACTAGTACGGTTTATATGAAATACGGTATGTTAAAATGATTCATTTTGTAGATTCGAGTGTAATCAACGCAGCTAATCAGTTTTATATCAAATATCTGGTTTGAAATCTCGAACTAGTTCGCAAAATTTACATTTCCAAAAGTTCATAATCGAGAAAAAGGGTATATTCAACTATTCTCTATTGAGAAATGATGATGCTAAGCTTCCATTCATGCTAATATCCCGCATAATCTCTCGTTTTTAGATACTTGTCCCTCCAATAGAAGTAAAGAAAGGGTGACTCAAAGTACATCAAAACGTATTCAAACGAGGATAACTAACGTCCACACAATGCATATAAGCGAGACTGACTCTACCGGACGGAGACGTATCTATACCACGAATCGATATATGATATGTCAATTATTACTGGATGGCTATCTGTACGTGTACGTTGACCGATGTGGCAAGACGCTAGACAGTACCGCATAACAAACTAAGAATCAAAAGTTTAAGGATCTTTGCCATAGAGATCTAGTTTTCATTTCGACTTTATTACTTCAAGCTTTACTATATACAATTCGATGTGAAATTGGATGGACTAATGATACAGAAACATAGTAAAGTAGAGTCTCGGACGAATGTAATGCGCCAGTAGCATTATCTCGATTCGCGCTAAGGATAGTACAAATTTCGACTTCCTCTTTTCCAATTAGTCTATGTTCGTAGAAGAACAAGTTTTACATTCAACGGAACTGCAGATAACTAGTCGAAACTGACTGCGTCATATAAACGCCGAGTACCCCTATTGAAAGTATTAAGACTCCTTTTTTTGTGTGGTATTCTCTTGTTGAAAGTAACAGATAGATACATGACAGAGTAAACTATATATGAAATACGCTCGATATTCGTTCTGCGAGACCGTCTGTGATTCGTTCGTGTGAAGAATCAGTATTTATATACATACAAGCCTGAGAGATATTTCTTTATTTGTAGAAAAATTTTGTTGGTTTAATTTTAACAAGTAAATGATATCCTCAAGCTCCTCAACGAAGACTGTGTTAGATGAATTTGATGTTGGCGTTCAATCGGAATGCGGCAAACTTGATATTGTACTCATGCATCGACCTGGCAAAGAACTTCTATGTCTTTCCGAACACAATCTCCATCAATATCTCTACGACGCACTTCCAAACATCAACGAAACTCATCGATCACACGACATCTTTTCACAATATCTTCGTGACCATGGTATTCACGTTCTCTATCTTACTGATCTATTGCGTGAAACACTTGTTGCAAGTGCAGAAGCACGACATCAACTCATCAACGAAATTGTTGATACTCAAAACCAAAACGCATCTGTACTTCAACAATGGTTACTTGATCGAGCTCCGGAACAATTAGCACAAGATGTTATCGTTGGCGTTGCTTGTTCACAAGACGAACTTGGCACATCTCAACATGCACAAGAACTTCTCCGAACGGTGCAACCAAGTAAGGAATATCTCATCCAGTCATTGCCAAATCTTTTATTCATCCGTGATGGATTCTCTATCATTGAAAAGAATGTTTTTATTTGGAAAATGAACAAATCGTCTCGACGAAACGAACCATTTCTTCTACGCACAATCTTTCAACATCACCCACAGTTGTCTACAAGCGGATTGAAGGTCATCGAATGGCAAACGAAGAAAGGTGAAAACAACAACAATGATGGTGAGATGCCAACAATCGAAGGTGGCGATGTTGCATACATTGGTGATGGTACAGTGATGATTGGATGCAGCGAAAGGACAAATCGTGCCGGCATTGAAGCAGTCACTCGAACAGGATTATTTCGTCAAATAATTGCCATCGACATTCCACATAATCGATGTTACATGCACTTAGATACGATAATCAGTTCGGTTGGAAATGGCGCATTTACACTGTATGGACCTTTAGCCGACAATATGGAGGTATTTACATTGGAGAAGAAAGGTGACGAAGTAAAATGGATATCACACGGCTGTAAAGTTCGCGAAGCTCTCATTAAAGTTCTGGATAATCGAGATTTAGTGTTTTACGATGCTGTAGATAAAGAAACGTCATTGAATGAACAACGTAATTGTCGATACAACGTTGTTGTTATCGATCGTAATCACGTAGTAACATATTCAGGTAGCGACGCTAAAAACGGAATCGTTGCACAAATGACGCGCAATAATGCATGCCGTGTTGGTGAAATACCACCTCAAGGTTTATTCGAAGGTGGTGGCGGTGTCCACTGTATGACAAATGCCTTACGACGACGTTCCGTCAATTGAAATTCGTCTTCTTTTTCTGTTTATTGTAATTAACCAAGTATTGTTCGTTGTTATATTTGCAGTTAAGTTTACCACTAAATTTGCTTTTTTATTTAAGTTGTTCATAAGTACATTAAATCTTTGTAAGATCAGCAGAAATGTTTAGTTCCTTCAGTCAAACGGGGCCGTCGATGGGCGTCGAAAGTCGAATATAATTCAACGAAAATGTCTCTGTTTTGCTCTGAATTGTGAAGAAAGGGCAAATTCACTTTCATTACTCACTTGCTTACACTCTTTGTTCTGTAACAACGAAAAAAGAAATACAAAGAAAAAAACATAATTTTCTTCTTTGAGAGCAAGTTTACACCTGTGTGTATTTGATAAGAAATAACATGTTTATTATTGTAGCGATAGTCGCAATTCTAATCTATCGATTTATTTCATACCTTTGGACATTAAAGTCAACTTATGAATATTTCAAACTTCGGAATATTCCCGGTCCGCCACCTCGATTTTTCTTCGGTCATTATCTAACCCTGTGGAATACGCCGTCTTATCCAAACCAAATTCGCGAATGGACGCATCAATACGGATCGATCTATGGTCTTTTCGAAGGTAGACGTCCTATGTACGTCGTCTCCGATGTTGACGTTCTACAAGAAGTGTTTATTAAGCAATTTTCATCGTTTCATTCTCGTCGAACCAATCTTCTCATTGATATTCTGAAACACAAAGGTGCAAATCTATTCACTGCGCACGCGAATGAATGGCGACGACAGAGGCATGTCATCAATCCAACGTTTACAACATTAAAAGTAAAATCAATGATACCATTGATAAACAAATGTATCGAATCAATGATCGTCAAAGTCAATGAAATAAGTGGCAAAGAATTCAACATTTACGCACTGTACAAACGATTAACTATGGACGTCATCTGTAAGTTCGTACGGTAGAAAAAAACATTTTAATATACAGTTCAGTAGTGCAAATAAAACACTTTGTCATCTTGCCCGAAAAATACAAATCTACGCTCTGATGCCTTCATCTATATGCATAACATTGATAGTTTTTTTTTCATAGGTCACTGTGCCTTTGGTATTAATACTGATATGCAAAATGATGTGAGTAATATCTACATGAAGCAAGCCATGGCATGTTTTGCAACCGATCCGGAGATGTTTCCTATCGTGAAACTATCTAATGTACTACCGTTTCTCAATCCTTTATTAACTCGAATCATGCAAAGCGGCATTTGTCTCATCAATGCATTGTCTAAATACGTGCCTTCGTTGATCAGCCCGATCGAAACGATACCTATCTTTTGGTTCATCGGACAAGTTGAAGTATTAATCAAGCAAAGACTAGCATCGGGAGAGAAAAAAACGGATTTACTTCAATTAATGTTGGACGCTGCAGCACATGATGATGTTAAGGTGAAATGAGCATCCATGCTTTTACATTTGCTATGAAAGTAATTCAACTATTTTAGAACGATAAAACCGATGACTCGATGTCCAGACATCTTCATCACACAGAAGTAGTGATGAATGTTTTTCTCTTTATGATTGCTGGTTTTGAAACAACATCCGCTGTTTTAGCCTATTCAACTTATGTGCTAGCTACGCATTCCGATATTCAAACGAAATTACGAACGGAGATCAATGAGTCTTGGAAAGAAGATGATGACGAATTGAATTATGAAATCATATCGGATATGACATATATGGATTATTTCGTTCGGGAAGTTCTACGCATGTATCGAATATCAGGTCAGAACAGCACTCGATTATGTAATGCGACAACGACTGTTTGTAATCATCAAATCGATAAGGGTATAATATTCGTCTGTTTCTCACTGTAAAATGTAAATGATCTATTCCATAGGATGTGTCATTCTCGTAGATGTTTACACTGTTCATTACAGTGCGGAGCTTTGGGGTCCAGATGATCCAAATTTGTTCATTCCAGAACGTCATGCAGTCAAACGTCATCCGGTTGCGTTTATGGGATTTGGTATTGGACCGCGCAATTGTGTAGGAATGCGGTTTGCTTTGATGGAATTGAAAATGTGTTTAGCGCGTCTATTACGCACGTATGATATCCTTCCTGGTGAAAAGATCGAAAAAGGTATGACCCATCGGAAACCGTCCATTCTTAGACCAGAAGCTATCTATGTACAGTTACACAGACGATCGATGTGATTCAACAGCGAATTGGATTGTATAAACCTTTTGATTGTTTTACTGTTTATTTTCAATAAAGCTTTATTGGTTGATCTTCGTTCTGAATGACATCGTTCACTATTGTTGAATATGAAATATTATAGTCAATAAATCTTATTCTTCAGTATTGTTGATATACCCGTATTTTCAGATTTTATCCTTGGTGAATAGACGATAGACAATGCACATGCTATTTGTAATGTAATAGGATAGACACAATAATTTCCTTTCACTTTCGTTTCTATTGTTCTTAGTAGGGCTCTATGTATCCAGTTACCTTCCATTATGTACTTTGGAATGTATGACGACTACAAATATAACTCACACCATCTAATTACTCCCAATCATACTTCCTCGGTGAATCATCGTTAAAATCAAAGATCGATCGAAAGTATTTCGATTCAATACTTTATTTACTTATAATGCAAATCAATGATTTGTGGCGAAATAGAAGATAATGCTATTCACATCTTTCCATTTCTTTTTCATATTGATCGGTATGAATATGTGAAGATACCTACAGACACGAAAAATAAATCATCCTGATTGATAATAATACCGAGCTTTTTTTATCATTGGGTTTTATTCGGGGAAAAGCTACGCCCATCACAATAATTTTTAACACGTTCTACTGGGCGGGTATCGTGGGTAGATTTGTCCTTAACAAACAACCCCGATCAACAGCTTCGCGTTTTAAAATAGTACTTATTTGACACGAAGACAATGAGTTGTTCCACCATGTGAGACCAACTACATAGCCCTACAACTACTACAAAGTTTTCCAACAAATTTTGGTGCTGGATCATTTCTATATGCCTTCTCCTACAACCACTATTTATATGTTCAAAAACTAGTAATTCGAAAAATAATATACCCGTTGCGGGTCTACCAAGCAAGCTACATTAGGTGCATCAAAGGGACAATCCGAATCTTTCATTGGAGACTAAGAAAGATAGGAGAAATCACATCACCTCATAAGTACAGCTAAAAATGTATTTTGTATTCTTTTCCAGTTTGGTTATTACATATGTATATCCATATTTTTTATTCTCTTATTATTATTAATTAAACCTGTATTTTTCCTATTTTGCTCCATAATTAGACCATAGACAAAAAAATAAGACGTTGCTTTAAGATCAATAAACACAAGATGTGGAGAAAAAAATAAACGAAGAAAAAAGAAAAAGGAAATTATTTAATACACACACACAGAGAAATCTGACATGTACATAGATATCGTTGAAGGGAGAGAGAGAGAGAGAGAGAGAGAGAGAAAAGTCTTCATTCATTGGCGCACATTCGAACTGAGGCGTTTTCCTGAGAATAAAAAATGTACACACATGCCCAGTACTACAATGTGGTATGCTATGTCACGGATAGGATGAGAAAGAGAAGCGGAATGCTATTTCATATGTAGGGCACTATACTGTTGTTGTTGTGCTTGAGCCGCCGCCGCCGCTGCTCGCTGTTGTTGAACTTGTTGACTAACTTTAAGTGAACGACGGAATAGCAGAATATGTGGTTCTAAGACGATAAACAACTGATCTTGTCCGGTTCTCTGTGCAAGTCGTCATCCTTACCTGGCTCGTGTATCATAAAATGAACCCAACCGAGCGATTGTTGAACACCGAGATGACGCCATTCATGCTCAGTTAATAATCGACCTTTAGGTACTTTCTTAGCGATTTCCTTCGGTAAGATCACATGACGGTATTCATACATTTCCTAAATAGAAGCGAGAAATTTCCTATTAAATACAATTACAAACATTCTCGTACATCTTTATATGTATCCGAATAGTAGATCTGTTCTTTTTGAGATTCTTTATCCTTTTGTGCTGCATCTTTTGCGGCCATATTGACGAGGAAATAAATAACGTTGGAAGCGACGATTGACAACAAAAATATAATCTGTTTCTATCTAAAAGAAATTCAATTATGTTCGTTGAACGAATAAAAATTCCATTGAAAAAAGAAAGTACAAAGTCGAAATTCACAAAGTAAAAGCATCTGACATTACTAAAGAGAAAAAGAAAGAAATCTTCCTGCTTATCGATCACAATGACTTTCAAAGTTTGATCCGTGAAATTCATTGTTATAATTATTAGTGATTAACTTATAAGGATTAACAGCCATTCGAAGTGCGCCACGAAGATTGAGACCATTCTTAGTATTTGTTGAATCAGCAAGCGGATAGTTCGACGACGAGTTCATCGTTGCACTCAATGGTATACGTGTTGTTGGAAAATGCGTATTCTGTTGCGATAAAATGGATGAGTCAGTATCAACACGATGTTTTAAAGAGCGACGAAACATGAGTACAAACGGTTCTAATAGAATAGAAACAACTTTCTCAAATTTCCAAATCAAAGAATGAATTCTACCTGGTTTATGAATGAGATAATGCTCCCAATGAGCTCCTTGCTTGATTCCCAATGCACGCCATTCACATTCGTCCATTAAACGATTTTTTGGTATCAAGGAAACCATACCTTTATCCAAAATGATATGTCGATATTGATATGTATCATCTTCATCTAAACTCGACGAATAGAGAAACGATGTTCGCGTAAAGACTCGACTCGAGTGGACTTACATATTGCTGAATAGCGTGGCGATTTTGCTGGTTGATTGGCGGGCATTGTGGAGAAAAACTTGGAATGAATAGTAGAATCTAGAAAGAACTAATGACACAACAACTAGAATATATCCAAATAATTTTATAGAAAAAGAGAAATGTGTACATGTTTATCTTTTTCGAAAAAATAAACTGTTTGTACATAGAAAAGAAACTGCAGAAAGAGAAGAGGAACGTAATTAATCTTTTTTTTTTCACTCGATCACCTATCCAATTAAGACTAGATATTTATTCCGTTTTTAACATTTCATAGAACTTTCGTTGTTCTTTTTGTTTGAAATCTTCCTTCGGCAGCGCACGTTTCAGTCCGCCATCCCATTCCAAGTCGACGAAGCCACCTTGCTTGGCGATAACTGCTTTCACACGACGAGCAAAGTCGACTGAATTTTCATTTTCTTTAATGGTCATCGGGGGTAAATAGTAAACATCTACAACAATCGCCCAGGATGTCATCATTAAGATTAAATATTGAAATAGATCGTGTTTAGATGAATTCCAAAAAGCATCACCAAAACGATTATCATATTTAATCGCGACTGGATAGATTGGCGCTTCTGTGATTTCAAAACAACCTTTTTTGAACATCATTACCGACGTATTATTGATACATGTGCCTTCGGGAAAGATCAAGATTGGTAGATTATCTTTGACTTGAATGTGTTCGCGCATTTTTTCGGCAACCATATGACGATCTTTCGCTTCGGAACGTTCAAACCAAATGTGGTTGGCCGTATTCGATAAAGTTCGTTGAACCATACCAAAAAAACCGCCATGTTTTTGTCCGATCATAGAAAAACTATTGTCAGTTGAAAGTATGATAACATCGATAGGTGAAGTATGATTTGCCACGCAAATTGAACCAGATTTAGCACGATGTTCCGTATTATGATATGTTATTATAGCAGAGAAGACACGGGATAAAATACGATGTAGGACGATATTGATATAAAATCCATAGCGTAATTTGGCGTTCTTTCCTGGAAAATATTTGAGAAATACTGCTGAGCACAACATCCAAAGAATAGCGAGAATGAATAGACAGAGACGAAATGGAAATAGGATAAAATAACGAACGCAAAAGCCGAGAAACCAAAGTGCGGTAATACGTAAAGAGAAATATTCGTGTTGTTGTTGAGTACGAGTTAATAGATTCCAAACGGCCATTTCTTCAGCGGATGAAAAACGTTTTGTTACTTCGTCATCAACGATAGCTTCAAGACCTTGACGGGTATAATCCATAATATCTCCTTTAAAAGAAGAAAAAGCAAACGAACTTGAGTATAACAAGTGGCAGTCTCAAATCTTACCTAATCGAAATTGAATGTCTGATTGTGATGAACCTCGTGAGACTTTCTGCTGAACATCCAATGCCGTTTCCAATGATGTTTCATTTGTCTCGTTAGACTTCGTTTCATCATTTTTAGTTGAACCACTTACTAATGGTGTGTCAGAAGTCATTTCGATAGGGTCATCGGATGACCTTTCTACTAGATTAGATGTACTTGAGTTCGGAGTAGATGTCGATGGTTCATCGGAAGATTCATTGGAAAGTTCTTTGTCGTTTTTTATTTTCGTGGCATAATCAAATATGAATCCGAGTATTCGAACATAGAGACTTCGCACTCCAAGTGAACAATTCATTGCAGCGAGTGCAAGTACGAGAGCAGCTATGCTGATCATCGGTGTGCATAGGAGTCCTATGATTGTGAATATTTGTGCCGTTGTTGCCATGATTTAATTACCAGTTAGTATCAAAGTCTAGAAGAAGAACTAAACAGTATGAAGAAATTGAATGGTACAAAGATCAACAAACTTGATAGAATAAATCATTTTGAAAATAAAAAAAAGAAAGAAAGAAAAGATATATTTTTCTCTCATGACTCGCGTTCTGTTGATCATTCTGTTCATAAGAAATAATCATACAGGCAACCAAGTGTCTACACTGTTTTTCTTTCTCTTTTCGTAGATATAGTTCGATTATTGGATTCTCTCTTTCGTGAAAAGAAAACATGCGATGACGGACTAATCACATTGTGTTTCGAAACCCTCGATCAGGAATGGATATATATATATATGCGTATTATAAACATACGATAGAACGGAAAGAAAACAAGATAATGAAAAGAGAAGAGAAGAGAAGCTACGCAAGCAAGAAGAACAAAACTAATGATAAATAAAGTAAGTCTTATTTGATTAAAATTGATGTTCGGCCAAAAAAAATAGCACAAGTCACAATGAAGCCCAAGCGAGATTCGATTATCATATCACGAAATTGAATCAGGATTAATAAATGAAAGAAAAGTCAGGTATATATGTATATATCACGAAAACAGATAATATTATGATTGTTCGCAAAAAAGAACAAGTTGCTTAAATTGTTTCGGAATGTTTCTCATCTGCGATTGGCTTTATACCATGTTGAGGAACGGTTACGATATTACCCAACGGCGCCATTGCTCTCATCGAATGTAACGACAATCTTGAAATATAGAAAAGAAAAAGACATCTTTCGTTTTTATTTTAACATCTTTGCAGCTTCGGCGGCGTACCGGTGTAAGCAAAATATACTGATACCAGCCAAGAGCAAGAAAAGAATACAACTAGTAAAGATAGTTTTCAGCTCAAAATCCTAAAACATCACGAAAAAAGTTGTTTTATTTTTTTAGAAGAAAAAGTTTCCAATGAAATTTACTTTCAGGAGGATAATCACGACAATTAAGTTTAATGGAATACGAAAGTAATTCATCACAGTCGCACGTGCTATTATATTAAACAAACAGGATGAAATACGAAAGAGAAAAGACTTAACTAGAAATCTTACCTTCTTCAGGAACGTATTTGCTGCGCAATTGTGCCATAGCTCTAATTAGATTAAAAAAAAACTTTACTAAATGTTGGCTATAATTTAATGAGTGATACATGAAACAATTCCTCAAATTAACATGTCGATGAGCATGTATTCGAGGTCAGAGGATGCGCTGAACATGTTTCTTTGACGTTAGAAAAGAAAACGGAAAACTTTTGTAAGTCACTTACGGCCAGAAGATACCGACACACGATTCAAAAATCAAAAATCCAGCAAACATAATCGATTGAGCGGTTGGCATGAAAACAGGTACACTCATGCACAAAGCCGAAATGAGAATGACGGGCCTAAAATGACAAAATCAGATTGATATATTCGACAACAAATAAAACCTCACCGCATGAACGACTCCGGTGTTGTATATTTACATAAAACTTTGAATAAATTCGAGCCAATCATCATCGATACCATGTAACTTGCGAAGATATAACCTGAATATAAGAATAGATTATTTCGAAAAAATCAATGTTAATTCAAAACCATGCGGAATTGGTGGATTTTTATTATCGGTCTTATCGATAGTAGATTTATTTAACGCTTGAGTCAATGCCGGTGTCCATTCGAGAACGAAAACGTACATCGATGCTTCGAAGAGAGCTTGAACAATACCAAGGTAGCAAATTTTTCGATCTGAAATATCTCTACGTGATTATTTACATTGAAGGTAGTAATTACTTTACCAGATTTAATTGCATTCCAAGCCGATACAAATGATTGCATCGCAGGAGCATTCGCATCACCATAATTTTCCGTCCACGTCGTTATTAACAATGCACACATTGCAATAAATGAGATAATGGCACTATCGAATGGTGCACTAAACAAATATCGAAAGTTGAACTTTTCTTTTCTGATTTGTACTCTTTGCTTACACATATCCGAATGTATTAGCCACATTTTGTGCGACGATTCCCGAGATGATAGCTACCAAAGAATTTCCGAATGCTGCATTTGCAAAAATAATTGTCAATGTTTCAGGTTCGTAATTTCTCTATAGAAATTCAGTTCGTGATTCATTGATGTTCGAAGCAAGAAAATATGCCATACTCGTTGATGTTCATTGACTAACCACGATTCGAATGCGCTGAACAAAATCGATGTAGCGATTCCGGCAAGTATTCGGCCAAAGAAGAGAATGTAAAAATTGGGAAAATGCTACAAGTAGAATGATTCCTATCCTTAGTAAGGCTTTGTTTTCTTGGCATTGCTAACCTTAGTTGCGCATGATAAGCCGTAGAGAATGCCATACACGAGACATGTGTTTCTCCTTCCACTAGATAAAAAAACATGAGTTCCCAGACGAAAGAGAGAAGTTTTGGTTTACTATTTATCAGCAAGTGATGCGATAACTGTTCCAAAAATCATCGAAGAGCCAAAACCAGCGATGAAAAGAACTTCGATTTCATGCTTTTTTATGTTATAACTTTCGTACAGAGCGTAAACATGAGGCCCTTGAAGCCAATCAGCAGCTGAAAGGAGAGAAAGTGATGATTGATACGATATACGCGTTTTTCCGAAAAGAAAATTTTTTACCGACGGCTAATAAGTAAACAAACAAATATGTTTGTTGAAAGCCTCGAAATGACGGATCTTTTGGCTGTTGTTGAACTTGCCGCGTGTAAAAATGAACAATTAAGCAGAGAAGTATGAGAAATCCAAGAGCAAAAACAAACATATCCATGATTAGCGCTGCTCTGTTCGTTCAAAACGTAGCAAAAAAATACTGTTCGTTCTGCTTCAATGAAATGCTATCTTTGAAACGTAAGCAAGCAAGGTTGGACTCCCTCTCGTCTTTTTCTTCGTACTCGTTCTTTAAAATGACTACGAGTAAAAGTATTCTACATCAATCAATTGAAAGCAGACATATGTATATAATGCACTAAAAGTCTACCAATCAGAAGCCTTATATAGCTACGGATGAAAAAGATGTCGCTGTTTGTTATCGACTGTGTGCCGTGTCGGCGAATATTTCGATAGCAGAATTCTTCGGCGATAAACAGAACGAGCTTTCTCGTCAATTTCTTTGAATTTTTAAAAGTATTACTGAGAAGAATACCGAAGCTGACGCATAAGAACGTTTGTTCGCTTATCGAACAATTATAGAAAGTAGTTGAATGAAAGAACAATTTAATTAAAAATTCAATTTCTTTGTTAACGGTTAGCGAAGAATTGGTTCTGTTTTTTTGTTATGTGAGTATGTAGAAAAATACAAGAAACACTGTATATCATTAGTTATTGCTGCACAAGCAGAGAAAAACATCACTGTAATACACACGCGCACGCACACAAATTGGAATAAAGATTTCCCCTGCATGACAACATCAGATCGGGTTAGTAGAGAAAAGGAAAAAAAATTGTCTTTGTACAAATAATGAATGTACATATCAAGGCACTAGCATCTTATCATCGTCACTACTCGCTTGTTCGTCATCTCCAAGAGCAGCTAACGGTAGCGGCGACGGTGTTGACTGTTGTTCCGATTGTTCACCATGATTTCGTATTGTATGCAACGGTATATGATGTTTTCGAGTACGAATAAACGTTGCCGATGATCTCGGGGGCAGAGCCGACGTCAAGTATTGAATATCATTTTCATGGCAAGGTGATGATAATGGTTCTTCGGCATACGGCGGTGGTGCTTCATGAGATTGAATATAAGATCGAGTAGAGAGAATGATCGGTTGAGTAGAAGTACGACGTTCACATGTATCGAGCTCATTTGAAGCGATACTGTTACTGTTCACTGAAAGATTTGTGGTGAATAGAGAACGAAATTGTGAACGAAAACGGTCAAGTCGACTCATGGACGGCGTAGCTGCGGCAGAAACAGTTGAAAAAGGAGTCTGAGGTTGTGAATTTGTAATAAGAGGATCTAATAAAGCAGCACGAGAATCTAAATGAGAGCATATGAATAGAGCAAATGTTAAAAACTCGTCCACTTACTGTCATATTCAGTTCGACGATGGCGATGACGATGATGTCGATGTCTTCGATGTCTCCTACTTCGATATCTGGATGATCTTGAGCTAGAGATAGTTGCTGGTGTTGGAATGAAATTTGCTAAACCAGCCATTCGTAGATGTTCAGCTAGAAATGCTTGTCGTTCTTCATTATCATCAGAAAAGCCCATTGTTTGATTGTACGATGGAGGTGCAAGGCGTCGAGATTCATCTGCTGACAGCGATGAATCATCGTTCGCTGAGTGATGAGTACTTGTTTGTCGTTGAAGTTCTTCTCTTCGCTGTTCGATGTATCGTTGTGGATTCAACAGACGATACGACGCTCGACGTTCAGCTGAACGTAAATGGAAAAGTTTACATGTACATGCAAGGGCGATAATGAATAGTGTTGAACAAATTGTAGCACCAATCACAGCTGCGGTCACAACTCGACGAGGTATCCGAGACGGACAATTTGTTTCATCGGAATTATCACCACAATCATCGGTACCTAAAGATAAAATTATTATTTTTTTACCATGAAGTATTTCATAGTGACTCACCATCACAAACCCATGTTTCGTAGATGCAATTTCGATTTTTGCAAAGAAAAGTTCCATTGTTTGAATTACACCACCAACTCGTGCAGTCTCTCTCATCCGTACGATTGACACAAAATGCATTGCCATTACATCGTTCATACCATGTATAACATCGCGGTCGATCCGTCGGCAAGCGCAATGGATCATTGCACGCAAACATTGTCGGACATGAACTGGGAAAACAACCTAATTCATCATCACCGCTAATACAATCCCAAATACCTTAAAATTCAAATCATTCAGCATAAAAATGACTTCATCGATCAATACAGACCATCACAACGTTGCTGTTTGGTATAGCATTTCAATTCAAAGCGTCCACCGCAGGCTATTTCATCGTCGGAACATAAACTAGTTACCCAGGTGATATTTAACGAAGCGTCGTTTCCATAGAGATCGTCAATAGGAGCGATTGCATCTGAGCTAATATATGAACGTTTTCGTATCACAATAGTAATCAGATGATGCTGGTAAGTTTGAACAATTTGTCTAGTTGAATACCAATTCGATGAGACCAATGACAGATTTTGTTCTTCAGTCCCATCATAGACGCGATATTCTAAGTTTGGATGTTGTTCAATAAATTGATATTGATTCAAATTGAGTTTTATTTTATGTTTTTCTTCCGCAACTAGAACTAAACACAATGATTGGCGATCAGCAAGGACGGAACTATCAAGAGAAATTTCGCCGTGATGTTGATGGTAGGACACAACTGTTTCACATTGTTGAGAATAGGAACATTGCGATGGTTGACCATATGGAATACAAACACCTACAACATAAAAAGGAAGTATTTTTATGTAGGCCCGGAAGAAAAAGTGGTGTTTTTTTCATCAGCAGATGGTTTTTGTGACGTGCTTATCTGATATTATTTAATGAGTGGGAGAAAAAAACATTACGCCTGTTTATTCCTGTCGGTTAAACTTTTATATTTGTTGATAATGTATTTTATTAATAAAGAACGCAATGATAACCGAAAAGTCATCGATGCCTTAATTCTTTCATAGATAAAAAAAAAGAAATCTAGCCATCGAATTCATAAAAATGTAGACACCATCGAGAGTTATGCTGAACAACTTTCCTCATGGAACTTTCCAGTACTAGCATCCTCATCTTGTTTCCTTATGCGCACGTAACTCAATCGAGGCCAGGCGGCATAATCCATTCCAATTAGTTCTTAAGCTAATGATCTTATTCATGATTAATAATTCCACTCAGACGTTCTCTTTTGTCATGTGATACACATAAAGTTATTCATCGAAATAGAGAGAAATTTACCTTTTCGATCAATTGGATTCTTTCGATTGTTCGATGGTAAACACCAGCGTTCGTGTGAATGACATAATAAACTATTCATTGGGTCGACAATCGAACAGACGGGACAGTTGGCTTCATCACTGTAGTCACCAGGTGGACATTCGTGTAAACAATTGCATTTCCATTGTTTCGGAATGAAAACGCCGCTTGTTGCACAAGGAAAATAATTCGTACTGTTGATCTTATTATTCACATAGAAAAATTCCAGTAGAAAACGATGAATGTTCAAGCTTTTTGCTAAAGTCTTTTGTCGAATATCGATTTGTAAATCTCCCGATGATGGAATGGTAATCACTTGTTGACTGATGTTGCTAAGAATGATCTGTGTTCGGTCGGTTCTGAATGCTAGCTCATGGGGTGTGAAATTTTCTTCATTGTCAATTTCGATTCGTCGCAATGAGATGCGGTAATACGACAGGGCAGCTTGTTTTTCATTGCGAATTCGCCATGAATAGGAAAGATTTCTTGGATGAGATTCACCCAAGAAGTAATTGTAATTCTCGATATGACCAAATGAGGTATTCAAATAGGAATTTGCCGAAGTTGATGCGAACAAGAGAGAAAACACGAGAAGAAGGTCATAATAATCATAAGACATATCGTGAATATAGGAGTAGATTTAAATGTCTCATAAAAAAATGAAAATGCCTTGCGAGAGGAGAAAAACTTTCGCCATGTTTTTTAATCGTGTCATTGAACCTCTCCTGTCCGTGTCGCTAGAGTCAACGCGAATGAAACTCATCTGTTACGTATATATCACAAGTTGTTTTTATGATCACGTCAGCTTTAGGATTTGAGTAAGTAATCGAGAGGAGAAGGAGGAAATCAAAAAAATAAGCTTTTATTAGTCAATGTTTTAAACCAATAAAGAAAAAACAATGTTTTTTTTTCTCTCGAGACAAAGAGAAAATAAATAACATCTGCCATCGCTAGATTGAGCGTGAGGTTGAGTTGATATAACAAAGGTTCATATTGATAGTTCGATTCGAAAGAATTACTCATCGTTTTGATTTCGATTTCAGAAAGAACTGCTCGTTTGTTTTGCTCATGGCGACAACATCGATCTATGAAATATTTCATTACATTCCTCCAACGATTCATCAATGTCAATCAACATCTGTAGCTACTAATCTGTCGAATAGTAGCTCAATTTTCCTTTCGTACCAGCAACCATTTATTCCGTGTCAATTGCATAATATGACAGATAATTATACAAATCATGTTCAACTTGTCGATAGCAACTATTTGATGCGTGCGCCTACACATTTCGATTGTTATGTTCTCTTGTTCTTTGCTCGTTGGTGTCAATTCTCTGTTCGATTTGCGCCCTTTTTCAATGCAATTCCACGCTCATTTCCTGGTCTCGATTTCGTGGCCTACGATGTATCCAAATCACTTCGGTAGGACGACTAGTTCACGAAAATCTTCTTATATCTCATCCCCTTTCAAGCTATATGACCTATTTTGGTACCAATGCTGTACCGAGCGTGTTCATACTACGTAAAAACAAACTATTAGCTAGATTAAATAGCACGAACGATATACAAATCTTACTTTCCCTGATTGAATCAACGCTACGTAAGGAAAAACGACTGAACACTGCCGATTTGTCTAATATTGAACATTTAGATCTAAATCAAACGAATAACGTGACGATTGAAGAAGAAGATCGTCTCGGACCTGTCACGACAATATTTGAACCTTCGTTTGATTATGCTCTGTTCTTCTCATGGTTATTTGTTGGATTTTTTCTTTATTACTACGCGGATAAATATAAACTTTTCACACGAATACGTCAAAGATTTTCACATGAAAACTAATTGTACTTGTTTTTCTTTATTCTAGTCATATCTGTTTATCTTTTCTAGATATAAAAAAAACTCTTTATCATTGAATTACGCCGAATATTTAATTTCTACCTAGAACAGAGATAATCATTCATCCGACGTCAAATTCAATCAATGAGTCCCATTAATCACGACCATAATGATGATGGCATTTATTCAATTTTCTCTTTGAACGAACTTTAGGTTTATCCATTTTGACGATCGCTTAGGTTCTCTTTTGAAATTTGTTCTAAAAGGATGTTTTTCATCAACGTCTAAGCAAACATTTCTATCTAGTTGATAAGTTTTGTCGTTTCTTTTTCTTTTTTAAAGTCTCTAACAATTCGGTTTAGTATTCGATGAGATGCGCCATTAATTCGATAGTTTCTTTTTGCGTCGCAGTCATGGACGATTGGCAAATGTTGACAGTTTTCTTTCGCGTTCTCCGACCATAGTGTGTCAGTCGTTGCTGGTTTGCACTTGTTCATGTCGTTGATATTAGTAGCAAATTCTTTTCTTTTTTTTCTCTCCGGCTTTTTCTATTACGCTCGTCTATTAGACAAAAAAAGTACCCATGCATTTTACTCGTCTTTTTTCCCTCTTCGTTCGGCGTTTTATCTCGCTACTAAGTTAGCAACAAGCGAACGCTGTTTCTCTCGCTTGTTACGAATAGGTGTCGACAAGATATTAGATTTAATTAGTAAAATGAGACAGTGTATTTAAGTAGAAGAGAAGGAAAAATGATCGTCTCGGATTTCTTCTAGATCTTCTATATACGAATGGGTAAAGGTAGTAAAAACTGGGATCCTCCTACTGTCACCGATGAACAACAAGATGATTCATCAATGATGACAACTTTGAATTCTAGTCTTCACGAGAAAGGGCAATTCACATGGGAAGAAATTCGTCGTCATTCCAACAAGAAAGATCGCTGGTTAGTGATCAATAATCGCGTTTACGATGTAACAAAATGGTTGAAACATCCAGGCGGACAAATGGTTCTTAATCACTATGCTGGCCAGGACGCAACCGTAAGAGAAAGATTAATTAAAACGAAAGCTTGTCATGACGGCGGCGTTTTTCTTCTTCTTTTTTTCCATTTAATCAGGAAGCATTTCATGCTCTGCATCCTGGAATCAACGTAGTGCAGAAATATCTCAAACCATTCTATATTGGTGATGTTGCCACTGATGAAGATTATGTCGACGACGATCAAGCTTTAAAAGCTGATTTTGAAAAATTAAGACAAAAAGCCATTTCTAAAGTATATTATTTAATTGATAAGCATCTTTTCAATTAAATACGTGATTTTGTCTAGAAACTTTTCCAACCGAGCCGTTTCTTCTTTGTGTTAGCATGTGCACATATCTTACTGTTGGAAATCGCTGCATATTTTGTTATCTTTCGGTATGGAACTGGTTGGATACCTTATTTTCTCGCCGTTGCTTTTTATGCCGCGGCAGAAGTACGTATTTTTCTGGTGTTTTGCTCATTTATGAATGTCTATGTTATTTTAGGCGCAATGCGGCTGGATTCAACATGATTTTGGACACTTATCAGTATTTAAAAAGAGCAAGTGGAATCATTTGTTACATCAAATGTATATTGGCTTCACTAAGGTTTGCCGAATTCATGTTAAGAATTGACTAATGACACAGATTTGTTGTAGGGAGCAAGTGCAGATTGGTGGAATCATATGCATTTTCAGCATCATTCAAAACCGAATGTTATCGATAAAGATCCGGACACACGTGTAGAACCGATCTTCGTCCTCGGTGATAAAATTCCGATACGCGTAAATAAAACATGCTTTCTCTTACATTTCATGGTCTGCATATATTGATCTTTCAGGCAGCTCATCATAATGCTAAATATGGAAAAGCTTTACCTTACAATCTTCAGAACTTGTATTTCTTCATTGGTAAAAGTTCTTTTTCTTCGTCCGTTGATTTCTCTATGTTTGTACTATATTTCAGCTGCACCACTCCTGTTTCCAGTTTATTTTCAATTCATGACGATTCGACATGCAATCAAACGAAATAAATGGATGGTACATCTCAATGTACATATACTTATTGACTTGCTCTCATTTGCTTTCTACGTAGGACCTTTTCTGGCTAAGTTTGTTTTACATCAAATTCTTTACCATAATGCCGATGAAAGTTGGCCTTTTCGGTGCACTGAAATTACTTTTTATCATTCGGTAAGATTGTTTACCTCACCATTCGTTCAACAAATCAAATTCTTTCTTTGTTTTTTTTTCTATAGTGTATTTGAAGGAACTTGGTTCGGTATGTTAAATAAATGCATTCGATATTTCTCTTATTGAAGTCTACTGTTTAGTTCTCGTAGCACAATCGAATCATGTCGTCATGGATGTATCCCATGACGATGTAAAATCCAGTTGGTTTCGTATGCAATTGAAAGCCACATGCAATATCGAAAAATCTCATTTCAATGATTGGTTTACTGGCCATTTGAATTTCCAAATTGAACACCAGTATGTTAACCATTAATTGGCAATGTTCAAACACAGGTTCTTCTTTCGTTTCAGTTTATTCCCCATGATGCCTCGTCATAATCTTTATAAAATTCAACCGGACGTCATCGAGTTATGTCATAAATACAATTTACCTTATATCGTCAAACCAATGGGTCAAGCGTTCGCGGATATTTTAACGTAAGTTGAACAATTGTAGATTTCATGAGCCATTCGTTCGCAATTTATTACAGTTCTCTGGAAACATCTGGTAAAATGTGGATGGAAACCTATGAAGAATTAATGAATGCGTCTAAATCAATGAAATAAATTGATGAGGAACACTGTTCTACGTGACATTCTACAAAATCAATGTTATTCCCACTTTTCTTCGTCTTCTGCTTTTTATATCATTCATTTATTTTGACAGCATAAAAAAGAGAAATAAATCAATCAATCAAAACTCGATGATTCTCAACTAGATTGTTTTTTTTTTATTACACAGAAAGGAATGCATTCAAAACGAAACTTCTCATTCTACAGTACATCACAACGTAGACATACGAAATCATTTCAGATCTTGAGATATTTGCGCGATTAATGAACGAGATGAGTTGAACACACCTCTTACCTACACAAATACATGAAATTTTCAAGTATAAGTTCGAAGAACCTCTACCTTGCTGTAGGTTTTAAGCCATTCCTGATGCGCTTTCGAGATTGTCTTAGGTTTGCCATAAATATAAACACATTTGACTTGAGGTAGGTCATGTAAATGAGGCATGAGTGTCGGTGCCAGTACAGTTGAAATAATCACAAGTAGATATTCCTTCCGTACGTTGACGTTATTCATTCGACCGATTTGTTTGATGTATCTCTCGCAAACTTCCACTTGATTGAATGTTCGAACGTAACTAATCAAGTTTTTTAACTTGACTTCAGTGTCAATATTCGATGGACAACGATAGACATCAAGATCGAGCCAAACAAGCGATAGATTATCGAGACTTGTGGCATTCGGATCGGTTAAAACGTCTTGATGCGTACATTTCGGCAGAGATTTGATATCGAATTTGGATATTCTGCTTATAAACGATTCATTCGTGTCGATGGGATACGATGGTAAACTTTCGTTTGCATTTGTTGAGGAATGTTCACGTGAGAAGTCATATTTACCATTTTTTAAACCCATCGAATTATTGTGAAAAGGAAAGAAATATTGCTGATTCGGTTTCGATTTGAAGTAAAACTGACTGTCGTTCTCTTATTTTTTTTTGTTGATTTTAGATACCCGGTAACATAATGTGTGCTGCTCGCCTTCGATTCATGTTTCTTATCGAATGAGAGAAAAAAAGCTGAAGAAAAGGAATCGATTTGGTCTTGAAATTTGCATTTCGTTCTTCTCGCAATCAATCTTATCAAACCGGTTATTTCAAGGAAATCTCCTTCTCGAACCGAGAATTCATTCAATATGTTGAATAATACAGGCGGATAATGGACGCCCCGCTCTTCAGGTGTAATTTTACAAAAGATCACGAGTTTGATAGCATGAGTGAATATTATGATTCATATTCAATCGGTTTCTATCAGATAAGCATCATTAAAGAAGGTATCGGATGAATTCTACTCTAAATCATCTGTTTCTGTTCGTCGAATTTTTTTCAAAATGTAACTTTATTTATGTAAGAAAATACGTTTACATTATGACGATTGAAAACAGCGATACTATAGCACGTAGTTTTTATGAACCTATACAAAAGAATCGTAAATAGAAATAACTAGTAGTGATTTTACCGGAAGTGAATAAGGATTGTAGAAATGGGCTGGCAAGTTGTTGTGCTTGTTCAAAACCTTCATAATCGTTCCGTTCAATTCCGTTGTACCAGTTGAGTATCAAGTGATAATCGATGCATTTATATTTCAGAAAGAACTGGAGCAAGAACAACATAATTCCATCTAATTTAGACTGTTCGTGGGTCATTAATGCCAAAGATCGATTGTCACTCACTTTTTTCAACATCTTCAAATACATTATTGTAGAAAAATGTTTGTATTCCAATCAATACATCAGCATTAGTCTCCCGTTCATTGAGATACCGCTGAACAACTGATACGTATGTATTCAAAACAGCAAGTTTCTCATCTCCACTTAGTTTCTCATGACACGCTGTCAGGTAAGCATTGACAATGGTTACCAATTTTAGCGAATGCCTCTGACAGAAAGAAGTAAAATTCGAGAAATTAGCTACTAATCAACTTACTCTAACGTAAGCATCGATAGCAAATATATTCTCCGTTACTGAATTTATCTGAGAAAATCTCACGATCAATGGAACTGCGGGTTGGATTCGTTTCTTTGGCATTTTCTGATGTTGCTGCTGCTTGATAAACATTATCTGATCATCTTCTAGAGGTGAAAAACGATTCATGGCTGTTAAACTCGACATGAAATCTTACGTCTAGTCGGCATTTGAACCGGAAGGAGCGTGGATGGAGACTGTGAATGCTTGATACTATTTGAAAATTGATTAAAATTCCATTTGAGATGTTTCATATCTTGCTGAATGTTACCAAGTGTTTGTTGAATATGATGAAGTATCCCAGTATTAAGATTTTGTTGGATCTTCAAGCGTTCTAATGGCAATCGCGCACCCTCTTCTAATTGCATGAGTAGATAGTGGTGGAAACTCAGAAGAATATGTTCACGTAAATTGATCAATTGTAATTCATGATCGTAAATCTGATTGATCTTTTTCAAATTGTCTTCTCTCCATTGATTCAATTCAATCAATTGATTGTTATGTGCAGCTCGACTTTGTTGTGCTTTGTCTTTAATATCCTTCAGAGTTCGTTTGACTTCATTGGAAAGTTCGTCGCCGCCGTCCGAAGAAGAATTTCGCTCACTGTGCTCAATGATATGCTCAACGCATAGACGGCGTTGACAATGTAAACAAATAGCGGACTGAAATTTCGAACACGATGAAGATGTTTCTTCACATTTATAATCTGTCATACTCAAAGATACACAAGAATCCTTCGAACGAGCACAGGTGAGTAAACGATTGTGCACGTTGTAAAGGTGTAAAAACAAATCAAAAAAATTATGTTGAGAGGGAGACACTAGTCGTCGTATCTCATGCTTATCGATTGACTAAGATTTACAGCATTTTCCACTCAGATATCTTGCGTCTGCACTGACTAGAGTGTGTGTATTGAGACAAAGCCGCTATTATCGATAGGTATAATTAATATAAGATTACAACAACAAAAAATGTGTTATTTAGTTCGTGTTTACAAGTAAATAGATTTCAATACGTTTTTCTCCGACGGTGTTGCTGAAGTAGAGTTTGAATGTTCTTTCTTTGACTTGATCCGCATAAACTCATTTAGAATATATTGACAGATCTTAGGATGAAAACCAGAATCAGCTGCTGCTGTTTGAGCAGCTTGAGTAATTTCAATACCATCACCATCATCTTCATTATCACTCACAGAAGTGGCACTCATCATATGCTCTTGTCGGAAACCTATCATGGGCAGAGATGGTATAGATGTTGATCGTTTTTTTTGAAGTTTTTTTTGATTTGTATCACAATCTTTGACGGCTTTTCTCAAAGTTGCGTAAGTACCTCGACTCAACCAAGTGATTGAAGATAGAGTAGCAGTGGCAGGCTTGACAAGAACATTGACAGTACCCAGTAATGCTCCTCCTGCGCCACCCAATGTTCCATGTCGTTTGTAACCCGCAAGCGGTTCTTTTACAATACCAGTAACACCGTCTTTCCATCCATACCAGAGTGACTGTCTAGCAGCTTTGACGCCAGATTTGAAACCAGTAACATTGTGGTGTTTATGCGTATTTGGTTTGCTAGAACGAAGAAAAAAAAATTCTTCGCGACAGGAGTGCTCATGTCGATATCTCACCTGTATGGATCATATAGCGAAGGGGCTTGTTCTAGGACGTCCGTAATATCACCATATAAAGACAAACATCCTAGGGACAAATGTCCCAGACCACGACCAATACCCTTCACAACTGTTCCGCCTGCATCTGCTGTGCCTGCTAGTAGATCATCGCTGCTAGCAACTTGTTTGATTCCTTTCGTCGTATCAACAAACAAATTGGAAACAGCTTTTGATGTGTGTTGAACGACACCATGTGTTGGCACTGATAGTCTATCGTTGTGTGCATATTGCCATTCTCGCGTGATATTATATCTGAGATCCGATTCAGCTATCATACCTGCAGATATGAGAACTTGAGCTACAGGTTGCGAGATTTTTATGTCATATTTATTCACACGGTAACACGCAGCAAATGTTGACTCGAGATCGCTTCGCATACGCAACAGTGGTAGATTAGCATGGAATGCGCGCACTGCTGCCTCACACCCATTTTCTTGTAATAATGCTGTTCGTAGACGTTGAGCAGCACTTTGCACATCTTCTGTGAGAACAAATCTGAAAGCATCTGCTAGTTGTTCAACAGTAACTGATTTGCCAGGTAATGGTTGAGATCCTGCACCTGTTCTTTCGACGACATTACCCCAAAAGAATTGATCTCCAAAGAACGGAATAATAATTGTCGGTTTACCAGCACGTAAACCAGCGGCAGTTGTTCCTGCACCTCCATGATGACATACAGCATTTACTGAAATTACGCAGATTGTAAAAAGAAGCAACTATCATTAATTGTAGGACTTACCATACTGGAATAGCCAATCATGTGGTACATTACCAATTGGAAAAATGTTACTCGATAATTTGATTGTGTCGAGTTTAAAGCCAGCGAGTAAAGCTCGATAACCGGTTTGACGGAGAGCTTCGATAACAACTTTCAAAAGACGACGTGAATCGTGTCCTGTGATCGAACCGAAGCCGATATAGATCAGTGGTGGTAATTTACTACCGTAATTCATATTCTGCATATTTATTCCGAGAAAATTGAGTAGATCTTGAGGAGGATCGGTATATGTCGTGCCAAGATTGAGAAAGAAGTATCCGGATACGTCAATATGCGGTCCCCAATCATGCGGCTTTGGTACTATGGTCGGAGACCAACAATAAGTATGTGGCACTTGCTCAGTAATCATTGCTTTAACGGCTGCACGGGATCGTAGTGCTGTCAGAGCCAATGTTTTCTTTCGAAATCTATTTACAATATCTCCCATTCCACTCCATGTCTATGAAAAGATGAGAGTGGCTCTATTGTGACGATGTATCGCCATAGAAACTTACCAGCATCTCCACGATTTCATACGAATAACGATTGAGTTTTTCTGTCGGTCCCTTGCAATGTTCCATATTACACAACGGATGAGGAAACGCACCTGTCGGTGAGTAGGGCATCGTAAACATAATATGTAATGGAATTTGTAATTTCTCAGCACAATGTATATGTCCAAAAGACGGCGGATTAGCGATGATTGCATCTGCTCGAAACGGAAGTGATGTTTCATCATCATTAGCTGTACACGCGTGCCATGTCGATTCGAGAATATCAGCAAGTGATTGACGTTTTTTGGTCACATCACCTGCAATAATACTGCTCATTGATGGAACAATACCAGCATTCTTTACCATAAATTCCATTAAATCAGCAGGATCGCCAGCTAATGGATAAAATTCGAGACCATTACCACGAACAAAGGATCGAAAGGTTTCATGCGTAGCTAGTCGAACACGATGGCCAGCCGCGCGCAGTGTCTGACCAAGGCTAGAAAATATTTTCAATAGAAACAAGTTCTCGATGAAAGTAAGTTACTCACGCAATAAAAGGTTGTACATCTCCGCGTGTGCCAACAATAAGAATGACAATAGCCAGGCGCGGAATTGGTATATCATCAGCCAATGGTTCCTGTATTCTAATCTTTTGTTTTTCACGAGGCGATGAATGTTCTGATTCTTCGTCGAAGCTTTGCTCAGAATCGAAATCAACCTCAATACGTCCATCATCATCAACCAATGAAACTGTGTATTGAAGAACATTCTTTTCATTCCGATCGACTGCTTTAGTTTCACCAAGTTGAATCTGTCCAGAAGCGTAGATGACTTTACCATAGATCAACAGACGCGCATGAAACGAAAGTGTCATCTTTGGACAGAGAATTAATAAAATATTGTCTGTATCTTCCTCGCTTAACAAGTGTTGCGTCAATTCAATAGGTTTCTCCAACGACAACAGCGAACCAGAAAAGATTGGCACTTGATTAAGCCATATGGCTGCATAACCATTTAATGCATTAGAATTATTCTCATTAGTTGGTTGTTTAAAATATAGCTGAACCTGTTGTCCGGACGCGATCCAATGAAATTCTTTACGGTACCACCATTTATGAAGCTGCACTTCGGAACCGCTGTTCTGCTGATCATAGTGGGGCAGTGTTATTGAAGACCATTGATGATTCTCATAGATCGTAGCTGTATTCAAGACATCACCGTTTGTTTGTTGAAAACATTCCCAATCAGCATCGAAGTTGATTTTGGACCGATCATCGTTTGATGTAGACATATTTTCATCAAACTTAGGTAAATGCTTTGTTTATATACGTATGTTGAAGCGTGCTTTAATGCGTGTTAGTGGTATACAGTATCTCATTAGACAGTATATTTGCGTAGATATTTATAGAAAGAGAGGAAGAAGAAAATAATAAATAACAGTGTGTAGTTTATGTTTTATTTATGAGTATTTTTTAATAACTGTGACTATATCTGGAAAGTCAGGACATAAAAAATGATTTCGATCAGTAAATTCATGGTATACACTTCGCAATTCGTTCGCTATGTATCGACTGCTAACCACTGAGGTGAACGGATCATCTGTACTATGGAATTGTTCAATCCACTGTGTATTTGACTTGATCTTCTTCCAGTTCCAGTTGGAATCATTTTCGTTGCTGTCATACCCAGCTGATACTAAGATAATCCCTTTCACTTTCATTTGTTCACACAAACGTAGAATAGCCATAGCTCCCGAACTATGGCCAACTAAGATGTCATCCTAGACATAGCTATGCAGATGCATCGAACGTTGAAATGTACAATTTACCTCTTGAACTTTCAGATCATTAATTAAGAACGGTATCCAGATGGAATCTTTAGCTTCTTTTTCATCTGGAAAAGCCGGTGCAATGGCATTCATACCTAACTTATTTAACTCTCCTTCTAACCATTTATACCAATACCGATTGACAATTCCCGGTGTCATAGCACTGCCATGTATGATTATAACTCGTTGTTTCGATTTTCGGTCCTAAAATATAAAGATAGACGCTTTTCGACGAACACGATTTGTTACCATTGGTTGATTGGATTTTATTCTTATGTAGTGTACGTAGTAAACGACCACATGGTTTTTTCCCTTCCTTCAGAAGAAATTGTCCTTTGACGGATACGGTTAGGTGTTTTCGATCATTATAAGATGAGTCATTAGAGAATGGAAATTGATAAAAGCCCATGTCATATTTTTGCGAAATACGGCTAGATTCTTTCCTTCCTTTCTTGCATATGTGAAAAGAAATAACTAAAATTTGCTGTGTACTTGCACAGCGAGAATGAATCACCCTGACGTCGTGCGTTATTGCTGAAGTTAAGAGAAACAGTTTCGCGATAATGAAAATTTCATCAGAAATATTCACAAGTCTTGCGCTGATTCCTGAAAAAAAATTATCTAGCTTACAAAAGAAGATTTTCTTTTCAGTGCTGCAATTACATAGCATATAAAAGCGTCAATTGTCTTCATTTTAAACACACATTCACAGCACGATATCTAAAATGCAACCGCAAGCATCGACTACAGTTTCAATGTCGCCTGATCGTGAGGCGCTGAGTATGATGACCAAATTGAAACTAGATCGTTTCAAGCAACAGAAAATGAAATTCGAAGAAGAACATGCTCGGATTGTAGCTCAACAAGCTGATGCCAGTATCTCATTGCTGGACAAAATTGAAATATTGAGTAAAAGTATCGAAAAGTTATTCGGCGAAGAAGGCAAAGACAGATATCTGAGAAACTTCGAACCGTTCATGGCTGTTGCGAAAGCCAACACGTCAACATTGACAAATTTACTCGAAAATCAATATGAGTCATTGTTGAAAGTGATCGTCGGTGGTAAAAAACGCTCGGAGTATAATTATCTCTTTGGATCCATCATGTCACAATGGTTATCTGGACAGAATAATGAAATGGCACCATTAAAAGTCACAACCACCAAGGATAGTTTGTTGACGAACGAACATCTAGAAAAGATTATCTTCGAACGACCAATGTTAGATTTGGAACAATGGCGTGAATTTCTGCAAACGAAACTTTTTGCCAATTTGAATAATGATCAGAAATGGGAAACTATTTTTGATGAATTCAAATCAGCCACTGAAAGATACAGTAAAGTCTTATTGACCGAGAAAGTAACGCCAGCTGATGTTCAGCGAGCAATTAGTGGTTTGATCAATGGAGGCGGATTGGATGATTATCGAAAACGATTATTAACGAAGTTGAAATTAGACGAGAATGCTGTTAATGAATTTGCTTCGTCATTAACCTTACTGATCTCCGATCTATCAGACTGGAGATGGACAACAGAAGGTGTTCGTGGCATTTTTCGACGTAATCTAGCGGGGAAATATAGGTGTTTCTACGAAGAAGACTTTCTCACCGCTATTTTTCTGGAACACATCGGGTTGAAATGGAGTTACCATTTTAAAGCTGAATTGAAAGAACTTTTTCTGCTGTTAACCAAAAAAGCACGAACGAGGTGCTCATCCAATTCTATTCAACATTACCGCTTGACAATGCAACAGAAAGATTATTGGATGGCATCATTACCAGATGAACATGATGGTGAATCAGGAGTGGCTGCCTACGAACAAAATAGCTCATTGGATTTGAAAACAAAACTGTTCTACTTAGTAAATGTTGAAATTCAGTTACATCAAGTTGTAAGACCAAATCTGCCATTTAATGTGGTTACGACTGATCTCGAATGGTTTGGACCATCGATTTCACATGAAATCATCCAGATCTTCCTTCAAGCTTGTGGTATATCACAAATCTGGCTTGATTTCTTCGATCGATTTCTTAAACAACCGGTTTATTACAAGCCAGGTGACGCTCCTCGACAACGTCAACGTGGTGTACCTATTTCACATTCGTTGTCATACTTGTTCTCCGAATTGCTCATCTTTGGCATGGATCTTTATGTCTATCGAAACACGGGCATTTTCAACTATCGTCTTCACGATGACTTTTGGTTCTTCCATCACGACACACCAAAGATCGACCAAGCCTGGACACTAATGACCGAGTACGCACAAATGACTGGTCTGAAGTTCAATGCGGAAAAATGTGGTTCTGTGCAAATTCAGCCAGCAAACGCAGATAATCAAGCTGTTCAAGTGCTCAAGAGCAGTGTCCTACCATCGAAAGAAGTCAAATGGGGATTTCTGAATTTACAACCATCAGGTCGTTTTACAGTAAATCGCGACGCATTAGTTCCTTATCTTGATGAAATGAAAGATCGATTGGCAAAGGCACCAACCGTGTTAGAATGGGTTGAAATCTATGACCAATACATTTCTTTCTTCATGAGAAATTTCGGTAAATGCGCAAACATCTTAGGCACATATCACACTGAACAGATGTGGGAAACATTTCAAGTTCTTCATAAACATGTGTTCTCCGAAACAGATGGCAACGCGATCACTGTTTTAGCCAAACGAATTGAGGACAATTTCTCAACTTCTTCAATAGGCCAACTCTGCGAAGGTTGGTTCTACTGGCCATTGATTCAAGGTGGATTGGGCTTGAAAAATATCTATCTTACTTTATATGGTTATCACCAACAGTTACTCTTAACAAACCTGGAAACGTTCAGCCAGCTGCCAGAGAAAGACGTGGAACTGTACGCTGATTTAGTCGAGAAGTACAAAGCAGCTAAGAGGAGTCGAGATTACAAGGGATTGCTGGAATATCTTCACGAGGATGAAACATTAATTACTTTAGATGAATACACACAAATTCGTGAAACTTGCCATTCACACTGGACAAATGTCTATCAACAAATGTTGCAAGTCACTCTCACACGCCGACCACCGTTTGACCAGCAAGAAGAATTCAATCGAGCCCTACGTGGAATGTTAGGAACGCCATCGACAGGTCGATCACGACGGAAAGGACCTGATGATAATTACGTAATGTGGCTACTCTCATACTATGGTAAACAAATTCAAACCACATTCAATCAACTGGACTTCATCGATAGCGCTAGTTTACCTATTGGTTTGATCACACTGATGAAATCAACGAAAATTAACTGGAATACAGAATCTGAAAATTAGATCTAGCTTAACCGTGTATCGAATTTCACCTATCGAAAGTGTGAAATTTTTGTAAATGAGACTTTTTTTCAAACGTCATTTTGAATAAAATCTTGAAAACACATCATACATACGCCTAGGGTGACTACCAGCATAGAATAATGATTTATTGTCTAAAGAATTTCGACAAAAAAACTAAGGCAACACAAAAATATAATTAACTAGTCGTTTTTTCGGGTAGACGACTTGCCGGGCGAAAAAACATATTGTTCTATGAAAAATTTCAAGAAAAACAAACAATAAACTGGTACCAGAGCATACGGAACTAGAAAGATAATCAAATGATCACGAGAAAAATTCCGATAATTCGGACAAAGATCAGGTACGATATGCCACATGTATGTTAATGTTATCAACTGTATAATTTGTAGTCCTGTAATGATTGGTCGGAAAATTTTCGATAAACGAAATGCAAAATGATAATACATGAGCACATGAACGAAACCATTTAATAACATTCCACCTTTTTCTGGACCGGGTAAGTTCATAACGCATAACATGAGTAAGAATGTTGTCGCATGATGATACGTATGAAGAAATCCAATCTTTTTCAATGAATGCCCTTTCCAAATTAGAATGGCCGTGTCAATCCATTCCCAAATTTTCGATAAAGTAAACGTGATTGATACTGCACGAAGCCATGGAGGTAAGGGATCACAGATATAACGTGTCCAACTGGTGATTTCTCCGGTTACAACTATATGATAGAAAGCAGCGAGAAATGAAAAGAGGGAATACAAGAATAATAATGCATGATGAAGTTTTCCAAAGGATTCCTTGAAGCTTGGCGTTAGTTTCGATGTAAACCATGGGAAAACGGCGGTAATTAAAAATAAATAAACTAAACATGATCCTATGGAGATCGCGTATGTCCACGGTGGATAGAGATGAATCATTTCCTGCTTGTATGGTATTTCCATTTGGAAACGTTCGAAGAGAAAGAGGTAATATGGCGATGACATTGTCGTACCTGATGAATCGAATCTAGAAACAAAAAGAGAATTTAATATTTAAAGTCGAGATAAACACGCGAAAGATCATGCCATAGAATTCGTCTCTATGATAAGATAACACGAAAACAAGCGTTCTTTTTTTCCCTAAAACAAGGTTATGTTGACGTCACACTAGTGCGTCTTCATCTTGTACTTCAGTTACATTTCGCTCTTTACTATACCTCGCCGGCCTCGTTAGAAACTCTATTCTATAAATAGTTAACAGCCTTCGACAAACAAGTCTGGAAAAGAACATCTTGTTAACAGTGGTTCATATCGCGGAAGGTAAAGAACTCACTAAACTATCGAACAAAACGCTTGTTGATGAATGGAAGTATGAAACTTAGCGATAGAATGTTTTCTATTCTTCGCTAGTATTTCTTTTATGTGAAATGTTCTAGGCTCGTCATCGCTACTAACCGGTTGTTCGAATAGAAAAGAGAGAAAAATATCTGAGTGCGTTGTCGTTTTTTGCCTTTCTTCTCTAAAAAGTCAAAATAGATAAATATTACACGCGGTGTATGTGTAGAACAAGGAAAAAAGAGGAATAGACTAGGCTTTTCTTCTCATCAGTAGTTTTCTGTTTGCATAGTATCGACCAAAGCATCGTGTTTCGTATTCTTAGTTGATTTGTACGAAGAAAAAAACGTGCACAAATAAGTGAATCGATACTCGAGAAGCAAAAGAATCTGAAGCCGACTTGTTTATGATGGCAAGTCAAATGTATGAAGAAAAAAAAACAACGTTTATAGTTGAGACAAATCCAATCATGGCACCATGGTGATTCGATCAGTTCACTTCACCCAGTCTCGATTATTCTCATACCAGAAATGAATTCTTATTACTGCTAGCGCCATCAGATCGGATAGTCCCCGAGAGTGTTTTTCTCTATAGTATTGATTATTTTGAATATCTAGAATGTATAAGCCAATCAAGAACCGCTCGTATCCCGACAGTTACATCAGTTCGTTATCGTTAAACGCGTTGCAATGGTGAACGTATTTGAAATTCTAAGTGATGAGATTCTTATGGAAATTTTCGAATATTTTGATGCTCATCATCTGTTCAAAGCTTTCTACAACTTGAACGATCGCTTCAATCGATTAGTAAAAGATCGTCGGTTGTGTTTAAAATTGAACTCCAAGTGCATACGTGATCAAGATATGATCAAAGTAACAATGTGGTCTCGGATGGCAAATTATCTGACAGCGATTACTCTGATTAATAACAAACACATTCTAAAATTCATGTCAGCGTGTCGAGAAAGTGATTTAATCGCTCTTCGGTCATTGCGTCTTCATCGTCTTCGTATTTGCAAAAGTAAAAACAAAACGGATTTTATCAAACAACTTGTCTTGTTCTCTCGTAGATAAAGCGTCCATAGTAAAATACATATCGAATTTGCCAACATTGAAAAACTTATGTATTCAAGCAGTCGGTGATATCGACGTCTTGACATTAGCGATCTTTTGTGAAAATATTCTTCCTCAATTAAAATCATACGAATGTATCAATTTCGATCAAGAAACACATGTGAGCTCTGCCTATGGCCCACAGACAAGTATCGAACAATTAATGGTCGGATGTATGTTGTACAAATTACCTAATCTTCTTACCCAAACGCCAAAATTACAATATTTAAACATAAAATTAACTAATGTTGGACCAGCGGATACAACATTATTGTCTTCACCGTTGCCAACGATGACAAATCTTATTCATCTCAAACTAGAAATTCGTTCAGTGTCGTACATTCATTTAACAGATCTTCTGGAATCAATGCCACATTTACAGAGTTTAGAGTTGTCCGGTTCATCCGTGGGTGACAATTTCGACAATGGATATCGATTGAAAGCTTTATTTGGACATTTACCAATTGTTATTATAGAAAATCTTCGATGCTCAACAGCTGCACGATCAATTAAAACCATTCTAGTCACATTCGATACATTCTGGTCAGATGTAACATGTACAATTGAACATGAACGCGCTTATCTATCCGCATATGTCCAACAAACGAAACTTAGACTTTGATTTTGTAGGAAACTTTCTTTGTATTATTATCTTAATGAACGTAATTTTGTTGATATGATTAGACATTGTTTCGATCTGATTAAATTCATATTATAGGTTAATTAGTTTTCGACACATGTATTCTATCTGTTGTAAACATCACTCATTGTCTACATCGATGATCATAAATGATTGAATTGTTCGTTGTTCATACAATGAGGAATGAGGTCAATGGAATGAATAAAACCAGTAAATTTTGTCATGTTTAAACAAATCGAAAGCTGTTGATGAACTTTAATCCTCTACTCTCGACAGATCAGATATGTATTGACACGAATGCACATGTATGTCAATTAGAAAATGATGAATAGTAATTCGATCGATCATTATTGACTGAAATAAACAAGGAAATAAACTTCAAAAAACACATTGCTAAGCTTCTAGAAAAATAAAATCTAATTACATCAATGTAGCCCATCGCAAGTCAATCTCTTGTTCACATCTGTGCACGACATCACCGTCGTCTTCGCTTTACTTTTGATCTCTTTGTTCAATTCTTGCGACTGTTCGATGATGACAAACATATTCGCCCAACGAAAATTTTCTTTCTTTCTAATGACTTAAAACATACAAACACAGACATGTAAGCGGTACCCAAATGTAAATTATACTTGACAAATGAATGGAATCAAATCTTTTGTTTTCGATTTGTATATATGTCTCTATCAAATAACACAACGATACTCGCACGCGTATTTCGATCGGGTCAACGAAATTTTCTAACATGCGATTGTTAAATTATGATCACGAATGAAACAATTCGACGAGACACACATGCTGTTCGTTTTCATCAACGGAAAGTCACAATGCAACCTGCCCGTAGTCGCTACAAACGAGACGTTAAACATTGCCAATAAAAGAATCATCTATTGCCTAATTGCTTCACATATGGACATTTTGTCAAAACAAAACGATGTCGAATCATTGATTTCAATTTAGTCGCTCCCTAAAGCCCACTAAATATGCACACGTATTATGTGTGTGTTTTTTCAAGTATACGTGTGAACGCCGATCATCAAACACGTATACACTAGACATCTCTCACTAGATCAATCGAGTGTATGTTTATGATGTCATCTTCATATACAACAGTGATCTCTGATGTTCAACAGAACGAGATTAAACGGCGAAGGTTAGTATCTGCACCTGTTATTCACGGTATCCCATCTGAAGACGAGCGAAAGAGAGAGAAAGGAGAAAAAATCAATTAAATTCTCTCGATTGGTTTAGTTGCAATGGTGAATTGAAATGTGATTAAATCTAATGAGTAAAGAAAGAGAAAGTTCATTTTCTTCCTTTCGACTGAACAGAGAACACAAGAAAAGAAGGAAAGAGAGGGAACCAGCTCGTATACACATATACAAAAGAACGAATGGACAGTTGTGACCATCAGTCCTGCTGTGTGCTCGACTGAAGAGCAATTTCATAAAGTATTTACTTCAGATCACATTGATACCTTTCACAACTCGGTAACGTATAAGATTTGAAAAAGAAAACGTTTAATTTCTTCTCACCGTATCCAGCGATTCTTAAACACGTAGAATTCATTTCAGATAAAAACAACCATGTGGATTCTCTGCTTCCTTCTCTTCATCTCGGCATTCGCTTATGATGACAGTATATCCGTAATTAATATTCATGAAGAACTTCCACCGAACATTTTACTATTACCTACAATATCATCATCTAATCTTCAATGGTTACCCTCATCGTATTCATTTCAATCCTATTTTAATCTCCATTCCGATCAGTCATTGTATACTACAGTTCAAGTAATTGATCGAGAGAAATTTTGTGAACAGAAACTTTGTAATTGCTCGAAATGTTCGATAAACTTAAGTTTCTTGCAAACAGTCTCACCAAGTAATATTTCCATTCGAACGATTGAAATCATCATTGAAGGTAAAGATCTTTTCGTGTTCTGTTCTTTTAGATTCTGTCTATTTCAGATATCAATGATCATTCACCAACATTCAAACAACCAATTATTCGACTTTCGATTGCGGAAAATGTTCCTATTGGTTATGAAATTCCTTTAGAAGCAGCAATTGATAATGACTACGGTGTTCTATCCATTCAAGCATACGAATTATATCCAATCGGAAACAATCCATTTCGTTTGTTTCGAACGACAAAACCGATTCTAAAACTAGTCGAAACATTAGATCGTGAGAGCAAATCAAATTATTTATTGAAATTAATCGCTTATGACGGAGGTCAACCGGCACTATCCGGAGAGCAAAATATTGAAATTATCGTTACAGAGTAAGTTATTATCATCCTATTCTCATATATTTGCAATTGATATGTCTTTCATTTAGTGTAAATGATAACCCTCCGATCTTTGAAAAGACGATTTATCAGAGAACTCTTCCGGAAAACTATCAAATAGAGACGATTATCTTGAAAGTTCACGCCACTGACCGAGATGAGAATGAAAATGCTCGAATCACTTATTCGATCGATGATCGTTCATCGACATTCATCATTAATCAACAGACAGGTGAAATCTATTTGAAAAAGTCTCTAGATTACGAAAGAACACGAGCATATTCATTAACCATCAAAGGTAAATCATTCAGTTTGACCAGTTCCACTCTACTTATTCTTTTTATCAATTTTTTAGCTCAAGATAATGGTGTACCACAGATGACTAATTATGCAACGTTGATTATTGACGTAACAGATGTCAATGATCATAGTCCAGATGTTTTATTAACCGAAGTTAATGGAACTAAAATGAATAATCGTTTGATCAATCTACCAGAATGTACATTAAAAGGTATAGAACAACGTAACAAAAAAAAGCATCTTCCATTGATAATCAATCTGTTTAGATACACCGCTGTTGTATGTTTACATCACTGATGACGATTCAGGTGATAACGGTCGTGTTAGTTGTACCTTGAACGACACTCGTTTGAATTTGATCTATTTGACTACGAATGCTTATGCTTTGCAAACAAGCAATTCATCATCGTTTGATTATGAAAGTGAACAATCGGTTGTGATTCATTTGCAATGCACTGATTTCGGCACTCCATCTTTGTCAACATCGACTCTACTTCATCTGTTCATCGAAGATTGTAATGATAATTCACCCGAGTTTATTTCTCCATCATCTTCCAATCTATCATTAATCATCGCTTATGAAACAACGGATGTGCCATTTCTTCTGACTCAATTCATTGTACGCGATCGTGATCGTTCTCAACCGAATAGTTTCGCATATTCGTATATCGTCTCACCACCGCTCGATCTAAATCTAATTAATAATGGAACATTAATTCTTCATTCAATGCCTGCTATGCCAGGAACATTCATCATCAATGTCACTGTTTATGATAGTGGAAATCTCACTAGTACAATATCAATGAATGTTCGTATTCAATCGATCAATGAAACGATATCAACAATGAGTTTACCGAAGGAACATACGACTTTAGTACTGTTGATTACATTCTTTATTATAATTTTTCTCGCAGCGATATTGATATCGATGTGTTTTCTCATCGCTTTCATTCTGCGAAGAAAAATGCCGAAAAAATCCGTTGCAAATGTGTCATCACACGGAAGTACAACGAGTTCAAATGAACGAACAGGTTCATCACAAAAAACGATGATCGAAATTTTCGATGACGCAGTGGTAAGTTGTTCAATTCGATATCCGAGAACAAATAGACACAGTTAGATCATTTTCCCATTACATGATCAAAGTATCGATGAGATGAGTTTACTTATTTGAACAGCATTTAGACGAATGAAAGAATGGAAACGTAATACGATTAAACATGACAATCACTGACACACATATCTTTTTCACAACGATGAAAACGAAAGTATTGAACTGTTTTCTTGTTTTGACAGGCACACACTGATTTTCTATTGTTATTTGACCTTACTTCATTTCAATAGACGATGTGTATTGTTTATAGATAGATTAATGATTGTATGCTACATTAATCTCGTCCATTTCTTTTCCTTCGAAATGCGATTAAACCTCTTTGTTCTTTAAGAATTCATCGAATCGTGTCTATCAATACGGAGTTCAACAAGCACCAGTAGATATGAAGGTAATCAATCCAAGCGGTATTCATCAAAGTGATTTTGATTATTCCGAAAAGGTAATACAAAACCATTTGCTTTCTCGACAAGTCGTCTTATCGGAATCAATCTGGAATTGTTTAGGTTCAAAGATATTTAACACATTTGAATGATCGACTGATTGGCACTGATATCGACGAAGGTGTTTATGGATCATCGGATGTTTCGTCTGATCATATTCAACAATTAACTCTTCGACCATCATCGGTAGATTCCTCCATACATTCATCGCAACAAGCGTATCAGGATAGTTTCAAACGTTTTGAACAATTGTATGCGCTAGTTGAACATCATCCAACAACTAATCTCGATACGTCAGCATTCACATCGGACAGCCTTTATGTATAGAGAAAGAAATCAAGTCACTTTTGTTATGCTCGTTTTTATATGAAGAATTTTTTTTTATAAAGAAAGTACATATATGTTTATATTTCAACGTGATGAATGAGCTGGAAAATGTAATGTTTTTTTTTCCAAACTATATGTTCTCAAAATAACGTCAACCGTATCTGATGTATCCATGGCGAAGAATATCATTCAAAGAGCAAACTAATCTCTAATTATTGTTTTAATGACGTGTTTTTATGAGAAATGTGGTTTGTTTCTGATGCAACTACTGTTTTAGTATATGTCATTTACACCAGATAACGTAGAAAAAAACTCGAACAGTCATACGGCATTAGGGTTGTTTTTTCATTCTCTATATAACTTCTGTGTAAGCCATACGCGCACATCTCAGTCCTTTTCAACGACGGTAAATATTATGTCGATCAAACTTGTATTTCGCTATTGGAACGCTCGTGGTCGAGTCCAAGCTGTTCGATATATGTTAGAAGATATTGCTGCGACGAATAAAAATGTTGACTACAAGGAAGAGCCGGAACTACTTGAAAAAGCGCTCGAATCATGGATGGGGCGTAACAAGGCGGATGAGAGCGTTTCTGGTCCATTCCATACTTTACCAGTTCTTCACTGGAATAACAAGCATGTATTCGCTCAAACATTACCTATCGGTAGTCTCGAGAAATCCAATTAGTTTTCTCACTGTGCTCTCTTTTGTACGTTTAGGATTATTACTAGCTCGAAAATTCAATTTGTATGGCAAACTAACTGCATCTATTGATGAAGAAGACGCTTTACATGCCTATATTGATGGTGTGGTCTCTTGTGCGTACACCGATGTCATAACAAATATTTTAATGTGCGTCTGGAATCAAATTGATTTCGTTGATGATAACAATCCTGCCAATCGTGCAGCAAAAAAGGTTCCTAATGATCTTAAAGCATTGAATAGTTTATTGAAGAAAAGCTCAACACCGTTTTTCTACGATCAAGCAGAACCGACCATCGCCGATTATTTTGTTTTCGAAGCGTATACCATGGCGCGAGATTATTCCGAGAAAATGATTCCAAGTGAAGAGGACCGAGACGCATTGGTGAAATTAGAACAAGTAATGAGCGAACGACCGGGCATTGCTAATTACTTGAAAAAAGATTTATTATATAAACGCTTTACGGGATCACCAAAAGAAGCTGAATATATGGAAAAATTAAAAGGCAATTCGAAATAACTCCGATTTCATGACTTTGTGTAGCATTCGTAAAATTTAGAATTTAACCCGAATATTAATAAATGCACTATTTTTCATTATCCGCAACTTACTCTGTATATGACATGATGGTGTGATTTACAAAAGAAAAGTAGAGCGTACCATCGCACATTCGTTTTGTTTTGTCACATTGATCATGTTTCTAATCTCTCATCGTTACGTTGACTTACTTACACTCTCTATTTCTGATGAAACGAATATACGTATGTGTAAATGTTATATCCACTGGATATTGTGAAAAAAAAGAACCTCAAATGCTGAGTCTGTCATTGTCACATAACTCTCGCATAGATTTTAGTTCTTGTTAATAACAGAAAAACATCGTCTCGATCAGATTTCAAGTTCTTCATGGGAATGATCAATATCTACTTTGCTCAACACTACCGATCGGTCTGTTTGACAGATAATCACGAGTCTGAATTGTGTTTTTTTCTTACAATAAAGTAATTTCGTTTATCGATGATATATTGAACAATTTAGTGAAGAAAAGTTCCATACTATTGCAGTAAGATCGATGTACGACTAAATAAAAAGTCAACTGACTGAGGGGTTGACTCAAATCGTCGATAGAGGGCGATAGTGACAAACGCAAGTAAAAACACGCTTGTTTATTCGGCGTTAAATCTCTGTTTGAAATTATGAGGTGACTCAGTAAACCAAATAAACTACGACATTACATTCCTTTTCTACCTAACCACATCGATCATGTCAGCCACAGCGACTAATTCAGAAAAGATTAAACTGCGACTTCATTATTGGGATTGTCGTGGCCGCGCTCAAGCATTTCGCTATATGCTTGAGGATATTGCATACACGAATAAAAATGTTGATTATAAAGAAGATTTCGAACAAATAAGCACTACGACGACAATATGGCCTGAGCATAAAGCTGACAAAACAATCTCTGGCTCATTTCGAACCTTGCCTGTGCTTCATTGGAATGATGAACACGTTTTTGGTCAAACTTTAACCATAGGTATGCTTGCTCTTCGAAACAACCTTGTTTACCTTTAGTCGTTCAATTTTGTAGCACATTTGGTAGCAAGAAAATTCAATCTCTATGGGAAAGTGACATCATCAGTCACAGATCCTGTTTTACTCGAAGCTTATCTCAACGGTGTTGCAAACTGTGCCTATCTCGATGTAATCGTCAATGTGTGCATGTGTCTATGGAATACTCCTGATATTGAAAATAAGACGAGTGCCGAATATTATCCAATCATAGGCGTGAAGGATAAGTTAGATGCATTGAATACACTATTAAAGGAAAGCTCAACATCATTCTTTTATGATCAAACAGAACCGACCATTGCCGACTATTTCGCATTCGAAGCATATCTCGTTGCCCGTGATATCCATTCCGTATTCTTACCAGAAGATTGTCAGGCATTAGTGAAACTCGAACAAGTTATGAAGGAACGACCTGCTTTGGCTAGATATTTTCAAAATAACCAATTAATAAAACTTTTTACTGCTTCACCATCTGAACAAGAATATTTAGAAAAAATATCGAAGATCAAATAATGTTTTTTTCATTTACAAATAAACATTATCGAGCTTCTTTCATGAAATCTTTTTTACTCCATAGCCTTGACATGATTAAGTGCAATTTTTATTGTCAAAAAGTACATTGTAGTTCTAATTAGAAACAAATAGTTCATAGCCGCATAGTGATCTTTTTATTAATTTCAGAATGTCTTTTTAACTTTGAAGAAAAGATTTATTCTGTTGCATTTTTCTGCCTGGAAAGCAGTTGACATTAATAACACGCCAATCGTTGACGTAGAGTGATTAAACTTAATTCTACTCAGTTAGAGATGATCCTATACTTATGTGAGAGGATTTTCCAAGATATTTAATTTCGTATAAAAATAGTGCTTCCAGAAAAAAAAGCTAAGTAGTACATCAAGTATTGTTAGCGTCAGACAATTGATAGAAATTTGTGTGTTTAGAGATGAACTTCGATTTCGGATAAGCAAAATGAGCGTCGTAAAATCTCATTGGAACGGATGGTTTGGTGTCAGTTGTAGTTCGTGGCTCAAAGCTATTTGACGTCTAAAAATATCAAAACACGTATTGAGTTCAAATGAGAAACAAGCCTTTGAATACCCAATACGGCTGCGAGCTAGTGAGTGCATTTTGAACATTATCTGGTCGCTTTTTTGGTTTTGCTACGCCCACTGCTTCTCTGCCCCACCAACTGTTCTGTACTTCAGTATGCTAAAACAAGGAGATTTTTGTTTGAAGAAGATTTTTTCGGAAGAACAGTGCAATATAGACCTGTAGATCAGCCAGATTATCTTCATATCGAGCAATTTGTCGTTGACGAGCTCGTTCTTCAGTTTGTCGGGAAAGTTCACTACGAAATAAATTTGCATCTTCAGCAGAATATGGGTCATGTGTGCCTGTAAACTGAAATCAAAGGAAGTTTTTCGTGAAAAGCAAATATTGAAGACAAAGTATATACATGACGAGTTGTCTTTGTAGTTGGCTTGTGAAATTTCAGAGGATAATGACTGCCTTCAAGTTGAGATATCCAATCGGCAGCGGTTTCACCAGGCTAAACAGAACAAATCCTTATATCTAGCAAACTAAATGATTGTTACTCTACGTTCAATCGTCGTTCTTGTCTTTCTTGCTCGCGACGAGTCTTTTGAACTTCCATATCATGTTTTTGATCAAAGATATTTCCATGATATTGACTACGATACAAACTCAATGGTCCAACCGTATTCTAGGAAAATGATACACATCAGTTTCAATGGAAACAAAGAGAAAATCCGTTGATTCGAATCTTTACTAATTTATCTTCTAGACTACCAGCGTATCTTGTGAACTTCTGACCCGTCTGTTGATGAATCAAAGGAGCACCAGCGCCTGGTCGACCCCATGGTTCGTATAAATTCTGTTGAGGAATTATATTGAACACTTGTTGAGGTTCTTTATTTGGATCTAGAGATACACATTCAAAAGAGGTTCTTTCTTCTAAGTCACGCACTTACCAAACAGGATGAATGGATCATGTGCATCGCCTTTCAGTGGCTGAGCGGTTTTTGATAATGGTGTTAAATGCGATGAGCTTCGATTAGTATTTGCACTCTAGAATGTCAAACAGAATGAAACAATCGATTTATTCGTGAGATGACTTACACCGCCGTAAAAACGTTGATAATCAGAATTACTACTTGACAAGAAGTCATCAGGGGGAGAAGACGCTTTCGTTGCCTTGGCTGAATTAATGCTATTGAAAGATTGATTGCCGTATGCTGGCTCTCGGGACGAACTGGAACTATGTTTCTCGTTGGGTGCATTCAATTGTTGATAATGAATTGTTAAGATTTCTGGTTTCTTTAGCAAAGTTGGCGAGGGAACTTTGCTCTGTGTGAGAATTTGCTCGAGTTCTTGTTTTCCTGTCAAAAGATGCCATGTTGATTATTGGAATAAATTATTTACATAGAAAAGATCCGATTTTTCTTACTGATGGGCGTCGGATGCTCGTGACTACCAAAGAGAGCTTGTTGTTTAGCCTATGTAAATAAGATGATGAAAATAATGATAGATCATGTACGACGAGTAAACGAGTCTGCTGTATTAACGTGTGTTATTGTTAGAAAGTGTTTTGAGTGTAGAAGAGAAGTTGTCAAGGTTGTCCTGAATCATGTTATTGTTGTCAGTGAAAGATCAACAGAAAGAAAAAAAACTGAGCGTTTAACTAACATAATTTTTATCTCGTTGAAGTTTCATCTCCAATTCGAGAACATCTCGATTCTTCTTCTCAGCTACTTGTTTATCTAAATTGATGAATACTTTAGTAGAAAATTTCATCGAAGAAGACGCAAATTCTAACCGAGATCGATTTTATATTTCATTTTCTGAATATCATGTTCGGAGAAAGTAGGTAACGGACGAATTGACTTGACATTGTCAGCATTCGCATTTGTCGAGGACGAAAGTAATGCGTCTGAAGATGGATTGCTCATTCTCGATTGAGCTCGTTGGGAACGAAATGTTCGAATAAATGAGTCTAAATCTTGTTCCACTGGCTTATTAGTACTAAAAGAAGAACAAACGGAACACAGTCATTCCAAACGTCACTTGAAATTCTTTGTTAAATTGTAAATACGATTCGGAAATACTTCAAAAAAACTCGTCTCAATTTTACTTCACTATGCTTTCATTTTCATAGAAAAACATTCGATGCGTACAACATAAGAATAATTTGAGATGATTCGTCGTTTTCAGCTTTGCTTATATGAATCTAAAACAAACGAAGCAAACAGTATTGAATGGCAAGTAAGACTTAACGAAAGAATACTTGCTAATACGCGAAGAATTTAGGAGAATCTTTGTCGAAGTCGCTGTCTAGAAATTTCTAATGAAAGAAATGTCCTCCTGTTCTTCAACTACTACTATTATTATTACATAGGAATGCGAGAGAATTCGTTTTGTAATTAAGCAACGATTGACCACACTACTGCCATCGTTACTGTTTTTCTTTTTTCTTTTATATGTTTTTTTTTCTATCGAAACATATAAACACGGCCAAGGTTGGCAAGATCAACAATAATGTGCTAAAATGAAGTCGAACAAAAGCACAGATCGTAAATCCATTTAACAAAAGATCAACAAAGAACGCGCAAAAAATTTTTTCTTCAAAACTTTCTTTCGTCGAGTTTGTTAATTAAATGCCGACGGGAAAATTGATTTCCTAACCAGTTCATATTCGTAGTTGACTTTTCTCTCAGAGAACCAGGGATGGTTTATTTTCTTTTAAGACGAGACAATCCCGGATTTTCTTTTCTTTTTATATTCATTTCTCAGCGTCACGGTCTAATCCTCGCCATTTTGTTGATAGAATCAAACAAACTCGTTCTTTTTGATTTATCAGAATGACGACATGCAAGTTAGACTTAATCGTCATTGAAAAACTTGACTAAAACCAATTTTCATTCATCTCAGCGGTTAACCCATCCTATCATTACTTGCAAGCTCTTGGGTTTCTTAATAAATAGTTCTCAATGATAATTAAATAGTAGGTAAGTATTTGTTTTATTAGTGGTAATAAATTCAAAATGAAATCTTCTAAATAATGAGGTATATAATTTTTCTCCTCGCCAAAACACGTTACAAGTCACGTAGACGGGCTTCGACATGATCTTTTATTAATTAAATAATATTGTTCCACAATTAAATAGCCGAGACAAAGACACGTATTCTTGTCCTGATGCTAATATATATAAATATATCGTTTTCTCTTGCCGTATGGCATTGTTGTTTCTTAGAGGATTAGAATTGCGAAACAAGAAGCCCTGTGGCAAGTTTTGAATATTGTTTATTTGCTTGAACTCGACGGTAATTTTCCATGAATAGAATTGATAGAGAGTTGGATAAAGACGAATTTCCGCCTTTCGAACGGCTCGTATTGAATATTTGTTTTGGGTATTTTATTACTGATCGAGTAATCTCATGAATATGGTAATTATTCAGATATAAATTTTGACGAGAAAGCCTTCAAACAATTGATCAGTTCGGCAACGGTCTTAAATGAGAAAAACCATTTGTTAACTTCTCTGGTAAATGTTTTGCAGTCGAACTTTCTATTTCCGACTATTTCCATTCGTCTTATTAATGATATTCTTATTCGGAACGAAAATGTCTACGTGTTCAATAGAATGAAAAGACAGATCACCAAATGGAAGTAATATTAAATAGATTTTTCTTCTTCTTCTTTTTCCTTCTTCTTCACGTCTTCGTTAATCATCGTCCAATAAGGAAACTATTCTCTTCGTTACCATTAAATCTCGTTTTCTCTTACTTTTCATAATGAATAGGAGCTTGTGATGTTTTCTTATTAGATTTTTTTTCTTCTTGTCTCTTGTTCTGTACTAGGGGTGTTCGACAATAACAAAGAACTTTGTTGTCATTCGCAGCTTCTTCTTTTCATGTTTATTGTAGACGAAGAACAAGTTTATCTCGATGAACATATCTAATTCACAATGATATCGGTCGAATTCTTAACTTACTTTCGGCAGACTATGGCTGTCCTGTGCTGTCTATTCGGTTTACCCGGAAATCTCTTAACAATTATCGTTTGTACGAAAGCACTCTATTTACGAACGATGCATTTACAACGAAAAATGCTCAACTTATATCTCGTGGAAATCTCTATTTTGGGTAAGTGAATGAGACAAAGTGAAGGGAGGACTTCGTATTCGGTAAATCGAGTCAGCTATGAGATATACAAACGTACATCCGCTAATCAGATTTGAAGAAGAGTGAAAACTTGTAATTTTGTTTCAAGGGCGTTTCATTCTCTTGATCGTAGGTTCTTCAGTGCGCAAATAGCCTTGTTCTATTGCAAATTCTAATGAATTATGTATTCGCCGTCAACCGATCATATGTAATTCTCTCTAGGACCGCGTATTGCATGTTTTATGTTTTAGACACATGCTTATTATTATATTGGATTATCGAAACGTTATTAAATTATCTACACGAGATTCAACGAATCGAGTTTCATTCTATTATGCATATCTCTGCCATGACATGTTATTTCTCATATATGATTAATCGTATATGTGCTGCTCTATGTTCTTGGCTATTAACCTGTTTTACGTTCATTCGATTTATAAATATTTTTCGTCAGTTTAACACGATCAAATCGAATATTATTCTTCTTATATCTTTGATTTTGTTCTTTTCACTGGCGAATAGTTATTCATTTGTTGTCTTAGAGTATAAAACCGAACAGAAACCTCCTCGAAATAGTACGCAAAGAAACGGAACGTTGTACGACTACAAAGATATCTGTACGATTCGTTCGGAGTACGTCGATGATCAAGTAACATTGCTGATGAATATTCTCGTCGCCGGTGTTTTGAGTTTAGCTGTACCAGCTCTTCTGGTGTCCATTGTTAATATCAGTATGCTATGCGTTATTAAAAAAATTTATTCCACGCAAACGGATGTGAATAATAAACGTCGTTCAGACATAACTAACTACCGTTCAACACGTTCGACGCTGCTTGTTATATCAGTGACATATGCACTATTTTACTTGCCGTATATCATTTTCTATTTTCTTATGACACTTCTAGAGGACAACGATGGAACATTACATTACTGGTCTGAGATTACCTACAGTCTACGACATGTCAGTCATTCAGTAAACTTTTATGCATATATTTGTACTAGTTTGAGTTTTCGTCACGAATGTGTCCTATTGGTTCGTTCAGTTTTTCGACCATGTTTGTACTTTAAAACTCGCCGACAATACAGACAAAAGAAGAAACGATCACAATTGATTATCATTGATAAGAGTCCTCTCCCACCACCGCCGTTGTATAGCTCGTTCAACAGAAAAGCTCCACGAGTCACTATTGCTCAAGAACCTGAGGAAATTAACAATAAAAACGAAACATGGATGTGAAGAACAACTCGCAATGTGCTTTACTGTTATGGAAAATTAATTATGAAATAACATTCAACTTAATGTCGTTCTCTTGTAAACACAGATTTTATGTCATTTTACTCTTAAGTAACGATTCAGCATTCGGTGGATTAGACAAGAAAAAACCTCAACTTCGTAGTTTTTTCTTCTCCTTCTTCTTCTTTTTCATCTTTGTCACGCATGCGTGCTTGGAAGCATCAAAAGTGTCCCATGATGATTTCATTTGTTTTGTTATAAACAACAGTAATTATGTTGAATATTGTTATTTGAGAGGATTCTTTATACGTTGATTATTAAAAACCAAAATATACTGAATGATTTATTGCCATACTTCTACATATGTGCATACATGTTAAAGATCAAATGAGGTTATAATGAAAACTTCATTTTACTTCTACGATTTCCTTTCGCGTAGATCCATTTAAACAGGAAGAATAATTACATCTGTAAGATTTGTCGAGCATTTCATTCTAGTCTAATTAGATGACTACTGACAAGATATTGCATGTCGTAGTTCATGTGATACTAATCTATATTTAACGAACTAGAAAGAAAGAGTATGTATTAAATATTGTATTAGGTTATAATATTTCCCTTGAAGATACCGAATATGTTTTCATATACTATTCTCATTGAATAGAGAGATAGTATTCTGTTTAGGGACCAAGTTGTCGCTGGTTAGTACGTGACTTGTAGGCGGTGTTTCGTAAATGCCATAAGTGTCAATACGTGAGTTATAACGAATGAATTGTATGAACAACGGGTCGATCTAATATAGGTCAAACGTAATTAAATTAGAGACACTTTCGGTAAGCCGGAATACAAATGTCATTCTTTTCAAAAGTTGCACATTTCATTGACAATATCCGTGTCGAATGTAATGAAAGTTTCCACATGAAATAACAAGTTGATATAGAATCTAATTAGCTCGACTTATGTAGGTTTTAATGAAATATTAATTAGCAGTTAATAATCTTACTATGTTTGGAATATATCGTTTCCTTCAACATGGCATCTTGTGCGTCATGTACATTTATTTGAAACAATGGCAAGAGTAAATATAGAGAAATATGGAAACGAAGCTGGGATATACACGAGGGCGGATGATATGGTTCATTTACTAGAAGAAAATAGTATAAAATTGTGAATATGCGTCAGAATAAATTAACTAACATGCGAATTTTTCTTTTTATCTGAATCAGAATCTTTCTTCAAATCACTGTCGGACGACAAGCTTTGTTTCTAATTAAAAGAAGAAAATAGACTCCATTAATGAAGCTCATATTCAAACTCACAGTTTCCTTAATCCATTCAGTTGCTTCTACAAATGAACTTTAATAGAGTGAATACTAGAACTGATCTTACTTTTAGTGATGTCTTTCATGTTTTGAGTTTTGTCTTTGTCGAAATCATTTCCTGATGATTGAGAAGATGGACTACTTCGCTCTTTCGCGCCTGTTTCTTGAGAACTTGGACCACTGCCTCCATAACCGCCTGAGGGGTTATCATTGCTACCTGATCCTTTAGAACTAAGCTTACGAAGGAAATTTGTTTGCCCAACTGAAAGACCGCAAGAAATATTAGTTTTTTGACATATTAGTTTTGATCTTACTTCGTGAACCAGATAAAAGAGTACGAGTAAGATTACTTGCCATGGTATTTCGTATTTGTTAAATGAATGAAGAGGATATAAAAATAAAATTACGAAGGAAGCAAAAGACGATTTTGCACTCATTCACCTTTATGTTATTTGGTATATACACTATGGCTAAAAGAACGATAATATCGATAGTCAGTTGTTTTTGTTGTTTGGTAATACGTGTGCTTCGCACATGGTGTCACCGGATCGATAAATTTTCCAAACCGCGATAGATTTCATCGATACAGATTCTAACAGTTAGAATTGATGGGAAAAAGAATTGAAATCGTTCGATTAAAACAATACTTGATTTCGTCGATCATCTCGTGCTATTGATCCTGTTTCAGAAATAAAATGCCTGACAATTCTTTTGATCACCGTAGATGTTCCAAGTATACGATTTAGATATTGTTACAAATCTAGGAAACTCAATAGAGACATATAGTATCAAACCGATAGATGTCGCCGTATAATACGTGATTAGAATTTTGAAAGCTAATATGGCCTACGTAGATACCAATCATGTGTTTAGTTGAATCATAAAGCTAAAAGACTTGTTTTGCAAAGTTTATTTCAAAAGTTGGTAGAAAGTTTATTTCTAGTCGTTTTGACTCAATGTAATTTCTTTATATTGCAAGTATTTGTCCTAATTACAATATTTCAGACGCCGTTGAATATATTTATTAACGAAATCATGTCAGCATCCGGATCTCGTGGCAGAGGCCGTGGCAGTAAGTATAAAGATGCCAGATCCAAGCCATTTGAATAAGAAATACTCGGTTTAGAAAGACCTTATCGATCGACAGGAGGTCCTCCCGAGCCCTATAGATCTCAATCAATGGCTATCACATCGGAAAAATATCATCAGACCAATCTGGATAGAAATAACCCTAGTCGTCCACCATCAGTGAAAGCGAATACATCTTCAGGACGGCGATCTAATGGTGATCAACGTAAATCTACATCTCGTTCATCAACAGGTCGTGCGAAGTCTACCCGAGCTTTTCGTGAACCTGTTCACTCAGCGATACCAGATACTGCACTAGTATCATTCGCTTGTCGACCAGATCGTGGTGGAAAAGGTAATTATTGCATTGAATACAACTCATCGAAGTTTTTCTAATTATCTTTTCTACATCACCGTTCTTAAGCTGGTTATCCATTAAAATTGCAGACAAATCATTTCACTTGCAATATTCCTCGATCATTGAAATGCCATCAGTATGATATTGATTTACAAGCTGCGAATCGAGATGGCACCTGGCGAACTGCGAAAAAAGACGATCGATTTATTATTTTAACGAAAATTATCGAACGAGAAAACTTCCCATTAGTGTGGTACGACGAAGGAAAAAGTCTTTATTCCATTGAACTACTTGTTGATTTGAAAGATCAGTATGAGATTACTATCAAAGACAAGAAAAGTGATCGAGAACAAAGGTATCGATTATTGATTAACAATCTTGTTAAATCTTACGATATTCAAGTATAAATGATTTCCTCGATTGATAACATAATGCATTGATTTACTTTCTAGGTTTTGTGGGATTTTATTGAGAATAAAATTGCGATACGTCCTAGGGATCCGATTCGGATTCTTGAAACTCTTCTAAAACAAACCACTCGAGCGACTATGGTTTGTGTAAAAAATCAGTTTTATGATAAGCGACAGACATTAGACGATCTAGGTGAGTTCTATCGATGAATCTTGCTATTGAAAAGTCATTTTTCTTAGGTGATGGTCGAGGTTTAGCCAGTGGTTTTTATCAAGCTATGTTTTTAACTTGTATTGGTGCTACAATTAATATTAATTCAACTTTTACATGTTTTTACCAGCCATTCAATTTAGTTCATTTTCTTTGCGAATATCTTCAACATGATATTGTTCAAGATGGTAATCATGTGCACTTTCTGCTCTCCTTCTGCTCTCATCTGAAATTTATTCAGGTATTGATCAAAGGGAACAACAGTTATTATTAAGAAAAGTTCTCAGACCTATCTGGCTGGAAACTCATCATGGCGAAAACGTGCGTAAGTACCGCATACGTGGTTTCGGTGCACCTGCTCGTCAACATACATTTGCGCGTCATGTCGACGGTGCGAGCGATGATACGCAAGAACGACAAACAGTCTATGATTATTTCGCTGAAAAATATAATATTCAATTACAGTATCCTAATTTACCAACAGTTGGTAAAACATTCTCCATGATATTAATAATATATCTCGATTGATTTCATTAGAATTGTACACACCACCGAATAACATTCAATTTCACTATTTACCAATGGAATGTTGTACAGTTCAAGCTTGGCAACGTTCAATAAAACCATTAACTACAGATCAACGTGCACGAGTAACGAAAAAGACTGTGGTCAATCCAACTCAACGCCACAGGGCAATTATGGATATTGTCAAAACACGAAAATTCAATGAGGATAAATATCTTAATGAAATAGGAATGAGTATTATTGATGATAAAATGATTACTGTCTCTGCGAGATGTATACAACCACCCGAGATAAAATATAAAAGTATTCACGATGAACAAAGTCAAATTGTCGAAAGAATTAACATCGGAAAGTAAGAATATGTTTTCAATTGTGAACGAGAAATGTTTGTTTTCCATTAAGGTGGAATCTGAGAAATCGTTTTCAAACAACGAAGAACATTAATTGCTGGGCGTGTATTATGGTCTCCAGTCAAAAGCCTAATCAAAATCAACTATCTATAGCCAATCAATTTGTTGAACAATTTCCTTCAGTAAATTGAACATTCTCTAAATTATTCATGTTGATTATTACTTTTTAAAGATTATCAGCCAGTATGGAATCTATTTTCAATCGAGCCCGATCATGAGTTGTGATCCAGCGGATCCAGATATTATTCATAAACGTTTGCAAACATTGAAAGAACAAAATTGCGAAGTAGTTGTCTTTATTTTGAATGGCGTTGGAGAAGATACTTATAAAACAATCAAATATTTCGGAAATCAAAAACTCGGCATTGTGACACAGTAAGAATCAATGTTTAACTTCTATCCAATCAATTCCATTGGTTTAGATGTACGGATTTCGTTGCGATCGCCAAGAATATTCGCAGTCGAAAACTTGATATGGTAAAAACAAAGATATTTCTCCATGCTTTGTGCACGTTTTGATTTCAGTATTTGCAAAATCTTGTGCAAAAATTCAATGCTAAACTTGGCGGAGTCAATGGAATGGTCTCATTAGCACGAGCATTGACGACTGCTTCCGGAAAAGATGATGTTTTCATGTTTTTCGGAGCCGATGTTACACATATAACATGTTCGAGAGAAAAACCATCGATTGCCGCTGTTGTCGGCTCAGTTGATTCGACGAGTATGTGATACTCATTGTTCACACGAAAACAAACGAGAGGAATGATGGTTTTTAGGTACTCAATACGCATCGAGAGTTGGTGAACAGTTTCCTGCTCGAGGAAAAATATCTTTAGAAATCATCAAAGATCTATATCAGATGTCAACAGATCTTTTGAAGTTGTTCGCGCAAAGGAATCACTGTTTTCCGAACAAAATCGTTTTCTATCGCGACGGTAAATAGAGGTTAATGTTAGAAAGCACTATCTAATCGGTTTAGGTGTTGACGATGGACATTTCCAAAAAGTTTTGGATAATGAAATACGTGCATTACAAAACGCGTGTAAAGGTAATGAATTTCTAATCGTAATTTCATAGGAGACGATCAATAATTGCTTGTAGCACTCTACATGACTAATTCATTACCAAAGATCACGTTTATCATTGTCAAGAAACGTCATAATACAAGGTTTTTTCTGCAAGATCATCAAACAGGAAATATGAATAACGTGCCACCAGGTATATTGACTCATCAGCAATGAATTCATCTTCATGTTTACTATTAGGTACGGTTGTTGACACAGATATCGTGCATCCGCAACATTTTGATTTTTATCTCAATAGTCATGCTGCTATCCAAGGTACAAGCAAACATTCATTCTATTTACTATTTAAACATCGTTCGTTTTCTCTGTAGGAACATCCAGACCTATTCTGTATCATGTTCTGTACGATGAGATTGGTTTCACTTCGGATGAAATACAATCCCTAACGTATTTTCTCTGCCATTCCGATGTTCGATGTACTAAAGCAGTATCTATACCGGCACCTGTGCATTATGCACATCTGGCTGCTTATCAATCACGAGATGCAGAAAGTTTCGAAAATGATCAAAAGAGTACCGCAGGGTAAGTGTTTTTTTCTTCATGATTTCTCCATTCAAAAATCGGCAATCTTTCTTTGCTTATCGTAGAGATTTTAACGATGATGATTTAGTCGACGGTATGGGATCAATTACATTGCAAGACGTCGAGTCCAGATTAATTCAACTTGATCCTTCTATTCAAGATACAATGTGGTATGTCTAAAGAAAATGACAAACTATGAATTCAAAAGGGGCACATGAAGTTTATTTTTTATCCACGAATTTTATAATGAAATGCCTCATTCGCTTACAAATCATTGTTTTGTTTTATGCTACTTTTTTTTTAATGATACATTCGTTATAACTGAATTCCACCGGTTGAAGAAATATTGTTCAATTAATAAAATAACACAGAATATTATAAGAACAGGAAAGATTCAAACGAGCTTGAAAACTTCAATGTCAGACACGATGAATTTGTCAGCACCTGTAAATGTTTCGTTACCCTTTCCTGTTGTATCCATGTATGTGTGAGGAAATGCACTGCAGCTTGAGTTGTTCGTATTACAACCGTTTGATATATAGAGATCCTGACCATTGCCGAATGTGGGTCCATCATTTTCACCATGATAGACTGCTTTTGTAATACAAGTATGATCGACAAGATATTTCGTTGGTGAAATACTATGAGGATTGGTTAAAGTGAATAGAAAAGCATTGGTATCTTCTTTATAACCGCCATCTGAAGACCATGGAGTAGATGCATAACCTCCGAAGAGATAGTTATTACTTGATTGAACTATCGTTATTGTTGGTCCTTGATTATCGCAGCGTGTATGGAATGCATTTGCAGCAAATCCATCTCGTGTTGCTTTGTATAACAATTGCCATTGTTGGTTAGTCTTACCATAGAATTCGTTCAGTTTTCGTGTATATTCTGGTCGAAGCAATGTTTCACCAAAGAAGACTCTTCTAGCAGCTTCTAGTTGAACTTGCTGCTCATATTTTGTTAGGATGTGGATTAAAGTATGCAAACGAAAAAACCGAGCTTCCGTAATCAGAGATTGACGAAGTGAATCATTGTCCAGTATATCACTTGGCATCGTGTTTGTTCTCAGATAAGCAAGGATATGACTAAATAGTTTACCATCACGATCAATAAACACACTTTTATCGTCCGGATCTCGTTCGAGTTGCCATTGCTTTGAAAATAGTGCAGTGAAGAAAGTGTCTTTCTCACGAGTTAATGTCTCCACTGAAGTGGTATATTTCTCTCCACCAACGTCGAGTATAATCTTGCCTGCAATAGCAGTTGTTGCTAGTTTAAGTTTGATCTCTTTCCATTCCTTTTCGTCATTATTTACGTTTATTAATTTATCGTCCAGCATCGCTTTGACGTTCACTACTTGTTCACATAGATTTTCAGCAGTTCGTATGCAGTTATTGCATTCATTTAATTTTGTCATTATTTCGCTAGCAAGTTTCTCAAAACATGCTCGAACTCGCTTGACATTGCCGTGAAGCTTTTGTAGATTTGGATCCATTGATGTGATTTTTATATAATAAATCGAATTTGGCTGCTGCGTGCGAATACGAAGACTAACAATGAATTTAATTTTACAGTTGTGCTTATCTTTTCCATAAAAAAACACAACACCTTTAATTTGGCTTTTTCCTACTAGTATACAAGAACTACAGTGCATGATAACAATTTCACTGGGATCTTTTATCATCATAGTTGCAATAAATAGAAGTAACTACTGTTGAATCATATATGAGCTTCCGTCTATCCCTAGTAAATTTAGTGTTTAATAAGATCAGAAAGACATGACTTTCACTCAGTTGACAATCAGTCTTAGTTTTTGTGCGTTGATCATACGCATATACTTCTATTTAATAGTACAAAAATACCGTACTCGATTATATGATAACAATTATAAACTCATCAATGACTCCTTCATCTCGCCATATTCGTATTTATCTGTTATTGACGCTCCGTCACGCTTACATTTTGATGTGTAGTTGTGAATTCATCGCTTTATTCACGCCAATTAACAAGAGGTAAACGAAATCGATCCATCCACATATCTTCTACATCTCTCGATGTCGGCAATTCTCCAAGTTTCTTCTCCAGAAGTACAGTCATATCACTTTTAGACAAAGTCAGATCTTTTCGTTGTTTGACTTCTGTCTGTAAATCATTATAGACTTGTTCTATCATTGCTACGACGTGCTGTTGTCTTTCTTTTTCTTCTTGAAAATGACGCCATGGTGCATATTGCTCCAATGTGACACTAGAAAAAAAAATCTTTGTTTACGAAGAGCTGTTTCTAAAAAGAAACTATTGAACAAGATAACGACTATTTACGTATAGATCTGTTTAGCTTCCCATGATGAAGGCACACGATCACTATGTTCTTCGTACAGTTTTTTACATTCATCCAACGTGATACGGGTGAAATTCACGTTTGGTTTCTTATTCCATATGGCTTGTGCTATTTCCTTTAGTTTTGCTTTACGACGTTTGATTTCTTGAGCTTTGTAATACAATTGAATCTTAAGTTCTGCATCAGGAAGAGGAGAAAAGGCAACACCTGTCACATCTGACGATTTATACCGGGAAGATATATTCGGAAGAAGGTGAAAAGCGGAATTGAGAGGTACATTATATGAACTTGATACTGCTTGAGTAATATAGCTAACAGTAGGTGCAAATCGAGTAAGAAAACGATGAGCATTCATGTTTGAGTATGATCTCTTAATAGAAGCTACAGATACAGTGTGCTGAGATCAAGTACACTGAATGGTATTGAGTTTATCCAATACCCATAACATTTCAATTTCGTTAGATGTAGTGAGTGTACAATACTTTGTTCACAAATTTCTTCTTTTACTCAGAAAAGATGAAAAGTTCTAATGTTAACCAACAACCAGGTGTTTTCTATACTAAACATACTTGAATAAATTTTAATCTTAAATTTTTCGTTTATTTTTGAAGAAATATCAAGCAGCTAGATATTCAGTTATAAGCGAACGCAAGTCAGTCAACTTATGGTTTGATCATTTGTATTCGTGCACCAATTGCCTGCATAGATAATATAATTCATTCTAATATACGGATGAGGATGAGGATTAAAATTTGTCACACCGTCTCCAGCTACAGTGTACAGTTGTTTGTACTTAATACACGATACTTGAAATCGGTTGCAGAAAAGCCATGATGCTGGCGAATGCATCTGACCACTATATAACTTTATTTCACCAATGATAAAGGAGCTATCGGATGAATGGTTTGCAACAACCTTCGGACTTTTCACTGTATTAACATGTCGTATAACTGTGCCTTGTGTTTTGTCAAGGAGGTGATTTGTTCGGCAGTAAGAGCGATCTGCAAACTATCTGTCAGTCACTCATTTTGTAGATTTCAAAGGATTTTGGTACAATCTTTCCATCTTCCCAACTAAATTCAGCTTGATGTTGTTCATTGGGTAATTTGATAAAGTCATCTTGGGAATATTTATCACGATTTTATTTGCGAAAGCTTAGCATAAAATGAAGTTTTCAACAACGAAGATAAATCACCTTTGCCACCTAAGGATATACCAAGAAAAGACACATCAGCATCTTGAAAGCGATGGTGTGAGTATTAGATGGATGTAATAGCCACACCGACATCCTCAATATCAAAACCGCGTATTTAATGTTGTTGGAAAAAGCCAAATTAGCAACTGAAAAGTTGTTTCATTGCTGGAAGTTATCATTAGTAAAGATAAGAGAGGTCTATAAATGAAATATAATATGCCTGAGAATATAATAATATGGATACCTTATTTTTACAATCAAAGCAAAATGAATCTGTAACGACATTTGAAGAAACACCAGATGAAATACAACTCATGATTTTCAAATACTTGTCATTGTACGATTTATACAAAACATTTTTCAATATGAATTTAAGGTTTAACCGTCTTGTTAACCATATAACACCAGAAAACTATAATATGGTTACATTAAATGAAGATATACGTACATTAGAACGACATACAGAATGGCGTTTCAGAGGATTCATCTGGTGGGAAGAATTGGTTTATTATCTTATTCCTCGAAGAGGATGTCACGCGTTACGATGGGCCTTTGTTTCACAGGTTACTATTGAGCAATTAGGAGAAGAATCAAGAAATTCTCTTCGAATTTTGTCGATAATTTCGAAATATCCTGTGTCATTAAACACTTTATTTTTGATATTTGATGTTCGTGCCATTAAAAAGATGTATTTCCGTTCGAAGGAGTTTCCTCAATGGATGAAAGAACATTATAATGAACAACATAAAATTATCATTGACTCCGAAAGTCGTTGGTACACTGAAGAAGTTTGTAATGCTTTTAGAGAAATCAACAAAATGGAGAAAAACCGACAAGAACAAATGATTCACGAGCAAGCAAAGAAGATTTGGTGGGAAATAAGAAAATCACAAGATTTTCTCGTCTCCAGTCTACCAGCTTGTCCAGAATATCGTGCTCATTCATGAAAATTAACTGATTTCATTTCACATTTTAGTAAAAATCGTAAAGATAATAAAATACATAGAAATTTCACCATCGCAGAATGACTTCTAATCATGGTACCAGTAATCGAAATGTATACTGGTTGAAAAGCTTTCAGCGCAATCCCTAACGGGATTAAAAATGTGAAACACGATCCAACTGGAGAAACTTTCAACACATAGAATGGTCAATTTATTTCCCAGTGTGCATTCCTATTTATTTAAACTTAAGCTGTTGAAAATAACATATCATTCTCAATAGTGATGTCCGCTGCTTGTTAAAAGGTCTTCGTTTCATCGGTCACAATATCTGATGCTTCTTATTGCGCTTCCATTAACCGATCACGATCTGTGCTGAGATCTACGTGGGTCGACGTAACGAAGTTGAGAGTCACCCTGTCTGTGAGACAATGATATAGAGTTTATTTGTCTTTTCACATAACAACCTCTCTCTCTCTCTCTCGACGGGTTTGTCACAGGGCTTTTGAGCTTGTTTATAACGGTATTTGACTGGTTTTTGGGCCTGTCTGTAACGTCTGTGATGGGGCTTTTGAGGCACCTGTAACGTCGATGATGGAATTTTTGGCCTGTCGGTCACGGTCTGTGATGGGGTTTTCCCAGCGTCTGTGGGGGGGGAGGGGGGTCCAAATTTCTGCCCCTACACACTTCAACACTCTCTTTCAGATCGTGTTTCACAGAATAGCAGAAACAAGCATGACCTTCTTCACAAATTCCATATTTATATTTTCGTACTTTGCAAAAAGAAAAACTTTCGCTCACCCACACCCCTTCAACATTTTCACTCATGTCAACATCGCAGAAAATAGAAGTCCAATAGAGAAACCAATAAAAAATAATATTAAACGAATAGTATCAATTATCATCATTAATTTTGTTTGTTGTTCACTTTTGAGTATCATCTGTTGGATGTTACGCATTTCAATTAAGTCACAGTGATCATCACTTAATATTGATTTGTAGATACGATATGAAATTGTAAAATACTTTCTTGCTTGTATTGAGTCGTGTTTTCTGTTTAGATAAAAAAGTGTTATATTTTTGTAACATAATGCTAAATCCGGATGGTTGTGTGGTAAAACATCACTCCATATATCTAGTGCTTGGTTAAAATACTCGAAACATGTTTCATCATTATACTGATCAGCATTTTGATAGTAATAAACTTGTCCAATAAGATTTAAGCACTTTGCTATGTCCCGCTGTTTCTTTTCGCCAAATATTTTCTTGTACATAGCAAGTGCTTGATTAAAATGAGTTAAAGCTAGATGAAAATTAAGCAAAGCTAAATAAACCTCGCCAATGTTCTTCAATGTATATGCTAAATCAATATGTTCAGTTAGCCGAGCCTTTTCTAATAATTTTAAGACAATATCGTACTGTTTCAAGGCATCCGCATACTTTTTTTCTCGATAAAATACTTTACCTATGTTACTGATCTTTATTCCCATATCGATGTAATTATCATCTTGTTTGAAAATTTTTCTTGCTATATTTAAACTTCGTTGAAAATATTCCATCGCTTGTTTATATTCATGTTGCTTATATAAACATTTACCAATATTGTTTAAGTTAAAACTAAGGAAGAAATGATTATTAGCAGGAAAGAGCTTTTCACTAATTTCATAAGATTTCCATTGATAATACAAAGCTGCATGATATAATCCTCTATGATAGTAAGCAATGCACATATTATTATAATATTCAATCATATCAGGATGATCTTCAGGTACTGATTTTTGAAGATATATGTATGATTTTTCAAAATGTTTCAAAGACAAATCATCTTGTCCTAGACTGTAATATGTTTGACCAATTTTGGTTAATAGATAAGCAATCTGATTAGTACATTGTGCATCATTATTGACCAGTTTCAATGCTTTAAAATAGTAATCTAAAGCAGTATTAAAATTTCCTTGACGATCATACGTGAAACCGATGTGACCTAAAAGTTTAGCACGTTTGCCAAGTGATGAATTATTACCAGTGCATAAAGCATAAGCATCTTGAAAGTAGTTTCTTGACAAATCAAATTCACGTAGTCCAGTTAATGCTCTTCCTAGTCCTTGATTAATCTCAATACGATTAAGTACATTTGTGTCAACTTGGTTTGATAATAAATTTTGAAAATAGTTTCGGCATTTAATATGTTCTCCCATTTTGAAAAGTAAATTGCCGAATACAATAGAAATGTCGCTTTCTTCATGGTTTATTTCATCTCTTTGAAATGCAAGATATTCTTTGGCTATTTCCAAACCTTTATTAGATGGTACCATTTCACAAATCCAGTACTTTTTCTCTTCATTATAGTAGAACTCTGTGATTTGAAAAACAGTTCCAAGATCGAATAGAAATTCTTTCTCCTCGGGAAATTGACTTTCACCTGAAACATCAGCAACTATCGTTTTCGGATGTGCATTCGGATCATAATTAATCTTATATATAATTGATTCACAATCATTTTTCTCGGTAAGATTTTTACCCACATCAGCGTACATTTCAGCAACTTCGATCTGTTTACTTGTTGAGAAGAATCCATTTGTTGATATCAAATGATCAACACTATCTTTTAAAAATTGAATATAATCTTTTGTACAGGTTGTGCCACGATAGAGCGATAAGGGTTGTTGATATTCCAATATCCGTTGATGATTTTTGCTTAATTCTGAGCACAGATCAATAAGATAAAAACGAAATGTGTATAACACTTCGACGTCTTCTGTTCGTAAAGCTTCATTGATTAATTTGAATATAAAACGGTTTTTTGTGTACCATTTCACTGCGTCATGTTTGGAATATTTGCGAGCAAATTCGTCAATATCTTTCAATACTTTCTTGTTATCACGATAATACAAACGACACTTTTTAAGCATTTCTTCTTTAGCGTTTTCGTCTCCACTCGGCATTTTTTGTAAGACTTCTTTGAGTAGTTGATGCCATATGAATGAAGCTGATTCTTTGGTTAAATTTCTAGTTGGTTTTTGATTTTGCTCATAGAATCGTAAAATATCCATTTGTTTCTCGGCTAATTCAACATTCTTTTGAATACTTCTTATCAAACTGCTCTGTTCAACAAAAATGTCAACAATTTTCGAATAGTTTCCATCTTCTATCAACTCTCGATCATATTTTGATTTCTTCATACAGAATATAAAGACGCTATCAATTTGACAGAGATTGTGCACTTTGGACAACAACGTATCGGCACTCATGCCAGATACAACGAGAAAGATTTTCTTGGATTTGATTGATTCAATACGTTGTATACAAAGATTTATATCGGTAAATACTAAAGTATCATTATTGATTTCTTTCAACTTACGCTTAGTTAGTTGAATATCCGGTGAATCAATCTGAATGTTTGTGTCGAACCATATTAAAGTAATATTTTCTTTATTTTCCCAAACACTGCTCGTATTTTCATCGGTGTTTGCTACTTCCTCGTAAGTACGTTGCTCGACTTCCTCCTCCTCTGTTGCCATTTCAATGTTTCTTCGGAATCTTTTTCAGTTCTTTATATAATAATCATACCTATGACGTAATTTGGTATTCTCCAAAATACTTCAACGTGAAAAACGCTGTTATTTATTTTTTTTATTGAGTCATTTACGACTGATCCATGTCTTTATTCGAGTAAATATATAAATTGTCATAGTACATTGATAAATAAATTTCGTGTTTGTTTTTTCTTCGCTACATACCATGTGAGTTTAAAAATATAGATCTGCGTAAATTAGGAGCATCATATTCACATTCTGCTTTAAAGTTAGCACACTGTGTTCCAGTTTGACCTTCCAAATCGACACGAGTAAGCATATTGAATTATGAATGTCGTGTTTAGTAAGAGACGAATTCGTCATATCCAAAGGTCGAATTCTGTTTATTAATCTTTGCAAACACAAAGTCCTGTATATACGTATATACATATTGAAATACCAAGTTTTCCTAACGTTCAAAACCTATTCTATCTGTACGACTAAGATTATGATAATCAAGTGAAATCAGTTTGTGTCTCCTTGACTGAAGTACTAACTGAATAATGTTATCGACAATATCGAAAAAAGAGTGTGTAAGTTTTCCACGCTCTATGAATCTATTTTTCTTTTTGAAAAGACTTATAAAAGCGAAAAGGGTTTATTATACATTGCCGATTTACAAATAGGTAACATGTGAAGAAAATAATACGAATGGAAATAGGATAACATACTATTTATACGAATCATCTTTTGTTGATCTCATAAACATACTTTCACGAAGTACATTCAGTACTACTTAAGAACTGACCTACAGGACAAACATTCATAAGTATATATCATCATAAATGTTTCGAAAAAGAAACTTCTTTGATTTTTCACATTAAAACGTGTACACATCGGATTTATTCAGACATCTTCTGAACACTTGTTAACAAGTCAACCGTGGCAAAAAAAAACACTTACAATCAAAAAATTGATCTTACATTTCAACTGAAGGGTAATCATGACGATTCACTTCGGGACTTCCATACTCATACAATTGAAAACAGCTGGATTATTGTTGAAAACCATCCGACTAAATAGCGATTTGTCCCATCAAAGAACATAATTACTAACTTTCAATGTAAACACGTCTCGTTCAGAGCTTTCAAATAAAGAAATCATGTTTATGTAAGATGGATAGACCACATGATGATATATATTCATCAAGATTATGAAATCAAGTGGAAAAGAATTCAATCTACCACCTAGGGTAGTCTTTTACTTTCTTCATAGAAACGAACCTATCTGTTCTCATCGATTATGAACGATAGATAAGAAAAACAACCGGTGATCGTTTGATAAGAGTAGTTGAAATTCGACACGTTGAGAGTCTCCGTTCATCAATAATAAAATTTGTCTTATTTTACATTACAATCGATCATCGATCAAAAAAAACGAAATAACTTATCGTCACAGTGAAATTCAATACAATAAAAAAAGATAGACATTATGCAATAAGAGGGGGCCACCAAAGAGAAAACTCCTTGACGTAGATCTGGCTTTCCTCATGGAAAGAATAACAATTATCTTTTTTAGGTAAATATATTAACGACAATTTATTCACGCATAGACGCTTTTCGTATCTACGAGTAATTGCAGACGAACTATCAAGATGAGACGATCGTAGGTCAATAATTCAAGTGAATATTTTGAAAAACATGTGATCAACCTGTTTTAATCATTATAATTCAGTTTTTGAAGCCGGGCAAAATTATTGTCGAATTATTCATGATCAATGGTAACATATTGTCACCTGTCCTTGAGCATCTGACATTGTCGGCTGCTGTTGCTCACGAAAGGCATGATTAAAAAAAACAGTCGATAGTTCGCTCAATCCACAGACACGTTAAGTTTATATGTATTTGATGAGCTTGACAAGTGAGAACAAATCACTGTCGGACTTGTTCATAATTCTCATATCTATATGTCATGGAGTGTTGATGATTGAATAGTTGCTCATTTGTCTTTCGTTCTTCTTTTTTGAAAACATATTGATTTGTTAATATTTCGTTCTGCTAGCCATCACTAATCATTTGTCATTTGCAAGAAATATTTCCCTTCTTTCTTTCTCTGCTCTTTCTATCCTTTTACCACGTAAGAAGAGAAAAAGAAGAAAGAGAGAGAGAGAGAGAAAGGAAAAAAAAGAATAAGTGCAAAATGTCTATGTCAAATAAAAATTAGTTGTTCAAATCTAATCATGACGTCGTCAGTTTCATCATCTCCAATCTCAAGTCCTAATTTATTGAAATCGAAGACCTACTCGAAACCATATCGTATCGAAATCGGTATCATTGTTTTGTTTCTTTGTTTAACAATTCCAAGTTTAATCGTCCTTTCACTTATTTATCGTCGGCAAACTCTACCATCGTCACCCTCATCAACATTCGATGACAATTTTCATCAGATTTCATTAATTAACTATCCGAATGCACGTTGTATGGATAATAGTATTGCTTCGTATTACGTTCGTCTAGCTAATAATCGTCATTCTCGTTGGTTAATCTATTTCGACGGTGGCTGGTTTTGTTATTCGAAAGACTCGTGTGATTTTCGACGACAATTTTCCCCGGATTTGATTACAACGAAAAATATCAACCAGAAGAAGTTCTTCTCGGGAATCTTAGCCTCATTCAAGCAATATAATATTCTCTACGCACCGTATTGTTCGTCAGATCTCTGGTCCGGTTCATCGAATCTGACGCATTCACATGGTTACGATATCTTTCATGCAATATTTCGTCAGGAAAATTATCTTCAACATGCCAAGCAGATTCTCTTCGTTGGCTTTTCAGCTGGTGGATTGGGTTTACTACTAAATCTTCCAGATTTATTTCCGAAGTTTTCCTCCCATATCGATTTACGTGTTATCATCGATTCCGCTTGGTTTTTCGACTATTCCGACAATCCAAATGGTATATCAAAAATCAATCAAGGAATGATCTATTGGAATACTCAAATCTCTTCATCATGTCAATTAGAATCTCGGTATAAATGTTTATTAGGTAGTGAAGCGATTAAATTATTTCCTTCATCAGTTAAAATTTTGATTATACAATCATTATTTGATTTGACGCAATTATACTTAGATAAAATCAATTTGAACGCATATGATTTTTCATTAAAACTTCGTGATAATCTTCGTCAATCAAGTCATCGAATATCGATATTTGCACCATCATGTCCTTTACATGGGTTTCTATTTCGTTCTGTATGGACTAAATTTGATATTAAACAAAGAACACTCGCATCTGTACTTAATATATGGTTAAAACGAAAGAAACGAGTTCATCTCCAATTGATCGATGAGCATTTTTATTCAAGTTATTGTCCGCAAAGTAATGATGATAATAATTATTATGAAGAAGTCTTCTAAGTGGTTCGTGTTACTTGTTGTAAGCATTTGCGTGTGTCCTTTTCTCTCTCTTTCTGTCATGTATTTCTCTATTGTATGCGAAACTGAATATAATGATAAGGAACAGTATGATCAAATAAGTTGTTATTGTAATAGATGTGTTTTAATAGTATAGACGACGACGATGATGATGATGATGATAAGGAAATTAATTGAAATTGTACAAAATAAATTGCGTCATGGAAACTTGACTACCTGTCTAGTACAATACTATCTATTGTATGACAAGTAAGATTACGATCATTAGCTTCGAGACTTACGCAAGAAGATCATCACTTCCTTTTCCTATATCAACTCAGATATTTATCCCAATTAGCGATGACATACTAAATGATTATCTTACTCCCACAAACTTTCTCCCTCGTATGATGATAATGATCATGATTGACAAGAATATCGCGTAGACATGTCGAAGAGATTTGTTCCACTATTTAGCAAATATTCATTTTTCAAACGAAAGAAAAACTTGCTGAGCAAACGAAAATGAAATAAATACTCTTAACAACCGGATATTGATCTCATTCGTGTCGAATGACGTGAAAATATGTCTATCCCTATGTATCTATTGACATATGTGTCAACTTGTTGCTTTCACACATCTCGCATAAAACTTCATCATTTTTAAAGAGTAAGTGTGAACAGACGAAACAGCAAATACAAGCGACAAGTTTAAATAGATTTGAGTCATCTTCCGGGCATACATTTTCAATTGTATAGGAAAATAGAATGCTTTTAGGATAGAGATAAAGTGCCGCTGTTAAACTGTTGACATTGAACGTGACAAGATGAGAGAACAAGCAAAAAATCTTTGAAACAAAATGTATCTTCCTATAACAATCTCAATCCATTAACACACATTTATTCAAGAAGATTTTCGAGAAGAAGAAAAATCTCGTGTTACTCAATCTATACACATACATACATAGATTGAGTGTCTCGTCTTGAGACGCGAGGGTATGCACATGCTTCGATGTCGCATTATAACTAGATCAAGTGGAAAGATAAGGCTGTCTCACAAGAGATATTTTGTATACATTAGACATCCTTGAGATATATCCACGTCGTTTGTTCGATAGTTCAATTTGTAAATATCTTCAGAGAACACAGATTGAACAATCTCATCCGAACGAAAAGCAAATTCAGCCACGACAAGTCACGCTTAATTCTCATGAACAGCACACTCTAATTGAAGAGTCGTGTGTCAACCGACTTGACATATACAGTCAATTTGTTACCTAGTAATGTATGTTCACCCTCAAGAAAATTGAATGCCGAATAATGTTTGACAAATTACTTAAACACTTGTATTCATATACGATTTGTCATTGTGATGAAAATGTACCTAATGATTCTTAAGACGTATGACGAAGAGAAAAAGATTCAAGAACTATCAAAGATGATTAGGACAAATTGAACGTATTGAATAGAATACCGAGCATTTTGACATACGAACGCATTTGAATTGATAAAATGCACCACTACGATAATTCTCTGTTGAACTCTGATTTAGTTTCAATTCAAAATCAACAGAAATATCCGAAAATGAACTTTTTACTCTCAACCGACAAATACAATTCAATTAGTTCTGATAATAATATTTAGTTATAGAAGATTATCATTTGAATAATACAAATCTGATCAGATGAACATTTCATCTTCTCTGTAACTAAATCAGCGAGTACCATGAGAAAAATGAAAATTTAAACTGACAGAATACGTTTGCACTTTCACCAAATGATTTTACTCGAATAAAATATGTATTCATTTTTGAAAACCACCGTCAGATTTCGAACATTGCTGAACTGACTACAATTCGGGAACATGCAGAATGCATTTTCCTTTGTTCGTATATCAGATAATAAAATCATAACAAGTTCTGTTGTGTAAATTTCCTTCAAATATGAAACCAGTTTGTATTGATTACATGTAAAGACTAGCGATCTGTTTATGAAAAGTACCGATAGATGTCCTAAGTTGTATTTGAAATCCTTATTTTTAATTTTGGATAGCACATATGGGCTTAATTTAACATTTGATTGACATTCGTGAACACGTGTTATCACTGGTCAAGCATATTTGCTTTGTGACGATGTTACCAACTATAAAATCAACTTCCATTGCCGTTTTTTAAGACAATCTATGTTGATCGTATGAATCTGCATGTCACACTCTCAGGCAAGAACAATGATACCAGAGAAACTTCTAATTGATGATATCATTCTCATCAAAAGCAGTTGACTATGTTCTCACACATTCAATCTATCTATAAGATAGGAACGATTTTATTTCGTTAAAGATAAAGCAAAAATAAACAAGCACAGAGATCTATGTATATGTGTTTTAGAATAGCAACAGAAAAAACGCATGCACAATTAACCTTTTTTTTTATACAAATACAATGCAAGAAAACAAAAAAGGAAGAAATGACGCATACACGACGACAATAATACTACACAATGGATATATCTAAATGAATAAATGAATGAACATTCTCGAAGATGTCTAGAGGAGAGTTTTTAGGCTCGGCCTTTTCATTGAGCGTATATTCAACTACAAAAAACAAATTGACAGATAGTTTCGAGATGAATGTCAATGAAATATTGTATGTGCAGATGTCTTTAGTGTGTTTTTTTATATGCTTGCAATTCGATTTCGTAGCGTTCTTTGGCTTCTTTGGCTGCCTTTTCGTATTTACGTTTTAAATCGTCAGGTGCAGCACGCCATTTCTCGCCGATGACTTTGGCAACATCGGCAACGGATAAACTTGCATTTTGAGATTTGATTTTTGGCCGTTCATCTTGTGAAAAAATGAAGAATGCTGACAATGGTCGTTTTGGAGCGTTGGGATCTTTTTGTTTCGAAGCACGTGGCATGTTGAATAGATCTGGAAATGCAGGTAAGATGAAGAGATGCTTGTAGAGACAAATTTCTGCTTACTTGACTTTGGCGGGCGAAAAAAGAGGGCGATAGAAGTCGAGTAAAAATGTTAGAATGAAGCGCTAGTCTCGATGTAAAATCGACGATGTGTCTGTGCGTGTGTGCTGTACAGCGAGTGAGCAAGCGCTTTTACGTTACTTGCTCTTTCCCTCTCTTATTCTCTCTCTCTCTCTCGCTCGCTCGCTCGCTTCCTTTTTCTCTACATAGACAAAGCATAGGGCAGCCGTTGTAAGGCGACGTCTTCCTTTCTTCGCTTGCTTATTCCTGTCGACGGCCGAATGCCTGTCTACATCGTTGTTTCAAGTAGTGCGTATGTGCACAAGCGATTCGCTTTCTCCTTCTCTCCTTCGACGTACATACTATGCGCACAGGCCGATCGATAGATTAGATGCTATGCATTGGATGGCTGTGTGTGTGTGTGTACGCAAACGGATGCATACCCTCTTCTATGTCTATTGATTCTACCATTGCCTTCATAGCAAATTGCTTCTCGGGCAAGCGGCGAAGTCGTAAAGTAGACGAAGAATAGAGAATAAAAACGAGTAGAAACAAATGTGCTTGTGCTGTGATATAGATGATGGAAGTGATGGATCTCTCCTGGCGATGACGTATACTACATGATGCTATCAAGAGAGATGCAAACTGTGTCTTATCTCATTTAAGGAAATCTGCTATTTTACATGCGACATATACATGTGATGGATTAACCATGAAAAAAACTTTGAAAACGTTTCAAATTTTTACATTGAGTAGTAGTGACAATAGTAGAAAGCAAATCTGTCTTGAGTGTTACATACCACAATCAACTCCATTACATTTTCCCTGATGCGGTCGTAGTAAATTATGAATATTGAAATTATACTCTATTCATATAACATTTAATGAATGTCGAAGAAATCTTGTGATTTTCAAAAAACACTCATGTCTATATGGGTTCGGTCAATATGCAATTGTTAAAAGAGTTTCACTTCTTGAAATCGAATAATTACGTTTGCACACTCAGTATTACACACAAAAAACGATAAGAATAAAGATGTTCTTCATTCTAATGCTAGAGTCAATTGAGTGTAGCAATGGATATCTGTCAAATTCACTTGTGGATCTATAGTGAAATCTTCCATCGAACACTAGCGCCCTCCACGCACATGTTGGATGTATCCGTATTGCTTTACAACTAGCCCAATCATCGAGAATTATTAGCACTTCGTTTCTTTGAGCTAGATAGGATTCAAATGCTTAGGAATAAGACAAGATCTCTCATTTTATTTTAGAGATATGCCACCACATATTCTAAGATGTGTTCATTCGAAAAATCGAAACTGTTTTCTCGGTGTTAATCCGTCAACATTCAATAATAATATTCGCAATGCCATGGATTTCAAAGTAAACGAGTGAATAGTCCGATCATCAAAGAAATCTCTCTGCATAGGTGTCCATAGTGAAAGTAAATTTGGGAAATGATCAAAATTTATATTTTTCAACGATTGCGGATTATACTTTGAAAGAAGGACAATTTTCTATCAACGGATTTTTTGCATTGAAAGTTAACATTCAACAAGATCGATTTGTGAGTGGAAAGAAAACAACGATCTGATGTTGATGATCATATTTTTTCGTAGTATGAAATCGAGGAACAGATTGACTCAGTAGAATGTCGAAGTGTTATATTCGTACCTGTATCAGTGGACGATTGGGAACTTTTGGTAAGTAAAATTCGAATGCAATGATGTTGAACTATATGTTTCATCTAGCAAAACAATACCGAAATGACGGAAGAAGTCTTTCTTAATCAAATCCGCATACTTTCTTTGAACATGATATTTCCAATTTGGATTTCGGGTTTATGTATTCTTTTCCGAGTTGGTACGTTCTTGCATAGTGACTTTCCCTACCGTTAATCATCCGTTGTTATAGTACAAATCGAGCCAAATGATAATGTTGAGTTTTCTGTGATCAGTTCTTCAACACGAGTTACTGTGATGCCTGAATTTCACGAGGAGAAAAAGCAACAGGTGCAGTCTTTTATCCAACCTGAACAAATATCATCTCTTCCAATCGATACACATGATCAATCGTCAATGTCACTCAAAACTCTAATACGATCACTTGGAAAATTTGTTTATACATCTTTACCGAACTCTCCCATGACATTACTCCAAGAATCTGACACTAAATCTAGTAATATGCAATCCAAATCAAAGCTGACCTTAGTACCTGGCCGACATCGACGCATCTACCGAGTAGAAATTGACGAAACAACATCAATGAATCCAACGATCGCGCGGATCAATCGATCAGATTGGTCAGTCAACGACATTGATGATAACACTACATGGCCGGATGTTTTCGTTGCAAAGCTCACTGTCTATCGAACGAGCAAAGAAGTAAAATGCATCCTTTGACATTCTCGTCTCAGCAAATTTCATCTAGATCAAATCGTCAACAACTGATTCCGTACCCGAACACATATCAAAAGTTTACTTTCTTCTTGTGCAATTAACTAATGATACGATTTGTCGCCGAAATCATATCAAATTGAATCAATCGTTCGTCTCGTGGAATTGCATTCGTCCAACGGATAAAATAATCGTTTGTAATACCACGCGACGGCCAAGAAATCGAACAAAGATTGAATTGATTTCCAATCAATGGCACGGACCTGCACTTTTACTTGAACATTACTTTCAGAATTGGATTCGACAAAGAGTCAACAATGATCAGCCGATTTTGATTACGGACGGTTGTTTTGTTCAATTGGATAATAGTTTGTTTCCTTTGCTGTTTCTTTGTTGAAAATAAAAAGCTATTTTTGCGTTTATTTAGCCGTCTTCAACATTAGTTTAAGTTCGGAAGATGAACCGGTAACGAGTGACAGTCCGATATATGTTGAACTCAATGAAGAACTCATGGGACAACATACGATTGCGTTCGAAGAGAAAAAAGAATGGAATTTCAGCGAAATCGAAACATTCCGTTCGATGCCAATCATTGAAAATTTCATCAATCCACAACAGCAACAGTCTATGTAAGATTTTACGAGTGTACCAACTCATTCTCTAGTCTCGTTTATGATATAGAGCTTTACAAAGTCATATTGACCAACTCTTACAAATATTCGAGCTACAACTCCAACTAGAAACGAAAACTTCCACGTGGAATGATTATTTGTTAAAAAACGTGATCATTGCAGGTCGAAGTGGTACTGGAAAAAAGAGTATCGTCGGAGAATGTTGTCAACAACTATGGAGAAGACATTTAGTCTATTATAAACTCGTCGATTGTCTCAGTTTCAAAGGTAAAGACGCGACATTGGACATTATTTTTGTAATCATACTCTCTATCAGGAAGAAAACTCGATAATATCATCACCTCACTGTCTCAAACCGTTGACGAAATGATATTTCGTCAGCCGTCAATACTAATCCTCGATCATTTCGATGATCTTTTCCCGAATGATTCAACGATCACCGATGCGAATATTATCTTGGCCACCCAAAAACTATCGCTTTGTAAGCTTTGAATACTAATTAGATATTTGAGTACATTTGAAATTTAGCCGTTCGAGAGTTATTCGATCGCACTCAACAAAACCATAAACAACTAATCATTATTCCTATTGCGAAACAGATCACCAGCATTCACCGACAGTTTACTGAAGAGGTGCCCCTATTCTCATCACAGATATTGACAATCGGACCACCAGATCTGGTAAAAATTTTCAATAATTCATATTCAAAAATCTTTTCTTCAAAAATCTTAGGCACAACGTACAGTAATTATAAAACAGCTGATCGAAAACAAAAAACAAACGATATCCGACACGCTTTTGCATCACATTGTCAATCGAACAGAATCATTTGTTATCAAAGATTTATACACATTAATTGATAATGCCCTGTTACATTCATGGATGAGTTTTGGTAAGATACATGATTTATTTCTGCATAGCTAGAGAACACCCTAGATGATCCCTTTCGTCGAGAGATTCTACGATCACTCAGTGCGAATGTATTTTAATCAAGATGACAACACGAGCGTGCAGAGCAGAACCTCATCGAAACAGATGTTCTTTTAGAAAATGAGAGAATACATTTGTTCCTAACTTATATGCAAACCAACATACTCATTACAGGATGACAAATATAAAAATAGATGTTCGAATGAGATTATATAACTCAATAATCATATCTTTGAAAGTTTTAATTAGAATAGCTTCGTAGAAAATGCCCTTGTCTGCGAAGAAAATTTAATGATGTTCTAGAGAACCGACAATTAATTAATAGCGACTTTGATTACGCTCTGGACGAATTCAAACCTATAAGTGTCAAATTACTTGATGATACTCGAAAAAAGGCTAGTCAAACCGCGTTACACTGGTCCGATATTGGGGGAATGGACGAATTGAAGCAAGAACTTATCCAGACAGTGCAATGGCGTTTCGAAGTAACAAAGCCATTGAGTTGTCTTTGATGATTCTATTGAATCCATCTGTTTTAGCGTTCTAATTATTTTTCCAAAGCACCTATTCGACTAGTTTCCGGTGTTCTTCTGTATGGACCATCGGGTTGCGGAAAAACACTCGTTGCTCAAACATTGGCCAATGAATGTAAAGTTAATTTTCTGCAAGTGAAAGTAAAGCTCTTCTCGCTATGTAATTACTTGGCAATAGTGTGAATTGGTGTTTTTCAGGGCCCGGAACTCTTGAATAAATATGTTGGATCGAGCGAACAGAATATTCGGGATTTATTCAATCGAGCTCGATCGGTTACACCTTGTATTATCCTCTTCGATGAATTCGAAGCTCTTGTGCCGCGGTAAAAGCACTTATTTATGCAATTGAATCATCTAATCAGTATGTTCTAGTCGTGGTCGAGATTCCGCTGGTGTTACTGATCGAGTTGTCAATCAATTGTTGACAGAATTAGATGGGGTCGAAAGTCTTGGCGGTAGGCATCCTTTTTCCAAAAATTTTTCAGATGAAATTGTCAAAATCTACCTCGTAGATATTGTCGTTATTGCCGCCACATCTCGACCAGATCTCATTGATCCAGCTTTACTACGTCCGGGTCGTTTAGATAAACACATGTACGTTGGTTTTCCGACCAAAACAGATATCATATCGATTCTGAAAATTTGGACAAAGAAAATTCATCTTTCCGACGACGTTCGCTTTGATGATGAGACTTTCTTATCTCACTGCGAAATGTATACTGGTGCTGATATCAAAGCATTGATTTATAATGCTCAATTAGCTGCATTCGATGAATATCAATCAAAACAATCCATAGTCATACATAAACATCATCTGATGACAGCAATTCAACAGACACCTTATTCCATACCCGTTCACATGCGAAATGCCAACGAACATTTGTAAGTGTACGTGTTTCGACTGAATGGAATTCTATGTTGATATTTTAGTTATCAAAATTGGAGAAAACCAATCAGTATTGATCGACAAACGACGTCTCTCGCGTGATTTTCTTTCTTCTTTTGTTTCTATGATGATCAGTTTTTCCTTTGATTCCGAAAATAAATATGCAAAGATTGTTTTTTCAGATAAACTTGTCAGATTCTCTTGATTCATACGCGATGAGGAAATGATTGATCTTTTCCTTCCCAACAAGTAAAAAGCACCCGAATTATATCTGCAGACCTGCAGATAGCGGAGCTATTTATGAATTCAGCCATTGATGACTCGCTGATCATAAAACAACATCCGATGTGTTTAAGAAAGAAAAGAAAAGTTTATTGTGTGTGTATATGGTTTGTTGTGTTTTTTTTTTGTTAAACGTATGCAAGTTTTTTTCCTTCGTTTTCTTCACAAGACATACAATGCCGACGACACATGAATAGACAAAAGAATAAGACGAACAGTTGAAGAAGAAAATGAACAAACAGCTAATGAGAAAGAGAGTGATTACAACCACCACACACAGCGAGAAAGAGAGAAAAAGAAAAGAAAAAGATAAAGAAAAAGAGAGTTGACATCGACGAACGAATAAAAATATAAAGAAGCGCAGTGGATAGAAGTATTAAGAGAGAGAGAGAAAAAAAGAAAGTGTTTTTTTTTTGTATATTGTTTTGTCAATTTGGATGGTGACCGGTTGTATGCGCGCGTGTGTGTGAGTGTATGTGTATGTTGTACACAGACAGAGAAAAAAAAGAAAAGAAAAATGGGAAGTAATATACGAAACAATTATGGATGTTCATCAGTTGGATTTGTTTCATCGGCATCCGGTGCATCACTCGTCCATAACGTGAGATTGTCTCGAAGTAATTGCATGATCAATGTGCTATCCTTGTATGAATCTTCATTAAGTGTATCAAGTTCAGCAATAGCATCATCAAAAGCCTGAAAAATATTAGATACTTGTGGAACGAAAGGAGAAGAACGAGAAAGACTGCTTACTTGTTTAGCCAAATGACAAGCACGATCAGGTGCATTGAGAATTTCATAATAGAAAACGGAAAAGTTCAAAGCAAGACCAAGACGAATTGGATGTGTTGGTTGCATTTGATTTTTGGCAATGTCAAATGCATCATTATAGGCACGTTGCGATTCTTCAATGACTTCTAAAATGAATTCAATCGTAATGATATATTGACATGAAGTTCTTTCCTATTCTATTAGCTCTTACTCTGTCGCTCGTCGCCTGTAGCAACTTCAGCCAAATAGCGATAATAATCGCCTTTCATTTTCAAATAGAAAACTTTGGATTCAGCGGTTGTTGCTTTTGGAACGAGAAATTTATCAAGTAAAGTCTAGGAAAAGTAGAACATAGCGTCGTTATCGAAAATAAACTTTAAGTTCATTTACCAAAACTTCTTGACAAATGTCTTTCAATTCTTTTTCTATTTTTTCACGATATTCTTTGGCCATTTGTTGTTTACGTTCCGAACCTTCAGTTTTTTGTTCAATACTTGAAATTACACGCCATGATGAACGACGTGCACCAACAACATTCTTGTAGGCAACCGAAAGTAAATTACGTTCTTCGTTGGTTAATTCACTATTGGCCTCGGTAACCTTTTTCATAGCATTGGCCATATCATCGTATCTACATACGATGACAAAACTCACGGTTTTTCGACACACAAACACTTTCGTCTTCTTACCGTTCGGCTTGTTCGGCCAATTTAGCGCGTTGTACTTCTTCTTCTTTGTTTGACATGATTAGTGATTAGATTTGGCTTGACGTAAAGATAGCTTGTGAAATAAAAACTTCGATCTACAATCACATACATACAATAACACAATGAACAAGTGATACAATTGAGCAAAAGATCGCCCTATGTTTGCCCCATTCTCAGACTATGTCAGACTTAGAATAAGGATGCGCGTATGTGAGCATAAAAATAGACTAAAACTATTTATTTGCTTCTCTTTCTCTCGCTCTCTCTCTCTCGTCTCTCGGACGCGCTTACATCGGCAGTAGCAGCGAGTAAAGAGTGCTAGACATACACAAGACAGGACGAACGCTACGATTAGTCATTCGGATGAGAAGAACGAACATCGGACGGAGAACACGATGTGTTGTATGAGGCAGCGTCATTGCCTAGCAACTAAATAAGACAGACACGAACGAGATTAAAGAGATGTATCCATAGATGGCGCAAGCGAGGAAAGTTCATATCATGACTCATGAAACGCCTGCATATACTCGTTCCACGCATGATCATTTCTAATCAATAGATATGTTTCACTTTGAAGTCGTTCATTCATTGAAATACGTGTGAAATGAACATTCGTTCAACATATCAAACCATAGAAATGAATTTCTATACTTCAAAATGTCTAGTGATAATTATACCGCAATACATATAGAGAGAAAACGAAATATTAGTTCTATGTATTAACGAATGAGCGATAATTTTCTAAGCTTTTTTTCCTAGAAGTTTATTTTTTTTTGACAAACATACCTACAAAAGAAAAACAGTGGAAATCTAGAAAGTTTTTTTCTCAGCAAAAACCGGAAGAAAACAATGAAAGAAGAGCATCTTATATTGACAAAAAAAGCTATGGTATTTTAAGAAAAAAAAACGGACAACAAGAGTTTTGTTCGAACTCAATCAAACGTCACTATCACTCTCATCTTTGGCATCCACATCTTCCTTGATTGTTGTATTACTTGTCGACGGATCGTTTTCACCGAAATCAATTGATTGTCTGTTACATGCAATAACATCCGTCGTGTCGCCGTATTGATGTGTACTATCAGCTTGAGGTGCACCAATCGGAGATGTCAAATGCTGATCTGTGGAGGTAAGCAATGTTTCGTTTGCTGTTACATCAACATCGGGAGCGATAGCCGAGTCTGATGCATTGGATAGTGCAGCTGTTTTCTTTTCAGTATCCGCTTGTTGCTAAATGAAAACATCGACATTCCGATCCAGGTAGGTCACGTTATTTTCTTTTCTTTTTGAAGAAAAGCGTTTACATGGAAATGATATATTAGTTTTAGAAATTGTCTTTTGCGCCCATGGTTAGAAAACAAAACTGACCTTTTCATCAACTTAACTAGAACAGATACTATTTCATTCGAACGATCAAATCACTAGTTCTATAAACACTGCATTGTTTATAGTAGAATTGAATATGTCTGTATGATGATGAGAAGATCATTTACCTGATCGTTGCTGTTTGACTGGTAGCGATCATTAACGATTTCGTCATCTCCTCGAATCAGCATTACGTACATACATTGATCATTGCAATCATTGTTTGTTGTTATTGTAACACGTTCTGTTGGATTGATGTGTTTAATAACTTCATCGAGTGCTTTCATTTGATTATCATCATTAACACCGAATAAACGGCATCGATGTGCTAATGGTGCTTGTTGGAAGAATTCTTCGTCACTTAACGTATATAAATTATCTTCTGAACAGTTCAAGAGCACATTTCCATGATCGATACATTGCACGTCGTACTTGTCGTTTTGAATAGCACGAATTTCTCCACGAAAGTGTTGTTGATTGTTATCATTTAGTACAATACATCGATCATTGACTTGCCAGGACCGATCGGTTCGATGTTCTTTTTGAGCATTGTGCAATTCTTCATCCATTTGACAGATCGATGCTTCCACATCGGGAAGAATGTGAATATAGAAGCAATCTTTATTCACTGCTGAGATGTTTGCTGTGAGTGTTTTTGGTTGAACGTACATTTGGTTTTCATTCTCATCGAATTTGATATGAATCGTGGTTTTGTTGGAATCGGTATAGTAGAAGTTGAACTCGTCATTGAGTTTTAGTTCAAGTAATGGACGAACAATATTCGTCCACGAATCAGTTGTTTGATGTTCTAATGTGTATTTTTGAGCTAGGTGCTCGATTTGTTTCAAGTCATTGGAATATGGAAAGAGACGATCTAATGGAACATTTTTGTCAAGATTTCCATAATCAAGAAAGTAAACTGTGTAAGTTTGGTTATCGGATGAGCATGAATCAATTCGAGCACGATAATATGCATCATCGATAGAAAATTGAGCGACGCAATAATCTCCGATTTCATATGTAGCTTCATGGTTAGCATCTTTAGCAATAACATCAATTACTTCGTTAATTTGACCGAGAATAGAATATGCTTCGGGTAATAATTGCATGTAAACAATCGGCTGATCTTGATCGATATGCACGAGAACTCCTGTATGAAATTTCTTTGCGTTCGCTAAAACGAAACATACGAATGAAAACGTTCGGTAACGTGATCTTGACTTACCTTCACTTTCCGATTCGCTCTTTTGTCGTTTGTGAGCCATTGATGTGTTGGCTGAGTTCGTACCTGGTGACAAAATCTCTTCATTCGTTCTTTTGCACGTTGCATTCGTCGGTCTTTCTTGTTCCTGAACTGTTGTAGTAGTTGTCGTACTCGATTCATCGTTCATGTCGAAACTTGAATCATTTTTCTCGACAGGAACTAATTCAGTAGGAAACCGTTCATTGAAACATCTACCATTGATATAAATTCGTACACGCCATAGATCGTCGGTTTTCTCAACAATAAGTACTTCGGTTTTATCTGACTCTTCTAAAGTATCGAGCTGCTTGATCGCTTCCCTTAGTTCATCTTTGGCGACATCAGCAAGTTCACAGCGTTGTGCTTGAGGCGGATAACGCTTCAAGTTTTCATCACATTTCTTCAATGAACTTTTCGGACAAGTATTCGTGTTGCCAAAGTCGATATAGAAGACTTTGACATCATTGCCAAGATCTTCTTGAATAATAGCACGATAAAGGTCGTCTTCATATGTTGAAATAATCATTGAGCCAACTTGAATATCATCTGTGGCAGTTTCACTCGCGTTCTTCACCTGATCAGCAATCTCTTCTGCAACTTCTTCGTTCGTTTGTATAAAAAATTGCTGATTATCATGGTCAATGTAAACAATCAAACTTGCTATTCGCTTCTCTGTTGTAGATTTTGTCACAGTATCACCAAGAACAGCCTTTTCAAAGTCGTCCGATACAAGAAGATACTTTTCATTCGGAAGTTGTTTTTCGAACTTGCCCTGATACTGTTTCCCAGCACATTTGGCGATAATAGCACTTTTATCGAAATTGTCTATGTCTAAATAATACTCGAAGGTGAATAAGAACGACAAGTGAAAATATTTACCTTCAGCATTTTGTAATGTACAATTATAGGCATATGGAGGCTGGAGACAAAATTTGCTGGCTAATAGTCGGATACTTTGTGAATCGACTTCCATGGTATCTCCAAAATCAACAAATTGAACTTGAATCTTGTTCAAATTGACCGATAGGACAGTGGCACGATACCAACATGAATCTGAACTTTTTGCTAAACAGACTTGATTGGGTTTGATTGAAGTCAATGGTAATAAAGGTGCATCGTTTGATTCCGCTTGCAATTGATTGGTTAGTTGTGATACATCGTCCGTTTTTGATAATAACTGAATGAAGAATTCACTAGGTGTTGTGATATCACTGAGAACGAATTGAAAGATATCTTTTGGAACTTCTTTTTTAGTAAAATGATCACCAGCTTCGAATGCTTTCAGAGCAGATCGCATACTTGACCAACCACTGAATGACTTAGTCGGTTCGCTGTTTTCGTTATTTACTCGGAAATCATCGTCATTACGGTCGGAAAAACCGTTAGTGAAACGGCCACCGCCGCCGCGACCACCTGTACCTCGGCCACCACGCCCTAGAGGAAGTCAACCGTTGAATTTATGTGACAATTTACAAAGTCGAATCAATACCTCCTCGTGAGTTACCACGATCGCCAAATCCACCTCGACCACCGTTCTCCCGATCATCTCTTCTATCGCGAGAATTTGCAAACCCGCCTGTTCGAAATCCTCGTTCGCCATTCGACCCACCACGGCCTAAAAAACATTTATTTTATTCCTGGTACAAATGCTCAACAACAAGCTACTCACCACTAAATCCATGTGGTCGTTGATTCGCATTGTTGTCATTTCCGTTGTCATTATAATTATTTCGGTTATCACTACTGCGATCTTGATAACCTCCACCACGAGCTATCGAAATAAACAATATCTATCGAGTGATTATGATGGCATCCGAGGACACTTACCTCCTCGTTCAGCGAAACCACTACCACGATCTATTGAAAGCATGCAGATTATAGTCAAAGGCTGTCCGAAGAAACTTTTCTCTCACTATTAAAACCGCCAAATCGCTGCTCATTGTTTTCAGTATTATTTCGATCGTTATAACCAGTACGATCTTTATAAAAAAAAAAAAAAGAACAGGTAAATAAATCATTTCTGGAAGTGCAAAAATTTTGACACGTACTTCCTCGATCAGTAAATCCGACGTTATGACCACCACGGTCTTTAGTTGAAAAAAGAAAAATCAGATTTTTCTTACAACTTATCCATTGTTAACTCTTACTAGCGAAGCCACCAATTCGATGTCCACCACTTGCGTTGTCTTGTTCATCATTGTTACGATTGTAAGTACGACCTGCTATTGAAATCTTTTAATTTGTTTACAATGGCTATTCACACAATATTTACCTCCACGATTATTGCTTCCATTTCTTTGTTCGTCATTATCAAATCCCCGATCTGAATGAAAAAAAAATCAATGGACAATGTCGATCGTCTGACTGTTTTCATCTTCATACTAAACGGACGATTTTGCTCCATTGTTGTTTGCTGACTTCCATTGAACGGTCTCGGCAGTTGTTCATCTTGATTTTGTGGTCGCGTAAAACGATCATTCGCTGCAGGTTGATTCGATGGAAATCGACCGGGTTGAGAGCGACCAGTTAATAGCTTTTGGGGTGCTGGTGAATCATCATTGGTTCGTGCTAGAGTTACTTCTGGTTGAACTTTCTCCACAGATGGATTTGGAGCTGGAACCTAAACGAAATGAAAACATTAGATAAGGAAAAGAACAGAAACTGATTCGACAACCGAAATATTATGGCTGGATAGAAGACTTTCATTGACTAGTGTACCATCGGATAGTCGTATTTCAACTGGGTAAAATCCGTTGATTGCTGGTAGACGTTGAGTAAGTTTAACACGCTGATTCAAAATCAATCGTTTTAAATTACGCGTTGTCTGAGCAGTACTTTGCTAGAACAGATGTGTATTCGTAATTCTTTTTCCTTCATCGATTGAGTCTCTCTTACAGTTTCATCATAGTTGTACAAACGAAATGGTTGAACAAAGGCTGGAATGGTCGAACACTTCTTTTCCAATTGTAACAGTTCTGAAGTATCAACAAGAATTTCTTCGCCATGATCAACAAGTTTCACTCGAACGCGTGTTTCACTTTCACGATGTCTAAAAGAAATCAAACGTATTCGTGACTTATTTCTTGTCATGCTCAAATGTACTTGATTGCTACACGATGATATTTATCGCCTCGCTGGATGACACACAACGTGCCTTCCATTAGTAAATGCACACTAAACGATTGATCATTATCATTAGCATCATTATACAAATCTCGCAAGTGATTATGTAGTGCGTTCAATTCTTTTTCACGAATATGAGAACACCCATAGAATTCCACAGCACTATAAACTTGAGTTATTGTATAATACCCATCTTCTAAAAACATCCGAACAATTAACTTGAGAAGACCGAAATCAATGATTTTAAATACAACATACGTAATGGTAAACGGCGAACATCGGATGAAAAATCGTTCGATGTTCTAGAGAAACAGACAACAGGTCATAACGAAAGGAAGCGTCAAACTTTCGATCGACTTACGACATGGTCGGAGATTGTTGAACAACTGGTTTTTGTATCGATCGCGTTTGCGATTGTTGCACTGGATTGCTCGAACTATTGTAATAATCATTTTGCGGTGTTACTTGTTGCGGTTGCTGTATCGAGGATGGTAAACCTGAAAACCCTGGCGGTATTCGGCCAAACGATTGCTGTTGTTGCGAAGAATTTGTATTATACATAGTTGATTGAGATGTTTGCATTTTAATATGCGAGAGAAGTTTTTTTCTCCACAGAAATATTCCCAAATCTCCCACGTCTGAAATAGAAAATATTCATACATGTGCATAACAATGGATTTATCTCTCTCGAGGTGGCACATGGTGAAACGAAAGATATGTTTTTTCTCGGAGGTTGAATTGAAGCGAAAAGAAAGAGAAGAAATTGTTCGCATAACGAACGACGTTTTTACCCAGAATTTTGTGTAAACAAATCAAAGAGATAACTGCAGATTATACAAATAGATGACGCTGACGATCGAATTTTTCTCACACCTTCACCCTCTGTACTTACTCGGTACTTCGATTTGTACATCATAACAAATATGATCATTGATTTCACAAACTTTACAATCTACTATGTTATTTGTTTGATTATTGAACTCTTTATGCACGGGATCATCTATATCCCAACCGGATTGTTCATCTCCATACAATGGATATACTCCATATAGACGACATGGAATGGCAAAAGCTGGTTGTCGGACGAATTCTTGTGGCAGTGGACGAATATTTGTGATAGATATATTTTCCTCTTGTCCAACATCCACGAAATAGAGGCGAACTTCCCTTAAATTCGGATGAACACCTAAGCAAAACGACGAACTGCATAGAGGAGCAAATTGACATAAAAATAGTTACTTAGTATCGTCGCTCGATGCCATACAGCAAGATTATCCTGTGCTGCAATGGCTTGGTGTTTTTGATAATCCGTGCTTGGCGGTGAAACTGCTTGATAGTTTTGCATAGCTCGTTGCAAATCGATTTGAAACTAAAAATTCCCACTGAAATACTGTACTTCATTTCGAACGAATAATTACCGAGGCATGTGAATCGATCTTTTGCCTGAGATATACATAGAATCGACGTGGATTGCAATAGTAGAGAAGTTTTACTTGATTTGGTTCAATGAAATCCAATCTCTCCATTGGAATCGCTACAAAATTCAATGAAATATGGCATGCTGCAAGTCATTCTAGCTTTACTCATACACTTATGAACTGGCATATCATCGTTTTGCAATGATAAATGCTGCGTTCCATATCGTTCCACCATGTTGTGGTCGAAGGTATATCAATCTAAAAGGAAATTTTTGAATATTTTACGAAATGACTTGATTCAAATGAATCATAGTCTGATCTATGCATAATAAGAAATAACATAACACGTGTGTATATAACCAACAGAAAAAACAGCACGATTGGGAGAGAATAAGGAGAATAAAGACATGTCGACAGCCAGCCAGGTTTTTTTTTCATATAGAATGCGTTACGAGCGCCACAATCAGTAGAATTGATATAAAAGCTTGTTAATGAGTGAGATTATATTTTTGAATTCATGATCTTTTCTTTAAAATCGACACGAAGTGAGTGATCGTCATATTCCAAACTTCACTCAATCTCTAAAATATATGCAAAGTATTGCAATACTTTAGATTTCTCGTCTGTCTTTATATATATGCATTTGATGTCACCATTCAGCTTCGTTAGTTCATAGTCAATTGATATTATCATCCACTCTTAGAGAGGTTTTACTCATCTCATTATACGCCTCATCAAGGATGCCTCGAAATATCTTTTCAATTGAGAGTATATTAGCTCGATATGCTCGCCTTGAGTGAGAAATATTCAATGATTTTTAAAACATTCACATGCTTTTGTATATACTCATTCGTGTCTTCACATATCGAACGAAATATTTTATATGAGAATGCTAAATGAACAGGAATGAATGTCATTATTCTTCAATCTGCTGAATGTCCACAATACGAACTTCTTCTCTAATTATATCACCACTCATATGATGAATATTAATAAATGATGCAGATAGAATGGATACGTTGATTGTGAGTTCAAAGAAACAACCTACTAATTCGAGATCTTACTCAGCACTGCCGACAAATGCGAAAAATAGAATACGCGTAGATCAGAACCCGTCGATAAGAAAAAGCATCCAATGATATCAATTCTTGATTGAGATCGAAAGATGATAAATCTTGATCCGGGGGGACTTATAGCAAAGCTAAAAGTTTTTTTTCAATGAATTATTGCTAATCAAGTTCGACGAAATATTTGTGAGAATCCCATTCGAGCTGTAACATCTGTATCGAAAACACGCAAGTCGTTATTATGCATTGAATACATAGAAGAGATGAACACGTACACCATCATACTGAATTATGACTTTGGTGTTCTGTTTGAAATGTTTCACGATTTCATAATTCGATTGTATCGGTAATAACTTTCCTGAAACAAAACGCAATACAGTGATCTATGTGTACATTTTGTGTGAACAGAGAAGACACGTCGAGATTGATTTCTAGTTTATTCATGTCAATCATCGGGAGAAAACTCATCGAAATTCTATTCTTTTCATATCTTCAAGCGATTTATTTTAATGTATCGTGAGATCAAACCCAATCTCATCATCCGTTAGGCTGTATATCGACTTTATTTGAGGCATATCATGAATAATCGACATTGTAATCTTATCAACGAAACTGCATGAGATTGAAGCAACTCTTTCATTTTGAATATGGGTCATCCGATGAGTACAATCATCGCAAACGCAAATTGTGTGATTGACCTACCGTCGATGAGTTTTGGCATTCAATTGAATGAAATTAACTTCTTGCATACGATGATGATGGATTAAACATGGCGGTATGATTCACAATATTTTACGATCAAGTATAGTAAGGTGCACGCAATGCAAAAATCACGTGAAATTTATTTTTCTTTTTTTCGCACATCGTTTGATAGAGCGTGAGCTGCTGATCACGATGACCTACTTTTTATCCTACTTTACAACTTTTTTGTAGTCAAAAATCGCAAAATCCTTGAAAAACGCGACTTTTCCCTAAAATCAGGTTTTTCGACAAAATCTTCAAAAACCACTATTTTTCAGTTCTTCAAAACACTTTTTTTAGATTCAGCAGCAAAAAGTGAATCTAGTGAACACTATGGAATCATTATTATCTAAAAAATTTTTCAAATGGTAGTATTTCTCATATGTCCAACTACGCTACTAGTAGGTGGATCTTTTAAACCTATCTAGTTTTCGTGCGGAGGTGCGAAAGCCAATTTTTTTTTAAAATTTCAATCATCATACTAGCCTCTATAAAAGTACGCATCGCTTTTGTTTTCATCTATTTTCTTGGTGGAGAAAAGTTCACTTTACTGATAGTATAGGCAATCGGGGCGATCATTCGAATATAACACATCCATTTTTCAGTTAAATCGAATGAAAATTTTTCTCCAATGATAAAACTCGATGACAAATAGAATGAGCACCTTCCGGAGGTGGATCCTCAATAAAGGTTTTCCAAGAGGTTTTTGGAAAACCCTTTTTCATATTGAGCACATAAGCATATATAATAACTTTTTAAATATTTTTTCAACCGAATCGCACTGATGGTTTTCACGTTTCATCAAGAAACGAGAAGACTGAATTTATTGTGTAATCCTAGACCGTTTCTATGCACTTTATGTAATCTTCATCTCTGTCCTCGTAATATTTCGCCCATGTCATATAATCACTCGGTTTATACCGGTACTCGATGTGAAGTCCGTCAAACAATCTAGTTTTGTGCATAAAATATCCTCGAATGCAGTATAAAATATAACGAGCATATTTGAAAAATTTTTGAGATAATAATGATTCCATAGTGTTCACTAGATTCACTTTTTGCTGCTGAATCTAAAAAAAGTGCTTTGAAGAACTGAAAAATAGTGGTTTTTGAAGATTTCGTCGAAAAACTTGATTTTAGGGAAAAGTCGGGTTTTTCAAGGATTTTGCGATTTTTGACTACAAAAAAGTTGTAAAGTAGGATAAAAAGTAGGTCATCGTGATCAACAGCTCACGCTCTATCAAATCGCGTGCGAAAAAAAGAAAAATACATTTCACTTGATTTTTGCATTGCGTGCACCTTATGTAACATTTTTTTTTATATACGAAGCGAAGTCAGCTAGATTAACTGATGAGAAAATGAGCAGATAACTAACAGCCATGTTCTCCTTGCAAATGAAGCGTAATACTGCAAGTCTGCTCTGCTACGCATCATTTTTCGAATGCTACATTTATCACATACTTTGTCACCAATCATCGTCAGTCAGCTTCACCTTCGAGTGTGTGTATATTCGTTTTTCCCATAATTCAATGCATGAGTGAATAGCTCGCCAACGAAAGCGTTTCGAAATACACGATTGCATCTTTCATTTGGCAGCTGACATGAAAGAAAAAACGCCATAGATTGGTCTATTACTTTTCAAATACCGAAACATGCGTTTATCAGTCACTTTTATTTTCTCACTATTTTTATCATATTCTCAAAAGCGCGATAGTCGACATTCTTCTACATTTGCGCAAGTTTAATTCTATTCCACGGAGATTTCCTAAGAATATCATTCGTCCTTGGATAGTTCGATTTCGATAGGACTAAAATCTTCCTGTCAGGTTGAAGCATCCTCAAGGCGACAGATCGATAAATTTATGTACCGGTGACTGAAGTATCGACTCTCTTTTTATACAAATTGTGCATAGATAGCGAAGAATACTATGCAAAAATAATGTTCTCAATCAAAACATTCTCCTTTCTCGATGAGCACTGATTTCAGTCATATAAATAGGTAAAACAAGTTCATCTTTTTTTTTGCATAGTTCTCTTCGCTTCACCCGAAGAGCATACAGCGAACATCTAGTGTTTTACTTGATAAACTCGCCATTTTTTACGAATCGCTACTACAATAACATCGATATTAGGTGTCCGTACATTCCAGATCTCTGTTTGTTCTACATCCTGAAACATGAAGCGTTATCGGTAACTGTATTTTTTATTTTGTATCATTTATAGGTCTAAATATGGAAACTTGCTTATGTGAAGAAGTGCCCAAATGTACAAACTTTCAATCGGCCATTTGCCTGCATTGCAATCGACGACTATGTCTTTTGCATATAACCGAACATAACCAGTTTGTTTTCAGTCAGTATCAACAATTAACGAACGAGATCGAAAAAATGTCTCAATACATAAACAATGAATACGAAAAAACACGCGATGTTTACCAAACCATTCTTACTGATGTTAATAATTGGCGTGCTAGACAATTAGAAAAAATCGGTGAAATCTATGAGAGTCATTTGCAGTATGTCGAATCTCGACAAGAGACTTTAAGTAATACTCATCAGCAGTTATCGGAACTACTCGATCGCGAAGCTCGACAACCATTAAAAGTTACAACTGATCAGAATATGATTACGTCAAGATTATGGAATCATGTTCAAGAAATAATCAAACGTGTACAACATGACAGTGCACAGTTGAAATGGAACTCATTAATGTCGATGGCATTAAATAGGGAGTGTCTATCAATCAATTCTTCACCCAAACAAGTATCTTCATCAAGTATGTATATTGTGAATATTGAAATATTATGTTGTTTTTTAAAAATCAAGGTGATATTAAAGTACGTCGGCAGAAAACGTCATCGTACACATTAGCATCCCTTCGGCAGGTGAACCTTCGAAAATTTCGGCCATTTAAACGTCTTGTTAGCATGTTCGGGAATGTCAAGAATGTAGAACACAGTAAATCAGAAATCGTCAGTTACATCGGAGTAAATCTACAAATGAGTTCGAATTTGAAAATTATTCGATTATTTTTAGAGACAAAATCCAGAGATGCCGATTCCAAATATCATTTCATCGTTCCTAGCAGCTTGGAATCGAACTACTGATGTTAATGAAAAGAACGTTATTTTGAAAGAATATACCTCATTGATTCGAAACTATATCTCATTTAGTCCCAATGATTTTAGTGTTTTAGTGGGCATACATGCATTCTTTTTCAATAAACGAATAGAAGAATGTAAAAGTAAACTACTAGACATTGATTGATACCGATGATTTGTTTCTTTTCTATATAGGAGAACTCATGACAACGATCTTACATTTTTTTGTTGATAATAATTGTTTAAATGTGAATCAAGTTATTTACTGGTTTAAAAATAAAGATGAAAATGTATACAAGGGCTTCGATGGCGCGAAACAAATGACAGCACCGTTCATAAAATCCTTATGGATGAATAGAATAGGTAATAACGAGAAAAACTCGCCTTGATATTGACAAATCAGTTTGACATTTTTTTGTTACTTTAGATAACAATCAACAAGCCGCTGTAATGCAAACGGATGTTGAAGAAAGGGAAAAGAAACCATTTGAGTCCTTATAGTGGTATGAAAAGACTATAACACATCAAGTTATGTATCTTTCTAATGTTTTTCATTCTTTATATAAACTAAAACACGAAATAAAGCTGTATTAGTGCGCGATATTGATCGAACGAAAGGAAAAGTCATGTCGAGGAGGTAGTGCGCAATCCATTCTTCTCTCATTTTCTGATTCGTCCATCGAAATACTGATGATGTTAAAATAGAATCTTTCATTTATTCGTCCTCAAATTTGTTTTTTCAATGGCAAACTATCTCTGCGAAGAGAAATCTTCATGTGCAAACTTTCAATCAGCTATTTGTCTTCATTGTAATCTTCGGTTATGTCTTTCGCATATAGCCGAACATAATAAGCTCATTTACAGTAATGTAGAAGATCTTTCTGAGGAATTGAATGCGACATCTCAACAATTGAAGGAGACAAGTGAAAAAAGTAGAATAATTTTCAATGATGCTCTGTCAGCATTGGAAGACTGGCGACGAAAACAACTCGAACGAGCCGAAGATATTTACAAACAACAGCTGGAGACTATTAACGTTCAACGTCAGTTTGCAGAACAATTCTGTCAGCAATTAACTCAACGGTTGGATCAAGATGTTCAGCAACAGTTGAATCAAATCAAAATCCAGCAAAATGTGAGTGTAGGTGTACTTAATTTCATCCGACAAACGATTCAAAATGTTCACAATGAAAGTACAAAACTGACGGATGTTTTTGCGGCGCTACCGAAGATCGGCTGGGAACGATCTCCTTCCAGTTCGATAGCGACGGATATCAGAAAGATAAGTTCAACGACAACGACGCATTCGTCGAGCGAGACGGCTACAAAACAATGTCTTCCCTTTCGTCGACTTGTTCAAATGTTTTCAAATCTATCGTCAATCGAACAAAGTCGAAAAGACATTGATCAACACATTCGAGTAAGTAATTCGATTTCTAAATCTTACTTTTCAACCGTTTGTTTTTGCTAGAGCCAAGGTCCAAACTTTCGCTTGCCTATTCTTGTCTGTTCGTTTCTTGATGCTTGGTACAGAAAAGCGAAATTGAATCAAAAGGTCCTTCTTCTCAACGAATATGTACTGACAATTCGAAAGTACTTGGCGAATCGAACGAATGAATACGACATTTTATATGGTATTCAAGGCTTTTTTTATTATATTAAATCAACGTCAAACAAGAAGAAACGGTTGAATGCGTCTATATTTGATAAAAATCAGCAAGGTGATGTACCGGCCCAATGTATGATGACCTTTTTATTACAATTTTTTATCAATCATCACTGTATCACTGGTAAATTTATTCGTGATTGGTATCATAATAAACACAAGAATCCATATCGAGGATTTACAACAGCCAAACAATTGGCAAGGTCATTTATGCAATCAATCACATCCGAACTAATAGGTAAAGCGAATTGAAGACGAAACAAACTAACCATATATTTGTAGGTCAGGATGTTCGAACAGTATCGATCAGCACAATGGATGCTGAACGAATGGAAATTAAAGTTGAACCATCAAATGAGTATGTCGAAGAGACATAAACGTTTGTTTTTTTAGTATTATCACTCGATCGTTCTTTTTTGTTTATTGTATCAAAAAGAAAAAAATCTTGTATAAAAACAAACCAAAGAAAACTTCAGAACCTCTCGAAATTCTTTCCCAGTATGCCGAATGCAAGCAATGGGAAGGATGTTTTCGAAGAGTACGAGAGAAATTTTGTGTAAAGAAAGGAACCAAAATATGTTTCGGTATAAAACACAACGAAAAAGAACCACCGGATGAATTTAATATTCATTTGAAAAAGAAACAAACTCGACGTAGATTAGCTAGAATATTTCTACATCAAACCAAACAAAGACGATTGATTTGCGTACATCATTGGCCGAACTGCTGGATGGGGAACAGCGGTATACGATGTAAATTTCGGTGTGACATCATCACCAGTGATCGTGATAAATGCGCCCTTATTTCCCATAGTATCACAGTAATTTGGTGCAGAAAAGATCGTTATACATTTACCTAAAATCGAACGTCTAAACATCATCATGAATCAGATTGTGCTCCTACCATTATGAGCTAATTCATAGCCTTCTTGTTTAACTTCGTGACTACGAACAATATATTCTAGATTGTTTAGTTTGAGAAAATGTTCGGTAACGTCAGGACCAAATTGAAGTCCTAGGAGAAAGGTAGGCTTTTCCAATGAGTATTCCGGTCTTTCTATGATACTTACCCACGCCACGTTTGCTTTCCGATCGACCATACTGCGGCTGAGGATCACTCCATAACAATTCTGACATGATACCATCTTCAGGTGGCTGTCGAACTCGATCAACAGTACGAATGTCTTTCAGTGTGACATCATCTTTACTAAACAATCCGCCGTGCATAATCTAAACGATCGAAAATGCAGTTTTCAATATCTGTTAGAACGATCTTACAAGAACTTTGCTGTTGATACAATGACATAGGGGTAGATAATTGAAAACTTCTGTGAACAATTCAAACATTTGAGGCGTATATTTTGCCTTCACTTCACCTTCAAAACCATACATTTGATTCATTGTTATGGATTCATGGTTTCCTATGCAATACAAAGATCGAAGACATCTTTCATAAGTATGGACTTTACCTCGAGCAAGGAAGAAATGATTTGGATAGAGTAATTTAAAGCCAAATAAAGTCAAAATACATTCTACACTAAATGAACCTCGATCAACAAAGTCACCATTGAATAACTAAACAAAAAGACATGCGCTTGAATTTATCCAATGACGTCATCACTTACATATGGATTGTCCTCCGAAGGTAAACCATTTAATTTGAATATATTCAGTAGATCATAGAACTGCCCATGAATATCTCCACAAATGGTAAATTTGCGTTTCTAAATCGGTTGATGGTGAACCTCAAAGCGATCGTGAATGGTTACTTACTGAAGGTACACTAATGTCAATCAAAGTAGGCAAAGACTTGAACAGGGAAAGTATCTGTAGAACGATCTAATGAATAGGAAAAGCTTCACAGAAATTCAAAGATAAAAATCATCGAACACAAACTTGATAGGCACAATTTTTATGAAGTTTCTTTTGTTTTTCGAAATATGGGAGAAGCGCTTCCATGAATGTTTTTGTCACACGAGTGTCGTCCTCTAAACGTGGCCCGTCATAATCCGATTCAATTGCTAAACGAAAAAACATCATAAGCATTGTTTATTACCGATAGAAACATACTCATGGAACTAAAATCAATCTGATTTGCGACGGATTTTGATGAGTCATTCACAGAGATTGCCTTTTCAAATCGTATTCGTGTAACGATTTTCTTACATTCTTCATATTTTATATTTGCATCTTTATCATTCGGACAGACCTTCTTAACCTAAGACAAACACGAGACAGACATTTTCTCGGAAAGCATTCAATATTACTTACATATTCGTAGTCAGATAGAGCGGATGAATATTTTCCTAATGCCAAATACGCAGATGCTCGTCGATAGTATGCCTGAATAGAAAATCAATAAGACATTTGATTCAGCTGTTCAATTGAATACTTTGATGTATTTCGGATCGTATTCCAAGGCTTTTTTCGCATCAATCAATGCATAACCAAACCATTCTCGGCGAAGATAGGCAAAACTTCGATTTGAGTACAAGATCGCATCCGGATGAATTTCGATCGCTTTCGTATAGAGTTCTATCGATTTCTCATAATCACAATCTATTGATGATATCGGCTAAAAGACAAACATGAAGAAGAAAAATTACTTTTAAATGCTTCATTAGCTTGGCTTTTGATCGCATCAGCTGCATTCTTTCCGGACGATGTTGTTTGAATGTTACTTGCTTCTAATTTTTCAGTTATTTCATTTGCGCTTGCAGTTGCCATCTGGAATACTAATGAAATCGATTAACTCTCTGAAAGATTCAGTGTATTTTTAACTTTGAGAGAATTATGTTTTTTTTATCGCAAAACAAGCATTTGTATTTTACAAGCTAAGTTTTTTTTCATCTAAAATATAGCAGAATTGTTAGTACCATCACCGTGTGAGCTATCTAATATATATCTACTAAGAAATCGATCTTATGACAAAAAAAAATGCCGAATGACAACAAAATAGTATTAGAAAAGTCCATAGATTTCTTCGGTGATTGGATCAATATCAATATCATAGAAACATGGACGGGTTGGTAAACCTGGAATAGTTGACATTTCGCCAACTAGTGGATATAGAAATCCAGCACCAATGCTAGCACGAATATCACGAATAGGTAAGATAAAACCTTTTGGACAGCCTTTCAATGATGGATCATGCGATAATGATAGATGTGTTTTAGCCATACATATTGGTAGATCGTTAAAGCCTTGTTTAGTAAAAAGTTGAATACGTTTTTCGGCCATTTCAGATAGTTTGATGTCATCCGCTCCGTAGATTTTACGAGCAATGATACGAATTTTTTCTTCGATGGGTAACTAGAAACAAGATTCGTTGAGATGAGAGAATATCTAGAGAATGATGACTTACTTGTAAGTCATAGAGGAATTTAAAGTCAGGTTTTTGTAAACATGCTTGCTCGACAGCACGAGCTAAATCTGTTGCTCCACTTCCTCCTAAAACAAACGATGAATAGGTTTTTTTTAGAGATAACTTCTTCCTCTTGCTTCATACCTTTTGCCCAATGATCAGCCATGACTGCATCAAAAGCGCCATTTTCAATTGCAATGCGTTTAACCAAGTCAATTTCCGCTTGGGTGTCCGTTCTATTTGACATTCAAGCATGTGCTTAACTATTCAAAAAGAAAATCTTGCAATTTACTTGAAGCGATTGATAGCAATGACAACTGGTACACCGAAGTGACGTGCATTTTCAATTTGTTTAACAAGATTCTGTGTACCATGTTCAAGTAATGGTAAATTTTCTTGAGCATATTCAGGTGGAATCGGCGAACCTGCTTCTACTTTTGGTCCGCCACCATGGAGTTTCAATGCGCGCATAGTTGCAACAATAACGACACAATTGGGTACAAGACCGGAATAACGACATTTGATATCCATGAATTTTTCACAGCCAATGTCAAAACCAAAACCGGCTTCCGTCACTAAAAATCACTATAATTTGATTCTCATGCTTAGTTCATCCAACATACCGACATATCCGTCGGGACCAACGAGTTTCAAGCCAATTTGATCGGCTAAGATCGATGAATTTCCGTGTGCTATGTTTGCAAACGGTCCAGCATGAACAAGAATCGGTGTGCCTTCTAATGTTTGCATTAAAGTCGGTTTAACTAAAAGTAAACAGTACATTTCGATTGTTAACCTTTTCCAAATGGGAATAACATCAACCTACTGGCATCGCGCATCAGTACTGCCAGTGCACCGGCGACACCTAAATCATCTGCAGTAATCGGTACACTATCTCGACTTGCTGCGACAACCATTCGACCTAATCGTTCACGTAAATCACCAAGTGAAGTCGTTAGAGCCAGAACAGCCATGATTTCGCTGGCCACGGTGATATCAAAGTTGGTTTCTCGAGTGAAATTTTTCTCCGTTGGTGATTGTCCAATAGTTATTTTTCGTAAGAAACGATCTGCAAAAAATTTCGCTTTTCGTTTATCTGAATAAGCACGAAACGGTCTTTACCGTTGGTATCAATCACTCGTTGCCATGTAATTGTCGTTGGGTCGATATCTAATCGAACAAATGCTTTGATTTCCTCTTCAGTCAATGTTGACGGGTCAGTTTTATGAATTTTCAATTTATCCAAACGTTTTCGTTGAATGGCAGAAAACGTTCGTTTACCGTCGATCGTCGGTACAAGACGGTTAAACAATTGCTGATCAGTTTGAGTATTCTCATGAAACATTCGTGCATCAATTTGTGCTGCTAGGAGATTATTTGCAGCGGTTATTGCATGAATATCACCGGTTAGATGTAAATTAAATTCTTCCATCGGAATGACTTGTGAATAGCCGCCACCAGCAGCACCACCTTTGATACCTATTTTGAAAGAGAAAATGGTTATTTTTGGAAAAGAAAGTTTCTGTTCAATCTACCGAATGTCGGTCCTTGACTAGGTTGACGTAAACAACCAATTACATTCTTATTTAAATGTGCACCGAGAGCTTGACACAGACCGATCGTTGTTGTACTCTTTCCTTCTCCTAAAATGGCAAACAGGTTGATTGATCTCTGTAAAAAAAAAGATTTGCGTTATGTTTACCTAATGGTGTTGGAGTAATGCCGGAAACAACAACATATTTACCATTTGGAGCATTTCTCAGACGTTCAAGTACATTCAGTTTAACCTTGGCTTTTTTAGTTCCGTACAATTCTAACTCGCTGTTGTGTATGTGAATTTCGTTGGCTAGTTGTTTGATATCCTTAGGAACTTGTTTTTTCGCGATGTTCAAATCGGACGGAACGGGTGTTTCTAATGTTAATGGAAGATACGTCATAGATTTCCATTCAGTTGAACAATAAGTTTCCAAATAACGTTGAGCAGCTGTAATGGTATTTTGCCTAGCGAAGCAGAAGTGAATATACAGAATTACTATGAAGAATAGATTACATGAGTAAAGCGACAGTCATTGGACCAACACCACCTGGAACGGGTGTTATCCATGAAGCAACGCCTTGACAGGAATCCAAATCGACGTCACCATATAATTTAGTTTTACCATTTTCACCTGCGCATGAAAGTGGAGTAAAAGGATTAGCAAACTAATCGATTTTAAATACCTTGTACGGGTGTAATACCACAATCAATAACAACAGCATTTTCTTTTATCCATGATCCTGAAATGAATTTCGGTTTACCCAAACAAGCGACAACAATGTCTGCGTCTTTGATCTAGAGCAAAAACATTCTTCCATCGAGCTTCGCATTCGATTTTCATACAATATCTTGAATATTTCTCGTTTTTGAATGACATATTGTTGTCGTAGCATTGTAATGCTTAAGTAGTTCGAACATTGGTGTTCCGACGATTTTACTTCGCCCGACAACCACTGCTCTTGCACCTTCGATTTGTGTTCCTAAACGAAAATAAACGCGAATGTAATTGAATATTTCTCATCGCCGTTTTACCAGTTGCTCGAATCAATTCTATACAACCGTTTGGTGTGCACGGAACAAAGCATTTATCCAAATTTCCATGCGATAGAAGACCAGCATTGAGATCCGATAATCTGTTCGAAGAAAAAGAAGGATGAAAATAGCTAAACACAATATCATCTTTGGAAACTCTTACCCATCGATGTCTTTATCTGGTGAAACGGTATTGGCAATTCGATTGGCGTCGATCGTTTGAACAGAATCGAATGGTAATTGGACGATAATACCATGAATGGTTGGATCATTATTAAGTTGTTCGATTTGTTGAATTAACTAAAATATAAACTATCAAAAGAAATTTGTGTAGTTTGTTTCGAAACAAACTTGTGGTTCGGTTGTTGATGAATCAAGACGAACAAGTCGAGCATCGATTCCAATTTCTTCAGCAGCTTTTAATTTATGTCGAATATACACATTTGAATCTTCGCGATTCCCCACTTGTACAACAGCAAAGCCAGGTTTGAAATCTTTCTGCTGATTGCGAATTTCTTCGACCATCAATCGACATTTGTCGCGAATATTCCTACGAAAGATTTGTTTTTCTCGCCAAATTTCTCTCTTAGTACCTACTTCGCGATTTCTTTCCCATCGATAAGTTGGGTTTTAGTCGTTGACATATGAGCCAAAGTTTTTCTGCAATAACTGTGGACATAGCGTACGTGAAAAAGGAAAGACATTGGAGGAAAAAACGAATAATATTGAACTTTCATCCATATTTATAAAGTCCGATACGTTATCAAGTTTTACAAAAGAAAAGATCAAAACAAATCATTGAAAGCGAAACTTGTTAAGATTTCAGTCGCACTTATTTGAAGATAAAATCAATTGAAAAAGATAAAAAAAAAGCGAACGACGTGATAGATTGATAATACGAATCGAGACTCTTTTATGAAATAAAAGTCAATCATTTTTCAAAAATACGATACTGTGAAAAAAATAAAATAAGTAAGAAACCAATCGGTAATTCTGTAAAAGAGATTTCAGGAATCTACTGTTAACTAGCGACATCGCGACTATGATTATGTCACAGAGAGAAATATCATACCATTAGATTAGAGCACGGATGCGATCGATCTTTCTCTCTCTCTCTCTTCTATCAGTAAACTTGCCTTTGGCACATGTTTCATCAGGTGTACACAAGTCGAATAGTGCAAATGCTAATCTGTTTGAATGATGTTGAACTTAACATCATAGCAGTTAACACCATCCTTGTATTGAGCTTAGTAGTCCTTCATTTTCCAACATGTAAAGCGTAAATGTATGAATATCTTAAGCTTCACGTTTTTTCCCTCTATTATTCTCGAAAGTTTTTTCTGGTATTGATGTTTCAGATCTTCGATTCAATATCGCCATTCTTATTAATGAACAGCAGTATACATTGACATTCTCGAAATTCTTGCACGACCTCTTGATATCATTTTCTTCATAAATCGTTTCATGTATTATCACACAAACAGATTGAAAGTAGGGAGAGATATGCAGCATTTTAGAATAGGCTTTTTTTTTCTTCATCATTTTGAAGTATCAGCGATTCGTGTATTTGATAATATTCTTAGGTCATAAAAAGAGAATACGCAATAAATATAAATCCTCCAGAGGTGTGGCCCCTTTCTTTTCCTTTCTCCTCCAAATATGATTCATCGATGCTATATTGTTTCTTATAAAGATAGTAGAATATACTTTTATCTTAATCTGGTATAACCTTAAGTGAGTACATTACTTTTTACCCACGCCAACCATCATATGATAAGAACCTATTTCCCTGGAAAGAACCGATGACATTTTCAATGAAAAGCATTGGAGGAAAGCAAATAACCATTGATAAATGCGCTAGTGATGTCGCTTTGATCGACTTTTGTAATATGATAAGCTAGTTTTTTTGAAGCGAAAAGAAGGAAGCTGCGTAGTGTAGTTATTTTATAATTTAGAGCAGAATATAACAGTTGTCGATAGCTTTGATCGATGTCTCGAAGCGCCAAACGAATTAAACTTGAACCCGTCACACATTCCAATGGCAGTACCAAAGAGGTCAAACATCCCCTATATTCGGGTCAATTTATGACGTCAAGCATCGAAAATGATCCCGAGGTAAGTCGATTTGTTAGCTACGTCGTTTCTCTTCTACAATATCTTTTAGCCGATCGATGTACCGTGTCCATCGCCGATTCCTAATGCGACAGCACAAGGTTTACCAATTCTGAATGATGCAACGCAAGGTGGACCCGAACGACGTACCGAAGCTCACGGTCAATTTTCGAGTCTCTATTCACTTCTTCGTGTCTTCAATCATGTCTATCGGTAATTTGTAATTGATTCTATCGATCGAATTAACTGTGGAATCGTTTTTGTTTAGATCGAACTTAACATCGCCAAAGTGGAAGAATTTTCGTGGATCACGTATTGAATGTCAAGATAAAATTCGTTTGAATAATGTCATTTGGCGAACGTGGCATCAGCAATGTAATGTCAGATGACTAAGTATCTCTTTTGACGATGAATTCGTCCAATTTTAGATATTCTCAGTCGGAATACGATTGTTTGTCAGTTTGTGTCTCCATTGGATACAAGTCAAACTTTGCCAGTCTGATTGAAATAGTTCATTTTGATAGAAATGAAAGAAATGAGCAATTTCTTATTTCGATTATAGACACAATTGACTCAACAATCGAAACAACAATTGTTGAACAGTTTGAAAGGTGAATATATCAAATGGAGACAAAATTCGAAAAAAGCACTACGAAAAGTCGAAAATGACATTTCGGTAATGGTTTTCTTTTGACAAACATGAGAACGAATTGTTGAGTATTTGATCATTCAGAGTGAAGAAATGAAGAATCTGTTGGGAAAAGTTGCAGAGATCCATACACCAAAAGTAATGCCTAACTTTCGTCGTCCGGCAACGCCATCGCCTGAACCGTGTAATCTCTTCGATGAATTCGATCTCATCGAAGACCAATTGCTATTCTCAACAACAAATACATTCAATGACAAAGACGCTGGTACGTTCAAATTCGATTTCACTTCATTTCCCTTCTCCATCCTAGTGATCGTTGCAATTCTCTTTGCTTTTTCTAGACAACTCATTTTCAGGTAATTGATATAACTAAGTAACCCTTCAGCGATTGAATGTCGAGGAAGAAGAGTGCACGTTAATGGGCTAACGAGTGGATGTTTCTATGTTGTGAATAATGCTCACCGATTTATTTGTGTGTAAAAACATTAAATATCGAGTTTTAATTGCTTCTAGTCTTAGAATGATGTCTCTCTAGTTGTGGTTGTATTAGCTTTGTTCTGTGGAAAACGCGTGATTTGCCATGTTCATGAACACAATGGTTTATTTTTAGGTCTTGGTGGCAATCCGGATTTGTATCAGCCGGTAATGGGTCAATGCCATTTTGATTTTACGTCATTATTTGAGGACTTGGAACAGTCGATAACAAGTAAAATCCTTTGAACTAAAAACTCACAAGACGGACTCTATTTGTATTTTTAGCTGACGTTTTCAACATGCGGTATCAAACCGAACAGGTAAATGATGCTCTTTCGCTTAGAGGCGAGCAGCACATGCCCTCTGATTCATTGTGACCACACCTCCAGAACGGATACGAGTCATATTATGTATTTTAGTTACCATTGAATAATTATCAACCACAAACACAATATAGTTTGAACTTACCAAACCAATCACAGGATAATCTAAATCACTTTCCGACATTGGTCTCTCCTCCGAATGATCGTTCAAGTCTTCCAATGAATCATCAGAAGTCTCTTCTCAACCAAACCAGTACTCCTGTAAATATTCACCTCGAAATCCATCTCTATTCATTATTCTCTCTATTTACAGATGAATGTCAACGACTTGAATCCAATGAACATCTACAATTCAACACATTACGAACCATTAACACCGCATTCTCTTCCATTCGATACTTATTCACCGACATCAATGTCAAAATCAATCAATAATAACAAAAACATCAATCAGATGATAACGTCATCGTCCCCAACCAATCTGATGATGAACACGCCGCAAACACCGTCAACGAGTTATTTACCACCAGTGACAAATAAACCATCGACACTGGTTAATCTTCTTCATCAGAAACATCCATCTGTGGTCGAACGATCGCCACCCGAGAATAAAACAACGAAACAAACAAGAAAAACTCCACAACGAAAAACACAAACGAAACGGTTGTCCACAACCACTCATAAAACGTCTAACATTCAGGTAAATTTCACAAAAAAATATGTATACATTCAATGCTGATCGATTTCTTCGATTAGCAAATGCCGAATCCGAACCATACGATGTTAAATTTTCCTCTAACATGCAAATCGAAAACGCATCGTCCTGTGAGTCGAGCAGTCTCAGAAGATATACCGATGATGCAACAATTTAACATGCCAGCACCTTCAGCAACTACTAAACATAGTATGTCCATACCTGGAAATCTTTCGTTGTTAAACAACGATATGGTAACCGATTTGTGTTACTATTATAAAAATTCATTGCTATTTATTACTTGTTTCAGTTAAGTCAAGACCCTTCACCATCGAACTTCAATGCTGAGAGTAAACGTCGTCGAAATATTAAGGTAAAACTATAAGTTCATCTTGAAAGATTCTGTTATCTTTGATTCGATATCCATTAGAGTGGTTTTGATAATCTACAAACAATAATTCCTAAACTCAACGATCCATTGAATGCCAAAATGAGCAAAGCACAGATGCTCGGAGCTAGTAAGTCACATTCGTCTATTTCCGACAAATTTCTAAACCAAATCCTTCACTACTCTTAGCGGCGAGTTACATTCAAGAAGTAATAGATATGCGTGATACAATGCGAAGAGAACTAGATATGTTACAGCGAGAAAAGGACGAATTACAATATAAAATTTCTCAATATCAAACAAGTTTACCCGCTGATGGTATGCCTGTTGTCTCCGCAGGACAACGTTCACGTGAAGCAGCGAATGCACTCTATCAAGCATATGTAGCTGATCGTACGCAAAATAACTGGCTCTTCTATCCTTTTTCATTAATACTTCGTCATCTATTTGACTCATTTCAAAACACAGTCACATGTGATTCGACTGACAAGTTTCTACGCTCGATTAATGAATGGAAAACTCATTCGTTGAGCTTAGTTCAGCTAAGACAAGCAGCGTCTCAAGCAGTCATGGACATCGGTCAACGAACATCGTTGATTACAGGTAAATTCTATGTATATTCCATCGAATCACTGTGTTGATATTTTAGCACCAGAGCGTGTACCGGATGAATGCGTACGATTAGCAATTCGCGACAATCAATAGCTAGTGTTTTGCTTTGTAGAATTTAGTCTTTTCTGGATTGATGATTTTATTGGTGATTTCTTCTATTTTTCAAGTTTTTCCCGTGCCTAATTCTTTTGTACAGTATTTCATGTTGATTTCCGCCTTTTCTTCTTCCTCGTAGAAAAACCGATGAGCAATGTATACATTCAGATTTTGCAAAGAAAGAAAAAAAAGCCAAATAAACAGACAAGAGAACAGTACACAGATGTTCTAAATCATTTTTCAAACGAATTCAACTTTTCCAGACATCGTCGAACATCATAATACATGTAGAGTACCGCTAACGCAAAGCAGCCAATCGTCGGTAAGCTATGAACATGGCATTTATATTTATTATTACAAAATAATGTATTGACATCGGAACATTTGATCCATGAAACAAGTAAGATGACAAAGGCAACGAAGTAGATCAAACTAAGTGAAGCATCGATCAATAACGATGTTTCGACTGTACCGTCGTCTTGTTCAAATATTCGACATACGAAAACGAAACCGTCAATAGCAAATGCAACCCACATGACTAAGCAGATCATTCACTGTTGCTATCGATTGTACTTTAAACGACTTACTGATGTGAATGAACTCGCTGTCCGAAGTCGAGTCGACATTGGCGTGTCCACCAAAGGCGTTTTGTCCACAAGATAAAATATTAATATAAATGATCAAAATAATGAGAATAACCAATCGAATCACATGCAGTATACCTTTTAAAGTTCGAAGATAACTAATATTCATAGTGGTTTTCTATCTTCTTGCATTCAAAACAAAAAATAGTGCGCAAATTGATTTGAACTTGACAACTCATTGATGTCGAATTATTATTTCACTCAAACATTAGGTATTCTTCACCTCCTTCGTTTACTCTTCTTGAGTCTTTTACTTCTATTAACGGAAATTAAAATTTCCTCATGTACTTCATATCTTAATGAATTTCTTGGCTTTAATCATCAATCCATCCTTTTCTATTACATCCTCATTTGGATTTCATTTGCATTTGAAATCTATCTTCTCGTCAATCGTTTGTTCGCTTCACGAATTCCTCAAGCCAGACAATCGATCTTCTATCTATACTCAACTCTCTGTTTGGCATATCTTCTCGCATCATGCTTTACCTTGTACGCAATTGTTACTTACTCACACGGCCACGTCATAACTCAACATGATTTCGGAAATCCAGCGGAGAATGTCATTCCTATTACGAATGAGTGTAACATTCTACGATTGATCGGAATTCTGTTCGGTTTTCTTTTAAGTATACTTTATTTTCTTGCAGCGATGTTAGTTCATCGCACGACAGATTAGAAAAACAAATGTATGTATGTTGAGTTGAGCGAGTTCAAGAAACAAATATATTCAGATATGTACATTGCATGAGATGATTGCAAAAACAAATAAAGAAAATCATTCTCAATTGGATGAAAACGTGTTCAGTTCCTTTCTTTATTTCATAGAATTGAGTTCATTGATCAATTCAAGTACTTGAGGCGAACGTGTCGATGAATGGGCATTATCTCGGAGTAAGCAATCGATGAATGATAGTGTCATTTCCAGTTTACCATAGGTGATTTCGAAGACAGAGTACGTGGCGAATAATGTACATATAGCAGTGAGAAAATCATTCAATGGTCGATGAAATAGTTGAACGTAGTCTAATTCGATATTGTACGAGAGAGATGAAGATTTGCCTTCGAAAAAATGCACGAGCTGGATGATCACCGCGGATGATTGGCCATGGTGATTGAGTCTCCTAAACAAAGACAGACGTTTATTTGTCCATGAACAATCTTCTCTTACTTTATCCGATGAAATCAGAAGAAATTGATATTCACCAAAATAACAAGCAACAATTATGACAGCAAAAGTATCAGCAACAACNATGTACATATAGCAGTGAGAAAATCATTCAATGGTCGATGAAATAGTTGAACGTAGTCTAATTCGATATTGTACGAGAGAGATGAAGATTTGCCTTCGAAAAATGCACGAGCTGGATGATCACCGCGGATGATTGGCCATGGTGATTGAGTCTCCTAAACAAAGACAGACGTTTATTTGTCCATGAACAATCTTCTCTTACTTTATCCGATGAAATCAGAAGAAATTGATATTCACCAAAATAACAAGCAACAATTATGACAGCAAAAGTATCAGCAACAACTAAAGTAAACTAAGTATACTTGGAGTTGGGCTTTTGAAGCAATTCTTACTTTGTTCTAATTGTGGTCGTTGAGAAACAATCGTATGATAAGAGTGAAGGATCTCCGGTGCGCAACCCGTTTCTTTTGCTAATCGTAGAATAGGTTTCGATATGGAACGTAGTTTATGAATTAAAACTGTTTGGATGGGGATGTTTGTTTGCATGTGAAAATCCGCTAGTAGCTATAAGGACGAGAACACCAATTAGACAAGACTGCGGTCTCTTGTGACAACTTACGCATGAATGTAATTGTAATGCGGGATATTCTGCGAGAATTTCATTGGTATTGTGAGTTTTCACGAAGTTTCGTCGGATTTCGAATGTTTCTTTGAAGTAATCCGAAATTAGTGAAATATCAGGATCATCAGTGGTGGCTAATGTTGCTTGCATTGCAGTTATGCAAGCTCGTAAGCGGTTCAATTCTTCTTCCTCCAATTCATCTGCATTTTCACTCGTTTGATCCTATGAGACAAGCATTCGCTAGTTTTCGAATTCTTCGAGACATTTCATCAAAACATACCGTATCTTTGCCGTTTCCATTTAATGGCATTTCACCTGTTTCGTAATGCTCATCATCGGAATCAACTTCAAATTGGTGTCGAGATCGTTTATGTCCACCGGATGTTTGCGCTAATTTTTCTTCACCTAGTTCATCATCACCGGACATACGATCGAACCCATTCTCACCACCCATCGATTGTGCAGCGTCAACATAAGATGTAATAGTACGGCGACCACGTTTAAATTTGCCTTTGATTCCATCGATCCACGCACCCTTCGAAATAAACAAGTATGACTTGATGTCTTCAGCACTACGAACAGAACTACATACTTCACCGCCTTCGGTCGAAGATTCGAGAAAGGGATAAGTTTTCACAAGTGCTGCAGCGACTGTTTTGTATTGTCGAGCGTTTGGATACCTATGCGTAAAATGGAAAGTTAGCTAGCCAGATACTTGTCATTCTCACTTACCAAAGATTGTATGTCCTTGTCAGGTCATCATAAATCGAAGAGATCAACAGATTTCGATAATAGGTACGTAACTTGAAAGCGCTGGCATCTTTCGAGGCAAGTGCAAGACGAAGTGTTTCGGTGAATTGAGGCAATTTATATGCGTGAGGAAACGTATGTTTCGTGTCATTCTCACCACCATCGATGCTTAGCCCGCCATTAGATTGACTATCATGAGAGAGAGAGAGAGGAAAATGGGATATAAACCGATTTTTTCAAGAGTATCAATCATCATACCTCTGAATTTGATTGGCAAAGAATTTTGCGTCGCGTTTGAAGGATTTCAATGGAGGAACTTTACTCATCGGTGAACGTTCCGAATAGATCACTTTTGGTGGATGATGTCCGTTTGTGGCAACAGGCGAATTCGAATTCGATGAATGACCATTTACATTATCGAACGAAGATGAAGCGATAACATGTGCTGCGATTTGATGCGCTGCCGAACGTCCATTCGTAATCGTCGATGATGTTGGAAATGGTTTCTTTAAGTTCAATTCCATCGTATGTCGTTGTTTGAGTAATTGTAGCAAATCAAGGAATTGAACTTCAAGTCTGATTGTTGGAAACAATCGAGCAACCATCGATTCACTAAGTTTAAGTAAGATTTTCCCATCAATTTCATTTTCTACAAATAACAAGCAATCGTTCATAAGTGGTACTATTTAGTGATAGTTCGTACCCCGGAAGTTTTTTTCGAATTCACCTAAATTTGATTCCTGAAGCCAAGTAATAACCGCGTCAATGTTCCATTGTGATACAAACGATTTCTAGAATTAAAGATTTGTTTCCAAAAAATAGATTTGGGAGGTTTCTTACCGTAGACATTGCTGTTGAGTCCATCAACAATCATGCGGATGTGAGCATAAGAGCGAAAAGAAGGAATAGAATATTCTGAAAGAAGATTTTATGTATATTGATGGAAGAAAGAGGTTGCTTGTGTGACCAAGGAAAACATACAAGATGGACGGATGATTTTTATTTGCACAGACGTCCAAAACAATCCTTTCTGCCCGGTGATGGTCTGCTACCGATACGAGTGACGACCGAGCGATGTTTCTTCTCTTTCTCTTTCTTTTTTTCGTCCGGCCGGTTATTATTGAGTCTAATCTCTCATTCTGCTCCTGTCTGTTGTTGTCGGACAGAGAAAGAGGAAAAAAGGAGCAAGAAAATGAAAGTTGGACAGCGGCCATATCTGACTTTCAAATTCAAACCTTCTATTTCACGATATAGAGGGAAAAAAGAAAGACAACATGCACTACCTTTTCTCATTTCCTCTGTTTAAAGCCCGGCGAGTGGAAAGACACAATTTTGTTTTTCTCTCAGGGTAGGTGAAAGGAGAAAATGAATGTACATGCAAAATCTGGGTTTCTAATTGTAGCGATACGCCTATGGGAAGATAGGTTTCTCATTGACGAGGCAATTACACTGATGAAAAACTACTCATCTGTACGACCGTTCCGATTGATAGCTTTTAAGCCAACGCCCTGTTTTGATCGCGTTGCAATTTCTATTTTTCCTCTTACTGACTTTCGTCGGCTTACTGATATCAATCAGTAGAGAGAAAAAATAGGTATGCAAATAAAAGTACATTGCATGAGAACGGTTTCGGTTCAAATGACGCATCGTTTCGTTAAAGAATTGCGTATTATTTGATAGAACAAAGCTCATTGCTTAGTGGAATGAAACATTTGAAAGACTGTATTTGACGGAAACTTTAAAGTATGTCGGGTGTCTTTCGTGTTCTGCTATGCCTTACTAGCTGTTGTGCGTGTGTGTGTGTTTTGTAAAACTTGATGTTGGTAATGACGAGAGCATTGATGAAGGGAAAAAAGGAGAACTCTCAACTCCATCGTCGTCGACGAACAGAATCTTTCTGGACGTTGCCGTCGAACAGAGCGTAAGAGAAATGAAGAGGAAGAATTTATATTATAGTAATGCATTGAATGCCGCTGTAAAGGGATTCGGCGTCGATCACTTTCTCTTGCTCTTGTTCTTGTTCTCACTGGTTGGAAGAGTATCAATGCATATAGAATATATATGAAGAGAAAGAAGGAGAGTTCGTAGTTGAACCATTTTGTTCGTTCGTCCATCTCTACTGTTTGTCTTCTGCAGTTCTCCTGCGGCGCGCGTGTATGTATATATTCTCTCTCTTGTATGTGTACGTGCACGCACGCACGCACTCGTACTGTTAGTTGAAAGGTTGTTCAGAGGTCAATTTCGCATTCACACGTTCTTTTTGGCTGCCCATTGGTCATTTGCAAAGATCAAAACTTTTGAAGAACAGATAGATGATTGTACTATGATAAACATGAACTCGAGCAACTGTAAGAATCGAGATTGTTATTTGAAAAAAAGGTGAATTTTCGGTCTACAGCGCTGATTGTGTATCATACAATTTGTCCTTTTCAATGTCAAATGATTTCACATGTGAACAGCTGATTGCAAGGCAGAAGAAAAAGAGGAGAATTCTTTCTCCGCGTGCCAATCGAAGAAGTCAAGATGTCTTGGAGAAAATAAGAGAAATGGTCTTGGCTATTAGTGTTAGAAAATGAAGTGAGAAAAATAAAAATCAACGATTGAAAGCGATGCGGAGTAGACATGAGAGAGAGAGAGTCAGAAAACGAACGATTCTGAAGTGCTTCGTGAAATTGTATGGTTTGAAAGAAAATTGTCATGTAGAAAAAGCAAATCATTGAGAGTTTTCATGCAGAGTTCAGAATGAATTACACTCAGGGAAATGACGGTGCAAAATCCGCGCACGTAAAGAGATCATTGCAGTGTGAAATAAATCATCATATTTCGTGGATTATGTCTAAAAGATAGTCAATCTGTATATGAGAGCACTTGTTGTGAATGACTATGAGAGATACTGATTGACATTTACCGCATAAAACTATTAGAAAGATGGTGGTGAGGATTCGATATAGCTCGAAAGGTTAACGACAAAGTTGAGATTGTCAAGAACTGTCCTAATCAGTCTTCCATCATATTTGTTCTTCATCGATTGATAAAACTGGTTGTTCTGCTGAAATACAAACGAAATATTTATTTGAGAAACTAAAATAACTACAACCATATAAGCATGACAACAAATAAAAGCCTATGACTAGAAACATCGAAGATCCTTTATGAAATCATTTGAGATTACTTATCTCGGCGAAGAAACCAAGAATCGACATCTCTCCCTTCATGACCTTGACTAATGTCGATACTCGCGTGCAATACCCAACCATACTGAATAAAACAATCGAGTAGAGAGAGTAATCTCAATCGTGTATTTGTTGCATCTTCACCATTACTTATCCAAGGGTTACCTCGTCTAGAAATAGAACATTACAAGAAGGCAAAGTTGAGAAATTTGTAATATTTCCTACAATTTGAATTGATAAGCATGGCCACCGTCACGCCATTCTTCTCGTTGAATAATTTCTTGGCCGAGCGATTGTCTAACTGCTGGAATCAATTCGGGTGGAACATTAATTAATCGTAGTTTATCGTAATCATCAAATGCAACAGAGAAAAACGATGTTTGCTTCGGAGGTGGTCCAAGTTGGAAAATCAGACAATCTTTATCCAAAGCTTTCTTCGAAATGTCCGTCGATGATAATAAAAACCAACCTCGATTATGTAAAGCTGACAGAACATAGATTCTAAAGGTGAACGAAAACAAACGATTGGCAGATTAATTTTCACAGATATAGTTACACTAATGTTCGAGACGGCACCGCTTCTTCTCCTTGACCCCACCAAGGATTTCCATGAAGTTTAAATTCGTAGAAGTCCGCTTCTTGTTTTTCTTTGTGTATACCGCGTGACCAACTTTCAATGATTGCTTGTCGGACAATATCAATGATCGCTGGTGGAAATCGTATCAAACGGAGACGATCGCTCATATTCAACGAAACACAAGCATGTTGAAAGGGTGTATAAGCTGGTGGAGCGTCACTGGTCGACATAGATAGGATGAATCTTTGTAGAAATTAACTTTAAGGAAAAGATCTGCAACCGTCACCTTCAAAATAAGATTATTTAATGCGAAGAGATCTCTTCTTCTTTCGAGAGAGAGAGGGAGAGAATGAATACAACAAAATATTCAATCTCATTCTTTTGGTGATTCTGATTAAAATCCTAGAATTGAGTTTGACATATCCGAATGTGTATCAAGAAGTTGTACTAGTTAATTTCCAAGTCATCATTCAAGTTGAAACGATGTTTTTCTCTTCTTACTGAACTTGTAAATCAATCAGAAGGAAAATCATCCGCACAGTTTGTATTTCAAATATGATTCAAGTAGACGCTCGTAAACAAGTTTTCAATAGTGTTCACCTATTTAAAAAGCAATAATGTTCATCGGTAAGATCTCTTCGAGCATATATACGAAGAGAAGAGAACAGCTTGACTCTGTCTAATGAAAGGAAGGTCAATGCTTTTGTGAGCGTCATCATCAATCGTTCTCGTCAATATTGAAATTGGACGCGATGAAAAAAAAAAGACAGAGGATCATAATGACGGTACTGTTAACCTTGTGCGAGTAAAACAAAGGCTGATTCGCATACATATTTAGAATATAGATTAGATGCAAATAAAACATAGACAATGTCTGTCAATCTGTTTTCAATTCTCACGAATGATGAGTTGAATGTTCATTATCAGTAAGGAGAATACTTATTATCATCATTGTTATTTATCGAGTGTATAATCATTACGACTTAGACACGTGTATCCTTTTACGTCTAGATGTTTATTGACGATATTCGATTGACACACACATACATTTTGAAAACAAACCGATAGGTACGAGAATTTAAACTGAATCTTTTGAAGACAAGCGGATATATGCCGCGACATCAAGCCGATTTCATCAGTCACAGCTGCTTGCACAACAAAGAGTAGAGAAAAAGAGCTTGTTAAATTCTCATTAACGTGTTCTCTCTGCGTGTGAGTAATTGCTTGTCTTCGACGAATAACTATGTTTTATCAAACTATTGGGTGTGTCCATCAACCCATCAAAATATTTCTCGATCAGAACAACATGACAATAAATCGGTTTTCAATGACATGCCAATAAAAGCTTATTCGCTATGCTTGCAAGACAAAAACATTACTTCCTTTTGTATTTCTAATGACCGGACATCTGCTAATCTGTTCTCCTCTTTCTCAATATAATCTACTTCTTTTCTTCGTACACCAATTAGTCACAGAACGAAAGAAAGAGCTTTGTCATTTTCAGTTACTAATTGAATGGTCTGAAAGAGGCTCAAGAAATGGTCAACTTATTTTACCATCGTCTCGCATCTCTAATACACGCAATACAGATTATGTTCATTGCGGCATATAAGAGAAGGATAGACAAACACGTACACATACTCGATATTGACGGTTAACCTTTACAACAACACAAATATTTGAAAAGAATCGTTTCATTCCATGCACGACAATACAGCTAGTCAGATATCAAAACTAATGATGCATATCCATTGACTGTTCGTTGTTTAGTTGCTTTTTTTTCATGTCTTAAGAAACATATACACACACACACATGCACACACGAAAAGAGCAAAGACTAATGACATTAAACGTAGGAAGCACAAGGGTCTATGTTCGTTTGTGATTCATAGAGATCTTCAAAACGTTTCAAAACACCATCGATATGATGATTTTGTTCGTTGAAACGAACTTGTTTCGATGTTAATTTAAAACTTGACAATCGAAGTGATGAAGGATTAAGTAGAAGTACATTATTCGATTGTTCAGATGACATATCACTTGAGCAATAACAGCCATCATCGGAGCCGATTTTCGTACCGTGATCATTGCCGCCTGATATTGGACTACTTGTTGTCGACGATGAATGAGGAATTTGTAATGAAAGTTCATTATTATTCGAGTTATTGACATTTTCCATAAAATCATTCTGTTGTTTAACAGGTAAATAGTACGTATTTGGAAACATGTTGATTGCATCATAAACTGACGCTTGTTGAAAATCATTATTTGAATTGATCGATGTTGTAGATGAGAATTTCTTTTCTGTTAAACTTCCGTCCTTTCGTCGTTTAAGTTTATAATTAACACAACATACTAAACATACTAATAGACATAGAAATACCAAACAGCTTGATAAAATTCCAGCTAAGATGAACACATTCTCTGGACTTTGATTCATCGAAAACCACGATGCTGATGATGTTGATTTGGGTTTATCTAATTTCCTGGAAGCCAATTGAATTTGTACTAATGCCGTCGATGACAGCGGCGGTTTACCATGATCACGTGCAACGACGATGATTTCATAGCGTTCATATGTTTCTAGATTTTTAATACATTCGATTAGACCGGTGACTTCATTGATACGAAAGAGATCTTGATAATTCGATAACGAATATGATATTCGACTATTGTCAGTATTTGGCTCATCGCCATCAAATGCCGTGACAGTGAATGTTGTTTCATTGGGCACGAGAGTGGTTTGGTATTTTGTTTGATTGAATGTCGGTGTACAATCGTTGATATCGAGTATGCGAATACGAATATTTCGCGAAACTTTCTCAAATGGCGGAATCAGATGTTGAGCAACAATCGAAAAATCATAGAAATTTTCTCGTTCACGATCGAGGGTTTGCGTGTTGATTAATACATAAGAGATTCCATTCGATTGGACCTTGAAATCAGAATTCGTTGTATTCAATATCCATTCGTTCAACGTCAGATTCGTTTCGTTGATTAAATTGATAAATGCAATGAAACTGCCTGCTACTTTTCCTTCGCTAATTTCCACAGTCGAATCACGTGCGGACTGGTGGAAGAATTGTGGATAACGTATATCAAGTTGAAGTGAATAAACGCTTGAAATAAATATGAAATAGTAGATGATGATCATTTGCATCTAGAATAGGAAAAAATACGACAATGATCAATGAAGAAAGAATGAGGGAGAAAGGGAAAGAGAGACAAGATGAAGTGTATTTTTCTTTCGCGCTCTCCTTCTCTCTCTCTCTTTCTCTGCACTATGATCGATTTCCCCCCTCTCTCTCTCTCTCTCTCTTATGGAGACAGTGAGAGAGAAGTCACTGTAGAATGTCAAACGTTGAAACAATAAGACCTGATGATTTTTCTTCTTTATTAGTAGTAAAGTCAGAAGAAGAAATATCTCGAGACTTGGGTGTGAAAATATCGCAATCTTTTAATTCGTCCAACACTTCGCATGGACGAACAAATGAGCTGTAGATGATAAGAAGAGAAAAAGTCCTATTGTTAACAAATCTAACTAGCATCTCATTTGATACTGAGCTTCTATTCATCATTTAATTGCATTCTTGTGTCTCCTTTCACATCTAGGAAGGCTTTGAAGGCATGATGGCACTAGTTGAAACAGTGCATGTACACTGACAGCTCCCCATCGTCACCAGAGAGGCTTTGAAACTAAGAGAAGATGTCTCATGTTAAGTTACCATCCGTAAATAATTCATCTCTCTAATAAACATAAGTGAATTGATATCATATTCGGTATCGTGTTCATTAGACATTAATGAACGGAAAAGGGAAAACAAACTGAACATGAAGATTTGATCGGAATGACAATTCGATTAGAGGAATATAAAGCGTCTAACGAGTCATTTTTCTCTTATGTAAGATCTGTTCGTGCATCAGATAAGCTTATTAAGTTGTATTTTCATCGGCGCGAAATAAGATTAGATGGATTCGTTTTTAAGCCAATCTCCTAAAAAAAAAAGGAAAAAATGCTAATTGATTTAGGGGCGTTTTTTTTCTTCTCCACCCATATGTACAGATCGATTTCTTACTTTCTATTTGCTCGATAATTTTTTTCGAGATTAATCGTCAAGTTTGACTAACGATTAGTTTTCGATAATGATACCAATGTTCTTCGTATTGCACTTGACAATTAAATGTATTGTTTACATTTCGTCGGCACCTCGAGGTCATCGTTTCGATATGAACTATTTCCTATACATTTTATCATGATGATCATCATCTTCATCATGATCAAATGACAAAGACCATGTCTGTACTTGTTTTACTCTTTCATATTGATCATTGATATAAAGTGAGTGTGAAAATGAATCATAGAAGGAAATCTTTTATTGTATTTGTCACATCTAATATGCTCGAGGCGAGAAAACAAATTAACAGACCGTAGTTTGTATACAAGTCGGCACAAGATGAACATCAAGAATAATTGAAGGAAGAATTTGCACATGCTTGGGATTAAACGAACGAAGTAAATTAGTACACATGCGAAAGCCGAGAAGAAAACTTTTCGCGTAACTGACGTTGAAGAAAGAAAAGCTCTTTCTACTTAATTGTCTACCTGTCATCATGCACGCGTCGACTGTAAGGTGATGTAATAATGTCGTTCGATTAGGCGAGTTCTACATGTACAAATGATATTCGGCGCGTCACTTTTTTTCTCATCGGCTGTCTGTCGTTTTCTTTTCTTTCCCCATAATCATTGCTTATGTTTCAAATTCACATCCAGGAAATGCGTTGACCCGAATGCGACAAGACGGTGTTAACTCTCGCGTCATAGTGAGAGTAAGAGAGACAAAAGACAGAAATGACCATTGCAATGAATTAATCATTTACCTCATTCCATGTCTGCTCGTGTTCGCTCCTCAGGTCAAATGGGATAGATACGTCTTCATATCATTTCACAAATCTTTTGATCCATTACGTTTTCAAGAGACATTTGGCGGAAATGATAGAGCAAGAGAAAAAAGGGAAATATGCGTAAGACGATCGACGAAGTGGACAAGTAATTAGGCGAAAAAAGAAATAGTAGGTGCATGACGCAAGTTGAAAGTACTTCAACTAAGACAGTGTATAAATAGATTATGCTTTTAGATTGTATAAGTTGGCAAATGTCGAACATGTGGAAAAGTAAATGACCGTGATCGAATGCTTTTTTTTGATTTTGTCCATACTTGAAATATTCATCAAGGATAATTAGGCTCTTTCTCGTCGGGTGATAGACGTTGGACGAAAAGCGACATTCTTTGTCAAGTGAACCAGTCTAATAAAGTTGGCGGGAAAAGGTGCGACAAGTTTCTATGTACTCACCGGAAATTACTGAAACATATTTCCGTCTAGAAGAAGAAATATCAAACGATTAGTGCGGCATCGGCGACGATCTGTTAAGAGACTCATTTCCATATGGAGATGAACTCTACTGGATAAATGTCGCGTTCCAAGCTGGTGTACACGATGATAGTTAACGATTACGAAACATCCATGTCTTACATTGTCTGTTGTTCTTCGATTAACTTATGTAGCTCAGTAGCACAATTACAGGCATACTGTTATAACAATAATGAATTAGGAACAGAGAGAGAGAGAGAAAGAAAAGCATTTGTCAATCATGATAGAATATGTTCAAAATGTTTCTTTTCTCTCGGTCTTTTTATTGCATAATTGTAGTGCAGAGAAAAAAACGAGATAATTTTTTTGTCCTCGGACACGACAGGTGGTCATCAGTTTTGAGGAATTATTTGTATTTAAAAAGGAACAGCTGCACTTAAAGATAATGATCATGATGTCATTTGTTCGTTTCTTCTTTTTTTATTTCATTTGTCAGCAAATCGATGTGTCTCGTCGTGTCGTATTCGAAGTATCAAGTTGACGAATATCGAAATAACAATAGAAACATTGGTACTACTACATATGTGCTAAGCAAGAAGAAACGTGTGTTACGGTATAGATCGATGATGAAATGCATCACTCGAGTCAAAGTAAACTCAGGATGGAGACGTGAACACTCAATCATTCTCGTCACAAGTTGATATACGATTTTTTTTTCTCACATCGTATCTGATGAAAAATAAACACTTACACGGCTTTCAGACGATGATATAGTTTAGCGTACGAGAGAGGGAGAGAGAGAGAGAAAAGAAAACTTTCTCGATGATTATTAAAACATGATCTAATCATTTTTTTTTTTCAATAAATATCACTTAACTCGATTGTTGATTGACTGGTCGAAAACTAACAAAGGAGAAACGACTCATCAAGTGTTACATTTTGAATTCGATGACACTTTACATCGAACATGCATATTGATCAGATATGAAATGTTAATCGATTGATATTTTCACAAGACTCATGACGTTCATGTTAACCTTGGAATTGACAAAAGCTAATTCGATGTTGGGCTTCCTCTCCATCGTCATATTCTAGTTAAATGTCAGATAATTATGGATAAATCATCCGACACAACAATTACAATGTAAACTGACTTTCGCCTTGATCGAAAAGTTCGCTGTTTTCTTAATAAATATTAAAATACCAAAACTGTATTTATTATTCAATTTGCACAATAAGACAGTGACTAGTTTATCTGACATAGCAAAAAAATGCATTCAAAGAGGAGCGATGCGCGTCGTACTCAACATTTTCTGTTCATCGGTTATTCCTGGCACGAAGATACATGTTGTCCATGAATTACTAATAAAAAAATGATGATCCAATAGAAATCGATAACCATCTTTTTGGTAGCCGGAACAAAGTGCATGCAGATGTTGATATTGAGTTTCTTCGGAAATGATTCGACGACATGTTTGCAGAAGAATATGACCGATCTTTTCATGACGATACTTCTTCGTTACGAAGAGATGTGTTATCAATGCCGATTGTCGTTCCGTTGGATGAGATGAAAAACAAATGAAACCAACAATATCTTGCTCGTGCATAACATCATCGTCGTCTTCAACAGTTGTTACTGCAACGAGAATTCGTCGACGAGATAGTTTATCAGTGTATTCGATGTACGAATGTTGAAATGGAGCTTTGATTTTGTGTTTGAGACTACTTATACGGTAGGAGAGAAAAGCAGTAATGACTATGGATGGTATCATGCATGAAACGATCAAACGAGTGAAAATAAACATGGAAACGATGATACAAAGAAGAAGGAGAATAAAAGTAAATCGATTGCGAAAACAAGCACGAGATATGGGCACGAGAATTTCGATTCGTTCTTCAGTACATAGACGTTGAATGTCAAATCGATCAGATAAAGAGAAATTACGTATGCGATACGATGTACGACCAGATTTGGTTTTCAAAATTGAAGTTTTAACAGCTGGACACGGTTCCATTCTTGGGTTTAGCCACAAACCACAGACGAGAGCATTTGTATTGTAAATAGAACACAAATTCTATCTAAAACTCTAAGATTCATCAATTATATTGGTGAAAAAGCGTATAGAACGAATGAAGATATTAGACAGATTTAATTGGAAACTTTAGGTACAAGATCATTAAGTGAATAGACTGCTGAATTGAGCACGTCAACAATACGATTCAAAAAAGAATAGAGTTTTTCACTTGTCTTCTCTCGTTGTTGTTTTTGTTCTTCGAGAATAACTCGAAGTGTTTCGCGTGCTTGATGTGGCCGTAATTCGTTGATTAAATGATGAATATTAATGAACAACAGTTCAATTTCGTTCAGTTTTTGTTCACGTAATGTCGTATTGCCACTATCTGGACTTGGTGTTAGAGTTGACCGTGAAACGATTTGTAATAGATCGAGATAATTTGTTAATATTGCAAAACATAACTTCTTCAATTCACCTTTGTAATCATCAGGACGCATGTAAACACGTTGAATTTGCAGATCTGCTAAAGGACGTATAATCGGTTCCGAATGATCGATTCCACTAACATACGCACCGAACAATTCATAAGGACCCTAAATAACATGCGAAAATTGCAGGGAGAAGTTTTGAAAAAAAAAGAACTGACTTCAATCGGTGGCGGCGGTTGTAGAATTCTTTCATTTTGACGAATGTTATCATCACTGAATAATTCTATATAACCCATAGGTGGTAAAGGAAATGCACTACTCAAAATGGGTGGTGGGTCCATTGCAAAGAAGTAATCTGAAAAAGAAAACGAACATTTCATCACGAATCTGAAAGAACTATCGCTTGTTTAAATATAAAAAGACTCTTTCTTTTTTATCAAAGTCGTTTTCGAATGATTATTGCTATCCATAATAAAGGTAGCAATATAAATGTAGTGAATCTCTGTAGAAGTGTCTTCTGTCCATTTCGGCACTTTCCGTATGTGTAATTCATGTATAAATCGAACTGTTTAACTGCTAACCGATCGCTTTCGAAAGGATACGATGCTCCAAGTTGATGCGCAGCTGCTAAACCTGAGATACAAGCGATTTCATGTGTATTAAACATGGTATATGCTCCGGCGAAGAGCGTTGTCGGACTTTCCTGTTGGAGAAAACGTATCAAGGGAACTGTGAAGAGAAAGTGTTGCCAAACATGCGCAAACTGTCTCCACCAACGTTCGAGTAAAACTTTTCTCTTATCCAATTTGTCTACTGTCCATCGATTCGACTCGGATTTATTAAGAAAGATCGTCTGGAATATATTCAACGACGGATATTTTTCTCGTTTTAACTTAATTAACTCGGGCTGGTAATTTGACAAATTGAACGACATTTCCAATGGACGAGTAGGATCATTAGCGTCGCTATGAATAAAATACTGATCAGAAGCTAAATGAACATTATAATGTTCGTTCATGTAGTCCAGATCCGTATGTGTGTAAGTGACATCATCGAAATATTGTACATTGCCAAGCACGGTTTGTTGCAATCGACTTGGTTTGTCGAGAATCTTCAGGGCATTTTCAGCATCGCATGCGAAAATAATCACATCGAATGTGTCAATCAGTTCATTTGCATTTCGATAAACATTTGTCGACGAGATTCTGGTAACTGTTTCGTTAAAATAAAACTTTGTTTGGCCACCGCTTAATTCCACACAGCGGTCAGCCAATGCTTGATAGATTTCTGATAGTTTATCAAATGCAAACATATCTGCTTGAGAAGCGAGAAGACGTTCAGAATTGTAATCGAATAGCTTCAAGTCAGGATCGAGGAAAACGCGAGCAATTAGTGCGGAACTGACATTGGCTGTCTGATTACCCGTACCAAAAAACAACGCAGTAAGTGGATAGAGCATAGCATTCGTAAAACGAGATGAAAGACAGAATAGTCGAGCGGTTAGCCAAATCGGTATGAAGATGAAAATCGGTTCTAACCAAGAGATCAGTTTCAAGTAGAGACCAAAACGATGAATTTCTGATTGAAGCTCTTGAATTTCCTTCCCATTAGTTTCTGAAGGTAGATAATTCGTCCACGAACGAGAATCCTGTCCAAACGAAACACGCATATGAACAGGACTTGGTTGAAAGTTCACTTCACGATGTAACAGGATCGAGTTTTTGTAACTAGATGACCCACCTTGCACACCGTCGTTGATATCACAGTAAACACCCGGTTGAACTTCGAGATGCTCGGTTGTTGCTACGCCTCCTGCTTGTGGTTTCCGTTCACAAACTGTGACCTCGAATTTCTCGGGATAGCGAGATAATGACCACGCAGCGGACATTCCTGCTGTCCCTGCACCAACGACACATACTTTAGTTTTCTTCATTTCTTCACAAGAAAAAAGAATTCGTCTGACACATTGATTTGATTTGAACATTTCCGAATCAGTGATTGGTCGTTCGTTTGAGTTAATAATGCATTTTTTTTCCAAAGAGACATCTACCGGAAAGGAAGAAAAACTCAGACAATGATAATGTCTGCTACATTCTCACATAAGCAGTGCATTTCGTACGTATGACATACTGAAGTATCAAAGCGCGTGTTATGAGTCATTTGTAAAGAAAATTTCATTTCACATGATTTATTTTACATTTTCAGATTTCACAAAAAGATATTCGTGAGCCATGTTTGCTTTCGTTCAACGCATTTTGGACTGGTTCAAAAGCCTGTTTTGGAAAGAAGAGATGGAACTCACACTTGTCGGCTTACAAAACTCCGGCAAAACAACCTTTGTCAACTTAATCGCATCAGGTCAATACTCCGAAGATATGATACCAACGGTTGGTTTCAATATGAGAAAAATTACGAAGGGAAATGTGACAATCAAAGTAAACGTTTTTCGCATGACGATCTCACCGTACATGACTGAATTCTCTTTTCTAGATTTGGGATATTGGTATGTGTTGAGTATACATTGAAGAAAGTGTTATTAACAAGGAAATTCATTTTGTTCTCTTTTCAATAAAATATAGGTGGTCAACCACGATTTCGTAGTATGTGGGAACGCTATTGTCGTGGTGTGAATGCGATTGTGTATGTAAAGATTATCTGTTTTCCCGACTGATCCTAATTGATGATTTTCTGTAGATTTATGGTTGACGCAGCCGATCATGAGAAGCTCGATGCCGCAAAACAAGAATTCAGTAATCTACTTGAAAAACCTCAACTTCAAGGAATACCAGTACTCGTACTTGGGAATAAACGTGATCTACCCAATGCACTCGAAGTGCAAGAGCTCATTCAAAGATTGTAATATTCTTTCAGAAGTACGATGCGATCATTAATTAAACATACTTTTTCTGTTTTAAGGGATCTTTCGCCGATACAAGATCGAGAAATTTGTTGTTATTCTATATCATGCAAAGAAAAGGAAAATATCGGTAAAAACTAATTGACATTGAAAATTTTGTTCTTCTCATAAATTTTCCTTCCCTTTCAGACATCACACTTCAATGGCTTATTCAACATTCGAAGTCCAATAGTCGTTCGTAAAACAAAATCAACATGTCAGTATTGACAATGATAAGAAAAAGCTTTTAGTTTTCTCTTCTCCTTCATTCCAAACGATTCGAACGGCTTTTATTTTATAAATTCTTCTCCTCTTTGTATAAATCATATATATCCTTTTTGTTCTTCTTCTTTGTCTTCTGTATACGTTTGTCAGTGTTGGTATTTATTCATTTATTTATTTTCTTTTTGATTTTTATTGATTGAAAAAAAGAAACCTACACGAAGGAGAACTTTGCAACGCCTTTCATCTGAATTCGATTGTCATGTTATCATTGCACATGTTGACACTAACAGAGATGGCCAAGTCTTCGCGTTATCTCCATCCAATCTACGTACGACATGAATTATTCAGTCACTACGCACGACTATCAGTTCGTTGCAATTCGTCGTGTTATATAACACAGCCTTTCCTAGCAATATCTTTCTCGTTCAAGGCAAACTTTTACTAATGACATGAAATGTGTTCGAGGCAAGACTGGGCATTGAGGAAAAAGCTAAATGCACTTTAATTGCAAACTTATCCACATGAATTATACTATCATTTTGACTGTTCTGAATACATTACCCATCAATTTAGTTAGTTCATCATTATACTCTCGATGTTTATCATAGTGTAGATTACCGATCTTTGGATTCTGTTTTCTTGTTGACATACCACATTTGTTAAATCAACATAGGGCTGTGAGAAAAAAAACGAGTTCATTCCGGACTTGTTATTTTTTCTTCCTTGTTCAACATCGCGTGTACTAAGTATCATTTTGCACAGTTCCGATGAAAGTTTAGTTGATAAAGGTTACACTTTATTACTTCACGACGATGTATCTAGTTGCAAGTACAACCTCTGCCATACAGTTCCATGCAACGCTTTAATAACTGTGAAATTGATTTGATATTAGTGATGATTGTCGGCATGTTTACGAAGACAGAATGACTCAAACGAATATGTAATTATGTTTTTCATCAGCATTAGTAGCGAACGTAACACTCGTTAAACATTCGTCAGATGGAAATGATACGATGATACTACCAGTAGAATGATACTTGACATGCAGTAGAAACCGTTTGTTATATAAACGTGATGATTAAATCCAAGCAGTTTTTAATGAACTATTATAGAAAAAAAAGAACTTCCCTTTCGTTGGTCTGTTTGTAAAGTGCGTGACAAATTGTGTGTGTGTTACATGCATAATTATCATCACAGATTTTCGACACAGATTAAAGAAAAAAGAAAGAAAACAAACCAGAAAGCGTCACCGGAATGAACGAAAAAACGATGAAGAGCAACAACAGAGCAGAGACTGTAATAACAAGCTGAAAACTATCTCGATGAACGAATTAAACTATCTTCAAATAGTGCTAATAAAAACATAATGGCAATACCGAGTAAAAATCCAATATTAACAACAATAAACCGTTTGACTTCAACTTGTCCATCGGCTAGTAGAGTAGGCAACTAAAATGGATCGAAGAGAGACACAAAAACAAGATTTTATAGACCAATTTCCTTCCAGAAATACATACCAAATCGACAAGTGCAATGTATAAAAACATACCAATCGTAATTGCAAATATCCATTGACGAATATTCGCATCGGATGACAATGCTGCACCAATAAAGAATCCAATGATAGCCGTTGTTGCCGAGAGAAAATTCCATAAAATTGCTCGATAGTGAGAAAATCCAGATTGAATTAATACGGCATAATCTCCTGAACAAACGAAAATACTTTTTTTATTGAAATATCGAAAAGTAGACTTTACCTAATTCGTGAGGTAATTCATGAAAAGCGACTGCTAAGGTTGTAGTGATTCCTAAAACACTATCCTGACTAAATGCAGCACCAATTGCCAATCCATCGGCGAAATTATGAATACCATCACCAATCAGTACCATCCATCCAGTCGATTTTATAGCTAAAACAGAGTTATCAATGTCATCCGGTATAGAATTTCACTTCTAAGATAGACTATCATGCAGCGTTTCACTGTTAGTAGAAAAGATGTGCAAGCAGTATATTGAGATAGAGATTAGAAACATAAACAAACCGCGCATAATACCAGGCGTATATGTAGAATTCACTGAAATTCATATAAGTATAAAGCAAACTATACGGTCATATATTCGGCAATCGTCAGACATGTCGTGACAAGAAAACCACGCAAACGATCAAATTAGAATGAGTTTAATTACTTTTCAATTGTTGTACCATTGGATTTGAGCCTTTCGTCTTTTTTTCTTCTTTTGGATCGGCAATCACAACTGACACTGGTGCTTGATCGTCGTTGGCCGTCAGGTTTCCTTTCGAGTCTGGTTTCAGTAGTGGTGGCCGAACATCATTTGAATATGCACACGGAACGCATGTAAGATTTTTATTACTAATACTATTGTTATTATTGTTGTGAAACGATTGATTTGCAGCAGATATTGACGATGCTGTACTGATCTCATTGGATACGTGTTGATGAAGATTATGATGCATATGATTATGTAACCGGTGACTGTGCTCTAGATCAGCATCGATGTCAAGTGGAGTATGTTCACAAACTTCTCCTTCGGGATGCGAATGATTGTGATGAGGCATTGAATGACTATGGCCATGAGCATGAAAGTGGACTGAGTTCTAAAATCGAACAGAGATTCTCAAAAAATCTAGGTCATGTTTAACTTCGACATACAGCATTTTTGTGTTTGTAATGAGCAAATGAATGAAGAAGAACTTCCAATAGATAAAAACTATAAAGAACTAAATATAAACAAAAGCAAATTTCAAAGAATTTTCTTTCAATTCATATGACATACTTAAAACACTGATTAGCATCTTCCATACATATTCAGGTACCGAAAAAGATGTATGATCGTGTCCCGCATGATCACCATGAAGACCAAGTGCCTAGGAAAAGATGAATCATTCGGTTTTTTTCTCTCTTTTATTCGATCGAATTACATACGAAAGGTATCAAATGAAACATTGTATCACCAAATAGTGTCCCAACTGCGAGAGCAGTGAATAATGTCAGCACATATTGAAAGGAAACTTTGTATAGAATTGGAAATGCTAATAGGCCAGCAAGTGACAATGCCGAGACAATAAAAACAGCTAAAAATCCGTAACCATATTCTATAGTGAATGAAAACGACTTTTGATGTGAAGTTTTCGATTTGCAAGTTTTTACTTTCGAGCGAATTCGGTGGTTTTAGTTTTGACACGGGCGTTGGACGATGGCAATGAGCATCGAGGATCATGTGTGCAAAATCAGCATGACATTCCTGATCAAAGTCAGTTTTGTTAAACGCTTTTGATTTTATTACTGGTGTTTTGCCGGAAACTGAACACAGAGCATATGAAGTATTTGATAACAAACACTATTGCAATGGTGAAACAATAAATTATCATTCAATCATCATTTGCAACTTACTGATTCGCTCGAAATATGATTCGTTAAAAAAATGAGAGCACAAGCCACATGTAAAATATTCATATCTAAAACGAAATCATATTTATCGTGCAAAGCATATTTTCCTAAAACATATCGTGAATCATTTTTTCATTTAGGGGACCTAATCCGAATCACACCTATTTCGTCTGCCGGAGCTCGTATTACATGCAGAACGAAAGGCGTATGGGAAGTATGCGAACAATCCTGACATTCAGTCATGCTTTTGAGAAAAAATTTCGATCGAATACAAAGATAATTAACGAAAGCAAATCGAAATCGTCGTCAGTAGAATAAGTTTTCTAATATCTGTGGATAATCTTGACATGTCATATCGTATTGAAAAACAGCAAGAGGGACTACGCAATGGTAGAAGAAATCTACACATACTCGGAACAGAACAGAGAATGTTCGAAAAAAAACACTACAGAACAAATAGACGAGCAGAAGAATGACGAAGGGAAATAAGAAGAAAAAAAAAAAGAAATCGTACGCGCTTACGTTTGCTTCGCAAGACCATGAAAAAAAACCTTTCTATCCACGAGAACGAGGAAAAAAACTTGCACATTGGGTATAGTAAATGTATTGTTGTTGACGAAGAAAATGGCGGACAACGAGAGAAAATATCCCGACATTCTCCCTCTCTCTCTCGCTTTCTATCGCTACTCTGATATATATTATGTGAACACGCACGCACGTTGAAGAAGAAACACTCTGGCAGCAAAAGAGAAAAAGAAAAAAATTTTCATGCTCGCAACACATGCGCTAAGCATGGAAAAAAAAATATACACATCGGCAAGTCGGTCTAATACAACTATCTATGTATAGACCTTTTTTTATTCAGGAAAACACGTCGAAACTTTACGATCCGATGGACAAACATGTAAACATATGATTCTCGTGATTGACTTCATTGGATATGACCGATAGAAAAAATAAAGCGTCATTGTTCAAGAAAATTTTCGCGTTTATGTAACAGTTCTTATCTATTTCAAATTCGATAATTTCTACGTCATCAAGGGCGAATATTTTGCATTGAAAATCTATTTCGATTTTGCTGATTATGTAACATGCGTTCTTGAGGATTTGAAATTTTTTCATTAACACATTTATACTATTGCACGCTACAGAACGTCTTTTCGAAATCGATAGTCAATATACTAATGATAAGCATATATTACGCGGAGCGAAAGATGCCACTTGGTGTCTAAAGTACAATCTGGGTATAGTAATGGAGAATCAACTTTAGTCGACCGATTGGCTGCTCGCTTGTATTCAGTCAGACAGTGAACCGAGAGAGGAGAAGAAGAAGAGAAAGAAAAAACGAAACGGTTCATTCTTCTCGAGAGAACACTGCCCTTTCTTGTTCAGTGCGAATGACAAGGAGAGAACGACCCACCGGTCATTTGATCATTCTTCTCCATATGATGAACAACATCGTGCTGTAGAAACGTTCATATGAGATACGATAAACGCCATTGTATTTGTTTTTTTTCTCCTCAGTACATAAGAAAATAGTTGACCTTATTTGTCTATTAGATATTGCTCATTTAAACATTCTTTTTTCAATATTTCTAGATGGCACTGTACTTGGTTACAGACGCATTCAAAAAACTTGGCTCGCCAGGTGTAAAAAATGATGATTTCTACGATCGACTGAGTCGCAAATACTCCATGATCTTACTTGGTGTTTCATTTCTCATCATCAGTTCATCGCAATTTATCGGCAGTCCAATCAACTGCTACACGCAAAACATGGCTTCTCATGTAACTTATATCAATTGGGTGTGTTGGATTAGTTCTTCGTATTATCTCCCATTCGATAAACCCCTACCAAATCGTTTTGAAAAAACACCTGAGAAAATGTAAGTAACTCAATTCATGTTCACGTCTTTCAACTATATCTGTCTTGTTTTAGTCCATATTATCAATGGGTGCCATTTATCCTACTCTGTATGATGTTTCTTTTCTATGTTCCTGGTTTTGTCTGGCGTAATTTGAATAAAGCATGCGGTATCAACACGAAAGTGATTACAAAAATGGTTACAGATATGGATCAATTAGATGGTGAAAAGCGTGAAGCAGCCGTGCGTGCTCTAGCCAAACATGTCGATAAGGCCTTAGCATATCATCGCGAATACGAATATGGTTTCATGTATAATGTTCGTCAGCGTGTTGGTTCGATAATTTGTTGTTCAATGGGTCGCCATTCTGGCAATTACTTAGCATTTACTTATGTCTTAGTCAAATTACTTTATATCTTTAATGCCATCGGGCAATTATTTCTTCTGAATGTCTTCATGGGTCGCGGTTTTACATTTATTGGTTTTGAAACCATCCATCGGTGGTGGAACAATCAGGAGCTTGAAGTTGTCGAACGTTTTCCACGTATCACTATGTGCAAATTCATCATCCGAACACTGGGTGATAATATTCAACCGTATGATGTTCAATGTCTTCTCCCAATCAACATTTACAACGAAAAGGTAGGCACATTCCCGACAACAAATAGTCAGAAACTGGTTTCTTGTAGGTTTTTATGATTATCTGGTTTTGGCTGGCATTTGTTACTATTGCATCTGTCTATGGTCTTGTCAAATGGTTCTACTATTTCACAAGTGATGCTCGAATCAACTTTGTTCAACGCTTTTTGGAAGCGAATGAAATTCGTTATTCGAAATCGTCGAAAACTCGCCTGATGATAAAAAATCAAGATGATGATCATGCACCAGTCAAACGTGTAGATGATTTTGTTGACCACTATTGTCGACAGGATGGTCTCCTTTTGTTACGCATCATTAAAAAGAATACGAATAATGTTATTGCTGGTGAAGTCGTTTGTGCCTTATGGAATAATTGGAAAGTTCTACCACAGATTCGTTTCAATACATCATTGGAATCAGATAACGGCGGACAAATTCTTGGCTTGGGAGTTAAAAGTCCACTGAAACAGAATAATTTAGGTGAAGTCAACGAAAAATTATTGCCACCCATGTGAACTATAGGATGATGTCTTTGTTTCTTTTTTGCAATTGGATTACTAATGAAGATGAAAAGGTTGTTTTCTCGTGTATATGCAGAATTTCATAGTTAGATATATGGTTTTCATTATTAATGTATGTATCATTCTCTTACTGTAGTACGTAAATAAAAAGCTGGCGAACTGAAAATCTTCCGGAATGTTCTTCGTTCGAATTTGAACAGGTACAATAGATACTCAGGAAAATTACATTAAAATGATAACATGCCATTCGATCTTAATTGATTCATTTTCGATGAAGTACTTGTGTATAAGTAGTAGAGTCGCAGTTAATCCTGTTGTCAAACAATAGTATACTACATAAAACATTTTCATGGGTAGCTTGGTTATGAACAAAGAGTGGATTAAGTAATAAGTTCAAACATCGACCACATCCATAATAATAACTATTAGTATCAATTGACTTGTTGCACAGTTACAAACGGTGATATTGCAAATATCGATACCACACAATACCTATTGCAATAGAACATAACATATCTTCTTCTACACCTATATTTCTTACATCCATTCATTTTCCCATCTGAAATATTACAAGATTGGATACAGTTGTTCGTCGTGTTTGTCTTGCTTACTCAACTATCGTACTTCCGTCAATCCCAAAATCCCACAGACAACCATTGCCCATATGAACATTATCGATCTTCTTTGGAACGATCACTGCACTAACTATTGTTCGAAAGGATTGTTGAATGTCGGTTAGCGATTGCTGACACGAGTGAATGATCTGTTGAGTCCATTGATCGGCCATTTGTTCATTGTATCTCTTTCTATTTAACACACTTTCGACAATATTTCGAACGAGATCCATCGCTTTTATCACATCGAAATCGTGAGTTACACTGTGAGAATGCTCGACAGACATGAAATAAATAAAGATTTTAAAAAACTGGCGCTCTTCTTTGATCACTCCTGCCATCTATGCCATCGAAATCGAAAACTCATTGATCAAGTAATTTTATTCCAATAGTCCTAGTGTTGAATTCTGATCAACAGAAGTAGTTTTATTCTATTAAATCTCTTTTAGTCGTTGCGATGGCATCTGATTGGTTAGTCTTCGAAATACCATGTGCTAACTTGATACGCTGGCACATATTCTGATCAATCGTACTATTGAATCAATTTCGTAAAATAGTGCACTGATAGGAATGCGGTTGATTTTGAAATTTTTAGCAATTTTCGTCCTTTTGATTGAATCGACGTATTCAATTAGTTTCCACTTGCCAATCAACACAAGAAAATGTCTAAAAGAAGAAATCCACAAAGTAGACGCTCGTCTAACGTAAAGCCTCCTTTCTCTATGCATTCAATTCGATTCTAGGACACAATGGTCACTGGTGATTATGATATAACTGTTCTTCCTGGTTTAATCACTCATCTCGACGTTAAAGATACCAAAGGACACACACTTTACAATAAGGAAGATGCGATCAAAGGCAAATTTGCTTTCACCACTGAAGAATACGATATTTTCGAAGTCTGTTTTGAAACGAAATTACCACATGGTCAACAGCAGCATCACTTATCCGCTCAGCACACAACGAAAGAAGTGTCGATTAAAATCAAACACGGTGTGGAAACGAAGGATTACGATACGTTAGCCAAAGCAAATAAACTCAAACCATTAGAAGTGGAACTGAGTCGATTGGAGGATCTTTCTGCGGCTATTGTATCCGATTTTGCATATATGAAACAACGTGAAGAAGAAATGCGTGATACAAATGAGTCAACAAATAATAAAGTGCTTTACTTCTCGATCTTTTCCATGTGTTGTCTAATGAGTTTAGCTATTTGGCAAGTTCTCTATTTACGACGATATTTCAAAGCCAAAAAGCTCATCGACTAGAATGCATATGTCTCGTGTGCTCAAACAAACATTTAACATTGTTTTTCTTTGCTCGGTTTTTTCTTTTTTTCCTTGTTCTACATTCTGATTAAAAGATGAAGAAACATAATAACTATTATTCGATGTCAACACGGTCTAGTTTTTATTTTCAATTAATCTCGTTCATTTTCATTCTCTTTGCTATTTTGTAGTATAAGTTTTATGATAATGTTTAGATATGGGGTTAACAAAGATGAACAGCATACGATTGTCTTTTTTTCTCATTGATTCGCACAGATTTCTTGGATCTTGTTAGGATAAAATCAGCATAATCTCTTTCGGTCATAAGGTGACTATTTTCACGTGTAAATGCATCATTAGTCGAAACAGGCATGCTGATGTAATCTTGCACAATACACATGCATGCTTACTACCTATGCGTCACTCGTCCGTTATATTTTCGTATATAAAAGAAAAAGAACAACTTGGAGTTTTTATTTTCATTGTCGACATTTCTTCGAATATATCAAATGGCTAGTTCAGTACCATCTTGGGCGCAAAATGCGATGGTTTACGGATCGAATGATTCGTTTTTAATACTCGACATATTTCCGAAAGAGGAAGCAGATGATCTTTTCTACGGTTTACAAAAGGAAGTTGAATGGAATACGATGAGACAAAGAGGTAAACGTGTGCCGCGTGATATTTCCATTCAAGGAACAATAACTATCGAAGATGGAGATGAGTACGAACCACTCTATCGTCATCCAGCGGACGAACAACCTGAACTTGTTCCCTGGACACCTACAGCACTAAAAATCAAACAGAGAATTGAGGAAGTCATTAATCAAAAACTTAATCATGCATTAATACAATGCTACCATAATGGAAAAGATAATATTGGTGAACATTCCGATAAAACGTTAGATATCCTGCTCGACTCGAACATTGTAAATTATAGTTTAGGTACGACATCTTGTTCTTTTCAGTTCTATCGACAAGTGCAATTCTTCTAGGTGCGGCGCGTACAATGACATTAATCCATAAACGTCAACGGGGTCTTCGACAAGATTTTAAACTACCACACAATTCCCTATTTGTTTTGGGTTGGCAAACCAATCGTGAATGGCAGCATTGCATTCGTCCTGATAAACGTCCGAATGATGTCAAAGATCCCGACGAACTTGCTTTCTACGGCGAACGAATCTCGTTAACTTTGCGAAGCGTAGCAACGTTTCTAAATCGTCGAACTAGTCGCATTTATGGTCAAGGTGCACGATTTAAAACGCTCAATGAACATTTTGAAGATGACGAATACAATGACGATGAACTCGACATGGTCCGTGCATTTAGTTCAGAAAATTATCAATCGTCCGAATTCGATTGGCATGCAGCGTACGGTCAAGGCTTCAGTGCACTAAATTTCAAAGTTTTGAATTCAAAACAGAAAAGATAGATAATTGATCTATTGTATTTAACAGTTAACAAAATTATGATATAAAAAAATATTTTTCACTAAGAAAAACACATTTAAAATCCACTTATTCGATGCCATCATCGATCATCACTTCTTTCACTGTGTAAGTTTGAAAACATTTATCGATCTGTGCAAATAAGATTTTCAAACGTCGATCAACAGCGACAAGATGTTCCTCAATAAGAATCTTTGGTAAAATTTCACCGTCATTCAATGAAGCGAAGAGTAGTTTTGAAAGACCTTTCTGGTATAAATTGTATAAACGCATAAATGTTGAGTAACGAAAAAAGCAACACTGACGAATCGGTGCTAAAATCGATAGATCATCGATATCATGCCGACCAAAACTCCGACCATTATCGAGATGAACTAAAGCCGTATTAATACCAAAAGAACTGATTCGCATCATATGGTGCCGATCTAAATTACCTACCAAGACAAACAGATTGAACAAAAGCTGATAAACATGACTCACCTGTAAGAAAATCAAATGCACATAAATCCATCATGTCCAGTAGTAATCGATTGTGATAATCTTCATCGATCATTACATGTTCATAGCAGTAATTTTCATTCGTTTCCCATTCAGCTTTTCGTACGGCACTGTACGATCGTCGGTATGGATGCGTGATCTTTTGCCAATCAACTTCAGGCGGTCGAGGTAGAAGTAATTGAACAGAACCTTCTAGGCGATTTCCTGGTTTACCACAGATTGCATGCGATGTATCACAGTAATAGGAACAATGTCCGCGGAAGCACGTATTGTTTGCTAAAAGAAGGAGGTGCTTATCGAAAGTAGAGCGTAAATGAAAACGAGTTTACCAGGCGAAATGAAAAATGTACTAGCTAACTCTTCAGTTGCTTTATCACGAATATCACTGGTTACATTCAATAAACGTCCGATCAGCGGTGGCACACGATTAAAGCCAAGAACTCTACATGAAAGTACTTTTTATCTATTCGATATCGTTCATAAGCAATAAAAGATCGTACTTGTCAAGATGAAATGCAGCAATTTCTGCATGGTGTCTTTCAATATCGCTGAAATAGAAATGATCTGGTAGCGTTTGATAATTGCGTGGAACTCTAGAAAATATTAAATTGTCATTCAAGAATTTCGATGAATATTTTTCATTTAGAGACCTGTAAGGTTTCAATAAAGCTTGGAAACCATCGGGTAATTGAAGAATAAGTTTTATTTGAGTGCCCTGAGACAGTTCACCTGAAGATCAGAAACAAGAACTATATGATTCCGAGAACATCAAACCGATATTTTCAACATACTCGCTTCGGATATTGAACCATTTTGCAAATGATTCAATAGAGATCGAAATTCTACACTGTTGGGATCATATACACGGGAATTCGTCACAGTTTTCATCTGCTGATACCATGTTGTATTCAATCGTCTGAAAAATAATCATATCAAATGATCAGTGTTAGTTTATCAAACTAGGTGTCGTAACAGTTATGAAAGGAAGTTAGTAGCGCAGCTCTAATGATGATACACACCGGATGCACATGTGAATGAATTTGGCGGACTTAATATCTATTTATAACTGACTAACAAAAGAAGAGTTGAAGTAAGGTCGATATGAACACAGTTTATCGTGATTTATGCATCTCTTTTTATTGACAATTTAGTTAAAAGCTTTTGCGAAATAAGAGACTAATTGAAATATTAGTAATGTTTCCTAGCACATGTCTTTTCTTGCATATAATTAATCTATTCATCGTTTAGGTGCGTTTCTCTGAGCAAGCAGGGAAACAGCTCGATGAAGTCAAATAAATTTGAGTAATCACATTCAATCTCCAGTAGAAATAAAAGCGATAATTTCGAGCGAAACATATATCGAACCTTGTTGATTAACATATTTTCATCATGATCGATACGCTCCAATGGATTAGATATTCAGTAAGCATACTCATACTACTAATACGCATCGACAAGAAGAAAGAGAAACATGTGTTTACTGTCAACACCACTTATCATAATAAAGCATCGTTTCGTAAGCAAGAAAAAAAACGTTCTAATCAAGAAGAATGAGCAGATCGTTTCGAAACACTTACTCCGGATTATCTTGAGCTAAACTTTCGTGCATAATATCGGCTAAACTGATGCTCGTATCATTCTGATGTTCGATTTTCCATTTGGTTAAGACATGGAGAACGAACTGTCTCAGTCGCATTTTATCATGTTGATTGAAGTTCTTCGAAGTAGTCGTGAGATTGATTGGCAATTTCATAGGTTGCTTGTTCAGATCTCCTGAATCACCGGTTTCCATTGGTGTGTTCGTATCACTTCGATTCACTTGTAATGTTTCCCTACGAAACTTTTTCAAATTCCATAGTAAATGATCGAGATTTGCTTGGTGAATTCGATTCTCCCGAACTAGTCGATAAAGTTCATCAATACGATTAGAATTTTTTCGTAATGATTGATGGCGAGATATTTCGGGTAAACCCGGTTTGCTTCTTACAAAACGATTTGGTCGTTCAAGTTCATTTGCTGATCGGAGGAATATACAAAGTGTCGTCAAAGAGAAGAATGTAGTGATCGTTAAACCGACCAGAATTGAAGAACGTAAACGAAGACGTAAGTACCGCATTCATTCATAACACGTTGATAATTTTATGTGTTCTATTCCTGAAAAGATAGAAGAGCATGCTTGGATATGACTTCTTTTTCTTTCGGCTTTTCTATTTCTCTTTCTCTCCTTCTGTATCCTACACACACATCTTATACGAGTCATCCTTCCGACACTCAAATGACTTGATGATTGTTCGCTTGACTACTTTTCTAATATCTATGATTACTTACATAAGAACAGGATAGAACTTGATATCGGTTTCCGATTTCTGTTGTACACAAGCCTCTCGAATCTTGACAAAACTCCTCGTAACTGATTGTTATCTACACACTTCTTAGATATTCAATTAACGTGTGCCGATCGAACGTTTTTCAACCGGCTACTCGTTCACTCTTCGAACAATACATTACAAAATATCGTCACCGTATTTGTTACGTTTTTATGTCCTTGACGATACTCATCTAATCAAATAAATCAAACTAATGAAATTTGCAAAGGCTGAGACACATGATCTGTCAAACTAAATAAAAACTCTCTCATACGAATAAAACAAAAAAAACAAAGTTTCTCCTTTTTTTTTTGGTTGAATAACAAAAGAAAAATGATCGTGCTCTGCTGTATTCTACCAGAAGAATAATATTTCTAAGTTACCGACAGTTGTATGCCGTCTTTCCTTTTCAACGTGTACATGTATAAGCTGTAGAGTGAAGAGTAAAAGAACGACAAGAAAATGTTTGGTTTACATTTATACGTAAATATACAGTCGCATTGAATGATATTAACTTTCATGAGACAAATCGTGCGGAGCATATGGACATGGTATATGCGTCATTCGTTGATGTGTCTATTTTTATGGCGTTCGATCATTGACCAGAATTTTCGGTGATTAAACAAGACAACGTTTGGTGTGTTTTGAGAGAATCCTTATTAAATAACATTGCTTATTAATCAAATTCAAACAGCATGGAAGGTCGTGAATGAGCCCGATGACATTTGAGACAAGCTTGTTTGGAATAGCAGAAGAAGAAGAAGATGAATTGGCTTACGTTTTCAAACTGTCAACTCGGTGATCATAGACTAATTTCCCAGTAGACTGGTTCTATCCAGTTGACATTCTGTGATGAAATTTTTTTCACAAAGATTAACATGTCCGAAAACAACTATCGGAGAAATTTTCAATAGATCCTTCGTATATCGGTTGTTGATCGGATAATTCAAACAGAGAAAAGGTCTTGTGGGAAATTAGATTGTCATTAGCCTGATTTTGCCATTCGTCTCTTCCTACGAAGCCAAAAGCTACTTTGAGTGATGCAAGAAAGTCAATAACAAAGAAATTTTCCTTTATCAATAGAGAATAAAGTCCTACATGAAACTGATGATTACCACTGACAATTCCTACTAGTTCCCCTATGGAGTCATATTCTAACTGTAAACTGGCAATTCGATTGCTCAGACCCGGATATATCTTATCGTAAATTCTACAAGTTCAGACGAGGAAATAAATAGTCATTTCATTTCAAAGTGGATGCAAGTGATGGCCTTTTACTCTTCATCACCAGATTCACGTCCTCAAGATGTGCTGCTTTTCAAATCTTCTTCAGAGGGAGCCACCACATTGCAATTCGTATTCTTTGTACTTAATTTCAGCTACTACAGGCAAAAGAATTACGACAGTCCAATGTTTCAGAGTATTACCTAGACTCTCATAGATGTTCTTTGTTATAAACAAACTGTAAGGTTCACCTCTAACCAATCCAATCGATGCTATAGACTGACTCATCGGGATTTTTCGATATGCAAAGAAATAAATAGAGTTTCAGATAGAAAACTTGTTCGTCAACAGAAAATGAATCCTGTAGAAGAGAGACATTTACAACTGATTGAAACCATATTCAATCGATTTTTACTTCAAACTCAATCGGACAATCCCCAACTATCTCGTGATTACTTTGAACGATTTACTCAATTGTTGAATGAAACCATTCAAAAGTATCCTCAATTGAAATTGTCGATTGAAACGTTCATTTCGAAAATGATCTACCCGTTTCACCTATCAAATATCGTTACATTTGAATACCAACTTCGTTTGATACGTTATTCCTTCCGACGACATTTACAAATTCTCAAATTAGATCATCATGATTTTCTCAACCATCTCTTTTATCATTCATTACTCGATCAGTCAAGCATCGTTCGACATTTATCATTGCAAATCGCCATTCTCGTCTACGAACAAGATCTTTTCCAATCATTTGATGAAACTTTTTTCACACGTATCATTCAACTGTTCTCCCCAGATCCAAATTTATACGTCCGAAATACTCTCGCACAATTTTTAGCTCTTTATATCTCTAAACACGACCAACATCAACTATTCAATCAGATTCAAAAGCAATCAAGCAATTCAGATCTTACTTACAACATTTTAACCCTTCTCGATGAAACTAAACAGCAAGTATTGATCCAGGAACTGAACATCTATGAACATCTAGTGGATAGCGTAGCCACACGTGCATTTGTATTAAAAACTGCTAAATATCTCGTGAACGAAGACCAATTAGTATTTTATTTAAATCAAATCCTGAGAAAATCCCTATCAGATTATGTTCATATGCTTTTATCGATCATCTCCTCTCGTTATGAACACAATCAATCGATCAAAAAGCTGACTGCGTATGTCAAAGCTCTTTTTCTTTATATGCAAGAAACCGAGATCGAAGAGATTGATGAAAATGAACAGACAAGTAGCTACAGATCTACTTCAAACATGAACACAACTTTCTCTACTTTTTCTCTAGTGAGTCAAGAAGATGAATTCGGTGACTTAACAGAATATCTCTGCTGTCAGCTATACGAACAAGGTATCGACCCTACTACAGTGGCTTCGACTGTGTTCAATGTGATTCATCCATTCATTGTTGATTCCAGCTCATTTCTTTACAAATTAGACTTCTATTCCTCAACTATTTCGAAGATGTTAGTCGGAGATCATTACTCGGACAAACTCCTTGCACAACTGATCGTTTGCTTTGAGAAATTACAACAATCCAACGAAGTATCCATAAAAATTCTTATCGATCATGTCAAGACCCGGCCCCAAACAACGCCTGTGTATCAAGCCTTGTTCAGTTTAATCCTCCATACAACTAATAACAAAGATTATCTCGAAGCAGTTGGTACAATCATTGAAACATTAACTTTTCAAGATTTGGATCAATTATTTCAATGGGATAAGAAAGATTGTGTCTTGCACTTTCTTATTCAACTAGTCAAAGCATCTACTGACTTGCCATCTTGGCTGACCATCGAATTTCTTCAACGATTAGTCGAAAAACTCGTTCATAACACGAACGAATATATTCAAGGTGGTTTGATCGATTTTCTGGCGACCTTAGTCGAATGTAGTTTACTTTCTCCATTCGACAATTACCTCACATCAAACTTTATTCAACTCACCGAAGATTCACTTGGCGATGTGGTTCGCTGTGCACTGGCTCATGCTTGGTATATTATGTTGATCAAAGCGAATGTTAATCCAACGGGTGAAAACAAGTACGAATTTTCATTCGGAAATAATATCAATGAGAATTCTTTGTCGACGACTGTGATCAATCAAATTCCATTGCTGATCGGTGATGGTGGTCAGGAGACAGAGATTCAGTGTCTGCAGCTGATTGAATATCTTGGACCAAGAACGAAAGAATTAGAAAGTGTATTAGATTTCTTGGTCAATGATGGATGTTCGGATGAAATCAAGGAAAAAGCAAGTCGATTATTGTCCAAACCAATACAGAAGAAGATGGAGGAGATTTTAGAAGATGAACTTTCATCCGTTCTTCATTGGTTGGAGCATCCTGATGAGCATATGATACTCGACTGCGATTGAACAAGCGAGAAACGAATTCTGCACAGATTTTTGTCTTGTTCTTTGATATGATTTATTATTATATGAAATTTTCTTCCGTGTATAAAAGAAAAACAAGCAAAAAGAAGAGGAAAAATATGCAAATTTTGTTTCACTTAACACATATGTTGAAAGACTATTGCACAAAGAGGAAAAAGCTACCAAAATCAAGGAAAAACAAAACGTTCTGGAATACAAATATATAAACAAATCAAAAAATGTTCATCATCGAAAGAGAAGAAAACAAATCATATCTATCTGCAAATAAAAAAAAAAGCTTACGATTCAATTTATCTGTTCGCCACGGCATACTGGACATCGAGTTGATGTCTAAAACATACTTTCACCTTCGATTTCTGATAAATCTTACAAAACTTTCTTACTTTCAACCATGGATCGATACATTCACTGTGAAAGTTGTGTTTACAACGTAGATGTTTGACTTTCTCGCCCGGATTGTATTCGCTCAAACATATAGTACATTTTTCATCTGAAGAAACATCTGCACATGTTGTCGAATAGATTGTTGTTGGTATTCGTTCGAGTTCTGTATCAGTTAAACCAACAACTGGCGTTTCATCAGGAATCGTCAAATCAAAGAAGTCCTAGAGGAAATATATGCAAACCTTGATAGAAAAAAAAACAGTCTATTGCACGGAAATCTTACACCGAATTGCATATTGAATGTCGGCGGTAGAGAGACGACTTCATGACTGGGTGATATCCATGCATATGCAATTAGATCAATCGATGCCGCTGGTGGATGATGGTGCATATGATTATCACTGTACGAAGCTGCATGTGTATCGATGACACGACTAAAGAGCAGAAATAAGCGGTGATCTTTTTGTTTTCAAAATCGATCTATTTACTGAAGTAAATTAGTAAGAACAAACGCTGGCGAAGGCCGTTGATGTATATGCGTAGACATTGATGTTTGCTGATAGAATGGAGCAGGATGATATGGTGGAGATTCAAATATCATTCCATTTTGATGGTAATGTGTGTTTGGCGAAGGAGAAGGCAAAGGCATTGATTGACGATAGGTCGTCGTCGAAACATGTGGCGAATGATGATGAAATTGAGCAGAACGATTATGTGTTACTATAGGATTAGTAGTAGATCGCTGATTTCTATAGAGTACAAAAGAAAGACTTAGAAATCATTGTGCGAGGATTAGTTTTTCTTACGATTGTGTTGGATAATGTTCGTGTTCGTTATGTCGTGAACGCTTGCGGTCATATTGACGGTGATGAGATTGAAAATTCGATGTTAATGATGCTCGTTGACGTTTAGTACGATTATCCTGATAATAAGGTGGTCGATGTTGATCTTCCCAATTGCCAGCAGACCACGGCGGACGACGAGCAAAAGATGTAGCTGAGGAATTTTCGAGACCATAGTGTGGAATTGATGTTGATACTGTTGTAGCAGTCTGTACAAATGAAATTCGCAGTGAAATAGAAAAAAAAGAAACGTTGATTATTACTGTGGGACGACTTAGAGGTATACTTAAGCGCCGACTGTTGATTTCTCGGTATGGCACATGTTGATAATAAGAAGAATTGTTGGGTGTTGATTGTCGATATCGTTGAAATGGGTGATTCTGTGAGGAACTATGATGCGAATGATTTGAATATTGACGAGACATAACAAATGGAAGAAATATAGAAGTATTTCTTAAGTGTATTTCGATTAAACTGAAGAAGAAAGACAAATTCCACGTGGGTTTCAATGATTCATATCGATCCAATTGAAACTCTATGCCATGAACGAAACTAACTAGTGACATCTAATCTTCTTGTTCCGAACAATTATGTTTGAAGTGAATGAAAAAAGGTGACAACTTTCGTTCGTTTCATATTTATTTAGTTAATTAAATCGTTCAAATCATCAGTGCAGAGAGTATAAATCAAGAGACTAGAGAAAAAATCGTTCGCAGTGATTGAGCAGATAAAATCGATCATTCATCATCTTGATTTGCTATTATCGAGCAACTTTCATCCATTCGGCATAATTCTAAACGGTACAGAGATAAATTTCGACGGAGTTTTGCATTCAAACAAATGATCTACCTGTGCCGCAGCAAACTCTGTTAGCAGCGCATCGACCATTTGGTACGGTCGAACAAACTGCGCCTTTGATTAAACATGGGACGGTGCTTTGACTTTCAACAGAACACTGACGAATGTCCGAAGGATGTCCAATACGACAACCTAGACTCGAGCAACAGATAGATGGTCCAAAGCATTGCCCATTCATTCCACAACGAGGACACTGAAACAAACAACACAAAAAGAAATACTATCTCATGAACATGTCTCGAAGACATCTCTAACATCATGTGTAAGATGATTGAGTTTAAAGGATGAACTTCGTTTGCCACCGATGGGACAATTGGTGATGTAACATGCGTAACTCAATTGTACAAGAATGACCGAAAGAATGAGTACGGTGAATTTATGCATAATCTAAACGATTGAATAGCAATGCTGTTGTCGTTCGCAATGCACATACTTTACTCTTGTGGTATGATATATCGATAGCGAGGAAAAAACTTGAAATGAATTTAAGGCGACGAGCAAGTATAGACTTTGAATATAAATGGCAAAAAAAGAAGTGTGACGAGAGATGAATTTTAAGTATGTTCACACTGATAGGATAAAAATCAAAGTAGGGTAATAATTCAATAAAATTTTCAAAGGAAAATTAACACTTTTTTCTATAGACATATTAGTCGAACGATATTATTAGTAGTTACCGATCGGATATTTCATTTGCACCTAAAATTAACACGTCTCACTCATGCTCGAATTGAATTCTTTCTATTGCGTAGTTATTTATTTTGCTTGAAACATAAATACAAAATATCGAGTAGAGTCGATCGTCTCATGGCTTATCTTTCTGAGAATCTTCGCCAAGCAAATGACACAATTCGCTTAAACGCCGTCGTATTGAAGGAATACCGGCCAGTTGAGCTTCTAAACGTTCTTTCTCATCTCGGAGTGTCAAGAGCTTTTCAGGATTGAGAACTTCAAACGTCCATTGACCTTCACCGTGAAATTGTAATAAATGTGTATGATAAGCCCTATCAGAAAAATACAGATAAGAGTAATTCAAATTTTCAGATGAGTTTACCAAAGAGAAGGTCGATGTGTGATGGTCAACAGTGTAACACCTAATTGTTTAGCTCGTTCATAGATCTTTCCTTCGACATCAGCCGATACTGCGCTAGTACATTCATCCAAAAGTGCATATTTCGGTTTGTGATAGAAGATTCGAGCAAGACCAAGACGTTGTTTCTCTCCGCCTGAAAGAATATCCTTCCAATCACGTTCGACATTCAATCCACCTTCGCGCTGTACTATGTATTGCAATTCAACATTATTCAAAATTTCCATCAGATCATTATCGTTAACGAGTATTTGATCAACTGTATGTGGATAAATGATCTGATCACGTAAGGTACCCGGACACATGTAGGGTCTCTGGGGAATGAGAAAGAAATTCGATGGATTTGGTCGATGTAAACGGCCAGAATGGATCGGCCATAGACCTCGAATGATACGAAAGAAGGATGATTTTCCACAACCATTCGGCCCGGTGATCAAAACATGCATCGCCGATGTAATCTAAATCGAATCGGATCAATAGTTTGTCTGCTTGTTGTTGAGAATGTTTACCTTTAAAGAGAGACTTTCGACAATGATATCACCATTAGGCGTAATAATTGGTACATTCTCAGCAATGATATCTTCAACGGATTCAATAATTTCACCTTCTATTCAAAACAGAAAAAGAATGGTTTGTTTTCTATTCATTTTTCTAGAATATCTTATCTGACTCGCTTGTTGATTCAAAACAATTCTCCGTTGTATTGCTGTGATTGATTGATCATCTGTAGTCACTGGAATTCGTTGGTATCGTTCACTCGCACACTCGTCAAATACATGTAACATTGTGTGAACTCGATTTGTGTACCCTGCTAAGACGGCAATCTAACAACACAATTCGTCTTTCCGATCCACACGATCTTCTATATTTACCTCTTTGTACGACGATATAATACGTTCTACTGCATCAGCACCTGATTGTAATAAACTTTTACTAACCGTATATTCTTCCGTTCGAGTGCTTATTCCAACTGACTCATTCACAGAATCTATAAAGAAAGTAGACGGTTCGCATTTATTCAGCTATTTCCTTGGATAATTACCTTCGGCTGGTGCTGGGTCACGATATGAAAGCATCGGTATGGCAATGAAGACCATTCCGCCTGAATGAAAAGATTTAGCAAATCGATTCTTCAAATACTTGAAATACATACAGGAATGCCAGAAATATTTCATTAGAAATTGTTCAAGCATGATGAACCATAGCTTTTTTTTAATAATTACATTTGTTTGTACTCGCAATTGATTGTATAGCTTCAAAATCCAAGTTTTCTCCACCTAAACTCCAGTTTGTTCAAACTAATGTTAACAAACTCTTCTTTCTTACCTCGTGTCCATCGAAAAAAGCAATCTCTTCCGCATTAGTTATAATTCTTGCATGTGCAAATCGTAATAAACCACGTTTTCTCGCTTCTTCGGAGACAAGTTTGCCGAATCGCGGTGAAAGTTTCCGAAGTGCCCAAAATGTCAGAAAAATCACCAATGTCGTTAAAACAGGAACTTCTATCAAACAGAAAACAAAGCACCGACTGAGCATTTTTTATGTTTCAATTCACCTTTGAGACCCCGTGCAGTTTGCTTTTGTTGGACCATTACCACAAGAGTCCATGAGATAAGTGCGACATCAAGAAATGGTTTCGTCAACTGAGAAAAGAGATGCGTCAACGTTGTTGTGAATGTCTCAATGTCATCGGTTAGATTTTGATCTGGAGTTAATAAACGTGTGTCTAAGTTGGATACACGGTAATACGTTTGATTCTAAAGAAAGAAATCTCTTCGATAAAGATCCTTTCAAAAGAAGCCTACATACGCGAAAATAAGCAGCATAAGCATAACGAGTTAGTTTCGTTCGAAATGCCAGTGCTAACTTGGATTCGATGAATCGAATAAAACTATTGATGAAACTCGCTGGCACGGAAACAAGTAGAAAAATACAGATTGTACGAAGAAAATCGCGATGATTTCGTTGTACTAAAGATTTAACTATAGCACCATCGAGATGTGCAATGGATATCGAAAGAAACGTCCGTGACACCAGTGTTGTCAGATGTATTGCTAATAAAGCAAACGAATCACTTCGTACTCGTGGAATAAGGATCGGAAGTAGTCGACATAGTTGATGATAGAAGCGTTGGTTCACTGAAAGTGTTGCAGGCGAATTTGTTATTCGAAGTTTTCGTCTTAGGATCACATATCGATAATATCGACGAAGAACATAAATAACTATCGCGCATGTTGATGAAAATAGCACGAGTTTTACTCGACGAGACATTTCGAATGATGCGGTGTTGTTGTCAATCGATTGATTCGGGAGGGAATGACCAATGAATACAAATTTCACTCAACCGTGAACACTGTTCTCTCGCATCGTTTTCATAAGATGTCATCCTCTCCAGTTAAGAAGAATAAAAATTCACTTGTACACGCAGACCATCACGTTCATTCAATAGAAAAGAAAATGTTTTGTTCAACTGGATTTAATTTGAATAGGACCAGAGGAACTTTCATGTTCGTTGATAGTGAAGAAGGCAAATGTGTAATATGAATGCATAGATATGTTTTCCTGTTCGTCTATCCATATGTAACAGATGAACAGAAAAAGAGAGGGAGAGAGAGAAGATATCGATCTTATTCTATTCTCACTTGTTGCGATATGATATATATATATGGTTGATGATTAGAGTTTGATTCTACTCATTTCGTGAGAAAGTCATACCTAATCAATGGCATGCGAACACACACCAATGTTTGAAGAAAGTTTTCTTTCAATGGATTTATTTGATATTGATAGTGAGTTCGATTTGAAATGGTGATTTTGATTGTTGAAAATTTATCTCTTCTAGTTCCGCTTGATCTTGATTTGATCTTCTTTCCATTTGACATATCCTCTGAGGATCAGGATCCGATGTTGTTTGATGAAATCTTATCAAAATGTGATTCGGATACTGAACAAAGTAATCGATTTGAATTGGCAATTTGGCGTTTGAATACACTTCTTTTTTTTCTAGAAGATACTCTCAGTCATATGGCTATCGAACAAAAACCTGTAAGAAATTTTTATTCTTTGTTTGTTTTACTGTTGACATTTTCGTTTAGATCCAATTGGATTGTAAACCTCAGCATCAGATTTCGCTTTCATTCATCAATCCACCGGAATCCTTCTATCACGTTCGATATCTGAGTGAAATAGCCAATCTGACACTTGACGACGATTCTGTTGATACAAAAGGGCGAATGAAGAAAAACGTCTCTGGTCGATATCTCAAAGGCACACATGGCCGACATATCACCGTCACAGTAGGTGCAGCTGACGTAATAGAAGAGATCGAGTTCGAATCGTTTTCGTGTTTTAGTTGCCAACAATTCTATCCGAACATTCAAATCTCTATATTCGTGTCACTCGTCTAACAGTTCCTTATCAAAATCGATCATTTATTCATCCATATCCTCTTCTCTATACGTATAAGAAGAAGAAGAAGAAGAACAAGAGCAAGATGCAATGCTCTGATGTCATTCTCGCCAATTCATCAATCTACTTTCGAATCAACAAAGAAGAACTTTATTCACATTCCAAATCGTGAGTGATTTGATATTGTTCATTAACGGACGTGTCATTATCTCGTTACTCTATAGCTTTTCTCATTTGATTCTAACTCGTCTCAAGCAATGCCATCTCAAACACATAAACAGTTTGATTGCCTTCGGTGAGATAAGATTCAATCAAATTTGAAATGCTCATCAATCATGCTGTTTATTTAGATGACTCTGAATTATCTTATCCATTCGAAGGAGCAAATGCGAAGAGTAAAATTGCCTTATATCAATTGAAAAAATCGCAATTAGATTTTCGATTGGTCATCAAATCAGAACAACCAGACACATTCTCTAACACTGATATCTTCTGTCGATCGAATGAATTGCTAGAAGGTAAGATGCGCATGTTTGATTGATTTATACTTTTCATAATGATCTTCTTTCTTTTAGAGGAAGGTGTCGAATGCAAAAAATCATCCACTTTGTAGACTATTTTATTGTCTATGTTTATTCCGTAATAAATCATTGTGCATTGTATACTTTTTTTGCTTATTTGCCTCCCATTGTTAATATAGTGAGCATTTGTGCTGATAATTGATGAGCAATTCTTCTTTCGTGATTATGATTGATGAGCTAAGAAATGGTCTATATCAAACGAAAAGCAAAGAGGCATGGATAATTCGCAGATGTTGCATTTTCATTTTGCTTTCCGAAGGTGTACTAATTATCGAAATATAGGTTGTCTTGAAGTCACACTCGCCGTCAAAGGTGCAATTTCGGCAGAGTATATCTATTCGTGATTTACATAAAAATTAATGCGCTGAACAGATAGATGTTAAGTGTTCATCAAAAAGATCAGTGAGAAGGAACGTGTAGATTAATGAGTCGAGAAACCATCACTTTCATGTGAATGATTTCAAAAAACAATACGAATCTCATTTATGCGTTCGAAAATTACATAAAATCAGTCGAAGTAACAGATGGTCATTTGACATAACTTGATTTCTTCCATATGTTTCAAGAACCTGAAGTTGATTTTCTCCAATACGTGCGCGTATGTCTACCGAGATGTGAATTTGCAGCAGCTCACTAATGAGCGTGCACGTCTTATGTTTTCTTCTCATCCTCATTCTGTGCGTTGTGTAGCGCCATCTATTGACTGCACAAGAGTTTTCAAAAGAAAAAACGTTACTTATTTTATCCATATTTTCAATAAAAAAGCAAAAAAATCTCGAAGAAAATAATTTCCTAGCGTTTTTCATTTCATGAATGTTTCACAAAAAAGCACCCTCAAGACGCACAAGAGAGTCCAATGGTACTATTTCGTTGTTATTTATTCTACTTTCATTACTGAAATTTTGGATATCAAATATCCTCTTTTCTTGTGTATATATTCATAGACAATTTAACGTGTGAGCATTTCCCGTTGTCAAGATGTCTCAACGTACTCGTTTCGGAAAAGCATCAGCCGCCTCAAACAAGTCTCCATCGAAATCAAAGGCAAAATCTCGAATGAAAAAAACATCCAACAAGAAAGTCTCACCGACTAAACGTCATAATGAATCGACTTCGACTAATCTCACTCAACCGAGACAGAAACGACTTTCTAGTCTGACTGCAGCTGCATTAGTTCACTATTGTACAAGTATTCTTTCACCCGCAAGAAAAGTTACACATGCCAAGAAAACTTCGCCGAAAAATGTAAGACTGCAATCGAATTGTTCAGAATCGTATTTTCTATTTCATCTTTAGACAACTGTACCTGATCGTAAACGAAAGATTTCCAATGTTTCGTCAAAATCTGAAACAAAAAATATACCAGCTGATATTCAGACACGTACGCGTCGAGAAGCTAGTTTGCGTGCATCAGCAATGATCATACAACATAATGAAATTGAGCGTAGTCGTTACAACTATACACTCGCTAACAATCAAACCACATCAGGAACTCGACGGCAGCGTACGCGAAGTGGCTTGAATAGCAAAACGACAAGTCCAACTGAAGAACCGAAACAAATTCCGAACGAACAATTCAAATTTAACATTCCATCTGTACCACCACTTCCCATTCCTGTACCATCGATAACTACCGTATCCAATCAAAGTGATCATACTCAATCATCGCCCTCGGTAATTGCGAAGCCAACTGACCAGGGCTCTTCGTCAAGTGTCAAATATCCATCCTTAACTGAAGCAGTTCTAGCAGAACATGATCGTTTAAATGAAACTCTACCGTCCTATCATACAATAAAACACGATAATCTAATCAAATGGACACAAGAATTGGCACTCTGTGGTCGACTATCACCACATGACTTTCATATTGAGTCTATGGATGATATAACAGACAGTCAATCTCTTAAAATGCATGGTAATACCAAGGAAATATCAAGTATGAGTGCTTGAAAATCTCTCGGATAAAAATATAACGATGTGTTTTTTAGTTTCGTCAATGACGGATTCCATACTTTCGACAGAATCGCTAACGAATCATCCTGTACCAGCTCCATCGTTTATCTTTCCATCAACTGGCTATCCTCTCGATTTACGTTCGTTCTATCCTCTTTTGCCTTGTTGGCAATATCCGGGTAAGCAGTCAAATCAATAACTGGCAGTTGATGATTGTCGAAATTTGTGTGAATGTTTATATTTATTGGAACTTTGCCTGTATTATATAAGAACAAGTTGAGTTTTTTACAATAGTAATTTGATTTATAATGAAGACAACAAAGATTTTCTTTTTTATTTTGTTATTTCTGTGATATAATAATCCTCAAAAGAAAATCGCAACACCAATTTTCATTACCATCTTATTCAATTTTTGTAGATAGAAAAAGATACTTTTACTCCGAATGATAACAGATATTAGGTACGTAGATCTTTGGGCAAACTTACATGTACATTGCCCGACACCGATCTTTCTATTCGCTTTTTCTCATTTCCCTTGTTTTACCTATATTGATTACTTTCATCGTTAGCAGCGAATATACAATCAGTTCACTCAATTTTCTCTTTATTTTTTTTTCTAGCTTGGTCTTATCAATCTTCCGCATCATTGTTTCAACCAACACCGAATAAAATACCAGCGAAGAAATCATTGTCGTTCAATTCCAAACCCAAACCGACAGTTTCTACACGTAAACCCAATCAAGATTTATCGTCAACATCGAAAAACGAAGCATTGACATTCCACTTACACACACATCATCATCATCATATACACAATTCCAACTCAACCTCACTCTCCAAATCATCCAATCGTACAAAAACGACCACCATACCGTTATCACCCGACAAACCATCTTGTTCTTTACTTAATCCTAAAGAACAACTCGTGGAGAACAAAGTTATTCTACCCTTGAGTGTTAACAATGTTGTACACAAAGAATATCCATCAATAACGGAAGATGATGTTTTGAATCTTTCGATAAATAATAATAATAAATCGAATGTCAACCAAGAAAATGGAACGACGAAGAAAACGACACGAAGAAAATCGTCTCCAGTGAAAAGGCGTGTTACTACTAGTGGAGTCAAACTCGAAACGTAAGAAAACAAGAGCGTACCGTGCACACAATTCATTCTTCTCTTCTATTTTAGAACGCCCATTAACACGGAAATCTTATCACCAAGGAAAGCTTTAGATCATAATCAAGCGAATGTTATTCAACCGGTATCGAATCAGTTGTCGATTATTGAACAAAAAGTTGTTCGGCGCTCTATTAAACGTCGAAGCGTATCCGCTGCTGCTGTAACTTCGATGACTGTAGTATCTCCAACACGGCGAAGCTTGCGTGGAAATCGTACGATATCTGCATCAAGTGTTCCATCGCGGTCGAAATCTTCGTTAAATCGAAAACGATCGTATTCACCAGTCTCCCACACTTCACTCTCGCCGAATAAACGAAAAAAACCAAAAATTTCCTATTATTGGGCTTTGTTTGGGAAATCGTCGCGACAACTTGTTTCTGTTCATGTAAGTTTCCATTCATTCATTCTTTCGATCTAATCTCCTTATTTCTTTTCTAGGCTGATAAACCACCTGTCTTTCGTGAATGTTATTCATCCATCCGACATATAACAGAAAAAGATGTGATCAAGTCCAACGATTGTGTTATCCTACGCCCTGAAAGTGGTAAACATAATGGTGCTACACCATACCTAGCAAAAGTGAAATGGTTTTGGGAAGAGCCAACATCAGGTATTGATTTTCAAAGGATTTTCGTTTATAATCTATCGTTCTTTGTCTATAGGTGAAATTCAAATGTCATTGCTTTGGTATTATCATCCAGAACATACGGAACTTCCTGCACGTGTGAAAGGACGATTCTTATTCAATGAACTCTTGGCATCCAAGTACTCAGATTGTGTGAATGTTGCATGTATCGAAGATAAATGCTATGTTCTAAATTTAAACGAATACAATCGGTAGGAAAGCTTTTGTTCGGCAGATGAAAGAATCATTGGATGTGATCGTTTAGATATTGTCTTCGTGAAGCGTCGCCAAACCTCTTTGAACATTCTGAAAGTGTTGGACAATTGAAAAATTTATTAAATAAAAACACTTCGTCTGTTCATCATCGACCCTTACCGGCGAAAACGGTCGGTAGCCAAAACGTATTTTTTTGCCGTTATGTGTACGATTATCGCGCGAAACGCATTTCCAAAAATCCAAGTCTGACGAATCCAAATACAACAATGACTTCGAACTCGTGAATCTCCTACAATTCTCTTATTCCCGAAATCTTTTTTTATGATTGTCGATAAACAAAAGAAATGTGTGTGATACGTTCTCTCATGGGTTGATTAATTCTTGCTTTCATTTGCGGTACTGTTCATAGCAATCATTCTTGTTGAAATCTCTACTTCACATCCGTTTTCTTCTTTTCCTTGTTCGAAACAAAAGCACAACATGTGCTTGTACATAAGTTTTATTTGTCGCTCGTGTTGTGTGCGTATATACATATAAGAAATATTTTCAATCCAATGTTTTGTCTTGTTTTAATATGACTGTTCATATTTCTAGATATATATATTGAGCAAACATCATGTCGGCTAAAAGAGGTCGTGGAGGTGTTGGTGGAGGAAAATTCCGCATTTCACTTGGTCTACCAGTCGGTGCAGTGATCAATTGTGCCGATAACACAGGTGCAAAGAACTTGTTCGTCATCTCGGTTAAAGGTTTCGGTGCACGACTCAATCGATTGCCAGCTGCTTGTGTTGGTGACATGATCATTTGTAAGTGTTCGAGACGAAGGAAACGGTTTTTTTGATAGAATATCTTTTTGTTTAGCCACCGTGAAAAAGGGTAAACCCGATTTACGTAAAAAAGTCATGCCTGCCGTCGTTATTCGACAACGTAAAGCATTTCGCCGAAAAGATGGTACCTTTATCTATTTCGAAGACAACGCCGGTGTTATTGTCAATAACAAAGGTGAAATGAAAGGTTCAGCCATCACAGGACCAGTAGCAAAAGAATGTGCCGATTTATGGCCGCGTATCGCTGCTAACGCTCAATCAGTGGCTTAGAAATCAACCAACAATTTCCAACATCACGACAATAATATCAACGACAGCCACAACATTACAGATCAACAAGAAGATAACAATAGCATATTGTTTGTTTGTTATTTTGATTTATAAGATCTTATCGAAAAAAAAAATACAAGCGTATTTTGTGGAACAAAAAACACACGCATCATTGTTTCATTTCATTCCAGACTCTAAATGAAGAAGCGCTCGAGAGAGAGCTGCTAGTGTCGAAAGAGTAGAATGAGGATCCTCGATGGTATGTTTCAGCTCGTCGAATTGTTTGAGAAGAATCATTTTTCGTTCATTATGCTCTCTTTGATTTTCATGTTCGTTCAATATTTGCTGGTTGAGATACATTTGAGAACGCTTTTCATCCCTTCGATAGAGAGACAAACGTTCGAGACAGTTTTTCATTTCATTGATACCACTTGGATTAGTAATCGATGGGAGTTGATGGGTTCTTTGTTTATTATGTATGGCTACTTGATCTAGTAGACGTTTTTGCGTTTGTGTCGAGATATTCAATAGTTGTAGTTGAGTTTTCATACGCATAACACAGTTTGATTTGATTATTTTTTGCTGCTCGTCCATATCGTCACGTTGAACATAACCACTGTTCTTTCCGTGAAGATTCATCTTGTGATGAAACATTTCTCGACGATGTCGATAGAGTTTTAACTTTAGCAAATGATCTTCAGTAAGGTTGTTTTCTTCTATTTTACGTTGAATATTTAATCGACGGTGAGTGTGCATGATTGCTTCACAGTTTGTTGCCATTTGTTTTCTGATGTGTTTATTGACGGCGTAGTTAATAATTATATATACTTTCTTCGAAAAACTTCCTGGACTATAACCTTCAAATGAAATTTAATTACTATTTTGCTGTTCTAGATTTTCATATATGACGTCATTCATCGACAGCTTGGCAGCAAGCGAGAAAACAGCCGTAGTTATCGATATTGGCCATGCATATACCAAGTAATGTAGTTCTCAATAGCAGTTCAGTTCTAATGATATGAATGTAGATGCGGTTTTGCTGGAAATTCTTCCCCGCGCCATATCGTTCCAACGACAGTTTCGATTCGCGGAGAGGTAAAGCCTTTGTCTTCACTCAATTTCGTATAGTTTTCCATTGTTCTTTAGACAAAACGTGTTTTTGAAGACAACTTAGACCTAGCTAGCTTACGTGAACGTCTCACGGAATTCATTCGGCTAGTCTACTACAAGTATGTTGCTTCTTGAATGATACCATTCAAGTTCATTTTCGTGTTGTTTAGATACAACATCGCCAACTGTCGTGAGCGGCGTGTAGTAATTGTCGAATCAGTAATTACACCTACACGTATCCGGCATTTACTTGCAGATATATTATTGAAGCAGTTCGAAGTTTGTTTTGGAGTAAATTGACCTTTATTATCCTATGCAAGTTCTTCTCTTCGATAGGCATCATCTCTTGCGTTTGTTTCATTACATCTGGGTGCAACGTATACTCTGGGTCGAAGTACTGCTTTGGTACTTGATGTCGGTTATATAGAGGCACAAATTATGCCGGTAGCTGAAGGCGTACCATTGGCAGTTCAGTTCGATAGTTTATCATGTGCAGGTCAAGCAATTCATAAGTAAAAACTTTAGTGATATATAAATAAAGAAAAGTAATAACCACATTTTTCATAGACAAATCGAATCACTTCTTACTCAACATGCTTCCGTGACCCATCAAGGACGTAAAAAATCATTTGCTGAGGCTAATATTCAACTTTCGGAGGATACTCTTGAAGATATCAAAGGTATGATTAGTTTGGAAGCGACACTCATACAATAGTCTTCATTTCTAAGTTCGTTGCTGTTTTGTGTCGCCATTCACTCGCGCACAGAGTTATTCTAAACTAAGCTCGGATACGACATTCAAAGAAGCTGCATCAACTGAGTATACATTAGGCCCAGAAACAATCATTCATATTCCAGGCGTCGTCAGGTATGAGCAAACACTCTCTATTTGTTAAAACATAAAAATATTTCTGCTGTTCTCTAGAGAATTCGCTTGTGAAGTGCTTTTCGAACAAGATATCGATGGTAAATCCGTTGCAACCTTAATTCTCGATGCTCTAATCCAGGTAACAATCTACAAACAACAGTGTGGCATCATTTTTTTTCTTACATGCTAGGCTTCTCTCGATCTTCGTCGACAATTTGCTGATAACATCCTTGTCATCGGCGGTACAGCTATGCTGCCTGGATTTCTACATCGACTCAACGCTGAACTAAAACATTTAGTCAATATTTCAACATATGTAAATAAATTGGCCATTCGAGAATTCCATTTTCATTCTCCACCAGCACAACTGAACTATGCAGCATGGTTAGGAGGTACTTGTCTTGAAATCTTCGTCCGATTAGATGTCAAATCACGGATATGATTTATTTAGGTTCAATGATCGGTGCTTTGGATACACTCGAATCGCAATCTATTCTTCGCGAAAAATATTTAGAGAATGGCATCGTGCCTGATTGGTTTACTGGCGAACAAGCAGCATAATCTCATTGTTTTCTTTTCTGTACCTACTTCAAGGGTTTTTATCTTTATTTTAAATAAGGAGTTGTTTTTTTTTCTTGTTCTCGAAGAAATATAAAAAAATGGGAATTGGCAATAATTGATATTCATCAAATGAAATCTCCGAATGTTATTGAGAGTTACTGGATAGAAGAGTTTCGATTACTTTTCGCTATGTTGTCACAATTAATCATGGAACAGAAGTTTTATTTCAATCGTTAACAGCAGATACTTGGAAGTGATCCGTTCACGTTAACGACCGTTAGTTATATAAGAAAAACGAAAACAAGAACAGAAAAGTGTCGCAAGAACGTATAGTAGAGCAGATGAGGATGATTTTCCGGATTACAGGTGTTTGTATGATACAAGAAAAGAGCTGCCTCGGATGTTTTCAACTAAAGGAGAAGAAAGAGGAAAACTGTACACAGATAAATTTCATGTCTGATAGTAGCCTTTTCTCCAGGTGCTCGTTTATAGTGAAACAGAGAAAATATGTTTTTCGAAAAAGAGGAAGATAGAAAAAAAAAACAACTAACACGAAGATAAAAACCTGTAATAAAGAAATGCTGCTAATACATATATGAGTTCAGAAACAGTAATAAAAAAAAGAAAGAAAGAAAGAAATTTGACAGTGTTCTGTACAATAGACATGTGCTTTTCTTATATATCTTATCGTAAATATTTGTTCAATTCAATGTAAGCACAATCCGGAACATTGTTCTTGTGCATAAGTTTGTCACATTCAGTTAAATAACCGGCAAGAACTTCAAGTGCCGGATGTCTTGGCATATCATGTGCTTCTACAGAATGAAAAAAATTATGTTTTCCTATGAGATCGGGAAAAATCTTCTTCTCACCAAGTATGGCACTATTGAGAACACTGGAAACAGCTTCACGTTGCGATGGTTCTAATAGATGAGCTAACGGTGATGTTTTGGGTTCGGGATATGCTAACAGACTGAATGCATCCTGGAAAGAAAAGGAAAGCTTCGCGAGTAAACAAACAAGTTGTGAAATTTACTTGTAAAATCTTGTCGTTTTGTGGATTTTCCCCGTATTCCGCACTCAACTGTTGCTTAAGGGTGTGTAATTCCCTGCCAAATTGTAATATTTTAAGAAGCAGCTGTTCGTCTTGCTTTTGTGCATCTGTTACTGTTGTTTCCATATCCATGGTATGTGATAGATCACCATTACCATCGCACTCCATCCCATCCCCAACTTTCATTGAACATCCATTACTGTTGATATTTTTATCCAGAATAATGTTATTGTTATTATTGTCATCATCGATCAACGAATGTCCGTTCGGTATTTGATTTGTTGAGTGTGGTACTGTTCCGTTATTGGTAACACCGTTAGTCGCCGTGTTGTTACCGTACAGATCATCGTCAATGTCCATAAGATTGGGGACTACATTGTTTGAGGGTACAGAACTGACTGTTGCATTCGTTTCTAAAGTAGAAATTTTTAGATAAAGACTTATGAGACACTCAAGATCGAATACCTTGAGGTAGTTCATTGTTATTTGCACTTGACCGACGTGAAGAAGAACTGTTCGTTCCATTACGGTGCTGTGGTTGTGCTCCTGAAGTTGTTCTGGATGCGTACGGACTGTTTGAGCGTGAACGAGAAGATGTATTCGATTTAATCACAGATGATGATGAACGATTGGCTGGCAGCGGTTTAGTCGGTTGGGAAGAGGCAGACGTTAAGGGAATTTCACTTTCTGTTCGATTTACCATTTCGATAAATTGTCGAACTTTAAGTATGAAGAGAAGATTCTTGTTATTGAGTAATGTGGGAAATAGTTCTATTGTTTTCTCGATTGCATCGGTGGTACGACCTTCAAGAATTAAATGTTGAATTACTAAATAAACAAATAGAAACGATTGTCAAGTAAAATTCTTTGACTTATATTCGAATTTACATTGCCTATTGCGCATGGAATTGAGTTCGTCAGCGTAGACACTTTCAGCATTTTTATTAAATTGTTCAGCTGTTGCACAATATCCATAATGAACAAGATATGTTGATACAATACGACGTAATTGAGTTTGATGCAGTAATTCGTTTTCTTTTAATGTACATTCGAGTATACTTCGGCGAGTTTTCTCTCGATATTCCTAAAAAGTGTTTTTTTTTTATATGAAAATATACGTAGACGAGTTTCGATCTTACATCCATGTATTTTTCGATATCGAACTTAAATGGACTGAGACCAAAATTGGCTTCGATCGCTTCCATTGGTGTTTGTAAACCAACGGTTGGATAAATTTCTGGCTAAAATCGATCGAAACTCTATATAAACATGGAATAGCGAATTCTACTTACTGGAATATCTTTGAAAGAAGTACCTAAAAACAACAGTCATTGAATTTTTCTGAACTTTGAAAGTAAATTCAATATTTACCAATATTATAACCATTACAAGTATAAAAACAGGAATTTTCAATAAAATTTACACAACAGCCAACATAATCGCCGGTAGTAAATGTAGGACCGTACGCGACACCATTACCGGATGAACAAAATAAACGACCATCATCACCGTGATAACCATAGGAACCCTTGTCCCATCCTGGCAAACGATTGAGATTCACTTCACTTGTTGAAAGACCAATGCCCATATATCTAACATGTGAATATACAATTACATGACGTCATTTTGCATGTTATCTTACCCATCACGACCTTTGCTCAAAACTTTCACTTCGTAATAATAGATTCCCGTTAGCGGGGGAATCGGATGATCAGCACGAACACTAGCTGCGTCCTTGTGCGACTTTCCTTGTCCTGAAAAGATCGTAGAATGTAGAGCGATGTCCTAGAAAACAGAAGAATAGTACCTTTGTATGTAACAACAAGGTTATTTTGTTGCAAAACTAGTGACGATGTTTTTTCTTTGGAATTCCATTTCGTTGGCAATGGTGTGTCTTCACTAACGTGTGGATAGAGTTGAGCGAGACGTTCTAAACCGGTTTTAACTGTTGAGGTTGTGGTAATTCGTGATGTAGTTTCATTTGACTTGTTATCTGTCATTTTTTTATTCGAGTTCACCAATCTTTGTCGTCGAAAATGTTGAATATAAAGTTTGATGAGGATCAATAAGAAATAAACTATATTTATCGTGATAATCAAACAACACGTGAGATAGGCGTAGCTTGTCGGACAACTATAATCCATTCCATATTTGTAGATAACTTGTTAAATCAATAGTTTAATTGTGAAATGAAGAACATGTACATAAACAACACACAAATAACAACAACGTAAATCAGCTGACGCTCTCTATATCGCAGCTATGCATTCATGTGACAAGATGGCGTACGAATCGCGTGCGAAGGAAAATTTTTTTTCCTGTGCTCTCTTCCCCTTTCTCCCTCTTTACCAAGAAATATTCAACACGATTGAAAAATAGACACTTTTCATTATCAATGACGGTTAGTTGAGATTCTTGTCGAATTCGATGACCATGTCTGTGTACAGCGATCGTACCTAAACTTCCGTTTCATGTAGAATATGTCAAGTTTAAAATAGAATGAATGCATTTCACAAAGTGCCGATTCATTTCCATAAAACATCTTTCAGAGAAACAGTAACTATAATAACGCTATGCAACATAAAATTTTCATTACAATTTTTTACTTATGACAAGTACTTTCCTCTATCGCCTTCTCTTCCACTTATTTTATCTCGCATAATTTTGTAGAATACTTCAGCAATATCAATTCTTTGGTGTATGCATCGTTCCTAAGAAACGTAAAAACGCTCTTCCAGATATCAGTAAAAAACATAAGTATTCACAAGTAGAGGCAATACGTTCATTCTTATTTTCTGTCTACAATACCTACACATACAAGACAACAGATAGATCTTTTGGCAAATGTCCGAACCGGATACGATATATCTTGATGAAAATGACGAGAATCTCTTTCAGCGACAGGTCTTCGGACAAGTCGATTCACCAAACGGCAGTCTGAAGCGAAGTCAATCCGATGATTACTTATCGTCAGCTATGGTTGCTGATGAAGAGGAAGAAGAGTTGGTACAGCAACCGACCAGACCAATTCGAAAAACGAAACCAATAAGTCAAATTCCGAAGTTGAAAGCAACAAAGAAGATTTCTCAATCGATGATTATCACGGACTATAAATCACCATTAACATCATCGAAACGGGACTCGGGATCAATATCGGTATCATCTGTGAAAACACGTGAGTATACAATTTTTTATCTTTATTCAATTCAGAAGGAAACTTTTAGCCATAATGAGAGAGTGTAATTAAAAGCAGTTTACGTAAAAATACGTTCTCGCGTATAGTGAAAAGAATGAAGAAAAGTCATGGCACATTTATTACTATAATCATGGATGAAAAAAGAAATGATTTTCCTATAAAAAGTTCAATCAGATGTTGTTTTATAAATACATTCATTAGATGGTGCTTCAATTTTGTTAAGATTTTCACATAAAGAAAGTCAATTCACTAGAAAGAAGTATTTTGTTGTTGATAGCACGTCAGTTACTCGTGATGCCTTCTATAAAAAGTCGTTCAGTACAAGGTGTTTTGATCAGAGTGTTTCGCAACGGTGAACCTCATCATCCTGGTATTAAAATCTCGATAAATGAACTAGAAATCAAATCTTGGGAAGCGTTTCTTAATTATCTCAATCAACAAGCTAAACTCGTTCTCCCAACTGGCGCTATCAAACATGTCTATGGTCTCAATGGCTATGAGATTCGTTCGATTGCTAAACTACAAAATCGACAAGCATATGTCGTTGCATCAGGAATCTTCATAAAAACCAAATTTCAGCATGCAAATGATCCATTCACGGAAGATTCTGAACCTCCAACTGCTGGTCAACCTAAAAATGGTCATTTTCGAATACCGGGAACTAAACGTTGGCGATCACCACCAAGCAATGGGGATCAGATTTTTATTCTACCCTACTCTCGATTGAATCTTTATGAAAGTATTTTACTTAATCGAAATACAACAACAACGTACGATCAATGGCTAATCGAAGAAGTAACAGATTTGCTTTCACAGTACACTGGTAATGATATCATCACACATTTATATGCAATAACAAAAACAGTTTTTACTGAAGTAAGGAAAACAATAGACGCTTTTGAGCATACGAACGGTGTTTTCTTCTATAGGTAACAAGTTTCTCGTATCTGTTCAATACTCTGAAAGTGACAGATACGTTTATTGCATGTACAGAAGAAGAATATCAACATGCAAAACGTTATTTAGCAACAATGAAACCAGATGATTTCTTTGCCAATAGTTCATTGACCAGAAAACCAGTCATGGGCACACAACGATATATTCCTAAACAAGGTAATTCTTTGTAAAAGATCATTTCTGTATTTGTACCAGTCCAATATATGTTTAGTTCATATCGATGCAAAATTAGCAATTAAGTGGATGTAAGTTTTCAGAAAGAAAAATACTCAACCACGTTTTTTTATTTGTGTTTTGAAACTTCCAGCCATGGCTATGATGGAACAAAAGATCAAACAAAAACTCTTCATGCTCTATCGGATCATGAAGTTCTGTATGTTATCGGCGCTATCTGTGTTATATACGATCCCGCAGCAAAGCAGCAACGGTTCTATACAAAACATACAAATCCGATAACTTGGTAAGCGACATAGATAGTACGTGTATTGTGTTAGAATTTTCCTTTGATCCCTGTCTAGTGTGACAACACATCAATGTCATACACTTGTTGCTTCAGCAGACACAGGTGCGCCCAAAGATCGTACTCGGGTGTCGCTTCATATCTGGGACTCGAGCAAACTTCAAACTGTGGCTGAAATGCGAAAAGAACAGTTTGGTATCGAAATCATTCTCTTATCTTTTTCACCAAAACCTGATGATAATCTAATTCTGATGGTTGCACGTGATAAACCAAAAATTCTCTTAGTCGTGGACTGGAAACGCGGCGAAGTAATTCACAGTATCACCGTGAGTTCCATTACTCTGTCTGCGATGTTTGAATCGGCGACTTCATCCTTCTAGAGTAAATCAGATAAGATTCTCTCGGCATTATTTGTGTTCGACACTATTGAATGGATTGCTTGTGTCAGTCAGCAGCATTTAGTATTCTATCAAATCAACTGGAATGCTAAACCATTACGAATTACCGCTCAGAAAGAATCTGAAGTTCAAGTAAAAAACGATCTGTCATAATTGTACGATGGTAGCTCTTTTTCGTAGAATATCTATACCGGTGCAATTGCGAGCGACCATTCTGGTGAACTACTGGTCGTCGGTGATAAAGTAGGCAGTTTACATGTCTGGAGCTTAGTTCAGGATGGACCAAAATTAGCCGTAGTTAAAGAAAGCGTTATCGAAGTAAATATTTCACGAATAATTTCACTCGGTAGACAGAATCGATTCATCTAGAATGATGTGCATATCATTGTCTGTATCAATCACAATATTTTTCTTCTGGCCAACGGACAAAATCACATCAAAATTTGGAACGTTGGTCTAAATTCATTTGAGCATATACAGGTATTGACGCTTTCTCCGAAAATCTTACATCTTGTCGTTGGTAATTATGTAGATCAATGAAATTTTTGGTACGACGCAAACCATTTGCAGTCTACAAAAAGGTTTAGTGATTGGAACAAAATCCAATTATATTCTTATGAAAGATTTCGACAGTGACAATGTTGACATTATTATGCGAGTATGTCAATAAAAGACGATGAATTCTTTGTATGAGAAAATTGATTGTATGTAGGGACATATTACCCCATCGATATGCATTTGTAGTAATAAAAATACTGATGAGTTCTTCTCGATCAGTTCGGATCGGTATTTGTTTAAATGGAACAATCGGATCAAATCAGTCGACTGGGCAATTAAATCTCCTGTAAGTATCGATTTGGATTTTGTGTCATGAAAAGGATCTCTCGACTATTCTAGCAATTGATCTCATGTGCCGCACTACATCCGGAAAGAAATATAATCGTTCTTGGAACTGAAACTAGCAAATTACTTATCTATGATACTTTATCTTCGTATTATATAACGACAATTACATTGAAAGCAAATACAGGTGTTAAATCTGTTCGTTTTTCACCAGGTAGAGATCAGTTTTTGAGATTGATATTCATTTTCTAATGACCGTCTATGTTCAGATGGTGGAGACTTAGCGATCGGATTGCAGAATGGATCGGTCTTTGTATTCAATGTCATCGGTAACGGAGATTTCCAACTTCGAACTGACGGTGCACCACAAGTATGAATATGAAACATTCGCACGACTTGCTTGAACATTTGTCATCTCTTTAGCAAATTAATGTCCCTGTTACGGATATCATATGGTCAGTGGATTCGAGTTATCTCCTTGCGGTTTATAGTGATAGTAATTATCATATCTGTAAGTGATAGTTTGGTTTGAAATGATGACTTTTTTCTCGACGATGTTACTTTTCCAGGGTCAATGCCGGCGTTTAGTCTTATGAAAGAGAAAAACATTCAGAACATCACCTGGCAACAAATGACACACCCCATTACTTGTTTTACCTTTGGTAGGATAGAAATAAAGCGATGTATATGCTATTCAAATTGATTTTACTTGGAATAGATAAAGCAGTTATCGATTCGCAAGCGTCGGCTATTGTTATATCACCAAATCTGATCCTTTGTTGCAGCAAAGACGGACAAATTCGTGTGTTTGGAAATTTTTATGAGGTAGAAATTCATTTGAACTGTTTTCTGACAAAATATTTCTCTTCGAAAACTTTTCAGCGAAGTTCGCAGATTCTTCCGACAGGTCTTGGTAACGTTCAAACTCTAATTCCATCCACACAAAAAAATATGTATCTCATGTCGATGAATAACAATCCTGCAATAGTCGAAGTGGAAATAATCGTCGAGTCGCAGTAAATGTCGAACAAGAAACCATTGCTTACTGTTGTTGAGAGCTTTTATTATTGTTTAAAAAAATACTTTAAGAAAAATCACACAAGGAGTTCACTGAATATATGTTCGTTCGTTGTCATGTAAAAATAGTGGAAGCGATTTCAAGCGAACGTTTTTGAGCGTAAGAGTTCACCATAGTTAGCGTAGGAATGAGCACAGACGGGTAGTTCACGTGTTGTATCACCGAAAGTTTGACCAACTCGGTATTTACGTTCTTAAAACAAGCAAAAGATAAATATCATAGTTCAAATTCGAGAGACTTGGCACTCACGTGGAAGGTAACCAGTATATTTTGGTACCATACCAATGCTAGCATAGATTCGGTATTGTGGGCTGCCGGTTGTTGGACGTGATAGCGTTGAGCTAAAACTAAAATGAATAGACGAAGAGTGATGATGTCCAGAGGATAAAGCGAGTATTTAAGAAGAAGAAAAATTACTGTCATCTAGAGCGGATAGTTACTAAGTTTAGATATGTAGCCTGAAAATGAGATTGGTTTTTCAAGAACTGTTGGGTTATTTCGGTTATTGTTCGAACTACCTTGGTTGACTTGCACTAGTCAATGGTTCTGGCTGATTATCAACGGATACTGGAAGATTTGTCACGGAATTAGCTGTTTCGAATGCAAAACGATTGAGCGCTTTCTTCGTTGCTTCATGATAGCGAGAGCCAAGGCCTACTCCGAGTGGTTGGATGCGAGGAATATAACCTGTGTAACCGGGAATTGGTGGTTCAACAAATGGTCGATGGTCATCTAGCACAAATCAAAGTTCTCTCATGAATATGCAAAACTAACTAAGACGTACCCTTCTGAGCAGTTTCTAATGGATGATAAGCTCGGTGGTAATCAAGAAAATGCTTCACAGTTGTTTCGCTATTAGTGCTTGATGTTTTGGGATAAGCACTGATGGTACTCTTTAATTCACGTAAATCCTGACGACCCTTCTCGTAGGCATTCTTGGTTTGCGATAAACATGCATCTGTTTCAATACGATATCGATTGCCTTGTTGATATTTTCGTTGAGGAACATATCCTAACCAATACATATCACATGCTAAATCAAAGCACAAAAAGCTGATCGTACTAACCTGCGTAACCTGGAATTAATCCATCCGGAAACTCCCGCGTGACATATGGATCCGAGAGATCATATGTCGTTTCCTGTTGCTGCACTGGTTTCAATGGAGAAGTTGATTCTTTTGACAACAGATGAGTATGTTCACCGTAGGTATGGCCTTGACGAAATCGAATTTGATGAATATGGCCAGTATATCTATGACAATGACAAAAACAATCAAAGGCTTCTTTAAAAAACTTAATGTTCTGAAGCACTACAAGCTGTGACCTTCTACGGTTTCGTATTTACAAAATACTAACAACTGAAAACTTCTAATCAACTCCCAATGATCAATTTCATTGAGGTGGCGATCTTTCCTATGAACTTTCGTCTTACTTTGGAATTTGTGAGCCTTCTTTCAAATTAGCAAAACGTCTACGCGCTTCGAGTGTTGGTCCACCACCAAATTCAACAGTCGTCATTATTCCTCTACCAACAGAAACAAATGAAAAAGCAATGTTCGTCTTGTTGAATCTCTAGCATCATTCATATTCATCACCATAAACAATCACCTCGCAACGACCTCTACACATTTGAATTGATAGCACAGATATGCACTAAACACTTTCTATTCTGGTCAGATCGATTCAAATATATTTTCAAGATATCTAAATACTCAAAATTTCGATGTCGCACATTTTCGGAATACAAAATAAAGCCAATTACAAATGATTGGCTCACTATCGATAATGCTTTGTTTATACTTGTCTTTTTCTTTTGACTTTGTGTTGATAGATTTCAGTGAATTCCATTCAACATTTTTCATCTCGAATCGATCCAACAATGAGTACAGACGTGATCGCCGCTCCGTCATCATCTCCTACAAAAGGTATTTTATCTCAAGAAGCATGATTCTATTTTGCGATGTATTTATAGTGCAACAAGCAGAATCAGACACTAAAATGGAAACGTCGACGAATGATGGTGAACCGATGAATGTTGACGAAACACCAGTCAATGTTGCTGAAGAGCCGGTAACTGAAGTTAAAGGAGGCAAACGAAAACGTCCAACAAAAAAGCCAGTGGAAACTGATGAAAATAGTATTTCCAATGCACGTCCGCGACGTACATTACCAAAACGTAAATATTGACATTGCGACCAATCAATAAGGAGAGTGAATCATTTAGGCGAAGAAGCTGCGCCTGCACCTGCCGTCAATGGTACAAGCAAAGCGAATAGAGCGAAAGCACAACGAAATTCTGCCGAACAAGCTGCTGCTGATGCTGATGATGAACAGGAACGCGACAAAACCATTCCTGTTCTACATGACGTAGCTGACGTTGTTTGGGTAAAGATGGGTGGTCATCCCTGGTATGAATAAAGTCTTTTCGTGTATTTCACTAATACAGATTGCTTTTTTGACTTTGTTTTCAGGTGGCCAAGTCTTATCGTTCGGGATCCCAACGATGCAACACAGTCGTTTACGAAAGTGACTGGCGCGGCACGGCCCAAACGCATGTATTTTGTTGTCTTCTATGGATCAACTGCCGATTTTGCATGGGTGCCTGATTCAGCAGTGATATCCTATCAAGGTGTTGAAGCTTTCACCACGTATGCGCAAGAAATGGTTGATAAAGTAATTAACTGACTAAAAATTATATTTTCTTTAACACGAACGCTATTATTTTTTTTCTAACTAGGCTGTAACGAAATCACAAAAGGAGCAATTGACTGAACGATTTCAACTAAAGGTAACTATTGGTCGTCGTGAAGACTGGGAATTAGCTGTTCGCGAAGCTGATCAAGCTATGAAACAAACCAGTGAAACACGTCTCGAAGAAATCGATCCAAAAGTCCAATTTTACACTTCTAAAACTGGTATGAACAAATTCATTTGAACAGATCTTATTCCACATGATATTTTGTTCTCTTCAGGTGGTTCAAAAGGACAATCCGGTCGTAAAAGTAAAGTTTCCGCTGCAAAACATGACGAATCATCTGGTCCTCCGAGTGTACCATCATCGTCCGTTGATGCCAGTGACCGTTCATTACTTGCTGAAAAAACGTTCGAATTCAAATCCGAAGAAGAAACATCCGAGGAGGAAGAAACATCGTCTGCCAAAACTCCATCTGTTAAAATCAAACTCAAAAAGCAAGCATCCAATGATTCAACAACTCCACCGGCAAAACGTCGCTATGTACGTAAGTCAGCAGCACCTGATGGTGGAAAGAAAGCCAACGGGCAACGAACATCAACGCGTACGCATGAAGCACCGTTGGAAAATGGAAATAGCCCCGGAAGCAAACGCGGACGACAACGTCTCAGCAAACCATCAGTGATAGCGAGTAACGGAGACAATGTAAATTCAGATAGTTCGTCAACTACACCAAAAGCGTCATCACAACGAAAATCGATTAAAAAGCCACAAGCATTCATGAATAAAGTAACAGTTGATCTCCTCTCAAAATAAACATGAATGTCTGGTATGTTTAGTCTAATCCGGTGTCACCATTGAACAATATTCTTGTTGGTCAACATCATCGTTTCGATACTCGTATTGGTTTTCTCTCTCCCTTCGAAGAACAAGAAGTTTTTGATGTCATTGACCAACTACGTTCTACGAAAACCTTTGAAGAAGCAGAACAATTAGCGCGCCGTCGTTTTGAGCACATTCTTTGTTTAAATTTGAATAAAACAAATGCTGATATTCCTCAAGAATGTACGTTTTACTCATTGATATTCTCGCTATTTTCAAAAATCTTTTTATCTAGGGTTTTATTCCTTCCTGTTTGCACATCCAATCTTAATCGTTAAGAATCCCCAATGGTTCAATGACAAGAAATTCGATTCGTTAGATAATACTGACATGTCAAATCAATCCTCGAATAGCATTCAAGTACTTAAACGTCAACTTCACATTTTATCAAAATTATATCGAAATGAACTTCAAGTTCGTCAAGTCGGTGATCGAGCAACTTCCTAAATCAATCTCAAATTCGGTTTCAAATCATCATGTACAGTTTGTTTTCGTTCCCCCCTACATTAATGCTAGATGTATCACCAACCTAAATACTGAGTTTAACTCATTCTGTTCTTGGCAATAATATGAAAAGAGAAAAGGAAAGTTTCTTCTTTTTTTTTGTATCTGTAGATCATTGTTGTTTGTCTTCGTGTTTTTTGTTTGGCTTACATCATTTTTGAAATAAAAAGAATTTTTTTCGTAGTGTCAAAAAAATAAAACAAACTTCAGGTCTAGTCTATAAATAGCCTGCCTATTTTTATAATCCCATCACCTAGATCAAATGATATTGAGTGAAGGTTAACAAACTGAAAAGCTTGAAGTTTCGCCATAAAAGTTAACAACACTCAGGCGATGTAAATCATAAAAAAAAGTACATCTCGATTTCATATACTGATTGACAGAACTACACAATCACGTTTATTAGAAAGATACACATATATATATATGTAAAAATGTCGCATTTTTTTCTTATAATAAGCTTTATCTAGATGAAAAGTCATTAGCAAACTCGATGAACAAGTCATCGGAATTGACATTAAGCATTGTAGACTGGCGCTTCAGTGACGACATCATTGTCATCAGTTACGCATACAACACGATCAGGATCGAACATTCTATCTTGTGCACCGTTTCGTGCATTGTAAGGATTGAGACCTAGGACGAACGGTAAGTCAATTGTAGACGAGAAAATTGATGGTCTTACTGCTGTTATACTCGCGAATGACTTTCGCTGCTTCATCGAATGATTTGCCGACTAATTCTGGCCATTCTTTTGTTGACATTGTTTCGGTATGCGAATGTATTGAGGATAAACGTTTGTTGAAATCTCTTCGAATATATTTTTGTGAGCTTACTTTCGACTTTTTATAGGCAAGGACATCCTTCTCTTTTCTCTCTTTTATCTCATTTTTATATGGTTTTTCTCACAGAATAAAGAAAATAAGTCGGAGAAAGGTATCGTGCCTTTTGTCTACTCTTATCGTTATCGTTTCAGCAATAAAAATAAATAACTCTGGAGGGAGAGAGAGAGAGGAGAGAAGAGAAAAGTATGCGAATGTCGTGTAGGCGACAAATATTTGATATACTGATTCATCCATGGAATTCCGCACAAGATTTTTCGTCAACAAGTCAGTTATTCACATGTCATTAAAACTAAAAACAGTAATAAACCATCCATGGTCAATCATTCGGACGTCATTCTTATTGTCTATCAAAATATTCATCCGACTGATTGACTCGAAGATTTGTTAGACAAAAGCAAAGATGAAATAATTGAATATGACAAAGCCGCCCTCTGACATCGAGTATCTCTTCATTTGAAAGCAATGAAATCTTTGTTGTTTCATTTGCACTATACGGGTGGTTCCTAGCGCATGCAGTTATCAAGATGGAAAATCAAACAAAATCTCTTTTACCACCTGATTCATCGATCTCAATTGGTTATTTCGTCTCGAGCACTAGCATTCTTTGTATTCTAGTTCTCCTTCTCATTATCGTTTGTCTGTTTTGTGCAAAAAAACCACCTGAATTCAATTCTAATGACTATGAAATGTCAAATGATCGCAGTAGTACTTATTCGGTACGAAAATCCTTTCAATATCGACGATCAAGACAACAACCGTCACTGGATCCGTCGATTAGCGACCAAAATAAACAAACTAATTTAAATTTGTATTCTGGAAAATAACTTCGTTCTTCTCTTGTACATGACTCCCCCTCCCTCCGTTCTCCCCTATGTCTGCTAAGTATTAATCTATTGCATGTAAAATATATTTTTACTAACAGAAATTACAATGAAGTTGTTCTTTCCAGTTTGTCTTCGACAATAATCGAGTTATCAGCGGTTGTTAATGGATTCGGTTGAATATTCGAGGAAAATATGCGATTAGGAGAATGAACAGGTGCACTAGCCGGTGAATTAGGCGTTGCCGTGTCATACGCTTCTTCTTCTTCTTCTCCTCCATAGTTCCAATTAGGTTTAGCATAGATTAGTTTAATCCGATTGAACCGTCTATAATCGAAACCTTCAAGTGTCGAATCACACGAAGAAAATTCATAACCCCAGAGAAGTTCATTCGGTAGGTACGACGTGCGAAAATGGCACGAAAATCCCGTGTAATCAAAAATACCTTCTATTATAGCGATGATTTCGAAATGTTCTTGGACTAATGTCGAACGTTGAATTTTGTACAGTGGACTATGATGATTGATGACGTGTTCGACTACGAAGGGTCGTGGAAAGAATAGTTGACCATTGCGAAGATGTGTCAATTGCATGTCATGAATTTGATGAGGAATTATTTCACCTTCGGTGGTTCGCCGTTCACGAATCATTAATAATCGAACACTGGCGAAGATCAATTGCGAAACGGATAGATTTCCTAGAACAAAAAGAGTTGCATTTCACTTTTCATCAACTCGAATTTACCTATTCGGAATGTCAATGTCAGCTGTCCATCCCGTGGAAGTATTAGTGCATTTTCACTGAAGACGACAAAACGAGATTTTTCTACAAGTTTAAATACGGTTATTCATCACAAACAATGCAAAGTTTACCCGTCGGTCGCGAAATTTTCGTAAAGACGATCTGCGTGACAATGACTTGCAATATATACCCTAATGAACATTGTAGTGTAAGAATGAGGATTCCGCCCATGCATTCAGTGGTTATATATCTTGACCCATACCCAATCGTGTGTTGCGTTTCAATCGAAAACAGCAGAGCACTTAGAAAATTATGAACATTCTGTACGCACATTTCTTTCGATGTAGTTGTTTCTTTGAAAGTAAAGTTCGTTTGATTCTCCCAGTAGTTTTCATCGTCTTCAGTCAGATCGAAATCGCCATGTTCAATTGAGACGAGAAAGTAAAGAAATGCAAAGAAGAACCAACTAAATGCTAAACCAAACAATAGGAAGATCACCACAACCCACCATTCGGCTTGCATAATGAAGACAATGAAATTCGAATGTATATGCTTCAAACGTGCAATGGATGTGTAAGTGACATTGATACGTCCGTTTTTATTCACAAAACGATATCGACTTGGTAATAGTGAATCGGGATCGGTATTAACGACTTGGTAGTCTGCTCTAACGGTATGCATAATCAGTTTCGAAATGAAGGAAATACACCTGCTCGTAATGTCGAACGAGAAAATATCAAGTCAATCAGTCGCTCATGTTACAGTTTTTTGCATATGCGGACGTTTGTTCGTTTCAGTAATTTTCCACGCATTTGATTCAGTTGTCTTTAGTAAAAAAAACATGTGCCTGGCTGATTCTGATACGATCTGTATTTGTTTTTTCTTATACGGTTTTCATCTCGCGATGCACTGAGATGCTGTTTTCAGTGCATTCATGTATTTTTCGATGAGACATGAACAAGAAGTGTCAGTCCCGATGACAGTGCCATCTGTCTGGATTAAAAATCTCTCGATGAAATTTTTGAACCAATCATAAACAAATAAATAAACAGTTCTCTCTTCCTACGCTCGCTCAGCTCGTTCTTTCAATTCGAAACTGCAACTAAAATCTTCCAATGAAAATATCATATTAAACCACATGAGAGTAAACAAAATTTAATTTGACGAACTAATCTTACAACTCATTGAATTTTTATCTCATGTCGCCTCCGAATCATCGTCAATTCTTCTCACGTTTACTGTCTCGGTTAACAAATACCAATCACGAAAATCCAATTAGAAAAAAACATGAACGTAATTATGCGTCTGCACTATGCAGCATGTTCGCTGTTGCGACATTGGCTGTCAGTCTATCGGATTACCGTTGGTTTTGGCTGTATGGCGGATTGTGCAATTCGAGATATTTAGGTTTAAATATGTTTTTCTCTGTCGGAAGATTATTCGTTCTTCGGGCACCGATTCCTTGGGATCCATCAGCGCCAATGAATGATATTTATCAATTTAAACCGAATGATTATATGGGTATCTATTGTTATTCCAGGATGAGCTTTGTTGATTACTCGTTTGTTTCTTTCATTGTAGAATTGACTGGATGTATTGACACGCATTCGATATTGATACTTCGATTGATGATTACATTCATTTGTTTGGCAATTGTTTCGTCAACGATTGGATTTTTGCTTGATGCACTCGGACCAATGAGATATGGATTAAAATTTATGAGACGTCATGCGTTCTGGCATATTTTATCCGGTAAAATATTTTCTCGGCATGTTTGTTTTCTTGATTTTTGTATGCTCGCGTTTGATAGTCGTTCTGTGTACAATTGTCATTGGCCTTAGTTTCTACGCGTCGGAATTGATCTACAAAATTCAAGATCGAACTCGTTTGAAAATTGGCAAAAAGATCGAAGTGCAATTTGATATTGCATACTATCTCATAGTGATAGCCAATGGTCTTTTACTACTGGCGATATCTTGTACACTGCTTCGAAAATATCCAACAGATGATGAAGAACACTTCGAACGGTAAAGTTCTCGTTTGTAACTATTTCTATCATCAGCTCATTGTGTCAATCAAATGTCGTTTGTATCGATAATTTGAAACAAGGATCCCGAAGAGCAAGAACGCAGCTGACACCAGGACTATTTCCCATCTATTGAGTAACCATCTAGATATAAGCGAAAGACTATGCACGACGTCAGGAAGACAATATATGCATTATTGATTCTTGCTTTTTTTTTCTAGGTTAATTGATGATTGGTCACGCCGTGAACAACCATTGTTCATCGAAAGGTCATTACCCGCAACAGTTTCAACCATTCCGACGAATAATGAACCCCCGCCGGAGTACTGTTCAGAGGAGGATTTTCTTGTTGTATAAATGTATTGTATTTTTTCGTTTTATTCTCATTATGCTTGTATATAGCTTTCGTTGTTGTAATCCAGTTAAAAAGAAACGATTATTTTAGATAATGAAAAAACATTCCTAAGTGCCTATGTGTCAGTATTTATCATGGTTCTTTCCGAGAAACAAAAGAATGAACTGTAAGGCTGAGTTTAATTTTCACTTTGACAATTTGCAATTTGTTTCTCTTTAGTAATCAAGCCATCGCTGATTATCTAACGACAAATGGTTATACCGTAGCATGTAAAGAATTTTGTAGAGAAGCAAACCTTGTATGTCGAGAAAGTTCGTTCGATATTTGATTCAATGAGATATTTTAGTCAATAAATGACAGTGCGGAGAAGAAAGATCAGCTGGAGAAAAAATGGACATCTGTCATACGATTGCAGAAGAAAGTACGACTATGATTCTCGATCAGTTCATGATTCGACTGTTTGGACACTTTTAGGTGATGGATCTTGAGTCAAAACTTCAAGACGCTTTACAAGAAGTGACAACCGGTGGTCCTACGCGAGAGAAGCGTTCTCCAACTGAATGGGTACCTCGGCCTCCTGAAAAATTTGAATTAAAAGGTCATCGAGATACGGTGGTACATGTTGTCTTTCATCCAACTTTTGATGTCATAGCATCATCGAGCGAAGATGCGACAATTAAAGTATGTCAACGAGTTTCCTACGATACAGAAATCTGTGCATACTGGTCATAGATATGGGATTACGAATCAGGTGAACATGAGAGAACATTAAAAGGTCATACAGCACCAGTGCAAGATATTGCCTTTGATCATACAGGCAAATGGCTAGGTGAGTGAATGGAAAACAGTTGAATGGAAGAAAGCAAGCGTTCGATTCTAGTATCTTGTTCCGCTGATATGAGTGTTAGATTATGGGATTTTCAAACTTTTCAATGTGTTAAAACCATGCATGGTAAATGAGGAAAATTCAAAGTGCCATTGGTGAAATCGTTAGTGTTGTTTTAGGTCATGATCATAATGTGTCTTCAGTAACATTTACCCCTAGTGGTGATCACATTATATCATGTAGTCGTGATAAAACAATTAAAATCTGGGAAGTATCAACCACGTAAGTTATGACGAACGTTCAAAACGATTGAACAAAGAAAAAGAAATTCATGTATAGATTTTGTATTAAAACTCTTGTTGGCCATCGTGAATGGGTTCGTATGGTACGTGTTTATGAAGATAGTACATTACTTGCAAGCTCATCTGTTGATCATGTAAGTCATGTCTCATACCATTTACTTTGTTCATCGCTAAGTATTTACCTAGACGATAAGAATATGGTCTCTGCCAAGCGGGGAATGTAAAAGTGAATTACGTGGTCATGACAATGTTATAGAATGTATTGCTTGGGCTCCTGATTCAGCTGGATCTCATATACTTGAGTCAGTTGCGAATGGTGTAACAGAGGGTCAGAAACGTTCCGGTCCCTACCTTGCTTCCGGTGCACGTGACAAGACAATCCGAATCTGGGATGTAACAAATGGATTAGCTTTATTTATTTTGGTATATCAACGATATAATATGATAGTTTCATTGAAGTTTTCTGTTCTTTAGACTGGTCACGATAATTGGATACGTGGTCTTCTCTTTCATCCAGGTGGAAAATATCTTTTGAGTTGTTCCGATGATAAAACTCTCCGTATATGGGATATAAAAAATCGTCGAAATACGAAGACAATTGATGCTCACACACATTTTTGTACTTCACTTGGTAGGAAGACAAACAGCGTAGATTTTGCTTCCGTAACTTGTTACGTTCTGTTTAGATATGCATCGAACTAAACCATATGTGATTACAGGTAGTGTGGATACAACAGTCAAAGTGTGGGAATGTCGCTAACGACTAATTATTTATTTGTATATGCGCTACTCTTTGCAATAGCTCGTCGTTTTCTTTTTCTCTCAAGTCATGTCTGAGCGAACAAACAACTTTATATTTTTTTGCGACAGATGAACGATGTAGAAGAAAACAATAGTGACTTTATCTTTCGTGCTGTTTGTGGTTTTATTCGTGTACGTACGCACTGTTTTCTTTAGGTTTATGTTCATTCGATTTTCTTCGTGTGTTGATTGGTTATTCTGTTCACATGTTTTCTCTTTTTGACTCTATATTCACTACTTTATTTCGCTCAAATACAGTACAGAACATTGACAAAACAGAAAGAAAAGCGAATATTTGACATTACACCAGAAATAAATGAGATTCATTTGAAGAATTCAATGCTATTATTCTTTGTGTAATAACCAAATGCATGTTTGACCAATACCAGTCATAGATACGACGCGATAACCAACGTTTTCTAATTTGTCAAGAACAATGCGTGCACAATCATCCGTGCGATACTCGGAACTATGCATGAAGGGGAAAATACAATCATTGTGAAAATTAAATCAATTATTCCTTACTAGTCGTTACATTTTTCATGAAAGAGCGTTGCTCCTAGATATTTCATTATCTCAGGATCAACGCGTTCGTCGCCGACAATAGTCGGACCGGGTTCCAGACGAATGCGTGTGCTAATAAGTAAATGCGGCATATCTACAAAAGTAAAATCTTGTATGGAAATATTCATTATTAAAAATAGTAAAAGTTCGATATTAAAATAAACGTTTCTCTTTTTTTAATAGTTCAACAAGCTTTTCAAAACTCGGCCGATCTTTCGGATGTAAGAACCAGCATGGCTCCATAATAGAAAATATCTTCGCAGGACATCTTTCCGGTTGTCTTAAACGTTCACCTAAATAAATATTGAAAATCTTTGATCAATGGCAATTATTATAAAAAACAAGCGTACCAAACTTGATTGCATCAATCACTGCATGACTGAACTTGATATTTGGGTACGGTAACTCTGCTTTGGAAAAAACTTCCCAAGCAGTGACACCATACGACCAAACATCGGCTTTCACAGTATAAGGTGCTAGAAGAGAGAGAGCAATATGCAACAGTGTTAAACGAATAGTACTGCGCAAACCGTTCGAAAAAACTTCGATAGCCCACCAACGAACAGGAATTTCCTTGACTTGACAGAAGTATTCTTCATCAGATTGCAAACATCTTGACAACCCGAAATCTGCTACTTTGATTCGACCTCGTTTATCCACTAGACAATTTCGAGCGGCCAAGTCTCTGAAGTAAGGATTGAATTTGTTTGATGACATACGAAAACGAAAACATACCGATGAATCACATTACATTTTTCTAAATATGCCATTCCTTTGGCAATATCATAACACATTTGGATTAACTGTGAAACACGATAGTCTTGTTTCTTCAAATATTTATCCAAACTTCCCTCTAAAAGTCATGTTTTCTATTCATTAAAGCAATATCACCAGTAATCTATTTACGTTCGATCAATTCCATAAGAATCATCATGGGATCACGCATTGCAGCAATACCGATAAATTTCACGATATTTTTATGTCTATATTGTTGAAGTAGAAACGCTTCATTGATGAAATTTTGTCGATCTTTTTCGGTCAGATTAGTTCCAGGTGAACGAAGGGTTTTGATTGCCAACTTTTGACCACGATATTCGCCGCGAGATACTTCACCGAAATGACCCTTCAAATACGAAACTTACAAATCGAGTTCAACTTCACGCCAATTTGAGTTACTTTTCCTAAGACTTCCATAGTGGAAACTTCATCATTGTTAACCATATAATCTGGTCTCGCTATAGGTCGAATTAATCGTATACCGTTGTCTCGTAATTCTAACTTTTGACGTTTGTAATATGCGATCAATTCATTAACGCTTGGCATAGCAATACCATTGTGTTGTAACGAAAACATCTATTTAAATAGAAAAGGAAAACACCATGTGAGATTGATTTTCTGGAAAGTTCCGCTCATTACATTGTTTTGTTCGATGATATAAAAGTGTGAGTCTTTTAATTGCGTTGCGTTATTCGAAGTCGACCAGTAAACCGATAGAACAATTCGACCTTGTTCGTTAATACGAACTAAATAATCACCTTTTTCTTTCAATTGACTAACACTTTGATTACGCGGGATTACACCGTGAAAGTAAGGTTGATCTTTAAGTTGATCAGTTAACTAAATCGGATATTACAGGACATGAACGAGTAGATTCAATTTATTGATTTTACTTCATCATCTGAATCCGGTTCTGATCCATCATCATCGAAGTTATAGCCAAATTTTGTGGTAACCTCTTTTAATTCGCTAAGTAATTCTTGTTCCCATGTCCTTCGTGTTTGCAACTGACGAGCAAACTGTTCTTGTTGAAAAGTATCCTTTCGACTAAAATATGTCCTGAAAACAGAAATACGATTGGTGTCTTTGTGAAGAAAAGAGTCTTATGATAACGAACAGCTTATCTCTGTTTGAATTTATCGGTTTAGAAACGAATTGGTTTATGTTTTCTGTTAGGGTATCAATCCTAAACGAGAAAAATGGCGTTGTTCGTATTCGCGGAAGAACATCAAAGCAGACTTTTGTTTTAGATCTTGTTTCGTCGAATTGTCAACAACGAATTGATCGGCTTTCAGTTTAGAAAGATTGGATGACTGAAGAAGTGATTGATTGAATATTTCAGGCGTTGTTGTCAAGGGAACAGTGCTATATCGAAGAGAAATTTGAGGAATTCACACATGAACAAACAACATACTTGGAATGAAGATCACAGATTTGATCGTAACAATGTTGTAGATTGATGGACCGAACCGTTTGTCGTGCCAGTTCGACTGTTTTTGATTGATTAGAATAATAACTCGGATAACTTGCTATGTTATCAAGTAGATTTTGCCTGTTGAATAGAGTTCTTTTAGAAAATCTTTGTGAGAAAGTAAAAACTCGAAATACCAGGATTCGTTCAGAATCAATTGGCTCTCCTCGTGATATTTGACTAAATTTCGTATGTTGCATGTGTATTGTTCATCGATAAGCTTATACTCTCGAATCTTATGAACATAATCGTTATGTGCACGATAAACACACCCACGTTTATCGAGCACAACATCTTTCAAACTCTTTATTCGAGATTCATCACTCTTTCGAGCATCTAAACAGACAGAAAATTGTTCTTCTTGAAATTCATTCAAATAGCAACGATCAAGTGCTTGCCTTATCTATACAAAACATAAAATATCCTCAAGACTAGCCCGCAAATCATTTATTCACTCGCTCTGTTCAATATTTCTGCATGACAAAACTTACTTGTCTGAAGTTTTGTTAATTCATTATTCTTCGCCGTGTAAACTTTGATTTCATCCGCGTACCGCTTTTCACTTTCGACAATGTCTTGTTTAGCCTAAAGAACAAGAATTATTTCTTACGAAAATCAATCGTTTCGAGATGAAATAACGTGCAAACAGATTTCCTATAGACATGCGATTTACCTGCACAGGAAGATCTATGATTGGAAGGAACCATTTGTCTATAGAAGAGAATAGCATTCGAGAGCGAACTCACTTTTCGATATTCGGCATCGTATCGACGTTTTTCTTCGTCGAGATATTTCCTTGAGTCAACTTTGTTTTCCATCAGTTGTTTGATAGAACCTTCCAGACTTGTCTCCCGAATTTGTTCGGCTTGCGAAGTTATCAATGCCGCCAGATGTGACCATTGAAGAAAGACATCCCGTGATATCTGAAAACCAAATTTTGGCTACTTTTTTTTTTGTTTTATGGCAGGTTCGATCATTTACCGAAACAAGTGGATGCGGATTTGTCGAAGCTGCGAGTCGATCTGCACTTGCGGCTAACTCTTGAAGACTTTTCGCGTATTGTTCATCAAGTGTAATTCGTTTTTCGGCTAACTTCTTTGTTTCCTGAAGTATTTTGTATTCATCATTGATAATTAACGATAAGATTCGACAACCATCATGATTGGAAAAAGAATTTTCAAACTTCTCACTCCTCCGATGACTCATGCTTTATAATGGATCAAGTTTGCCTTTTTTTGACGCTTACGGTCGTATTTCATGTCGTTTTTTATTCATTCCTTATCACTCACTACGACTATCTTAAGATGCCAATCCTTCGCAAGCTGTTACAGAGGGCATGACTCGTCAACATTGAATACAATTTCCGTTGTAGATTTCAAATAGACAAATATAAATCAATCATCAGTGGCATTTTTCTTTCGTTTCAAGATCAAAGAACAAATGTCCTTCATGTCTTGCGATTTCATATCCGAAAGAAACATTAAACCAACACGAAATGATTGAATAGTTCTTTTATATATGTCAATGTATACAAATATGTGAATTACCCAAATTGTATAGAAACAACGGATGAATAAGTTCGCCATACAATCGAATGCTTTTTTTAGTAGCTATTCATCGCGGAATTTTATATAATTAAGAATAGGTCTTTTACGTTAATTTCGAGCGACGAGAAAAAAAGTAACAATCTAATTGATTGACGTTTGGACACGTCATTATAGTTGGAAAAGTTGTGCCTCGATATTGTCTTGATCAATATTCTCAATATTGACATTGTTCTTCTCATTCATTTCAATAAGAAATTCCAATCTGGCTAGCATTTCTAAGTATTCCATACTAGAAGAATCTTTTCGTTTGAGAGTTCGTCATTGACTTTTAATTAACTATTCTTTGCATTTCGAATCCCATCGATTGAGATCAGGATAAATATTTGATTCCCATATTCTAATCGCAGCCGAAAGAATTCTTTATTGATGTTTATCACCACATTTAACATAAGAAAAAACAAAAGAGAGATTCAATCATTCGAGAAAACAGAAAACTAAACTAAAAAAAGAAACTTCCTCTCTTTTATGTTTCATAACACATAAAATCTGACGCGCAAGCATTACATTACAATAAAAAATATCTCTATAAATAGACAATGAAAACAAGAATTATGTCATCGAATTAATCATCGCGAGTTTCGGTTCAGCTATCTTATAAAAAACTTTCTTTACAAGTAAACACCGGGGACTTACATACAATGGACTTTTCTCTTTCAATTGTCTGAACAATTTCATTTCAGGTAACAGTCTTCTTAATGTAAACACCTTCGTATCCTCGTGCAAATCGATTTCGATCTCGAAGACCGTCTTCTGTTTCGGATTGATACGAATCAGTGGAAGATATTTGGTTGTAGTCGATGTCAGATTCGTTGATAGTGACGTGAGTTTGATGCGAATCTGAGCACCCATAATACCAAATGGTTCTTCGGCAGCCATGATTAAACATTGTTTGGCAATGTTTCGTAGATGATTGCATGGAAGAAAGAGATTATCACATGATAAATGTTTAATTTTACTTTCTCGTAGTGCTGTTAACAAGCGTTTGGAAATGAGTGAGATGTGTTCTTCACGAAGATCGAGTTCGGGATCGTAGAGAAATGTCGATTGTTGCTGAGAAGAAGTAGTCATCATTATCATCAACCTCATCTTCTTCTTCTTGTCTTATTCGATCTGAAATATAGGAAGGTAACTGAGAGTATTTCGTTTGCAGTTCAAAAGAACAGAAACTATCTCCGCCGAACGAAGTCGTATTGATGTCGAGCAGCTAAAACAACATGCTGCACGATGTTATTACTGTTTTACCTTCTTTTCTCTCTCTCTCTCTCTCCCCGTTTCTCTTTCAATTCCATTTTTTCTCCGCTTTGATTAGTGGTAAATCATTCGTGTATGGTATACACCTTTTCCTTTGTGTTAAACAAACGGCCTCACACAAACCCTCAGCAATAAATCTATAATCAAGCGAACTTTTCAAGTATACGTACACTAGTCCATCTCGTCCTCATGTTGTATTATTATTTTTCTCTTTCACGTATATATACGAAAAAACGTAAAAGATAAGAAGTAAATTGTGTTATTCGACGCCTATGAATACTGATAAGGTTACCGCGAATATAAAAGATACACCTGCTTACTGCTTTAAGCTCTTCGCAGCGCTTCATAGTCGAGAAATGACAGTGTTTTGTCTACGAATATTGAACGGAAAAAAGGTTATCAAACAAACACGCCTTGATCTCTTCTCGTCGGTTTGATCGATGCATCAAACAGACAAGCGAAATGTATGTGTATCGTTCGACGGTGGTGTACAGTTGCTAATAAGAAAACAAATCCCCTCTCTCTCTCTCTCTCCTCCTGCAGACGTGCAGTCTAAATCGTTTTTTTTTTCTTTTTCGCTTTGTTGATGATCGATATTTACTAACACATTCACATCTCGAGTCAATACCGACATGTTTTAATATTAATAAGATTGACAAAAGAAAGACGAGGCGAATGTGAACGTCGATGGAAGCAAATATGAAAGCGACTGAAAAAGAAAAGACGATTGGTTTCGTGATGCTGTTGACGGCAAAATTTACTTTTTCTTCCCCTGAAGTATTGTGGTAACAGAATCAGCGCGTTGCGAAAGAAATCAAGGTGAAAAGAACACTTCGCTTCTCTCTTGTACAAAGATAGGCACTCCGAAAGAAACTGACATTTGTTTACTTTGCTTGTTAACTATTATTGTTACTTGCGCAAATTGTTTGAAGACACTCTTTATACATTTCGTTTTTGTCACCATTCGACTCTTTCAAACGAATTTTCAAGCAACTACGAACACTAACGGAGAAATTCTTGGCGCTAAAAGGTTCGAAATCAAGTACAGTTAGTAATCGTGATTTGATGAACTTTTCTCTTGTGACCCAATGAACACAGTTGTCTAAAAGGGAGAATACTATGGTACGGGATTACGTAGTGACAAGTTGACTTGGAGCAATTGATAAACCATATTACATACATACTTTTTAAAGAATTACAAGGCATGTCGTATGTCGATCAAACAAAAGTTTACTCAGTCACCTATACTCGTCAAGACGTCAATTCCATAAGAAACATGTCCTTCGATTAAGACGAACGATAGTTGGGATATCTTTGATATGAAAAGCAAAATATTATACTATAATCTATTTGCAAACAGACTACAAGTAGAAGAATATCATCGACATCACATCGAGCAAATGTCAATAGTGTTCGATATAGAAAGAGAAGAAATCGATTACTTTTTTTTTCACATTATGATATCTAAATAAGCGTTTTCTTTTCTTGATTTCTTTAACAACTCAGCATGACGCACTTTCGATCAGAACGAATATGCACGCTTCGATTCTCATCAGCAGGATACTGTGCGTTCGAAATATCATTTGTCGTCGGTTCATGGAAGAAAAACGCCTCTCTTGAGAGTTTCACCGGATTTTGTTCTCAGCGATATCACGATGACCTTCGATCTCTCATCAATACAGCGTGCACATGCATGGCGAAAAGTGATTTAAATCAATACACATGTATATGTATGTATTACTTACATTTACGAGTGAAGCGAAAAAGAAACATCATACATAGAATAAATACTAAGGTCAAGTAATAATCACAAAATGATGATTATTAAGTAAAAGAAAGAGAAGCTGATGCCTGTTTGCTTCTCTCATAGTGTAGTTTGATTCAGTTGCATTCATCAGCGAACAAATTAACATGTGTTTGCATGTTGTTCGATTAGTTGCCATTTGTATCGAGCGTCGAAGGATTGAATCAGCTGTTCGAAGCTATGCATTCGATTTCTCATCTGATCAACATCGAGGAAAGAAAGGAAAGAAAGAGAGGATTCAGATATCGCGGTGTGTTAACATCGATTGTAATACTTCTAAGAAACGTTAGTTCGTTGCCTGTTGTTTCCTTTGTGTTTTTATTGCTCCTATCGGAAGACCGGTAAAACCGTATTTATATAGATATAGATTCACATATAAAAAGAAGAACATATGTATGTATGGAATATAGCGTTACAAAACAACATATGAATAGATAGATAGAGGAGAAAGAGAGGGGAAAGAAATGCTTATATGAGAATGGCAAATGATACAATACAGACAAAACAAAATGGCAGGTCATCACAACAACAAAAAATAGATAATATAAATAGAGAAGAAAGGAAAACGAAAGAGTTTTTTTTATCTCGAATAATATTTAATATCTGTTTCTTTACTTTTGAATAACAAACAAAAAAATGGCTTTATGTAATGGATCATTCTCAGAAGGCTTTTTTTTTTCAGGAAAAAACAGACCACACAAACAGATTGTTGTCATCTGACATGACGACGAACAGATGAAGAAGGGCAAGGAGAGGAGAAGACGACGAGGAAGAAAAAAAGAACGAAGAGGACGGGAGGATTTGCCTAGAAATATAAACGATACTACGCGAATAAATATTGCCTACATTGAGATAGAAAAACCAACAAATAGATAGGTCCTTTCGTGGAATACTTGCTTTGTTATGTATCAATAATTGCGCGTTTTGGTTCAGCTGTTTTGTAAAAAACATTTTTCACAAGTAAACACCGGGGACTTACATACAATGGACTTTTCTCTTTCAATTGTCTGAACAATTTCATTTCAGGTAACAGTCTTCTTAATGTAAACACCTTCGTATCCTCGTGCAAATCGATTTCGATCTCGAAGACCGTCTTCTGTTTCGGATTGATACGAATCAGTGGAAGATATTTGGTTGTAGTCGATGTCAGATTCGTTGATAGTGACGTGAGTTTGATGCGAATCTGAGCACCCATAATACCAAATGGTTCTTCGGCAGCCATAATTAAACATTGTTTGGCAATGTTTCGTAGATGATTGCATGGAAGAAAGAGATTATCACATGATAAATGTTTAATTTTGCTTTCTCGTAGTGCTGTTAACAAGCGTTTGGAAATGAGTGAGATGTGTTCTTCACGAAGATCGAGTTCGGGATCGTAGAGAAATGTCGATTGTTGAATCTCGACCGGTTTGAAAACATTGTCGTTTGAGATTTGCTTGAAGAAATTCACCACACCAGTTTTGATTCTTTGCAGAATATTTCGATTATTCTCTTTTTTCGACGCTGCTGTTGCTCCCGTTTCTGTTGGTACGATTGAATCGGAGCAATAGTGCAAAGTATTCGTCGATGAACTATATTTCCGATTAGTCAGCTTCGACGATAAAGTACCTTGAGATGGGCAAGATGCATTACGTGTAAATTGATGAGTTGTCGACGTTGACGATGGCATAACTTCTCTAACCTGTAGTAAACGTGACGTGAGTGAGTGGGAAATGTTGTTTCGGAAAATATTACCTTTATCTATTTCTATGTCACCGAAAAAAAAAGAGTTGAGTTGTATGATGGTGTAGTGTCGTTGTCGTCGCACACTCGCTCTGAACTAAAAATGTATTGCAACGAAGCCGTTACTCTCTTTCTCTTCTCTCATTCTCTTTTCTCTTATTCTCTCTCTTTCTTTTTCTTCGTCGATGGTTATATACATTTCTTTTTTTCCTCGTCTATATTCTTGTTTAACACAGCTGATTGTCGACACAGTAAAGAAGTACAAACTATATATTTCTCGCCCGGGTCGTACGTTTGTTCCTCTTTCTCCTCTCGGTGTAAGAAGAAAACAGCTGCTTGCTGAGTTCAATGATTGGTTGCAATTTGACAACTTCATCTGATGATGATGAAAAAAGACGCGCAAGAGAAGAGAACGAAAAAAAAAATCCCGTCTTTCTTCTTTCACATATGTCGTTCAATGCTTTAGGGTGGTATATGTTATTCACGATAATGATGTGAAATCGGCACAAAAGATCTCTCTTTTTTTTCACGATTGTGTATGGATGTATGTTACATGGGATGAACGAAAGCTCCCGGCTATCGATCACACATATGCTGGAAAAGTATTCCTTATTAACAAACAACATTTTGCTCTGAATTTCAATATTTTTCAATTGAGACAGAATGAAGAAAAGAAGAGAAAAAAAAACTCATTAGCACTCTTGTCATACAAATTGACAGAAGGCGAGAGCAACTGCAGCTGATATTAACCATGTATATATAACAAAAGAACAAATTGACCTTTTCTCTCTTTCTCATTTTTCCTAGTTGATTATTCTAATACAAAAGAATCCATTTGAATTGATGAATTAATTTTCTAAACATCGGTCAGTTACCCCTGATCTAATGACAACGATCTGATTTCTCCCTGACTAGCCAAGTGCGTGCTTGCTTTCTATTTAATTATCAATACGTTGTTCTTATCAAATTCATCATGTCTGTTTACTAATGATTCCTTTTGAAAAAAAAAAGAACACACTACGTTCAAGATATATTTGTATGCAACAAATTCACCACCTGTCATTACTCTACAGGTTAATTATTGATTGATAGAAAGAGAAGAGAAAAGTCTTTGTAAATAGACTTGAAGGAACGATATTAATAGTATAGATAAACACTTGAAATGAGGTACTACTTTTTGATTAATTTTTCTTTCGTGACGAGAGAAGCAACAAGTAAATCAAATAGAGACAAGTAAAGAGGATGAAGACTTTTTTCTCTCTCTCTCTCCCCCTCCATTCAACAAACCTATCTCACAGCCGGTTATTGTTATGATCAGTTTGACAACTGAGTGATATTTGTCAACATCGTCCTTAATCCATAGTATATGCCAATAGAGGTTCAATCATTTCATATCTACTTTATGACGCCAATTGTCAGCTAAACAACAAATAGTTGTATGTGAACAAGTCTCTTGTGGATTTAACGCACTATCAATCACCTTTAAGCTGACAAGAGAGAGATATACAGTCATTTTTAATACCATATACCAACATACATATAAGATCCTCTTGAGACAGACAGACAGGAGAAATTCTTTTTGATTAGATCCTATCGATTGTCAAATGGCGAATTTCGTTTGACATTCTTTCCATTTCAGAACATGTATATAGGTTGGAATTAAATGAAAACAATTGATCAAGAGTATAATGCAATTGAGACATTGATTTTCTCATCTGTTGGAAGCGACAAATAAAGCTGAAAGGTTTGACATCGGTCAACAAACGTATTAACATTCTCGGTGACGTTAATGATGAAACGAGACTTTGATTTTCTTGTAAAATTAATCTCTATTCAGTCACTGGATATCAAACGACGGGTAATCACCTGATATCTGATTGTTCCTTCTATCCAAAGGAACGAGTATCCTATACAATCATGATCATGAGCATGAAAGAGAGAAGAATTAATTCATATTTGCATATTTGACACCATCATCAAACACACACACACATATTGGCACTCGAGAGGGGAGTGGTCCTTTGTCGGAATATTGTCTATATACTTTTTTTTTGTCTGTCGGTCACAGTATGAGAGAACCGACCAAAATGTGTGAATTCTATTTCTAGCTTCGAGTAAGAAAGGATAAATCAAGCATGCATCGTTAATTTCTTCCGGAAGAATATGACTTGAGTTGTTTAGTTTGACACATTCAGGATGTATGCTTTGTTTTGAAACTTGACTGCGTGTATACATTGGTTGTGCCCACACTTTGTTTGATCTTAATTTACTCAACGAATGGGAGAAAAGTTCAAAGTATGGTGCAAAGGAACAACTGCTAGAATAAATGTCATTCTGATCATATCAGCACAGATAGAATGTTGAACTGTGAACAGATTACGTGTTATCGACGAAATAATTAGAGATTGTCGTATTCGTTTTCAACAGATCAACTTGAATTCTAACACCTTGGAAATGTTTTTGTGAACTTTTCTTTTGTTCGTCCGATTCTATACACATATTCGATTGCTTTTTAATGAATGATCTTCAAATGGAGAAATGTTAAAATAAGTGTTTCGAAAATGATTATTCAAGAATAATGCTTTGACATGTTGAAAGGCGTGTTCGATGTTCGTTGTCTGGTGATTTATTGCTCGCTTAGAAACTGTACTGACCAATAATATACCAGCTACTCGGATCATTGCCTAATGGCACAATCTCTTCTAAAAATAACGATGTTTGCTTGTTTAAATGCGATGTTATCGGATGAAAGGAAAAGCATCAAGAGACGTCAATTCATGATCATAAAATTATCATTAGAAGTTGCATTGGGACACTCAGTGGTTCTTTCTCTTTCATCGTTTGTCGCAGATGTATCCTTGATGGAGAATAGTATTTTACAATCTGTGCGATAAATAACCGATGTTTATCAGTTGTCTGACTCGCCGAGGTCTTCTGCGAGTTGCGAGAGCGACCGATTTCATTCGGTTTCTGTGACATAAGTACTTTTACAACATGCCAGATCAATCCATTAATTTCTTTACATACAGCGTCCATAAAGAAAACCGGTCAACATCGAAAAAAAGAAACGAACGAACGAACAAACAATAGAATGCTAGTTCATGTAAATGAAAAGTGAAACAACGTAAGTTGTTGTTTCAGAAAATCTTTGAAAGAAAAAAATAAATATGTACTGAATAAGAAAGAAATTTTCAATAACGACTGACTAGGCCGTTGTTGATATAGTATTAGGATGATTTGTTTGAAGATTATCGACCAGCTGAGTTGATGTTGAACTTGTGATCGAATTTGAGCGTTGGAAATTTTCCGCAATCGATACTGATGCCGGTGAAAGATGAGATTGATTATTTACAAAAGAGGACGATTGAAGAAGTTCAAGTTGTTTTTCAATCAATGCAATGCTCTCTTCGATTTCCTTTGCATCAATTAGTAAAGTCGATTTCATTCGAATGAAATGATCATAATCATCACATTGTTCAGTAGAAAAATACTTTTGAAGAATATTTGTAACCACTCGACTACGTCGATCGATTCCGTCTTTGAGCACCTTCGCTTCGTCGTGTTTTTGTTGAATTTTCTCCCGACGATCAAGTAAACTCGCCTAGAACAACAAAACGCGTTCAATCTCCTGCGTCATTTCCTTCTTGGAAGTTGACTTTGTCATTTCATGTCATAATCAAACATCGACAGTAATCATCGTTTGATAGACATAGTAAATGATAGAGGCTACGTTTTTTTAAATGTATAACTCATGTCTATATTTATGTTGATTTCAGAAAGGAATTAAAGTAATTCAAGCAAGTAGTCTGATAGCTTTCTTTTCCCGAGGGCGATTTCTGTCTGTCAAAAGTGAAGACTTCTCTCTCTTTCTTTTTCCTTTGTTGTGGACATTACTTTTAGTTGAGTTTGATCATCAGTTAACATCGACAAATCATTCTCGACTTTGGCTAAACGAGCACTGAGCTTGAGAAGAACGGATGTGATTGTATCGATTTCATTGATGTGTAATTTGAATTTTTCAATTTCATTTGCTTCACCTTTGGATTCGATGACGTTGATTAACTAGGAGAATGGCGAATTGGAAATAAATATGTTTTTTTTTCTCCTGTGATAAACATACTTTTGAACCAAGTTTAGTGTTGATTTCAATTTCATCGCTGACAACGCGCTGATTTTCTCTGAATATCTCCAAACGTTTTGTTAAATTCAATAGATCTTCCTTAAAAATAAAAATGAAAGAACTGTACAATTCGTTACTGAATATCTTCATGTTTACCGTTTGAGGTACACTTTCGCTATTCACATTAGTCGACGAATTCTGTCTTGAACGATTTCGTTTTTGATGATCAGGCGTCGGAAATAAATTACGCACATATTCCGAACTGAGATGATGATCATTGTTGTTTGGAGGCGACATTGGAGAATCGTTTGCTGGAGTCGTTTTCGACGGAGGAGAAAGCGAGGAAGAAGAAGAAGAAGAAGAAGTTTTCATTTCATTAACCGACGGTGATACGACTGAACGTTGTACAGCTTTGACAATTCGAACTGGTTTGCGATGGACAGCTGGTGGAAGCGAAGTTTGACTTGCAGATGAGTCAAAGTATTTCGTTGTTCTTATCATTGACTCAGTAGAAGGTACTGGTACTGGTTGTCTAGATAAATCATCGTTTTAAAACATGTTAACTATGAGAAATGAATGATAAACAAAAGATAAGATACATTGCGTTTTTGCTTGTCATCGAATTCATTCTTTTTCAGTCATGGCAAGTCGAGGTGCTGCAAATGATCCGCTTTATCATGATGTTAGTCCGGAATATGTGCGTTATACACGTTTATTCTTCATCCTCGCCGGTTTGGTATGTCTAACATCAGCTATCTGTGCTATTGTTCAAGCTCATGACGAGAAAAAGTTCTATAGTATCTTAATCAGTTTGATTGCATCGATCTTTTTCACATTTTGTATCTATTTATTCTTTCAACGACGTATCCTTCTCGCCGAAAAACTTTGGTTCGTCAATTTAACGATTTTCATCTTACTCTTACAAGCTGTTATTTATCTAACATTTGTTTTTATGAAACCCTATCCGATGCCAATTCCGACAACGATTAGAACAACGACTCCATATTCGACTACACCTTCGAACACAACAAACACGACGAATGTGACATCGACTACAATATCTTCGACGTCTACAATGAAGAAATATTCTTGGGAAAAGCAGGTTATTCTCACGAAACTCTACGAACTCGCAGATGAAACATAAAACTGTTCACTTTCATTCGTATCAAAATAAAACTTTGACTTACTTGATCACCTGTCGTGGTGGGTTCGATGTGGGCGGTAGCGTGAGCACTTTCGGACATGCGGATATCGGTGCATTATCTGAATAGATGCGATTTTCGAAAAATTGTCGTTTCGATTGAAAATCATTGGAGATTTCATATGTAACTGGTGATAATAAGGCTTGTACATGCGTCTGACCAGCGGATTTTGGTCGAAGAATATTTCGATTGAGAGAATTGCATTCTTCATTTTGATTATTCAAAGTATCTTTTGACCTTGATCGAGACAAAGACGAATTATTCACATTCATTGTCAACGTTCGATTGTTTGTTATTGAACGCGATTTGGCACGTAGAAGTTCACTGTAAGATGCTGGCGTATCTTCGAACGAAGTATCGCTTGCTAAACAAAGGGAAATTTCAAATAAATTTCTCCCTCGCTCTTGTAAAAAAAAGGAAAGACGAGACGGGTTTATTGGTAGAAGAACAAGTCGTATTTACTGAAGTAGTTGAGTCGAAGAGATAAACATGTTTCTCTCGTTCGTTCCTTTTTTTTTCTTCTTTTCTTCTACTTTCTTTCTTTTTTTTTACAACTATTACCTCTTTAAAGTGAGAAAAAGTGAAGTAAATGATTTTGGATTTAGTTCGAATGGAAGAGAAAAGAAAAGTGAAGTAGTTGGAGTGTTAAAGAAAAAAAATTGGTCAAGTACTTAGCGAAAGGAATATGAATCATGTTTTGTTTTTAATTATTCGAGATCGATGGACTGACGAAACGAAAATATCAATCAAATCACAAATATTCGAATTTGTATTAGTTCGACTAACAAATATTTGAGTTTAGGAGAGACAACTTAGCTATGACGATCACGTGGGTGAAAACGAATATGACGCGAAATGTCAGAGAAAAGAATTAATCTTAACTAGTACTTCAGACAAATTAGTCATACACATGAAAGATTATTATTCCTTTTTAATGCCAACTGCTATTATAAATACCATCGATAATTCATGATCAATTATACTTAAATCAGAGAGAGAGAAGAAATTTTTCATACTTGGACGTAAACCTGGACTGTGAAATGAAGTCTGTTCGGTGTACGATCGAACTTCTTCGTTTTTATTTGATATTAATGATGTCGGGGGTGATAAAACATCTGTTTGATTGCCAGTGGTTATTGACGATGAATCATTGGAACGGGTCGGACTACAAAATCAAACATTGATTTTACATATATATATATATATACACCATAAAAAGACAGAACAAGAAAAAAAAATGAGACATCTGCTTGGTAATTATTTGAATGAAAGTGTGAGTCATACCTCCGAATATTCTTTTGTGTTGTCTTCACTTCCGATTGTTTGTTTTTGATTAAATTGGAATGTTGATTCTAGAATTCGAAAGAATTGAACAGATGTTCGTGTCGATGTTGTATTCTCTCATTAGAGAATGTATTTGTACTGAGAAGTAAATTAAAGAAACGGTCAATGAACTTACTTGTTCAAGGCTAGTAGGCGAGAGAAGCGATGCTTGTGGTGGCCAAAACGCTTGAACCGAATCGGAGAGTGTAACAGGTTTTGCCGATGAATAAGATGCGGATTGATAAATTTTATTTTGATAAGCGGAACATGACGATGTGTCATCGTCAAGATCGTGTATTTGAGAGTCATACGACGAAGACGAATTTGTACTGATGCTATTCATACTAACATTGGATACTGTACGATTGTTAGTCGCCGGTTTTTTGGTTGGAGTCGGTGGGTACAGATAATAATGATATTGTGGAGGAGTAGAAATCACAAGTGTCGATGTTTGCATCATCTTACCAATTGACGATGATACTCCTGATGATGATGACGACGATGACGAGTCATTAGCATGAGAAAATGAACTTGAAGGAGAGAGAATGAAAGAATCTCTTTTTCCTATTTCATTAGGTTGAAATAAGAGACCGTTATTCAATGAATCTCCTTCATTGGATTTCATAATTGTGTTCGCTGGTTTCGTTAACAGTGATATTGAACTTCTATTCGTCTGAACATTCGAATGTAATGGAATAGATGAATCTAAATCGAAAAAGACCTTCGAACATTCTCTCGACACATTCTTATGGACATGCCATCGAAGAGATACTCTTCTCTCGAATCGACTTACCAACATTAGATGAACTCTTTCTATTGATCTTAGCAGAATACTTTGTTAAGGGTCGTTCTTTTTGAGCGTTGATTTGAACCTTGTCAATATGTTCTTTCCATGCATTGCTTAATGATACAGAAGAAGTATGAAGTGGTTCAATATCGGCACTGAGACGCTTATTTTCATTTGATATATACTGTTTCGGTCGTCGTTGGGTAGATGTTGTACGTTTTAATTGTTTACTATCGTCTGCTGGAGAAGACGACGACGATGATTTATTCTGATTACTATTTGATCGATGAATAAAATTAAAAAAGCCTCCAGTACCGATGAATTTCTTAGTTGTTGTTTGCGATTGTTGGGGGGTTGTCGATGTTTTCACAGATGAGTTCATCATCGGCATCTGCTTTTCTGGAATTGAATGTGTCAAATTTTCACCTAGACAGATTTAATGTGTTAAAGAAAAGGAAAAAGAAGAAGAAGAAGAAGAAGAAGGCGACGATAAGAGGTCAGTCATACCTGTAGAAAAATGGTTCGTGCCATTTAGTTCTTTTGTTAGAGAAGTATCATAGTTGCCATCTTTGTAAGTGACTATCGTTGTGTGAGGCGTGCAATAAAGGTGAGTCGTCGATGTAGTTGCAGCAGTTGTTACTTGTCGAGAAGAAGTCGTGCAATTTAGTTCATCGACATTTTCTTTTTTCTCTTGTCTAGATGTACGACTATCGTTATTCTCTTTTTTCGATGGAGGTAATGGTGAAAGAGAAAAAGAACGATGAACTGAATGTGTGGTCAGCGGAGTTATATTGGCGATGATTGTCCTTCTTGTCATTTCATTTTTCTCTTTTTCTTCGAGTGTCTCACTATGAGATTTTTTCTTTTGTTCTTCATTATCACTAGTGCGATTGCATATACATGAAGACGTAAGTGTGACCGGGAGTTGATAATGAGTACGTGTCGATGGGAATGATGAACGATATTCTGGTGGTAACTGTCGATCGAAATGAACGGATTTCTTTGAACGAGTTGTGCCGGCTTTTTGTGATTTTAAACAACTGTTATTATTGGAATTACACAATGCTCTAGAAAACGAAAGTCAATGGAGTTCTTCCAGAAGAAATTCACTTACGAATCAATTGCTTCATGTTGTTGTTTTAATCCATCGTCATTAGTTGTCATTGAGCGATTCGATGTGTTCAGAGGATTCGTTGAATAGGTTTGTTGACGATTAGGCGAAATTGACATAGTCATCAGGCTACGTGTTGTTGTCGTTAGATGACCAATATCCTCTCGAGACGAATCAATAATTGATGTTTGTGTAGTAAACTTTGATTGTTGATTTAAAGATGGCCCTATGGGAGATGATGATGACTCTTCATGACCTTTTGGACAAGTGAATGAAATGGGGGAGGATGATGATGAGGAAGATGTTATTGATGAGCGAAAAGAAGAGGAAATCGGAGACGATAAAATCATGTTGTTTGTCCTTAAGATTGGCGTTGAAAGCTTTGGATCGATATGTTTTGAACTGTTTTGTTGATATTCAATTATAAATGGTTGTGTCCCTGTCTCGTACACTCGATCGAAATTCGAATTCTTTCGTCGAGAGTATACCACTGATGGTAAAGAAGTTGTCGTTGATGATGAAAGGGACGATGTATCACTGATAAAGTCACTGTTATCAAACGATGGCGATGTACGCAATGGAATTTGCAAAGCTGCATCAGCTGAAGATAATGATGGCGTGGGAGATGAGATAGGATGTGATCTTGAGCAAATACCGTTGGAATTCTATTGAAAAGAAAAGTCATTCTTTTAGTTATATCATCGTGAGATTAACATTGAACAGGCATAACTTGACTTAGTCGTGTCAGTCCTGGAAAGTCTCAGCGGTGACACTTACGAATGCGTGATTGGAATATCGATCGAGAAGGTTTCGATCGTACTTTTCATTGAATGACACAGGTCGAACAATAGAGATATTTTGTAATCCTGAATTGCGTGTCGCATGTGGTCTCATACGTATTTGATTCGAAGCTTTGTTCACTGTTGCGTAAAGTCCATCAGTTCGCTTGCCAGTCGGTGGTAAACCTGATTCGTATTGACCAAGTGGACTCCAACTAACACGTTTCAGATAACTTTTCTCTTTGATGAATTCATTGTTTCCAATAGCTTTCACAATTTCGGTGTAGAAATATTCCGATGCCGGCGATGACTTTCGATCGATCGAACCTGAAATATGTTCTGGTCGGGATCTATGATGAGCCGTTGGCTTATGCTCATCGACAAATAAACTAGGATCATTGGTGATATTTTCCGGAAATCTCATTTGATTAACTTGCTTAATTAATTAATAAAGACCTGAAAGATTATCTTTAATGAATATTCAGTCCGAAACAAATGAACCATTACGAGACTTGGTCTTGGTATTCTATTATCTTATGGTAATACGTAACTGTCTGACCTATTAGTGCGACTTGTATGATTGAAGTGTTTATTTTAGCGTAAAATTAGTTTTTTTTTCATGATTTATCTAGACATGAACGAAGGACAGGCCAAGACATTGTTTTAGACTTTCAATTTTCACGTAAGCTCGAATACGGGTCGCGATATTGAACAGGTACATACTTAGTCTTCGAGGAACGTCTGGATCAATTTCATTAACAACAAGACGCAATGCTGAGTAAACTTCTCAAATGAAAATGAAAGCTCAAAAGAGAGAAAGAACGGAAGCATTCATTATGTAAGTACACGCTTTCTCTTAACTTGCTCTTTTAAATACCAACGAATTCTAAAGAATGTACGTGTATTGAAAACGATTTATGACTGACAAACAGTTCATTGCACTTCTTTTGTATTCATACCTTCTTGAAAGAAAAATAACACAGCAAATAGAGTTGATGAAGATTTAAACCACATTCAAATAACGATGAAAACGACACTGGTCAGTTTGAGTTGTTTCTCACCTAATCTTACATCATATGTTGATATGTAGGTGACAATTGACACCTTTCGTGTTTTTCTTCTACTTACTCTATATGTTGCCGATAATATTTATCATCTTTGTTCTATTGTACTGAGATTTCGTTTTAAGAGTCGTAATAGGAGACAAAGATGGTATACATCATCAAACTAATTCGATACCTGGGACATTCAACGATGTCTGTTCTTTCGGGTTTCTTTCTTCAATTGCTACTTGCATTTTTTCCTTTTTCTTCTCTCTCTCTCTCTTTTCCTCCCCGTTCCCTTTCCTTGCTATTCTATCCAATATGAAATAGATATTTGATTTGAAAAGAAGGTTGAAGGTAAATACTTGTATGTATATACATTGAATGAAAAAGAGGTGATATGAATCAATTTAAAATACATTGCCGTATAGAAGAGATATATCTGATTGATTAATGTAACTTGATTTGTGCAATGAAAAGACGGTACTTATAGATATTGATGTTCACTATAGGAGCATGGATGCGTATACAAGGCAATGGTGAAGGTTAACCTCAGCTGAATGTAGTTGCAAAATAAACGACTAATTCAATCACCAGCATCAGACAAGAAAGCCTTGACTGAACAAAATATTTTGAAAATTTTCAGTTTTATCGCAGGTGAAAGATAAATTTCACTTTTTTTTCGTGAAATGATGATGTGTGTAGATGTATACAAACACTTAAGAGAAATCTCGTCAAACTATTCAACTCTCCACATGCAAGCAGAAGATTTGATCAATAGGAGGTAGTGTAATTACGTCATCAATGTATGAACACGAATGCTAATAAAATACAATGAGACAACCTTCATCTGTGAACATATCGAGAGATATTTGTTGAATTTGAATGTATCGATGATTCTGAATAGCGAATTGTCGAATCATTTCTGATTGATTGTAAATGACAAAACTTTTCATGTTTCATCTGTGCATGTGATATGTTTACATTGATAGATCAACCATGGATGAACGAACGGTTTCTTTTTTGTTGGCTTGCTTGCGCTCTATTCATATGCTATCAAGGGGAAAAAAAGTCACCTTCATTCTTTTCTTTCGGTTGAAAATGAGTACAGTTGAATTGTACAAAAGATAACTGATTTATACGTTCGATCTTGAAGATTAGTTGGCTGTCATCAATTCTATTAAATGATTTTCTTCATTGAAAGAGAAATTACCGTTAAAAATGAGGCAATTTTCCTACAAATTCAAGGGAACAATTGCGATCTGGTTCATGGTTAACACGAATCAAATGTATTTGAGCTCAATGCAAATTTTCATTAAATTATTCTTTTCGAAATTATGATAGCGGCGATTGTCCATGAAAATACAAAATCTTTCAAGAGAAAAGGTTCGATTTTGAATGAGAGTCCGTCCTTGTTCGACAATGCATTTAATATCGAACATTAACGATTGTTATTTTGGAATAATTTGACCCTTCGAAGACAATTTTATCTTTTGAAATCCATCCGTTTGGCCAGTGGAAGAATTCAACGAACTGACCAATGCTATCTAGTGTGACTTTACATTCCCGTTTGAACCTTGTTAAAACAGGAAGGTGATCGGTGATGAATGAATGCCAAGTCTCGGTGAACGTTAATGGCTCGATCAATGAGTATGTCAGAACGTGAAGTTTCTGTAGCTTTGGAAACTTTTTAAGGAAAGTCGTCATTTGATCGTAAGCTGGAATACTCAATGTCAATTTGAGAGATGTCAACATGGAGACCGTTGGATTCAGTTCGACATTGATGTCATTATGAATGCCGATTCTCGCAGATAGATGTCGAAGATTCGGGGAGAATTCGAGCAGTTTGTACAAACTTTGAAACCTACAATAATCGATCTCGAAGTATTCGAGTGATGATAGTGAGTTAAGTTCAGAGAAGTCTGGTGATCGGGCGATGTTGAGTGTAAAGTATCGAAGAGATGGGTGGGTGAGAATTCTTGCAAGTATTTGTTCCATTCGACGGCAATAATCGTTTTGTTCGATTCCGAGTGAAAATATCAAACGAACACGAGTAAGCTTATCAAGGTTAGTGAGACATTCTGGGGTAAAAATTGCTTCAACCTAAATGAAAACGGATGCTGATTGAATCGCCCAACTCAAATCCTACTTACTTCACCTAATGTGATGTGAGTTAACGATAGGGCTCTTAACATGCGAAAATTTTTCATTGATTGAATTTGACAAAAGTCTTCGATACTTCGAAAAATACTATATGGACAAATATCAATCGAAGATATTCGGGAGACTAATTTCATTTCTTCAATGAACGTCAATTTGGCTTGGAGCGCGTCTTTGTTCATCTTTCGAATAGTGAGCCGATGTTGTGTCCATGGGTGGTTATAAATAATACATGAGAAACGTTCGTTCAATGTTCCGAATATCGAGGTAAATTCTTCCAAGGTCAAATATTCGATAATTGAAATAATAATTTCATCGGAAAGATGTTCGAATGTCGTAGTCATTTAACAAGTTATTCTCGTTGATGTGTCCTTCGACTACTCTGCTTGATTTTGTTTTCGATTGCCTACTAGAAGGCACTTGTCTTTTAACGCGAGTGAGGAAGAGAGAAATAATCAAAACATAATTTTCTTCCAACGCATACGATTGCGTATTCGTCATATGAGCAGGCAACAGAACGAAATGACGTCGCTACAAGCAATGACTCATTCGTTTTTGCTTCAATAACTCGATCTTTCGTATTCATCTCGACGGGACCATCGACCGTGACGAAACTGTCTGCTTATAAAGTTCTTTGGCAACAATGATGATGACGGTCATGTCTATCTCTTTCTTTCTCTCTTGACTGAAATAAAATAACAACAGATTTATTCGATGAAATGTAATAGAGTAAAAAAAGAAACGAAAATCTTCGTGGTTCTCTTCGAACATAGATAAAATTTGTAACAATGTATATGCGAACAATCAGAACTAGATAGCAATCTCATGAAGTTGATTCTCTTGGATTTCTTCGGCGATTTGTTCAATCATCCATTCCAAATTCCATCGGTCCGGATGCCATAATGGTAAACATTGTTCATAGACATTCAACGCTCGCTTGTAATACTCCAGAGCAATGTCAAGTTTAATCAAATAATTGTAACAATCGCCTATCCGAGATAAACTTTTGCCAATGTCTTCGTGATCTGGTGCAAAAATGTGTTCACGGATAGTTAAACATTGGACTTCATTGGCAATTGCCAACTCATATTGTCCGCGTGTTAGATGAATTTTACTCAAAAGTGAAAGTGTTTCGGCAATGGACGGATGTTCAGCAGCGAGATTCACCTGTCGAATCCAAAGGCATTTTTCATAGAATTTAATAGCATGATCAAAATCAGATTTTGTACAATAGATGAAACCAATCCATTGTAAGAACAGAGCGATTTGTACGTGATCAGATGGAAAATATTCTTCCTGGATAGCCAGTGCACGTTGATAATAGGTCAGTGAATCATCATATTTACCTTGATGACTGAGATTACTTCCGATCAAACTAAGAATGATCGAAATCTCTGTGTAACGTGTCGGATAGTATTTCTCATACATTGCTAATGATCGTTGATAGCAATCGACAGCTTCGGAATATTTACCTTGAGTATTACGGATCTGACCCATCCGGTTTAGATCTTTGATGATGTTTATCGAAGTTGCTGAACAATAATTTTCTCGAATGTCCAAAGCTCGTTGTTGATAATCGAAGGCGTCATCATATTTTTCCTGTTTGAACAGCGTATCGCTGATATTACTCATCGTTGTGGCTATATCGATCTGATGTGTTGCGCGATTTTTCTCGTAGAAGGACAAAGCCCGTTGGTAATAATCAATCGCATCGTCATATTTCCCTTGACTATTCCGTATATTACCAATGTCGTTCAAACTATTCGCGATGTTAGCATGATTTGTCGAATGGAAACTCTCTCGAATATTCAATGCGCGTTGTTGATACTCGAGTGCTTGGTCGTCTTGGCCTAATTGATATAAAGCCTTGCCAATATTACTGAGATTGATAGCAATGAGTGCGTCCGATGCTGAGCAATACTTTTCATTGATTTCCAATGCGCGTTTGTACAAATCCAACGCATCCTGATGTTTACCTTGATCGCTGCGAATGTTTCCCATATCAATAAGATAGTGCGCGATGTTCATTTGCGCGGATGGATAATGCTGCTCACGTATTTCAAGCGCACGTTGTTGATACTCAAATGCTTGATCAAATTTACCTTGATCACTCAAACTACGACTAATATTCGTATATATGATCGCCACGTCGGCATAGCGTGCTGTGGAATTCTTTTCATGGACTAATAAAGCTTGTTGATAGAGTTCAATTGCTTCATCATGTCTTCCTTGTGCAGCGCGGATATTTCCCATATGATTGAAACTATTCGCCGTTGAGACATACACTGTCGGACAAAAAATTTCTCGAATTTCCGATGCGCGTCGTTGGTACTCAAATGCTTCGTCGTACTTCTCCTGTTTGTACAATGTATTGCTAAGATTACTCAACGTTGTAGCAATATCTGCATGCCGAGTGAACGAATATTTATCGTAGCAAACTAAAGCACGTTGGTAATAATCAATCGCTTCATCATATTTCCCTTGACTATTTCGAATATTTCCAATATCATTAAGATTATTGCCAATTTTCATATAATCGTGCGTTTGATGCTTTTCTAAAATTTCCAAAGCGCGTTGTTGACATTCATACGCTTGTTCATACTTTTCTTGATTATATAAGACATTTCCGATGTTACTCAAACTAGTTGCAACAAATGCATGGTCAGATGGATAGAATTTTTCTTTGATAACCAACGCGCGACGATAGTATTCAAGTGCACTGTCATACTTTTTCTCGTCATACAGGATATTTCCGATATGTTCGAGTGTATTCGTCATATCGATATGATCGGTTGTATATCGTTTTTGATAGAGTTTCAAAGCTTGTTCATGTAATCGATATGCCTCATCGTATTTACCGAGATGATAAAGCACGCTACCAGTATTGTTCAAGCACGTCGCAAGTTCAATGTGTTCCGGCGAATAACAAGTCTCATAGATTTTTATTGCGCGTTGATGATATTCTAGCGCTTGTTGATACTGACCTTGATTGCTTAGAACGATACCGATTCGGCCGAGACTGTGTGCTATGTTAATATTATCGGATGGATAAGTTTTTTCCTGAATGATCAACGCCCGTTGTTGCACTTCTAAAGCTTTGCCATAATTCTCTTGTTTTTCAAGTATATCCCCGATTCGAGCGAGTTCAGCAGCGAATTGTATATGATCGGATGGATAATATTTTTCTTTAATTGCGAATGCACGTTGTTGAATATCGAGTGCATCTTGATATTTACCCTGGCTGTAATAAACTCGACCTATATTTGCCAAGGCAGCTGCGATTTTCAAGTGATCGGGTGCATAGAAGCTTTCCAACATGGTTAGAGCTCGTTGGTAATACGTGAGCGCCTCGTTATATTGTCGTTCGTCTTTGAGAATGTGTCCGATGTTTGTCAGAGTGATGACGGTATCTGAATGTCCCAATGGATAGGATCTTTCTTGAATTTTCAATGCTCGGTGGTACTGTTCGACTCCTTCATGAAATTTTCCTTGACAACAGAGAACATTTCCAATTAGATTGTATGTATTAGCGATTTCTACATGGCCCGATGGGTAGTATTTTTGTTGGATATCCAACGATCGTTGACTATAGTCCAATGCTTCGTCATATTTGCCTTGTTTACTTAAAATGTTCGATATATTGCTCAGAGTCGATGCCATATCCACATGATCCGTTGTATAATAGTTCTTCTGTTTCGCCAATGCACGTTGATAATAATCAAGTGCTTCAAAATATTTCCCTTGCTCATTGAGAATATTTCCAATATAGTTATAACTATTCGCAATATGTGCATCGTATGTCGGATAATCTTTTTCTAACATTTCCAACGCTTTATAGTAATAATCAAGCGCTTCATCGTAGTTTCCCTTTCCACATAGTAAGATATATCCGATGTTATTATATGTACAAATAATATCCATGTGATTTGACAAATAACATTTTCGTTGCATGGTTAAAACTCGTTGATGGTATTCGATCGATTCATCGTACTTACCCTGTCCGTATTTGATATTGCCCATGTTACATAGACTAGTGGCGATTTCAATATGTCCATGTGGATAGAATTTCTGTTGAATGGTCATTGCTTTCTGGACAATATCGATTGCTTCGTCGTATTTTTCCAATCGAAAAAGAATAAGACCGATGTTATTCATTGTATGTGCTATATAAACATGACCATTCGGATAGTAGTTTTCATAGATACGCATCGCTTGTTGATAGTATTCCAGCGCTTGTTCATGTTGACGTTGATCTGTGAGAACACACGCGATATTCTTCAAACTGTTAGCAATGTCAACATGCTGATAGTGAAAATATTTTTCACGAATTTCCAACGCTTGTCGAAGATAAACAAGTGCCTCGTCATTCTTCAATTGTTGATAAAGGATAAGTCCTATGTTATCCAAACTTGACGCAATATGTATATGATCCGACGGATAAAACTTCTTCCGAATTGCGTATGCTTGTTGTTGAATAGTGTACGCTTGATCGTATTTGCCTTGGAGTTCTTGTAATTCACCCATATTCGACAGTACATGAGACGATTCTTTCGTACGAGGTGAATGAGATTGAATCATATGATCATAGGCATGTTGATAGTGCTTTTCTGCTTCGATCCATTTTCCTTGCCATTGAAGTGTATGACCGATGCCGTATTCAATCCATGCGAGATCTTCGCTTGTTGAACAGTCATCACGGATACATTCAAAATAGTTTTGTGCTTGAGTCCATTGGCTCATATCACATAATAAATTGCCGAATATGACTGGAATGGATAAGTTCTCCATTTGATGGTGGATGTCATCGAGATATTTCTGTTTGATCGTTTGTCCATCGTTGACTACCGACATTTTCAGGCACCACGTTTGTGTGTTGAGTTCTTCGAGTTCATCAAAACGAAATGTAGTGTTGAAGTGGAAGAAAAGTCGATCGGAGTTGGGAAGTTCAGTTAGAATAGAATTTTCTTGAAGATCACAGTCGATTTGAAGAAGAAGTTTAATAGCAGCCGTTCGTAGTGTGGAATTTGATGAGTGAACAGTCTTAACATTGAAAAATGTCTTCATGGCAATCAATGTACCTTGTTTATCCTTTAGTTTCTTGAAATCTTTATCGGAAAGAATCATTTCGTGGTAAACCGTAAGTTTTTCTTGACGAGATTGAACAGGATGTTCTATCTTGAGAAGATCGTATAGAAAATATCGTAATGAATAAAGTTGATTCGAGTTTTCTGCTTCTAATGCTTTTTTAACTAGTTTTGTCAGAAACGAATCTTTCAAATACCAATCAATCGCATCTTTGGCTTGATATTTTCGTTCGAATTCATCAATCATAGCAAGTTCTTCCACATCCTCTCGATAGCAAGCACGACAAGTATCGACTAATTCTTCTTTGCTTTGTTCATCATGCGGTAATTGTAACATAAGATCATGGAGAAGTTGAAGCCAAAGAAATGGATTTGCTTGTTTGGATAAATCATGTTGATGGTCAGTCCAAAAACACCAAATTTGCAATTGATCATGAATGATTGCTGAAAATAACAGATCGAGATCATCGAATATACCGATGATTTTCGAATCTTGGTCAAGTAATTGTTTGTATTGATCTTTTCTTGATGAATAAATCAATATTGACTCAATTTGATCGCAGTGAAGCATTTCCGAAAGGTCCAGAGCTGATGTGATCAAAGAAAGTGTTTCATTTTCCATTGATTGGATGAATTTTATACACGGATCGAATTCACCATAGAATTTCACCTGTTTATGAGTGTGACAAAATCGTCTTTTGAATTTCTCATCCAGAAATTCATGTTCCGGATCGAAACAAACGAAAATGGGATATTCCTTCTCAACACATTCGGATTTTACTGTTTGATTCACTCTGCTCGATGATAATGCCACCATTTTTCTATGTTCTAAAAACAGAAAAACACATTTCCTTGAAGAATATGCTCGCAGTCTACTTACAAGAAGGACATTGAATTAATAAATGCGTATTCACCTGGTTGAGTTATGTATCATCGAAAATAACTGCTTGATTTTTTTTTCTTTCAGCATAAACACGTTTGTTGATGTGACGACAGATGAGTATTACCTTTTTCTTCCTCGCTGTACCACTCAAAACAGATACAAACGTATGTACACCATCTAGCTCGCTTTCTCATTCGATCGTCGGCCCGTTTTTTGAAGCAATTTCGTTTTTCCTTTCCATCTATGCGTGTATTACGATAAAATCAATTCATGGATATTTGAAGGAAATACAACGAAAACAAATTTTCATTCAATTAGCCTACTGATGAGCAGATAAGCTTCTCCGAAAAGCGATTAGTCAGCGAACAGCAACTTTTCAATATTTGATTTTTTTATACATCATTACAATAAATTTATTCTCGATAAAAGACATCTGTTTATACAATATATGCGAATACAACACCGGAATAAAATGGGATATTTTTGTATGCTTTGAATTTATGTGACCGGAATGGTCCGAAGGAGAAAGGAGAATTGATGAGTTTGTGCATTAAAGATTTCTCTTGATCGTTCGGTTAACTTGGGACATTGAAGAAACCCGATCTTCTTTAATTTCGGACAGTTTTTGAGCAGAAACGCAAATCCATCATCGGTGATCTCTGTGCACATTTTCAGATTGATTTCGTTCAATGTATAATGAAATGATGATTGTCCGATCGCAATCAACGCTGCATCGCTAATACGAGTTTGAGATAAACTTAATGATCGGATATAGGGTAATAGTCGAAGAGAATTGACACCTTCATCACTAATTTGAATGCAACCAGTTAAATCCAACTCCATCAAACGTAAACAATATTTTCCAATTGCACAAATACTTGCATCTGTTATATGCGAACAATTCTGTAAACGAATCTTTCGCAACGACGGGTATTGCTGAACGAATTCAATTATACCCTGATCTGTTATACTGCTTCCATGGAGATAGATTATCGATGGATTCAGTACAGATGTAATCGTAAATGTTGAGACTTGATTTTGATTCGATTCCAGACGCTTGCGTTCGATTTGAGCATTTAACGAACAACGTGCCATTAAGATCAAGGACTGATCGGTTATTTTGGTACAATCGCGCAAATCGAATGTACGCGTACGACAATTGAGTAAGTATGGGAGATTATCATCCGTAATCAGACCGCGATGAGAAAGTAATTGAAAGAGCCGTGCTTTGGCATCGACTGCGAGTGAAGTCAACCGTGCTGACTGTTGACTGACTATCAGATCGAAATGATTAACAACTGTGTTCGCACACAGTTCAACTAGACTGATTACCATGACCTAGAAACGAAAAGAAAAACAATCAACATTAGGCTTAAATCGATTAGTCATTGTGAAAGCACGAGCACGAGTCCGTTAATGGAATAAGAGTTAAATCGGTTCTATCTAAAGAATAGAGAGAAAGATATATAAAAACTGAAAGTTGTTTTTTTGTGTTTTGAATATTTCATAATTAAAAGAAAAGAAAACGTCGAACGAAATGAAATCAATAACATAAGCATTAGGAAAAAAAACGGAACGAACGAAATACGAGACGATGTTCTTCTAACAAAAAAGTCACAGGCACAACAACAGCAACAACAATAATGAACCAAAGAAGAAAAAAATGTTCGAGATTTCCTTTTTCTTTGAGATACATAAATAAAGAAGGGGAACAAAATACTTGATCACTATCGGAGAGAGATATTGTTTAGAGAGTTCGAAACCTCTGATGATTTGAGAAGAAGAAGAAGAAGAAATTGGTTCTCTTATATAACAACTAGTTACATGAAAAGAAAGTTGACAAAGAAAACTATCTTGTATACGAGTTTAAATTGCCTGAAAACGACTGTGTGTTACTAATATGTGAATGATCCGCTGAATTGAGATTTTGAACACTGTTGCTTGGCTGATGATGACTGTTTAACGAATAATCCGACGATGACTGTTGTTGATGTTGAGAGTTGTAACCGTTTGGACGACGATCATGATCGGAGCGATTTTCTAAACAAGCAAATCTCATAGCTAATCGACGATTGGGTAGGTTTATTAGTATGAATCTGATTTCTTCACTAGTCATCTTAGTGCTATTACTTCTGAACTTACCGCGTGAGATGAATAATTTACTGATAGCGATATCTCTCAAACATTTTTTAAATAAATATTCCTTTTTATTGATATATGCATAAATTGAGATGCATTAACATGAAAACAATTTCTCAAGTCTCACTTTTATGATAGGGTTGGGAAGATTGTTGGTCATTCTGATGATATTGTTGCTGTTGCATATCACCTTGACGTCGTTGTGTCGGCGGTGATGATTGCGATTGTTGTTGTTGATAGTTGGTTGAATTGGTCATCAGACTGTTCACTGGACGATTAGCTGAAAAACGATTGGGTTTCTGATTCCAATATCCATCATTGTTACCCCCGCTATAGTTGCGAGTGTAATTACCACTATTGTTACCACCACCTCGACGGGAATTATTATAACTCGATCGATATTGCTGCCCGGAATATTGATTATTCTGTTGTTGACTGGACTGATGATGTGAGTAATGCTGATGTTGAGATGTAGATGTCGGTTGTGAATGATCTTTTGAATAGTTTGATGAGATAGATTCATTATTATTCGGATCATTACTTGATACTGAACCCGAATTATGGGCTGTTCGACGAGCACCATCCGCTGGTTTGTTATGGTTATTCCAAACTAAATGGCATTGAAGGAGTAAACGTCATTTGACGGTAAGCAGCGAAACTACGTACCTGATTGTAGATGATGAATTATCTCTGTGTAGTTCGTAAACCCTTCGTTATTGACTGTTGCTAGTTCAGCAACCGAGCTCGTTCGAGAGTTTTGTCCCGATCCACTGAAAATGAATAATTGAATTTCTGTTCTTTCAATGTATTCGAATGTTTTTCTCATACCGGTCGGCGTTGTAGTTATTACTGAAATGAAATTGTTTTTCCCCACCGGATGAATTCGGTGTTGAATGTCGTGACGATGAATTTGTCGATGGATAACGCTGTTGTTGTGTTTGTGTATGTTGTTGACTTTGTTGATCATCGCGCGAAGACGAATGATCATCATTAACTGTCGGTTCATTTGTTAGAGCACTCATTATCAAAGCAAATCTTGTTGTACCAAGTTTCAATCGAAGAGATCGGAAAAATACAGACAGATTCGATAAGTCTTTTATATCTCGGTGGAAAAAAAATAAACAAACAAAGAACAGTGCGCTCATTGGTTAAATCCGAACGAATGAGAAATCGACGTTTGGAAAAACTTGAAAATTATTTTCAAAAATACAATTTTTTTCAAATTCCATCTCTTCCTATCGAAAAAAAAATCATGAGTTAGCCGATCTCAACATTCACAGATTGCTCCGATCAGGTTATGAAAAAAAAGATTCGATTATGATCTATATCCACAATGAATAATCTTTACTTTATATTTAATAAATCAACAAAAAAGATACAAAGAAAAATGAAGAAGTCACATTGACCACAAGATAAACAATAATTAAATGCAATATATATGTTGTTCATTTTCACTGTGTGTCTTTGGAAGGATTTTGCACAATTGAAAACGAACAAAAGAAAATAGAACTCTCTGTACAATAAGAAAACAAAACCAAGAACAAAAGAAAAACTTCTTTTCTTTGAAATGATTCAACAAAGCAAAATTGCCAAATATCCGATTTATTATTATTTACCACAATGTGAACAACAACCATTACTTCTGGAATGGTATTCGCTTTCATGAGAATTTCGATTCAATAAATCATCATTGAAATTTTGTCCATTCGTAGATATGACAATACCATTGGTTAACGTATGTATCATTCGACTTCGTTTTTTACAGCTAAATATGAACAGAAAATGCTGTCGAATATGAAAAAAAAAGAAGTTTTTAATGTACTAACCAGGTCGAATCAATTCCAGCATTGATGTAAATTGTTCCATCTTTTTCATCGATTTCCGACAAATGTCGGTCTAATGGTTGAATTGTCGATGAACAAAGTTTTTGTTGACGATGAATAACACCACTCATTCTGTATTCCAAGAAAGCAAGGGAACAGCACAGATAAGATATCTCTTGATGTGAATGTAATTGGAGATGAAGAAGTCGTGATTTACTGATTATCTAGAAGTAATCGATGTACATATGTATATATACGCCTGTTTGCGATGCGTGGGCGCGTTCTACCGTTAGAGAAAGAGAAGAAAGAAAACATTCGCTATAATAGGCAAGTACATGTTCGTCTCTTATTCGTTCTATTACCTTTGTTCGTTGACATTGTCAGCGTCATTATTTATTCATGTACGAACGCCATAGTACATCACGTTGCTAAATGATTGGTTTGACTCATAATAACTTCTGTATTTTATTCGAATAAAAAATATTTGTCAAAAGAAGAGAACGTGTAGGATGAAAAATTACTATGACAGAACTTATAAGAAAAAGAAAAGGCGATTCTGTTGATCGAGTTCAATTAAACATAATCAAGTGTGGATCATGATTGTTTGGATCTCCTATCGGAGCGTTGTGTGACTGTTGACAATGATGAATATATGGTGTAGTCGAATTAGTTAATGGTATTTGTCCAGTGGGATGAATATAATGATTATCTAAACAAATAGACAGAATGAACATACCGAATTTCGTATTCTCATTGGCTAATCGAATATGCTAACAGAAACCTATGCTCATGACACATGATTTGACATTAGGACAGGGTAAAGATTCGAAAAATGCTGAAATACTTGTATGGAAATGTTTTGTGTAAGACCGATTAACAACGAATGATGACGTTTGTACATCTGATGGATGGATCTGCATAGAATTGTATGAAACAAACGAATGAGAGTGTTGTTCACGCGCTAGTGCGAGTTGTCGTTGTTGTTCAAGACGATTGTGCATTTCCAATTCTTGTTGAGCTAAACGTTGAAGATAAAGTTGCTGCTGATATTCAAGATATTCCTAAATGTGATAATTGCTTTCCATATGTTCACAATTCGAGACAAAAACGTGAACACGAACTTGTTTCTTTCGCTTCATGAAGTCAAGCGCCTGGGTTAATTGTAATTGGCGTTGTCGGTTGCGTTCAAATGCCTCTTGTTGTTTTTTTTCGTAGTGATCGTTTCGTAACGCGTTCAATGCTTCTCGAGCGTCTTTCAATTGAGTTAATTTATCTTGCAAATTTTCGTAACAAGCTAAAATCGATAGATAGGTTACGTGGAGAAGAATGAGGAAAGAAGTTTACTTCGTTTATCATCGAGTAATTTCATGAAACGGCACAATTCAGGATGCAAATGTTGCAGAACGACAAAAGCTGATTGTACAGCAGTGTCAGTCGAAATATTCCGATTGCGTTGTTGATTGCTCAACATGCGCAATTTGAAATTGTTAATATGTTCGATCGCAAGACTTGTAAATTGGTCGATTTCATCGTCATCGTCGAATTGTTTCTATGTACCAACAAAATGACGCATTTACAATGAAAAAATGCTTGAAACAATGTTTACTAGTGAAAGATTCTCTGGCTCATTGACTATGATACCATTTTCACTTGCATCGTTCTTTTGCCGCTTTTTTTCCTCTTCCAGTTCGCTCGGAAAAATCGTCAGAGAAGGTTGAAGATCTTCGCTGGTTTCAACTCGACTCTTTTTCTAAACAAAAAACCAGCATTCATCACTTATCTATGCCAAATAGATGATCATTACTTGTAAAGGTTTTGCTGATGAAGGTAAAACCGATGTCAGTATTCTAAATATAAAAAGACAATGACAAGATAATAATAGTGTTCCTATTCAAATTCTTACTCAGTTGTGAGCTTTTCATAACATGATTCACAAACTCGCACTTGTCGATCCTTATGAAACTTTGGAACCGTACAGCGTTTCGACGAACCTAAAACATATTACGAGTAATCACATATTCTCCGCAATAGAATATTTTTACATTTCTCACAAAAAAGATTTCCGCATGCGCGACAATGATGCTAAAAACAATCCAATATCAACTCGTAATAATATGCCAAAGTTGCCATCTACTTTGGGTACGACTGTTGTGAAAATTTGCTGACAGCAGAAACATTCTCGATGACCACACCGTTCGGATGCGGTGTTCTCCGTCTTAAACATAACTTCGCTTTCTTTGTACAATGGAAAATCATGATTTTCCGCCTTCATCTGAGTATACGCATCCGTGAAAAGTTGGTATTGCGAGCCTATAAACATATGCAGACCTCAATTGTTGTTGAAAATATTTCGATGGAGTGTACCAAGATCAAACGACCAACATTGAATCAATTGCAATACTTTATTACGAATCCGCTCTGGACTTTTCTTATTGGCGAAATCTTTGAAATTGTCGATGAAATCTTTCTGTGCCAATTCTTTATGGATTGAATCACTACAGCTTTTCGTAATCGATTCCAAGCACTAAGAAAATCGATCGGATTCAATGTAATTATATTTGAATAGACGATTTACTTCGAGAGTGTGTAGAACTACATGTGGATTTTCATGGTGAAGTTTTCTCTTGATGGCTTGAATGATATATTTCGACCTCAATGTTGAAAACTACAATCATGACGATTTTCCAAGAGGATTCGTCTTACTCAACTTGTTGTGTTTTGATTACATCGCAAAGTTCAACGATCGATTTCCGATCGACGTCAAGTAGAAGTGGACTCGTTGTTTTATCTATGGAAAAAAACATGTCAGTTGACAGATGTAGGTTACTTCGAGTTTACTACCTAATAATTTATCAAATAATTTCACACTTGTTAATGGAATTTGAGCCATGATATTTCGAAAGAAACGAACTATACAGAGAAGACAAGCAACGAACGAAAGAGAAGAATAGAAAATTCAAATACTAGTCCCACTGGTATTTCGTCATAGATGACGTTAATCTCTAAAGGGTAATAGTTATTCTTTATCGAAAAACGTATCGTTCGGATAAACATCACCGATCATGATGATTTCTGCGAAATTGCTCGTTAGTAGGCCACGAGTTCCTGTTGAACGTCCTCAATGTTATTTACATGAGAGATCCGTTGAGACACCCATTATTTTGACTTGACAACGGAAAGTCGTTGTTTAATCTCCTTTAGAAAAAGCAAACACTGTCTCCTGTAGTTGATTGAATTGTCTTTACTAATCCTAATTCTATTTTTCATCAATGCCTTTGTAGATATATTATGAATAATTAAATCGAATAGAATAATATAGACTTCTAACCTTGAGTTTGTATTGCACGTTATATAATAGTGTCTAGGAAAAGAATAAATTTTTAATGTACTTATACAATAAAATGAATAGGTCATTAGTGGTGGAACTATATAATCTGATCAGACCACAAAACTGACTTTCTTGTCCGTATTCTATGGTTTTGTTTGGTGATATGAATGAGAAAAAAGTAACGCTATGAGAAAGGAATTTTATTCTGGGTCTCCGGCACACTTCAGACACAATCTTGAATTATGATGATGATGTCGGTGATATGAGAAAGAAGTTGCGTGATATTTAAAGAACGACTTTTCTTGACTCGTGGCTTGTCGTCAAAATTGCTCTTGATTATTTGCGACGGCGACCATACTTGAAAATGTATGGTACTGGTTGTTCTTGCATAAGCTTCTGGAGAAGCATGGTAAGCCAAGCACGTGCCAATGGATTGGTTTCGACAAGTTTTCTCAATGACGATGATAAACGTATCGGCTCTTGAAATTGATCGTAGTCGACGGCGTTATCGATACTGGATGACTCAGCAAGCGTTGCAACAGCTGAATTGGCATGAACTCGTGGTGATGACGGAGATCGTTTCTGTTGATATTGACTTTCTAATGCAAAGAATTTGCGAGGAGAGATATTCAGTAATTGTTCGTCGGAACTATCATCATCTTCATTACTTTCATCAATGAACACTTCGGATCTATCAACACTCGTTACCGGACGATGTTTGAGAAGCCTGAGTGAGGAAGTGAAGTCAGCAGATGGTGAGTTAGTAATTAATTGCAAAGATGATGCTGATGACGGTAAAGCAGATATGGATGTAGAAGATAAAAACAATGATGAGAGAAGTGTAACAATAAACATAGCCAATATGTCGAAGAACATGATGAAAGGACAAGGAATTAGCAGTTCGAAGGATATTCTGAAATGAAAAAATAACATGAACTAGTACAAAAACATTCTGTCATGCTTGCTTACAAAGAAAAGTGTCTTAAAGATGCAAACGAATAGACAAATATCTTTGTCATTAACACGTTTCTAATCAAGTTCACTATTAGTTTATAGAAAGTTTTCTTTTTTTTCCTCATTTGAAAGAAGCAAAAAAGAAAATACTTACATCGAAGATTGATAGGCAACTAATAGCACTTATTACTCTCATATATTCATCTGATTTTTTTTTTATTGCAATTTTCAAAATCTCAAGAGATAATCAAATGAAAGTACGTCTCCATGAGAATTAGTAATATGCTATTCGCTAGATGTTGATTGCAAATCTTTTTTTTTCGCTGTATGTCTCGTATTCAATTGGAATAAACAATGCATCCTTGTCGCGATTCATCGTTATTCTAATTGAAAGACATTGACAAAGCTTCTGATCGAATTATACTCGCTGACGATTCAGTTAGGTGATGACAAACAGACAAACAATAATACACGCAATCATAACAATGACCACATACGACCTCATTGACAAAGCTATCGAAATGTCTTATATGTTAAACATCAGTCTTCTCTGGCATTTTACATTCTATGAAAGCTACTCCCCCTCATTCTCTAATACACACACACACTTACACGAGACGAGTAGAAAATAAATACGAGTTTCACATGAAATGGATTTGAAATGGAAGAGAGAGAGAGAGCGAGAGAGAGAGAGATAGACAGAGTGCAGAAGAAAAAGAATCAACTAAATTTATTTGTTCGTCTCCTACTCATGAGCGCCTACGCATTGTGCCTATCTGAAATAAATATATAATAATTATATTATGTCATCTGAACCGAGCACCATATCGGCATTGTATTCGAATACCTAAAATATTTATATTAATTCGGAAGAGTTCTTTTACAGTTCAATCAAAAGGCCAGACTGTATGTCACGTTCGAAAAGCTTCACAGATTATACGCGATTGCATTGAAGGGCTAAATTGTTTCCTATATCCGAATTTGACATACGTATTTATATTAGTATTATCCTTTAGTTGTTCACCAAAGTGAAGTCTAAAGAGGAAAAGAAATAATGAGGCTTATAGCAATGGAATGATTGATTGATTAGTCTTTCTGCGAACACAGAGAAAAAGAGAAAAAAAAAGCGAGAGAGAAGAAGAGTAACGCCGCTACTGCTGATGACGATGAAGAATCAATCCGAGACTCAAGTGACATCGAGTTAATGTTTCCTATACAGAATTCAATTGCTGATGATGATGATGATGGCATTACTAAAAAAAGATTCCATTTGACTTTTGAATTATTCATCGAGATTTCCATTCTACTAAAGCAGTACTTACAATTCGACCAACTGACGATCATTTGATTTCTCGTTTGAAAAATAGCAGCAGTTAAACGAGAACAAAGAAGAAAATTAATCAACGAGTAGAAGTGTGAGCGAATGAGAATTGGAAAACGCATGTAAATAACGCTATTTCATTAATATGATTTTCGCTTTTAACAAAAGAGGTGTCGTCATTCATTTTCTGAGTACTTAACAGGAAAAAGTCATCAAATACGTAGTTATGTTACACATTTGTTAATTAGAAGAACCAAGCAGATCGACCAGGAAAATCCGCAATGTTTACAAAATAAAAGCTCATGTTTTTCATCTCTGCTTACTTTGAAGAATGAATATAATAAACTTTCAAACATTAGATGGTGAACAACATTGCTGTCGGAAAGCTAAATGCAGTTTATCATACACCAACCTTAATATACAAAATCAGCCGTCTTGACGCTGCCGTTGCATGTACAATCCACTTGCTTATTTTCTGGCAACTATCGGAACGAAATGTCTCTCTTTTCTAAAGTAATGTTTCTTCCGAATAGACTTATCATATTATAGAAATGTTTGTGTCGTTCCTAGTTGTAGAAAAAAAAAGAAAGGAAATGTCATTTTTATTCTCTTTTCCTTCCTGACCATTTTGTTAGTTTTCAAACATATACTAATCAAATCAATGATATTTTATCGAACGTCATTCAGACTAATAGTGCGCAGTTGAAATGATGTGCTGGAATGATTTGTGAATATGATTTGGGAAAGACTGTGCCAGATAAAAGTCTTCGGTCGTTTAGACTGAAAGTTTGCGTTTCTTTTTTCTTTCAGTTGTATAAACAGATAAATAAACAAACAAACAAATTCGAATGTGTTATTATCATATAGGGAAAAAAAACGAATTCGCAGATTAGATAAACTTATTTTTCAACAGAACACCAGTGATTAGAATGCCTGCTGAAGCGAATAGAAAGCAAACCCATGCAAAAACGCCAATTATTGTGGAAATCAGTAATGTTGAAGAAATACGACTCGACAAACGATGTGCGCCGTCGAAATCTTTGTCTGCAATCATTCGGCGTACTTCGAATGTTTTATAAAGTGCCCAACACGGTCCAATAACAAAAAAGCAGAAGATTGTCAACACTAACGCCCATGTGAAGTGGTTTGGAATCTTCGTTGGTCTGAGTTTCACGGAATTCTTGGGTTTGGTCGTTTGAATTCGCAATGGGTTCTTCTTTTTATGTGGAACTGCTTTCTTAACTTGTAAATTCTTTGCAGATAATTCAAACGGTGGATCATGTTCAGACATTTTATTTACTTTTTTGAAAGGAAAAGATGCACCACAGTTTGATATAAAAAAAGAGAACACAACACTGGCTTTTTTTTGTCAATAACGACAGTCGATGAGGAGAGCAATGAAGAGAAAAGAAAAAAAACTAGAAAACTCCGCTACATTAACTAGAGCATATTAATTTTTTTTTTCTTCTAATTTATTTTAAAGCACCAGTTATTAGCAAAAAAGCGTCATTCAGAGATTTTTTCCTGCTATCAATATTCAAAGTCGCTTGCTTTGTGTATGGTCTTGGAACAAACGATCTTATGATTTTTCCAAAAAAAACAATTCAATCCTATACGACGATGTCGGTTACTTTCTGTGTAAACAAATGAAAAAGTGCACGGTTGAATATTTCATAAGCATAATAGTGCTTATAATAAAAAAAAAGAGGTTGCCTTATCATCAAAATGAAGTGAATGTTCGTGACAGAGTGACATCTGTTGACAATTTTGAACATTAGCAATTGGTAAAACGAAAGCAACTAATCGTAGAGAAGACATTCTCATTCATTCATATTTATTTAGTACTTTCGATTTCAATGGATTATGGTATGTATCCGGGCAATAAACGATCAAATGAAGATATCTTATCTAATCCCAATGATCATAAACGCAATCGAAATGCACCATCAGTCCGTACAGAATATCGATTTCTAATTGCAGTATCGGACGCTTATGCCATATTCGGACGAAATGGTGAAAATTATCAATCGATAAGAAATAAATATCATAATCAAATTGATATATCGCAATCTTCTACGCCCGAACGTATTTTAGTGTTCTACGGTGATGAAGATCGAGCAATGACAATCTTGGGAGATATATTACCTATCATGGCACAAAATCAAGGTGTACGTCCGGGTTTTGTTGAACTACGTGCAATGATACATTCGTCACAAGCGGGTGCAGTCATTGTAAGAATGAACAAGTTACTTTTTTGCTTCTCTTATGGAAATTTTCTATGATGTAGGGAAAAAGTGGTGATCGCATAAAAGAATTTCGACAAAAATATAATTTAGATACGAAAGTATTTCCAAATTCCACACCAGGTGATACCGCAGAACGGGTTCTTTCATTACGCGGTGAATTACCTAATATTATCGAGTGTTTACGAGGTAAATGCTTGTTTTTCTCGTGCTATTCGGCTAACAGAGTTAATAATCGATTTCAGAAGTTTATTCAATTCTCGATCAAACACCTATTCGTGGTCCTATACGAAATTACGACCCAGCATTTTACGATGGTACTGATGTTGAACGTTACGGTACGAGGAGGCAACTATTTACGCATTTTCTTTTCATATCAACTTATTTTCTTCCAGGCGGTTTCATGGAAAATCATGATTTTCAAGCCACGCGCACGCGATTCAATCCTAATCATCAACAGCAACACAATAACAATTATAATCATCGAAATAATCAACCGTATTATCCGTCAAATAATGGTCCGATGCCAACGACAGCTCTTGTAACAATTCCAAATTCATTATCGTCGTCCATCCTTGGACCACGCTGCAGTCGTATAGCACAGATCCGACAGCAATCAGGCTGTGTGATCAAGTTCGACGATCCATTACCAAGTAATGATCGAATTATTAGTATAATTGGTTTACCAAATAATATCATTCATGCCCAATATTTAATGCAAACAGCAGTAAAACAATGGACTAATTCAACGGTTTCATCCTAGGCATTTCTTTTTCTCTCGTTCTCTTCATAAATGTTTAAGAGAATGTATATCTGTTTGTTTCATATAAGTATAAATATATCTCAAAACGTTATCTTTTATCGAAAATGTTTACAAACATCAAAAGAAACAAGAGAACATCGAACGAAGTTTAGTCTACCACGAAAGCGATTTGGCTTCTCGTTCATAACAGCCTTCATAGAATTGCGCATACCAGTTTCTATACGAATGAAGACATTTGTCTGCGTAATTTTTCGTATTGTAGTTCAACTTTTCGGTAAAGATTTTTTTATTCCAAATTTTCATGTCGGCATAGAGTTGCTTCACTTCGCCCATTAACATTGCAGCTGATAGCCAATAGGGCATCCACGTCGAAGTTATGATACGATGCACCACACGTTGATGAAACTTTTCTAATGGAGTTAATGTATGAAAGAGTGTTAATTTGAAATAGGGTGACCAAAGAAACAGATAAACAATCGATGGTCCAATTTGAAATCCAGTGGTATTGAAGAGAAAGATTTCGTATTTGTTGAAGAAACGAATGGAACAATCCAAACAAATAACGTTGATATAACGAACGTTATCTTCAGTGAGAAATTTATCGAAGAGATGCATTTTATATGCATGTGCCGAAGGATTCGAATGGGCCATGATTTGTCTAAGATTTGGATTAGTCGCACGTTCCGCTGAGGGTGTCCATTTGAATTTGACAAACGATATCGAATCAAGAATTGATTCATGTAAGAAGTCAAAATGACGAACGTCGCTGCCTAAAGAAAATGTGAAGATAAGCAATCGATATATTGAATGTTCGTACCATTTTCCGGTATCTCTTGAACATGACAATTGACATAATTGATTGACTCGCCGCGAACTGAAGATTTTTTCCGTTAAAAATAGGTTTGAGAATGTTTCAGAAAACTTTACCTTCCATCGTATTTCGAGTGATCTCATCCTGAATGTCGATCAATTCGTAAAGTGGCTTATGCCTTAAAATCTCATCTGCATGATACCAAGCAAAGATCGATCCATTCAATTCACGACATTCATATGTTTTCAGTTTAATCTCTTGATTTTCTGCGACCTTTTGTAAATATTCCATGGATTTCGAATTAGATGATGAACACGGTGTGCAGCGTTCGAGATCGGCATATTCAAATGTATCAACGCGTCGAGGTATTCGATTTTCGCCATCGGAAAACACACATGTGCCTGTTTCACCATCGTAAACCCATCCATGAAATGGACATTCAATACAGTTTATATCACGAACTCGACCACCAACACCGAGATTTCCACCCATATGAGCACAGTAAGCTTCAAGAACATATGGTTTACCGTTATGTCCACGGAAAACAACAACATCTCGGCCGCAATGATTAATAAATCTAACACCACCTGGAGTTAAATTACATGAGTCTATTAACCAAAACCAACCTAAATGATAAAGAAATTTTTTGTTGGTCAAGCCTAGAATGGAGGAACTTGAACATTTACCGTTGGGATATGATGGTGGACATTTGCCTCGAGAAATTTTACCTTTCGTTACTTTTTTCGGTTGATCGTATATGAATATTCGAAATTTTCGATAATAAATAAAATACAGTATAGGTGTAATGATCAATATTACGGTCCATATGTTTGACGTGATAAGATCTACTGAGATAATCATTGATAGAAGTACAATTACAATATCTACGGTGTTTTCAAAAGCGTGTTGTCGAAAGCGTACAAAGCCATGATTCTATGCGGACATGCTTTATATAGTTGACTTCGTTACTATCTCCGTTATTCAGGTGAGAAATAGCAAGTGTGGTTTATCGTAGATCACGCCACTTTTGCACCAGTAATATTAGCAGCTGATAATGATATTAAAACATGCATTCAGTGTCAATGTTCTCGAATTCATGAGACAGACTGTATTTCGAGAACATATCTAGAGGCCAAAGATGATAGCAACATCTAAATCAGCTTGTCGTTATCATGTAGATGTTATGAAACGTGAGGGTTCTACTTTCTTTAACTCACTTGTTAGATCAAGATACTCTATTTTGGTGACGTGTGACTTGTACTAAAGCACATATCATCAAATACAAATACGGATCTGAGTTCATATATTCTCATTCTCTATAAATCGAAGAAAACTCGCGATGGTAATACGCTTCTTGTGCAGGTATTTTTTTCTTAGAATTGCAAATGGGCACACATACAGGAAGAAAAAGGAAACAAAGATAGAAACCAGTCGATTGATAATGTGTTGGCACGCGTGTATCAACGGGTCGACATAGAAAGTGAATAGAAAATCTCTCATCAGAAGTTACTTATTAACGACGGGATGTCATCATCAGCACATACTCTGATTTTTTTCAGTTGAAAAAAGGTCACAGTCTGAAAATATCATGGCTGCATTCAACCTCCAAGGAGACATTCATCAGTGAACTAGCGAATAGCAATTGAAACCCGAATATATCACATCCTTACTCGCCGCGATCAAAAAATATTCCCATAATGACAAATTCTTCGCGACTGTTTTTCATTCAGTCTCTTTATTAAAACTTAGCATGAAAATGTGTTGTTCTTGTTTAAATTCCTATGATGCAAACAAAGAGAACTGTGAAAAAAAAAATCATATGTAGTACATCGATTGAAAATAGCTGTAAAACTCTTCTAAAGCTACCCATATATAATTTAAACTTGCAAGATAAACACACATGAACGAATAAATATTGAAAAAGCAAAATAGGTGTGAATTAGTGCGAATCTTCTTCTTCATCTTCTTCCTCTGCATCTTCCAAATTATCGTCGGAGTCAACATTCGAAGTTTTCGCTGAATCAGCAGTCATGGGTCGTCGAAATTCGTTACCTATGAAAAGAAAAGTTTAGTATCAATCCAGTTACCTTCATAATCCAACTAACCTTTGAGAGCTGATGATTTCATAATTCTAACCAAAAACAAATAGTTAATAGTCTTTGATTTGAGAAGAAAACAATCTCTTACGAATCGTATGTGTTTTGAGACATATCTCCGGATGATAAATGATGATGATTTGCTGCTTCTCGGACTCTAAATTAGTGAAATAACTGATTATCAGTCAATGGAAGAGACTAATCATCCTTACCCAGCGTGTGGCTGATGAATACTGGATGTTTTTCGTTGAGGATTCGTGTCGCCAATTGAAGTCAACGATGATCCACTGTCCTCATCATCATCATCACGTTTGTTATCCTACAAGCACGAAATTTTCAATGAAACAAGTCACAAGCATGTTCTTTACTCGAGAATTGACTGTGACACGAGTCGGTTGAAAACCTTGTGCAATAGCATTAACTGTTGGTTTGTGTCCCTTGGAACTAATATCAGCTAATTTCTGATCGATAATTCGCGTTTTTGTTGCCACATTTCCCGTCGTAAGACTTTCACTCTCACTAGAAAAATAAATAAGATCGGGAAGGATTGATTTTCATCACGCAGAGGGTTTTACCTTTCAGATTCATAATGCTGAGTTGCTGTTTGCGGCCTAACTATTGCCGAGACTGTTTTATTCGTGTTAATTATCGCTGGTCTCATGCTTCCTGCTGCTAACGAATTAACACCTGTTGACGGTGGATTTCGCCGAGGTGATGGCTGAATGTCAGTCGTACCAGCTGATTTAGTTGGTTGACTATAATCATCACTATCATCTGTGTTCGTATGACTTTTTTCATCATCCGAAGCGAAACTGGTTTTTGGACGAGGTGGATTACGTGAACTATTCGAGTGAACAGTTGTAGACGGTCCTCTGGGTGACTTCGGTTCTTGATGTTTAGCGTCGACATCAAACGTCACTAGTTTACCGCCTGATGAACGAACACTACCCGAGGCTTTCGCAGTTTGACTACTCAATCGTTCAGCGGCAAGTTGGTCCAATGTACGACTAATATCGGCACGTATACGTTCAAAATTTGGTAAATCCTACATGAAAAAATAGACTATAATTACAAATCCTCAATCAAAGCGTTGTATTAGGTTACATTTTGAATATTTTGTCGAGTTTGTTGAATAAGATCCATTTTGCTTGAAAAGTCTTTTGTTGGAAGTCGGGTATCTTTCTGCAACACAAGAGATCGATAATATTCTCCTCTGTTGGATCATTAAAGTTTACCTCCGTAATACCCAAGTTGTCATACTGACTAAGTTCATCGCGTAATTGTGCTTTTGTTTCACTGCGAAAACGATTGAGGAAATTTGGGTCGGTATTAATTTTTCGCACAACGCTTGGGCAGTATTGCGGAAGATGAATTTGTACAGTGGGCGCCGGCCGTGTTTGCGCAGGTGCTGGCACAGGTGTAGGTGGAGGAGACGGTGATGATGTTCTTCGCGGTGGCGGTGCAGGAGATTTGCGATCGACAACTGGTGGTGGTTGATTCCGAAGTTGATTTAGCTGATCATTGGCATCATCAAGGTCCTCTTGCAATTTCTTACGGTGATTTCTCTCCTCATTGTATCGCTAAACATTCAATTAGGTTCAGAGTTCTTCGTATTTTTATTTCGTTGAACTTACATTTCGTGTTGCAATTAGCTCTTCAGATAGCCGACTTGTGTCACCAGATACATTTTGTAAGGACTGAAGAGCGTCATTCAATCGACTGATTTCCTTTTGAAGCTAAAGAAATGAAAGACAATCGAAAGAATTGTTATAACAATCGAAATGCCATACATCTTGATTTTCACGTTCAACACGACGTTTCGACTTCTCTTCTCTCTTCAAATTACCTTCAGCTTGTTGCAATGCTTGTTTCTAAGACGAATATTTATTTAATTTAAGAGAGATGCAAAAGTCAGTCAAACAAACTAGGTCTTCATTTGTAGCACGTAACGTCTTATTTTCTTTTAACAACTCCTTGACACCGGCTTCACGTCGTGCTGGCGAAGGTGCTTCAGTTTGAACATTCTGAAGAAATTTCAAGGATAAAGACAGCAAGTGCCATGAGAAATCTCTTACCGATCGAAGAGTGAAACACTTCTCTTCTAAAATTGTATTTTTATCACTTAATTTTTGAATTTCTTCCTAAATAAAAAGAGGCTCGTTGTCTAGTATGGATTCACTTTATTAACAAATCACTTACTCTGAGTAGACGAATAGTTTCTTCTCGTTCGCGAATACGCTCTTCATCGGCAGTCTAAAACCACACATGACAATTCATATGCATCAGCTTGCACGTTACTCTTTTACCTTTTGCACTTTAACCAACTGTAATTCGGTTTCTTTACTATGTAATTCATCTTTCAGTCGTTGCATTTCCTTCTCGCTATCAACGTCATGTTCACGTTTTCGACCAGAATCGTATTCCGGATGACGACGCTGCATATGTGCTTGTAAATAGTCAAAAGTTAAAAACGAATGTGCACAAATAGGACACTGGAAAATACGTAGCGAAGTCAGAATAACGAATTGGAAAGGAAATTCTAGTGTACCGTGTGATATGACGGCCGTTGGGCTAGTAACATTTTCTCTTGTGTTTCAAGAAGCTTTTTGCGTCGTTTTGATTCTTTTTTCGTTCGATTCAAATCATCTTTTAGTTTCTGGATTTCGTGATTATATTGCTCATGGTCCTAAATTAGATATTCGAGAAATGTCACAGCGAGAGCTATAATCTTACCACTAAACCTTTGCTTTTATTCTGTTCGTTCTCCGCTAGTTGACTGCTAATTTGATCTTGGCAAAGCTAGAAGGAATGAAGAGCGCTTGAAAATATATCAACTGCGAGAGAACATCAACAAACCAATAGATATTCAATTGTTAACTGGGCCATCTTGTATAGCTTTAGAAAATTCGGATCCATCGCTCGTGAATCCTACAATGAATAAAGACAAAAGTTGAAGCTGTAGGAATATTTTTTGACTTACCACTTCTAAATCGATATTACATAGTGTAATTTGTTCAATATTATCTTGCAACACTTGAAAATCTAATTCTCTCGCCACCCGATCGATGTCGACTGCCGCTAAAACGAAAATATGAAATGAAAATGTGCTAATAACTTCCAACAATTGCTTTACCGATTCGACGCCAGTCGATTTTTTCGTTTCGTTTATTGAAAACAAACGGGCGACTCATCGGCGGTTGAGATGGGTTGCTTAAGATTTGATAATTCATCTTGAGAATTTTATAACCTAGTGATTATCGAGAAGTGAACGTATGAAACGCCATCTGAATTCGCCATTATTGAATCTGCTTCCATCGATATGACTTCAAACACATCCGTTGTGATTGAACAAGAAGAAACTTCGTAAAACATGCCGCCGATTTTGAGAGAAAACTTTCCTTAGCGTTTCTTTTCCGACAAAGACATTTAATAGATGTCGCTAACGACGGAATGACTCATCGATCCATCACATGTACACTAAGACTGTACAGACAGACTGATTATTCGTTTGCATACCATTCGTTATCATTTGACATGTCATGTAAAATGATATTCTGGCCGATTTGTTTCTATGTAAGAAATTCTTTTCGAAAAAAAAACAAAGCAAAATGATCGACAACTCTTTTCTTCTCTTCCAGTTATTTGTGCTACTAGCACACGGTGAACAATTTTCAGATAGCCCGATTCAGTCAATAATCAATCCAGATATTGAGATTAAAAACTGTACATTTGGAGAGATATGTTCCGGTAGCATCAACTCAAGCTCAATACATTTCTACTCAGTAGAATATTCATTCGATCCAACAATGGTAAGAGAGAAAAAAACACAACTGACGAGCGCATTGATGTTATCTGATCCAGCAAGCATGAGTAAGAAATGTTATCGAAATGCTGCTGCTCTATGAGTGAACAGATTTCCAACAAGCTGCTGTTGTAGATTTTGTATATCGTTTAGCGAATGTTTTTAACTTATGTGATATTTTAGGCTATTCGTGTAATTACGAATATGACATATAAAATTGAACAAGAATCTCCATTACTGATTGTCGTTCGACAAATTCGTGGCGTTATCTCGTGGACATTACCATATACATTTTCTAATGGGTAAAATGAAATTTTATCTTTTTGTTTGATTTTAATACGATTAATTCATATCTAGGATGGTTTATTCAAGTGCTTCGCGTATCCTTTGCTTACAAAATGAGATTAATCGTACTCTCCCGCATACAAGTCGAGTTTTCATTGAAATCTCGACATCAAATAACGCTTTGATTGACTATTCACTTCAATTGGAAAATATCACTGACTTTTTACTTGAGTAAGAACATTCTTTGAACTTTCTTCGCGTCATGTCTCTATTTTATCAGAACCGGTGTTAGTCGACAGTTCTTCGTTTCACCTGCTATGCCGATCTATTACAAATTTACATTTCCCCCTGATATTCAAAACGTCTTCATCGATGTTCGTTCAACTGACCAATTATGTACCGTTGTTTCTGTGCAATCATTCGATTGTCCAGTATACGATGTGAGTGAAATCGGTACACGACAAGGACACTACCAAACGATGGCATCGATTTCATCATTTAATGTTTATGTAAGTAAATGATCGCTTGATTTTGTTTTGGAATTTTCATATGCTATAGGCAAGTGAATTCCCGAAGCGGAATACATTTCTTCTCGTATTTCTGGTTAAACCAACAGACGCCGATTGTTTAAACGATCAAGAACAAACGGCTATTCGACCATCAGGTATTGTTGATGTTCAACGACGAAAAAATGCAACAGTGACAATTCAACCACCAACAAACTGTAAGTTTCACTTTCACACATCTTCAATTAAAACATTCTGTTCAGATAATTTTCTTTATATTGCAATATTTACTACCATCGGCATGTTTCTAATGATCTACTTTCTTGCTTTTGCAATTATGTGTAAACACCCGGATATTTAGTAAGTAAAACATATGTATGGCATTATCGATAATGAAGGTTTTATCATTTTCTAGCGATCATCTTGCTCCAGAACATTTACGTATGTTTCTGAATCGGAGTTTCTGTTGATTGATTGACTGCCTGTCTGTTGTTCTTTAGCTTTATTGGAAGCAAGAACGGAGCGCGAGATATCAGGTAAGCGAAAATACGAATGTGAAGTTCAATATTTTTGATTTTTCGATTGAATAGAACGGGAAGATAATCAACAAGGTTACCAAACATTTGAGGGCGAAGAGAATGTTGAATCAACAAGTACAGATGAATATGAAAATTCCGGTGGAGCTATCGAAGTGATCGAAACCTCAAATGTACGTTCATAAACGAAAAGTTTTTTCTAAATCGGCGATCGTTTGCTTCTAGGCTGGTTATGTCACTGTCAGTGATCTTTGTGTTAAAGATTATGATTATTTAAAACAAAAATTTCGTATTTATCCTCAAACAATGCTAACCATTGCCATATTCTATTCCTTACCGGTTATACAACTAGTCTTACAGTATCAACTGAACATCGATGCATCAGGAAATGAAGATATATGTTACTTTAATTTCCTATGCACAAGACAATTCGCTATGTTAACAGCGTTTAATAATGTCTTTTCGAATATTGGCTATTGTGCACTTGGTGTACTCTTCTTGATCATAGTCTATCGAAGGTAAATCTAGTGAGAATGAACTGGTTAGCAGAGACGAAACTTTACTTTTGTAGAGATATGGCCTATGCTCGATTCTTGGCAAGATATCCAGCAATTGGCAAAGTAAATTGTTTGAAATTAGGCGAAGAAATATTCTGTTTCTCTTTCGAATTAGGAATACGGTATTCCCCAACATTTTGGTTTGTTCTACGCAATGGGTATTGGATTATTCATGGAAGGTTTGATGAGCGGCTGGTAAATTCGTTTTTTTGTTAGCAGTTGTATAAAAATTTATGACGTTTAGTTACCATATTTGCCCATCGAAACAAAATTTTCAATTCGATACAAGTTTCATGTTCATTATAGCTGTATTAAACATAATCAAAATTTATCAAACTAGACATCCAGATATCAATCCTCGTTCGTCCGGCTCATTTTCATTTCTTGCTGTGATTATTCTTGTCACTGTCGTCGGAGTAGTATGTTTTCGATTTGTATCACTTTTCTTCTCTTTCTTCGATCTTTTCATTTAGTACTATGACGAACAATGGTTTTGGATTACCTATGCTTGTATTCATATCTTGTCCTGTGTTGCATTTACCGGAAAGATTTACTACATGGGACGATTGAAAGTCACTTTTCGCGTACATGTGAGTGTTGTTCGAGTAGAAGACAATGAAATTGACTTCGAATTTTCAGATTCATTTGTATCGACTAGTTCGCGAAAATGGTTTCTTTTCTCGTCCACGTTATTTAAATCGTATGATGATCTTAATTCCAGCCAATTGTGTAAATATCGCATTTGCTCTCTACGGTGCCATTGTTCAACCTGAATCATTTCCAAATCATTTGCTCTTTGTCTTTCTTGGTAATCTAGCAATCTATTTAATCTACTACATATTAATGAAAATAATTCACCGAGAACATTTTACACGTTTTTCCATTCTATTTCTTCTCCTGGCGATCTTCTTCTGGTCATCATCGCTGTACTTTTTCTATCAAGAAGTGAAAAGTTATGAAGTTCAACCGGCTATTTCACGTATGCGAAATCGTGCATGTATCCTACTGAACACATACGATGTTCATGACATTTGGCATATTTTGTCATCATTTAGTTTATTTTTTTCTTTTCTCACTTTATTAACACTTGATGATGGAATAAGGAAAACAAGACGAAGAGAACTCGCAGCTTTTTAACAAGAAAAAAAAGTCTATGTTTGTTTGTTTGTTTGTTTTTCAGATGAAAATCTTAATCAGTATAATTACCGACGAAAAACAACGTTAGTGCTTGTTCGATTGATAACATACCTTGCTGGTCAATGTCCAAATCGCGTAACATGTCATCGATTTCTTCTTCGCTTAGTTTTTCGCCGCGAGTACTTAAGAAGTATTTCAATTCTTGAGCTGATATGAAACCATTTCGTTCGTAATCGAAGCAACGTAAGCTGTCATGCACTTCTTTTTCCGAACGTTTCTTCAAACCTTTACATGAACTTTCAATGGTATCTAAATCGAATAGCTGGTGAGGAGAAGACACAGCTAATATCTTCTTCAATTCATTGTTCGACGGGCTGTAGCCAGCGGCACGTATGGCTGTTCCAGCATCTTTGAAACTTAGTGGACGATTGTGGTTTCGTTTCGAAAGCACTTCAAAGGCTTGTTTTAAGCGTTCATCGGTAGATAGAGATGCACCATTACCATTCGTAGCCATGATTCGATGAATGTTATCGACGAAAAGAAAAACAAAAATGAAGAAAAGAGTGTATAGGCGCAAGGATTAGTTTTCTCTTATGATAATGATCAATTAATGATTTACCGTCACAAAAAGGAAAAGAACAAACGGAGAACGTGACGTACATAATCAATGAGACATTCGATCTACCTTCATTGATTCAGTGAGAGAAAAAGCATACAGGTGACCTCGTGGAGCACTTTCTTCTTCTTCTTCTTTCTTCACTTTTTCTTTTCCTATCATATCAAATCGAAAGCGCAAACAAACAAACATGCGCACAATTGTCTTTTGTCATTTTAGTCTTTAGTCGTGTATACAAAAGCTTAGATAGATATGATGTCTTGACATCGGGATTGAATTTTTAGATCAATACAATGAACTATTTCATTGGGATATTTATTTATTTACTCTTTCTATTCAATAAATCTTCTGGAGACGATCATGTCTTGGTATTGAACGATCCATCATTTGTACATAACGGTGCGTACGAAATCGTTTCGGCAAACACACGCGACAAACGTGATCAATCATCATGGTTTTTTCCTGAAATTGATAAAGACCTAGTCTCATGTGGAAGGAACATCTACGTCAAACTGTTCACCTGTTCGAACTTACGAGATTGCAGGTAAAAGACTTACTTTGAAAGGAATTTACGAATGATCATTTCTCTTTAGGGATTTCTCGTCCTGTTTGGATTCACTTCGTTGTCCGCTAAATGTGAAATCGAATGGAGCTTTAATTCTCAATCTGCTCCGTTTACTTGGAATGGACAAATGTACTACCGACGGACAAGACCTTTTATGTCCACATGAGAAACGATTAGTCATCCTGAAACGAATATTTGCTTATTGGTCTCATAATAAAGATAATGAGTATTGCCGGTAAGTTCACATTTCATTTCGGTTCGCGTATTAACAATCATTTCTTATTCCAGTACGATCTCTGACTTTACAAATGAAATCAAGAAAGAAGTACAAGATCAATGTCCATTGAACCTACGACAAGTTGAAGCATTACTTGAGAATTACGCGTGTTTACGTAAGAGTTCGTTGCCGAAAGAATATTCCAATGAACTTACAGAGAATTTTCTTCTAGCATTAAAAGATGCACTGGCCAGTTTGAGTAGTACAACACCTGCCCATATCCTCCCAACAATTCACGATGCATTAACAACGGGAGGAACAGTTTTATCATCACAATTTGCTTATGTTGACGAAGATAACGATCTGAAATTTGTTGAATCCGATAACAAACTTTACAATACAACTGAACAAAACGTTTTCGTTGTAAGTTTCACTTTGCGAATCTTTCCCTATTTGACACCGATTGTGTTGAAACTAGAATGACCATCAATATTACAACGTCTCATATATTATTCCGAAATCTCAAGGCGGAGCGATCAATTTCATTCATGACAGTTCTCAATTTGCTCGGATTCACGCTCTAGCAAATCGTCATCGCTCAGCATTTGTATGAGAACATTCATCGATTTGTTTTTCTTATTGAATATCCTCAATATTTGCAGGGTATTCATTTAAAATTCGGTTTTCCGTTTTACGGCCATACAATTCATAAAATTCTCGTAGCAACCGGAGGTAATTGAAAACATAGGAACTCATTTTTCATGAATAATCTCATTTATTTTGTCATACTTCGACAGAAATCTAACTTTGACGCGTAAGTTCTGATGATATCGTTCGCTTCTATTAATAAGTGTCATCTTGGTATCACTAAACGCTTTCATTGTTTTCAAATTGTCGTGTATATCAATCGAATATGAAATCTCTTTCTAGGTTTTATCTATACGGGCGATTTACTGCATTCGGCTATGATTGGAAGTACCCAATAGTAAGTCGATTTGAAAAAGTGTTCACGATCAAGTTGAGGATGTATTTAAATGCATAGTATTGCACCATTTATGGCGAATTTCGATGCATCGATTGGTGGAAATCAATCGCATATTAGTTATTACGATAATGGAACACATTTTATTTGTACATGGAATGAACTTTTTCTACAAGATCAACAAGATGCTGGTCCATTTACATTTCAGGCTGTTTTACAAAATAATGGTTTGTTTGATGTCGTCTTATCGAACCAATTCGACTTGTTGTTACATTTGAATAGGAAATATTTACTTTAACTATTTAAAAATACCGAAAGTGAAAGTGTCCAGTGCCAATCATGCACACCGTATCGGTGTATCAGATGCATATTTATCCCAACACGCGACGAAAGAACATATTGTTCGAGTTATAACACTGTACGATAAAATCAATTTGGATAAAGAGAAAATTCACAGTGGAGTATCAGTGCTTTTGGATATGGATCAGAGTAAGTGATGAACATGATGTTTACAAATGAAATCATGTTCTTTGGTTAAGCTTGTAACACATTTACGGATTGTACATCATGTCTGGCCAATCGTGGCAAACGATACAATTGTTCTTGGTGCGATGATATGCAAAAATGTTCGAATGGGTTCGATCGCTCTCGTCAACAATGGATTCGATCACAGTGTCATCGACTAGCTTTGGAAGATACTTGTTCGAATAATCTCGAGGATGCTTATGACGATACTAGCTTTCCATCGACAACTTCGGCACTGTCGGTAGCTCACTATGAACGACAAAAACAATATTCACATCCGTCTCCTCCAATTTATTCAACATTTCGTACCATTATCGTCACTTTGTTAATGTCAGTTCTCATTCTGTCTCTTGTCGCACTTGGAGTTACATATGTATATGCCTATCGTAATCCAACGTCACCAGCTGGCATGTGGCTTCTTGAACATCGTCCATCGATGTATTTCGACAGACTGAAACGTTTCACTGGTTCGACTTGAACGTGAACGATTTTAAAGTGCCTGATAAACAACTTTATTAAATAATAGATTATTGTTGTTGTTTTTTCTCTTCAAATATTAAATAAATTGTCGGAATAACACTCAGTTTGATCTAAACTCATCCTAAAGAACATTATGCCGTCACACGCTTGAACGATATTCTCTATGCAAAGAACATGCACGATACTGTCTACCTTGCCTGTTCATTGTTGTAACAATACATACACTTTATGTCGTGTTTTATAATTATATAAATTAAACATGTAGTTCAGTGAATATGAGAGTTGTGAATCTTAACCAATTCAAAGTGACTTTTGTTGTATAGTCGAATAGAGATAGAAATTTTTCATTTTGTGTTCGTTCACTATATTGTAAACATGATGCAAGAACGATATGTATACACTTTCAATTCTGCTAGTGAATCAGCACATACATCTGAAGGAAGGTTAAAAGCAAATTCATTATCAACCGTGATCAATGAGAGCAGTTTTTTTTCTTTGAAATAACTATCGGAAGAGATTGGCATCGACGACAAGCAATAAAACACTTGAGAAAAAAGTAGTTTGTGAACTACTCTGCGGTCCTTGTGTGTGACAACTATTTAGTTGAAGTACGTCTATTCCAGGAGAACTTCATGCTTCCTCATCAGTACCTATGTGCTCCATTTAGATTTCTTTAAAAATGCCAAGAATCTAACGAAATTGAAACACCCTGTGATTGTCTATTTGAACTGTATAAATTCGCGGATAAATTTGACTATTTCCTCATGTTAATTGATACAGTACTCGGGCAGTAAACTTTTCTTCTTTAATACAGTGTACCTACATGAGCTCTCTCTCTCTCTCTCTGCCTTTTTAGCTTTGGGCACCGCAAGTACGAAACGTTATTGCGTCAAACGTACACACTACTCTTATTTTCTTCAGCTTGTTACCTATCGATGCTTCTTACCTATAGGGAGGTACTCAGTGTTCTTTTAAAACAGATTACCATCTATCATACTTCGGTTCATTGGTGTAGCATTTCCAAGATAGTGATCTTTTGTACATTCTGTATATCCTAGTTTACGTGCTCCTGATGACACGAATATGCCAATGGTTGATTTGAAACATGTGATTAACTATTATCGGATGCTTGACATTGTAGTTGCCGCTGTCTTGAATCGCTTAGTCGTCATGCATAATTACAGCTGAAAGACAAGTTCGACGGACTCGTTTTGCAGTCTTTCGGCATATTCTGTGTAGTACAAGAGAGTCGAATAATTGATCGATTATCGATCTTGGTAAGCTGGCATTTGTCTTAACATCGGATTTCGTTCCTTTTATTCCTATAGATCGAAGTAAGGATGGTATGAGGTAGGCGAAGTCGATTTGTCGCGTTCAATAAGACATTTTACTTGTTTTCTTTTCCATTAGATAAGCTCCTGATCTTCTCGGTGAAGCCACATCTGTCCTGAACAACAAGAGTGAACGAACTGTACAAGAAGCGTTTAATCAAGCGCCAGCTGGTCGAACATGTATGACTATCGCACACCGTTTATCGACAATACAAAAAAAAGCCTTGAAACAATCATTTTTGTCGATCGTGACAAAGTGACTGAGGAAATTATCTTTATAAAGCACACATACTGAATTGTTAAAGAAAGAAGGAATGTATGCTAAATTAGAGTTGATCTAAAAACAATCTGATAAATATCACTGATCAAAACGAGTTGTGGAACTTTAGCTGTACTAAAAATTCTCAATTTTTTGTTTATATTACTCAGTAATAAACACTTCTCCTTCAACGCATGCGATATGAAATTGGCGAAATGCTGAGTCATCAGTACAATGTTTAAAGAAGACAATGTTTGTTGCATCAGATCAGTTTTTATTGGTTCAAAATATTTACTTGAAAATGAAATCGGTTCGCCTTTTTCATCGTCTATTAATAGACATTTGTCATTCTTTGTTTTTCTTTTCTATCAAGCATATTGATGCTTACACGCTGTTGCCTTTCAAAACAACATGTTTTCAAGAACTTCTTGCTGTTCTATGCAGTAGAAAATGGTATGAACATCAACGTGTCGAACGTAACCTATCGTACTTCTCGCACGGCACTGCATTGCAGTGACATAATGCGTGCGTTGCGGGCAAAAAATGAAAAGAAAAATAGGAATAGCTACACCAACTACAACTATTTAAAAGCGAACGGTGTTCTTTCGTTGCTTAATTTCATTTGCAAAAACATCTTTTGACGAAAAATATGTCAAAATCGAATGGCAAAGTCACTCCAATGGACGATGATACAGTTAATCGACTTGGTAAAGAGGTAATGGCAGATCTCAACGATAAAGAGACGACAGATAGTGTGAAGACAACAGAAGGCGAATCAAAAAAAAGCTTCTTTCAGCGGTGCTTCAAAAGAAAAGAGAAAAAGCCGGTGGAAGAAAAGAAACCCCAAGCTCGAAAATTGAAAACGTTTGAAATTGTAGGTGCTTAACAACAAAGAGATCTTTTAAATATACTATAACTATCTCTAGTATAAATTTGCTGATAAATGGGATATTTTATTAATGGTTTTGGGCAGCATCGTTGGTAAATAACATTGATTATCTTCTCTTCGTACGAATTATGTTTTGAACTGTATTTTTTAGCTCTTACAACTGGAGCAGCGATGCCAATTATGATGTGGTTGTTTCAAAGTGTAATGAATGGTCTAGTCACCATCGGCAGAGGCAATTCGACATCCGGCAGTGGCTGGTATGGAAACAATTGAATATGTAGAGTAGAACTGAATCGTTTTTCTGTTCATTTAGTTATCAAGACCCAGCGTCAACTGGGGACCCATTCACAACAATCGAGGGTATAATAAAATGGTACGCGACTCTGGGAGCATCTAGCATAGTTGCTCATTGGATTGCATATGCACTCTGGGTGAGAGATAGTTTATTGAAGTTGAAATATGGAAGTTATATTATGATTCGATGCAATTATAGATGATTGCATCCGAAAGACAATTACGACGAATCCGGTATGCACTTTTCGAGAGTATCATGAGTCAGGAAATGGGCTGGTTCGATTGTCGAAGTGCCGGTTTGTGACTTCAATGTTGTTTGTTCTCGAATGGAGATTTTTGACTGTTTCTCTTGTCAATTAAAGGTGAACTGTCTAGTCGTCTTGTCGATGATTTGGAAAACATTCGCGAGGGTACCGGCTTTCGTGTTGCTGACTTCATCTGTCTTCTCTCACGAATTATTGCGACGTTGATATTTTCGTTTTATACCGGTTGGAAGTTAACTCTCGTTTTCCTGTCCACATCCCCACTCATCATTCTTTCAATCAATGTTCTCATTCGCGTAAGTACACGTCAATGAACTAATCATAATTTGGGAATAAATATTGATCATTGTTCTTTAGATTATGATTAAGTATACCATCTTAGAACTCAAAGCTTATAGTTCGGCAAATGCTATTGCCCAAGAAGTTTTAGGTGCTATTCGAACAGTAACAGCATTTAGTGGACAACCGAGAGAATTACAAAGGTAAGTTGAAAATCTATGTAAAAGAAACTAAATTCATTCTCTATTTTTTTTGGTAGATACGAAAGCAATTTAACGCAAGGTAGACGCGTTGGTATTCAAAAAGGCGTCTTGTTAGGTTTAGCACAAGCATTAGTTAATATTGTACTCTATGGTGGTATTGCTATTATCTTTTGGTATGGACCATATCTGATCCGAAATGAATGTAATAATTATTCTGCTGGTCATTGGATGGTGGTACGTATTCACGGATGAATATGAACGATTAGAAAAGTTTGTTTATTTCAGATCTTCATTTCATGTTTAACGACGACATTTTCTTTATCAAATTTGATTCCGAATTTACAATCGTTTGCAGAAGCGTCAGGCTCCGGTGCTTATGTATTTGATGTCATTCAGCGAAAATCCGAAATCAATATATTTAGTGCTGATGGAGAACAACCGGCGACGTTTACAGGCGATATTGAATTTAAAGATGTACAATTTACGTATCCAGCTCGACAAGACGCACCAGTAAGGAGGTGTTGCGATAAGTTTCTTTGTTTAAACATTGCTAATAGGTTCTCAATGGTTTAACAATGAAAATTCCCGCAGGAAAAACAGTTGCACTTTGTGGTTCCTCTGGTTGTGGTAAAAGTACGTCAATACAATTAATTCAACGGTTTTACGATCCCGATCAAGGCACAGTGTTACTCGATGGTCGAGATTTGCGTTCACTTAATCTGAGATGGTTAAGATCGAATATTGGTATTGTTTCTCAAGAACCTGTTCTATTCTTTGGTACCATCGAAGATAATATTCGCTTTGGTAAGCCGGATGCCACAGATGAGGAAGTTATCACTGCGGCAAAAATGGCAAATGCACACGAATTTATCATGAAATTACCACAAGTAAATCTTGACGCTTATGTTTAAAACAGAACATTTGTTCGTGTTTTGTCGTTTTAGAATTATAAAACTTCTTCTGGTGATAAGCTAAGCGGTGGGCAAAAACAACGAGGTTAGTGGACGATTATCGATGGCACCTATTCAGAAAAAACGTTTATTTCATTTAGTTGCTATCGCTCGAGCATTGATTTCAAACCCGAAATTATTATTACTTGATGAAGCTACATCTGCGCTCGGTAATCGATTGCATATAGAATGAATAACGAAAATTATCTATTGTTGTAGATAATACAAGTGAAAGAATTGTTCAAGATGCATTGGATAAAGCCAAAGAAGGTCGAACGACCATTGTTATTGCCCATCGTTTAAGTACAATCAAAAATGCAGATATTATCGTAGGTTTAGATCGCGGCCATGTTGTGGAATATGGCACACACAATGAATTGATGCAGCACAAAGGACTCTATTACGAGCTAGTCATTGCACAAAGTGAAAAAGAGCAGGAAAAAGTTGACGATGATATTGAAGATAATCTCGAAGAAGAACTGGCACGTGCCGCAAGCAAATCAGCTAAGGAAAAACCACACAATGCCATTCGTCGAGCGTCCATTGCTCTGAGACGTTCATCAATTGTTTCAGCGAAATCTGGCATATCAGAAGCTGGTAGTGAACTTGATGATCATTTCGAAACAGATCAGAACGAAGAGAAACGATCCCGATTTCGTATGCCAACAATATTGAAAGTCTTACGATTGAACGCTCCCGAATGGTTCTATCTTGTATTGGGTGGAATAGCTTCACTTACTTATGGTGGTATAACACCGGTTTGTGAATATCGAATAATATGATTTTATAAACATGAGCTGTTACTTTTCTAGGCATTTTCATTGATCTTTTCCGAAGTATTCGGTGCTTTGGCCGAGACCGACCCGCAGAAACAAGAAGACGAAATACGAGTATATACTTATGTACTCTTCTTAGTTGGTGTCGCCGGTGCTATAAGTCAATTTGTGTCGTCAGTTACATTGGGCAAAGCAGGAGAGGAATTAACCATGCGAATGAGAATTATTTCGTTCAAAAGTATGCTGCGACAAGAAATCGGATGGTTTGATTTGGATGAAAATAACTTGGGCGCATTAGTAACACGATTGTCATCGGATGCGGCAGCATTGAAAGGCTTTACTGGGCCAACATTTGGTGCCATTCTCAATTCAGTTGGAGCTGTCATCACGGCTCTTGTCATTAGTTTCATTGCTGGATGGAAATTGACGCTGGTTATTCTCTGTTTTACACCGTTGATGGTTTTTACAGGTATCATTCAAGGACAACAATTTTCTAAAGCATCCGGAAATAAAAAATCAGCCACATCAAGCGCTGAAGATGGTGGCAAAGTAAGTGCATTTGTTCAAGTAAGATCTTCACCTTGCTGAACTTGACTTTCTTGTTTAGCAAGCGACGCAAGCAATTGAAAATATTCGAACAGTTGTATCACTCCATCAAGAAGATAGATTTATAAGTCTGTATAGACAAGCGTTCGATCGCGATTTTCGGTATGAATTCTCACAATTGGTTCATTTTGTTGAGTGATAGTTTTCATTTTTAGAAGCCGTATGCTCAGCCTTCACTACATTGCTTTTGCAAATGCTCTAGCAAATTCGTTGATGTATTTCAGTAAGAATCGTTTGATTTCGGTTCTTTGGATTGACTTCATTTGTCTAGTTCACGCGACATCGTTTGGTTATGGTATTACACTCGTTAAAAGCAAAGAAATGGAATTCGCCAATGTATTTCGAGTATTTAGTGTTGTAACTTTCGCAGCCATGTCGATCGGACGTAGTGCATCGCTCGTGCCAAATTATTCGAAGGGTAAAGCAAGTGCAATGCGTATTTTTGAATTGCAAAAACGTGAATCAAAAATTGATCCTGATGATCCATCGGGAATAAAACTGGTAAGATTATTCATGACTGTTTTCTTTATCAATTGACCTTTTTCTTTCGGCATTTTAGTCAGCTGTGACTGGAAATATTGAATTTCGTGATGTACGATTCCGATATCCCGCTCGCCCTAAACTTCGTATCTTACGTCACTTTAATCTACTTTGCAATTCGGATGAAACAACTGCGCTCGTAGGTCCATCCGGCAGTGGTAAATCGACATCTGTTGCATTGATTCAACGGTTCTATGATCCACTCACTGGAGCAGTTCTTCTCGACGGGCACGATGTCAGAACTTTAAATATACAATGGTTACGTTCTCTACTGGGCTTAGTTCAACAGGAACCTGTTCTTTTCAATCTTTCCATTCGAGATAACATTGCATATGGCGATAATAACCGACAAGTGACACAAGAAGATATTGAAATAGCAGCAAAAAAGGCTAATATTCATGATTTGATTTCCACGTTACCCGAGGTTTGTTGGATGCCTACATTGATAACTTTGTCACATACCGGTCATGCCTTTTAGGGATATAGTACATCATGCGGCGCGAAAGGTGGGCAATTGTCCGGTGGACAAAAACAACGAAGTAAGTTTCTCTCACGTCCTACAGTGTATGTCATTCTGATCTTCTTCTAGTTGCCATCGCTCGAGCGCTCATTCGGAATCCCAAAATTATTCTTCTCGATGAAGCCACATCTGCCCTGGACACCAAAAGTGAACGAGTTGTGCAAGAAGCGTTGGACCAAGCGCGAGTGGGTCGAACATGTGTGACCATTGCACATCGTTTATCAACAATACGAAATTCAGATCGAATTTGTGTAGTCGATCGTGGAGAAATCAAAGAAAGTGGTCGACACGACCAGTTACTTCAACAGCGTGGTATTTATTATAAATTAAACATGGCTCAAGAGCGTCCAGACAACTCGCAAGACAAATGAACCTATTTTTTATCGATTTTGATGTATTTATTTACTTGTTAAGTTTTTTTTTATAGTCTTTTATGAAAATAAAATTCGTTGTCCCAGAATAAATCTCGATATCTGTCAAGCGATTGCTATTTTAATTCTGTTATCATTGCATATACATCGGACATTCCGAAGATGATAAAAGCGATTTGTTTACATAGACCTAGTTTAGATTATCGTTACAAGAGGAATGTTTCTGTAATAGCAGATCTGTAAGATGATGACTTTTTGACTGTACAAATATGCATAAAGATCAGAACTATTTTTCTTCAATATTTTTTATTACACAATCAAAAAATGTGCATAGACAATAGGCAAACGACAAAACGCATTTCGGTTTCTTTTTTCTTTCAGTTTTCATCAAATGTGAAGTAATATGAAGAAAAGAGAAAAAACTGATTAATGTGTACGTTGTGTAAAGAATCAAAGAAGCAACAACAACGAAGCAGTAGTAGTAGAAGAGAAAAAGTAGCCGATTAGAATACACACACACAGAAGAAAACAAAAAGAAACATGTATATATTGTTTGTCTTGTCTAATAGTAAACACATCGAAGAGATACGAGCACAGACTTGGAAACAAAAGGAAAATCCATCTGTTTTATTTCTTCGAGTTGAAGTCAAATTGAACTCAGTTATCTGCAGGCGATCGTGATCGACTTAGACGACGAGCACCACCACCACCGCTGCTGCTTCCTGCACCATTGCGTTTACCATAATTGGGTGAATTGGATTTCGATCGAGAACGACTGTTACCTTCCCTAAAAAGAAACATACAAACAAATCATTAATCGTCTCAGAGATCTTAGTGGAATAGTCCTATCGTCATCCCTCATTAGGTCGAGAGTAGCAACTATGTGTGATCATCACCGACGATTAACTTACCGTCGTCGTACGGGAGAACGTGAATACGGCGAACGTGATCGACTGTCGCCTCGGCGTCGATCTCTGCCAACTGGCGAACCACTGCGTTGACGACGATCACGGCTAAATGTATAGAAATGAAAATAAAATGTCTGGCGCTAGTTATAAGAACTTACCTTCGAGATCGATCGCGCCGGTCGTGATCACCACCCCGACCACCATGACGCGCTTCCTTTTCTCGAGCTCTCATTTCCGATGGTGCTAGAAGAAGCAAAACAAGAGAATGGATGCATTCTTATTCTAAACATTGTTACTTACTTTTACGATCGCCTCGTGCAAATTCAACTTCGAGTTCTCGTCCTAATAGTCGATAACGATCAAGTGCACGTCGAGCTTCCTCTATAAAATCCAAGAACCAATCTCTTCCTCTAAATGAAACTTTTTCATTTTCACTTACCGGCATCACGACTTTCTTCGTATTCAACAAAGCCAAATCCCTTTGCATCTCGGGTGTAGTAATCTAATGGAAGCGTAATGTCAACAATACGACCATATCTTCCAAAGATTTTCTTCAGATCTTCGTAGCTAAATTAAATAAACATTTAATCATCAGAAATCTTCAACGAGGTATTCACTGGCATGATGGACAACGAATTCTCCGCTTTATACAAACGAGAAGTATTCATAACGAAGGGAAAATATGAAATCTCAACTCGAGCGTCTCTTATCTCTGACAAAAGCTATGTTGTGATGCATACGTCTACTGCTTGTATTTTGTTTTGAAAACTGCTGATGTGCTGTCTGGTACGTAATCGCCAGTTTGTGCGGAAATGGATCTCATTTATTGAACCTTGTCTGTTCTTTGGAATTTGTCTGGGAATTTAGTTAAAAAAGTCTTTCTGTTTTTTGCAATTTGCTTGATGGTTTAGTTAGGATTTTGAAGAGTATAAACGATTGCTTGTAGAGTCTTGAGTCAAAAGAGTGGGACAATGTATGTATGTGTCTGTATGTGATTTTAGTTATTTGTTTGATCACGTTTGTAACACACCTTAGGAAAGAGAAAAGAAAATAAATGAGACAAATTACAGGAAAACATAAAGCCATGCGTTTTTCACTTCGATCGTTTTCTAGAGGGGAATCGATGCCTTTTTACGTGTAGAAAACAAACACTACGTGGGAGAAACAAATGTATTTGAAAGAGCAAATAACATACCGAACTTTTTCCGAAAGGCCACGAACGTAAAGTGAGGCGCTAAGATTTCGCGAGTGTCGACCGGACATATCGTGTGAGTGTAATTTCTTCAAATGAATCAATAACTTCCAACGTACGAGAGAAAAGAGAAAGAAATGTTGTATATTTAAGTTAACCTCTAAATGCATAGATGTGTAAGTTGTTAAATGCATTCCTATTGGCTGATTGTTTTATGTATAGTCCAGTTTGTCTCTTCTTCATACTCAGTCGGACCGGGATTATTCTTTGAACGAAAAAAACAAAGATATGTCGAAATCAATTGTCAAGAAAGCTTTAGAAATGCTCGATGAACACGATGACGGAATGAAATCGAAAAACAAATTGAATTCGCTGAAGAAGAAAAAGAAAAGAAGTTTGACCATTGTCACTGAGCCGACGAAATTTCAAGATAGAAAACAATTGGCACGAACGTGTTTAACATTGAAGAAGCTCTCCAAACCAGTTGTGACATCGGATCAAATTGAACAAATAAATAATTATCGTTTCGGTGGTCCGTCGAAAAGAACTTTGAAAGAGAAAAAGAAAACTGAAGAAAAAGAAATTTTCACTGAAGAAGATTTTAAACGTTTTGAAAGAGAATACAATCCACCATTACAAAAATCGTGATTTTTCCCTTTTCAGATCTGTTTCTTCCTTCTCCTACACACGTCAATCTTATTACCATTATGGAAAGTAAGTTTGCAATGACATCTTTCATTCGAAAACTATTATCTTTTTGACCTTTCATAGCGCCAAAACGAACAGCAATAATTACTGATCCCTCAGCATTAGCGGAATCCGCCGGTGGTCTTGCCTTTGAAGTTAAACTCGGTGAATCACCTCGTCACAATGCAACTCAACCACCATTACATTTTCTTTCGCCAAGTGCCAAAGGAAATCAAACAGATTTAATTACACCATTAACACCGGAAAGTATAACTGAAAAGTTGAAACGTGCTGAAGAACGTCGATTAAGTTTGGAACAACTTCGTGCCACATTGCTTGCGGCTGAAAACAATCGACCTGGTGAGATCAGTAAGATCAAAGATCAACAAGCTGAAGGTAGTTATCATTTGCATTCATCGAAACAAATGATAACATGTTTTGCTTGTAGAATTTCGCAAACAAACCGAAGAAAAATTACAAAAAAAACTCGAATCAGCGAAAGAAAATCGCGAACGTGTCTTACAAGCGAAAGTCGAAAAAGCGAAAGCACCGATCGAAAAAGGTCTTGCCAGTGTTCAACAAAATTTAGCTAAACTCGAAGAAGAACGACAATCATTACAAGAGAAAATCAATCAAAAGATGAACACAGCTGAAACAAGTACGTTTGCCTTTTTGTATCCTTACAACTTGTCATTTCATTCTTTGTCCGCCCTTGCAGATCGACAAGAACAATTAGATCGTTTGATGGAGAAATTGAATGAACATGATAAAAAAATTGAAGCCATCAAGAGTCAAGCCAAATTGGAGACAGTCTCAACAGAAGAAACACAATAATTCAGACTTGATTTTATCTTCTTTCATCTACTCCTGTGTCTTTTTTCCTCGATCAAATATTTCTCAACTCAGATATTCTTCTTTCATCTTCATGTCGGATACTTCTTATTTTTCTTTTGTATAATAAAAACGGACGTTTCTTATTAATCATGACATTCTATTCGTGCTTTAATTAGAACCAGGAATCGGTCGCATTTGCCCATTTTAGGTGATTACATAGGCTTGTGCATTTCAGAAGAAAGGATATAAATAGATCATAATTGTCATAGATCACCGAAACGTACTTTTCGGAGTATTCCTTCATTTTTAAGATAAATTAGTTAAAAGTTTAGATACAGACGACATTACAATGTGTTCTTTATCGCATTAAATACAATCATATTAAAAAAAAAGTTTCCTTTGGAAGACACAAAATTCAGACAAAGAAAAAATATATCTGAGACCACACTCATTCATAAATAACTGCTTGAATATTTGTTTACAATCCAAGACGGGCGAAAGCCATCTGTTTTCGTCGTTCGAGGATTCGGTCGAAACGAACTTCAGCTAAATGAAAACATTTAAATAAACATCGATGTGGTCTTCTATAAACATACTTGAACTTTTGACCAAACCACATTGGACGTGTCGAACGAATGTAAAGAAATCACAAACACTCGCGATCTGCATTAACAAAAGATTAGTATGTTGAAGAAAATAACAACAGGATTCATACTCGATTACGTGCCAAACGTGATATAGAATACCATAAACCATCTTCACTCAACCGAATTCGGAAATCACACTGACAAACTTCACCCATCAATGAGCACATTCTGTAAAATCAGTGTAAGACATCTTCATATTTATGTGTAGGATCGTTTACTTGAGATTTCCAGTCGAATGGCAAACTTCTATGGTTACACAATTATTTTCAATTGCTTGAAGGACTTTTGATGAAAGCTGCAAAGATGAGTACATTTGTTATTAGAATTTCTACATTTACATTTATCCTACTTCGGTGTTCGGAAATGATAAACATGGTAGAATATCTTCGTTATAAACTCGATAGATAAATAGCGATGCATCGCGTTCAGTCGATGGGTTTTCATCCCAACATGTAAATTCTCGTAATAGAATATCATCGACCTAAATTTTGAAGTGTACTTCCGCTATTTGATGGGTAGAAATGTTTGACATACGTGGTTGTGATTAGGCGACATATCCATGGATGTTCGACATGAACTTAGAATTTGTTTCAGTTCGCTAATTGATTTCTTCAATTGAACATTTTCGAGCACGAGAGCATCGATCTACAATTGAAAAAGTTAATCTTAGGTTTGCAGTCTAAGTCAAAAAACACTTCTACCGTTTGATTGGAAACTTTAAGCTTCTGTTCTGCATTCGCTTGAGCTTGTTTTGCTTGATCTACCATAGCATGCGCTGACTAGAACGAAACACATATTCATCGATTTGAATATTGTTTTCTATTATTTACTTCGAATAATGATGCTGTTAGATCTTCAATCTCTCGATCGGTGCTTTCACGGATTTGATTAGCTCGAAGAATTTCATGATCTTTATACTTCAAATCTTCTTTCACACGCTGTAGTTCATAAAATAACTTTTCAGCTGTAGTTGACGATGAATCGTATTCATGCAGATCGTGAGACACGACAACTCCACTATCAATACTGAACGCTCTAGAAAAAATAATTCATCGGCGAATGATCGTCTTCAAACAATAGCATACGAATCCACACTGTTGGCATCACTTAAATCGTTACGATGATCGAGTACGATTTCAGATAATGGAGATTGTTCTACCATGATTATCTACAAAAAGGAAATGTCGAAGGTTAAGCATAAATGGCGGAAAAAGTTCTTGAGAAAAAAAAGAACGTAGGTAGTAAGAGTAATTAGCAAAATAACATAGACGCCTTCGGTGCTTATCAACTTCGTTAGATGCTGAAAATTAATATCCGATTAAGAAGATCAAAACATCCTTGGAGAACTACCAGAAGATTCTTTTTCTATCCCTGCCATGTAATTAACACAAGCTAAAAGTTCATTTTCAACTGAAATTTCTCTAGAGAATGTCAAATGAATGATTTGGTGTATTTTTCATACAGTATAAAATCATGACTTATTTCAATTTCGACTTTTCTCGATCCTCCTTTTACTCGTCATAGACAGACTTGTGTAGGATTTATACAAATAAGTAAATAAAAGAAAAAGACAAGAACGTCAAAGATGACAATCACGCCCGTGTATTTTTTCCTCCTACGTCGAGACGACACAAACAGTCTAAAACAACAACTCAATCCACCACTAGCTATTGATTCGTATAGATGACGTTCAACATCATCACTTGTTCTTCGCACTAAGAAAATTGAGCCAAGTCATTCCTGTAACTTTTGAAATCTAGTTCGACTATACGGAATTTAAGAGTAAATATGAAATTTTTATATTCAACATTAAAATTTAATAGAAACAACAAACAGATCAAACACTTCCACTCCGAAATTAAAAAGTTAACCAGAAATTCTCTCAATACAAATCGACGAAGGCACATGCACATTCCTGGAAGTGCTGTAAGAATACAAAAGTCTCCAAAAATAACACTAGATGTCCTGAATCACGAAACATTTTATTTTAGAAGAAAAAGAAATGTTCCTGACGACGGCACACAACCAGACGTGTTCATGTCGCCAAGGACTGCTTACTCCTATCGACAGATTAAGATCATAGTTTTGAAGAATCTTTTTACGACACATAAGTGCTTGTCGCTTATTGTCGAACTTCTACCATAGCTATTTAAGGATTGATTGATTTCTTTTTTGTGATACATATGATCTATTGTCTTTCATGAAGCGAATGTTCTTCCTTAGAGATTAGCACTGTTTAGAAAGAAGCTCTCGTCGTGTGAATAATTTCTAGTGGGCGGATGTCTTTGTTCATTTTTCACATAAAATATTCAGCAAAACCTTAAAGATTAATTCCACTTCCTTTTTCCGTCATTTCGAGGGGAAAAAAACAAAAAACAGTAATTTATATGCTTTTAACAAATAACGTCGTTCTAATTGGTTTTTGTGTTTATAAATATAACAATTCTATCAGGTAGTTTAATGAGCAAGATATCCGTTGTTGATGAAAAAAGAAAGAAAACAAATCCGCTTTTTAAACACGATGCTGCCTGCTGATTTGTCCGATGATTAATACATCGACTAATATATACTTGTATTTTTTCTCTGAAATAAAAGAGAAAACAAAAGTTTCTGGCTGAGATGTGGAGTATTCGCTTGACAATCGTCTCTCTCATTGTCAATACCTAATCAATGTTTTCACACTCATATTGCGTGCAATTGTCATGGCCATGATCGTTTGTTCTCGTCAATTTCTCTTTTTTTTTGTATTCAAATTTCTTCTTAGGGAATAATAATAATGGGAGCAACAACGGACGCCAATCTACCTACATATGCACACACACACACACAGTTCTCTCCTATTCTTCATCATCTCATAGGTTTTGGAATAATGTTAGCTATAGGCATCCTCGTCGTCGAGCATGAAAACCTGAACGCGAGTATTGAGGTGAAAGAAAAAAAACGATGTCAAACAGAAATACCTTTATTTGCATTATGGTGCACGTTCAAAAGTAAACATTGATCGCTCTACGCTTTTCCTTGAAGAGATTAATGAGTGGGACAGGCTGATGGTGTAATAGCAGATCGTATTCCACATATACCCGTATGAGTTAAAGCTTACCACTCATGTAAATAATTATTCGCATTTTCACTTGAAGTTTTTCTTTAGATAAACATGAAACTATAGAGTTCGCCTTTTTTCTTCGTTTAAGTATTTTTATGTCGAACGCAAACAATCCAATCGATGTTAATCTGTCGGACGATCTGCTCGCTAGCTCATTACCAGCTCGGTCAGGCCTTTATCGTTCTCTGTCAGCTAAGCGTTCTCGAGATCCTTCACATCGCAAAAGTGTTTCATTCAACGACGTCCCCACAGTGCATGAAGTACCTCTTTACGATTCCGTACGCAGTTCTAATTATGAACCTTATCGATCATGGATTTATGCAGAACCGGCACCACCAATATCGATTAATTCACCATTTTCTTCGTCACCGCTTCAAATAACCAGTGCTACGAATCACAAATCGAATACTACATTGACTCGTTCAAATAGTACTCTCTATTCTTCGACAAGTCGACTGGCAGATTGGTCTATGCGAACTAAAACATTGAAAATTACTGAAGATTCACTTGATCAAAATTCGTCGTGCAATCCACCGTTAATTGTTGTTCACACACCAGAAGAACGATCGCGTATGACTACTAATACGGAATTCAATCCGCTATTAACACCTGAAACTGTTGAAGAACGAAAACGTTCATATCGCCCAGCCACTCCGCACCATCCTCATCAATCAGAACATGGTCGCAGTCTTCCATTCACTTATGTACCCATGTCTGAATCTAGTATTACATACACATCGTTATTATCATCAGCAGCAAATTTCTCTTCTAATGAGCAAATACCGACTGGAAACACACGTTCCGGACGTGTGCGATCAGCGACGCTACCTTTCACTACGAGCCAGCATTCCACACGTCATAATGAAAATAGCGTAACCGTAGCAACGCGTCCGACAACTTCCTCTTCGCGAACTGTTTTGAAACCAGCAACAATTGCTTTTCAATGCGCACAGCCAAGTATTAATCACTCTATAACAAAGCCACCTACTGTTCCAGTTCGCTCAACGTCTTCTGCTGCTCATGCACGATTGTTCTACTCGTTAAACCGACCGTTATCTTCCGCGTATCGTTATAATTTCGCTCAGCCTGCACCAGATTCGCTAAGCAAGTCTTCTCCTACTAACTCACTTGCACGGTCACGATCAGCTAATCTTATAAGTACAAGGCGTCATGCAAATTCGCCAGTCTCTAGCCTTGATAGGCAGTCAGAAGGAACTAATAACTATCCATCAAGCAAACGTACTCCTAATATAAGACACACTTATGGTTCCGATTACACTCATCGCCTTCTGTTGCCAACGGATATTAATTGAAAGACGCCCATTGTATTTTTCTCCTTCTTTTTTCTTTTTGCGATAATTGATTTTCATGTGCTCGAAAACTTAATCATCACATTGATATATATATATGTATATGTGTGTTTGCACACGTATCTAGATCGAATTGATTTCATTTTATAAATTATCTCCATCAACAACGTGGAAGATTCTCTTAAGCCTTTCCTTTTCTTTCTCTCTCACCTTCTTCATCCGCTTAATTGTCATGAGAAGCTATCATATACCACAATCGAACTCATTCCATACCGAGTTAAATATTGAAATAAAAAGCAAAAGACATCAGTTTTGAAAAGTGTGAACAACATGATGTTTATCATAGTTCTCTCTTCTTATTTTATCGATAAAATAAGATAGCACTACGGTTATATATATGTTCCATCTGACTATCATTCCCATCGTTACATGTAAATGACTTATGATTGTTGGCTTACGATACCATTCTCACCATCAATGTTGGCTTAAAAGATAGGCAAAACGAATCTCTCTCTCTCTCTCTGTATATATTGAAGTGCATACTATTCGTCTTTTCGTATTCTATTTCGTTTGAATATTAGAGAAGCAAGTTGGTATTTTTCTTCGATAGAAGTTACTCAATTGAAAGTTGATCTTCACTTGCGCTCGATCGTGCGAGTTAGGACGGACAATGACAATAGAGAAAAGAATTCTTTGTTCGTCTGGCTCGTATTATTGGTGCAATGTATAGGAGCGACGTTGAGATAGCATGATAGTAAGTTATTCTAGTTAATTCAATTTACTTGTTTTCCTTTCTAGCTATTAATAAAATAAAATGTGGATCAATGCGTCCTACAATTGATTGTAGTTATACGTCATTAAAATGCTAAACCATAAGGCAATTAGCTGTGCAACTTAATTTTTTATGCGGCGATAAATTATATGCTTAGCTGAAGTTTCTGTTGTTTTTCTTTTTGTCAATATCGAGATTTTGGAATAATGAATAGACCACTTCTATGCTTCTTTTTTTTCTGAACATAAAATAAAAAGAATAATTGGCCATGAACGCAGAAAATCAATAGAATAAGTCAGTGAAGTGTATGTTTAGCGAATAACATTTATATATTTACATCGTTGTTCTAGAAGAAAAATTTCTTTCAAATCATGGAACTCGAGTTCAAATAGATGGAAGATAAAAGTGTTTTCGTTCGCTAGCAAATATGTTCATGTTGAACCTCCGGATTTAATATTTATCGTTAACAAAACTCAGAAAAATGCGCGAAGTCACGATCTAAAGTGCTCTTGAGTAAGAAGTTCTCTTCTGTCGGAACTTTTCCTGTTTAAAGACAAACACGGACTTTCCTCAGACGGTTGATAGCAACATCAGAGAAGAGAAAAAAAAACCTACATTTTGTCCTCTCTCGTTTTATTCGCCTCCATATTCTTTCTCTCCCTCTCTCCTTTCTATCTCTGTTGCTTTCTCTCATTCAGACTCATAAGTATTAGAGATCTCTACCGTCATTCTCCAGAAACACAATATATTCGTCTGTGCTGACAATTTGATTTGACCCCATAAAGAAAACATAATCTTGTAGGTAAATGAAATAATCTTCTTAAGAAAGATGTTCTCAGTTTTGTTCATTTTTCCTTTGTTTCGCGCTGTTATTCCATCCTACATTCAATTATTTATAATAAAAAAATAATGAGATTGACAGCAAAGTTTTTCCTATACTTGTTGACAGTTAGACGTTCACTTAATGTATGATGAGACATTGTCTGTTATTCTCAGCCATCAGTTAGCTGTAATAGAACAAGTAGATGTGGGCGTGTCAGCTTGAGTTCTGACTTTTTCCCCAATTTTCTATTCTTCGCTATAGATGTTTTTCAATTGAAAGATAGATAAAATAGGATAGAAGAATGAAGATCGATAATTCAATAGAATAAGAATGACACGTTGGGGAGATTAAACGTTTAACATGGAGAAACTAGAAAAATCATGATTTTTCTAGTTTCTACATTCAGAGCGTACTTCCGCGATTATAGATCTCATAGAATTCCAGTCGGAAAAATATATATAGACTCTGTATCTAATTACGCAAACTGACACAGTGCAATTCGATAAACGCGACGATTCGCTCGTATCTTGATATGTTAAAGCAAATAATTACAGAGAGTAACGTTAGATGTATTGTCGAGACATGCTTGCGAAAAACTAATTCAAATGAAGAGAATTATTTGTTCTTCACCAAGTATCATTCTGATGATTACTATTTTGAGGGTGTTAAGTCATTATTTATAACTACCTGCAATCACGCAGGTGGAAAGTCATCTCCAAATTATCTAACTACTCGTTTTGATTATCAATCTTATTCAGATATTTATTAGATAGAATTTGCCGTGAGTCAATATGTACTCGAACATGACAAATTCACTGCAAGCACCAATGGATGGCAGAAATATGACGGATAGTGGTTGTGACTTTGACATATTAGTATTAATTATGGAAATTCAGTCAATACTGTTAATTATTTTTGGTTTTGTTGCAAATTTATTTTCGTTTGTTGTTTTAATTCAACCGCGTTTGCGTCGTCGACCGACATTTTCTTATCTCGCATTTCTTAGCCTGTCTAATGCATTGTTATCCCTCATACATGCATTTTTTACTATCATCGGTCTTTATTTTGGTTTGACGTTAGAAAATCTTTCATTGTTCATATTTTGTCGATTGCTAAATCGATTCCTAATCGACTTCTTAACGCATTTTTCATTATACACATTGACAGCAGTCGATATCGACCGCGTGCGGACAGTAACGTCAAAAACAAATCAACAGTCCAATTATAATTCTGGTCATCGATCGCTGCAGTACGGCTGCGCAAAAGCATTTTTACGTGTCTGCATTATTGAATTATCGTTCGTTTGCGTTTTCTTTCTTCTCAATCTACACTGGCTGACATCCTATGGTTACACAGCATCGAGAAGCTATCAAGGCGATATCGTTCACATTACCATGTGTACAATCGGTGATACCGATGGATACTCCTTCTCCTATGGGATCTATTTGACAACGATTTTACCTATTGTTGAGTTGATTATGTTCGGGATTGTTCCATTTCTGATCAGTTTGTTCGCAACTATAATCATTTTGCGGCAAGTTTCGGTCAAAGAATCATTTATGAATTCAGCGAATAAACATCTTCAACAATCGCGACGACGGAAAGAACTGCATTTATCTATTTTACTTATATCTCTTAACTGTGTCTTTCTACTATTCACAACTCCGCATCTTGTGTATACGATCCATGTGGGCGACTTACGAAACCGACTGAATAACATTCCGACCAGTGAAGGAGAGATTTGTTCGGTGGCATTTACGCAAAAAAGCTTAGATCTCTTACAGCAATGTTATTTCATGTCGACATTCTTCTTGTATATCTTGACCAACAAACGCTTTCGGGAAGAATTCTATCGTTTATTTCGGTGCTGCGTATTCAGTTGTCGCCGAAGTCACAATCCACCAAAATCACAAGCGGAGAGAATTCATCGTCCAAAAATAAATGAAAACATTAATCATTTAGATGGAAAGAAACGGAATAATTTATTGACACCATTTCAAGATAGGTTCGGAAGTCGAGCGTCTCTGAGTGACGCTTCGCAAGATGATGAACTTGCAACACCATTAGATAATTGAAGACATTTTTTTATTTATTAATTGTTGCTTTTGTTGTACGAACTAATTTCGTGAGAAAATCTTTTTGTTTCCATATATCAATATTTATAATTCAATCGAATAATAGAATAATAAAACGCAGTGGAGATCAAGCGAATTAGATTTGCAGATCACCGTCACATTCTTAGTCTCATTTCTAAACTTTGACATTATTATTAATTGCTGCCGACTTGCAAATGTCGATCTTGTTTTCCATAAACAAAAAAAAAAAAACTGACAGATATATTGCTTTTGACATAATTATTCATGAAGACGCTATTAGTCTTTATTTTCTGCATCATTGCACGTGCATAATTAACTTTATTTTCATTTAGGAGGGCGCTTATGTGATGATAATATATATATATATAGCAAATGGTTATGTATGCACGGAATATGCTATGGATCCAGTTTTGTTTTGGCAATGACGAAACGCGTGTCTGTCATCTGTCAATATCACGTCAGATTTGTTGAAAGTAAAGATAATGGGTATGTATGGATGAAGATGAATTGTTTGTTTTGACGAATTCGATGAGCAACATATCTTAGTTATTAGAACTCATTTGATTAAGTGAAACACTTGTTTAATATCAATGTTGCCGAGTGTTGGTAACGATCTCTAGAGCGTTTTTAATAAACTAATCGATGAAGATCGAATTAGCATTCATCACAACGATATGCAGTAGATTGTTTCATGAGAAAAAAAACTTGATAATCGAACAAGAAAATGTCACGTTTTGTCAGTACTTTGTAGTAAGTGAACTGCCATAGAAACTATTATCAGTGATTCTTCAAAAGCGGACATCGCATCTTTGATATACCACAGTTATTGTTCGTCATTAATAATAAATTACGAACTGATCAAATATGCATTTGGAAGTTTAGCGTGGTTTAAGTTTGTACTATAACATGTACGTGTAGCCAAAAAAAGTGTATCATTGTTGATTGATCAATTGCTCTCACGAGTCTTCGAGATAACTTTGTCGCAGAAATAAATTGATTTTCTAGTACATTATCACAAAGAAACTAAGTTGATTTAGATTGCTTTAGTAGTTTTTCTTCTTGTTTCGGCTACAAGTTTTTCGTCTGAAAACGACATGAAATTAATTGTGATAGACTAACACTCAACGTCATCTGGTTATCGTGAAAATTACAGATGCATACCGTTATCTAAAGTATGACGAATTCCTTAATTTGTATGATAAAAAGCATACCAGGCGGTTCACCGCTTCGAATTAAATGGTACCTAATACAGAACCAACAGTACATCTGTTATTACGGCCGCGTGTAAATACATCAGTATATTTGAAAGCGACAGTATCTGCATCTTACCGACGAAGCTTTATCGGCAAAAGGAATGCGTCTAACATGAGCTACAAGGGACGTCGCGCGCTTCCACCAGTCTTCGATTGGACATTTCGAAAGATATTTTCCTCTTGTTCGAAATCAATATTGGCTAGAGATATATTTCATTTTTTTTCGATGAATACTGACGAAATTCAAACGAATTTCTTATCAAGTCTTAAGGAAGAAAATCGTTAGTTATCTTTTTTATGGTTTCGTCTCTATGGTATTATTAATGTGTTTTTTCTTTAAAATCAAGTATATCGTAGATATAAAGGTGAATGCAATGCAAAGTAACCGATCATGCTTCGTAGTTAGATTACCTTTGTCACTTTTTTTCCTTCATGGAAAAGACAAATAGAATTCTTTTGAAAGATATTCAATCTATATCAAATGGTGCGTTTATTGTTTATTATTTCAAATATAATATTCGAACACTTAGATTTGAGTGTGTTATATTGAAAGAAGAACATTTTCGATAGATAGGATGTTTCTTTTCAATCGAGCGAGATAGCTAATTCCAATGCGACTCTTTGAAAACGGTTCGGAAAAATGAAGTTATCGCGAGAGAATGTTTCGATTCTTTACATTCAAATAAGATGAACTGGTACTTGACTACATGATCTACTTCAACAACAGTACATCTTCAAGTTACTCTAATGAGTGTAATCTTATGTAAATCGACGCAGAGGATGCTTGAAAATGTGGAAAAACTGCACTTTTCATTAATATCTATATATGACAAGAATCTTATGTGAAATAACATCATAACAAAGCATTAGTTGTTTTAGCGTATGTTAGTAACATGCGTATTAAACACGTAACTCTTCGACAAGAAGTAAAACCAGGTTTAATCAGTTCTTATTCATAGCCATTGTTCTATCCATTATTTTTTTATGAAGAGTTCAAGCAAATAGCGTCTGATTGCAAGAAAGTCACTTCGTAGTATTCATTTACTGCAGAAACTAAGTGCAGTAGCAAAACCAGGGCAGCGCAGATGTAATTTTACAGAGGCAATATGAGACGAGAAAAGGATCGGTTGTTTTTAATTAGAAAAACTAATTGATGAGCAATGAAAGACTGCATTACGGTATAATAAAGAGCGACATCTGTATAAAGACCAATTGTTGTTTTTGATCGGATCGATATATAGAAATAATCTTGAAAATTTTAATCGTAAAACAAAAACAAATTTTCAAGGAACAAAATTTCTTAGTTGATCAGCTTTCGTTGCCAAGGTAGTGTCAAGAACTGTTATGGCGACACCGTATTAGTCTCCCACTCAAACAGAAGTTGGAGATATTTGTGTACTAACTTGTTTGTTTCCTTGAAGTTTACATTTGTAGATAATTAATATCGTTGTTTTGCTTATTAGAGAAAACGAATCATGGCTAATAATGACAATGATGATGATGCTCCTCAAGTATATCTCTTAGGTAAAACGTATTTAGCAAACAATCAAGGTCAGTTTTATATTCGAAATGATCCCATTGTTCACATGGCCGCTGGAGATCGACATACGATTATTGTAACGGAAACTGGCCGGGCATTTGCTTTTGGTGATAATACTTCAGGTAAAAGATGATGTTTGATATTGTACTGGCACCATAGAATCAATCATTCTGTTTTAGGTCAATTGGGTCTTGGTCATACGGATAAAATTGAAAAAGTGTCGTGTATAAAAAGTTTAAAATTTACAGGCACAGATGAGAGAATCGTTTTAGCTGCTTGTGGTCGTGAATCTTCACTTGTAGCAACAAATCACGGTGCATTGTACGCATTTGGTTCGAATAGTCGTTCGCAATTAGGATTCGACACATCTGATCCCGCATCGATTCAATCTCAACCAAAGAAAATTGATCGCTTCAAAAACAAAATCGTTTGGAAACAAATATCGATGGGTGCTGAACATGCATGTGCATTAAACGAAGATGGCATTGTCTATGTTTGGGGTGCTAATGATGATGGTCAATGTGGACAGCCACGTAAAGATGATGAAATTAAAGTGCCGAAAGAACTTCGATTGGACCATCCCATCGCTGCTATGTAACAAGAGAAGAAGTTTATCAGTTGTAATACATTCATTTCATGCTTCGTTTAGATCATGCGGAAATTATCATACGGCATTAGTTACTAAAGATGGAAAGTTATTCGTTTTCGGAAATAATGATGATAGACAATTAGGACGATCAGTACCCGATTCAGCTGTCGGACCACTGCAAGTATCCTTTACACACAAAGTAAAGGATGTTGCCTGTGGACATCAGCATACAGTAGTATTAATGGAAAATGGTGAAGTATATTCATGTGGTATGTTGAATCTCAGATTATTTTCAAAATAGGATATGTTCTCAATCTATTTAGGAAGTAATGATCGCGGTCAACTTGGTCTCGGTCCTTCAGTTGCATCAGCCGAATCTTTCGAACTAGTTCCAGGTTTGCCAAAGGGTATTCAAGCAATCGCTGCTGGTGAAGGACATACAGCAGTTCTTGGTCCTCGGGGTGATATTTATGTATTTGGCGATGGAAAACATGGAAAATTAGGGTCAACAACTTATTCAAATGAGTTTGAACCATGTATCGTTGACAAATTTAAGCTTTACAATGTCCTAAAAGTCGTTTGTGGTGGTTGTCAAACAATTGTTCTCGCGAAAAAGAAAGATCATGATCAAAAGAAATCATCGGAAAGTGATGAAGATTTTGGCAGTAAGAAACTCTTTTTATTATCTGCACTCTAAGGCATGCTTGTGATTTCAGATGCTACACTTTCAGTCACGCAACGTCCAAAGAGCCGAGCAAGAAGTGTTCGTAGTTCTAAAGCATTGACAGATCGATCATTGATCGTAGGTGACTCTATGGATACTACATTGACACCTGCGAGATCTGCTGGTGCATCGAATCACCTGCGTGTTGAATCGGACGATGATAAATCAGATAAAGAACTATCGGCGTCAATGAAAAGTGCGACATTTAATCAAACACATACAATTTCTAATGGCAAATTTCTACCAACACAGAGTCCATCGTTAAATCGCACGGCTGGACGCTCTAATGATGGTGAATTAAAACCACTGAGAACAGGTGCCTTAGATCGAACCGCTCGTCTCAATAAAGATGCGGATGATTTAGATCGTACTACCACTCGTCTGGCGCCATTGGAGAAATCTCCCATGCGCAACACACGATTCGGTCGCTCAAGTCCCCAGACATTGAAAAAAATTCCCGATTCTGACGAAGACAAGTCTTCATCCGACGAAAAATCTAAACAAGTAACGAAGAGATCTGAACGATCATCACCACCATTGAAACATGAGCCGAAACATACGCCAGCTGCACGCCGAAGAGACGACAGTGAAAGCGATGACCATAAACAGAAGAGCACCACTCCTCGTTCCAAAGTAGCTACGAGCGAAACATTAACACGAAAAACACGTCCACCACCTGGGTCCGAAGATGAAGAATCGCAAGAAGAAGAAGAAGAAGAAGAAAGTGAAAACGATCGCAAACGAGTATCGAGCCGACAAGCAAAACAAGCACCACCACCAGCTGTACGCCGAAGTTCGTTACCATCGACTCATTCAGGAAAAGCAAATACATCAGCACGCAATGGAAATCAAACAATCGGTTCCAGACCAAGCGATAACGCGCGCGGTAGTTTTCATTCACAGGCGAACAAAACATTAGCGAAGCCCACAACAAGCAATGCCAATACAGATGCATCCACCAAAGAAACACCAGCTGCACAGCAACCAGGCTTCTTCAGTCGGCTGTTCGGATCGAAACCCGCACCTCCACCGGCTCAGCCAACTCCAGCCAGAACGCCGGCAGCAGCGACACCAGCTTCAAGAACCTGTTCAGTTATGTAAAAACAACTTGTATATACATGCTTGTTCGAGTATATCTTTTGTCTACAATGATTTCTATGTCAAAAAAGAAAAGAATTCGTTTTTCATTAGGTTTTTTTCCTTTGTAGAATGCGAATAAGTTTAGTGTGGGTACTGTTTTGTTTTTCTTTTCGTTTTCGTTTTCGTTCTTATTCTGTTTACATCAATTGTTATTAACATGTGAGAAGAAAATGAAATTTTCAGCAGTTTTTATACAGTGGATAAATAAATATTTCACAGTAATTTTCTCTTTATCTCTTTCCGATCAGTTAATTCGATTACAAATCATAACCTCGATTCAAATGTTTCTTCAATGGTACCTTAAAACACGTTATTCATCAGTAGAAAAGTAAATTTGCTTTCCTAATAAAGACTCACGTATATTTGAATATCAAATAGACTCAATAATGAATTCATCACCATGTGTTAGTCATTCGTGTACGTCAGATCTCCTGATATTATCATAGGCATTCCAAATGTGACAAGTACAAAAACATGTGACGTATTTATTTGTGTCTGCCGATAAACACAAAAAAGAAAAGGATTTAATCGGCAAAATTTGTCTGTCTGGCAACTGATAAGACTACAGATAGAAAAGAAAAAACGAGAAAGAACAACAATCGAACAAATATACCAGTTGAGTAGCAAAAATTTAAAGCATTAGTAGTTTCTTTTCTTCATCAAATCAAAAACAGAAGAAAACCATGAGCTATCAGTTGTTTGAGGAACAAGATTATACGAGTAAATATCGGCAACATCGACCAGGATATCCGAAACAATTGTTCGAATATATAATCAATTATTATTTCAACGGAAAACGAACAAACGAACAAATTCCATTAGCTCTCGACGTCGGCTGCGGCAATGGACAAGCAACAATTGAACTGAGCACGTACATATTCTTTGTTTTCCTCTTAATTAACCTTGAAGATTTTCTTTTGTTTGAAGATTTTGCGACCGAGTGATTGGTATTGATATAAGTGCGAATCAAATAGCACGCGCAATTCTCAAAGATAACATCGAATATCGTTGTCAGAAAGCCGAAGATCTGAACTTTCTTCCACTGGATTCCGTTGACTTAATAACGATTGCGACAGCTTTGCATTGGTTAGATATTGAACCATTCATCGAACAAGTTCAACGTGTCTTAAAACCAAATACAGGTGTGTTTGCAGTATGGACATATGCATTGGGAACGTTAGACAACCCAATAGCTGATGCTGTTTATCATGAATTCAATCAGGTGACTTTATTTCCATACTGGAATAGTAAACGATGGCTAGCAGATGATTATTATCAATCACTATTACCACTATTACCTTATAAATCAACGTTGGTTGAGTACACAATCGATAAGCGAATTGAAACAACACTCGGAAAATTTCTTGGCTTCATTCAAACATTGTCCGGTTTACAAACGTATAGAAAACAAGAAGGAGAACAAGCTCTGCATGATCTCTTAGAAAGATTACGCGAAAAATTAATTGAATGTTATGCTAAAACGCCTAATCGACAAGCAAATGATGAATCTGTTGATATGAACTCGATTAAAATGACTGTATCAAGTCCTATTCGGCTTTATCTAATGAGAAAAAGTTTAACAAAATAATATTTGTATTGCACGAAAAAGAGAGATTTTATTTTTCATTTATTCTCATTCAAATTTTATAATAAATAACGGCAAAGCTAGATGAGAATCAAAGAGAACAATTTCATCATCATCTTCATTCACATCCATACTAAGAATCTAGAAGAGAGAGAGAAAAAACAATACATAATGAAAATTCGAAGAATCATCTTAACTAACTTTAACACAATCATAGTCAGTATTTCGCTTCAATGTGATTGTAGATTTCGTTTTAGGTTTAGATATCAATTCAATACGACCTAATGCGACTTTACACAGAAGATATTTCTAGAAGAAGACGAGAGATAAGTAATACGAACAGCAAACAATAATAACATACTTCTTTTGGGAGATTACTAATATTTGTATGAAAATAAAGACCCTTTCCAACTGATCCATAGAGAAAATCTTAAAACGAAAACTGATCAAAATTCGAACGGGAATATTCCAATCTACCTTCATTAGTAAAACCAGCATTAGCAATGATATCTAAATGCTCATGATGACCAGCATAAAAAAGTAAGGTTTCGTTTTTCTGATTTCCATTGTGTAGTAGAGGAAGCGAACTCTGATACAAGGCAATAGTTGCTGGTTCAAGGGTAACCTAGAAGAATAATAATCAAATCGTTCTGTTCCTTGTTGAAATCCAAAGTAAATATTCATTTAAAGATTAAAGAGTATTAGTTTTGTCGAAGGATGAAATCATTTTCAATCAGGTAACTGTTAGTGAGATTGAATTTGAATTAACGAACCTTTTCTGCATTGATTCGATAAGTTTTACCATTTTTCAGTTTGTTTCGACAATATTCAACAGCTGTTTTCGTATCACATGTATCATCCATAAGCAAAGACATTTGTGCAACTAGTAGTTTTTCGTTGATGATTGACATTCGTTTCATTTCTTGAATCATTTGTAATGTATCGAGTTGATCGAATTCTTAATTGAATAGAAATATTGAAATTCACATCCGAAAAAAAAAAGAACTTCTTTATTGAATTACCTTCGTAATTCTCATCTGCAGATGAGGCCGACTGAGATATCTGTTTTTCTAAATAATCATATGTAGTCTTTGTAAACAAGACGATGAAAATTACTCAATGTAGCATTTTCTTTCGCTAGAAGAAATCGTTCTCGATTCAAGGAAACGATTGTTTGTTCTTGAGCATTGATCTTCAAAAACTGACTTGTTTTTCGTTCAACGGAAAACTCGGTAAATTACTTTGGCATACAAACCGATCATTTCGGTCTTCAATCGATTGAATAAAGCGGCTTGGCTTTGATAGCCATTGAACATAGCTCGTTGCCTAAACATGTCAACCAAGAATAGAAGCAATAGTTTTAAAGAATGAATACCATTTCTGGAATTGATCATCCATCATAGTCAAACATCGAACGGGATCTTCATTAATCACTAAAACGAAGCAGAATGCGAAGTATGTTCACAATTATGCGATCTTTCTTACCATTATATGGTGGCAAATAACACATTTTCGTTGTATTTGTCCAGCAATCGCCAATCGTTCTGCATAGAATCGTAGTTTTACATAATTTTTAGGGTCAAATGCATCTTACTTGTATTTGCTTAAAAGAATCGCATCTTCCGTGAAACCGAACTTCCGATAGAAGTCAATTGCACTTTGATCTGATGCTGTTATAATCGCGTCAAAATCACCGATATAATCCCGGTTCATCAATAGCTATACAAGAAAAAAGAGATTTTCTTGGAAAAATCAATAGAATTTTGTTTGTTTTTACTTTCATCAAATGTCGACCGATTCCTTTGCCACGACATTTCTTTCGACATGCTAATAGTAAAAGATCTAAGACATGCTCCTCTTGAAATCTATGAAAATCAATCATACAAAGTGACCATCTCCGTTTCAACATACTGAGATGCAAACATTGTGATCTTTTCGAAACTAAGACAACTGATCAGACGTTTATGAAGATTGATTTTTCCTGCTTTGACTTTTTTTAAGTATGCACCAACGCCAATGGAATAATCACGCTCATCCCCATCGTTATTATCATCATCATCCGATTCGTCTTCATCACTACAATACTCTCAGTGAGAAAGATATTTCTTTCAAACAAATACGAACTCGTCAGAACTTTCACTCGATGATCGATCGGAGAAAACATCATGAAAAACGCTATCGGGTTCTTCGATGTTTTCCAATAAAGTGTCCAAACAATCTTCTTCATCAGTAACAAGAGCACCAGCTGTTGCTGGTTTTAATACTACATTCGGATCATCTATTCACAATGGAGAATGATTCGTTAGTTTTTACTCGAACATCTCATTACCATGTACAATCAGAATGGTAACAACTTTCTTCGCGCACACAGTGTTATAAATTGTTTCACTAGTAGCACATCGATTTAGAGAGTGAGAGAGAGAGAGAGAGGAAAAATAAACTTACCCACCGATTTCCGGTAAACATTTGTCGTATAACGCAACAACTGTATGTAACAATTCTTGTGTGTTACACTATGAAAATATCACAATGAAGAATTTTTCATGATTTTTATGTCGAACAAACTTGAAATTCTTGTGCAAGATCGTCAAGATCAGCTTTTTCTGGGGTGTGTATTAGTTTCCATAACCGTGCCTGATAAACACTGACAATGAATGGTTCAGTATTTTCGCTGGTCGTCTCTCGAGGAGTCAAAGATATGTTTCGAGCTATGAGAGCGAAATCTTTTTTAGTGGAAAACATCGTTTTTCAATAAAAAATACAATGAATACGAACGTAATTACATTCGCCATTATATTGTATTTGAAAGTGACATCTCTACATGTCAGACGCTAGACTGATGATGAATAAGAAATGTTTGTTGTAGATGTCGATCGTGGTTTGCCAGTTTCATTAAAATATTAAATGAACTTTTGCTTAATTATCTTTTAAGTATGGTTAGAGTATGAACTATAACATCTCATCACAATTGTTTCAATTAGTCTGCTCTTACGCCGGCTATCAAAAGGATAATTTGAAGTCAAGCCAAATATTCACAAATCTTGAATGGGAACAGCAAATCAACTAGCATTGGCACTTATAAAGAAGAACAATTGATACGTTCATCGTTACTCATTGAAATCCTCTACACTCGTTCTCACAAATAAACTTCATATAATCGATTAGAAATCAAAGTCATATATAACCGCTGAACTTTCCATTCCATATTTACTAGTTGTTGTACTGGCAAAAAAATATCTAAATTCATGGTTCATTATGAATTATGATTGCACGTATTTGCGGACGCACAGCAATCAAATGTTTCTTAAAAATTCTATGAGAAAACATCTTTCCGAGCAAAATCGTGATTTGTCATATTGGTATTCCGTGACAAAATACCCACTCCTACTATTTGTCCTTTTCCTTAGCACCATCAGATTCTCAGACATTATTGAATTTGTTCATCAACAATCAGAATCTTTTTGAGCATTTCTCTACGATTAGATTTGCACTACTGCTTAGGAACATATTCGAACAGGTGCTTTATTGAAAAGAATCTTTTTCTGTACATATTAACTTCAACCTTTGATTATGAAGATATTGTTGTATACGATTATCTGTAAAAGATCACGATTAAATATCTTTTTATTTTATTAGAGGAGTATTTCATTTCACGTGTGAGACAGAAACTGCACTGAGTTTGTTCACCGAAGATTCTAAGCTATATGGTCAAATCGATCGTGATTCCAAGTCTTATAGTTTCGACCAAAGCTTATGAAAACATAATTAATTCAACTCAAACTTGCCAGGAAAAAGCATTTTATTACAATAGCACACATATGACAAATAAGATAGGATCGAAAGTATATTTATAAAACATCATGATAGACGAACTACAAAACGCAGTTTCTGATCTAACTGCAGTATGGTTGATCATTTCCCCATGATCGACATGATGATGGACAGTTGCCAATCGTTACCCATCGGTTGCCACCAACACATTGAACAATACTTGCTCCACTCGATCGAAAGTAACATTGATATTTGCCTGTATCGACACATCGACCAGTAGTCGTTCGACAGTCACATCCACGACGAACACGATCTGGTGCTATTCAAACAGAAACGAAACGTTCATTCAGAGATAGATGGATGAAGGTAGAGACACTTACCATCAAGAGTCGCAGGGTCGATGATGTTGAGTTCTTCTTCGGGCGCTGGATTGGCAGACGAATAACAAACGACTGCCAAGATAACAAGAGCGAAAGTGATGATTGTTGAGATTTGCATTTTAGTAGATCGAAGTTGAGAAAGTAGATTTGCTGATGAAGATATGAAGAGAAAGTCGAGTATTTATACTAGTGGTATAATGCAGGAGTTGATTTCCCAGTGCGCGTATATGATAGGAATGACGATCACAAAGATGTGTGGAAGTGTAGGTAGTATCGAGATGGGTAAATCGTTATCCCCATACATACATACGACATTACTACGCACAGGTGAGTGGGCGATGAGTAATACTTTTTCCCGTTCTGTGTGTCTATAAATAGTAATTACCGTATGTATAAATATACAGGACTAAATCGTAGTGCCATTATCGTTGTAAAGGCTCATTGACTTGTGTTAAAAACATGCAAATCTCAACAATCATTACATTCGCTCTTGTTATCTTGGCAGTCGTTTGTTATTCGTCTGCCAATCCAACATCAGAAGAAGAACTCAACATTATCGATCCTGCAACTCTCGATGGTAAGTGTCTCTACCTTCATCCATCTATCTCTCAATGAACGCTTCGTTTCTGTTTGAATAGCACCAGATCGTGTTCGTCGTGGATGTGACTGTCGAACGACTACTGGTCGATGTGTCGATACAGGCAAATATCAATGTTACTTTCGATCGAGTGGAGCAAGTATTGTTCAATGTGTTGGTGGCAACCGATGGGTAACGATTGGCAACTGTCCATCATCATGTCGATCATGGGGAAATGATCAGCCATACTGCAGTTAGATCCGTATCGCCCAAGATCAATGTAAAAATTCTTCTGCTTTCTACTGTTCTGTTATTCTCACTAAGCATTTTCCGGTTTTAATAAATCTTCCTTCAAATTTCGATACCAAATATTCACGAGCTTTTTACTAAATTATGTTTCATCATAAGCAAAGGGAGAAGTCAACGGTACTTTTTGTTTATATCAGTTAACAAATATACGAGCAGCACACCGAATATCTTGAGCTGATGATCCCAAGAGATCCTACTAGCACAAATCGGTTTCTATCATTTGCATTAACAGCCATTCATGTTGCTTCGCCTTGGTGATTCACTACACTCTTCTAGACAGCATTCCGCTCTATCAAAAACTTTTTACGTAGCATCGAATAAGTTATAAATAGGTTACTGTTGAATAAAATATTTTACAGCTTATCAGTGCACATTTCAGCAGATGTTGGAAGAAACGTGAAATATCATGAAACACATTTGATCAACACTGTATAGTGCATAATTTACAGTAATAGGCATAACAATCAATCGCACAATTTCGACTAGAATTCATGCTCATTCATAATTATATACTGTCGATGTGTAAATGACAATATAGACTTCGGACAATCAAGAGATAGATATGGCAACTCCACATAAGGAATTTGAAATC